GGGGGGGGGGGGGGCGACTCTTGAGTGAGAGCATCACAACAAGCCACATCGTCTCACAGAGAAAACGACATACCTTTGCCAGCAACGCTGCCAAACACTCCTTTGCGCATCTTCCAATGCTCTGGCCCCGCCCAATTCTTGGTGAGTTGCCGATCAAAGTAATCGAACATGTCTCCTTCCGCAGCGCCTTCTCCATCGGCATCTTCTGCGTTCTTGAACGCGAGCTGCAGACCTCGATCTCCCGGGCCAGCAGGACTAGACCCAAAGCCAGCGCCTTGACCGCTTGGACCGGCCACGGTGTAGGGATGTGCTCCATCCTCATCGCCTCCATGAAGAAGGTGGCCCCCAACACCCTGACTCGCCCCAGGTGCAGCATTGCCGAAGATGTCGTCGTACTCCCCGTCATCTGCCTCTCCCCCTCCAGAACCGAAGACGTCCACACCCTCTCCGCCAAAGTCGTCGGGGCCATCGTCAAAGCCGCCAAAGTCTCCTTCAACGCTGTCTGGCGGAATGGATCCCAGTCCGTCGTCTTCGGCGGGTTGGTGACCTTCAGAGCCAAGATAGTGAGATGCGAGCGCTCCAAACGGCGTGTCGTCATCAGCTGCAAAGCGGAAAGCGGAAAACGTTGGGCATACAGTGCGGTGATTGATCAGGGCGCCCAGGGCACTGTCGCCTTCGGCATACACAGCTTCATCTTCGCCAAACAGGGTAACGCGAAGACTTTCGAGGTCCACTGAATCCTCCACGCGGACGCCTTCTTGCTGAGCTTCTGTTTCCGGCATCGGCGTCTTTTCCCTCTCGGAAACATCTTCGGCCACTTGTTCTTCGGCACCGTCGGTCACGTCGGCTACATCGCCAGCATCAAATACGATTCGAACTTTGCCATCTACGCCGAGGTGATTCATGAGCAACCCTCCAGCTCCACCTTCGTCGAAGTCTGCGCTCGTCTTCTTGAACAGAGGATCTACAGTGAATTCCAAGTCGAGGCGCTTAGCAGCAATCTGGTTGAAAGACTTGACCAACGTTGCCTCTTTAGCTTTGCTGCGCTTTTTCTTCTTTCCGCCAGCTCCGCTCCCCTCATCCTCTTCGCCATCCTCGCCTTCTTCGTCATCGCCGTCCTTTCCGGAGCGACCCTTCTTGCCCTCCACGTCATCTTGCAAGCCAGACAGCAACTTGCCTGTCTCGACGACCACGCTGTCCACTCGGGATGTCCAAACCTTGATGCATCCATCCAGGGTACATGACGCTTTCTGAAAGTTGATGGTCCCATCGCCCGTGTCTGACCGCAGCAGCGACATGTCGTGAAAGTAATCGATGAGGGCAAAGGACCACGTGTTGGTCGAATTGATTTTCTGCCACAGCCAGGGCGAGCGATATTAGCCAAGGGGTGGTGCCAGACACTCGCAGCTGTGATCACTCACATTATCCGTAGCCATCTTCATCCACTCTTCAAAGCTGGTCGAGTCGACATTTAGCTTGACCACCTCCTTTGCGGCCCCTGCATGGGCAGCATCGCTCGCTGCCGCAGCAGCGTTCAAGCTCGCTCCCAGGCTGCGGCGGGGTCCATGGGATCTAGCCAGAGCAGCGACGCCTCCTGTGCGACGCGATGAGGTGAGATCGTTGCCTGAGGCAGCGTGAGCGTTGGCATCCGAAGAGGGGCCACCAGGAGCATCTCCTCCCCTTCTGGACGCTGAGACTGAAGCCATTCTAGACTTGCTCAGTCCTGAAGCTCCTCCTGGAAGGCGTGGCTTGGAAGCGTTTGGGCGAGATGGAGCGACAGGTGGCGGGCTTCTCAGATCCGTGAGGGTCAAGTCGCCAGACACGTCCTGCGAATTTTCCTTGTCGTCGTTGTCCTCATCGTCTGTCTCGTTCAGGATCAATCCTCTGCTGGCAGCCTGAGAGACCCGACGAGGTATGCCTGACCTCCTCGGACCGTTGCCCTTTCGAGGCGGTGGCGGCGTCCCGCTGCTACTGCTGACCATCTTTGGGTGTGCTTGCGCGCGGTTGAAAGGTCCGAGCGGCTCTCTTCGCTGGGGTTGCGGCAGCGTCCCGTTTGCCGCGCGTTTTGACGCGTGCGCACTGGGTGATGGGGTCTCGCTGTCTTGTCGACCCAGATGCCGAGCTGACGCGGCCGCTGGCATCGCTGAATCGTGCGCTTACGTTCAGCTGGATGAGATGCGTGATGTGGGAGAGCGACTGATGATGAGGCGGGCACGGCGAGCGTGCCTGCTGTGGAAGCCAGCAAATCTCGCTCCGAATGGTATCCTTGCGCGTGCAGCCGAGACCGACAGGTGCTCGCAGCCGCCAGGCGTGCGTGCGTGCGTGCTGCTTGTGCTGTGCTGTTGATGTCGCTGCAGGCACGCAGATCGCTGTAGCCGGGCAATTTGAGCAGTCTGAGTGGTGTTGCACCGAAGGCGCACAAGTCTGAGCAAAGGGGATGACGAAGAGGGGCAGGAATGGAGATCGCTGTCATCTACTTAGTACTATGTGCTCTCATACGTGTCATACGTGAAGGTCATGCCATTCACCAAGCGCGACAGCCCCGCTGTCTTCGGGACTCAAGCGGCATCAAGCAACATGTGCCATCTTGAATCATCCACTCACACTCAAATCCGTGCAGGTGAGTGTTGAGTGGACCATGCAGCCATGCACGCGCAGCAGTAGACCTGACCAGCATGCCATGCACCCACGTACTATAGCTGCACGGTGTGGTCGTGTTGACCGCGACAGGCGGGCGTGCGCGCGCGCGCGCACTTCGCTCGTTCGCATGTGCTGCAGCATCAGCATTCAGCAGTCGTACAGTCGCGCAGACTCGACCAGCGGCGCGCGTAATAAGACGCGCTTAACGCGCGCGTCTCAGAGCTACCACGTGACTGAATGAATCGTCCTTCCGCGGATGAAGTCTTGGGGCCGCGAAGGTGTCGCTTTCGCCTGATGGCGAGCATCGCTTTCTTCTCGCGCGTCTTGTGTACTTCTTTGAACGCCAGGTCCATGCGCACGATTCACCAGCATCATCCCACGTCTCCATCATCAAATTTCTGGACACCTAGTCAGCCAGCTTTCGAGCTCGCGAGACCTGCCAAGACACACGTCGTTAGCAGGACGTGGTGTTAGGGCTACGCTATTTTCATCGCCAATCGACAGAACCAGCCTTGCCGACGGCTCTATATAGGATCTCACCCTGAAAGCTGTGATCCTACCGTCGTGGTCGTTATGTCGCTCATGGCCTCATACAACCAAGCTCGGAATGCGGCAGCGCCTAGTAGCTCGCAGGTGATCCAGACATCCTCCGACCAAAAGGTCATCGGATCCGGCAACCACGAGGTCAACGACATGATCACCGCCGGTCCTAGCACCGAAGACTTTGCTCGACTTGCCCGGGCGGATGCAGTCGTCGCAAACACATTGAGGGAGGACGAAGTGTACCCAGATCTGGTGGAGTGGCTAGGCAACCCCCAGACACATGCCAGGCTGTATGCTGCTCCACCATGGGCGCCTGTCACAAACAGGAGAGTGTTGCCTATTCCTGACGAAGTCATCGAGGCTATCAGCTGTGAGTATTCGCTGCAGGTTGCGAGTAATCGCCAAGAGAGTAGCGCACACGAGCTTGGGTCATCGTGGCTGCTTTCTCGTGAGGCTGACTCGTAGATGCGCCTCGCGTGTCAGCTCCACAATCCCGAGCTGCCCAGGGGTTATTTCCCTCAATCTCGAGAGCTTGGATCATCATCGACACTCGCCTGTACTTGTGGAGCTACAGTGATGGCGGTAGCGGCGCATTCGAATCCTTTGAGCATCCAGACAGCGTGATCCAATCTGTTGGTCTCGCTCGGCCGAAGCCAGGCGTCTTCATCGATTCCATCTCGCACCTTCTTGTCGTTGCGTCGACTTCCTCTATCATGCTACTTGGCATCTCCTTCGAGCCTAGCACGGCTTCGGCAACCGGAGAGAACGGTGCCAGTGGCTCCAGTCACGCTCCTGAAAGTCTCAAGCTCTACATGACCGCAATACAGGCCAATACGGAGGGCGTAACGCTGGCAAACATCCGGGGTACCGATGACGGCCGCATCTTCGCAGCAGGCTCAGACAACAACCTTTATGAAATCTCGTACACCTCCGCTGAGGGCTGGTGGTCCTCAAGATGCTGGACCACCAACCTGACTCAAAAGCGTTTTGCGAATCTACTTCCAACCATCTTTGGTAGCCCTGCACAGCGTGAGTCTTTGGAAAGCGAGAGCAAGTGTGCATGCCCTCGAAGAGTGTCCACTGACTCTTCTCGAGTGCAACAGAGGGGATCTCTGCCGTAGAAGTGGATAGCAGCAGGGGCTTGATGTGGGTATTGTGGGCCAAACGGGAAATCGAACTCTGGTCCATCTCGCCAGGCGTGACGCCCCGATCCATTGCTCGCTCTACCGAGATAGCCAAGTCCATCAGCACTTTCCTTCCGAACGCTTCCCTCTGGGGTCCACCAGGAGACTTCTACATCGAGTGGATTGGCGCATTGCCAGCTAGGGAAAGCAAGACTGCCCATCTCGTCGCTATCACCAACAGAGGTGTCAGACTTTTTTTCAGCGCTTTCCATTCTTTCGGATCCAGGCCCGAAACGGTGCGCTTAATGTTCTGCAGACTGCCTCCTCAAGCTGGACAGCTGTCTGAGCCCGTTAGTCAGCAACGCGCCGGAGAGCATGCAAGAAGCGCCCCTCAGGGCTTTCAGGCGTACCACGGTCACCATGCGTATGGCTTGACCCTCATGTCTGGCAAGAATCCTGAAGATCCCACTGGCGCTACCGATCTGCTGTTGGGCGTGACGAGGCCTGCTGCATGGAAAACGTTTAGCGCACCGGTTGCACCAGCCACATACTCCCAAGCTGGTCCTCACAACGCATCGCAGAATGACACAGATTCCGCGACGTTTGTGCTCATACGGGGTGCCACGTGGGATATTCAGGAGGTTGTGAATGCTTCTGCTGCTACGGCGATTCCAGCGGCCAATGTGGTGTCGCCTTTGGTGGCGCAATTCGTCTCGCCGCCGCGCATCGTCCTGGTGCTCACTAATTCCGGCATCAACGTCATCACGGAGGTGCGCCCTATGGACACCTTGTGCAGCATTCTGGAGGGCTCAACGGGAGTCGATGCATCGTTGCTGCACTTCATTGAACTGTGAGTGCTGGGAGGGGAGACCATCTGCGCGCCCCTCTGCTGTGTTGACCCGATTTGCGCGACTCTATTTTCAATCTCAGCTGGGGCGCCAATCAGACCTGCGCCATGGCGCTAGCTGTTGCAACCCGCAACTCTCAACTGCTACTTGCGCCGGAGACCTTGCTTGCAGGATCCAAAGGAGGTGTGCACCAGGCTGAGACGCGCATGCTAGGTGCGGAAGTTGTGTCGTCCGCCTGGCGGACCTATTTCGACTTTGGAGGATCTCCCCGATACGAGCCGCCGCCTCGACCGAGCATGTCGCCCTCAGATGGTCACACGTTCCACAGTGCCAAGTACTACGGCTTGACTATTTACCTGGCACGACTTGTTCGTTCGTTCTGGACGAAGAATGTGACTCAGAGGTTGGTTGTACCGGGCGAAGGAGAGCGCCAGCAAGCAGCTATTGGCAGTGCCACGCTCTCGGCAGCACAAAAGGATTTACGATCCCTGCAGACTTTCTTGACTCAGAATGCCCAGCTCTTCGGAATCGGATCCAGTGCGCGAGGCAAAGCTGGAGCAGGCGCCAACGATGTCAACCAGATCGCTTTTCAACAGGAGCAAGAAGCGTTCGATGCGCTTCGACAACTGCTTGCGCGGACCATTGAGGCGATGTCCTTCGTCTTGTTGCTGATCGACTATCGTCTGCCATCGATCGTATCGCGGTGCAAGCCAGAATCGCAAACGAAGCTGTCGCAACTGACGTTCTCCGGTCTTGTCACCACATCAAATGGGAGCGAAGTGGCTAGGAACCTTGTCGAAGCGGTCATCGATTCTCAAATGGCTGCTCAAGTCAGCATCGACGCAGTGGCGGAAGTGTTGCAAGAGCGATGCGGAGGCTTTTGCAATGCCGATGACGTACGACTCTATAAAGCGCTGGAAAGCCTGAGAAAGGCGCGAGAAGCGCAGAACGATGGTCAAAAGCAAGATTTGCTTCGCGAAAGCGCACGATTGCTCAACCGCGCTTCCGCGCATTTGCCTTTCGAGAAGCTGGAGACTATATGCAAGGACTACCGCGAACTTGGCTTCGACAGCGGCGCAATCGAACTCCCTCTCAGGTGCGCCGCACAGTGGGACATCAACGGAGCGGCTTTGTCCTATCGCAACGATGGCATGCCGGCTGGCGATGTCTCCCGTCAGCAAATGTTCGAGGGGAGCATGAAGTGCTACACCCTCGTCATTGCCGCGCTCGAGGCTCTAGATGCTCAAGTAGCGCAAGTACACCAAAGTACAGATCCTGCAGTTCAATCCACATGTGAGTCATGCTGTGGCTCATCTTGGCCTGTCAACGGCATTGCTCACGTACATCTGCCTGCGTGCTCATCGCAATCAAGTGAAATCGTTGGAAATCCGACGAAAAGACGCGTACCTGCAAGCCGAAGGTGCCTCCAACGCCCTGTTCCACGACGCCCTGTACGACTGGCTACTTTCGCGCGGAAAGACAGACGAGCTGCTCCGCATGCGAACGCCATACATCGAGGAATATTTGCGTTCGGAGCCCGTCACTTTGCAGAGGTGTCTCTTATTGTGCGACTGGTACACGAACGTTGGGCAAAACTACGCTGCGGCCCAGGTGTACGCCGGTCTAGCGTCATCCACAGAGTGAGTAGTCCAGCTCGTGCGCGACAAAGCTTCTCGTGCTCATCCTGTTGTCGCCCCCAAAGGCTCGATCTGCGACTTGAAGACCGGGTAGAATACCTCGCCAAAGCTTCCAGCCACGCAAAGTCCTCTCATGTGCACGGCAACGATGTCGTGGAATTCATCACGAATGTCGACGACTCGCTCGAGACTGCGCGCGTGCAGGTCGAGGTCTACTCTTTCACTCGAGACGCTCCAGACGACTTTATCGAGCCTTCAACCAAGCAAGAAATATTGCAAATTCTGGACGCTGAGCTCTTGACTATGTCAACAGTGAGTGGCGCACCGCCACTAGTGCTACGACAGCTTCGCATCCTCCCTTTGCTTGGATAAATGTTCTGACACTTGTCTTGCGCCCGCAGCTGTACAAGTCGTTCGCCCAGCCATATTCTATGCACGAAGTGAAACTCATGATCTACGAGATTTCAGAGCACGACGACCCCGCTCTAGTTGAGCAAGAATGGAATGAGCTCATTCTCGAAGGTGAGCTCCACAAGGCTTGACCTTCAACGATGAAGTGCCTGCCTCCGACTCTGACCTGGCTTGGTTCTCTTGCTCATATGCGCAGCTGAGGAGAGTGCTGCGCCTGAGCAACGTTTTGAAAGAGTTGGTGTGCTCATAGTTGATCTAGGAAAACGCTTCATCGGCTCTAGCATCGCCTTTCCGATCGGTGAGCCGTGCGAAGCACTTGAGAAATCTGTGTCGCCGTGGTCGCCCAGCCTTGCTGACTTGATGTTGTCTTGGCGTGTAGACAACCTGCTGGCTAGGCTTTTGCGGTACGCCTTCGAGAACAGAGAGGCGCAAGAAATACCTCTCGGCTGGGCTTCCTCGACGCTCATTTTGGCAGGCGCTGCTCAAGAAGAGGTGTACGATGTCGAAGATAGCCTCTTCGAGATGAAGCGAGAGCCTTTCAACTCGGATGCTGGGGTGCATTTCCTGCTCGCAGAAATTGGCGCTTTGTTGACGAATTGGCTGGACGACCTGTCTTCCGGCTATGCCCGAAGTGGTTTCCCCGCCAAGAGAGTGGACGACTCTATTGGCGTTTACATCTCTGCGTTGAGCGGGCAGCAAGCTGCTTTGCCGGCTCGATCGGCATCTCACCTGCCTGAGATTCAGGAGACCGTCAACGGATTCAAGGCCCTACATGAAAGAGTCCGAAGGACTTTCTGAGCGAGGGATGAATACCATATGGCTTGAAGGTGTCGATGTTTGCTCGTGTGCTGATTCGCCTGGCGCGCGCAAGTCCTACTCTTCGGGAGGTGGAACCAGCCACATTGTGAGATCATGGCTGGCAGTGGCGAGCACTAGCAATTTGAGATGCTATTAGCTGAAGCTTTGCTGGTCGGGTGCAGTGCATTACTCCCGCCGACGTGAGACTCACTTGCTGTTCGCGGATTGAAGGCCAAGGACCGGATGGCGCCGCTTGAATGACGGTGTGAGCTTTTGAAAGGATGGATGTCGATGGGTTCAGCGAGGGATGCCTGAGTGGAAGCTGGGATGGCCCAGTAAAGCACATCTCCGCTCGAGGTGCCTGTCAGCGCAGCAAAAGGTGATTGTGAGGATCACAAGCGTCACACCACCGGAGCGCGGAAAGGGTGACCCTCACCTGCAACAATGAAAGCGCCATCCGCGGACCAACTGAACTCTTGACCCGATATCCCCGCTTCTTGGACCGCTTCGGTCGCGCCCAAGCCTCCTGCAGCATCTTGCAAGCCTTGATGACCTAACAGACGAAATCGCAAGACCCCTGCACGAGTGTCTAGGATGTAGAGTGTATCGTTGGCTGTTCCAACGAGCAGCAACGAGCCGTCAGAGCCCGAAGTCCCGCTCGGACTGAAGGCCAATGCAGTGGGCACAGTCCTTTCTGGAAGCGCAATGCTCAGAAAAGGCGTCTTACGAGATAGATGAGGGGAATGCCTATGAGCTTACCCGCTCGTCAAGTGCCCGAGTGACTCACGACTCGTACTGCTATGCTCACTAGGTGGAATGAGCGCACGTCGTAGAGCAGAACGAGCGCCCTTTCGCTGATGGTAAGGGCGAAAACCAGACCTGTGGAGTCGTACGCTACAATCGGGTGACCTTTCACTCGCATCAGACCCTTGACAAGGGAGCAGTCCCAGCTTGTTGAGTTTGCATAACGAGGACGATGGGAGCCCCTTCGAGCGACTACTATCCTCACCTGAGTGTGAGAAGATCTGAGATCCCAAAGCCGCACAGACTCATCCACAGCGCCGCTGAGGAAGGTTTCGTCCAACGGCGACATCTGGAGTGTGGTGACCCTACCGAGCCAAAGTACTTGTCAGTCTTCAGTGGGTCCCATTCGTGGACTCGAAGCGACTCACTTGGCCTTGTGACCTCTGTGATATTGAAGATATGTGTTCTTTTCAAGCGAATGCTGCCTAATGGTGTCTGCGCGTCGAAGGCCGATCATGTTGAGCGTGACTCAGCTATACCTAATTGAGCAAGGAGCTCACCATCTTCCTTAGTACTAGCATGGATGATGGCAGAGTTGGTGTGTGTGAAACGCGCCAGATGTACTCCGTACTTTTTGGAGTAGAGTGTCCGAGTGCTCCTAGAGAAGCAAAAGGATGTGGTAACAGTCAATCGACCAAGTCCTGCCCGCTCAGCATGCGCCAAGGTACTGAGCATCTTCAAACTTTCCTCAAACGACTGTTCGGTCGACAAATGACCGCACCCTTAAAACCCGTATTCCTTTACTCACTTGCCCTTCCGACAATCGTACACCTGAAATGTCTCGTTCTCCGCCGCTGTGACCAGATGCTCTCCTCGATCATCGAAGCACATGCTGGTAATGTGCGGCAGCTTCGACTGGTCGGTCTGCTTTAAGCTACCCACTTGCTCTGTTGTAGCGTCATGCTTGGACGATGCGGCAGGTTGCGCTGGTCTGAAGACCTTTGTCGGACGCAGAGAAGCGAGTAGATTCTTGCTTATGGTGACGTATCCTGCCGGAGGGTGTTTGTCAGTGCCCTCGCTTGCAGACTTCTTTGACCCGGAAGCGGAGACGCCGTGGACGCCAGCAGCACGGGACGAAGCTGATGCAGCATACGCTGCGACAGCGCCGATGTGGTGAGTCGAGGTGCCGTTCATCGTGAGGGACGCCCTGTGCTTGTGAAGTCAGGGTGGAAAGCCGAGTTGAAGCTGCGCACTTTGAGCCCCCTGAGCGCGCTGCTCACCGGCGCAATGCCAGAAAGCGCACGCGGGTCGAGACGTTCAAGAATGGAGCAGAGGCATCAGCACGCTTGCTGGCATCTCGCGTTTGTACAAAGCTCCCAAGCGAGTCTTGCTTGACTGTGCGAGTGAGGAGTGGATGGAGGTGCAAGAAGATCCTCGTACCGTGCGAAAACGGCCAAATCATTAAAGCTCATGATCGATCGATGTGTCCGCGGCTGCCGCGGCTGCTGCTGCATGCCCGACCTGCAAACCGCGGATGCTGCTGCAGCAGCCTTGCTGCGTGCGTGGTGCATGAATCGTGAATGTATGCGCCCCAGATCCCGCCTCAGTCACGAGAGACTCCAGACGATCGAGGCGGCACCCACCCACCCTCATTTCCAGCCAGACGTCTCCTCTCTGATGAGGTCATCTGGGTCATATTCGTGCGAGCTTTGAACCTTTCCCCATACTCTTCATTCAATACTGCACTCCTTCTGCTCGCTGCACCGCCGCGTCGCGTCCAGCGAGGTCTTTGCGACTGGCCCATCGGCAATCTGAGTCTGAGCAGTACTTGCAGCTGGCACCACCACGACGATCAGCAAAGCATTCGAAGAGCCAAATCTCGTGACGGCGAACAGGCCTGAAACGGCAAGCCAGCTCTGGCTGTTCCACTAGCAACTCTGGCGTGGAGCTCAACAAAGCCAATCAAGTCACGCGACCTTGCGCATGGACTGGGTGCTGCAGCGCGTGGCTGTGGGCAAGGCAGCTCTTTTGTCCGAGAGCCAGAATTACAGTCAGAGTACCTATAATTGCAGCGTTGGCACAGGCCTCATTGACTTTGCTTGCCGCAAAGCGTCTTTATACCAGTAGCCACCTCTGTCTCGCCCCAGCAGTAGACGGCTGCCACCCTTCTGCCTCAACGTCTGCTCCATTTCCTTTGAGCTCGCCTGAGAAACCCGTGCACGTTGGCCCCTGCTCAATTTTCGATGTGTGGAAAGGTCCAGCGAATGACGACATCACTTCGACGTCGCCACATCACGACTCTTGCTAAGCCAAAGCGGTTGCACCTGAATGAAAAGGCAGGATGGCATCCCGACCTACGGATGCATCAGCAACTGCTCGCACCTCTGGTGAAGAAGACGATTATAGCCAGCCTATCGATATCAAGGCTCGCATAGCCGCTTTTGGCGGAGGCAGCGCAGGCAGTGCGTCTAATACTGGTCGTGCAACCTCTCACGCGGTAAGTCTCGACGGGGGCGGGTCTCTAAGCCCTCCTTCCTCTCGCTCGCACGGCGCTACATGGAATGGTGCAGGCCGTGCTGGCGTCCGATCTGCCCAGGCTGCCGGTGGAGGAGTCGCAAGAGGCTTGGCCAGAACCATCAACGCGTCCAGCGCTTCCCCAAGCGCTTCCTCCAGCACCCTTTCAGAATTCGGCGTTCCAGTCAGGGAAGGACAGAAGAGCGTCTCGCCGCTGATGCAGAAGGCGACCCCTCACAAAGCTCCAGAATACTTTGCAGGAAATACGCTGAGCCCATCGAGCAGTAGGAGCCTTGTTCAAGAGGCGGCCGATTGGAATCTCGCTGCCAATAAATACACCGGTCCAAGCTTGCGAAAGACTGGAAGTGGGGTGAGCTTGCGGGAGCTGGGAGCTAGATCAGCGGATCCGGCCTGGACGGTTCAGCATAGTCGCGTGAGAAGCAATAGCTCGGCCTCAAGCTCGAGCACACCCAGTGTCGGTGGCAACGGGGTCAACCGCAGTCATACTAATAGTCCTCGGCTGGGGGTCAGGAATATCATTGCGCTGTATGGGAATGGCGCAGCAACAAGGCCTGAGTGCGAATCCGCGCATACCTGTAATTCTGGCTCAACCACTTCTACGCTCGAAACAAGCCTGCGGACTGCAGTAGCAGACGAGCTGCCGGCGTCGAGACATATGCTAGACGGTAGCGAGGATACCAATCCTCAACTTGCCCTGCACCCGTCCCTACGACCATCGCCCAGCTCATCGTACTCAGTCACGCGCTCGTCGAGTCCAGCGGACGCAACCAAAGAACAATCAGATGGCGTTAAAAGAGCTCCAATTCCACCTCCCCGACCGAGCAAGACGGCGGAGGTCAGCACAGGAGGTGCATCAGTTCCACCCGCACGTGTCAGTGTTCATCCACCTTCTCCGTCGAAGGGAAGCCCTGCACCTCACATGCCACCGTCTCTGCCGCCACGAAAGTTGGGTACTTCCAACGCAGCAGAGTATGACATCAGATCGACCAGCAGTCCGACCTCTTTTGTGTTCGGAACTTCAGTGCCGGCCCATCAAGGTTCGGATGCTTTGCCCAACCAAGACTCTCGAAGACCCTCTGTACCGCCCCGCCCGGGCGCGTCAGGCCCGCCTTCTCGCGGTCATTCAGATCCGAACGCCAAAGCGCAGGAATGGCAGACACCAGGCGAGGCGCATGCCGCGTTGGGCTACAAGGCTCGCGCTGTACCAGCTGCTGGAGCGCTTGCGAGGGGCAGAGGCTTGCATCAAGCTCCTGCTTGGGCTTCTAGCTCGACAGGCTCGCTCGGCTCTTCTCCTTCCCCCTCCGACTCCAAGCCACCAACGGAACGGAGACCTGCGCCTCCGCCACGTCCTGGGCACGCCTCTACGACGCCTGCAGCGGTGTCCCCTGCGCTTCGTAGTACCAGCCCCAACATAGCTGCTGGACGTCATTCGAGGACGGGGGGGTCGGACCCCGCAGGCTTGCGAGGGCCAACAAGCATCACCGTCACTTCTACCAACAATGCCACCTCGCACACCGTTTCACTTTCCGATGCTTCAGCTGATGATCTTCGAGCGGGTTTGAGCAGTACACTGAGCAAAGACGATGTGAAAGACGACTTGCTCTCTAGCTCTGCCCCCTCGAATCATGCTCTGCCTTTACCGCCAAGACGGACAGCAGCGCCTGCTTCGGGATCGCCAGTGCCGCTCGTGCATAGCGCTTGGGGTGGCAGATCCACCAATTCTTCACCAGCACCAGGATCGGTCTCGTCCATTTCGTCATCCTCCAAAGCATCTCCGCCCGCCTTGCCTCATTTGGCGCTGCCTCAGCCCCCACCTCCGCCCAGACACTTCGAGACGCGCGCAGCTCCGGGGGCCGCAGGTGCTACGCGCTGGGATACCATAGTACCCATGCAGCAAGATGCGATCCTGCAAAGGGCAAACAAAGGCAAAAAGTACCTTTGTGAGACCTGTGATACCGAAGCTCGAGCTCGATACGAAGAACTGTGGGAGCGGCAAGTGAGCAAGGAAGAGGGTCTGCGCGCTAGACGCCAACGATCTGGGTTACCTTTTCACGACGACTTGTCTCAGAAGCGGGGTAGACGCTTGCAGGAGACTAGCGACAGCACAGTTAGAAATAGCAGTGTTGACGTTGCGAATGGACAAGGCATGGAGGCGGAAGCTAGACACCTGTCTCGAAAGGCGTGCGCTCGAATCTGGACTCGGTCCAAGCTGCCAGACGATTTCCTGGCCAAAGTCTGGGATGCTGCTGTAGCCGGCGCGCCAACCTCTGAAGGCCTCAACAAGCTGGCATTTGTGAAGGCTATGGCTGCAATCGATACCGAGCTTGCGCGCAAGAGGAAAAACCGGCAAAATCGAGTGTGATCCGGGCTGCAATCTCTTCTACACTGCTCAATGTTATTCACCATTGCGTACCGCTTCAATCGCGACAAATTTACGTGCATAAATTCGGATTCTATAACTTGTCAGAATAGGAGACTGCCCAGTCCAGCTGCCGCACAGGCAGTCACAGCGCTGGATATAAAGTTGACCTGCAGGGCAAGATGAGCGAGCGCGCACAGAGGTGATGAGATTCGCGAACCAGGATGCTTATCCTTCAGCGACGCTGCGCGGTGACTCACAGCACTGTTAGAAAGCATATCATGACCAGTGATGACTTCCCATTGACCCTCTGTCGAGCCGGGAGGCCGTCTACCAATGAGAATCTTGCCAAGCTTGCGGTTATACCATGACTTCTGCACAGTGGCGCCTAGTAGCGAGTCCACCTGCGACGACGAGCAAACGTTCGAAGGAGCCCGAGCGGATCGTGAGAATAGGTCATTCTCTTGAGAGCAAAGGGGCGAGGAGCCACTTCTCACCATGGATCCTCCGAGCCCCGAAAGCGCGCCCACACTCAAGTAGATGACAGCTGACGAAACGCTCGGAGAGCAGAGCGAGTCGTCGGTCTGGCTCGGCGGTAGGAAGTATAGGCTTGCGATGCAGACAACTCCAATAAGTGCTCCGCCGAGAAATGATACGAGAGTGCCTAGCGCCGATACACCCCCATTTGTACCGCGAGGCACCTGTGGGTATGCAAGGGGCGAGACATCCATTAGCAGCTAATCCTTACTCGAGCCTGCTTGTGATTCCTCTGACGGACCTGCTTCCACGTCGTCACCAGTCGTGGCTGCCCTTTGGCCAAGATGCCCAGCTGGGTGCGAAAGCAAGGGTCATTCGAGCGGTTCAGCAGCTCGTTTCATGTGCAATTCGAGCTTTCACTTCTAGGGTCTGACCTCTGACGCCAAAGTATCGCCCATGCAGCACTGCGCGTCGTTCGAGGATTCAAGATGGTAAGACCGAGTCAGCTTCAATCTCGCACATGGTCGGACGGGAGACACAACTCGCGGAGAAATGCCCGAGAGAGAACAAGATCCAAGTGCGTGGATCTTCGAGAAGTGCGGAGCTGGATTTGCGATTATCCAGCAAGCAAAAAGAAGGCTCTGAAGTGACGCCCATCAGGCTGTTGATCCAGTGTGGTGCAATGCTGTAGGCCCGCGCGCCAGAGTGGAGATGTGCAAAGAGCAGAGCGCCAATCGTGCCATTTAGAGCGTTGCAAATTACTTGCCATAAATCCCTCTGACCTCCTGTCGCCGATTTGTGCTTAGCTAATTGTGGTGAGGGAGACGTCGAGCCAGGTTCGGCCTCCAGCTCTAGAGTGGACTTGATGTCGGCTTTGACCTTTGTAGCGCGTGAGCCAGTCAAGTAAAAGACGATGAGCATGATGCCAAACTATCATCAACATCAGAGGCGATTGAGAAGGGTTTAAAAAGGAAGTTTTGTTGTGTTAAGACTGTGATTTGAGGGATGTATGCGCTGCTTACTCACAGCGGCTGAAGGATTGTGCATGGTAGAGAAGCCAAAGATAAACGCGGCCAGTGCCCCTGAAGCGCTCAGCGAGCCCTTTCTGTATCCATGTACGGCCAGAATGATCGCCAGTGCCAATGGGAACCACATGGTGCTGCTCTTCACTCCAGTGAGCTCAGCCTTGAGAGGTGGACCCCAGGGTGAACGTTTTTGTGATGCTTTGCTTCCTGGGATCACCTTGTACCTTGCGGTCTTGAATGCTCTACGATTGATGTTTCACGCATCGAAGGCAGCTGCATGAGGGAGTGCAACGAGGCTGTGAAGGCAGGTAACGTGAATACACAACAACCAATACTCACGACTCATGACGCATGGAGGCGCACGTCTGAATATTTGCGAATGCCGCCATTATTATATATGCGCGCGGCTTTTCGTGTGCGTCTGGGCGTTCTGACCATGTGCGCATGCATGGTGCATGACGCGCCGCACTACTTACACAACCCACTTTTGGTAAATGCACAACTCGGCAGCCAAGTGGACTTTGGGACTTTTTTAATTAAAACATGTTGAAACTCCACTTGCTCAGCCGACTCTTGACGCTTTTCTAATTGACTTGGTACGTCGAATTTTGGAAAGTTTGACTTACAAAGTTGGGTCTCGAATGGGATTTACAAAGTCGCGCTAAAAACTCGACCTTGAGCGCCCCTTCGGTCTTCTTAAAAAGATGCTGATAGTCCTTGCCGCCTGAGTTGCGCTATAGAAGCTGTTTTGAGCGCAAAGCAATGCTGAGTGAATGTGTGACCACGTCTTCTTGTGTCCATCACGATCATGCGAACGCTGCATCCGCCCGCGCCTGCCGCGGATACGATGTTGATGCACTCGTGACTGTTCTGCAACACGTGACCAACATGTGACTTGGACATAGGGGACAGGGACATTCGTGATTCAAGAGATGACTTTGAGCAAGAGAGGCATTCCATTGCATTGCATTGCATGCTAGATAGCCAGCAGTGCAGTGGAGTAGATGCAATCCAAAGGCTGGAGGTCATAAGAAGGCCAAATTGGAGGGCCACCACATTGAAGCTAATCGAGCAATTGGCCTCTCTGATGGTTGGTGGGAATCCTCAGGTTTTACAACCCACTTCAAGGATACGTAGACTTTGATTGGCCCCTTGTTGGCCAAATGCTGCACAAATGCCTCATGCACCTCCCCAGATGTCTCATGCATCTTGCCAGATGCCTTACATGCTGAATCTGAGGCTCCAAATGAAAGCCCAATAGATGTGGAGTTATCTACATAGAATTGGGGTTTCGAACGCGACTCAGCCCCGCTTATGCGCACCGCTTTCACTCATTCGCGAGTTACTTGACTCACGACTGTGACTGCCACCTTCGCTACGCACAGAACAGTCACCACACAGCACTCATCACCTTCCGCAACCGCTATCGGCGTCGGCCTTGCTGAGAGCGTCGCTCTCCAAGCTTGTCGAGAAGCATGCAGGTGCACATCCGGAAGTCACCGCGCGCCGTCATCCTATCGTCCTCTGGGACCGGTGCTGCCCAGCATGGAGCGACCCAACAGGACGCGGTATCGCTGGTCATATCGATGGCCTCAGCAGGGAGCAGCGCCCCTACAGGCTCCACTAGGGCCGTCATCGAACTCTTGCCCACCTCCAATCTGGGGCTGTCCGACTCGAGGAGGGTCACGCCCGCCGGCAGACCTGCTCACGGCTGTTTGGGACTTATGAATGTCGGGCCGGATGTTTTTGCCGTCATCGTAGTCAGATCCATCAAAGTAGGATCTGTCAGACCTGGGGAGGAGGTCTCCAGGATCAGTGCCGTATCTTTCGTCTGCATCAATAGAGCCAGCTGGGATGACATCTTGGATCCTTCAATGACCGAGGGTGGGTCCTTCGATCCATACGCCGGCGAGTCAAGCTACACAACGACCAATACAAGCACAGTAGCAGTAAGGGAGGAACATCCCTGCACATCTCTCAGAAAGCTGCTGAGCACCGGCAGCTTCTACTACGCCGAGAAGAATGCCTTCGACCTCTCCAGACGCTTGGACCGACGTTGTCGCCTACGGAAAGCAGCGAATTCTGAGGGCGGAAAGCGTCCCTTCAAGTTTCCCTCGGCAGACAGACAGCGCAACAAGCAAGCCAGCAGCTTGACCAATTCCGATGCCAGATTTGTGTGGAACACCTATATGGCCGAGCCACTGCTGCATTTCCGCGCTGGCCTCGATCCCGGGGAGCAAGACAGGCTGGATCGTGCTGGCTTTCTGGTGAGTCCTTCCTGGCGGAAACTGTTCACACCGCGCGAGTAGTAGCCGACGTCGGATCATACAATGCCGCATGACCTTGGCAGCTCCTTGTCATACAAGGCTTCGTCGCGACCTTCGAATGGCCTGCATCTGGAACACAGTCACACAAGCCCTACGGCTCCACAATGCCAGGTCCCGGCTCTGGCTCTTCGATCGACGCGTTCGGTCCTAATGCTGTAGGATCTGCAGCTTCTTCTTCTTCTCAGAGCGGCACCACTCTAGCGCTCATAAGTCGACTAAGCTCGAAAAGGGCTGGCACTCGATTCAATACACGAGGCATCGATGACGACGGCAACGTGGCCAACTTTGTCGAATCCGAGACACTCTTCACGCACGAGTCTGTCACTGTGAGCTACACGCAAGTGCGAGGATCGCCGCCGATGTTCTGGGAGCAACAAGGGCTGCAGACCTTCAACGCGAGGATACAGATCACCAGGCCTAGAGTAGCCTCTCAACCTGCTTTCGATCGGCACTTTGTCGACCTTCTGTCCCAATACAAAGCAGTGCACGCGATCAATCTGCTCGGTACGCGCGATGCAGAGACGATACTCAGCGGGGCATACGCCGAACATATGAGGCACACTTTAGCTCCTACCCTGGCTGAATCCATGCGCTCGGCTAGGCATGGGGCAAGCGCCCATCAAGTCGACGAGAAAAGCGGCTTCGGTTCCGACAGCGAGAGCTCGGAACCCGATTCGCGAGATGACGACGGCAGTGACCTGGACAAGCTTGGCCTTACAAATTTTGACTTTCACGCCACCAGTAGGCTGCACGGTGGGCTGGACGGCGTCAGGTCAGAGCTCAAGTACCTTGGGCCCGTTCAGCTGAAGAAGCAAGCTTTTGGATTCACCGTGGTAGTCGAGGGAGGAGAGCAAGAAGGGGTATATCGCCAGCAGGCTGGGCTCTTCCGCGTGAATTGTCTCGACTGGTGAGTCACTTCTTGCCAAATGCGTGCAATTAGCTGAGATCCGTGCTTGAGAACAGCTGACATTAGATTTTGCGACACAGTCTTGACAGGACAAACGTCGTTCAAGACATGCTATCGCAGTCAGCGCTGGAGACTTTCTTCGAGAGGGCTAGCAAGCACAGTGCCGCTTTCGAGCCCTTCGTGCCCTCTGGCCATCCGATTTGGTCCACGCATCGGATCATGTGGGCGGAGAACGGCGATGGTAGGTCAAGATGATCTTACCTTCCCGGCGCAACCGAGACTGACCAAGTATGCTTCCCGCACGCAGCTCTCAGCAAGATCTATGCTGGTACAGGAGCATTGAACACGAGCTACACGCGTGCAGGCAGCGGCAAGAAGACGCTTGGAGGCTTTCTTAGCGATGCAGCAAAGAGCGCTGGACGCATGTACATCAACAACTTCCAAGACAAATCCAAGCAGAGCGTCATCGATGCGCTTCTGGGCAATCTCGCGAACCAAAAGCCCGTCAGCGTGTACGATCCCCTTAATGACTCGGTCAGCGCCGAGTTACAGGACCGTCTCGATGAGTACTCGAGCACGCGCGAGCTCGACATCTTTGTTGGCACGTGGAACCTGGCGGGCCGCGCTCCGATGGGCGAGTCCCTTCTACCATGGCTGTTCCCGCAGGGCCAAGGAGAGGCCAGCAAAGAAGCAGACATTATCGCTCTTGGATTTCAAGAAGTGGTACCCCTCACTCCCCAGCAGATTTTGATGACAGACCCTGACAAAATCCGAGTATGGGAAAGCGTACTGGTGGACGCGCTGCATAAGAGACCGAACAAAAGGGGGGATTACATCCTGCTGAGAAGCGAGCAACTTGTAGGATCTGCGCTCGTCATCTTCGTGAAGGACACATTGGTGGACAGCGTTCGGCAAGTTGAGGCTGCTTCCCGCAAGACTGGGCTCAAAGGGATGAGCGGAAACAAAGGCGGAGTAGCTATCAGGCTTAATCTTTGGGACACGAGCCTATGCTTCATCACTGCCCATCTCGCCGCTGGCTCTTCAAATGTAGAGGAACGCAATGCCGACTATCACACCATCTTGAGAGGGCTTGCATTCCAGAAAGGTCGCAGCGTCGCAAGTCACGATCACGTCTTCTGGGCTGGAGACTTCAACTATAGAATAGATCTACCGAATGAAACCGCTAGGCCTCTTTGCGCGCAGCAAGATTTTGCACAGCTATACGCTCGAGATCAACTGGATCGGGCGCGAGCGTCGGGATCGGCATTTGGGGGCTACGAAGAAGGCGAGGTGCGCTTCTTGCCAACGTACAAGTACGACTTTGGGTCCACATTGTATGACACTTCGGAGAAGCAGCGTGTGCCGGCTTGGACAGACCGGATTCTGTTTCGTGCGGCCAGACCTGGCAGCTTGACGCAAACTTCGTACAGCAGAGCAGAGCTCAAGACTTCTGATCACAGACCTGTCTACGCTAGTTTCAAAGCGGAAGCCAGGGTCTTCGACCACGATCGCAGGAATGCCATTCGCCGGAACTTGCTTGCGGCGGGCAAAAGCGCTCAAGCGCGCAGCGGAGGTTTGGCGCATCAGTTGCCACACCTAGGCTCGTCTTCAGAAGAAGATAGCGGTGACCAACTCGACTGTGAGTAGGTGCTAGCTGGCAGTCGGATCTGGAGAGCTGACCGACTGGTGCCCGCGCAAAATTCGCATTACTCCAGTGCCCCCTCCTTCCGACGAGCACTCCAATTGGTGGGATACCGGTAAGTCCATCTGAGTGCGCCAACGCCTGTCCATTTCCTGAATATAGCAGCTCACGCACCCGTTCGGCGATGACAATGATGTGCGAGTAGCATCAAGCGAGGATGAATTAGACCCTTCGAGCGATGGCTCGAGTGCTGGCAGCGCGCATGGCAATCCTTTCGTCAACGCAGATCGTGAGAAGCCTCAGTGGCATCAGCCCTCACAAGGCCTCGCAACACCATACAGACGGCCACCACCTCGACCTCCCAAAAGAGGCGACACGATTCGGGCCAAGTCAAATTCCACTTCTAGCCGCTCCGTCCCTGCTCCAAGTCCAGAAAGGCGACGGGCTTTTGATGCGACATTGTTGCCCAAGGCTACCTCCGTAGCAGCTCGAGCCAAGATGTTCGAAGGCTCTGCTCCCTTCGAGCCTCAGTGGGACGCCGATGGCGTTACAGAAGCTGATGATCGGCAATCTGCAGCGCATCAAACCGCTGCTGCAAAGCCTGGGCCGCCTCCCGTCCCGATCAGACCCGGCATGGGATCTAGAACAGCCAGCTACAGCTCTGTTCGAAGTGGCAAGAGTCTCATGGATAGCGATAGCGACCAGGAATCTGCTAGTCATGCGTTAGGAGACGTTCTCAAACCGGGACAATGATCAGTGTCTCAAGCATCACCGAGTGAGCTTTGTAGCATTACATTCAAGAGACTAAAGTATAGAGCCTGCATGCAATTCGTCACCTTCTCTGAATTTTCCCGAATTTGTGAGACTAAAGCTTGGACCCATCTGTGAGTGCGCCCGTGATGTCCGAATTGCTGAAGATGATCAAAGCACAAAGACAGGCGATCAGCGCTGGATCGAGTCATTCATTCTTTCAGTCCAACTCACGGTTGCCGGAGGATGTGCAAGAAGGGCTGGTACATGACAAGCTTGTTGCTGCCATACGCGTCCTACGGGTCCAGGCAACACGTGCGAGCCGTTAGCACGGGCTCGGCTCGTTGATTCTGCAATTCGATTGCATGCGAAATCGCGCTTTGGCGAATCTTTCTATTGCTTACCTTTGTAGCTTTCGGTGCAACCTTGTGAGCCAGCTGGACAGCGCCCTCCAGCGTTTGTTGTGGACCGCCACTTCCTCCAGGCGGAGGTACGAGCTCATCGACGAATTCTAGAGCTTTCAATTCCTGACCTGTGAAGCGGTGACCCTCCAACACCATCTTTCGCATGACGGCGGGGCTGTGGAACTGAACAAGGGACATCCGGACATGCATGAGCTCAGCTGGTGGGCAATGGACAGCCAAAGCTTCGAATCGGCTCACCTTGGCTCGAAGAACGGCATGAAGACCAGGAGGCAGCTGGGCTCCAAAGTCAATCTCTAGGGGTTCATGAGCAGAGTAAAAGGTGACGTAAGAAACGGAAGCGCAGCAGAGGCATAGCCGGCCCATAGCCTAAGCGTATGGACGTCTGTAACCACACGACTCACCATTCATGCACGCGTACCCTTTGATACCAGACATGACTCGATAGTCGTGGGCAGAGATGAGCCCAAATCCAGCGGCGCTGCAAGGGGGAGCACACGAGCGCGAACATTGAGCATCGAAGCCTCTTGAGAGCGCGATTCTCTGAGCAGTTCTCTCCCTCCCACTCACAACGCGTGTCCACCAACGCTGGCTACCGTAGGAATGGGAAAAGAGAGGAGCCTCTCATAGACTGGCATGAGGCACTGATCGAAAAAGTGTTCGTCGGCAATGGCAGCCTCAAAGTCGAGTCCATTGCTGAAGAAACGACTGCTCTTATTCTTTTCATCCAACACGCTCGTACTGATCAACGCAGCACCTTTCGAGCCAGCTTCTTCCCCCGCAATGCTCTCCCATTGAGATTGGACGTGATCCAAAGCTGAGGCCAAGGCGGTCAGGAAATTGCGAGTCAAGCGATTGTCTGGCGTTTCGGCTGCCAGCATGTGCAACACCCAGATTCGCGGAGTTTGCGAAATCGTCTCGATGGACACGAGGGCTTTGCCCGACGAGGGGAAATTGACCGTCTCTGGCATCTTGCTCGAAGGAACTCTCTCTTGACAATGCGAGACGGAGGTGGTGATGGGTCTCTGGCGAAGCGAAAGCGGCTTGAGCGTGCTGTGCTTGTGTTGGCCTTGTGGTCGAGGCGTTTCGAGGCAAGCTGCGTGTCGGTGTGAGTTTCGCGAGAAATCAGTGGAGAGAAGACGAGCTGAGGAAGTGGCTGTGGGATGGCTAGGAGGTGCGCGTGGGACGAGAGGAATCAAACGCTGAGCACTGCAGATGGATCTCTGCGCGAGCATGTGAGAAAGGGTCGGGCCAGAAGCAGTGATGTGCGTACCAGCAGGGTGACCAAGGGTGGAGGGACGATGCTCAGCGGGGACAACGTGTTTGGAGGTGAAGCGCGAAGCGTGGATGCGAATTGTGTGAATGCGATCCTCAGCAACGCCGATGGCATGGCATGACTGTGAGACCACGCATCGATGGATCTCACGCGAGCCACTCATGCGTGTGAGCTTTATGATATGTGCTTCGTCACCTGCATGCCCTCTTGGCTTACTCTCTACCCCGGCGAAGAGGCTTGCGGGATGTCGAGCTTTGCGGCTGCAAGTAGTTGCTGGTGGGACACCGGTCCTGTGCGCGTACCGGCAGCCGGTCTTGCAGGCGCTTTCAGTCGACGGTCACGTGGATGCGTTGAGGGTCAAAGGTGACAATCCACAGAACAAGTTCTTCGAAAGTGCAACGAGTGCGAAGTTCACAACGTACCAAGAAGACCCATTGCGACCCATCTAAATCAATCACAGCTTGGCCCAGACGAGGCTTATGTTTGCATATCAGGACTGACGCAGCTTTGCTTCGACACGTTCACTGAATGCAGTACATCTACGACACTGCCAGTTTTCGCTTCCTCTTTTGCCCCTCTTCGATTCGGGCTTTCACCTCTTCCGCGGTCAGATCAAAGCCATGCCGTTCATATAGAGTGCTGGTACGCTGTGCGACGTATTGGGCGCGCACGTGCCTAAGTGCAGCCAGGTTGAAGCCGATGGTTGTCTATTCCGGTCGAAGCACGCAGAGTGAGGGGATTAGTGGCAATGCGGGCATAGCGAAAGGTTTAGTGGTCTCGACATACCTTTTGTCGATCTAGAGCTGATCGAAGATGTCCGCTCAGGCTAGCGAGAGTGACACGCATCACTCGATTGGCCACAATTTGCGCGTGGTGCGTTCGAAGTAAGAAGAAAAGAATGCGCGCAACGAGTGGAATGTTCCATTGCTGTTGTACGAATTGAGGATAGAGGTACTCATCAGAACTTGCTTTGGCGCACCAATGCTACTCCATCGACGACTTGCTCACCTTCTTTGCCCAATGATCCAAGCATCGCATCAGACTGATGACCTTGTCGAAAGGAATGACGATGAGGGCGTCGTCAAGCTGAGCGGCCGCGATCTTCTCCGTGACACGGAGCACGTATAAGCTCGGATCGACAGCCTCGTCAGGACCAAAGGACGCAAGCAAGATGGGTGATCTAGCAGGCGGTGCACCTTGTGACCCCCGCTTCTCCCACTCTTTTCTTGCTCGAAGGTCCTCATCGGCGAGTTCCAGTGCTTCTATTAGCCGTTCACCCGCCTTGAGCGTCTCTCCGGTGCTTTTGGTTACAGCACCAACATCATCCGTCTTCTCTGGCGCTTCAGCTCCAGCGGCAAGACTACCAATTGCCGCACCGTCGTCTTCTCTCGCTGGAGCTCCCGTCTCGTACAGCTTTTCCATCTCCCTTTCCCGCTCCTCTTCCAAAAACAGTGGCTCGTCGGTCTTTTCCCAGACGCGAATGGATCTGTCTGCACCTGCAGTCACTGCCATGTTGCCTGTGTGACCAGCAGCGACGGCCCAAACCTCTCCATGGTGCCCCTCAAGCGTTTGTATGAGCTCGAAACGGTCCCCGTCCCAGTGCCTGACTCTGCCGTCCCTGCCGACGGTCCAAAAGTGATGAGAAGCGCCTTCTTTGCCGCCCATCAAACCGCCGCCTTGACTCCCTCGCTCAAATGCGCAGCCCATCACGGCCTCTTCATGTGCGAACAAGCTCCGATGGCAGTCTCCGTAATCCAAGCCCCAGATCTTGGCGTTCCTGTCAGCCGAGACCGTCAAGCACAGCTTCGAGTCGCTCGAAATGTCCAACGACAGCACTGGCAGCTTGTGTCCGTAAAGCGAGAGGAAGAATTTGAGCGAATCGGCAAAAAACACTTTGACTGTACTGTCTAGCAGACTGAGGGCTAGCAAGCGCCCGTCAGGGCTATACTTGGCGAATAGGACGTCATCGGTCATCTTGAGGGTACGAACATGCGCCAGGGAGAGTTGCATTCTACCCGCGCTAGGAGCTGGCCGACCTTCGTCCTGCTCTTGATTTGGTCCTGATTGGTCCTCCGGCCGTTCCTCGATGGCAGAAACAACGCTTTCGAATTCCCAAAACTTCACATCTTTGTCTGCGCTAGCAGTCACACAGCTTTGACCGTCGGGGTGCACAGCGATGCTCCAGAGCGGTCCGTCATGAGCTTGGATAGTCTCCACAGCTTCTCCTGCCGGAATATCGTACGATCTGAGTGTGCCGTCTTTGCAACCCACCAGGACGTGTCGATCACCAGGAAGCCACGCAACCGTCAAGGCGTACGCGCCAGGTAGAGTCCGTATGCACCTCCCCGTTGCAACGTTCCAGATCTTCAATTGCCCGAAGCTGTCTGCGGAGGCAAGCAGTGTGTCGTCGGATGACAACGCCACCGCTCTAGCTTCCGATCTGTGTCCCGGCAGATCGATTCCGCACGACAGTGTTGCTTCCGGAGGAGTGGCCTTTTCTGACTTGCTTTGAGGCGGAGGTGGCAAGCTCTGCACCTCGATTGCATTCGTTGCAAGCGCGAGAAGCATGGGCGTGGCCGCGTTACTGTTCGCGTTCTCGCTCGCATCTTGAAAGGCAAAGCTTCGCAGACGACCCTGCGTCGGACGCACAATTGTGTACGATTCTAACCGCTCCGCCCAAGAAATGTCCGCATTTGCAGGTTCATTTGAACCTGCGTCGTCCAGCGCTGTTGCTGCTGTTGAAGTTCCGCCATCGGACTTTTTCTGTGCCTTCTCTCTTGCACGTCTGTTTCGTCGAGCAAGCTTCTTTCGCATGTCGTCTTGTGTGCGTATCCGAAACACTTGCACCGCCTTCTCGGAGCTCATTACGGCGACGAAGCCGCATCCTGCAGCGCCTCGAGGTGGAGCAAACAAGATCTGGATGATGCGTCGAGAGGAGGACACGGGAAGCGTGCCGTGCGGAATGATGAAACCACGGCTCAGACCTCCAGCTGCGTCTTCAGTACCTTCCAGATCCACATTCATCGCCGAGGCCTGTATCCCACCTGCGAGCGCTTTGGTGTCGATCTCCCAGATTCGTACCTCGCCTTCTGCAGAGCCTGTGAGCAACAGGACTGAGGCATCGTCTCGATCTGAAGCTCCATCTACTGTAAGCTGATCTATGGATTTGCCGCCAAATCCCGAAGCCATGGCCAAGCTGAGTATCTCGCCTTTGCCAGGAACGACCGTTTGAAGACAGTGCTGCATGCTGAGATCCCAGAGCTTGATAAGACCATCTTTTGAAGCAGAGACGAGATGACCCAAGCTGGTGAAGCTCGCGGAAGACGAGGAAGGCTGCTTGTATGCGTCTTGCGAAGCATGCTTGTTGGTTGCGGGCACGAAAGCGAGGTCTGTGATGGCGTTGCGATGACCTTTCATGCGATACATACCCGTCTCCGCGACGACATCCCAAAGGATGATGTCCGTGTCCAAGCTTCCGCTTGCCAGCCTGAGCCCACCTTGGTCCTCGAACGCAAGACTGGTGACCGCGGCGTTGTGCCCATTGAAAGTGAGTGCAGGGCTTGTAGGGGCTTCGGTATCCAAAGGATTGACGCGCCAAATGCGAATGCTGCCATCCTGATAGCCCACGGCATAGGTGGACAAGATGTCGTCTGAGCGTTGAGGAGCACGAGCTATAGCTGTGACACTGGCCTTGTGCCCAACATCATGCCACATGCTGAGCTGAGTTCCTCGCTTGACATCCCAAACCAGAACGTCCTCCAACGCTGGCACTACGGCCGTCTTGCCATCGCTGCACAGGAGGGAGCGAGAGGTGGAGGATGCTACCAAGCCAAAGGCCTGCGTAGGTTCGTGGCGAAGGTACGACCGCACCATGGCAGGCGCACCGGATAGATGCAGTGTTGCTACGCGGTGAGAAGAAAGGAGATGAGCGATGAAAGAATAAAAGATTGGCGGCCATGAATCACGACTGGTGCAGCTGGAGTTGAAGACGTTGCTTGATCCAAAGACTCACGGTCGAAATTTCAAAAAGCTAGCGGACAAATTCTTGCAGGCGGACGCGCTTTCGTGCGGGAAAGACGTCACAAATGTGCATGGATGGCTGGGTGCGGCGCCGCGCCGCGCCTCCGTGCGCTCCAGGAAGATACTGTGCATGCGCAGGTACCGACCGCCATGCGCCTTCTCCATGGAGAGCAACAACACACCATCGCCCGCCAGGCTTGACGTTCCTTCTCACCAATGCGACAACGTCAGAACACTCGTTGACCGCGCAGTGCAAGGTCACGCCTCCTTTCAAAAGTACGGTCACTCGTAGGTCTTTGTTCATCGCAGCATGTCGTCAAGCGGTGCTGCAGCGACAGCGCCGACCCAAGGAGGAGGAGCAGGTGCCCAGCAAGGTGGAGATTGGAAGAGCACACTGACGCGAGCGGTGGCGGGTTACTTTGTGGTGCAAGCTCTGCTTGGCCGTGAGTAGCGTTGACCTACAAGCTCTGATCTTAGCATGTCTTCAGGTCCGCTGATGTGCTCTCGAGCGCCTTCTCAGCCAACGGTCTCGTTGCTTACTACTACGGCAAGACACAATTTCAGAAGCCGCCTGATGATGCAGCATCAAGCGCAGTTGCAAACGAGGGTGCCGAAGCTGGAGCGGCAAACTCCTTCAGCGTGCCAGGTCCCCGACTGTCTGCGGGAGTCAGCAAGCTGATCAAACCCCACAGCGTAGCTACACCCATCGCTCCTCCCGGCACTCCTTTGGACATCTACCTCTTCCTGTCGCAAGGACCATCACCGACCGAGAAGGATCTCGAGACGCAATGGTCAGCGCTTGTCTCGCACGGTTCAGGGCCTTGGGCTGAGACGTCATCCTCTGAAGACGTTCTGAATATCCATCGGGCAGAGTACGACGAGCTGCTGCAAGACCCGATCAGGCAATCGATGATCGCCGTAAATGGCGTGCTGCCAGCTGCAAGATGGAGCAATGTAGTGGTGGGCGACGATGCTCTGGCACGATCTGTCGATCTTGAGATCCCCATCGGACCCTTGGTACAGAGCCGCAATGGCTCCATCTGGGCAGACATCTTTGCTGTGCCCAGCGGCCGTCCGCTCCGCGATTTTGCCAGCTCTCAAATACTGCCGACGCTTCGGGTACGTAAATGTGAGTTCTTCTTCCACGTAGGGAAAATGACGATGCTTGCTCGACCCTACCTGACGCCTTGACTGCTTGCTCACTGACGCAGTGCTCACAAGATTATACCCGCAAAGAAGACACAGAGAACAGCGAAAGCTCTTTGGAGGTTCAGATGAGAAAGAAAGCACAGACTCTGAGAAGGCTCAAGCGCTAAAGCAGGAGGAAGAGCTTTCCGCTTTCGGTCCTGCTCCACTGGTCACATTCTGGCACCGCAACCTTACTCTTGGCCTGGCAACCCTGGACGCCAAGTCGGCCCTGCCCATAGGTAAGTCATCGTCGAGCGTGCCTCCGAAAAATGTTCGGCTCAGCGGACGCCAGCTAAAGCTCTGTGACTGCGGATGTGGTTCATCGCAGGGAAGTTACCTCCACCTGTCCTTCAACATGTTCACGTGCAGCACGATGAGGCCGGCAAGCCCACTTGGACTGGAGAGGTAGAGGGGCATAATGCAATCGCAAAGCCCTTGCTGTTCAGCAACGATTTTTGGCTGGTGAGTGGCGCTGGCGCGACGAGGATCGGTGTTGCCGAAAGGGCGCCGATGAGCAATACTGTTAACGCAAGTGGTCTGAACTCTACGCATAGCTACGAGAGCACATGAATCCCATCAATGCCACTCTCGACACTCTGCCCTTGACTGTGAACCTGTACAGCAGTGAGCGAAGTTCTTGATCATTGAATTGCAGGACTTCTTCAGCTGACAGCAACTCTCCTCAGCCTCATTCTTCAAGTTTCAGCTGATCACGTCCATGCATGATGCTTTCGGGAAACAAGAGATGGGAGCTGCAGAAGTTGACCTGATCAAGGAAACTCTGCTCACGACGAGCCCGTGGTATCTGGGTCTGACAATGCTTGTGACCTTGTTGCATTCGCTTTTCGAATTCTTGGCATTCTCGAGCGACGTTTCTCATTGGCGACAAAAAGACAACGTGAGCGGGATGTTGACTTTGCGTTCGTCGGGATGACAAGAGCTGAACTTTATCAAATCGCTTGTGCAGCTTGCTGGAGTGTCCATCGGATCCATTCTGACGAATGTTGTGGTTCAGCTCATCATCTTGCTGTACCTCATCGACCAGTCAGAGCAGACTAGCTGGATGATTCTGGCCGGAAACGGTGTCGGTGTCCTCGTCGAAGCGTGGAAGCTGACCAAAGTGAGTGACCGTCGTCGTCTTGCTTGAGCTCTTGACGGTCTACACCATCAAGACCCTCAATGTTCAACGCCTGCACTACATCTCTTTCTTAGGCCGTGACCGTCGGGATCGTTCCTCGACGCGCTGAAAACCGCAAAGGGCCTCTTGGGTGGCTGCCTTATCAGCTCGACGTGCAGAACAAGAGGACGCCAAGTGAAGAGGAGCTGCGGACGCAAAAGTACGATCGTCAAGCCTTCAAGATCTGCGGCATCGTGATGGGACCTGTGCTGGTCGGTTACACTGTTTACAGTGCGCTTTACGAGCAGCACAAGGGGTGGTGGTCATTCATCATTGGGACCCTTTGCTCTTTCGTCTATGGTGAGTCTGAGTCACTCCAACGATCTTAATTTGCCGCAATCGCTGATACAGGAGGACTGTCGTGCGTAGCGTTCGGCTTCGTGAGCCTGATTCCACAGCTCCTCGTAAATGTGAGTGATGGATGGAGATTTCGTAGTGGTGGTCGCTGCACACGTCGTTGAGTGCTCTTCATCAAACCAAACCATCAGTACAATATGAAGTCTGTCGCAGGGTACCCAGCCAAGACGATGATCTACAAGATCCTTGGCACGGGTAAGCAGCTCGAGCCGAGGTCGCTTTCGCTCCCGCGCCGTACTAATTGTCGCTCACCCCTTTCGCTCTGTACCGGCCTCTACAGTGGTGGACGACTTCTTCGCCTTCGCGATCAAGATGCCCTGGCTTCATAGACTGGCTTGTTTCAGGGATGACGTCATCTTTCTGATCTTCCTATATCAGAGATATATTTACGGAGTAGACGAAACTAGGGTCAACGAATTCGGACAAGTCGTCAACAAGCAGAAGGAGGACGAAAAGGATGCTGCTGTGGACAAGGTCGAGGACAAGAAGCGTCAAAAGAGCCAAAAGGAGACCAAAAAGATGCAGTAGTAGAGTGGACACGACGTCACCTTGTTCCGCAGCCAATCACAAGCCATACATCGTCTTCTCAACGCATGAACACTCGTCTGCGCATGCCAGACCCTATTCCCTCCTCGAGCGGAATGAGCAAGCAAAAGTTGTGGAGCTTTCGTCGCATTACGACACGTCACGCAGCGCATCTTGAGGGCCCCGCGACATAAGCAGCGACATCCCCAAGTATATTTGCAGTACACGCTTTGGAGTTATCTGTGCGCAAAAATGGGATTGGTGCAACTCGTGACCAGAGCGCTTATCGCCTTCTCACTCGATCGCCCTCACCCCTCGATCGCGCACCTCGCACCCTGCACCCCGCACCTTGCATGCGAATCCAGCAATCAGCAAGTCGGAGATCACTCTCATCAATAATTGCGTTTCAATTCTTGATTGCAATAAGTCGCATATGGGGAGGCGTCCAATACGTGAGCCTCGTGCAGGTGCACACCATTTAGGGTCGCGGCTTTGCGCTTGATCTCGCAGCATCAGCAGACAAGCTAGATGATCACCGCGTACGTATACGCCCCACGGCGCGTGTACCGTAGTCTGAGTCAGAGTGTGAGTCATGGTGCGATTGGGCTGGCGCAGGTGGTACCGCGCCCGGCCATTATGTTGCGTGCTCGTCGCCGCATGCCCGTTGCTGGCCGCAAGGGTATCTGATGATCACATGTATGCTCACCGCGGTCATCGTACCTCGATCCGCTCTTAGGCGTCGCTAGAGCGACGGATCCGTGTACTGAACTGCGCAAATTAGTAGCCTGCAGGCAGCCTCACATCGCCATGCAGACCATCGTTCATCGTGGTTCGGCCGTTACCGCTGGCTAACCTTTGGAGGTTTCTCTCCCCTTCTCCTTCTGGGGGCCATGGACCTGATGTACAGGTCTCATTGCGGACCGCCAAGCAAGCAGGCAATAGTCGTGGGGATTTGCAGCTGCTGATAATATACCATTTGCTCTCCGAGTGCCCGGGGTGTCCTGCCCAGTCCTGGTGGGGATCACTGCGTGCTAGCTGGCAAGCTGAACGCCCATCACACCTCGCATCGCGACCAACCAATCGCTCAGTTTTGAACGGCTGCGAGTCTGAGGGTGTTGCTTCTGCCCTTGTCTTGACGCTCACGATCACTGATGCATGCGTGCTCCCATGCGGCGACTCGATCCTCATCAGATTTGTTGTGGGGCGATGAGAGGCGGCCCGACGTGTCTAAAACGAGAAGAGATCATTCATTCAAAAATTGATTCATTCATTCATTGGTCTGCGCAGTTCCGCGGACTTTTATAGCTGCTGGCCGCGCGTGCCCATGCGACGATGACGAGCAAATTGCTCTGCGGGGGCCGTTGCAACGAGTCATGCCACCATCACCATAAATGCATGCATGCCAGCATCAGTTTGAGTCGCGTATGTGAGTCGTGAGTGAGGGTGAGGGTGAGTGGCGTGCGCGCGAGCTGTACCCGGTAGATGCGCAATAAGCTTGAAAGAGGCTGTACGTGGTGTTTATCGGCGCGGGGTCATGTGGATATCCTTGATTTGTGTTTCGACCTCCATGGATTCATCAGCATCGCCATATATGTGAAGTCCATATATATTTACACTCACGATTGCGAGGGCTGTACATAGGCACCGATCAAGTAATTGGACAGCAAGAGGGAGGGCTACACGGCTGCGATGCCTGCCTGCTGCTCCTTTCACTGTGCTGAATCTGGGATCATCTGATGCATGCCCGTGAAACGCTTCGAGCCGCTTGATCCTTGATCAGTCAAGGGGCACGCGACTCTGACTGCACGTACGTGGTGCTCATGCTGGCTTCGCATCCCTAAGCTGTGACACCCTTTCAGATGACTCGTGACTCTGACTGCCATACTCGTGGTTACAGTTGTGAGTCAAGTTCTGGGGATGCAAGACCGCGATTAGCAGTCCGTCATTTCTTGGGAACCGCAGCAGCAACAGAGCTTCGATCAGCATGTCCTGCCCGCGGCCGTGATGAATGCATGCTGCATGCTGGTCGCAATGAGATTTTCCGAAGGGGAGCGATCGATGGCGATGCGTGGTTGAGTACGGCACGTTCTCACGTATACCCCTCTTTCCACGTCTACCCTTCCCCCGGGCCCGTAGTAGGTCCTTAACTTGCAGTACCCCGAAACAGCTTCAGTCGCAGTCAGGTTGCAAGCGCGCCAGTCTCAGCAAAGGTCAAGCTGGAACACAGAGAAAGCATGCTAGCGTGAACGGCCACAACAGGATGCTGATGATGAGATGGCGGACCTTGAAGACTTTTATCGATTGATTGTGGCAAAGACATATATATATATATACTCGTAACCACATCGCTTTTGATGTCCTGTCCTGCCCTAAGCATAGTGCCTTCGGATTTGACCTCGATTTTTCTTGCGCACCCACCTATATACGCTTTCTGCATCGCAACATCGTGGTTTCCGCTCGCTGCTGTACTCTCCGTCTCCTCGAAGCAATTCACATCGAAAATTAGCCGTCAAAGCGTCGCCGCACCATCCATAATCGGAGGCCAAACAAGATGATCTTCAGCATTCTTCCCGCTGTGACGTGGGTTGCGCTCTCTCTATTCGGCGCCTCGCAATGCAGGTCCATCGCGAGCGGTAACGGTATCCAAATGACGGCAGACGTCGGCAACGAGATGATGTTGTCCCGCAATCCAGGCAGCCAACTGATCGGTCTGGACATCGAACAACGCGAGTTGGATCCTAGCCTGCAGAATCTTGCTCCTCGCATCGTCTTTAATCCCAAAGTCATTTCGCCCCACAAGCACACCGTCTGGTTGGCTGGACAGACGGTCAACGTGAAGTGGGATCCATCAAAGTTGCCAGCTGAACTTGGAGACCTTGTAAGTCCTCACACGACGGGGACATCGTAGAGCGTTGCTGATTCCTTTCCACTTTCCACGCGCTTGACCACTTCAACTTTGTCCCTCTACAGCATGGAGAAATTAGACTGGGTTACCGCAAGGAAGGCGAGACGAACGAGCATCTGAAGTGGGTGCTGCGCTCAAACGTGCCAATGAAGCTTGGCAAGCAGGAGGTCAAGTTACCTGACGACTTGGAGACCAAGGAGCACGAGTACATGTGAGGGCACCCTGCACTGTCTTGTCCCTCGGTCATCCCGGGTCCTGACTATAATCGTCTCCTTGCTCGCTCACCCTCCTTAGCATCGTCGTGATGGGCGATTCTGGCAATGCGAGCGAGCCTTTCACGATCTACAGCAAGGCGGACAAGCAGAAATGGGCAGAGCATCTCAAGCCAAAGCCTGGAGCAAAGGCCACCGCCAAGAGTGCCAGTGCCTCTACCGCCCAAGCCGTTGCAGGTTTCGATGGGGGTAAACCGCATGCCGAGACCAAGACGACGAGCAAATCCAAAAGCAAAGCAGAGAGCAAGGACGCTCCCCAACCCCAGCGACGTGGAATCGATGTCAAAGTCTTCAGCAAGATCGCTGCTTGACCGCGAACATTCTCAAGGACCTTTTCTTTCTTCGACACGCACCAAAGCAATCCGAGGCCAAATCCTAGAGCGTCGTTCCATGTGACAGTGCTTGCGTCAACTCGATGTTGGACAATCGCCGGCCTCCCTTGTACATTGTCACTTCATGCCCCTCTCACCACACCATCACCACCCAAATGTGAAGCAATCAATGTCATCACTTGCCTACTCCCACTCCAAAGTCTTGACCCGGACGCATGGCAGATTGTATTGCCAAAGGCTGCCTCTGTCCTTCGCGGCTTCTAACCAAACCATCTCCAGAGTAAGAGCAAGGCACATGCTCCCAGTACGCAACCCATGATGACGCTATCCCTCTTTCGCCTTCTATTAATCCGCGTGATGATCGTGTTGAGGCCTGGAATCTGGGCTGCGGTGGACTGCAACCTGGAAGTGGCGTTTTGAATGACGCTCCTCTGCTGTGCCAAGTTTGCTCTGGTTGCATAGGCTTGTCTGTGCGAATGTGTGTCACCTGATGTGAGCATGCAGAAGATGTGCACAAGTGTTGGATGCATGCGCCTTTGGCAAGGCCACTCACTCCAAGCTGCTATCGATCATCGAGTGCGAATTTGATATCCTGTCCCTCTCATTCAGCAGAGAAGCCTCTGCTGTAGCTTGACGGCTCTTGTACGCGCTTAACGAGGGGGGCCGCGAGGTGAAAGAGAGTGAGCGAATGTCGATGCTCTTCGTGATCCCTTGCTAGCATTGCCCCGAGCCAATGGCCGGAACAAGCCAGCGATGAGGCCTGGCAACCGACTAGGCAAAGTGGTACTCTACTCTCCTTCTCCATCGAACTGCACATCCGCACGCACCTGATATCGCCCCTGACGCCCTCCAGCACATCTCTCCTATCCCGCCTCTTTTCCACTCTAGCCCACTCCCTCTCATAGTCCTCCACAACCTCGTGATGTCTCCTAACCGCTGCCAACTGAGCCGCGGAAGGGTGTGTTCCCAAAGAAGCAGATAATTGAGAGTTGCACCTTCTAAGATCTGCCAAGAGGGCGGGAACGCTATGTGCCGAGCCGGAGCCTGTGCCTGCTGCTGCTTCGAGATCTGTAGAGCTGGATGATGTCAATGCTGCGTCTATGCGCGACTCTAGCGAGCGTACTGTTCGTCGAATCGACTCGTAAGACATGATGAAATGCAAAAATCGTTCGCTCGCCGAGTCCTTGCAGTGTGAGGGTTCGTCTGAGAACCGCCGGTCGTTTATGCTTCTGTGGAGAGTCAGCACAGGATTTAGCGTGGCAGGCGTGGCAAAGCTGTGCGACGATGGACCATCAACAAAGTTGGTCTGAGTCAAGAGTGAGGATTGTCGCTATCACACACATAGACGTGATTCAAGGTGAAGCCCCATTCGTGATTGTGCTCGCAACTCGTGAATCTTGACCGCGCCCTGAGGAGCGGCAGACATCAACACGCTCCGGCACCCATGCAAGAAAGAGACTCACGACTGCATGCATCGCGCGACAGCTTTGTGCGGAGCGTGTACCGGTACCGTATATAGCGCACGGCGTGCGCGGCTCGGTCATGAGGGGGAGCGTGTTGCGTCCTGCTGTGGAAGCTATCACGAGCCAAGCGAAGACACGAATCTCTTTGAGCGCGCGCGTTGATGCAACACTCACGACTCTGACTGTCACACTCGATCCATGAGCCATAAGGGCTCACAAGTCCATCTCACATTTTCCCTATCAACGTTCCCAGGCAGTCACAGTCCGTCGAAGAGTTTAAAGTTGCGATGTTCCTGACAATGTGTGAATCAAAGGACAACGAGCGAGTCCGGGGCGGGCTACTGTTGCCGCCGCGGTCTCGTGTCATCATCACGGGTCCTTCACCGTCACAGAGGTACGCTACAGGTCCAGCACGGCACTTTTGCACGCATTCACCATTACAAACTCGACTGGGTGCTCATGAACAAAGGCGTCAGAGGAGGAAAGAGCCTTCCGAATCTACGTCGGAGTAGACACCGAAGTGGATCTTGAAGCATCATCTTCTCATCTCGAAAAGCGGGCAAGCCAGGACTGTTCGACTTCCTGCGACACGTTTGAGCCTTCGTCCGAGTCAGTGTGAGCCGTTCTGACGCTTTCCACATAAGAACGTCGAGTGGGAAGTCCATACAGGCGCGGTTCCAAGCCATCCGCATCGTTCTGAGATGGATGGGCAATGATAAAGATGTCTGGCGATAGGTTGGTGCGCGTCACATCGAGCGACGTCGACACTGGGCGGCGGCCTTTTGCAAATTCGTCGGCCTCGTACAGAACAGACCTGGCTTGATCACCGTCTTGCTGCAAACGACGCAGGTTCTGAATGAGCGCGCACGCCATCGTGCTCTGCATCAAGAGCCCTATGGGGAGCCTGATCAATGCGGAATAGCCGTTGAACGCTTCTGCAAGACCAAGTGATCCAATGACGGCCGTCGCTAGAGCACTGATGGCAAAAAAGATGAGCTGATGAGATAAGATGCTGTACGAGCAACAAGTTGGAGCTTTAGCAAAATGGCGCTGCACTCGATTTCTGTTGCACGCGCAGGTGTCGCCATGACGGCAGAGCGACTCACCTGTTGGCGACTCGAGTCGCTTTCTCTTGCGCGTTCCTTTCTGTGATGGAATGAAAGCTGCCGACCAAGTGCCTCTTGGCGTATCTGCCCGACCCTACGATGGTGAGAGCAGTCACAAGACACGTAAAGCCAAAGTCGGCGAAGTAAGGTCCGAAACGAAGGAAACCAAAGCGAGGAGGCAAGGCGTAGACTATGCGCAAGTCGTACGGGCTTCCAGCAAAGTGATATGTAAAACAATTCTAGACCGTGCGGGCCGCACATAGGATGAGTTCAGTAGCCCTGCGCGCGTTTGTCTTTCCCTCGCCAGCTACTCACGACGAGATGGAATGCGGAGACAGCTATCCACAGGAAGAAGCCAACATCGAGAAGCACGAGGTGGCTATGCCAAAGGATGAGGGTTCGTAGAAGAAATGCAACAAGAATGGCGCCCTGCGTGATAGTCTCGCAAACGAAGTACATCTTCGTGTACGGGACGCTCGCATGAGCCAAAAGTCTTGCTGAGGGTAAGGAAACAGGAATCATGTGATGAAAGTCCTGCTCACGATTGTAACGATGTTGGCAGTCATATCGCTCTGTCCACCGACGCTGCACCACAGCACGGCCAGAGTGAAGTTTGCGGTGGCAAAAGCACGAATGACAAAGTAAGTGAAGACGGCCGGCCTCTTCCAGTATTTCAGCATCTTGCCGCTGCCAAACGTGAGCGTGTGCATTGCTGCCGCGTCAGCAGGACAGGACTCGAAATGGAGCAGGTTTGCTCGTGCTATGCTGTTCCAGGGCAAGCGCAGACTCACTCGTTGCTGGCTTGGGCAAGCATGGTGCCGACATGGACGCCGAGACACAGCCAGGACACCCACGGCAGTGCCTCGGTCTCCCTGCAGCGAAGGAGTAAGAGTCTCATCATGAGCATCTTCTCTGTGCTGTGAGAGTGTCACGCACGAGCGTATACCGCATGGCAACCCTGAAGCACGACGCACGTTCTCAACCTGTCTCTTTCCTGTATCCAGACGATGTAAGACGAGAATTGGGCGTCTGAGCTGGGCCCGCGACCCTCGAAAGAGCTCATATTGCCACGTACACGTATCGCAGCTGCGATACGGACAAGTGGAAGTTGCGAGGGAAGGTGACGTCAGGTCAGGTGGCTGGTGGGCAGCTTCTGTGCTCGACGAGGAGCGCAAATGGTCGACCTGCTCAAGCTGAACGTGGATCCTCACATCCACTCTGATGGCATCTTAGTCTCACCTGTCCAGTTTGCTTCGTGTCAAGACTGCCAAGCCTTGTCATCGGTGTGAGCATTTTGTACTCATCGGAGACACTAGGTAGGGCCACAGTGTCGGTCAAGTAGCATCTACGCGCCGACGCACTCCCGGAGCTCAGTGCATCGACCCACAATCCTGGGCGGCAGGGCGCCCTTGAAGGCCTGGCAGCGCTCTGAGGAGTCTGGTGTTCATCCAACGAACATTAGCGCCGGATCTTCTCCTTGAGCAGACCACATATTGATCTAATATGCATTGCCTCTGTGCAGGCTCGTCCGTCGTCAGTGAGGGGTAAGGATGGAGATGTCGGCCCGCAAATCGGAAGCCTGCCTTATTTACTGCGGTACGAGCTCCTATAGCTTCACTTCCCGCGTCTTTGCCTGGCCGGCCGCTGCTTCCAATCGCCTCGCTTGCGCAGCTGGAGTCGTGCGATCGGCTTCGCCCCCAACATTCAATTTGCATCTCCGCCGAGCGCCGTTCGACCTTTGCTGCATCGCGTTGCATCCCATACCCATACCTATGCACGTGCCCATGCCCGTCCGGCCTCGGCTTCGGTGTGAGTACTGAATGGTCGTGCGTCCCGCACACGCCCCAGAGCCGCGGCACGGCACGCTTTCGAGGCTCAAATGCAGGAATCAAACATTGCCTGCTCCCTTCGTATGCTCCGCTTGATTCGCAGTCCGCCTGCCATCGGCTCCATCATTACGCTTGAATTTGGTGTGGTGAGCGTGATGTGGATCAGCTGCCGGCACGCATGCCACCTTAGCCGCGCGTAGACGGTAGCTCTTGACCCTCGCTGAGTGACTCACTCTGACTCGTGACTGGGGTGCGCTGGGTGATCACGTGTTTTTGTCGGAGAGCGCGCGTGCGTGGCCCATGGCACGTTGAATTCCAACTTTGATTTGGTTTAATTCGGATTTTGAATGTGCGATTGCGACGTGGAGGTGAACGAACAGCAGCGATGCACGACATTTGACTCGACTCCTCCCAGTTCACGATCCGAGACTTCAAGATGAAGAGCGATTGCGGGCACGCACACACCCACATACATCCGCTGATATCTACTCAAGACTGATTGACGCGACCATCGAACCACATCAGCAGCGAGCATCACGTCAAAGGCTAGACCTGCCAAGTGAAAGGCGTTCGAATCTCGTTCATCTTGGGAAAGGACCACACAGAAGGACATTTGCCCATCGACTGGCGATCGAACCTGAGCTCAGCTCCATCAGAAATGGCAGACACGCAGCAAAATGCCACAGAGAGCGCAGCGCCCGATTCCTACGCAGGTGGCTCAACTCAGACCTCGACCGGTAATGCAGATGCAGTGCTCAACGTGTCAGGTCTCGATCAGTCAGACTCGCAAGCGGAGGTGCGATCACCATGGAGAGAAGTCAGACTATTTTTGCCTCCCGATACCGCTGGACCTTCAAGTGAGTCCAGCAGAGTCGTACTGCACGCGCCGCTGCTAGTCCTTGTGCGGTATGCGTGTCGGCCGTCTTGTTCGCATCGGCAGACCTCACTCCGCCTCTGCCTTTTTGCTCCTTCACCCTAACCTCCTCGGCCGCCTTCTCTAAAGCCGCAAGCCGAATAGCATCTTCGGACTCTGACCCCAAACCTACCGCCGCTGAGCTCAAAGCTGCATTTGGAGGCGCACTGTCAGGCCGCAATGGACCGGACGCTCCGCTGATGACCAAAGCGATGAGGGAGAAGGAGGACGCCAGGCTGGGGAGGGTCAAGAAGCAGTACACTGATGTAAGTTTCGTGGGCGGGAGAATGACGCGTATGATGTGGGCTATGGTCAGCACAGATGCGAAAGCCTATGAGAATGGCGCAGCACCGAGGATCGCAATCTGAATGCAATCTCGATGCGTAATCACCCCAGGTGAGGATACGAATCAGATTCCCATCCAGACATCAATTGGAAGCCGTCTTCCCCATCGAAGCCACGATCAACGCCGCCTACGATTTCGTGCGCTCCCATCTCAATGCTCAAGGGCAGAAAGCGTCATTCATCTTGTACCAAACACCTCCGAAGAGGGATTTGGGAGAAAAGGATGTCAAGTTGAAAGGGAAAACTTTTGGGGAGATGGGATTTGCGCCACAGGCAGTGCTGATGCTGAGGTGGGAAAAGGCGGATTGGAACAGTGAGTCGGACTAGCGGACCAATGATTGGAGGTGCGAAGCGCATGCGAGACTATGCGCTTGTTTTGAACAGGCTTCGCTCATGCCATTTCCCTAACTCGTGTTTCGACGTGACTGGCGACGATTTTCGCTCTTCGTGCATCCAGCCTCAACATCACAAGCATACCTGTCCAATGCGTTGCTGCAACAGGCAAGCCCTTTGCCTGCACCGCCTTCCTTCGAGCAACAAGTCAACTCTCCTCATGCAGCTCAGACCAGTCAAAAACCGACCGAAGAAAAAGCAACGGGCGAGAAAAAGATGCCAAAGTGGCTCAAAGGATTGCAGAGTGAGCATGAGAGTGTGCCTACTCGCTCTCGTTGTCAGATCCTCGAGCTGATGCTGACTCGTGCACCATTCTTTACAGAAAAGTGAATCACGTCACATTCATCGCGCGCACGCAGAGCTCGATTCATGATTGTACAATTTCAGCCTTTGACATGCAGGATGTGAGATCGAGCACGACTCGAGATTCGCAGCCTTGCAACGCGAAAGGGTGATCATCGAGACGACATTGAGCTGTTGGCGCCATTTGAGGGTATAGTGAAGTCGAAAGATAGGGTTCGTAAAGTAGCTGTATCCGATCGCAGTGCGGCTGCAAATATGCCGCAGAACCACCTCATCGAATCTGTGCGCACAAAGCAGCGCAGAATTCAGCGATCTGTTCGGGCTGCTGTGCAAACCATATTCGTCGACGATCGGCCAAAACTCACAGTCTGTGTCTGCTGGGCGAAAGCGACGCGCCTCTCTGGCAAGTCGTCGTAAGATCTTCGAGGGTATGCCTTGTCCCGCTCTCTATCATCGGGATAAGGGCCAAGTCTTCCCTGACGCGCCTCTCTCTCCCAATCATTGTCTCGATATGGACTCTGCCTTGCTCCAAACTCCTCATCGTAATACGCTCTCGCTTGTCCAGAATCCTGGCTTCGTGGAGGAGGCAAACTCTGCCTCCTCGTCGCCGAGTCTCGAGCACCTCCTGCAATTGGTGGATGCAGCGAGGCAGCAGCTCTTTCGGCAGCCAAGGCGGTCGGGTGTCGGGGAGGTGGTCGTGGCGCTTGAGCCTGCCCGCTCAAAGCATCGCCATAGCCATGAGCGCGAGCGCGAGAGGAGGACGTCGCGTACGGATCCGTCACGGTGGATCTGTACGGTGCGTTTGCGCTCCCTCCACCAGAGCCGTAGTGTCTTGCACTGCACCTCTGGCAGCCGCAGACTTCAGAGTGGGGCGGATCATCATCCGCATCCGCAGAGGTGCGCGATGGTAATTGTGGCGGAGGCGAGGCGAACGCGGCTCGAGGAGGGACTGGGCTCCTCGCGCGCGCCCGTTCACGATCTCCGTAGTAGCCTCCCTGTGGTGCAGCTGGGTACGCATCTCGCTCGCGATCCAGCGCGCTCCCGCCGTCGTATGCGCGTTGGCCGTAGCTCGATGCAATGTCCGAGACGCGCCGCGTGTTCTTCGGCATATCCGCTGGAGGGTTGGATGTCTGGAGCAAGATCGGAGAAGGTCAGATTTGAATCTCAAAGGTCGAAGGTGCCAGCACGGGCAAGGTACTCACAACGCGCCTGTACCCTTTGTTCTGCTGCTCTTCTTCTCGTTCCATCTTTTCGACTTGGTATCGCGCTTTCATGCGAGCAACAAAGCTGCGCTCGCTCTCTGTGCTCAGGGTGCGAGAGACGCTAGCGCCGGACAGGCGGCTGCCGCCAACCGAGGGAACATAGCGCTCTCGCTCCCGCTCGCGATCTTCTAAGGTAGGTTCAGGCTTGCTTGACGTCGGGCGACCAGAAAAGGAGCCCACACCTGCCCGGTTGACTGAGCTCGAGGGCGCGGCCTTTGTTGGGGTCGTGCCAGCACTAGAATCTGCAAATGAGCGATCAGGTCTAGACCGGCTCGTGTCAGGGCTATCAACATTTTCGCGAGCATCTCCAAGACCTTGCCCTCCAGCACGGTTGCGATCCCTCAGCTGTGTCTCGGCGTCCTGCAATCTTCTGGCAAGATCCGCTTCACGCTCCATCAACTTTTCTCGTTCCCTTTCCCTTTCCCACAAGGACAATCTGCGCTCGTGTAGCTGACCAGGCGGCGGCGCCTCGGTGCGAGCACTGATCTCGGGCCCTTCCTTCCGCGGAAACCCTAAGCCAACTCCGCCTGTGAGACCCGTGCTGTTACCGTCACGGTCTGGACCCGACAACCTCATCGATTGTGCTTCTTTGACGCTCGACAGTGGGCGGACTGGCTCCAGATCACGGGGTGTTGCCGGGGCAGCTGCGGACGAGTCGGAGGAGTTGCCTGTCGTGCGACTGCCACTGCCGGTACTGTCGCTAGCGGCGGCAGTGTTAGCCTCGGAGGCATCAGTATTGCGCGTCACGTTCCGATCAGCAGACGTCGCAAGGGCGGCGCCACGGACATCTGTGGGAATGCGCGGAGGGCTAGCGGGAGAGCTAGGCTCACCACGATCGATGATCGTGCCCTCCGCAACGCTCGAGTCTCGCTGCGTGTGTCCACCGCCGAGCTTCTGCTCGGCATCCACTGTTTCAGCAGCACTGCTGCTGCGCATGCCGGCGTTGGTCGCAGCGCGTTCCAGGGGGTTGGAAGCGATGGGCGTAGTGGCGTTTGGCCCGACCGCGGAGGAAGTCGCGGTATTGCTGGCAGTCGATAGGCCCATGCTATGTTTACGCCTGGCGAAGCCGAGCAGACCACGTGCTTTCCCGATGCTCTCCTTCTCAGCTGGAGCCTTCTCGCTCGCTGCATCGACCGGGTTTTCATCGGCAAGCGCGCCACCTGTCTGGTTGGATGGCCCTGACGGCTTGCGGTCAAGCACGCGAGGCCCTACTGGCTTAGCAACCGCTGCAGCTGATCCGGTGCCGCCATGAGAGTACAAGGGTGGGGCGTTCGCATTGGCGCTTTCGGAAGTACGCGCAGTCTGAGCGTCCAGCTCGCCGTTTTTCTCCTCGACGAATGACGGCGACGTGGCGCTGGCGTCCACTACTCTACCGCTACTGTCTAATCTGGGCAAGCTGCGCATGACTTGGGGTGACTGTTCCAATCCCTCTGGCTTGGGGTCGTTGGAGGCAGGAGTGCTCGCTCTTGCGGCAGCCGGGGGGACCCAGCCAAGCTGCTGTGCGGTCCAAGCAGCTTGCGCTTGTTCCCTAGCGCTGCTCAAGGCGGCCTCTCTGGCTGCCAAATTAGCTTGCGCCTGCAATTCTGCTATTGCTAGCATCGTTGCCTTGCCGATTTCTTCTTCGGAAAGGTCTGCAGGCTCTCCACCAGCGGGCATAGCTTCGCTGACTGCTAGATTCAGCCAAGAGTTGACACGACCCACGTGCGCCCCACTTCTGCGCACCGCTTCGCATGTTCTGCGGAATTCCGAGTCTGCTAAACCTCCCAGCGCTGCGGCAACCACTAGACTGGTGGCTTGGCTCTTGGCTCCAACACTACTTGCATGGGTGGCTTTCGCGCGTGTGATGTCCGCCGTCAGCGCGCTCACCTGAGCAATGTAACGGTCGTGACTCTCGATGGCCCTTCCGCCCGATTTTTTGACATTCTTTTCGTGGCCTGCGTGTGCCTTCTTGACTTTGCTGTCGAGCGTCTCTAATGTCTCATCGTGAGCTCGCTCTTCCTTGGCTACCCGCTTAAAAAACTTGGCACAGTGGTCATTTAGAGATTCATACTCGCGCTGAACCAGCTTCGAATGCTTCGTCGAGACCTCAGAAATGCTTTCGAGCAGAGCGGCTGACGTGATCAGCGTTTGGCCTGTGCGATGAGAGATGCGGCGCAAGATCATATCAGCACGCATAGCATGCGCGGCAACATCTTTAGAGAAGAGCCCGCGACGCACCAGGCACTTCAGCATACGCCTTCCCTTGACCAAGCTCCTTGGCTCCTTTCGCCAGACGCTTCTCGCACTTGGCCATGCGAGCGCTCAGGTCCCTGTACTCATCGAAAGTGACGAGTAGCGATTCGAGAGACTTGAGGCTCTTGTGCAGATCGCTTCTCTCCAACTGAGGTCCATTCCCACCAGGTGACGCGGACACGGTTCCCGTGGTTGGCGTCGGACTAGTGGATCTTCCAGAGACATTATAGGAGCCCGACGGAGAGATGGAAGGAGTCAGAGCGGCAACTCCAGGAGTGGTTGGCGTACCGCCCACACCAGGCACACCAAGCGCTGCGTGAGGATTGAAGTCAAAGTAGGCCGCTGCTGCTGCGGCCGCGGCCGCGGCCGAGGCCTGGGGTGAGAACGGGACGTAAGCGGGCCCACTGGGCGTGCTTGATCGAATAGATCCACTGATGCTCGCCGCGTCATAGCTGGACGTCAAGTTGCCTGCTACTGCGACCGGCATTTGGGGCGGGGCCAAATTGCTGTAGGCTGCGTCGGCTGATTGCCAATCATCGTTCCGCCCGGCAGCGTTGTTCTGCGGACTCTCCGGCAGGTTTGAACCGGCTGGCCGACTGTCTCCTCCTCGAAGAAACTTCTTCATGATCCAACAGTCTCGCTGAAGTTGCTGGTGTCCACCTTGTGAGGGTGTGAAGTTTGCACCGAATTCAGAGTAATCTCGGCGACATGCATCCAGGTCGTGCTCTGGGCTAGGCGTGCGGGTCTTGACGATGAGGATCGTTAGAGCGCTTGCTCTCAGCTAGACAGTCCAAGCGCTGGAACTACTCACATACAGCAGGTGTTGTGGAAATCTGGAGGCTCCGAGCCGAATGAATAATGGGTGCTCGCTGAACTTTGAAGCTGATCGAGGCAAGCACATCTAATCTGGAGTGTGAGTCGACCTCTCGCACGGCACGGCACGGCCGCAGGGCAGCAAAAGCCCACAGCTCCCGTGACCAGCACGCAGCCAAAATAAAGCTGCTTTAGGGGCTTGCGCGTGCTGCTGCTTGCGCGTGATGCATGCATGGGCGGTCCGGCCGGCGCGACCTTGCACCACATGAGACAAACCAGCGTGCCGTACCGTGCGTGCATCGCATCGCGCCTTTGATGCGCGTATATATCATATGTGTACCGTACGCAGCAGCAGCAGCATGCAGCAACTAACTCCTTTGACACAGACTACGCGCGCGGCTCCTGCATGCGCGTCGAGCAGGCATAATGATGGATGGACACAGCCCCATTTGAATTAAGTAGCTATAGCCATGGTCACTCCCGACTCGTTTCGTGAATGGCGGAGGCTGAACCCGCTCGGGCAAGTGGTGAGTGTCGCTGCTTGATCTGTATTCCTTCAAGCGGATGCAGACACATCAGCAAGCACGAATCCTAAATGTCGAATCAGAGATGCCGATGAGGTCGGAAGCCGAACGTGTGCGGGTCCGGGACCTGCAGTTGGCCCATGCACACACGTACGGCAGGCAAGGCATGCCTTGAGGCGCGGTGGCTTCATTCGTGATTCACGATTGCGCCGAGCGGCGTGCGCGCGTGCACTCGTCGTGACGCCGCAATTGCATGAGTGCCACGGTCGTGACTGAGTAGCTGAAAGCCGCGCAACATAGCTTGCGCGCACATAATGATAGAAGCTTCGCGCGTAGACGCGGAACTCCTCCACTCGAACACGCAAGAAGCAGAATTGGGCTAGCCCTTGCTGACGAGTCCCTCCATTCACGCCAGAGCAGGGTCCATAGGCGCGTTCCTTTGCCCAATCATCACGAATCGAGCAACGCCCTCATTTGCCTTTCCGGTCGACCACTCACTCTCAAAAACTCCACGATGGTTCAAGCTTTATGAATGAGCTCGTTCACCCTTCCCTTGCTCTCGCGTGACTCGCTGCTCTAGTAGCTGAACGCCTCTATCACGCTCACATACCCGCTGCCTCTGCACCACTGTTCTTCGACACATTCACGATTGTTTGGAGTCACACGATTCACCTTGCGCACCTCGGTGATAGATGGCATAAGCGATTGCTTGAGTGAAACAGCTGACAGCATGGCGCAAGGAAAAGTCCACGGTGGATAGTGAGTGGCAGAAGGGCAAAAAGCATATAGCATGACAAGCTAACACACTCTCGAAACGCGCTCGCAACCTTTTGTAGCTTCACCAGCTGGAGTATATACGGCAGAGGGTGAGCTATTCGGAATGCTTTGATTCTGAGAACATGTATAAGCAGCTCTGAGAAACATCGCTTACAAGTGCTCTGCCAAACTCGCGCAACAGCTACAAGCCCAATGCCTTGCCTACCCAGCATCTCACACACATCTTTTACGCCTTTGCTGACGTCAAGACGGACAGCGGCACCGTCTTCCTCACAGATCCATGGGCAGATGTACAAATACCTCACGACTCTCCTGCTAGCGACTCAGACCTGCGGGGCAACCTGGGCGCTCTGTTGAGGCACAAGCGCGCAGATCGGACCACAAAGGTCATCCTCTCAGTCGGAGGTTGGTCCTTCAGCTCCCACTTTGCTCCCGTCGCAAGCGACCCGCGAAAACGTGCAGAATGCGTACGAAGCGCCGTCGAGCTGCTCGAGGATCACGCTTTTGATGGTTTGGATTGGGATTGGGAGTTTCCCGAGAATCCTCAACAAGCAGCAGATTACGTCTCTCTGTTGCGCGAAGTCAGATATGCTTTGGAAAATCATGCACAGCGCAAGAATGAGCCTCGCTACCTGCTCACTGTCGCCGCACCGGCAGGGGAAGAGAAGCTGCGAGGCTTGCGATTGCAGGAAATGGACCGTGAGTGGCAAGGTTAGCATACATCCTCAGACTACAGCTGCTGACGAGGTTGTCGCAATGGATGCAGAGGTGCTGGACTATTGGAACGTCATGACGTACGACTTTGCCGGCTCGTGGGATGAGCGCGCCGGTCATCAAGTGAGCACATTCGTACGGATCGCATGATCGAGGTTCAGCCGCGGCTCTGACACCGAAAATTCACTCTCAGGCTACGCTCAGAGGTCCGGCACCAAGTTGCGAAGCCACAGTGGCTGCGTTTGGTCGCTTTGGCGTGCCGCCTCACAAGCTGGTCCTCGGTATACCCCTGTATGGTCGGGTGAGTATGCTTGTCTACTCGGCGTGAAATGCTCGTAATCTCATCGAGTCTCTCCACCACATGCGGCGAAAAAGTCATTCTTGAAATGCGGAGGTCCTGGGTCGTCTTTCAAAGGCGTTGGAAAGGGCACGCACGAAGCTGGCCTGTACGACTATAGAGCCTTGCCTCTGCCAGGTGCGCAGGAAGAGCTTCATCCTTGCGGCGCTGCGAGCTGCAGGACCTCCGATGGTGAATGGGTCACGTATGATACTCCATTCACTGCCAGGGACAAGGCAGGTTATGTCAAATGGGCCGGACTCGCTGGCGCGTTCTACTGGGATCTTAGCGGCGATGCCGAGGGTCAGCGCGCCATCGTTCCTGCCGTGGCCCAAGAGGTGAGTAAGGCACGCCGGCGCGTGCGGTGAGTAGAAAAACCGCCAAGCTGTAGTGTGGACAGACCTTTGCGGCTATGCCATACGTGGCTGACTCTCGCTTCCGCGAAATGCAGCTTGGTCAACTCGACCAGACTCCGAATCACCTCTCTTACAATTGGAGCAAGTATGCCAACGTTCGGGAAGGCCGTCCCTGAGCTAGCTAACCGTACCATTACTTCCAAGAGTCGTGACACCCACCCTGCGGAGCAGGAATGCGCAATGCATCATCAACTTGATGTGTCGTGTAGCGGGCCGTGTGTGATGTGATTAGAATGTGCGCCTATCTTGACCGAATACAGGACGTGGTCTCTGTTCCTTGGGTCCAGGTCTGAGCAACTTTTCCACCGCTTCCTTCTCCGCCAAGTCTCTTTGTCTCTCCTTCTCTTCCGCCTCTGCCATCCTCTGAGCAAACTCGGCTCGAGCAGTATCCTGATCCGCGCTCGCCTTTTCGACTTGCCGATTGGTTGGAGGTCTACCAGGAACACTGGCCACCTTGACAGACTCGGGTGTCGATTGTGCTGCTTCGCCTGGTTTGAGGAGAAGCATGCCTGCTACTGCTCCCAGAACTGTGAGACCCTGTAGGCCGACGCGCCATCTCAGGGCGATTTGGAAGTTCTTCCTGTCCCCTTTTCGCAAGGCATACGAAGCCCAAAGTAGTGCGCCGCAAGTGGCCAAGCAACCTAAAGAGTATCCCAGTAGAGTGACGTTGAATGAGTGAGCGACCGAATGTTGAGACCTGCTCGCGAGCTACGAGGGCAATGGCTTTGCTGATGCCTTGCGTCACTTACCAATGGGCACAATCGGCTCTTGCTTCAGCTTCCTCCACAGCTTGTCCTTTGGCAATTCGACAGGCGCGGCAGGCGCGCTCGGCGGCACAGGCACCTGCGACATTCCGAAGCGGTAACACGCAATGTGTGGGCAATCGACTTGACGCAGTGTGCAAGCGCTGACAGCCTCGGCAGAAGTAGTGTGGAGAGGGTCAGTCGAGTGTTGGGTGATGAATGTGAATGGCGAGCGGGAAGGTGAATTATCAGCTTGGCTAAGCGGTTCGGGACCCAGGGATCTAGAATCCATCCAGGCGCTCGCGAGAGAGCTTGCAGGTGGAGAGGACCACGTGATCTCTGCCCGTCTAATCACGTGATGGCTACCGCCTTTTTCGCGCGCGCTGCCGTTCCCTTTCCCCGACCAAAAAAGTCTCGCTTCCGGCCGAAGCTCAGACAATCTTGATGAATCACTGATCCAAAAAATAAAGAAATCAAAGCGCGACGCGTACGCGCTATCTGGTCGAGGAGCAGGCAATTGGTATTGAGTGGCCTGGCGATCACAATCTTGAATCACATGCCATGCACTTCTCATCTGGATGGCCGTCAAGAGTCGAGTGAGTTTGAGTTGACGTGAACGGCTTGACGAATGCCAAGTCACGAAATGTGAGTCTCGAGCGTGAGGACGCTTGCATGCCTCACCGCTGTGGTCCAGGATCCCAATAATTGGTGATTGTGATCGCGGAAAAGTTGCCGGATGCACGGATATCGGCGCATGACAGCTCTTGTAATGCATGATATGCATATGTATGCATGCATGCATGCATGCTGCGCATGACCCACGAGCAGCACGTTCGCGGTTCCGCGCGTATGCTCGCTCGTCTATGCTGTGCTATTGTGACTTTGAACTTCTGCATGACTCACTGACTGAAATCGCGAATTAAGCCGTCGACAGGTGGAGTGCGTACAGCATCGACTGAACCTCAGCAGCGGCGCGAGTGAACCACCCCGTCTCCCCGAGTCATGCTCACTTGATTGATTCACGATTGCTTGATGGTCACCTGCTGCAATCACGAATTAGGGCTGAAAGCGTGCCTGCCGCTCAAATTTGGCCGGAGCGGACTTTTATGCCAAAGGTTCTTCAATCGCTTTGGCACCACACAAGCGACGACTGTGAGGCTGGCTATCTTTGTGGATGGAAGACACAGCATACAGTAGCAAGTATATAAGTCAGCTGTCGGGCAAGACTTTGTCGCATGCGTATAGGTGGTGCGCGGTGCCCCGCTGCGCTTGCATCCTACGCGTGGAACTCAACCCTTCATTATAAGTATTCGCGATTATTGACTGAGCCTGAGCGCTATCCATGCAAGGCAACAGCAGCAGGCAGCAGCGTTATTGCAATCGACGACAGACAGAGCCGCCACGCGCGCGTCCCCTCTCCTCCTCCGCCCACGCAACTGTCCAACGTTGCGCTGCTGCTGGTAGGCGCGAAAGGCGCGCGAGGAGAGCGGCCCAATCCAAACGAAATCGCGCTCTCATTTCTGCGACCCTCAATGAGCCAATCTTACCTCCGATCCTTCATCCCGAACTCTCCGCGGCTTCCATCCTCATCAAGAGCAAGTCGAGTCTACGTGCAACGTGGTCGACAACAAATTGACATCAGTCGCCACCTGTCATTCTACAACCAGGCTCTCTGGTCAACCCCTTTTTGTCACTTCTGACTTCGTTGACAACCTTGCATCGCGCGCTCCTACGCCTTTAACCCCGGCGCACCGCCCCCTTGGTTACAAGGTCCCACTCGGCGTGTTCGAGCGAGGACTTGATTTACCAGGTTCGCTCGGCGCAGTCTCTTGACCCTGAAGCGCTTAAACTCGGCGTTTACTCTCCCTCTTCGCTCAGGCGCAGACAAAGGCCCTCAGCACATCGACGTTGCCGCGTGCTCGCCACCTTTGCTCCCATCATGAGCGACCGCGCCAGCAGCACGAGCTCTGAAGATCATCACGATCACAATGGTCACGATCACTCTGCTCACGAGCCAAGTAGCCGAGGGCCTCCGCGGAAGCGCAATCGTGCAGCTTTGAGCTGCACGCTTTGCCGGTGCGTTCGTGATGAAGCTCTGCTCGCCACTGAGGACAAACGCTGACCACGATTTGCACCTACCACACCCAAAGCGAGCGCAAGGTCAAATGTGACCGCGTCATTCCTTGCACCCAGTGTATCAAGCGCGGCGATCAAGCTTTTTGTCACTTGGACCCTAACAAGACAGGACCCGCACCCAAACAGCCATCCAAGTCAGCAGCCGAGAGTCAAGCTCAACATGCTGCTGCCAAAACCAATCACGCGCATCCACTGAGCGACGAGTACGGCCATCATTCTCGCGATGCGCCTGTGCACCCCATCAATCAAGCTCAGGTCTCATGGGAGTCCGCGGAGGTGTCGGCTATCAAAGCGAGGCTAGCACAGCTCGAGGCTGCCCTCCAGGCAAGCACTGCAGCAAGCGGACGCGTCATGCCAGACCTGGCACCTTCTCAACCATCGCAGGCATCTGTATCTCAGAGCTTGGCGCAGATGTACGGCCCATCAACGTACGAGTCGACCAAGTCCGTCTCTTCTCACGGCGCTGCACCGAGCCGGTCCACATCTTCGGCGAACCTGTTCGATTCGACATCGGCCAGCGCTGCGGCGTTCGGTGCTTCGAGTACATCAACGTCACATAGTTTGCCGGACGGCATTCGCTTGCCATCACTCCAAACTGGCTCCAGCAATAGTCCCACCAGTGCGTTCGACGCTCGTTTCGACCGGAGTAACAGCCTGACAAGCTCGTTTAGCCGCGCAGACGATCGCAACAGTGTCTCCGCTCCCCAGAGACCGTCAGCGGCGCCAGAGACACCTGGCGCAGCTCATCGGGCTGAGGTCGACAGCGACACTGAAGATGCAGCATTGGTGCTTGAGGGTCTCGCGATGGGCTCGCGCCCCCGAGACGGTAAGAGCACCAAAGCTAGCAAGCTGGCAAAGGCGGGTGGACTCCCCGCGGCCGACCGGGGCGATGACGATGTCATCAGAAGAGCACCGACCAAGGCGATTCAAGACTTTGTTGAAGCGGACCGGACTCGCAACATTATGGACACCGCAGAGTATCAGTGCACTGACGAAGACAAAGCTCGAGCTGCCGAGATGGCACAGAAGGCTGCGACGTGTCGCAACACGGACGAGTACTACAAAGATCTGCCACTCGATGCCTACTACGGTCACGACGGCAAGCCTCTGTCGCCCGCTCGCGTTGTATGCCGCATGCTCTCTACCCACTCCGACTCGCTTCTGCGTCTCATATCCGGCCCTGAAACAGCGCTAGGCTGGGGCATTGGTTGGGCTTTCGCAGCCGCAGAGGCAGCTGGCGACATGAAGAGCGTCAACGAAGTCAAAGGGTGTCCCGGTGCGCTGCAGCGAGAAGCTGTGCTGCGTGCAATTCTTCGCAGCCTGCCTTCTCACGAGGTCGCAAATCACCTTGTGAACGTGTTCGACGAGCGGGTCAAGGCGCTGGCAGGACATGTCATACACATGCCTTCCTTCCGCAAGGAGGTGGCTGCGCTGTATGCGCTCGACACGGTGGAGAAACGAGCGCGTGTCATCCATATTGTGGATCCGGGATGGCTAGCGCAACTGCTCATGGTGTTCGTCCTTGCATTGCATTTCCATCCCTGCGATCCTGAAAGGCCAGAGATGGTCATGCACCTCTTTGATGGTCGGACCGTCCATTTGTGGCGCTCAGCTGCTCAGACGGCTCTTGTGCTGGCAAGATATCAGTCGAGCTCTTCGTTGTCGGTACTCGTCGCAATCATCCTGGTCAACCTTCACGCCGCCGGAACTGGTCGCGAAAACTTTGGCCTCATGCACGTCGCGATCACCAACGCGCGAGAAATGGGATTGCACAAGCTGGGATCGAGAGATAGGTCTCCCAAACCGGGGGAGAACGTGGGCGTGCAGATTCGTCGAGAGCTTGCCAAACGTATCTGGTACTGCCTATGCTACAAGGATTGGTGCAGTGCGACCTTTACGGGTGGCGCCTACACTGTCCATCCCGACCACTTCAACACGCCTCCGCCTTCTAATTACAACGACGAGGATCTGTGCAAGTCGCCACTTCCACCACCTCATCCGCCCACCAAGTATACGGAGATGTCGTTCTTGCTGGTGCAGTACAAGCTCATGTCGCTCATTCGCGAGCACATCGATTTGCACAATAAGCGAGAGATTCAAGGCACCAAAGGCCTCAGTGGCGACGACATCGAGTACCTCGACGGGCGGTATCGTATGCTGCTGGCTGACGAGGTGCCGGGCTTCTTTCGCGTTGGCAGCGAGGAAGGAGCGGGCTCGAACATGGAGGTGGAGCGCTTTTTGTTGCAGCAGACTGTCTTTCATCGTCTTTTGCGCCTCCACAGACCCAACTTGTCCAGGCAATCTTCAAGACACAGCTGTGTCTTGCTAGCTCGCTCAATCCTAGACTTGCAACGCCGCATCCGAGCGCGATGCTCAGTCATCGATCGGCTCTTCCTCAACCTCGGTCAATCTTTCAGCGCAGCTATCGTGTTGTGTCTAGATTTGCTGCAGATCAGACCCACTGCGACCATGCGAACCATCGTCAGATCAGAAATTGGCGAGGCTGTCAAAGCGCTTCGTCATGTTGCTTCCGCTCACCACACGACCAGTCGCAGTATTCGCGTGATCGAGGCTTTGCTGGACGAAGAGGCGTCCCGTTGGGAGGCGGGCGCAGGCACGGATGCAGCGTCCAACAAGCGCAAAAGAGACGGAGAACAAGGCTCTGGCAAGAACAAGCAAAACCTGCTCAGCTTGGCTTTGCGGGTCGCCAGGGCTGCAAGCGGACCAGAGGAGGATGCTGAAAAGTTTGGCACCGCGTGCACTCCGGTTGCCGCTACCGGCGCAGATGGTTCGCCAACGTCTAGCGAGTCTCAGTGCGCTGCCAAGGACGCTCGAAGTCGCGAGCTCATGGAACAACTGATGACGGCCCCGCCTTACAGAGACGAGCCTTCGTCGTTTGCGAATTTCGATGCCGCAACGTTGTACGGTCAGACGCCGGGCGCAAATCTCGACTTTCTTTCGCCTGCAGATGGGCAGAGCGATGCCTTTGACATCTCCAAGTTCTTGGCGGACTTTGGTTCGCCACTTAGCGATGGTAGCGGCCAAGCGTCGACGAATGGCAATGCGACCAACGAACCAGGTGGCATGAGTCGCAACAGCTCCTTCCTAGACCATTCTTCCGGCTCCTCTTCTGGTGGTCATGCGGCAAGGGGAAGCTTTGGAGAAGGTAGCATCGAAGGTCACTCGCGCACCGCTTCGCCGCAGACATCCATCTCGGATCACAGTGGGTACAAGAACGGCGCGAATAGCAACTTCCCGAGCCATCACGCGCCGAGTCGGCAAGGATCTGGCGAAGCGAACAAGGTGACGGACGCCCTCTGGGCATGGATGCTGGCGCAGGGTCAGCAGGCTGTGCGACCAGAGCCTGTGCAGCGTCCACTTGGACAGCCAAATTGGCAGCCTCCTCTATCTGCGGCCTCGCAGACCCAACCTCCACCAGCGTCGATTGCGGAGTGGTCAGGCCTGGATCCGTGGAGCAGTACGAACACTTCGAACGCTGGTGCAGCGGCATTATCCGCACCCTCACCCGCTTCGTTCGCGAGTCTTATAGCCAGCGCGACAGCTTCAGCACCGCAAGACGTTGGCTCCAATCTCTACCAGAGCGCCGCCGCCGTTGAGCCCCCTTCCACCTCTCAGCAGACATCCCTTTCCGTCGGAACCCCCTCGGCCGGCTTTCCTGGATTCAATTCGAACCTCTTTTCTACGCCCAGCAATTGGGAGTTCAACTGGTTGCCTTCATTTACTGAACAGTCTTGAGAGCGATGCTATACGACAGGAAGTTTTCTTGCCCCACCCCTTTCCTCAACGACTTTTCGAATACCGGTATGATAGTGTCACACTTTCTCTTTAAAATTCTGGTCAATTTTTCTCCTTTTCCCCCAAGTTCTGCGTCTTGCCAGATACGCTTGTATCCATACCTTGTCTCGGCAATGCATTCCCTTGCGACGGCGATGATCTAGCCGATGGACCAAAGGCCACGGATGCGTCTTCTCTCCATCTGTGGCTGAAGCGTGTCATATTTGGCACAAGGTGTATAGAGCAAAGCGAACAAGTTGAAACGAGGAAATGGAGAAGAAGAGGTGATTCGAGCGCTGCTGTTTAGGAAGCAGGCGCGGAGACACCAAACTGCTTGAGGATGAATGCCCACATTTGCCTCATCTCTTCTTGTGGGTCGAACTGGTCAAAGAGGCTGAAGAAAGCAAGGGGCCGCAGACGAGGGGGACCCTGCTTCAGCAGAGCCGAATCGCAAGTCCAAAAGCGTAATCTACTCACTGATCAACACCTTGTCTCTCTTCGTACTCCACCTGCACGCCATTCTCTTTCAAGACCCGAACAAGCTCTGTGCTTTGAGTGACGTCCACTGCCATATCCTTTGTGCCGTGCACAGAAAAGATGGGAGGAATTTGTTGGATGGAAGATGCGTCGAGGGATGCCAAGACGTTTGGAATGGACGTCTTTTGAACGTAACCTTCGGCACGTTGAGCAGGGTCGAAGAGCAGCTCGTGCCAGAGGCCTGTCACTTGTGCTGCGAAAGAGAAAGAGGAGACGGTGCGGGCGTTCAACATGTGATCGTCGATAGCGACTGATGAGTAGCCCTGCGCGAAAGGCCCATATGGCTGCTTACCCCACATGTAGAAGTTGAAACGAGGATTCGTTTGCGGCGTTCCCTGTCCCGAGGAGGAACAGAGGGAGGATGAGCAGATGAGTCAAGCGTGCACATATAGAACGTCCTTTAGCGGATGTGCACCCACCTCAGTAAAAGTAAGAATCGGGCCATTCGGATCCTGCATAGGCGCATAGACATCTCGGGCCTTTTCGTCAAATTTTATTGACTTGAAGGGTTCCTTGACAGGTTTTGCAAAAAAGTCGGCTTGCAAGTCGGTGATGGGGTAGATGCCTACCAAAGCCTTGGATTCGGTATGGGGTAAAGTGGGAATGTTGAGGGGCAGACCGACCAGGTAGGCTATGTAGCCTCCGGCACTGCTTCCGCTTAGGGCTGGCAGAGGCACTGGTGCGGGTAGATGGGGAGCTAGCCGGGATACTTCGCTTGGCAGTTGCTTCTTCGTCCAGCGCACCGCTGCATGGGCGTCTGGCAAGACGCCGCCGATGAGCGTGGTCTGTGGACAGAGCTGATGACACAGAGGGAGTGCGTCCGAGACCTATATGAGAGATCTTGGTCTACCTACATCTGACGAGGCAGGTACTCACCCTGTAATCAGGCTGCAAAGCGAGGAAAAGCAGGTCAATGTCATGCACGCAAGCAAGGATTCATCAGATGCGCTGCTCGCTCAGAAGCGCGGCACGCTGCTTAGACAGCACCGGACAAGTAGACTCACAGAAACGATGATCAGACCATACTTGTCCGAAGCATCTGCGAGATGTTTGGGCAGTGCCTTTCTAGTGCCCTGGATAGTGCCTCCCCCATGCCACCACACCACGACTGGAATTTCCTCCCTGGCTTCTTGAGCATTCACCCTGGACCACGCTTCCGTGGTAGGCAGAAGCACGTCCAACTCGATGTGCGAATCTGGTTTGCCCGAGCCGTTGGAAGCTACGCTGAACTCAAATGTGTGCGTGACTGGCATTGCGGTGAGATGCGGCAAGAGGTCCGAGGTCCGGATCTGGTGAGAGGAGCAGGTGGTGAGCCGTGCAAGGATGGGCTGCTTTGCTCAAGAGTTGCGGTGGACGATGGTGCAGTGTCGCCAAGTTGTGGTCACAGTGCTGCTTTAAATAGCTCGTCTTGGCTCTTCCAGTGTTTGATCGCTCCGGTACGCTCCGCTGGCAAGGCTGAAGAGGCTGATATCACTTCACCGTCTCTGGGCGGAAGAAACCACTGCGCGCGTCGATGTGCTGGTTGCGAGTGAATGCTTTCTGGACACGGGAGGCAGCTACCCACCCATCTACCTCGTGGTGCTCGGTCTTAAGGCAGTTGAAGGATGATTACTTTGCAGGTCGAGGCGCCGATGGGAACGTGTCTCCGCAACGTGGGTGAGGAGAGGTGGATGAGAGACGCGATGGGTGAAGGGCGTAAAGGCAGGCAGGCAAGCACCCAAATCGTCACAAATGTCGAGATTGCTGTGTGATTGCACAGAATGACTCGCTCAGCACGTCTCCTAGCTGCACCGCTCCACCTCGAAGCCGCCTGCCCCTCACGATGAGTCCGAAACGTCGCGGTGAGATGCCAGAGCTGCATACATGCGCACGGCCGTGCTTGCCGCTTTGCGCACGGACGCACCGCCCCGCACGTACCCTATACACTCTTCTCCCCGCCCGACAAAGCTTATAGGCTTAAGCCCGAGCTCGATGCAATTGGGCGTCTGCTGCGCACTCGCAAACGCAGCGCTAGTCAGATGCAACCTCGTGCAATCTCGGGAGTTGCATGCAGGAACGCCCGCAAGTCAAAAGTCAAAGGCAGAAGAGTCGTAAGTGTGATGAGGTGAGTGCACGAGGGGCGAAGAGAGTCAAGAGTGTGCAAGCAACGCACATCTGACATCACGATCTCGATCATGGAAGCTGTCGCAGTCACCATGCAGTCTGAACAAACGCTTTGCCGCTCCTCAACGTCGATCAAGGTAGCACATTAGCGCGGCACTCTCATGGCGAGGACCGGCTTACTTTGCATATAGGAACGAAGGCCAAGTGGATGTGCTGCTGAGCACCCACTCTGCTGAGCGCTGCGCACACGCCCACACAGGCATTCAGGGCAAAGATGACGGATCAAGAGTCTACTAGTCGTCTCAACATGCTGCTGCCCACCGCAACTTGGATGGACATTCTAGGCTGGTTGGCTCATCCCAGTCTAGAGAAGGATGATCAGATGAGAGGGTGCGTGCACGGTCTTCCTTTCGAGTCCATTGATATCGCGAGAGGCAAGCTCACGCAAATCTCTCCTGTTTTGTCCGCTGGGTGGGGGAGGGTGGCACCAGGTGGGAGCACATTCACGACACTGTGCGATTTGTGTCGAAGGATCTCTATCTGGGTGAGTTGTGCACCGATGCAAGACTGTCGATTGCCCGCCGAGCAGCGTCGAGCCGATCAAGCTGAGGATATTCATCCAATACCCTCCACGCACGGCAGTATCGATGCACCTCTTGCGATCTCGCTACCTGGACTCCTACGAACGTCTAGTCAGGCCTCCTTACACTAGCGATCCATACCCCGTGACTTCCTTCTCCACAGATCTCTCCGCTTCTAGCTCTTCCTCGCAAGCTCCTCCAGCCTACAGCGCATCCAGTCTCCCTTCAACCGCAACATCGACCGCACACATTTCTTCCCAAAGCATGCTTGCAACTCGATCTCGAAGAGAAGCGCACACTTTGGATTTGTACGTCGCTGCTGCTCTCAAGAGAGAGTTGGAAGATGCAGAGAGCGACATGATGATAGCGGACACGTCGATGCAGGACATTTTCACCATTCTGCAGCCTCAAAGCAGATTGGAAGACTTGGTGATGGACTACGGCGTTCGAGCCAAAGTTTTGCGACGCGATGCGTTGCAGACCCTCGACAGCAGGCTTGCTCATCTACCAACCGACGAGAAACGATCACGAGCGAGTGCTTCTTCCGAGCTGAGCGAGCACGCGGATCTGGTCAGACCATCGAGCATACAATGCACCTTTACACCTCGTAAAGCTACGCTGCGATTACCCCTTGCCTTCGGTTCCCTTCCACCCGACTCATCCTTCGCAGCGCCTCGCATAGCGCGCAGAAACGTCATCGAAGTCGAAAGGAGCGTTCAGGAGTCTTTGGAAGATACCGCAAAGGCGCTCTTGAGGGGCCTTAGAAGGCTACATTGCAAGCGTCATGCCAAAGCTGGTGTGGAGTGGTACGAAATCATTGCATCATGAGCGTGCATGTCTTGCCCTCCCTCCAGCACTTACCATCCTGGCACGCAGCATTTCGTCCCATCACTCGGGCATGCTGGAATACGCTTGTTGTATTACGTTTGCTCGCATCACTCTCTGTAATCTATCTTGTGACAATCTTTCCCACCTCTTACTGCGCTTTCAAGTTCTTCTCGAGCGTATCGCACTGCTCAAGTACCGCCCTCTTGCTGGTCCCTCCAATTGCATCTCTCCTCTCCACACTCTCATCAAAGCTCCAGACCTTGGCCACGTCTTCTTCAAAAGCGGGATGCAGAGTCTTGAAATCTTCCAAGGTCAAATCGGATAATTTGCATTTGCGCTCCTCGGAGAGTCTGACTGCTGATCCGGAAACGTGATGCGTCTCACGAAAAGGGATCTGAGATGATCGATGCACGAGTGATCAGCAGCCAGAGAGCAAACGCGCTTGAACGAGCCGAGCATGACTCACGCCTTTGCGGACCAAGTACTCGGCCAGGTCCGTCGCGAGCATGTCCGGCGTCAATGCAGCACGCATCTTGGCAGGATGAATCTGCCCAACAATGGAAAAAAAGAGAGCGCTAAGCGCCAAGTTCCGAAGAATCTCATACCCATCGCACTCACCTCGAGCGTAGAGATGACACCTGTAGCGATCTGTGTGCCGCGTCCAATGGTGTCCACAGCATCGAAGAGAGGTTCCTTGTCCTCTTGCAGATCCTTGTTGTACGTCGACGGAATGCCCTTGAGCGTCATCATGAACCCTGCCATTTGACCAAAGATGCGTCCGCTCTTGCCTCGAAGAAGTTCCAGGCTATCTGGATTCTTCTTTTGAGGCATGATGGAAGAGCCCGTGCTGAGGTGGGAGATGATGCTTCGTTCTTCAGCTTGGCTGCGTCTCCTCATCTCGCGCTGGATGCACCAGCCCCCCATTTCGTCATGCCTCAGCCTCCCAAGCACCACCAATAGCACCACAATCACTCACCTATATGCGTCCGAAAGTGTCATGAATCCAAATTCGGCGCTAGAGTAGATGATAAAGTCTTCTGCAAGCTTGCTGAGGTGCACAGCAGTCAAACTGGCCCACATGAGCGTCTCCACTACAAAGTCCCTATCGCTGACGTTGTACATGCTGTTTGGCCCGACCGAGAGGAAGCCGAGATCCTTGGCGATGGCGACTCTGTCTGGACTGAAAGGATTGCCGGCCAATGGTCCGCTTCCGAGCGGAAGGACGCTGATACGAGGTCTCAGATCTCTCAAACGCGATAGGTCCGAGGATAGGTAGGAGGCGTGCGAGAGGAGCAAGTGCGACCAGCGGATGGGTTGGGCCCTTTGAAGGTGAGTGTAGCCGGGCATGAGCGCATCAATCTCTGCTTTGGCCCTCTTGACCATGACATCGATGAGTTGGATAAGCAGAGTCTCCAGCTTGGCAGCCTCATCGATGAGCCAAAGTCTCATGTCCGTAGCCACCTGATCATTTCTGCTCCTACCAGTGTGCAGCTTCCCAGCCACAGCACCAATGATCTCTTTGAGTCTTCGCTCATTGGCAGTATGAATATCCTCATCATCCGGAGCAGCTTGGAATTTCCCAGCTTTCCATTCCTCCCCCACCCTGTCCAGACCAGCGACGATCTGATCTCGTTCTTCGGCAGTCAGGATACCGCACCCTACCAAGGCTCTAGCGTAGGCTTGTGAACCTCGGATATCTTGCGCCCACATGCGCTGATCGTAGGAGAGGGACTCATTGTACGCGTGCATGATGGGATCGGTCGTGCCTGTAAAGCGACCACCCCAAAGCTTGCGCTTCGAGAAATCTTCTTGACCGCTCATGATCAAAAGGCGTTGGTGGTGGATTGTGACTCTTTTGGAGGATGAGGGAAAGTGAACAATCGGCTCGATTCACGGACGATGGCTTGAGCGAGAGATGTGATGAGAAGGGGAATTGCGCGTCGCCTGAAGCCTGGTCAAAAGCTAGTAGATCTCATTTGCGCAGGAGCGGGCGCGACCGGCACCACGATAAGCTCAATCAAGCATTTTTGTAGGCACACATCGCAGCAGGCTATATCTAGGTGCGCGAATTCTGCGCGTCTACCTTGGGCGCCCTGCGCGCCGCGCGGCATCATCGTCGTGAATCGGGCCATCCTCTTGAATATGATAGCCTCCAAATCATTCACGAGTCTTCATGTGTGTGCTGACCGCAAATGTCTGCTCCTCGAGCCCCTGCGCAGCCGTATGAGGCGTTACCACCTTTGAGTCCACTCCTACCCCGAATCAGAAAGGTCATCAATACGATGATCATTAAGCCTCTACGAGCAGGGTACGGGAAGACTTGCGAAGCGCATGGCAGTGGTATATGGATGATGCACACGTCTCTTCATAAGCTGAGGACCTGGCGAAAGCGGGGACATATACGGGCGATGGACGATTCGACCCCAATAATCAGGTCGGCGGAGGTGGCGATCGGTCAAGGCGTGGCAGGTGGCGGTGGTCCAGGCTGTGCGAATGGCATGACGCGCGATAAGAAAGTACCAACGCTGGCACGCTTCTCTGCCAGGGGTGTCGAGCTGGGCACCGAGGCTGAACCGTCTCCCAAAGCAGCTCTAATCTCCATCGGTGAGAGACCTTGCATCTCGAAATGGGCACGCAATTTTTCTCGTCCTTCTTCAGTCTCTGAAGAGACAACGCGCGAAGTTGAAGTCATGGCCGGAGACAGTGTCAAAGGACGCAATTGCGCCTCCCGAGGATCCGGCGCAGTGCCCGCGCCTGGTAGCCAGGACTTCCAGTCAATTGAAGCCGACCGCCTGTTCTTTGCGGGAGGCGTCGGTCGACTAGAACCGACTCCGACTGTCTGTTTGTTAGGGCTGACATCGGGATCAGAAGCAAGTCGACCAAATCCGAGGAGACCACCGCTAGCGCGCCTGGCTTTCTTGGCCTCCTCTGCTGCTTTGTCCGCGGCAGCTTGCGCTTTCTGAGCCTGACTGGGGCTGCTTGATGCGCCAGCGGAGCGCGGAGGGCTGACGGCCAAAAGTGGTCTCGAGCGTTGTCCACGCAAGCGACTGCTTGTACCACGCGCCTGAGAGCTGTCGTCGATTGCAAGCACATCTTCGAAACCTTGCGCACGCGTGACAATCCGATCGATAATTCGGGAGACGTACAGAGTGAGAGCTTTGTTTGCATCGCGAAGCTCTTTGACCTCCCTTTGAAGGTCTGTGGAACATCGTGCAATCGAGTCAATTGAGCGCTCGGACAGCGTCGTAATTTGATAGCCTACTCACCAGGTACCGCTGTAGGCATCGACTCGCCAGCGCCTTCTCTGTCTCGCCTCTCCTTGAGCTCTCGCCGCTTTGATTCTCGTTGATCTGCTGCTTCGTCCACTTCTGCGAGCTCATTCTCAAGCGTCGTCGGGGCGTGTATACTGCGCTGAGCGCCCGGACTGTCAGGAAGGGCCGAAGAGCGCTTGCTAACAAATCGCCTTGGCTTCCTGGGAGGCGGCACGTCCTCAACATCCCCATTGGTATTCTCACTGATCTGCGTAGTAGCAACGCTTGTGTCGCCTTGCGTATCTTCGCCCTCATCCTCGCTATCGATACTGCCATCCGAGATTGACATGTCGCCATAAGCACGGTTGAGAACGCGACTCTCCGTGATGAGAGCACCGCTTAGAGTCTTCTCCTCCAGCATGTCTAAATATCCTAAGCTCTCCTTCCGCAAAGCTGAGTACGCTTCACGAATATCTCCTAGCTCCTGTTGCACTGTTTTCAAAGTGTCAACTAGGCCGTTGTAGCTCTTTTGAAGCGTGTCGCGCTCTTGACGCAGCGAAGCGCTGGTTGCTTTCTCGTCAGCCAGAGCGCGCTTGCTGGCAGCCAAAGTCACTTCAGGGTTTGGCTTGGAAGGAGGGGACGCTTCGGACTCGAGATCCATGGGCGCCAAAGTATTTGACTTGCTCTGCGCGATTCTAGCTTGTAGTACCTCGTTCTCGCGCAACAGCTCCGCATTGGCGGACATGAGGCGTTCGTTTGCCGATGCTGTGTTAGCTTTTTGCTGACTCAAGAGATTCTCGGTATCTGCAAAGAACTCTCTCTCCTTGTCCGATGTCGTGACCTAGACCGACGACACCCGCGACAGGGAGCGTTGCATTAGCTACCAAGTCATGCAAAACGCATGCCAAAGGCGATTGAAAGTAGTGGTCTGCACCAACGAGACACACTCACTTGCTCGGTGTAACGCCTCTCGGCATCGTTTCGAAGCTTCTCGGCCTCTTGAACCTGCTTGCTTAGGCGCGCGACCATTGCGTGCAGCTGGTCGAGCTCTTCTTCTGTCCGATCTTGACCGGCAAGCAGCTCGTCGATGCGCTCCTCGCGGGCGTTGACAGCTCCTTGCAACGAGCTCGATTCGGCTTCTGCGAGAGAGACTGAGGAGCTGAGAGCATCAATGGAAGCGTGCTGCTCCTCGATGGTGAGCTGCTGCGCCTCGCACTTCGCATCGAGCTGAGCGTGAGCAGCCGCGCAGCGAATGTCAGACACTTTATGCCATGTATTCGCATGCACAAGCCTTCCACTACTCACCGCATCCATATACTCTTTACTCCTCTTCAAAGCCAACACAAGCTCTTCGCGTGATACGCCGCGGAGAGCTGCCTCCATATCCTCGATGGATATCTCCTGTCCGACCTGCTGACGAGACTTGGAGCCTGATAGCTGCTTAGCAGCAACATAATCGTCACCAGTGCCTGTCTCAGAGACCGAGGGGAGCGCCGGAGAGTTAGGTAGAGGCGATCCTGTAGCTGAGGCAATGGTCCTTTCGGCACCTCGACGCCTGGCGCCCGGGGGCAGTGGCCTGGCGTGCGGCTTGCTGTTCCCCAGCTCCATTGCGAAAGTGAATTCTTAGTTGATAACGCCCAATGATCGGCTTGGATGTTGGGATGTGTGAAAGGAAACTAAGCTCACAGAAAGCCGCTCCCAAGGAGAGCGCGACATTGACCCCGTAAGGAAGCGTCAACAGGAGGTAGGAGACCGAGTCACGAGTGTCGGTGTTACGAGAATAACACCCAGCCCCTCATTAGACTCGTGACTAACCGAGCAAGGCTTGACCTAGGGCGCCGCGACTCGCATCATCCCCGGACTGGCGAGATGCGGGGTGTGCCATATGAGCCGCACGGGCATCTTCGAGAGCTCGCTCCACGGATGGCTCATCAGAACGATTATTCTCGACCTTTAGCTTCAGGAGTGCAAAGCGGAGTCGCGTCGTGCGCCGCGAGTCAGCCCTTATAGGTGACATCGCGACAAGGATCATAGCTTAGCTCAAGACTAGCCAATTGGAACCGTGTGGACGAGATCACGCTTGATCATGGAGCATCGTAAGCCTTGAGCACCACAGTCAAGAGTCGTGGGTGTGAAGCTCTCATCACCTGATCATCGTCCTCCAGTCACGAGTCAGCGTCATCAGCGGCGCTTCTCAGCTACGCGGGGCGTGCTTCGAACGCGTGCACATGAACACAAGCATCATCAATCATGTCCTCCCGCATGCTGGACGGACGACCTGCATGGCGCTGGGTGGGTCGAGCGTGGCTGCAAGCTGCAAGAGCAGTCTTAGCGAGGCGAGGCGGTGCGCACGCACGCACGCACGCACGCACGCACGCACTCGTGACTGCTGCGTGCATCTGCTCGGGTCATCGTAGCCGCACCACAACAGGCTTTCCTGCATCGGGTTGCACCTTCCCGTCATCTTTCTGACCTCACCTTCTTTGCAAGCGGCTTCTACGCACCTTCAATTGGCGCTGTTGACCGCACAAGCAAAACCGTCTGCGCTCATCCGATTTGCATAGACTCAAATACTTCGGTCGGGTGGGCTGTGCAAAGCGTTGGTGGTGCCTTTTCCAGCGTGAAGGAAGAAGCACTGATCCTCTTACCAGCAATGCAAAAGAGCGCAAGCATCGCCTGCACTCGACAGCGCACACAGCTGAGCTGATCAGCCTCGCCACGCTTTCTATACCTTTTGCCCAGTGCAAAACACTGGTGCGGCCAGCATGGCGCCATCTGCCGATGGAATGAACTCATCAGAGTCAGCACCCCGCCGGCGAGCCGACTCGCAGCTCTCGCCTCCACCAACGCCCACAATCATGTCACTCAATCAGCAAAGCCCCGTGGACAAGGGAGAAGGACCTAGCAGACTAGCACCTCCATCGAGCCCACGAAAATCCAGCGTCAGTCGGACCGGCGCCGCCTTGCCGATCGAGGCATTCCTGCCAGGGAGTCCCGCCTCTAGCCCCACGGCATCCATGAGACTTTCGAAGAGCGGTCTGGGCTCGCTCGCCTCTCACCATGCACTCTATCCACCGCAAGCTGCACCCCAGGAGGCATTCCCGCGTGCCAGAAGGAGGCCCAAGCGCTCATCGCAGCGCAAGGAAATGGGTCTACCTGTCATACGCAACGTCTCACGACTCTCCGCCAAGATTTCCGCTCGGGTGGAAAGATTGTTTCGCAAACATGGAGCCAATGTGTCAAGACATCCAATTCGGACCCTACTCCTTTGTTGTCTTCTCATCACCTCACTCTTCTACCCTGCAGCTGGCATATACCTATGGTCATCTCAGGGCGGCCCAGGAATAAGCCGCAGCGATACGTCGAGCGTGTGGCGGACACTTTCTACCCCACTGCTAGATTCTTTCGCTTCCTCTGGTCGAACTCATCACAACTCACTAAGGGATTTGCGAATGGTGTGGGATGACGCAGCAGACCTTTTTGCTCAAGATCCGCGAGACTGGATGCCCGAGCGCCATAAGGCTCGCCCACCGAAATGCGCTCGTCTGGAGCACGTCCTATTCACGACAGATGACGTTATGAGAGGAGAGGCCGGAAGGCGAGGCGTCCTGGAAGCGCCTGTTCTGAACTCCGCATACAGACTACAATCCGCCTTGGAGACACGGCTGAAGTCAGTCGGAGGGGAGAATACCCCGAGGTGTATTCAAAATCTGAGCGGGGCATGCCTCACTTTGGGGCCTCTCGACTACTGGCCTGAGGGCTCATTTCCTCTGAAGGCGGATGCCCAGGCTAGCACCGAGCTTCTCGCATCCTCAGTCAATCAGTCTGCGAGGGGTGTTCCTGTTTCTCTAGAGACTACCTTGGCTGGTCGATCGCACATGTTCGCACGCAATCCTCGCGCAGAATTTCTTGCCTTCAGCTTTTGGCTAGAGCAGGCTCAATGCGGCAACACCACTGGCAATGAGCACGTCAATTTCCGCGCTCTCCTTTCGGACATCGCAATCGGTACGCGCATAGTGGAAAGCGAGCACCAGACAGCGAAGTCGGTGTTGGTTCGAGTGAGTGCCGGACGGTATTTTGAGAAACCTAAACCTGTTGACCGTCAGATAGCCGTGTTTACGAGCTTACCCGTCCGCTCCGCGCTCGTGTCACAGTTTGCACCGGACAAGCGCACTCCTCGAGCACATCAGATCATGCTTGCTTTGGGCTACTTGGGGTTCCTGCTCTACATTGGCCGAGGCTTAGTGCGAATGCGCAAGGTACACTCACGCTTTGGTCTGGCTTTCACCGGGTTCACCGAGCTGCTCATCAGTATGATTATGAGCGTAAGCATCTGTGCTCTTTGCGGCGTTCGTTTGACCGCCGTGCCATGGGAAATTCTCCCCTTCGTCATCGTAGTAGTCGGATCCGAAAACATGTTCGTCCTAGCCAACGCAATCGTGTCGACCCCGATCAGTCTTTCAGTCGCCTCTCGCGTCGCCGCTGGCCTAGGCGCTGCGGGCGTGTCCATTGCGGTCACTGTGCTGAGCGACGTGCTCCTTCTCAGTGCAATCGCCATGCTCGTGCATGTTGCGGCTGTGCGCGAATTCTGCATTTTCGCCATTTGCAGCCTGCTGGTAGACTTTGTCATGCAAATGACTTTCTTCGTGACGGTATTTAGCATCGACTTACAGCGACTGGAGCTCGCGGATCTTCTTGCTCAAGGTGTCCGCAGTGTAGAGCAGGACAGGCCGCTCGCAGCGGAACAGGAAGCTGATGCCTCCGCAGCACAAGCGACAGCCCTCTCTACACGTCGAGTGGCGCACAAAGAAGAGCAGCGCACCGGCTCATTCATCAGAATGAGCTGTCGCGCAGTATGGCGAGCTCGCACGGCTCGGACAGCCAGCTTATCGATTCTCTTGGCTGCTATGTTCGGCTTGTACCTTTACTATGGAACTGGATACCAGTCACAGGATCTGTACGGGCCTAGCCTCCCATTCGCGGACATACACGGCGTCTCAGCTTCCTTGCCCACGCGCAGCACTTTGACTAGCGCTCCCCGATCATCCAACGCCGAGACAAGGCTGGAGCCCACTGATGGCGTCTCGGATCCCTTTGATCCGCTGGGGCATCTATCGGCCGCCGAAAGCTCCTCCTCGGATGCGGCACCATGGTGGATGGATTCTCCCTCCGCTTCCTTCTGGATGTCTCTCAATCCAGACGGAGCGCCTCATGTTCGCGTGGCCGTCGAGCCGTGGTCGATTGTGTCTCTGCGCTCCGCCAAGGGTGCAACTCCGCAACACACGCGCAAACTGCCTTTCGCTTCTTGGGCTCTCTTCCGTCCTCGAATCCGCGCCATCATCTGGTTCCTGAAACTGTCTGTCCTCCCAATAGGAGGAACGACGGGGCTACTTTGGATCCTGCTCTTGTATCTCTTGAAGGACACCGAATTGCTAGATGCTCAGCGTGACAAAGGCACCATCAGCGAAGAAGAAGGCGAAAGCGATGTATCCAGGTCAGGTACCAACTCCCTCAATGACGACTCGATCGATGTCTCCTTGACAGCACTCACGGGAGTTCACGCGACGGATATCATCTTGACCGATGCAGATGGCTCATACATAGCTAGCGTGGGCATCGACTCTTCCATCATTGTCTGGGACACCAAAGCGGCCAGCAGGAAGGTCCGCACACACCGCATTACTGTCCAATCTCTTGGGGGAACAGACACGACTGCCGTCACTTGCGTCGAGCTGAGTGCATCTGATGAACTGCTGGCTGTCGGACAACGCAGTGGCTTTGTCACGATCTACTCGCTCGCATCGCAGCAGGTAACCCATCGCTGGCAGCCAACGACTGGCCCGGTCCAATTGGTGACATTCTCACGTAGCGCGATGCGTGAGTTGCGCGTCACATCTGCGCACCGAGATGGATCGGTCTGGACGTGGCTAGATGCTCCGGCACCTCAATGCGAGCCTTCCGTGCAGCCTCGTTTGGACACCAGCTGGACAGCTCAGCGCTTCCATCACAGTTCGTGTTACTTCGCGCTGTCTGCCCCGAATCGCCAAATTGAGGTGTATCACATTGGTACGCAGGGTGTGGCGCCCGTCTCCACGATCCCTGGCCCAGCAAATGGTCTGGTGCGAAGCCTAACAAGCGCGGCACCTGGCCATCAGGGATTAGCGCCCGAGTCGGGGGTCTCCTCCTTCCTTGACGACGTTGATGTGGTCCTCAGCGGCACATCCACCGGCACAGTGCAAGCCTGGCAGTTGTCCACTGGGAATCTCATTGGTCAAACCGCTCTCGCAGACGGACCGGTCCAAGATCTCTTCTGTATCTCAGACCATGAGCAACGCAACCAGCCCTACGAAACTTTCGCTGCTGTCACGCAAGCAAAGGTCACTATTTTACGTCTGAGCAATGGACAAGTGCTAGCCTCAACGATGTCAGACTTGTCGCCTGGCGCGCCCACTTCATCTGCTTCGCGTCCCTCTCCACCGAGCTCTTACCGACGGACGGCGAGCGAAACAAGTGTGTCAGGTGCAACATCTACGTCTTTGCCTCGCCCGCGCCACGGATCTCGCCCTCCATCTGCCGGCGGCTCAGAATCCGGACATGAACTTGTCGTGGGCAGACCTCGCGCACCTAAGGGCTCCTCTGAATCAGGGTCTCAGGATCAACCTGAGATTCCGACGCACTTCGACAATTTGACGGTTGTGATGTGCTTGCCTTGTCATCGTGGCAGTGCGGTAGTCCTTCGGACCTCGGGCGACAGCTCGCGCCTGGCTGGCGTCCGAAGACGACGCCGAAGCGAAGAAACAAGCACTGGCACCGGAGATAGTCGGGGCTCCTGGGAATACTGGGAGCTGGAATGTGCGGAGTTGTCAGAAAAAGGCTCGTCCCAGTCCTTGAAGGTCAGGACCTGTCCTATTGATTTGGAACGCCTCATTACAAGCGATGAGAGGTCACCGAGCTCGGCTGATTCGGACAGCGATGAGGATGGCTCGCGGCGGCTCACACCTCACGCTTCTCGGCGAATCGAGTCTCGCAAGATCCATGTCGCAGCTCGTGGCCCAAACGCGCTGCTTTCTTTTGCGCGCGTCTCGCTCATCAAATCTGTAATCCCCGTGACTGGGTTCGCTGAGAGGGCATCTGACGAAGCTCTGTTGCAATCCTTGGCTGCTGTTCGCGAGCGGCGTCGATCGCTCGTCATTGCCTTTGGCAATTCTTTGGCTCGACTTTCGATCGCAAGTCCGCCCCATCCTCGGGCTGGCACATTCGGTAGCGTCTCCTCAGCAACGGCCTTCGCCATGCACCCAGCTTATGATCGACCTTCCTCCACACTCATGCGTCGTCGTCGCTCGCGCTTCGAGTGATTACGCGAAGCAAAGCGTGACCTTTTCAGAAGCGCACATAAAAATACTTGTCCGACCGACTCTGCCCATCACTTTTCATCCTCAAAACGTTTCGCCATGCGCTCGCTTCCCCATCCGCCAACGCACCGAGCGCCAATTTCTATCTGCGCCGGCCTCCGCATCCTGTCCTCTTGCGTTACACGTGACTAGCATGTACGCTGTATACGAACGTAGCTCCTTGCACATGTACCGGCTGGCTTGGCCTATTACCTGCACATGTGTTTCCACGTGATGCGTCAACGACACACTGCAACCAATTGCTCTGTCAACAGAAGGGCTAGGCTGAGAGTTTGCATTTGCACACGAGCACTCGAAAGCATCAGTGAGTGCGATCGCCGCTGTACACCTGCGAGCTACCTGACGGAGCTTGTGGACCTGGAAAGGGACATTGATGCGCCGCTTGTGCTCGCGCTGAGCGGTGCGGCGCGCTCGAGTTGTATGGCCAAAGTGTCCAGAGCAGGCAAGCGCTTCCTTAGGACGGATTCTACCCGGGCTGCTAGAGCCTCTGGTGAGACGACGGGCGGCCATTCTGCATGCGATTCGCCGGCACCGTTCATTTTGGGAGAGGTGTCGCCGTCCGTCAATGCTTGAACAGACGGCGCGGCCGTGCTGAGTTGCAGACGCTGCGGTTTGTGTGACCTGAGAGTCAGCTCGCCGCAGAAGCCTGAACACTGGAAACCAGATGCCGGACTCACGATGGATCCAACGAGCTTCTCGGCATCTTTAGGCCAGAAGCGCGGCTGTGAGAAGGACTCCAGCCCCTCGACATGTTGCAGCTGGCAACGATGGGCGAGGTATAAGTGGCTTCGCCTATCGCACTGTTGAGACGATCAAACGCTCACCTCTTGTAAGGCATTGACCACGTCACGCTCTTGTTCGTCTGGAAGCTCGAGGCAGAGAATGCGACCGGCATCGACCACCAAAGGAATGACAGAAGCCGTAATAAGAAAGGCAATGAAAAGGGATGCGATCGGATCGAAGCCAGTCCATCCGAACCACTCGATAAGTAGCGTGCTGATAATAACACCGACACTGCCCATCGTATCTGCCATAACATGCAAGTAGACACCCATCATGCTATCAGCAGGGCCAATTTGCAAGACATCGGTTAGCAAGATAAAACTAGCAAAGACATTTGTTAGCCGTGTCACGTACTTGTGGGAGTGTCCGTGTCCATGGCCGTGATCATGATGAGAGTGTCCGTGTCCATGGCCATGGTCGTGCGAATGCTTTGCAAGCGAAGGTCAACTTTGATCAGCGCTATGGGCTTCTCGATCGAAGTCTCTCATCACCGACTCACATCATGAGAGTGAGAGTGGCCATCGTGCGAATGGCTGTGGTCGTGGTGACCATGAGAGTGCCCATGGGAGTGACCATGATGATGGTGATGATGGCCTGATGACCGACGCAGCGGGTAAGTCGTGTGATCCGCGACAGCAACGAGCGTGCGTCTATTGACGGGCAGCACACTCACCGCCCATTGCAAACATGCCAAACAAGTTGACGCCAAGACCCATGCCAGAGACGATTAGGAGTTGCAAAGTGTTGTGCATCTCTGGTGGGTGCATGATTCTCTGAATCGCCTCGAAGACGATGAACACCGAGATCAGGATGAGAAAGATGCCATTGGCAAAGCCGCTCAATGTCTCTACGCGAGAGTAGCCGAAGGTGAAGGTAGCGTCCGTCTTCCAGGATGCCATGACAGCAGCGAACAGGCCCATGCCGATGGCAGCGCAATCGAAGAACATGTGTATGGCGTCGGATATAAGACCAAGACTGTTCGTCCAGACTCCCCACAGAAGCTGGACACCCATGAAGGCCAAATTGAGCAAGAGGAATTGGAAGATCTTCCTCGAGTCTTCAGCTGCGTAAATGACGGAGACAGTGTGCTGCGCGGTAGCTAGGAACGCTCGTGCTGATGCACCTAGCTCTGATAATGCAAACGCATCAGAACCCGTGCGCTTGTGCTTTCCATGCGAGGAGCGATCTGCGCTTGGCATTGACGCAGAAGACGCGTCTTCATCCGCATACACGGGCGAGGTACGAAGGATCGATCGCATGCCTGAGACAGAGTGATACAAAGGCGTCAGTTCGATTGAAAGGACTGGGCCTTGAGATCTCAGCAGCGTCAAACTCACCCCATCCGACGCATGACGCCACGAGGACATTCCCAACTCCGATGGACAGTCCAAAACCAACTCTACCGACTGCCATGACTGCTCCCACTGCCAGCGGCCAGCCTTGAGCCACCCGAGCGGCTGCGTTGGAGTGCGGTTCCAGCGCGGCTCCGACTAGCGGATCCAAGATTAGTGGACCAAGGGCGAGTAGTGCATAAGCTGCAAAGTGCCCTGTGACAGGCGAGCCATGCAGCGACGTTGGCGAGGTGTGGAATGATGGCGAGAGCGATGAGAGGGTAGGGAGGAGTGGAAGGCCCTACATCGAAATTTAAACCAATCAGGCAAGTTCGCTGCATGAGCTGCTGATAGCTAGCCTTGGGCATACACGTACTCACAATAAGCCTGCCGAACAAGCCTAGTGGGAGCAGCACAGCAGCAGCAAGCACGCAAGCCAGGACGCTCGCCCTCCTTCGACCCCCAGCTTCGGCGCTGGCCGAGTGAGCCGCCCTTTCCTTTTCCAGAGTCATTGCAGCATAGACAGCTAGCGCTGCGTGTCCCACGAGCACTGCAGTGGGACTGTACTGCATTGCATCCGCTTCCGCCTGGGCGCTGGCTGCTCTCAGAGCACTGGGACTGGCCAACCCCACTGGCCGAGTGTGCCTCAAAGATGGCGGCAAGTCGGAAAAGTCATCTTCGAAGCCGCCAAAGAGGGAGCTCTTGTTGCTTTGTACGGCGTGCATAATCCGAGTCTCCGGCGAGACGGAGAGTATGTTGATCAAGAACGACACAACGAGAGCTCCGAGCACGGCGTAGCTTCCGTAGGACTGAGGACGTAGGCATACTGGAAGGGTGAGCCACCCCAGAAACCTATGCGCATATCGCCCTTCCTCGGCTCTTACCCACCTTGGATTTGATAGACCTGGCGAAGTCTCCTGCCCAAATTTCGCAGAACTGAGTGAAGATGATGACGCTTGCAAGCAATGATGGACAATTCTTGCCGGTCAGTGACTGCTGCGTATGCCGATGTACCATTATAGGCCAGACTCACGTAGTTGCGCTAAGACGCTGCAAGGCCACCAGCCAGACGAAGAGCTGAGCAAAGAGAACTGCAGCCAGTATGCCCAGCCTTTTCGGCAGCACGAGCATATGTGGATCGCTTCTTCTCAGCGCAGGAACCCATTGCCACACTCTGAACCACGAAGCTTGTCCGATCGCGGCTATGACGAAAACGATAGCAGCTATTGCCCAAGGTCCACCTGCTCCCTGCACGGACGCAGCCGCTTGTCGTGTGCTTGCAAAGATGGACTCTCCGTCTACTGGACTTCCCTCCGAGTTTGAGCCACTCGGCATGGCCAGCGGTTCGTGCGTCGACTCAGAATGCTGTTTGAGCAACCAATGCCGAGCCAAGAGGGCGGATGAAGCGAGAAGCGTCTTGTCCAGCAGAAGAGCGAGCAACAAGTCCGTCGGCACGCTGGTAGCTAAGGAAGGCAGCGTCGAGGGCGTGGGAGCATGCGACATGTGAGTCGGCCTGCGACTCCGAGCGGTTGGCTTGCTATTGATCGAGGCAGCGCTCTCGACGTGAGCAGTAGTGCTCATCTTGGGCTGCATGACCAGCTTCGACAGGGAACAGCGCGTGAAGGTGTGCTTTTGCTGTGTCAGTGGGACCGTCTGAGCCCCTGAAGGCCAGCTGGAATTGTCGAAAAGTGGCCCTTGCTGTCTTTCAGTTGAGATGCGAGCAGTGACGAAAGGAAGGATGAGGTGGGTGTCACGGTTGCAAAGGAGTGTGTGGTGCGGTGATACTGCTTCTGACCACGAGCCGGTTGGTGTGCCTGAACAAACTTGTGACCGGTAGTGACGGCGAGCAGTGTCAAGGACCTGCCGTATTGTAGAACATGACAAGAAAGTCTTTCCTTTTGGATGTCAATGCTGTGCCTCGTCGCGAATATACGAGCAGGACATGGGGTCGCGAGGGAAGGCACGTACCTACAGACGAGACAAACACGCAGCAGGGCAGCAGCCGGCTTGCCGTGTTGTGCCGCCATGCACGTTGTATGGCGCCAATCGCTCACCCAGCAGAATGCAGGCAACCGCCGAAGAGGTTGCCTACTGCCGGCTGCCACTTGTGGCTCTGCTGCTGCTGCTGCTGCAACATCAACGAGTGATCTTGCATGGCAGCGCTTAATGAGTCGCACGGGGCGCCTTTGCGGGACACTTCTCGCACGAGAGACTCAAGAAGATCACACAAGTCGTACTCAATCCTGAATGTGAACCAAGGAAATGTTCGCGGTCCCGTGGAGCAAGGCTGAGGCGGTGCGAAGACCGTTCATCGCATTCGCCCCATCTCTCCTCGCTCACTTCAATCGTCCCCAAGCGCCGCATCCGGCCAAGAATAGGGCGACTGTTGGAATTCTGCTTAGCTGCTCACCACCGAAGTGCCAAGGATTGGAAGCGTAGGACCAGTGTTCAAGACAGGAGGTAGCCATTCGCCCTCACATACCCTTTATCTGCCCTTGTGATCGCACCGAGACCATGTCCGGGTCAGGGCAAATCGACGTGGGCGATCTCACACCACAACAAGTGAGTTGGTCGAGTTATACTACTCACACGTCGACCTCATCCCTGTCCGGGAAGACGGGCGCAATTCGCCACCTCAGATAAGGCACAAAAAGCTAAATGCCACACCTTCATCATCTTTCAGCTCCTCGATGTGCGGCAACAGCTCACATCAGAGCTTCAGCATCTAACAGCATCCTACGGCCAACTCAAGGCAGCTCAGCTCAAGTTCAAGTCATGTCTGGATAGTCTGGAAGAGATGGGTTCCAAGGCGGAAGGCAAGGAGAGCTTGATCCCTCTTAGCGCCAGTCTTTACGTCCCTGGCAAATTGAGGAATACGCAAAAGGTCATTGTGGATGTAGGCACTGGGTATTACATCGAAAAGGTGCGTAGATTGGTTTTGTCATGCGGCAGGGAGAGGCAGCGCGAGGATCAGGTCATGACGTATGCACATCGCATACAAGGTTGACAATTGACCCCACTTCACCTGGCAGGACATTCCCAGTGCTCAGAAAATGTACAAGGAGAAGATATCGTTCGTTCAAAAGTCACTGGACGAGCTGCAAGCTACCATTGTTCGCAAAGAGGACAACATGAAGGTAGTCAGGGACGTCTTGACAGTCGTGAGTCTGCTCTCATTTGCTCCCGTCGAGGCATTGTCACGTGACGCTTTGTGGATTAGGCTCATCAGGCTGACGAGGTGTCTTGCGCCGGCTGTCTCTCCGGACAGAAAGCAGCTCAGGCGAAGCAGCAGCAGGAGTTGCAGCAAAGGGAACAGACGGGGGCTCCCTCTCAGACGTCATGAATTGCAATGCTCATATCATTCCGACAGCTCGCGCTTGACCGAACGCATGCTCGTTGCGTGACATTGCTACCAAACCCCTGAAAGCTCGATCACACAGACCGTCGCCGTAGCAAGGGCTAGTGATTCGCTGCGAGCGCCAAGACTGCCGAGAGCATCGTTTCAGAGTGGGGGCTGTTGTACGTGGACATGGCCACAGTGACGTGTTAGCTTGGGGCCGATTTCAGTCGGTTAAGATCGGTTAGTCGTTTCGAGAGGGTGCAGGGAAAGTCGAAAGGTACTAGGGATGCTGTGAAGAGCCATGTGATGTAAGCTAGAAGGAAGGCACTGTAATGAAAGACGCAACGCGAGTGAGGAGAAGAATGTGCTGGTTCATTGGCTAATGTCGAGAATATCCTCAAAGTCCATGTCGATGCCGAGTCCTGCAAGTTCGCTGCCTGATGCCACGCGAGCTTTGGATGCGTGCTGAGCTGGACCAGTTGTGTGCGATGGTGCGGATTGCCCTTTTGTCCCGTTGGTCATCGAGCTGGGTGCTACTTGACGTTCCAGAGGATCTTTGGTGCTGCTGGAGGTAAGGCTCGCCAATCTCTTGGAGCTAGACGGTGTTGCAAATACGCCTCGCAGGCGAGGGCTGCCAGTAGCAGTGACGGAGAGGCTGTATTCGTCGTGAGTAGGCGTCCTGGGCAAGGGGCTGCTGGATGGCAGCTCGTCCTCGTCACGTTGACCAGACGAACGTCTTGCGCTCCTCCTCACTGACGAAACGTTGGTCCCTCTAGAGCGCTGTGAGAGGAGTTCGGGAGTGTGAAGAACGCTGCTGGAACCGAATCTAGCGCCAGACGTGGATGTGCTTGGTGACGGCAGCAGCCAGCTGTGGTGCTCCTGGTGCGAGCCTCCATCTTGCAACCGGTCACCGACGCTTGTCGAGAAGGCGAGGGACGGCAGACCAACGCCATAGTCTGAGTCATCGTGAGTGTGTACAGCCGAGGAAGGATGCTTGTGTCCTCCGAAAGCTGTGCCGAGCAGCCCCGTGGTAGGGGGGGTGCCAAGCCAAGGTGCGTGGGAATTGCGGCGCTGGCTGGGCGACGCAAGCGAGGCTCCGGCACCGGAGGTAGATGGCTGACTCCACGGAGAAGAACCACCTATCATGAGCCTCGAAGGGGTCGAGAAGGGATCGTCTGGATTGTAGTCGCCCTCGACGGGTCTGCTGTGACTTGTTCCGTAACGCGCCCGCGAGCCGCTGCTTCCGCCGCTGCTGCCGTGGAGCCGCGACGTCTTCGCATGGCGGCTAGGCGTCGCGAAAGCGGAGGTAATCACGGCAGGGCTGGGAGTACGCGCTGGCCTCTCGCGTCCTGCCTCATTGACACCTTGGCTCTTCGTCGTCTCGTCGCTCGAGGCATGGACATGCCAAGTATCGTCAGCATGCTCATGCGTGCTCCAGCTGTCACGCGGCAGCATCAGGTTAGGAGTGCCAAACGGATCGTCCAGCGCAAAGGTGGCAATGCGCCGACGATTTGGACTGGGGCTTGCTGGTGCATCGCTGTGTGGGTCGAAGCTCTTGCGGTCAAGTGGCGAGGCTGGCTCAACGTAGTACGAGCCAAATCGAGCAGCGCGCGTGCGAACGGCAGGCGCAAAAGTTGCGGCAGTACCTGTCGATGAGCCTGCCGCCGTCGAAGCACCAACTGTAGCGGCGAACGACTGCTCCCGCTCGCCACGCGTGTGGTACGAAGCAAGTCGTGGGCTGGGTGCCAAAGCCAGAGCATCGAAGCGCGTGCTGCGCAGTGCTGCTGGGCTTTCTGTGGGATGGGCAAACACGGGCTCTTGCTGGCTACGTGCAGAAGCCTGCGCTTCCTGACTGAGCTGCTGCAACAGGCCCTCGAGCGGTGTGCTGTTGGCCGAGTCTCCGAAAGAGAATCCGGTCGAAATGTCATCGGGGTCACCCGGGGAGGCGTTGTGGAGATAGCCTTCGCAGCAGCCATCGCAGTACCACTCTTCGTCTAGGTCGTCTTCTGAAGCGATACCCAGACAGTACAAGTGGTACCAGCTGTGACAAGCGTCACACCGGACCATGGCGCCCAAGGTCTCCGCATGACCACATGAACAGCCTATGATGGATGGCGAGGCCGCAAGAAGAAGAGCATCCGTCGTCCTTGCGCTAGGGGTCAACAAAGCCGAGTCCGGTGCGCCTCTCGTACCAGCACGCAAGGTGTCCTTGCTTCTCGAGCTCTTTTGCCTCGCGTCTTTTGCGGTCGAGTGTGCGATCGCAGTGAGTTCAGCTTTGGCAGCAGCAGCTTGGGCCAACTTCTTCTCGAGCTTCTTCCTCGAACGAGATGACCGTCCTTGAGAGTGCTTGGATCCGCTGTCTGCCTTCCGAGATCTCCTGCGAGGCGACACAATACCTTGCGGCTGGGATCTCATGTCGGGCATGGAGTAGCTTCGCGCCATTGCTTCTCGACGTGCGCGATCGCGCAAGGCTTTAGCCACCATGGGATGCTGGTGCTGATCCTGAACTCGCAGGACCTCTTCGCGTTTGCGCTCTCCATCGGCGTAGAACGCATCGGCCAAGACCACATCGGAGAGGATTTTGGATTGAGGTGCTGACGACGCAGCCTCGTCGTCTCTTCGCTCAAGCCAGCGTGCGATACCGCCCATTCGACTGTCCTTCTCGTCCCTGCCGAGCGCGTCGCAGCACAGCTGGGGAATATTGTGGGTACTACCCTCGCTCGTGCCCGGTAGTTGTGCGTCGATGCCCGGTCCAAGGCCTTGACCAAGCTTTGGCAGACTCATCTCGCAACTCGGAGTCTGCGTGGGAGCCTCAGCTTCGGCAGTAAGAGCTGCACTGGCAACGTGGCCTTTGCGGGGGCTTTGCGAGGACTGCATCCTGGCTATAGCAGGTGACGGTGAACCTCCAAAGGAGCTGGCAGGAAAGTGACTGGCAAGACTGAAGCTTGGGCTTGGGACACTTCGGAGACCAGTGCTTTGAGAGCTCGGCGTCTGCGTTGGTCTCCGCTTTGAGCTGGTAGGTGTGCTGTTACCAACCGCCATCGAAGGGGTTCCTTGCATCTGCGCAGCAACCAAAGGGCTGACTATGAGGCGGCCGCGTCCGGGAACCTCAACCGCGACAAGGGCTGACTTTTGTTCAACTTTGGGTATCTTGCTGGGTGAGGCGGACGTAAGTCCGTCACCGAAAAGCAGAAGATGATCGAAACGCGGAGTTTGCGATGCTTGTATGGCAGTGTGAGGTTCGTCTGCGCTCATCAGAGAGGTTGGTGGCGAAATGATTCCGAGCGCGGCGGCTTCGCGAGCTGAGGGCCCTGCTTTGTAGCCATTGAGCCCTGCAGCAGCCCATCCGCCAATGTCGACAAGTGTAGGGGCGTTCTCATCGCTAGAAATTTGACCGTTGCGCCGTTTGCGAGGTGTGACGTGATTGTTGTGAAATTTTACGTCTCCAATGCTTTCGCTGCGTCCCCTTCCCAAGGATGGATTTTGCTGTCGCTCGGTGTTCGAAGGTCGCTTCTCTAAGCGTGGCACCGTGGTGGGCGCCATGGAAGGGGGCGGAGTCCCCCAAATATCCACGCCGGCCATTCGACGACCTCTGCGGGGCGTGTGAAGTATGTTGTTAGAGGGTGAAGAAGTATTGTAAGAATTTTGAGCTTCTTCAGGATGAAGCGCGAGATGGCCACGGTTGGGTGGTGTGCGATACGGGTCCACCCTGTTGAAGGAGACTGAAGGGCCTTCAGCAGCGTGTCGTGCTAGTGCTGCTTCCATCATGGTTGCAGCTGGCAGAGTAGGCGTTGGAAGGCGGAAGGGGAGTTAGTGCGATCCACTTGGACTGGAAGCTCAAGGCTTGAGCTCTCGTGCGGCGCGCGATCCCTCTACTGCAAAATCCGCCCTGTGCGAGATGTGCGCCGTGCTTCTGTGGTGACAGAAGCTTCAAAGCAATCTACCTGGAGCTCTGAAGTGCACGTTGAGCTAGATTCTTGAGCTGGCAAAACGGCGTGGCGAGGTGTTGCGAGGTTGCAGGCTGTCCGCGCAATGGCTGCAGGAAGTGTCTGGACAGGGTGGCTAAAGTGTCAGCGCCCTCGCTAGAAGCAGGAAAATACGTGGAATGACTAATGAGACAAAGGAGCGCCGAAGTACGACATGACTTGCCGGCAGACATGTTTGACATGCCAGCTCAGCATGTCGTTGACGGATGCCGATATGTGCTCGTTCAGACGCAAGTAGGAAGCGAACACCGCGAGATCTGTTCAGACGACTCCCGCCTTGGCGCAACAATTGCAATCGAGCACGACATTTCGACCTTTTGCGGTACTCGCCCCTTTGCACCACACACCGATGTCTCTAGATCACCGTCGTTGCCCTCACTGTACCAAGTTGCTGTACTCACGGACTGCTTTGCGCTTCCAAGGAGTCAGGCTGCCTTCCAGCTGAAGATGTGGAAGCTCGAATCTCGCGCGCTGCGGTGAGCACGGCAGGGGAAGGCCGGGCAATCGACTGATGTGCTGCTGAGAAGACGTAGCACAGCAGCGCCGAGTGCTTGGGAGAAGTGGGAGGCCAAGGTGCTGTATTACGGAAATGCTGAGGTGTTAGGGAGGGCTGCGAGTGACTATGCTTGTAGTGGGTCGAGGCAGGAGCCCTATCCTAGAGGAGACCCACTCCCTTGAAAGATCCACCTTTCCTAGGTCTTATCGGGCTCTGTGCGCTGGTTGTGGATGGTGGATACAGCAAAGTGTCGTGTATGTTGCTCTGCCTGGCAGTGCAGAGTCAAGATAGAGGAGCACGCCGTCAGCTGCTAGGCTTGGCTAGGGTGGATGGATGCGGTTGTGCAGTGCAGTGGAGAGGTACCAATGGCGAAGAGTGAGTCGCAGAGTGGAGAGGTGGAATGGGTCGACGCTTCCCGTAGGTGCTGCACATGGCCCATATAGCACGCTCGTCCGACTCACAACTCGACTGATCCAAATGCGCGCGGGCAACAAAACTTGATCCGTGCCGTGGCCAAGGACTCGAGGGAAGGTCCTGCACAGCATACATTGCAGCTGTACGGTTAGGTACAGTCAAAGCACGGTACGGTACGGTAGTCAAGCCGGCACTGCTGCTGATGCCCATGCCCATGCCCATTTGCCTTGGAGCGGAACTTGTCATTTCACAAATTCAAGCACAGCAGCGCCACGCCTGCATGAACCCGCATAAGTCACATCACATCCTCTTCGCCGGGCTCGTCACATCTTGATCAGGGAGGCCCGCAAGACATTGAGTGATTGCTGTCTCGGCACCGAGGTTCTGCCAGGCAGGCCCTCTTCCACAACGGCTAGCTTTGTAGGCTTTGAACACCTATCTCTCCATTCTGCATTCTTGATTGCAAGTCCCTTTTTGACGATCTTTGACGAGGTTTACGATACTTTTCCCGGAATTTGAAGCGGCTCAGCTTCGTCCGGCGATCATTCGAAGCTGCACTACCCACCCGCTGCAACATGCGCATCTGCAGCAGAGGATCATCAGAGTGATGTGCTCTCTTTGGGATGAGACCCTGATCGTTGCGTGTGAGTGCTCGATGTGTTGCATCGGCGCACGGTCAGGTGGGGAGCGGAGCCTCTCTAGTCAGGCTATGGAACGAGCGAAGGCTGAGATAAAGATGTATAGTTCGGCGTAGATTTCAAAGCAGCACCTCCGCGACCAGCAGCCAGACGAGAGCTGCGGTCTGTGGGCTCTTCTTCTAGGATATATGCTGCACCGCACTCGAGCTCTCTAAGCGCACCTTATGCCGAGCTCGTTCTCCGGTCATGCGCTTTCGGGGAGCGCGACCCACATCCTCGTTGGTCCGCCAAAGCTAGGCAATCCTCGAGACTAGTCCATCATGTGAGACTCTGACTGTACTGTACGCGATGAACTCTCACGAGTCTACTCAACTCCCAGCAACGCAGACAGCATATCAAGGCGTTTCATGACGCAAAGGCTCCACTTCAATGCATCCACGTGGTTGCAAGCAACCGATACTGTATATCCATTCATCACAACAGACTTTTGCATCGCTCGATGCATTGCTGGCGCATCTCGAAAACTTTCTTGCATCACATTTAGAAAGTAGGTGTGATGATCGCCTCTTCCGGACCGAGCGGTCACGGGCGGGTCCGGCATCATTCAGAGAGTCCAGCCTAGGCTAGCCTTCAGTCCTAAAGGCATCGCAGCTGCCCTGAGCCTCTGGCAGCCAGTCTAGAATGCGTACACTCACAATTAGGTGCCTCTATAGCTCGTGTCGCAGCCACATTCGTGATGCGTAGCGGAGGCAACACGATCGGCTGGGGGGGTCTAGAACTACATACTCATAGCTCTAGGACACACCGAGCATCGAGGCTGCTAATTTCACTCTCGTTGAATCTGATCCATGTCAGGGACTGCGAGTGCTCGGCCTCCTCTCAAGCAAGCTGCTGCTAATGAGTAAGGAAGGGGCGCCACAGACACCGTGATTGCTGAGGCAGCGCCAGCGTCGTCTCTAGACTTTCTTCCCAGCTCACGTTCGGTCCAACTCCACTCGAGAAGATGCAAGGAGGTGAATGTCGCCTCAAGCGTCTGCTACAGCCTGAAGAGTACTTTTGTCCTTGCTGCATGGGAATCTTTTATCCGGCACACGAGCAGTGTCTCGCACAGCAGTCGTTTAGCGCGCAGCAGAACGCGAGCGGCCACCTCGCTTCAGGCACCGCGCCCCGAGTGAACAAAGCTCATCGATCCTTCCCGCACGAGTTGGACCCCTGCAGATTATTCGCGTCGCGTGTTGCTGACGCGACGCGCTTCAATTTAACGCTCCGCACACGCCATCGCAGTTGAGTCTGTCTGATCATGAGGCGTGTGTCAAACGCAACGTGTTAATCTTGAATGGCCGTTTGGGAAGCTCCATGCAGCGGACTCCCATCGACGTGCATCGCTGGTGGAGCGCCTGAGCGATCGGATTGAGCATATCATATCACACATGCGAAAGCAGGGTGATGCCTTCTGCAGTCACACACATTTGTCTGCTTGTTCGTTAGACACTTAGTTCTCCTCTGCACTCAAGAGGCTCATCAATCGTAAACAATCTTAAGACCGGCCGCGAGCTGATGTGACTGCGAAGTGGCTCATGTCACGTGATATTGCCGCTGACCGAGCGTTGAGTGCGGCGAAGCCACGATTTATGACGTGCATACACGCTCTTCCTTATCTTGCGGGGCTAGACTTCGCCCTGCGGTCCGATTGAAATGGTTTGCCCACATTCATCACGAGCTTTGATGGCGACGACATCCACTGTTCGCGACGCGGCAAAAGTCACACAAGGCTCTGCAAGACGAACATACCCTACAGCCTGGGGTGCGAAGGTTAGGGTGCCAAGCGTATCTCGTCCGCGATGCACCTGCTGCCCAGAGAGCGGGACAAGGTCCTTTTGCATCAAGTTGGCGCGCTGGCTCAAAAACGCCTGGCGAGGGGGGTGAAGCTGAATCAGACCGAAGCCACAGCACTGATCGCGACTGTATTGCAAGAGAGGATACGAGATGGCACACACAGCGTCGCAGAGCTGATGCAGCATGGCAAGACACTCTTGGGTCGCGACCACGTGCTGCCCGGAGTACCCGAATTGCTGCACGAGGTCATGGTGGAGGGATGCTTCCGCGACGGCACATTCCTCGTCACGGTCCACGACCCCATCTGTACGCCGACCGGCTCGCTCGCCGACGCCCTCTTTGGCAGCTTCTTGCCGGTTCCCAAGCAAGCGTTATTCCAAGAATATGCTCCACCCCATCACGTGCCTGGTGCTTTGGTCGTCCTCGCAGGCGCAGCTCCCATCGTGCTCTGTCCAGGCAGAGACCGCATCTCTGTCCGAGTGACAAACACTGGAGACAGGCCAATCCAAGTCGGCTCGCATTATCTCTTCTCGGAGACCAACCGGGCCCTGAGATTCCCGCGTCTCAGAGCGGTTGGGTATCGCTTAGACATCGCTGCCGGCACAGCCGTGCGCTTTGAACCGGGAGATGTGCGCACGGTAGGCCTCGTCAGCGTCGCAGGCAGTCGTAAGCTCAGTGGGGGATGTGGCATCCTAAACGGTGATCTCTCTGCTGTTGCCGACGATATTCGGCGTGATCCCGAGGGCTTGCGCGCTCGCATCACAAGCTTGGGCTTTCTCGACGCGCCTGCTGAAGAGTACGCAGCTCTCGAAAGTCAGCCTCCGCCCCGCCCGATGCAGCTCTCGCGTGCCGCTTACGCAGCTTTGTATGGACCAACAAAGGGCGATCGAGTCAAGCTTGGGGATAGTCCATTGTGGATCGAGGTCGAACGAGACATGTGCAGCTATGGCGACGAGTGCAAATTTGGAGGTGGCAAGGTGCTGCGCGACGGGATGGGCCAGGCCTCGGCTCGGAAAGACGGCGAAACGTTGGATCTAGTCATCATCAATGCGCTCATCGTCGACTGGTGGGGCGTCGTCAAGGCAGATGTCGGAATCAGGGAAGGTGTCATCGTTGGCATCGGCAAAGCGGGCAACCCAGATATCATGGACAACGTGACGGAAGGAATGACTGTAGGGAGCACTACAGAGGTGATGGCTGCTGAGAATCTCATTCTTACAGCTGGTGCCATCGATGCGCACGTTCACTACATTTGTCCGCAGCTCATCGAAGAAGCGCTGGCGTCCGGTATCACCACTCTGATTGGTGGTGGCACTGGCCCGACCTCGGGAAGTTCCGCCACCACTTGTACTCCGGGCAGAGATCAGCTTCGCGCGATGCTCCGAGCCACTGACCAAATGTGCATGAACTTTGCGTTCACTGGCAAAGGCAACGACAGTCATCCAGACGGTCTGAGAGATCAAATACGCGCCGGATGCGCAGGTCTCAAGCTGCACGAGGATTGGGGCACAACTCCGTCCACAATCGACTCTTGCTTGACCGTTTGTGATGAGCTGGATGTGCAATGCAACATACACACCGACACGCTCAATGAGTCGTCCTACGTCGAAGACACTATCGCGGCCTTTAAAAAGCGGGTCATACACACCTACCACTCAGAAGGTGCTGGTGGAGGGCACGCTCCCGACATCATTCGAGTGTGCGGAGAATCTAACGTGCTTCCTTCCAGCACGAATCCAACCAGACCTTACGCCTCTAATACGCTTGATGAGCATCTCGACATGCTCATGGTATGCCATCACCTGAGTCGAAACATCGCCGAAGATGTTGCATTTGCGGACAGTCGAATTCGTGCCGAGACCGTGGCAGCGGAAGACTGCCTGCAGGACTCTGGAGCGATCTCGATCATCTCTTCGGACTCTCAGGCGATGGGAAGAATAGGCGAAGTGGTGTCACGCACTTGGCGCACGGCTGCGAAGATGCGAGAAATGACTGGTCCGCTCAAGGACATGACGCAAGGGCAGGATCCGCCAGATGACGACGGCCGCGACAATCAACGTGTTAAGCGCTACGTGTCCAAGTATACCATCAACCCGTGAGTCATGGTGCTGATGCTACTTTCAACCATGTCTGATGCGCTGATGCCCCTTGCTCTGCTTTGTCCTGCCGGTCGATAAGTGCCATCGTGCACGGCATGTCGCATCTCGTAGGCTCTGTCGAGGTCGGCAAAGTTGCCGATTTGGTATTATATCGGCCCGAGAACTTCGGCACAAAGCCCGAGATCGTACTCAAGGGCGGGCAGATTGCGTGGGCGCAGATGGGAGGTGAGTTACCATGAAGTTTCTTTACGCTCGCCTCGAGTGTCAGGCTGACGAACATCGTGGACCCAAACAGATGCCAACGCCAGCATTCCAACGGTCCAGCCGATCTTCGGAAGACCCATGTTTGGTTGGCATGCAGGGCAACACAATTCGATTGTATTTGTCAGCAAAGCATCCATCGACGAAGGTGAGGACTTGACGACTTGCTCCGTGTTTCACTGATGACGTTCGATGGCCTGACCAAGTCCGTCTTGTGTGTGTGGCTAGGCAACATAGCATCCTACGATCTCAAGAAACGCGCCGAGGCGGTTCGAAATTGTCGCAACATCAGCAAAAGGGACATGAAGTGGAATGATGCGCTGCCCAGGCTTACGGTGGACCCAGAGACGTGAGTACGGGGAAGTGCGAAGAGCGGTAGCGATCCTGCGGGGCATCGTCCGTAACCGACGTTTTCCTTGCTTTTTTCTTCAGTTACGATGTGACAGCGGACGGAGAACTCTGCACAATCGCGGCATCGACCTCGTTGCCCATGACACAAGCCCAGCATCTCTTCTGAGCGGCTCAATTATGCTGGTGAAGCTTGCCGCACACCATCCCTCTCTACGGCCGTCGGACTCAACGAAGGCGCACGAAATGTTTCCCCTCTCAATAGCCACAGACGCATCTGCTTCTCATTGCGCGCAAGTGTCTCATTAGCTGCGAGACCCGCAATTACGACGAAACGAACAGTGGAATACGGAGCTCAATTTTCTGCTGCGCTTTCCTCTAAGCGGTCCATGAAGCTCGCACGTCGCGGGTTGATATTGTAGGTCTTTCCACGCACTGCCCAGATGCCCCAATTAGCCTTTACAGCGACGCGGGGGTCGAAGTCCGCTGACGGGGAATGGATGGAAAATGTGTCAGAAGTCATCACAGAGCCACTTCGAAGATCTGCAGTTCGCTTTGGACACTCACCGATGACCCATTGTTGACTTGCAAAGGTGTTCTCCCCGGGAGTGATCAGCCACTCGAACTCTCCCATCACACCTTCAATGCTTTCGAAAGCGAGGACGTCCCTCTCGATGTCTGCAGGGCTGAAGCCCGTGGCAATGAGGGCGCACTTGGTGCTCAGGATGTTGCCAATGGCTCTAGCCCACTCCGCTTGTGCCTGCACGACCGGCGCGCTCACGACTGATGTGAGGCCAGGATCGGCTGCGCCTGGCATAGCTGGGGCGGGTTCAGCGGAAGGAATTTCTCCGCCCTCGGGCGCAGGTGTACCTTCCGCGGCTCGGAAAGGCATCGATCTGCTCCCAGATCGCGTCTCTCCCCTGCTCTCTTCTTCCTGCGCACTCTTGGCGTAATAAGTCTCCCTGGCGGCCTTCATCTTCTTCTCGTCCTCCCTCTCTTCCGCCTTTGCTCTTAATGCCTCTTGCACAGCTAGCTGAGACGGAAAACCAAAGCCTGGCGAGAAGGCGAAAAAGACGTCGGTGTATGGGTCGAAAGGTTCCAATTGAGCGTGCACATCTTCGTAAGGAGCTTGCAACGTCGTGATAGTCAGTCCTCTTGAGACGACCACCGTACTGCTAGGCACACCGTAGCGGCTCTTGCGAGGCTGTTGAGAAGGTCCCGTCACGTATGCGCTGTCCTTTTGCTGATTGGGGACAGCTTCTGGGCCGATGAGAAAGACGTGAAAAGCGACGCCTGGGAATATGTATTGCAGCTGATCCCAGACTTGAGGTGGCAGCGTAGACTCTGCTCGAGCTCCGACAACGATGAGGCGAACGACGTCCAGCGTGGGCTTCTCGCCAAGCTTGGGGTGCAAGGTCTGTCTCAAGGCTGCACCGAGGATGGGTACGAGCCCGCGAATCAATGGTCAGCGCGATCTGAGTTTGAAAGAATGCCAGTCCTTGTCTCACGAGACTCCACCAAACACTCACCAACCATGCTTCGCAAACCTTCGTGAGTCAGCCGCATCGATCTCCTGGTGTATGGACTGTTCTCGTGCAAAGCTCCAGCAATCGTGGTCGGAAAGGTCAACAACCTGGTAACGTGCCTCCTCGGCCTGTCCGTCTCTATGGAGTTGTGATTACGAGTGTAAAAGTAGACGTCCCAGGAGCTGAAATTGATGACTTCCTCAAAGCCCTGGTGGGCTGCAAACGCACAAGATCGCATTCGAGCGCGTGAGCGGACCGAAGGAACGATTACCTTCATTGCCTTGGCTTTCACTGTACTCACCGGGCAGCTTGAACTCTGCAATATCCCTGCCGCTCCTGAGATCGTGCTCGTCCTCATTGGCCTCTCGCAGCCTAGCCATGTATTTGCCCTTCTCCGTGTCCAGCTCCCACTCCCCTCTCCCTGCATGCGTAGGCCAGCCAGAGACGGGGCATTCGTACGCTACGAGTTTCCTCTGACCTTTGGTCAAAGAGTAGGGACAAGGAGCTTGGCTTCGCACCCTCTCTCCTCTCGCTCGCATGGCAGGGATGGGCGATTTGGACAGAGGGTGAAACAGCTCGTCTTGAGACAAGATTGGCTGCTTTGAGCGTCCTTGCTTGAATGGATCCTCCTCCTCTCGTGACGTCCTGCGTCGAAGCCATGAGAGGAAAGTCCGTCGCTGAGCTTGCGGCGTGGGTTGCTGATCAGCTCGAGCGCTGCCGTACTGCAAGATCGACGTTGGCCGGCGAGCGTGCGCCGTCAGCGTCGCTGCAGACAAAGTCGACTGCCAACATTCTCGTCCGCTCCCCGATCGATACGTCGGATTGCTCACGCGTCGATATAAGAGTGTGAAGCCAATGGTGTGCCTGCCCTGGGCAGCGCCGAGGCGAAGCGAGTTGGCTATTCTCGGGGTGGACATGCCGCGTGTAGTCTGAAGCTTGTACCGGCGGGCAGTCGTTGCTTCACGTATCCGCCACGTCGAGGTCAGGTCGAGTCGACTTCGCTGCACGCTTCACTCTGACTAGGTCACGAAAGGTCACGGGTGTGCGAATGGCGAGGGAGAGCTGATTGTAAGCCAAGGCTGCCACGTACGAGCGATGCTTGCCCTTCATTCACGAACACGATCACGAATCCAAGTGGAGAGAGCAGCAGGGCGCGCTGCGATTTTTGCATCTTCGCGCGCCATGCATGCAGTCACGGGCGCACGCGCACGCATGGATGTCTGCCCGCCTTGGTCGCTGATGAGGTCAGGAGCGTTGATGCACGCGCGGAGAGCATACCCTGCAACCACATGGAATGATCGCGAATTCGATGTTCACACTGGTCCGGGCGTTCGAACGGACCTCAGCCACCTCCTCAATCGTCTCCTTGCCAGCAAGCGGATCTATTGCGGCTTTGTGGAAAGCTGATAACATCTCGGCTCCTGCCTGAAACGTTATAGCGGTAGGCAGCAAGCTACAAGCATCTGTTTCATGGTAACCTCATCGTTTTACACGTCGCTATGGCTGACTTTGCTATACGTCGATGATCGGCTTTACTCCTCCATCGCCGTCACATCTCCTTCCGTAGCTTGACCACCGGGTGCGCCAGTCCCATCCCCAGGTGTGGCGCCAGTAGTCGTGGAGACGGCAGGATTAGCTCTAGGTGAGAGCTTTTCCAAGAATGGTCTCAAATCTTCTCCCTCGATGATCTTGAACTTCTCGGCCGTGCGAGCCGATGGATCCGAAGCATCCGCATCTGCTCCTGGTCCAACGATAGAGAGAGAGACTGCATCCAATTCCAGCTGTGGGCGTCGTGTGCACGATGCGGTCAGCGTCGCTCGAAGCTTGCGTGTCTCAGCACTCGTGGCGCCTGGCTCACCTCTTTGCCTTGCTGCAACGTGTCTCGCAATGCATACAATCCCTCCATGATGACCTCTTCTCTGCTCAAATCCTCAAAGGTATCCACCTTTCTCTCCAAGTAGGTCTTTGCACTTTGAGATCTTGCTCCTAGAGCCATAGCGTAGTACTCGAAGCAGTTGCCTGTGGGCGAAAATTCGTACAGGTGTGCGCCACTTCCGTCCACTCCTGCCACCAAGAATCCCACACCGTACGGTCGCTTGCCGTACTGCATGGTGTTCAGTTGAGCACGGTCTGCCAGCGAAGAGATAAGACGGGAGACCGGAAGGGGACGACTGTAAAGCAATCGAGAAGATAGCGCCAATTGCCTCATGTAGTTGCTGCGAGCGTGACCAAACGTCCCTCCTCATCAGTCCTGCTCCCAATGTCTCGTTGCTCGGCATGCCCAAGCTCACCTGAGAACTCTTGCATCACTGGTCAGACCGGCAAAAGCGATTCCGACGTGATTGTCCACCCTGAGCATCTTGTTCTGATGGCTAGCCAGCTCCGAGGGCGCTCGCTTGAGAGCCACGAGAACAGCATGAGTCTTGCTCCTCAGTCCGACGACTGCTGATCCTTGCTTGACCGCCTCCTGCGCATACTCTACCTGATGCAGACGACCCTGCGGTGAGACTGTACGACAAGATTGTCAGCCTCCTCGACATGGGAAGTGATGCGCACACTGACACTACTTACAGACGGTGTTGTCCGAATCGTATGAGCTGCCAGAGCGTGTGCAGGACCTGTCAGCCTTGCTCTGACCGAAAAGCGAGCCTCCCTGTCGTCACTCACTTTCGAAACTGTTGGCGACCAGTGCGTGTGGATGCGTGGGGAGTGAGCGGTGCAAATTCGATTAGCAGAGCGCGAACGCCAAAGGAGAATGGACCTCACTCACCATCGTGGCTCAAACGATGCGGCTGTGCACGGATTGTATACTCCGGGTCGTCAGTGTGAGCAGCTCGAACTTGTGCGACCAGCTCGAGAGGCGATTTGCTGTGAATCGCGGATGATGGTCGACTTTGGGGTATGGAAGCGCAATAATGTCCTTGTCGGGGCTTGCCATCAGCAATCGTGAATCGTGAATGTGAAGTAGTGAATCGTCGTCGTGGATTGTGGGAAGCAAGACGTCCGTGCGGCGCTTGCGCGGCAGGCGCGGTTACCCCCGCGCGTTCGAAGTTGTCACGTGAACACAGCGGGCAATGGTCGATCTTTGATGCGCTCCGACGTTGAGCGAGTCAGGAGAGTCAGTTCGGATGAGTCTTGACGAGTCTGCTTCGCGATCAAGTTTGGTAGTCTTGAGTATCATCGACCGGTTCATGTGCGTAGCTACGACGCCTACCTCTTCAACCGGATCGCAAGTCTGACGAAACTGCTACGCAAAGGCTCTTACGACGATGGGTGGTGCCACTGAGCCATTGCGCAATCGTGAAGATCTGCCTGCCGGATTCGAAGCGTGGCTGGGGGCATGCCGATCCGCAATGAGCGCTTCCTCGCCCTGCGCGAGCACTTCGAGGCTAAAAGTGGATGAGGCCGAAGATAACTCCAAGCGCTGTGCACGCTTCTCCAACGCCTCGCTCAATGCCGCGTTCCCATTCCGCTCGTCCATCGAGAGCACCGCGCCTGCACCGTCTGCAGCCAAGGAGCACACCTTCGCAGAAGTGTTGGACAAGCATGGAGCGGTCACTTTGGACCCTTGGTCGCAAGAAAGGGAGACGGATAGAATGCGCAAGGATAGAGAAAAGGTGGAGCAGTGGAGAGACGAGTTGTTCAAAAGCAGTGGGTACAACTGTGGAGGAGGCGGACAGAGCGGCATGAAAGGCGCATCTCCTCTGCCGTCGTCGCCCCCACCCCCCCCCCCCCCCCAAACCTGTGTTGACGCCGCCGCTCCTTGATGGCACAGGTCCCATAATTCGCTTCATGGTCAAGCACCTAAGCATCGTCGGATGCGCTCCCGAGTCTCAACGCCCCGGTCACATCCCAATCGTCTTGGCGCACTGCAGCGAAGCAACAGCTGGCGGATTTTCGCCCCATCTAACTCGCAAGGAGGAATCGGCATTGATGATCTGTGCAAATCACATCAACAGCAAGACGCACTTGGAGCACACTTTTGCCCACGAAATGATCCATTGGTGGGACCACTGCAGGTTCAAGGTGGACTGGAACGATCTGAGACATCACGCTTGCACAGAGGTCAGCTGAGAAGGAGCCCGACTTCGGTGCTTGTACGGCATGAGACAAGCGCAGCGCTGATTCGAATCCCTTTTCGCCATCTCGCTCAGGTCCGTGCAGCCTCCCTCTCTGGCGACTGCAGCTTCTGGAGGCAACTTGCTGCACCTGGTTTCAACTTCGTGAAGAGGCATCAGGTTCGTCGCTCAGCTGTTGCAATCGCCGAGGCAACCCTCCCATCTCACATCCTTGCACTTCTACTTCCATCGCAGAGGTGTACGAGGCGTCGAGCTATTCTAAGTGTTGAAGCGCATCCTAGGTGTACAAGTCGGGAAGAAGCCGAGCGAGCTGTGGATGTGAGTCCAGTCGACGCAGGCAGTCAGTCAGTCGGTCATCGATCTCGGTGCAGCCTAGCTGAACGGCGCGTGACCGCACTTGTTCTCGCAGGAGGTGTTCAGTAGCTGCTTCAAAGACACGCGGCCTTTCGATGAGGTACGTGGCTGCCGTGTACGCTTCCATGACGACGCATACCTGCTGACTGGCGGCTCTAATCTGCGTCTCAGATCTACTGATTCCAGGTGATAGAAATGTACGACGCTGCGGATATCAGATGCCATATTCGCAACGCATTGATTGCTCGCGTGCGTGTTACACGCCGATGCGACACTGAAGCGCTCGGTCGGCGGTCTGCGCGAGGTGTAAGTAGACTCTTCTCTACAAGTATGGCCACGAAGGTGCTGAGATTCAATAGAGCCGGGGAGAGGATGACCTGAAGCAGAGGTGTACAGGCAGGGTTTGAGAACACATCGACGGTGTGAGCTATTCGAGTCGCTTGCGAGCTGATCGGATCTGATGGTACAAGAAGGGGCGAATCGATTGCTGGAGATGGGTCGAAGGCGCAAGGCAAAGTCGTCGCGCTCATGAGACCGAAGCGGGAAGCTGGTGTCGACTGGTGCTGGGCCATTTGACTCTATTCCATCGCCAGGGTCGGTTGAGAGGACTGTCACCGCCTGTGTAGATCAATGCATCGTAAAGGAAAGCACCGACTTGAGCACCGACGACTGTGGCGAGAAGAGGAGTCCAGGCAAAATAGCCGGCGTTGAAGGACCAGAGACCTTGGTAGCCGACCATGCTGAGCATCATGCGAGGTCCCCAATCACGAGCAGGATTGACACAGTAAGCGCTCTGCCAGCCGAGTGTAGCACCGATGGCCATGATCACTTTGGATGGATGATGAGGAAGACAAATTGAGCCATAGTGCCACCCATGCTCGATCTCAGTCCAAGAAATCCACTCACGCCACATCAATATCAAAGGAGCCATGCCTTCGGGGGGTGGCGTGTTGTTGCTGTCTCCCAGAGCAAAGACGACCGCTGCGAGCACAGCAGTGGCAAATACCTCGTTGTAAAAGGTGGTGATGCGAGTGGACTGGGTGCGCAAAAACTCGGCCGGGTACGTGGTGAAGAGCGCGGCCGTCGTTTCCGTTTGCATAGGGTCGACGATTCGAATGGGCACGACGTAAAGGCCGTATATCATCAGGCTGCCGACGAGCGCACCTGCCATTTGCGCGCAAATATAGACGGGTACTTTGCGCCACGGAAAGCGCCTCCAAACGGCCAGCGCGAGCGTAAGTGCTGGGTTGATGTGTCCTCCCGAAATACCTCCTGCAAGCGTCACGCCGAAAAGGACACCGAGACCCCATCCAAAGCTGATGGACAGGTAGTCTCCCTTTGCGTCGGATGCATCGTAAAGCTTGCTGACCGTGACTTGCACGTTGATGCCGTTGCCAAATATCATGAGAACTGCAGTGCCCAGAAACTCTGCAAAGGGCTCGCGAAGCTGGGGCGCGGCAGGCGAGAGGGTTCGAAGGGGTCAGTGGGTGAGCACGGCAAGTCTGCTACCGCTCATCGCTTACGTGGTAACGCCACTTGGCCCAAAGATTTGGAAATTCGTCCTCATCATCCTCATCCTCGTCGATGATCGCCGCGTTCATGCCGCCTCTTGCAGCGACTTGGGGCAGAGGAGCATCTGCAAAACTAGTCTTGCCATCCGTCGTGGCACTTCCATTTCGAGATTTGGAATCCGTGGTGTTGACGCCGAGTTGATCGCTCTGATCGATGGCGCGAAGTTGGCTCTGGAGTTCCTGCGTGTTGGCAGCGATCTGCTCAACTTGCTCCTTGTGGCCTTCATGCGCGAATGTCACTTCTTGACGGACAATGTTGCGAAGCTGGTCCAACAAAAGAGCTGTACCCGCATCGGTGTGCGCCGGAACACTGCCTACGCGGTTGGACTCGTGCGATACACGACTGGGTGCCTTGGACGTCGAAAAGGCCTGCGACAGACCAACGGGATGGCTCTGCAAGGCACGACGTGAGACTACTGCGTCAGTTCATCCGCCGCCAGGCTGGTCAAGCACCATGCAACGATGATGGCTCGCGCGCCACTCACAAATTCGTGGCGCTCGGTTTTGGGCGCTTGCTTCGCCTTTGCTAAGCTGAACTTCAGCGGCTTGACGTAGTGCTGGCCGGTACGCTTGTCTTTGATCACATGGGCGTGCTTGGGCAGCTTCTCGTGCGCTCCGATGGCTTGCATTCCTTCCACTGCCTTGACAGCAAAAGATCCGTCGATTGGGGTTGGCAAGTCTACATGCTCGGCGAGCTCATTCGCAGCATGCAAGGACGCGGCGGATCCGCGGTCGAACGAGGAGCGAGCCGACATTTTCGCTCTGCTCGTCGAATGTGTACCTTCCGCTTGCTCCTTGGATTTGTATGCTCCGATTCCCTGGAGCACAAAGCTGCAATTTTCTGGTACGCGCGCTTCGCTTTGCTTGCTTGCTTGCTGCGAGAGGACTGCGCCGCTGCTGTTGTGGGTGTGCACCAGCCGGCGAAACCGTGTCGATCGATCGGGCGGAGTTCGGTGGGATTCTACGCGCTGCGAAGTCGAGTCTGGGCGTTGGCAACGGCTATATTCACAATTGCGGCGAGTCCATTCGCCGATGGAGTGGAATGGAGCTGGCAAAGTCTCCCGACGTTGGCAGAGGAGGTTGTGGAGAGCGTGGAGGAGTGCGGAGATGGGTGGTCGATTGTGGTGAATTGGACCAAATTATGAAGACTCGGCGGGGTCAAATGGAGGAATTATGCCCTGTCGGGTAGCGTCGACCGAGCGAGCGATCGAGTTGGACCGATCTGCTGTCGGGCGAGCGGGCTGCGTAACAGTTGTGAGTATTCTGCTGCACTTGACTGCAGAAGAGAGGCAGCTTTTTATGCGGCCTTATGAACCGCATCCAGTCAGTCAGTCGATCGTGAGTCCTTTGGTGACGCTCCGCTCCGCTCCTTCTTTCCTCCCCACCCAACTCCGGCACAATGTGCAGCCGAGGACCGTCATGGGAGGAATTGGGCACAGGCAAAGTGGCCCTGCCTTGCCTTTTCGCAGCAGGCCAACACAACAACCCTTCTCCCAAATCGTAGTTGCCAAGCACTAGCGTGGATGCTCGGTGCGCCTCTCACACTCGTGACTTCACTTCTTGCTCCCTCCGTGTTGCCCTTTCACCCGTTGTGGGTTGCACATTCATCGTAACCGGACTCCTTCACAAGCCACGCGGGGACGGAGCTCTCACAAAGCAATCCAGAATCGAGAAAGTGAATCTGAATGGAAGACTCGGATGCGCCACCGGCGACTTGCACTTGACGGGTGCGCGGGTGTGCCCCCGTTATACTCCTCCTCCTGTGGCGGGCATGTTCGCACGTACGTTCACTGCATTACTTGCCGCGCTGTGGCATGATTGCGACGCACAGCTATAGGATTATTGCTGCTGCAAGTGTGAGAGCCCCGCGCACCAGGACACGCACGGCATAATCGCTCCAAAAGCTGCCACCCTTGGCGTTTTCGGAAACTTACTGACGGGAACCGGTGAAGGGTATGTAGGGCGCAGTCGACTGCCGCAAGCCCGGCACGGCTGGTCACGAGCGATTCCTAATCGTCACGGCTCGTCGTACACGTCTTGCACGAAGGACAAGCGCTCGTGTCTAAGGACGACTCAGAGCTGGGCAAAGTGACTCAAATTTTCGTAAGTGTGACTTGCGATGCAGTCAGTCAGTGGTACGCGCGCCTGATGGATGCTGTCTCGCTCCGGAGAAACCAAGCGATCAGAGAGAAGCAGCAGGCGAGTCAAATACTCTCGCGGTCAAGCAGAAGAAATAGCATAACCATCAGCTGACCCTTTGTACGCGGGAAGGCGAGGGTTTAGAGAGACGCCTATTCGCACCGTCGAGCATCAAATGCGCTCTCGCTCTGCTGCTTTTCTGCGGCTGGACGTTCTCTCCACAGCATGCAAAGGACATTTTAATCGCGCTTTTACTGAAATTCACCGAGCCCTTAATTCACGCGTCGCGGGGCAGGCAATGCAAGGCTCAAGACCTTTCGTTATGATGAGTATCAATCTGGACCGCAAAAAGCCACACGGAGTGCATGATTCACGATTGTACCGCCGCTGCTAGGTATCGAGTGAGTCTGTCTAGCCATGTGTGGATATGATCGATCTGAGCATCGGCATTAAAGGTCATTCTGGGCAAGAAGAGCGAAAGGTCGAGGTCCCTCTGCGGGGGCAGGCACGCATCGACCCCCCTCCTCTGCGTCACGCTGACTCTTGACTCGACGTCCTGACCGCCGCGTATCCGCACACGCCCTGCGTGCGTGGCTACCGTACACATACAGTCACGATCGAGTACGCGTCAGCTTGCCTCGGTAGATCTTTGCTGGACCGGAAAGCCGTAAAAGCCCTGCATGTCATGGTGCAGCTGCGTGCATGCACGCTCTCTGCTTCTGACAGCTTTTGACTGATGCACTCAAAGACTCAGAGTGACTCAAGATCCATCACGACTGCTGCTGCGCTGCATGCATGCATGCATGCAATGAGCATCCAGTCGCAGAGCCCCGCGGGCATTTTACCGAATTCGCCGAATTGGCCGGCTGCGCGCGCATGTGTGCCGTACTCACTGCACAGTTAATTCTTGCTGGTGCTCCATGTTGTTGTGCTGGGCTTGGTTGGCGGTGCTTGGCTTGGAATCTTATTGCAAGCGGGGAACGCGTATGGATGATGGGGTCCTCGCTCGATCGCGATATGCGAGCCGAGCAGCGTGAAGCAAAAGTTGAACTCGCGACTCGTCATTCACATTCACATTGTCCCCGAAAGGCCATTTTCTCCATCTTGTATAGCAGCATATATGCATGCGTCTCGATCTGCATGCTAGCTGCTGCATGGCGACAGCTGTCGTTGATTGACGTGAATCAAGGTCACGTTCTGACTCGGTTTCATACCAATCAAACCCCCCAAATTGTGGCGTCGACAAGGAGTTGCAAGTCGGCGACGCTAATCTGCAGCAGAATTAACATGATGGCGTGCGCGACAAGGCAACTAATTAAAAGCGTAACACGCCTTGGCTCGGGCGTTGCATGGGCACAAGCAACTTGATGAGACTCGAGAGCAAATCAAGCTCCACTGACACTCATGACTAGCTCTGACTCGCGACGACAACGATCGACGTGAGACTCGATGGCTTGACGCGGCGATTTCAGTCACGAGTGGGCTCATTCTGAGTTCTACCGTAGGTCTAGCTCCCACACCCGCCCCGCTCCTCCAGCCTGGCCCACGTCTTCAGATCGAGTTTGAGTGAGAGGCACAACTCGAGGGCCTCCCTCTGCAAGTCATCGGCAAGAGCTCCGGTGCCTTGACCAAGTCAAGCAGACGCCAGACTTGCGTCATACGGTGGCTGATGGACGTCGATGTGGAAGCCGCAACCCTGCCTCCCCTTTGTCCGCCATTCCGCTGGCCCTTTAGGGCGCGAGGCGAGAAGAGAAGAAGAGCGCATGCACCACACTCGCCGTGTTCGGCGGCAGAAGGCCGCAGACACGTGTAGCATGCTCATCAGTCATGAGTGGTACTTTCAAATCTTAAAAGTGCAAATCAAACGAATGGATAAAGTAGCGTCAGCGAGAGGAAGAGGACTGTTGCAGCTCACGTGACTTGGGATGGTCCAACACTCTTGACTGCAAGAGGCTTATTGCAATAATACAACAACATCTCCTTGAAATCTTCACCTTGCATGCCTTCAATATGATCTGCTCTATAGCATTCACTCATCCTGCCTTCGTGCAGAGTCGCAGATCAAGATCCAAAGCTCTCGGAACACGATGCATGTGTCTGTGATACTGCCAGCCGAAGGCTCACAGACATGGCCAAGCCAAGGTGGTGCGGGAGGCGAGCAGCCGAGTCAACGTCATGACAGGCGGGCGAGAAGATGCAGGTCGACCGTTGTCCGTTGGATGAGAGTCAGGGCCGCCAAAGACGCACGATGCTGGCTTCATCGCATCTTGGCACACGACAACACCGGCAATCTTGCAGGTGCCCATCTGTCGAGATGTGTGCAAATACGCAACACCACTTGGACAGCCAACGTGCATGTAGATGAGCATCCAAACTTGTGCTCATCCGAGCAGCCTGTCAAGTGAACCTGTCAGCCAGCTAACATTTCGAAGGGGTGCAGCGAGAAGAATCGTAATGAGCGCATCCTTTCTCTCGTCCTACTCTGCACCGCGACCATTGCTTGAAGAAGTGACGACCCCACAACATCACGACTTGACGAATCCTACGAATCCAGACTGCGAAGCTTTGCTCTCGCGCTCGCGCTCGCACTGCGCAGCTCCGGCTCCACCAACCTTGGCGCATACATCTCACACCCTCACCACTTTGCACTGTCGGGGAGGCTCACTTCCACAAAGCAGCAGCATGGCCAATCTCAGTCTCACGACTCTGGTGGAGCTCGCGCTGCTCACAGATGCGACCATGGCGATCGGCGTTCGCGTGCCATCTCTGAGCACACACCCGGTCGAAGAACAGCTGGAAATCTTGCGGCAGATCCACGTTCCGCCTCGAGAATCCTCAAGGCAACACCTCTCCTTCTCTCGCAGAGCGTCTTTGTCGGGTCAAGAGGTGCGTGCAAGCAGCGTGACACTGCTCCGAAGACACAATTCAGTCCGAAGCCCTTGCTGATTTGACCCATGATGATGTGTCGCTGCTTGATTCCTCAGTTCGATCGCGAAACTTGGCAGCCGTTTCATCTCGAAAGAGTGCCCGAGATGGATGAAGACGTAGAGACGACTGTCAAGCCAGGAGCTCGAAAGCTCTACGAAGAATGCGACCTCGACGAGAGCAAATGCACCCCGTGTGGCGCTTCTTCCATCAAGCACAAGCTTAGACTGGGCACTCGACGCTTGCTCGTGAGCAAAGCGGATGTGCAAAAGGTGCTTCAAAGGCTGCGACTCGAAGTCGGTACGTTGGGGCAACGATGCGTGCGGAACAAGTCGACCTCAGTGGGCGGCGTGCAAGAGGACACGATTCGAGCACGAGAAGCTACGTTGGCTGCTATCGAGCGTGCTCATCAGAGCATCGCGCCATTCGTACTTCCGGGATCCATGAGCTCGAGCAGCATCAGCAACGTCTTTGAACAGCTTAGACGCGATCTGGATGGTCAAGCACCTGCTCAGTTGCCCAGGTCCCAACACGGCATCTGAGAGCGCTTCGGCGTCAGCGGCTCTTTTCGTAAAACATTGCTGACCAAGTCTTCACTTCTGAGTAAGTCTGTCAATGAAGAGGCTGCGGAAGTGGGGTGACAGTGCACGAGTGGAATGCATCCCTTACATTGTGCGCCTCCAGCCTTCTATTCAGGACCTGCGATCGAAATCCTACAAATATCGCAAAGGCTGGATCACCGAGTCCCAGGACCACCCATACGCAGACATGCCTGTCACTACCTACCTCCATGCCTCGACGGTCTTCTTCTTTTGAAACCCATGTAGAGATGCTCGACTCTGCACTCTCTGCGCTGCATCACGACTCTTTGTAGAAATGCCATTTTGCAACGGGTAACAAAGACTTTAGCGTGATGCCAACGCCTGACGAAACGGGCGTGGCACCGACTCTGTTATGCTCTCGTGGTGCAAATTTAGCCAGGCAACTAGACTTCGACTGGCAGCGTCTCGAAGCCGAAGTGAGTGAATCCAAGGTGTGAGGCGTGATCACTTCCGCGCGACTCCGTGCCCACGTCCGCTTTGCTGCCAATCGTGCTCTTTCTGTCTTGGGATGGGAGGACAGTGCCGGACAATAATGCTGGGCTCGGTGGAATGCCGAGAGAGAGCTCTCCAAGACGCACAGCAACCCTCTCCGCTGCTTCTCGCATACCGCCAAGATTTCCAGCTGCAGGTCCGATCTGTAGCCCAGCAAGCGCACCGACGACTTTCAGGGATGAGGTGTTGGGAGAGTGTGCGAATGTTTGTGAGGATGGACGAGGAGAGAAGGTGCAAGATTTCGGGGGATTCGCTCGCACTCACAGAACAGTGGCACTTCTCTGCCCCACTGCAAGCTGTCCGTCAGACACGGCAAGCCTCCCGCTTCGGGCAAAGGATTCGCCAGCGCAAATGCCTTGGCAAATGGTAGAGCAGAGAAGCCCTGCTGACTTCCCGTCGCACAGACCATAAACGCGGCTCGTACGCGGTGCATTTGCACCTCTGGCTCTTTGTGAAGCTCGCAAGCGTCGCACTTCTTGCGAGGAAGTGGCATTTTGGTGCAGAGCTTGAGATCCCACTGACCATATTGCTTGTCATAGACTGCATCGTCCACCTTAGTGTGCGTGCGAATCGTCACCTTGCCTTGCTGCTCCAGAGCGCGCAATCGAGCCGCCCAGGGTGGTGTTATCGAGCCTCCTTGACGCGCACATCGCACCATGGCCAACCGTGTAGCTGCATCTTCCTCTTGAAAGAAACGCATCTGGATAAGCAGCGCGACGATCAGAAAATATGACCCATCTTCCGCTGTAGCAGAGGATGCCCTCCTCTTACTTTTGCAAGATTCGCATATCTGCCCATCCATTCCAAGCCAATGTCAAAAGGCTTGACTGGGAGCGCAGGCGGTGTCATGATCAGTGTGCAGATCGCGCAGTAATCTGCGTACACCGAAGCGTTTTACGAACCCTTCATGTGGCCCCTCATGATGACCTCGACGTGGTCAAAGCCGCGACGAAGCGCGAGATCGGCCGTTTGTCTGGGGAAGTATGCAGCATCGGGGCAGCGTGACATGAGCTTGCTGCGCTGTCGACTCGATTTCAGACCGAACGGAAGGTCTTGGACTCACGCAGTGGTCAGCCCGCCCCCGACGATCACGCAAGTCTTGCCTCGCACTTTGGAGGCTGCAGGAGGGAATTGGTACGAGGGGTTGAAGATGGCACTTGAATGACACCAGCCATCTCCAGCGCATGACGGCGACTGGGGGCGCGTGATGAATTGCGGTAGAGCTGGACCACCAGCCATTCCCAATGCGCAGACGACTGGTCGCGAAACCCATCAGTGAGGGTCAGCTTGCCTGAAAAATGTCAAAGCACGAAGCCCCCCTCGCATTTGCTCACCAGCTTTAGAGCCCAATTGAGAGCCGTCTTCAGTCTTGATGCAAAATCCTTGCATGTGGTCCCAGCCCTCGACGTGGAGTTCTCCCCAATGCAGCTCGGACACCTCACCTTTAGCCAAGGTGATTGGTGATGATGCATTCGTTTGAGCTTTAGAAGCTGAATCAACGCCGCCATGAGGGTGGCCATTGTCGCCTTTCCAAACTTTGTGCGCGTCGCGCCATTCCCCATCCAGGCCATATCTTTCGACCACCTCCTGCTGCACGAAGCTGCAAGAGAGTTGGGCAGCAATGTCAGTAGTCGCAGCAATGCTCGCTTCATGCTGCCATGTCTGCACTCACTCTCGAAAGAGCTTGGTGGATGGCACGTGATAGTCCTTGCGGTCGCGCTCGTTGACTGCTGGACCGATGTCGCGCAGCATCCTAGCATAGCCCGCTGTCGCATCTATGCCTTGTGCACTCGTCGCGTCGATGGCAGCAGGCTGACCTGCAGAATGAGCTTTGCCTTGCCTCTTTTGCCTGCTCTTGATGCGATGCTTCGAAATCTCCTTGCCCACACAATTTGCAATCTCTCTCAAGCTGTAGCCTGGCGGAGCGACGTGCCGATGATGATGCTCGGCGCGCAAGCTCTCTGCAGTCTCTCCGTCTTGCCTTCTGCGCTGCCTTCGTTCGGCACGAGAGGGTTTTGTCAGGCTGCCGGATGCGTTGTGGTCGGCGTCGGGGCATGACGCGCATCCGTGTCTCTCGGCAAAGGCCAGCAAAGCATCCAAATCTGCTGGTGCAGGGTGAAAAAATAGCGGCGATCGAAGGTGTTCGAGCTGCAATGCTCGGAAAGCGTTGTCCCACTGCTTCATCCAACCGCCCAGGCGATCGATGACGAGAATGCGCATCAAACCTTGACACTCGCAATCTCGATCATCATCACCATCCGTATCAGCAGCAGCAGCAGCTGCTGCTGCTGCCCTGCTTCCGTAGCCCGACTTGTCGTCTGCGGTGCTGATCACTCGCTCAGAGCCACGGGCGCGCGTCTTGATGGTGCGTGCGCGCGAGATGTTACCAGCTTTGCCAGACTTTTTGAGCCAATGCAAGTGGCGATGCTCGTCTTCCGTATAGATGGCGCTGTGATGGGGGAGGCGAAGAGCGGGTCAGTTGGAGCGACGAGGGACCTTGGGCTCCGTGGCACCGGCCCTACCCACGCTGGACGTTCTTCCAGCAACCTTGCGACTAGCGCTAGCGACGCGGGTCCCTGTGTGGTTGAAAGCGTGAGCATCGTACGGGAAGGCAGTGCTGAAAGGGCAAGATGCCTGATTGCTTACTCACTGCGCCGATGACGATGAGATCGAAGAATGCATGCTCAGGAAGCGTCATTGGAGAAGCGGTGGCTGGGTCGCGCCTGCAAAGAGGTACTGAGCTCGAGGCTAAGGGAAACGAGGGAGGTGGAGTCGAGGCAGAAGGCTCAAGGCCGTCGTCTTCAGACACAGCGATGCTCAACTCTGTCGGGGTGAGTCGATGAGGGCGAAGCGTCATGGTGGAAGGGGAGCCAAGGCGGAGGAAATCACAGCAAAAGGGCGCCCACTTGATGCCTCCTCAGAGCGCACGGTGTGATCCTTACCACTGAGGCGGCTATCAGGCCTTTGCGATGCTCTGGGAGTGGATCAGCTCCCGCGCAGATCTCAGCATCTTTATTGACACGATGTGCAGCCTGCACCCCCCAGAAGAGATTGAGACCGAGACATAGGCTTGACAGCCAGCAATGCTCGACCGCTGGCGCCCATGCAGAGCACCGTGAGCGCTGTGTAATTGACTACGCGGCATGATGACCCGCGATGTTGAGCTTGGTGACAGACGACCAGCCACTCACTGCTTGCTTGCTTGCGAGCAGCAGGCAGCAGGCAGCAGGCAGCGATGTGTGACGCAGGATGCCTGTCTGTCTACACGCGCTTGAGGATGGCCGCCTCTCACGTACCCCATCTCGATCGTGTCTGCATCAGCATATACGTCGACAAGGTGAGATAAGATGAGCGAGTACCTTCGTGGTCAAGGCCCACCGTCGAGTAGGCGCTGTATGCATGCTGCTGGACGGAATCGAGAATGGCGACAGGTGAACGTCCCGGCAGTCTGGCTGCTTTGCATCTCCATGGCAGCATCACCAAGGCTTCCATCAACGCAGCTTGAGTCGCAGTTGTGACTGGAGGCGTAGCAAAACCAGCAGGTCATCCGGCCCTCTGTAGCGGGTACCTCATCAGTTACCAAAGCTTGACTATGCGCGAATCAGCATCGATCGCGTGGTGGGCCTATGCCTATTCCGGGCCTCGTTCCTGCCAGACGCACGTGATCTGATATATGGGTGGTCGTCTTGAATTCAAAACCACGATTCGTGATTTGTGTAAAGCGTGCCTCAAAGCTCGAACCGTAGATGCTTGCTGATGCGTCTATCTTCGCTATCACCGCTTTTTGAATAGGTCTCGCCGGGAACAGATGGCGCGTGGGAGCAGGTCATTCACGAATTCGACGCATCCATCTTCATCGGTCAGGTCATCTTAATCAAATCTACGCGTGCCTGACCGCTCACGCATGCGCGAGCGTTGATTTCAGCCGCGTTGGATCACTCTCTGACTCCGCATGCACCATAGCACACTCACTTTGAACCACGTGGCTCGTCGGACCGATCGTTCGGTCTCTACCGCACGAGTGCCAACGCGCGGGCACGCCCGGCCGGCGCGCATGATATATATGGTGTGCACGCGCACAAGGCACGCGCTGCCAAACCACGCACCAGCGGCGGCAGCAGCAGCGACCAAACAGGTGAGCGCGATCTCAAATTCCAGCTTCTTGTCGCCGCGGGCGAGATTCCTCAGGTCAGTGTGGTTATACACGCGCGAGTCAAGACGAAGACGAGGGAGGTAGCACAATCAAGAATCCAATTGGTATTGGTCCATCCACTCATCAGATTCGCAATTCAACGCACGTGTGACCGCGACTACATCACCCCTCGCTCCTAGAGTCGACACTCAAGACTCCTCGCGCCGTCACTCTACACTTTTCAAACCACGGCTTTGACGCGACAACTTGGCAATCCGCACCGAAACCTAGATCCTATCGCGTCGCACGGGCACGGGCACGGGTCCACAATCGCTTCATCATGGCTTCCTTTTCCAGCGCCATTTACAACACGCTATTCAAGCGAAACTCGGTCTAGTGCGTTTGCTGGCTCATCAGCTTGGCCCTTTCCATCATCAACGCCCTTCTCGCATGCGGATCCCACTGACCAGTGCACTTCCTCACGTTTTTGCTCTCTCCCCCCTCACTCTTTCAGCGTGACCTCCATTTTTGCAGGCGCTTTCGTGTTCGGAATCGCCTTTGACGCTGGCACACAAAGGCTCTGGGACGCCCACAACAGAGGAGTGAGTCTACTTCGCCCTAGCTTGATGGATGCTTCTCAATTTTGAGAGGTCTCGCGCTGCTGCTGCTGGAAGGCCAGGGGCATTCAGATGCTCGTATCGCGTGCAAAGTTCCTGATTGAGCAAGGTACTGCGGCTGCCTGATCAGGTGCTCGATGCAGGTTCGACCAAGCTCTGGCACAGCACGCGCGAGGAACGAGGGGATCAAATTGAGGATGCCAGTCCGGCGGCCAAGGCTGCTTTCTGCATCAAGCCCTCGTCGACGCTACGAGAGCATCATTAGTGATGGTCATCACAAAGCCGCACTTGTGCTTCTTCCTTTGACCTTTTTCTGCGTGTTTACGATCATTGCTGTGCTGCTTGCTGACGTCATGTACTTCTCTGCATTTCCCTTTTTGCAGAAGCAATGGAAGGACATTCGGTGCGTCAGATTCGATCAAGGGAAGCAATAGCATGTTTGGTCCAAGCTGACCCCTTCGCTGCTTTTGATGTTTGCAGTGACAAAGTCGCTCCTTCGGATGGCGAGTAATTAGCGGATCTGGAAAGGAGACCAAAGGCCCTATTCCACACCGTCATTGAATACGATACGTCGCACACGCAAATTGAACTGCGCGTCTTTGGACATGCAGGTCTCATGGCAAAGCCAGAACCTTCTCCTCGCCTTGGAAGTATACATGCGCCGTTGGGTCTTTGGAGTCTTGTTACACGCCGCATTCGGTACATCAGGCGAGCAGCGGCGCGTAAAGGGTATTGGGGACATATATATATTGCAGTACAACGGCATCATTGGCCAGTAGAGATGCCGGACCAAGGCGAATCGGCAGCATCGTCGAAGCCGAGCAGGGGGTCGAATCCGAGCGGAGCGTCCATTGCAGAGGGCACTGCATTATTTTGGAAGTCCATGGTATCTGAAACGCCAGCTTCTGGGAGCGCCCCGCCAGCTACTTGTGGTCCAGCTGCTGTTGTCGACAGGCTTTGCAAACCGAAGGGGGAGGCCAGAAGAGCTTTGCTTGCAGCTAGACAATTGCTCACTTCCTCTTGCATAGGGATGGTTATAGCCCACGAGTCCGACATGGCTTTCAAGGTCTCGTGCGCTTCTCGCACCCGTTGCCAAATCCTCTCCAGTCGCTGAAGACGAGAGCCGCCAGATATGACGCTTTGACCGGCGGCGCCCGTCAAGTCGCTTCCGTGATGACCTCCATTGAATTGGCCGTCTTGCTTAACAGCAGGGCTCAGGGCGGCTGCTCCCTGCCCGGAAAGCAACAGATCTCGGGAGTACGATGCCGGCATTTGACCTTGTTGAGGTCTGCGAGGGGGTGTGTTCGAGTCGTCGTTCTCCTCTGTGTCCCCTTCGCCATCAGGTGTGCCGCTGATTGCCAGCGCTTGCATGAGACAGACGAAAGAGATGAGGACGAAGGAACAGGCTCCAAAGGGATTCGGTTGAGGGTCTTTGCCTGCATGCCTTGATATTTCGAGCAAGCGTTTGGAAGCGTGGACGCAGCGATCGAGACTGAGGCGCGGCAAGAATGGTCCACGTTGGTACAGCTCCTGGGTAGACGACGACGCTGGTCCTATCTGCTGCAAATTCGCACCTCCTGATGGATCGTCGAAGACGTCTGGCATCGGCACCTGGCACGCGGCCATTGAGTCTGTGGAGTCGTTGACGCTATTCAAAAAGCACAATTTGCGCTCAAACAGCTGTAGCAGGCCGTGGGTGTGTCAGCGAGGTTCAAGATGATCGCTGTTCGCCACACGAGAAGTCTGCAACGCACGCTTGCTCCCTGGAAGGCTTGTCCAATGCTGTAATGGAAGACAGGTGTGCAGGACACATCCGTTGGGTTATCTGCGCTGCGAGAGCACCCCTTTGAAACGCGAGCGACTTACTGTAGTGTTAGGGAAGAGGTGTAAAGCTGTATTGCAGCACTGCTCTTCAGATACGCAACGAGACCATCCTCCACCTCTTCGGCAGAAGCGTTTTGACGCGCCCCTGAGCTTTGTCGAGAGTGGTTGATCGCACCTCCCAGGTCCGCGCCTGGCTCCTCAATGGCTTTGATCTGTTCTTGGAGGCTGGCGTCGATCTCTTGCATGGACTGCAGGATGTCCTGCTTCGTGGCGATGGTCGGCAAGCTGGAAAATGCTGCAGGGATGACCTTTGTCGGCCCCCCGCTAGCCGAAGCAGGAGTGTTTGCACTCAGCGGTGACCCAGCTACCGCGTTAGCTGGTGAGGCAGGCAGCGTCACTCCACCTGGCCCCGACGTTTCGACCTCGGCCAGATTCTCTTCTTGCAACCGCGAAAGCGCCAACACTCGATCTTGCACAAGCAGAAGGGCCTGCAAAGAGCGCACATTGCTAGCCCAAGCTGAGGCGTCTCTGCATGCTGGCATGTCGGTGCGGACGCGCGGATCGTCTGCTCGGATTGTTGGGGTACGAGCCGTGTTATACCTGCATGAAGAAGCGTAGGTCAACATCCAAGCCTGTAGCCTCGGTGCTAGTGTGACAGATCGACTCACGCGCTCCACATCACTAGGCTCCACACAGTCCACCACACCCTGCGTTTCATCTGTCCTATCTCTCCAGGCTCGACGCCAGCAAAGTAGTGCTTTGCAGCGCCTTCAGCCCCAAGCCCTATTTGAGGTCCGGGTGTGCCGGAGCCCGTGTAAGAGGCTGATAGCACCTGGTGATAGCCTTTTGACATAGCCAACCCTAGCGCTTGATCGGCTTTCAGTCGCGCTTTCAGTGCCCTTCCTGAGCCATACTGTCGATGACGCGGGAGCAAGTCGGCAACAAACGATGAGTTGACAGCGAAAGGTCCAGAACCGACGTTTCATGACTCACCTCGTAGATGGCCAAGGTGCAAAGCGACTGACAGACCTCGAGCGTGAGCGCCTCCTTCGTCATTTGATCCTCATCTCCCTCTAGCCGCTCCAAGATGCTGTCGATCCCTTCAGTAGCTTTGCGCTCCCACCAGCTTGTGAGGCCTCGCAAACGGGCATGCTTCTCTGCGCTGCCAAAATTAAGTCCATGTTGTCCGCTTGTGGGGACCGCAAAGGGTTGTTGCATAGACGAGGACTCTCCTCTCAGCAAGGGCAACAGAGCTCGGAGGGCATGCAAAAAAGGAGAAGAGGCTGGCATTGAGCCGCTGAGCACGGGAGTGAGCCTAGCGGGCGAGACGAAGACCGGAATGAAGCGGTATAGATATCGGTAGTAGTCTGCGAGCAGAGACTGTGCCCCTTCGCCCTCATCGGACTGAGCCAACGTCATAGGCATCGAGTGCGTTGCCGAAGGTTGCCCTCGCGCTTGATGAGCAGATTCACCTCCAAAGAGCGGGGCAAGGCCAGAGTTCGCAGCAGCAGCTTGGGGCTGATCTTGCCATGACATGTTGGAATGCGAGCCGCCTTGGTGCGGCATGCTGCCTTGCGCAATGGTAGGATACTGTCCAGTCTGCTGGTCCGGTGCTCCATACGTGGCTGACATTGAGCTGAGTAGCTGCTCCAGCTCCTCGTTGCCCATCGTGCCTTCATTGCCGCTCCAAGCTGAGGGTCCCGCTACGTCTTGCCCATCAAAATTCATGTCAGTCTGGAATGGCCGAAGCTGCGGAACCTGTCCCGGCACTCGAACATCGCTGGGTAGGTCTGATAATGCGAAAAGCTGCTCCAAATGCGACTCGAGGGAATTTGCCGCTGACGGGTCGAGTGCAAAAGTGATGTGCGTTAGTGGCGGAAGTTTGGCGTACTGCATCCACTCTCCAGTGCCAGTGACTCACTGGATGATGGAGCCTGTTTTGGCTTCGGCTTGCCGCCACGCCTGCTGATCGTGTATATGCAGTCATCGATTCGCCCCCTAGCTATGCAAGCAGCGCAAGGGCATTTGCCATTGCAGCGCGACTTCCTAAAGGCAGTGACAGCAGGATCGGACGCCCCATCACGAAGGTGGCATCATCAGCATGCAGCACACGAGACGTGCTCCCATTTGAATGCGAGATTCGTCTGCTCTGCTCCACTCTCTCGCTTCCTTTGATCGTCACTCACCTCGACCGGCAGAAAGTGCAGGCAGCTTTGGCTGGAGGTTGGGCCACCTTGCTCTCCTTCTCCCTCCTTTCCGCTTTATTCTCCTTCGACTCTCGCACAGGGCCAATGTTTGATTTGGCCTTGCTCTCCTCCTCCTCATCCGCCACATCCTCCATCTTCACTTTGTTGGTGGTGTCGCCTACTGAGCAAGATGGTGATGTGGACGCTGATCGATTGGGTCCATCGGGAGAACGTGACGGGCCGGCTTGTTCTGGAGCTTGTTGCATTGTCGTGTCTCGCTGCGCATCCGAGAGATCTCTGTTCTGTGCAGGCTCGATGCTCCAGAGTCTGAATTTGCGCCTCGCTTGGAGACGATTTTGTGTTACGAGTCACGAGTGCTTGCTGTCGGACGCAGGAGACGAGTGGAGGTGTCCTGAGGCTAGACAAGGATAGCTGGAGTGCAGAGCGGGCATGCAAGACAACTTGTCAAAACGGCAACCTCCTTGCGGATCGGATGGCGGGCATGAGCTTGGTGCGTGGTGATGCAAGCTGCAAAGCGGCAGTTTTGATATGATCGTCAGTCTGTGTATCTGTAGTAGTAATAGTCACGAGTGTCACTCTCGAATCAGTGCATGCATGGGATGTGGGATGCAAGCTGCTCGCAATTCGACTCATGCAAGAGTTGAGTCTCTAGTCTTTCGCTCGTCTCGCGCGACTCCGCAAAGGTGATGATGAGATTCGATGGTAAATTGTGAAATGCGCGTGTAGACACCGCGGTACCACTGATGCTTGTGCCGCGATCCATGCAACTACTCATGGCTCGCGACGCGCCCGGGCGCGAGATCTCGGCCCGCGGTGCCTATTCGTGAGTCGCTGTCGAATGAACGCATCACATGCTCGTGATTCACGCATTCAGATTGATGCACATAGGTCTTGATGCGTGATCCGTATTCACATTCTTGTTTCAGATCACTTAAACGTGCACCGTTCGGAACCCTCGCAATTCGAGCCGCAACCCCCCAGCTTTCGAGTTCAGTTTGTGAGACGGCAAGCCCAACTATATTCATCCACGAATTATAAGAGGTGCTGGCGAGATTTACTGATGGGAAGCCCCACGCGAGACGGACGCGTAGATATATATATATATATATACGGGCGCTTGATCAAGGCGCAGCTATAGGAGAGCCAGTCACGCGCGCAGATTGGTCAGCCTGCATGAGCGGCGCCCGCTTGGGGGGGCTTTGCGCGCAATCGCGTGCGCCAGCAGACAAGAGGGTCCGCGATGAAATATGGGGCGCTTATTGTCTTATTGTAGCAGATCGCACACGCGTAACGCTGATCCGCAATGCATTCATTCGAGTCGTGAAAATCGTCAGGAAGCGCGTTACGTACATGCAGAGTCGAACGTCAAGTGTGTGACCAGCAGCGCGCGATGTCCGTCGAAACAGAGCAACAGGGCACGCACCACGCCTCCAAGTCGCTGCTAAGACACCGAGCGCCAAAATACCATCCTACCAATCAAAAGTGTTGCAATGGAGACGGCTCAGAATAGTTGAGCAATCTTGGGCCAAGTCGGGGTACCCCAACCAGATGGAGCATCCCAGCCAGCGGCCGTGGGGAAGCCGTTTGTCGTGCCATTGCAATTGTAGCTTCCACCGCTAGTGACGTCGGTGAATGCACCAACTGAGGTAGCGTTGGCGTAAATCTTCGGCTGAGCCCATCCGATCGGGCTTTTGCCTGCCACTCTGCGCTGGTCATTGACAAGCGCCAGGATAGAGGCGAAGAGAGGCGCCGAAGCTGAAGTGCCGGAGACGGCATAGAGCGAACCTCCAAGGACGACGGCGTACTTGCTGCCCTGCGCAGAGACATCCGGGAAGAAGCGGCCGCTGCTATTGTACATGCTGGCTGCGGAAGATGGTATGCTGCTCTTGTACGCATTCACCACACTGCTCTGGTATGAAGGCGTGCTGAAGATGTTTGAAGATCCAGCGGAGGAGGAGAAGCCAGCCAAGGAACTATTGGCCATCACCTCGGTGTCAAAGCTTTGCGTCGCTCCAACCGAGAGGATATATGGACAGCCGGAAGGATATGAAGGGCTAAAGGGAGGGCACGTTCCGGAGCGCGATGCCACGCCGCGATCAGCAGAAGCGACGACGATGGTGGTACCAAGAGCAGTGAGCTTCTGTGCAGCGTTGCACATGTCTTGGGCTGCCGCTGCTGTGAATTGAGACTCGTCGGATGCGTAGGAGATTGAGATAACTTTAGGCCGGGTAGTCGAGTTGAAAGAAGTACTGAGCAGATCGTTGAAGGTCAGAAGGAACAGGTCTCCGGTGCTTTGGCTGTTGCCTTCGGCGATGAATTGACTCGTAAGAGGATAGGTCTGGGAGGATACGATTTCAGTGTCCAGCATCGTCTCTAAGCCAGGTTTACTAGAGTTGTTTGTCGCGCCGTTCCTCAAAATTACAGGCATATTGTAGTACGTGGCTCTGCTCTGAAAGTTGTAGTTGAACACCTGCAGATCGTTCGCACTGAAATATTGGTCGATCATACCGATGACCGCAATGTCAACGCCAGACCCGCCCGTAGCATTGTAAGCTCCTTGACCGTAGTACGCCCTCAAGCAGTCGGGCTTCACCAGGCTTGTGGAGCAGCTTGACGGGACAGCGGCCCTTCGGTTGAGGGTTTCGCTATTGACCGCTTCCGCCGGGATTGTTCCAGCTGAGATGGACTGAACTTGTCCGAAGGTAGCCAGCGGGTACACATCGGAGATGAAGGGCGCTACGGTGTCTGGAATCGAGAAAGCCTTGGTGCGCGGCACGATAGGTCCTCCAGACAATTGCCAATTGTCGAAGCTGGTCGAAAAAAGTCTTGCCACGGTACCCACCGTCGACTTGACGGTCACCGAGTCTTGATAGCGAGACCACGTCGCAGCACTTGACGGAACTCCGTTTATGGTGAGGAAGAGCTTGACGGCGTTGATCGCCGCTGCGCTAGGCGTCGCATATTGAGCAAGTTGGTCTTCCGTGAGCCAGGGGCCATCGCTGCTTGCGATCGACTGCATGCGGCTAGTGAGCCCTGCCATGTCGCTCTGTAGCGTGATCGTAAAGGTGAATGCATCGGAAGTCGATGCTGAGCCAAGCTGCTTCCAGACCGACGGAATGTTCGATGGGGCAGAACGCGAGCTTGAAAGGATACTTTGGCCCATGAAAGCATCCAGCAAGCCGCGAGCCTTGGCATCAGCGGGTGCCGCCTGCGTGTTCGCCACGATGGCCAAAGCCACCATCACCAGCGTGAGCAGCTTCTTGGATGCGAACATGGTTGCTGCGGCTGATGCGCGATGCTTATGGCAGACTTGAGCGCAGTGAGGGCAAGGTGGATTGAGTGAGATGTTTCGTAAGAATCGTTGCGAGAGAAGAACGTGAAAGACCAGTCTTAGGGACCAGAAGGTGAGGAGTGAAGAAGGAAAATGGCAATGTAGTTGCGATAATGCTCCTTTATAGGTTTTCAGTGCGTTGTGACCATGACATACCGCCTGCCGTGCTACGGTTTAGAGTTGCGAAGAACGAGTGGACCTCCCTCGTTAGGCAAGTTGTTCGAGCTGATGATTGTCCCGTGTCGGAGGGTGTGCCTAATAGCTTGCAGAGCGCAAACCTTGCTTGCTAGATGGTGCGGAAAGCGTGAACAACATCTCCAGCGCTTCGTGGCTTCATCAAGCTTCTGCCGTATGAGGAAAGCCAAGCAACTCTAGCCAAGGGCCGACGCTCCAAGTAGGATGGGAGCGCATGGCCATTCCTCCAAGCTCAGAGGTCCCATCCATCGTTATGGTTGCAGAGCATTCAAAAGCTAGGTGGTGGTGTGTCTGCGCTATACAAGCTTTAGCGTTTTGACTGCCCACCATCCTGAAGCTATGTGTGGCGCTGAGACCTAGGACGTGAATGTGAAGGGTGGCTTGAGAAGTTCACTTGACATGTGCTTCCAGCATTGCAGCCAGCGCCATCTTTCTGGATGTCCACGCGTTTCAGAGCAGATCGCCTCCCGAATAGCGGTAGCGGCTGGTACCTTTCCTGTTCTAGACCTATCTCATTGTCTCCAAAAGCTTGACTGCCGCTCGGCATAGGCTTGGAGGGGAACCCAAAGTGCGGACCTTCATATGCAGGAACCCAACTTGAAGTCGTGAGTGATCCTTGGGCGAGTAAAAGCGACAAGCGCCTCAGCAGCGTACCAGAACGGCAGCAAGTTTCGAGCTACCGTACAAGTGCACCCCACGTAGCTCTGCGGAGCGTACCGAAGCCGCACTGACGGACCCGGAAAAGGATAGAGTGGTTGCCAGAGTAGCCCCGCTCTTTAGCCTCGGGAAGGTCGAAAGTCCGGACGAGGAACGAGCCGAGAGCCTTGCTTCGCAGCGCAGCGTCTCAGAGGCCGCGCGCCCTGCTGCCGTGATGAGCGAGCTTGCATGCAGCAGCAGGCGTGCGCATGTGGCTGCTGATTTTCCAACTCCCTCGCTAACTTGCTGCTGCCGCTTTGCTCCGGGACCGACTCGCGGAGGCCCCCCAGAAGTACCTTGCTTTCACTGACCTACCCAACAGGGAAACGATGGTGTCCTATATCAGCCTCTATAGCAACTCCTCCACCAAATCGATGTGATGCCGCGGATAGGTTCGTGCCGTTTCGCCGCGTTCGCGTTTTGAATTGCATCGTGATACGTGTCTCGCTGCTACTGTAGGTACCGGTACTACGCGTGCCTGCCGCAGGCTCGCCGTCGGGGCGCGTAGACGTTGGGTGGCTGCGCGGGACAAATTCAACGTAAAAGGTGGCTTGATTGATGCATGGATTCACGATGTTCTTGATTGGGCACGCGCGACATACGCGCGCGCGCGCGTCATCGTGCTCACGCTGACTTGTGAATCAGGAATCCAAAGCGCTGGGGGAGGCAGACTGTATGTGCCCACTTCATTCACGATTGCTCTCGCGGCTGCGAGCATTCGAGGACATGGCTTCGTGATGCCTTCCTGCAAAGCGCACGCAAAGTACAGCAGCATGGTGTGCAACAGTGGATGTGAACGCCGTTCCTGCGCGAAACGTACGACTTCAAGCGGCTTCACTCGATCCGCATCACGTCGGCCTCGTGTCTCATCAACAAGGCTATTCTAGAAAGTCTACCAAGCTCAGCGCTGCAATCCTATGCGACGAGACTGGAAAAGCTTGCGAGATCCAAGAATTAGAAGTGCGCGACAGGCGGCCTGATCTTCAGGCCCGACCCTCTTCCACGCTTACCAAGTCGTGCTCCGCACTCCGTTCCGAGACAGCAGGCACTTCCATCTGCATGCGGCTCGAAACCCGCAATCTCAGAGTCAGACGCCAGGCCAGGTCTCAAGAACGCGCTTTCAGGTTTGGATCGTCTACTATCAATGACTCTATCGCACACACAGCACTGCGTAGCTCGCTACTAGTGCCTATCGAGATGATTGATTCTGCGCATCGCAATCTTTGGCGAGCGGATCGTGACGCGAGGCGTTGTGGCCACGAAGAAAGTCTTATACATCTGGGAATTGCTCATGTAATCGAAGATTGATGTTGTAGTTGTGGCGCTTCGCGACGGGGGCTCGCTGAACAATGCTCAAAGGCATCGCCCGCAGCCCTCCACCTCCAAGACTGGCCAAGACAGCGTTTCGATGATCATTGGGGGCAGCAGCTGTCTGTTTGACTTGGGCGCTGCTATCTCTGCGTACGCTTGAAGTAGCGCCTGAGCCCGAAGCGCCTCCTCGCGCTTCTCGATTGGGATATGCAAAGCTCGCCAGATCTGGGGGTGGCATGCTGGAATTGTTGATGCTCTGGCTCAAGCTGCGCTTCTGGTAAGTCGTCGTCTGAGACCTGGCGTACTTTTGGCATACTTTTAGTAAGGACGTCAGCAACTCCATGCTGCACTTTTCGAGCGACTCGATTTGCCTCAGCTTAGCGAGGGTGTCGGGCAAGAGGAGAGCAGCTTCATACAGCACATCGTTGGTGACGAGACTTTCGGCTGGCTGCTTGAGCTGTCGCGCTACCTTTTGGCGAGCAACTGTCAGCTCATCGTAGCATGGCTTCCAATCCTCCTTCGCTCCTTTCTCGCCCAATGCAGCGCGTTTCGCAGTCGCAGTCGATGAGTCAGCTGCTCTCACGGCACTGATTGATGGAGCAGCTTTACCTCTAGCACTTCGGCTGCCGCTAGGCTGGTCAACGACCGAGTTGTCCTCCTCGCATGACTCGATAAGGTCTTCTTCTTCTGCGGCTCGACGTGCGCGAGCTTTAGAGCTTGCGATCGGTCGCTGACGGTCGGTAGGCAAGGTCCGCTCTTTCGTCTGTCTCTTTGGCGATTCGTTCGGACTGAGGGGCATGGCACTAATGTCGAATGGATCGGGCGCGTACTCAAAATCTGCATCGCTGAGCTGCTGTCTTGCTCGAGCTTTGACCCGGCTTTTGCCTTGCGGCTGATTTGCAGGTGCTTTGCTGGAGGAGCCAGCCTTGCTTGCGGGTATCCTGGCGTTCTTTTCGATCATCTCCAGCTCCACTCTGGCTTGACCTCTGAGCAGCGCTTCGGCTTTGCGACCCAATTTGACGTAGGTGTTCGTGAAGCCCATGCGATTCTTGACCTGCACCTCGGTTAGATATGTCTCGATCACGAGTCGTTGGAACAATCGTTCCACATCGCTTCTGGAACATTTCGAGCCCTCACCCCAGCCTTCTACCTGGTGATGACCGCGGCTGGTGACAGTCTTGGTGGTAGCGCCTCGAAACACGTCGCCGCAATGGATTAGGGTGATGTTCGCTCTGTAGTCTTTCGCGAAGATGTTTTGGACCATTCGGACTGCTTGCTGTGCAAGCTCGGTCACGTCAGTAATGACTGTGGAGCCACCTGAAGTGTTGCCTGTCTGAGCTGTGCAATTGTCGCACGTGTTGTGGCAGCTCTCCCTGGGGAATACCTCGCCAAAGTATTGAAGTACCTGAGACCTTCGACAGTCGGTTTTGTTCATGCAGTAGGTGATGACCTGTCTCAGATTACCTCGCTGTTGCTCCTTCTGCTCGCGCGAGCCAGGACCTTCCTGTATCTGCTGGAACAAGCTGGACGTGTCCTTGTACGCGAAGTATAGCACACATGTAGAGCTCTTGCCATCTCGACCAGCTCTTCCCGTCTCTTGGTACAAGCCTTCTAGGGTTTGTGGAAGGGTGTGGTGAATGACTACATTCGTGTGAAAGAATATGTCAGCGTATGCTTAACGGACCGAGGACATCGAAAGCTTGCAGTCAACGCTTGAGACTCACCAAAGCGCACGTCGGACTTGTCGATGCCCATTCCGAAAGCAATCGTCGCTACGATCACCTTGAACTCTCCCTTCTGCCATCGTTGTTGTATCGAGCTGCGGTCCTTCTGATTCATGCCTGCATGGTAATGCTGGGCTTTGACTCTAAATTTTTTTGTAAGCTTGTCGGCCACCTCTTCGCACGCTCTGCGGCTGTGGCAATAAACAATGCCGCACTCGTGCATGTGCGATGCATTGATGAAAGAGGCGATGTCTTCCAGCACGCTCTTTCCTTTCTTCTCTCTGACGTGGTAATGGAGATTTGGTCGATTAAACGACTGCGACAAAGTCTTGCAGCCCTTGATGCGCAGATTGGTCACGATGTCCATCTTCACGCGGGCGTTGGCCGTTGCAGTCATAGCCATGACAGGAACACCAGGATACTCTTCCTTCAGGCACCCAAGCTCTTGATAATCCGTGCGGAAATCGTGACCCCATTGGCTCACGCAGTGAGCTTCATCGACCACAAAGCGGGCTAGGCGTTTGCGTCTGTGCAGGTCAGACAGGGCATCTTGCAGCTGCCTTCCCTTTCGGATCATCTCGGGAGTGACGTAGAGCAAACGGGTCATGTCCTTGATGTTAGAAGGGAAGAGCATAGAGAGCGTCGCTCTGCGCTGTTCGTCCGTCTGACCTCCGCTACCCAAGAACATGCCAGCTTTGATATTGAGATCCAAAAGATTGTGCACTTGATCTTGTATCAACGAGATCAGCGGCGAAATGACGATGGTGACGCCTTGCGTCTGACCAGAGTCTATCAAGGCAGGCAGCTGAGGAACTCACTGACATGTGAGCGCACGGGAATTAAAGGTGATCTGGGCTCAGCGTCGCTCACCTGATAGCAGAGGCTCTTGCCGCCTCCTGTAGGCATTAGGCAGAAGACGTCTTGCCCACCTAAGGTCGCATTGATCGCCTCCAATTGATTGTTGCGAAACTCAGACAAGTGAAAGGTGTATCGTAGTGTGCGTCTCACATCCTCGCTCCATGGAAATCTCATCTGATCTGCAGCTTTCTTGGGCGACTTGTGTCTCGTGCTCGTGGCAACCACAGATATCAAGCCACGGTCTGGTTCATCTGCAGTCTGGACGGCGTCATCGCTGGAAGCCACAACGCCATCGTCCACATCTGGCGGAGACGCGGCTCGAGCAGCTGATTGCACAACGACCGAGCGGTGCTCGTCGATTTCAAAGTCTAGGCCGCCATGCTCGAATGGGCGCTGCTGATGCAGCCCCTCTGCCACCTGTGGACGATTTGGTCCAGGGATGGCGGTATCGATCATCATGTATGCGTCGTCTGATAGCGAGTCGTCGAAGCCGAGCCCTTCGTCTTCTAAGTCTTCCATCTCTTCATCTGATGGGAGCAACTCATTCTGGTCTAGACCGCCATTCCCTGCGGTCCTTGACACTTGCAAAGCTTTCTGCTGCTTGGCCGGAGACGCCGCCGCATCGAAGTACTCTTTGGACGCGTCTTCCTCATCGTCAGGTTCTTCATCGTAGTCAGGCAAATCCGCTTCGTCAATGTGTAGGTCGCGCCTCATCGGACGGTCGGCAGACGTAGACCGTGCTGTGCACTCCGTGGGAGGGCCGCCGCCGCCGCGCGCTCTTGCGGGCATGCCTGGAGGGGCGAGAGTCTTAGATAGTCTTGGCCCCTTCACTGTAGTGGAACGAGGCGGGCAAGGAGACGTCTGTGAGAGTGTGGGTATCTGCTCTGAATCAGCTCCGTCCGAGGTGATTGCTGGCGCCCGAAGATCGATGGCAGCCGCGCTGGATCTGGCAGGATGCGTAGCAGCGGAGTTCGTGACGTGTGCCAAGCCTTGCAGCTGTCTAGCATCTGAGCTGCTGTTCCGCAGCTCAGCATCACTGCTACTTGGCTGAAGAGACCGGCGTGGACTAGTAGAGCGCGGAGAAGCCTGGCCAGAATTTCTTTCGAGCAGGGCAGCCTTGATCTGCTGTATTCTCGTCGTCAAGAAGTCTCTGAAGGCAAGAGTCGTATGACACTTGGGACGTGAGCAGCATGACAAGGGGCGTTTGGCTGGAGAGCGACGCACCTTTGCATCCTCAAGAAGGCAGGGTCTGTACCAAGCTCGGGTTCGGCACCTTCCATGAGCTCCATCAGCGTTTCCATGACGTGATCCTTGTTCTCCAGACTCGTCTGCAACATCTGTTGAAGCTCAGCTCTGGACTTGTGAGCCAGGTCGTTTGGACTAGAGCCTGCCTTTGTGCTACTTGAGGCTGCATGGTGGCCAGCAGGTGGAGGCTTGCAGCTAGAAGTGCTGGTACTTGCAATACTGCTGCGCGCACGAGGCGTATGACGGACTACGAGAGAGATATGCACCGTAGTGAGCGAGAGCGAAGAGGGTCTGTGAGCAGCAATATCTGACCACTCACGCAGATTTGGGGTGCGGGATCTTGCAGTGCTGCTACTGCCAAGCATCGCGAAGCCCACATTCTCTTTGTCATTCTCTTCCTCTCCATCCTCCTCCACCTCTGTACTAGACTTCGAGACGCGCTGAGCTTTGGGACCCGCCCCTTTTGCAAGAGTCGATGGCGATGCCATGCGATGTGCAGGTAAGCCGGTATGCTCAAAAGGCCTCTTCAGGCTCGTCGCAGATCTGCGCGGCGAACTGCGTAGTGGTGGACTCTGTACATTTGCAGCAGTGGGCATGAAAAGCCCCGGAGATTTACGTGGAACGGCGTTGTGTTCGGGGGTCTTGCCTCTTGCGCCACCCTGCCCCGCTGTCAATGACATGACGAGGTACAGCAGCGAGCCTACGAGCCGAGGACGCTGAGAGCGCAACTCATCTGCGTGTCCGGCGAAGCTCGAGGGGAGGAGGTTAGGCAAGCTAGGCTGATGTACGTGTCAGTCAAGCCAGTCCGAGTCCAGCATTTGGTGATGAGAGAAGATGACAAGCCTGGTGTTGTTGTGTCGCACTTGGAACTTAGCCGCGTGGCCGGGGATGCTGTAAGTCAAGAGTATACAGTCACGAGTGTGAGTCATGAGTCTTGAAGTCACGATCGAGACCAACACTCGTGACTCACGACTCACACTCACGGATGCGACGCGCTCAGCAAGCTTCACGCGCATAGCATCAGCAGCCTACATGCAGCATCCATGCACACGCAACGCAGACAACACGCGCCACGCGAATGAGGCCGCCGCGCGCGCTTGCTTGCGTGCGTGGCAGCATACGAGACATCGCATCAGAGAGAGATTTCCAAACGTGAAACACAAGCTTGTTGTCCGTCGAGAAGATTCTGCTGAAAGCTGAGCGTCCCACCGCTCGCAGTCAGAGAGTTAACACCGAGTCGGGTGGTCATGCGGTTACCACTCACCCAGCAGCCGTCGCGGTGCTCTTCTCTGTGCTTCATGAGGAGGCACTCATCGTGGCTCACCTCTCCAAAGGGTTTTTTCTACTGCGCCCGCCTCTCTATACGTGTGCATTTGACTTGCGATTGTGACTCTGACTACGATTTGTTGCATGCGAGATGGGAATGTCCTCATTCGTGGTCCCTTCCTCGAGCCCGGCCGAACTTATGGCCGAATCGGGTCGAGCGATCCAGACCACTGTCAAAGGCGAAGTTCCGCAGGAAGTCTCGCGACGATGATCGAGTCGTTTTAAGAGTAGCACGAGCATATTCGCGGTCCATGAAGTTTTCCATCGCCTTCAAGTTGGATGAAGTGTGCCTTGCAGGTGAATGCGACATTCGTGATTTACATTACAGGTGACACGGCCGAAGAGCGAACCCCGAAAGACTGATGATGATGAGAGGACCGCGACTCGCGACTCGCGACTCGCGACCACTGGCTGATGATGGAACTCGTGACTTTCGACTCTTACTTGACTCAGGACCGGCGACGATGAGCAAGCCTTCGATGGATGCTATCTGCAGCGGCTATTTAATTATGCCCATCCATGCATGCACTTTCAGGCCGAGTCAAGATTCAGGCAGGCGACTGGGCGCGTTTTAAAAGTGGTCCAATGATGCATGTATGTATAACATCTGCGTGCACAATCTTGAATCAAGAATCTTGAAAAATCTAAATAATGATGCAAGCCCCTCTGACTCAAGAATCTTAATTCCGAATGCGCCTGTCGCGCTCCGGGCCGGACCATTTAATCAAGGGTGCAAACGGCTTCAGCAGTCGTGAGTCTTGAGTGATTATTCGCAGCAGTTGACTCGGTGTTAAGCACCCGGCTCGCCAGCAGCAATCGTATGCCATGCACTCGCGACTCCCAACTCCGTTTCACGGCGGAGCTGAACTTGATTCGTGATCCAGCAACTGACACACATTCAGATGGACACACTCTCACTGGTGACTACTCATCATGAATATATAGCGGGGCAATCGCAGACCATGACTAGTCGTGTGGGCAGGTCATCCGTATGCGAGCAATCGGAAGGGATGGCGCCACATCCGGCCGTTACAGTCCGGGGATGAGCCCTCGCGGTTCATCAGCAGAGAGTCGCGAGTGTAGAGGCTACCTACCTGCAGCACAGACCACAGATCTGGGCTCCAGCTGCAGCAGCGTTGTGTGGCTCTTGTATGTAGCGCCCACGGGTCGCAAGCCTCATCAAGATTGACTATGTGTGTTGTGCGTATAAAGTCGCACCGCCTTCCAACTTCGTCTCCCCCTTCTCCCTTTCCATCAAACAACATACACGCCTCCTTGCCAGTACCGCTCAGAGATCCGCGCACACTGTCTAACCAGCTACGCCTCCTTGTCAAAGGCCGGCACTTTCGCATCCCCAGCAGCACTAACAACACTTTGCGTTTTCAAAATGTCAGAAATCAAGAACATTGTCATCATCGGTGCCCTCACAGGCGCTCTCCTCGCGCGAGCATTGGAGAAGTCCTTGCCGCCCACCCATCGTCTTGTCCTCATCGGTGAGCATCCAGACGCGGTGCCGAGACATGAAGTCAGATTTGGGTTGTGTCTAGCGAGTCTCCTCCAACATCCAAACACTTCGTGGATAACAACGCGCACATACATCTAGCCCGTAGCTGAAATCTTGATTCTGGTTCCCTTGCCCTTGTGTCACAGAGAAAAACGAGGCTGCCTTCTGGCCCGTCGGAAGCCTCAGAGCTGCTGCACTGCCAGACTTTGAGAATAAGATCTTCGCACCCGTGGCTGGTTTCTTTCCCAAGGACTCCAGACACATTGCACTGGGATCGACTGAGGTGACATCGCTCGGCAAGACCAGCGTCACTATCAGCAAGCCTGCCGAAAGCCTCTCTGGCGTGACGGAGATTCCATTTGCCTACGCCATCATCGCCACCGGTTCGAGCTACGCCTACCCATCCCGTCCCGTCGCCGTGGATGTTGCGACATCCAAGGCTAATCTCAAGAAGACGCAGGAAGACATCAAGCAAGCCAAATCCATCCTTGTGATAGGTGGTGGCCCAGTCGGCATCGAGTTTGCTGGCGAGGTAGTGGACCAGCATCCATCGAAGAAGGTGACGCTGGCCACGTCAGGTCCCGCTCTCCTCAGCCCTGCGTGGAAGAGCTCCCTGGCTGACAAGCTCGAATGGCAGCTCGAGAAAGCCGGCGTGGAGCTCATTACCAATGCCAAGGTCGACTTGCCCTCCGACGTGAAGACTGGCGAACTTCTTACCGAGTCGGTGTCTGTCAAAGCCGGCGAGAAGACTGTCGAGACAGATTTCATTCTGATTGGCACGGGCGCCAAAGCGAACGGACAGCTACTGCCTGCGGATGCCAAGGACCAAGATGGTCGGGTCAAGGTGGACCAGCAGCTTCGCGTTCAGTCAGAGACTCTCGGAGACCGATACTTTGCTGTTGGAGATATTGTGAGCGCGGAAGGCTCTGGAACCTTTATCAACGCTCAAAACCATGTGCCGGTCGTCGCTGCGAATCTCGGCGCTGTGCTCAAAGGAGGCAAGCCAGCCAAAGCATTCAAGCCGATGCTAGGCGTCCTCACCGTGCCGATCGGACAGAAGGCAGGGGCAAGTCAATTGTTTGGATTTGTTGTGTGAGTAGGACAGCGATGGAGACGACGAGCGGCTTGTTGCTGACTGGAGATACCTGTCGACATTGCTGCAGTGGGGAGTGGCTAACACCCATCATCAAGGGCAAGCATCTGTTCCTCTCGACGTTCACCAAGACCTTCTCATACGCCTTCTAAGGCGCACCACTTTGCGCCTCCACACCCCCACTGCTTCAGCTTTCCGCCCTCTCATACCCCTCTCAAGTAAACCAGTCTTACGCTTACTTCACGTTGCAGCACTCGTCCTCGAAAGTCCTCTGTTTTCGGTGCAAATGTGTGGTAGACCGCATGATCTCGGCCGCTCTAGGGGATTTTCATCTTGATTCGAGGAGCATCGTAGATGTGCAGTTGTCCCAAGCGCAATACAGGCGCCTCCCTAAAGCCCTGCGCTCTGTGCTCGGGTAAGGGCCAAGCATCTTCGACACGGTCAGTATGAGCCACTATCAGCGAAGGTTCCAAGGGGTCCACTTCGTTCTTGATGTGTGGGGCGCCGTCGATGTGCCCGTTTGGCCAAGAATGCGCGAGCGGGCCATGTGTGGACGGCTGTCCTTTGTGAAGCCGAGGAGGTGAAGATCTGCCTGGCGCAGGCTTGAAAGGTCTGACACGGTCTGCATGCCCTGTTTGAGGAGCTGTGAAGGTTTTGGACTTGCTCCCCAAACGCGACAAGCGAGCCGGGGACGCCATGCCTAGCAATCGTTCCGCTTGTCTTTCACGAGCGCGAGCTTTGGCCTGCAAGACGCGCAAAGGTCAGAGAACGTTGAACTCTTAGCTCGCCACCACTTTGCCTTTACTCGACCTAGCTGCCGTCCTCATCATCATCATGGGACTCACGATAGAATCAGGAGGTTTCAGCTGCATCAGAGCGACGGTCCTTGCTCCAGTCATGCCGCTCTTGCGACTCCTAGCTTCGTACAGTGCTGCCCGCCATTCCGATTTCGTGATCGCGCCCGTGTTGCGCACCTGCGGCTCTGGCTCGACAACGCGAGTATCTGTGCTGCTGCACTGGGCCGCATGCAACATTCGATACGAGGCCTTGGCGCACCGTACGAGCACCTGGCCGACAGTTCTCTTGCGCAGTCGCCTTGCTTCCGACGCCTGTTCTGTCTCGAGGTTGTTCCAGCTGCCATGCTCAAAACTTCGCGAGTCAAAGGCAGACTCTTCGCGACTGGCTTGCCTCAGGCCTGACTCCTGCGAATAGGTGTCGCTTCTTGACGATCTGCTGGCGCTCCATTTCCATGTTCGACCAAGTGCGAGCCTGTCTGCTAGCATCAAGGACATCGTGATTAGCACGCCAGCGCCTATTGCGCAGCCAGCGAGCCTATCGATAGCTGCGCGACGCTTCGAACGTGCGAAAGGCGCCGCGTCGCCATTCATGCTGATGCGATGGAAGGCAGAGAAAGGGGCGCGGTGTACTCAAGCTTGGCGTGCAGGCCGAGATGGTCATGGGGTGCGTTGAAACTGATGAACACGATGAGACAGACGACACTGACTCTGACCTTCACATCATAGCCATGATCGGCTACTTGCACCAACGGCTGGGTATGCGTGAACTCTTGATCCTCTCCCGAATCGCTGATCTGTCGCAAATTGGATCACAGCTCAACGCCTGTCGCATCGACTCGAGCTATGATCATCTTTGCCACTTGCCATTCACCCACTCTGCCTCGAGCTGAGGTCTGAAGCACACAGCAGCTGCTCGCCACAATCCGTAAACGACGCAGAAGCGCGCAAAAGTTCGCAATGGTAGCTTCGTTGAGATCGTCACTGTGGCAAAGGCGTTACGCGGACGTGAACAGCGATCTTGGCAATTAAGTCGTGACTTTGGCAAACGCGGGACGAGTGGGCGTTCGATGGAAACATCACTTGCTGAGTGCCATCAAACACACCCGAACACAGTCGTCCCGCGCTCGTTGCGCTTGGATGATTCGAAGCAAGGCTCGCACGGTGGGACCATTGCTGAGACCTGCAACCCTCATGAGCAACTTTCGAAGGCTTGCCTGCTGTTCCACCTTGCCTTGATCTTCATCCACAGCAATTCAACTGATCGACCCCACAGAGCAATGGGCGGAGCACCGACTCTCAATTAAACACGGAGCAGCAAGTGACCTCTGCCATGACGCGAATCGTGATGGACTTAGGTGACGTTGACAGGCGCAAGTGCAGCACTTGCCACCCAACATTCTTTGAGTGACACGGTGGCGGGGATGTGGACGAATCAATCAGCAGCCGTGATGAGTGACGCGCGCGCCACTGTCACGCGCGCCACTCACTGTGTAGATACTCGATCTGGGCCCATGCAGCACTCATCGAGCAAGTCAAGTGCGCTTTGCCACTCGGGAATCTCGACTGGCTTTGACTTGGCGCAAGGAGATGCACCCAAGCCAGTGAAAGGTCTCACGCCCTTCTGAGAGCTCGCCGGGATGTCCTGGTGAGCAGAGAGACCTGTCTAGTCGCTGGCAGCAGCAGCAGCTCGACAGTGCCGTACACATGGTCCACCCGCACTCCGCCATAACAATCCCATGCGCGCTGTGGTGACAGATTGCGTTAAGGCACCCAAGGAGACCCGAATCAAGATCTCAAGAGCTGGACCTCAGGCACTATCACGAGTGCGCCCACACTTGGGCGAGTCGGCTCGCATCGAACGATAACAATAACGCGCTTATGTCATTGAGCCTGTATGGAAGATGTACAACGCTGGAACATGTACCTTCGCCAAGCTGACTTTCGCGAATGGAGGGTGAGGTCGATGATGATGATGATGTTGCTGATGGTGATTACCAGGCCGGTTGTAGGTATGTAGGTGAGTACGCGAAACTGTGTGCGGGAAAGAAAAAAAGGACGGTGCAAGCAGATGTGTTGTGGTCTAGGCTCAGCCTTTTACGTAGACCAGAGGTGAAAGTGCGAATTGTCCGAGGGCGTACAGAGGCTACCATGTGCGGCTTGACACGTCGCGAATGCAACAACGGTCAAGTGCCTCTTAGTGCGGTGAGAGTGGTGTCAGGAGTTGCTCAGAGCGCCAAACTAGCTGCCAGGGCAGCAGCACCGAGGAGCACAGTGAAAGAGGCGGCAGCGGTGGCTGGTGCGCCGGACGAGCTTCCACCGGTGGTCGCAGAGTTGCTGTTGCCCTTGCTAGCGCTAGAAGTCGCGCCAGCTTTGGCACTGCCGGTGCTTGTAGCGCTCTTCCAGTCACCGAGATCGTACTGAGCAGATCCAGCTCCTCCGTCAGTGACATTGACGAAGGAGTGGGTGGGCAAAATGTCCTTTGGCTTGGTGGGCTTGTCACCCTGAGCGAATTGGTTGCTGTACCAAGGCAGGTCCCACAGGTCAGGGATGGCACCGACGATCTTGTATTGCTTGTTCTTCTGAGCGGCGTTGACGAGGGAGCCGGCAGCCTTGATGGCCTGATCGGTCGTCTCGTGTTCCAGGGTGATCACACCGTCGTTCTTGCTGCCAGACACCCAGCTGACTTGTTCCTTGGTGACCGTCTCGAGATCAGGTGCACTCTGCACGCAGGACTGAATCGAGGTCGCGGTACCGTGTCCTTGGCGCAAGCACCAGTCATCGGCGTCCTTCGTCCACAGCACGGTCTGCATGCCGAGCACGCGGGCGATCGCACGGACACGAGCATCAGCGTCTCCCTCGGGAGGACGGAAGTAGGCAGGCACTTTGCCAGTCAGGTCGTAGATGATCTGTTGAGTCCATCCGAGATCTCCGAGAATTTCGAGGTCGCTCTTCGTCGACTGCAAGGTGTGACTCCAAGTATGGATACCGAGATGGGCGCTGTCAACAGCAGCCAATTGAGACATGACGTCGGGGGCCCACGCGATAGCGGAACCAATGAGAAAGTGCGTGGTTGCGATGTTCTCCTTCTTGATGAGGTCGATGAGCGGTGGTGTACCGTTGGGGGTAGGTCCATCGTCAAAGCCGAAAGCGAGGGTGCCCTGAGGTGCTTGCCAGATGTCACCGTCGTTGCACTTGGAGAGCGTCCAGGAGCATACAGCGTTCATGTCGGTGCCCTTGGGGTAAGCGATCAGACCGTCAGGAGTTTCCTTGGATGCAGGGATGTCGGGGATCTGACCAGCCTTCTTAGCCTTGTTGTACGCATCGACCCAGGCCTGAGGCAGAGAGCTAGGAGGTGGGACCTCTCCGGGAGTGGGGTACTTTTGGCCATTGCCAGATACAGCAGGCAAGGTGGCCTGACGCTTCTTGAGGGTCGCCTCATCGACGTCGCGAGGTCGAAGGTGGTCAGTGCCGAGAATACATCCGCCACGCTTGTCGTGCTTGTGCGTCAAGTCGTGGCTGCCGCTCCGAGCTTGAACCATGCGCGCGAGCATGTCCTTGTGGATGCCTGCTTGAGCGCCATCGCGACCGAAGAGATGACTGGCGGGCTCAGCCAGACTGGCAACGGTAGACGTGGTAGCCACGGCGAGAGAGGCCGCGATGAAGGCGGAAGATGAAAATTTCATGATGACCGTTCTCGTCGGCGAGCAAAGCTGACGTCGTATCCGGAGCTGAACGGGTGTGAGGCGTCAAGGGAAGTTTCGAAAGGTGTTGAAGCGTGAGTAGCTACTGAGTCGAGGTGTGTAGCTTTCGGAGGGGCAAGACTTGAGAAAGAGCGTGCAAGGACGATTTGGAATATTATCGCAGGTCGTGTGTGGAATTGATTGCAAGGGAAGGTGATCTAGTCTTGAATTGGAGGACGTGAGCGGGGGTGGGGGAGCTGAGGTGTGCCGACGAGCGGGGTGTGTGGTGGGGTGGACGCGGGCGTGATGGGCGTTGGGTGTGATTTATGAGACCCATCAGCAGCGGTCAATTGATGAAGACGACCGGTCCCAGGTACAGTTTGTCGCGGTCACCCGAGCAGCCTGCTCTCGATCGAACTGATGTGATGCTGACGCATGGGAAACTCGATCTGTACCGGTGTCAAAGGCATGCCTCTCTATTCGCGCTACAACGGTCGACTGATGCGAGCAGGCAGGCGAGTAGTGCCATGTTGCATGTGCAGGAAACTTGCTCGATCATTTGCGCGTTGGGCCTTCCATCTCATCTCACCGAGGCTTCGCGGTCTTCGCCGCCGCCACCAGATGAGTTGTATATAGCGGGTCGGTCTCTTCCCTAGTCTGCCTTGCTCACTCCGAGCACGATTGGCCGGCCGCGCCAAGTGCAGCGCAGTTCCACAACACAAAGGACAAGTGCTAAAAGGCGCGCAGACATGATGCGCGGTTGTTGCATGGGGAGGGACAGATGGCAAGGTCTTGTCTTGCTGCACCGCTCAACGGAAATCCGGGCCTGTTTATCCTGAGAGCGCGTTGTTGCACGCTGATACGCAAACGCTGACAGCCTGCTGCAGCTTTAGCAAGCTCTCACCTCGCGCGTGCCCGAGCGGGCATGAGCCGGTCGGTCCAACGCGCGAGGCAAGGAAGCTCCAAGGCAGCAATCACAAATATAGCATATGTGCAGCAACTGTAAGCAGCGCGTCACAAGGCTCGTGCGCCTCCTTCACAAGACCCTCGCAGCAGTCGCTCGCCCAAAAGATTCTGCAATCGTGAATCTAGCTGCAGAAGTGCCTCGAGAGGCGACATGCTCTGGCGTGGCCCGTCCCTTTATCTGCCCTCTCCAAAAGCGCTTCCATGGAATGCCTTTGAGTGCGCGGGCGACCAGACCGATAGAATATAATAATATCAACACAAATTTGCGACCGCACATCTTCTACATTTGACATGATGGCGGCAGCAGGTCAGTGTCATGAGATCTGCTGGCGACCCCTGTCTGCGCCCACCCGCCCTTTTTGCGTTCCGCGCTCGCGTTCGGTATTGTAGTAAATGATGTGAATGATGATATATATATATATATATGATGTACGCGATGCAGCCCGACGGGCGGATACCGCGGTGACTGGCCTGCTGGCTCAGCGGGCCGAGCACGAGCGCGACGGCGCAGCAGCTATACGAGAGCGTTGCACAAGTCGTGAGTGCTGGATGGGGATCGAGCGGGCTGCAGGCCTCAGAACGGCCTGCCCAACAGCAATACAGCAATAATCTCTTCTCGCTCTCACTCAAGACTGCATGATTTGATTATTGGACCTCGGTTCAACCTCAAATTCCAGGGAGAAGCCGTAGATGGTCGTGTCCCACTATTCTACTACTACTACTGCTCCTACTCTACAACACCAATATTACGGTCTCGAGTCAGAGAGTAGACTCTTGACTGTTGACTGTAGTATGCAGGTGCGTCCAGATGACCGAGCGCTTACGCGAGCTTCTTTGAAGCTCAGACGCGCCCTGACAGCTTGTAAGTAAGGGTCCCATCCACTTACTTCTTGATTTTGTTCTCTGCCCTGTCTTGTGTAATTCCTACCATTTACGACATACGTTCTTGATTATCCTTGACATCAGCTTTCGAGCCGTGACGTGTGCTAGCTCTTGATGTTCTCACATCCGACGCTGCTGGTGTGATGCGTCAATCTCGCTCCAGCTGGCTACACGCGACGCAGGGCCCCTGCACACCACCTTACCGGCGGTTCCATCTGACACGACGGAAATAAGCGAGCTAAAAAAAAAGGGCCGCGGTCAACCCTAGCTTAGCGCGCGTGGTTAGCGTTTCTTGCACCGCATCACGTCTCGTTTCTAAATCGAAACCACAGCTCAAGGGTCGCTCAAAAGTCGTCCGATCGCGGTAGCACCTCGTCAGAGCGCAATTTCGAGGAGCATCGGACCATTGATCCTCTTCTTCTGTCAATTTGCTGCCAACATCTCCGCGCTGACCTTTTAGGCTTCCAATGTGCGGTGGAAGGCGGGGGTTTTTGAGAAGCTCGGCGTCCTCTCCGGAGGGTTCACGGGTGTGGTCTCACAGCTAAAGACACACGCTAGGCATGGAATCCAGCAGAGTGAGAGCAGCCGCGTGAGTGGCTTGCAGGTGTAGGGCACGGGAGCTCGCCTTGGCTACGTCAGGTTGAAGATCGGAGAGCCAGCCCAGCAGGCAGCTGGCTGCATGCGCGAGAAAATGACCGAACTTGCATGCAAGCGTCTGCATGCGCGAGATTCGGGCATGTACGCTGAGGGCTTTGTGTTCCTCATAGGAGTGGTGAGCAGAAGCCCCGATGCAGTCGAACGCGTCTCAAATGCCCGACTGCGGTCCTCCGAGACGGAAACATCCTCATCACACACACCGTACAGACGGAGTAATTCTGTCTGCAGCTCGATCCCGGCAGCTCTTGTCGCAGGCTCGTTGCAGGACATTCAGCTCGATCGCGACATCGAGCGAGCGAGTGGAGCACCACGGTTTGCAAATGTCAGATCGTGCAAGCTCAAATCTCCGACCACAACCCCGCGGGCTTGGCAGTGGCATGTAGTGATCTGACCAGTGTGGCGCTTCTGCCAAGCTGTTCTGTGTTCTCTGCGTGAGCTTCGCGCGTCCGGACGGGAGACCGCGGAAGATTCCACTGCAACCCAAAGGGCGCATAGCGCGGTAGCATCCAAGGAAGTGTGCAGACGAGTCGGATCAATCCAAGCCTTTGATTCTTGTTTGAGACGGACGTACGATACATTGTCAAGCCCAGGCGAGCCGGCCGTCATCTTGAAATGCAGGCCACGTCGGTATGCGCAAGTCATAGGAGCAGAGGGGGGGGGGGGGGGGGGAATTCATTCTAGATGTCATCGTCGCCGCTCACAAGATCAGAGTCGGTGAGCTCCATCGTGCGGCTCCAAGATCGCCTTCGCTCGCTGAGTGGTCTGAAAGAGGCAGAATGTGGTAGAGCGAGCAGCATGCAGTCAGTCACGTACGCCAAGACGCGACGAGGTACGCAAGCCCAAGCCTGACTCACGGCTACAAGCTACGTGATCGAGTTCGGAACTTACCTGTTTGCCGATCCTTCACCGTCTGGTCCAAGATCGCGAGACTCCCGCTTGCCTGCAGTAGTGCTTGTCGCAGGCGTCGCCGCACTGCCTGCTACAGGCGGCCTAGAGCCCATGGGGCGAGCACCTCGCACCTTATTGGCACCAGTTGAATTGGATCCCGAGCCCAAGCTGCCAAATTGACGACTCAAGCGCGCAACATTCGACGAGGCAGCAGCACCGGCCGCCGCCGCCGCAGATGGCTCAACAGTGGTGGTAGTGGCACTCTTGACGTGGACAGGCTGTGTAGGTCCTTCTGAGGTTGGAGTACCATATGCGCTACCTCCATCGCTAGACGTTGCCGCCGATCCAGGTCGGGGAGTGATCGTAGATGGGGCAAGCGACTCTGTGCTGGTCGCAGGCGTGACACCGGCTCCAACGACACCGAGCACACGTTCCGAAAGAGGTGTCGGCGCTTCCGCTGAAGCAGAGTTCGGTCCGGACTTGGCTACATCAGACGTCTGTATCGATGGTCTCACTGCCGAGGCTAAGCCTCCAGTGCCGATTGAGCTGTGCGATGTTTCTGGGCTAGCGGTCTGGTGCAGCTCAGACACGCCAGTGCCTGTTTTGAGGTCCTTTGCTGGCAATGCTGGCACTGGCGGCGCAGGCTCGCGTGGCCCCATGATACCCTGACCACGCGAAGTACGTGTAGGACGGACATCTATGGGCTTCGTGCGTTTTCGGACTGGCATCTTGCGCTGCTTAGCAAGAGCGCTTTCGCCTTCCTGTGTCTTGCGGTCAAGCAGCGCAGGTAACAGCTCGTCATAGTGCCCGATGAGGTCCATTGCAAGAAGAGTAGGCGCACGTGAAGGGATCGTGGCGGCATTTTCACGAGGCGGTCTCAAAACGACTGTTGACCAGAATAGGTCGAAGCAACAAGTGGGGAAGTATGTCAGACAGGACCATGAGCCCGGAGCTCGCAGCTGACGTACCTCGACCAAGCGCAAGGCCCAATTTGTTGAGGTAGATCCCGTTGGATTCGTTTGTAGGCGTCTTCTTAATCATGCTGAGGCAAGGAGAGACGAACCGGATGATCAGTCCACGGTGAGTTGGGCCGTTCGGGACTGAGCTACTCACCGCGACAGATGCCCGACCAGGGCATCTAGACAGACGAGGTGAAGCTTTGGCAGGCGGTTGAGCACGACACCAAGGTCCTCCAGAATACCTTTACGGATTCGTTCCTCGAGAGCAGGATCAAGGCCCACGCGCCCCTTGCCTTTGTCTAGAGTGGGTGTCGTGGTGTGGTCGCTGGCTTCTCGACCCTGGCCTCCTTCTTTTGTGGTAGTCTCAGCGTCAGTTGCCGCATTCGCTGAAGTACTGCTCGCCTTTGCAGCTGCAGCTTCACTCTCTTGAGCTGAAGCAGCTCCGTAGATGCTGTTAATGGGGTCCCACACCTCCCTGCTGACAAGGCTGTCCGCGAGTTCCAAAGCCCAGATCTTGACGGTCGCAGCTAGGGTAGGAGCATCAAATTTGGCCAGCAAATTATCTAGGCCTGCACCTGCTTCAGCTCCAGGATTACGGCTTTGAGTGATGTGCGTAATGATGGCCTCCCGACAAGCATGCGACTGAGCGAGAGGCACGTCGTAAAGCCAGGCTTTCCGGCGCTCTTCGTGAGCGTGCAAGGCAGTTTCGCGGGTGCCTGCTTTTGCTTCGCCCTCATTTGCTGAAGGAGCCGGCCATCTACCAGGGTCATCATATGCCCTGTCGAGAGCTGCTAGAAGAGCAGAGAATGCCAAGGGGAGCGCGGGCAATGCTCCTTTCTTTCCGCCTCCAGCGCGCAACGCCCCGCCGGCATCGCCTTCAACTTCAGAGTCTTCGTGGGCGAGTGCCTCCGCCCGACTGAATGCAACCAAGTCCATGCCAAAGGTGGCGATGCCGGAGCCTGCGAGGGAGTTGGCCTCTCCATTGTAGTAGCCGTGAAAGACTTCAGGCTGAGGCAAGAAGGGCCCTGTGCGGGTGTTGTAGATCAGCGAGCCAATGGCCTGTGCAGGGATGATCTTGTTTTCAAGTGTTCGTAAACGCTTGAGCGACACATCCATCTGCGGCAGCAGAGAGTCGAAGGCGCCATTAAAAGCGAGAAGCACTGCTTACAGCGAGGAGGTCGCATCAACCGCGTGACCGAAGAAGGGAAGTTCATGTGCGCACACTTACCTGTGCGAACCGCCCGCGCGCGCTCGTTTTCCCAGCGCTCAGCGTATCCAAAGTGCTCCATGAGCGTTTCTTCAAGGCCAAGACGCGTACGATCAAGATCGCGGACCGCGGTGCGGTAAGGGTCTTCGGCTGCTTCAGCATCTCGGCGCAAGCGCACGTGTCTTGGATCATTCAGCCCTCCGAGCGCTCCTCGAATGGTTGCAAATGCAGGCGCTTCCGTGGCACGGGAAATCGCTGCGCTTAATGAGGATGTGATGGTACCGCTGCGGGTCAAGGTCCCAGAGCCGCCGCTAACCGAGCGATTCCCGATCTCAAAGGTCGGGCTCGAGGGAGGCAGAGTTGCAGAAGCTGATCGGGGAGAGAGAGGTAGCGTCGTGTACCTGTCGTCCTTGCCATCCTCATTCTTCCTTGGATTGCGTCTAAAGCCAAATTGATCGCGCAGCGTCTCGCGACGCTTCAAGCGTTCTGGGTCGGCCGACGCGGCATCAGGCACATCTTTCTCCCCGCCCAAACCGATGGGCTCAGGCTCTGAGCTTGTTTTAATATCCTTCTCCGGCGAAGCGTTGGAAGCTGCAGTGCTTTGCTGCGATGAAAGATTGACGTGTCCGGTAGCAGAAGGCGGTGGACTCAAGACGGAGCCACCAGCAAAACGGGCGTCGTCCTCCGCTTCGTCTGCTTGGCGACACTTCGACTCATAACTCCTGCGGAGCCGATCAACCTGAGCCAGGGAGTGAGGGAAAACAACGCGGAGATGCGCATGTTGAGAAGCCAATTTGGTGTGGACCTCTCTCTTGAGACGTATTCTTTCGGCAGCCCCGCACTCACCTCTGCTTGCAGCGCTTCAAAACGCTCGACAGTAGCATTGACGTGTTCCCAGCTTGAGCGCACTCTCTTGACATGCTCGTCGCTCCATTTGCCAAAAGGTGTTAATATGTTGCGCTCTAGCGCGTGAGCAACAGCACCGTGTGCCTGGGCTTGGGCAGTGGTAGCTTCGAGCTCCAACGCTCGAATGGCATGGCTAAGAGCAGTGTGGGGCTTGACTTCCTCCCTTGCCCCGCGAAAGAGCGATGAAGGAAGGTTTGGCGATGGGAAAGGGGCAGAAAGAGCTTCTGCCGTGTTGTACTCAAGCGAAGCGCGGTGCTCGGCTAGCGCCAAAATGGTCGAATCTTCGTCTATGCCGCGCTGTAGAGCCGTGTAGAGCGAGTTGACGCCAAGCCTGTAGGGAGCTGACCAGTAGCTGCTCACAAAGGTTGGCGGCAGATTGATGGTCAAGGTGGATGGCGCCGTCATGTTGAGGTGAGTTGCACCCGCCCGCAGAGTCGCTGTTCGAGTCTGTGTCGACTTAGTGTTCAGACAGGCGAGAGAGGTTGGTGCGCTTCCACAAAAAAAAAAAAAAAATCGAGGCCGGAATTTCGGATGCTGTGGAGATTGACTTTTGCGGGCAGAGTCAAAGGTGGCAGAGTGGTTGTGTCGAAGGTGGTGAGAGTTTGGAAGTAGAGTCGGCAGCCAAGTCAACGTAACATGCGCTCTCGCGATTCGCAGACATGATTGACCCAATGGTGACACGTCAATCACGAATGGGGACCATGCGCTCGATCGCACAGTCACGCTCGGGGCGCGGTCACCTCACTGCGAACCGTGATCGATTCGGCGCACATAGCTTGACTCAGTGACTGCCGATGCGTGCGCTGTGCCGCATTTCTTGATTCAAAGGTCCTACATCACACGCCGCCAACGCCAGTCAGACACACACAGCCTCATATCTGTTGCTGCTGTACAACAGACGCGTGCCCTGCGGCCGACGTCCGTGCCCCATACGCACGCGCCCAGCATGACTTCGGCGTTGGCGGCGGGCGCGTGGGCTCGGGCGCGGGCTCGGGCGCGGGCGCAGGATCAGGATCCGGCGGCTATGCGCGATGGCTCGATTTGTTGCCTATCTCGAACAATCTATTTACCGTCAGCAGACCTCTGTCAGGTGACATCTTTGCCGCACAGCAGCAGAGGAAGAATTCTCGTGCGCGTGACCGAGACACTTGACTTTCATCAGCATCCTCAATCAAGAATAGAAAGCGCAAGCTTACCACTTTCTGGCCGTGATCGGCATCCTCAGTAAACAGCTCTTTCCACATCAGCATTACAAGCGCTGCAGGTAGTGTCACGCCGTCCGACCTAACAGCAGGATTGTTCGTAACTACATTGGAGATCGCAGAGATGATTGCTCCACTAAAGACTGCAGTTTCGCGCGCCAGCGTTCTCGGTCACTCCGCGAGACTGTGAGTAGCGGTAGTGCTTGAAGCTTTGCGTCTTGTTCCCTTCCGCTGCACTGATCTGACTAGATATCATTCGTACACAGCACCCGATCAGCTTCGTCACGATGGTCACCAGCCCGCACAATGGCGTCTGAAGCCGCCCCCGAAGCTTCCAGTAGCTCTACCGCTCAAGCAGCAACCCCTGCCGATCCTAAGCTCAGCGCAATTGTGGACCAGATCGAAAAGCTGACTTTGTTGGAGGCCGCTGAGTTGGTTACTCAGCTCAAGGTGAGAGGTTCGTTGCTGCAGAAGCGATAGACAGGTCACGCTGACCCTCCCTCCACGCCATTCTCCCAGACCCGCCTTAACATTCAGGACATTGCGATGCCATCGGCTGCGCCTGCTGCTGCTGCTCCCGCTGCTGGAGGTGCTGCGGCGTCAGCAGCACCGGCAGAGGAGGAGAAGCCCAAGGAGAAGACGATCTTCACGATCAGACTAAAGGGATTGAAGGATGCGGGAGCCAAGGCCAAGGTCATTCGTGAGGTCAAGGCTTTGAACAGCTCAATGTGAGTGATCTCTCACGACGGGCCTGGTGTACGCCACAAATTGCGCACGCCATCTTCTTCCCCCTTCTTGAATGAGCTGTTCCAAATGGGATCGCTGTCGCTGACACTCATCCCTGCACAGGAACCTGGTTGAGGCTAAGAAATTCGTCGAGTCGGCACCCCAGGTGCTCAAGGAGGGTGTGCCCAAGGAGGAGGCGGAGAAGTTGCAGAAGGCCATTGAGGCTGCTGGTGGAGAAGTCGAGCTGGAGTGAGGAGAGACATGACAGAGTGCTGGGGTATGGAGTAATTGGCTTGCGGCCTGCGAACGCACACGAGGAGCAGGCATGTCTCTGACGTACGCCATCGTGGATGACAATGCATACACTGGCTCACATCTACCTGCCCCGTCTGAGAGAGAGCTAGAAATTCTGGCCAAGCGTGGTCGAATGCGCATCACTCTCAGTCTCAAGGAAGAAGTACGACACTTCGCCACGCGGGCGTCGGCGCCATCGACGGACTGTTTCACTAAGGTAATGCGAAACCTTGAACTTGATCACTCGACGCCACCCAGCTGGCTCGAGGTACACTCACATGGTCATGCCTGTTTTGACAGGGCATCCCGAGGCAGCAAAGCCCAATGACGCGGTTCCGAATTGCAGGTGTCTTTCGCTTGGCAATGCGCTGATCTATTGGCAGCAGCGTCGCCACTTGCTGCGTATGGGCCGCCAGAGACCACATTCAAGACGGTCGCAGCCAAAGAGTTGGCGTTAGCCGGTCGCGCACCTCGCCACTCACGCAGTCCCCATTCCTCACTCTCGACACGTCAGGGCGGCGTTCTCAATGGGCGGTTCCTGCGCAGCCCGCCTTCCTAAGCTCCTAGGTTGACAGTCTGACCTACCTGAAGGATAAAGGTCAAAGTCAACGCCACGGCTGCATCTCAAATGCCGTCTCTATGGCAGCACCGATGCGGCAGGTGAGCGCTGCATGAGTCGGCCCGCTTGCGACGACGCTTGTGTGGATGCCACAAAGTCACCATGGCACCACAACTACTGAGCGAAAAGTGACGGATGTCGATCGTTCGAAAGCAGTGGCGACGAGCCAAGCGGAAGCTTTCGGGATCGGCGAGTTTGCCACCTGAGTGGCTTGAGCAGACCGTGACTCGAGCTCAAATAGCCAGCGCTTGACGTCGCGACCTTGCCCTTCTGCTATCTTACTTCGAAGTCTCGCGAGACTCTTCCTTCACTTCTGATTCCGCGATGAGGTCTGGTACCCACGCTTTATCCATCCTACCGCTCGCTTTCTTGCTTTACGCACCTGCTGTCAAAAGCAGGCCTTTGGCTGGTCGGGCCGGGCTTGGCATTGATCGTGTGGATGCCGGCATTGAGCGCGACGAGCTTGCAGCATATCAGCTAGACCTCTACTCCAAAAAGCCCACAAAGGTGCGCAGCTCGATGTCTGACGAGCTGGCGGAGTTGCGCTTGACAAATCATTCAAATTCATCCGTTTCCTTCAGAGGTTCGACCCAAGCGCTGCGCTCTCCAACAGCATCCTGTTGCGTCGCGCCGATGACGAGCACGTCGTGTCAAAAGTGGGTCAAATGTGCTGGAGGTCGTCCGCGCTGCCGCTCACGTGCAAGTAACTTTTGTCCCAGGCGCTGAAATGGATCAGCAACAAGTCAGGCTTCGGCAGCGGCAGCAAAGGCAACACATCACGAAACGAACACGATGTCGAATCGCAGTCAGGCTCCGGTCCGGATGCAACGACCAGATCCCTCCAGCGCCTGCACATTTCGGATCCCGTCATAGTGGCGCTTCCAACTCATCGGTACGGACCTCACGCAACCGAACATACCCTGAGTCAAGAGGCGCGGCCCTTGATGGGGTACGACGGCATTCCAGTTGGCCATCCTGTCAAGATTCGGACTAGCGGCATGTCGGTTGATCAACGCTTGGAGCACTGGCGCTCCAAGTACGCCTCCGGCAGAGTGAACTTCGGAGGGAATGTCAATGTTGCTCGACCCCCTCCTCTAGAAAGTCAGGCTATCCATGCTCAACATCCGGAATATCGTTGGACCAACAACTACTATACGGATCACATGACGCGAGCTGATCACGACGTTATCTTTCGAAGACCTCAAGACTTTCACCCGAGCCAGTTGTCCCCCGAAAAGTTCAAGAGCGTTGCGGAAAATGGGTTTCTACGAGATGAGGTATTCATGAACAGGATGGGAGATGGCTACGCATGGGACTGGTACAAGCACTACCACGGTGTCAGCTCTGCGCCTAGCAGTCCCAGCGCTCACACACCACTCGTTCAGCCCCAGCGACCGGCTTTGCGGCATGAAGGGTCGAGTCTCCACGACGTGAGTGCATGAAGCGCAACGATCTGACGTCGATCTGGTTGGATCCGTCTGGAAGACCACGCTTTCTTGGGCTCCGTGTCTTCCGGTACGCCAGGCCGCCCGAAGCCGGTATTCGAAGCGGCCTGCTGCTCTTGGTAGCTCCCAGGACGCAGTCTCATGACGAGCGGGCTTACGTAGCGCTGAGCAACGACTTTGCCCTCTACTGTGAACAGGCCAACCAGGTATCGCGCCGAGATGCTGATTCAGAAGCGTTAGTCCGTCGCGCTGAGGATGAAAACCTTGGCACGAAGGTGGGTGTGACTTTCCGGATCGTGTTGTCTAGCACTTGACTCGATCAGTCGCTGTCCTTCTTAGGTCTTGAGTTGGGTCCGCGAGAAAGCCAAGCACTTGAAAGCAACCTCGTCGTCGGATCACGCCGCTCTGTCGCCATCGTCATCAGGTGGCTCCTCTCCGCAACATGCATCTCCAGCTCCCTCGTCATCAGGAGTCTCCTCGCCGCACACAATGCCCACGAGTCCGATGTTGGAGAAGGCTGAGGCATCTCTGTCAAGAACTGCAGACGAGCACAGCTCCGTGCCGTCGGCGTCCGCTTCTACGCAGCGTCTACAAATCACGGATCCAGTCATAGTCGCCTGGCCTGATCATCGCATTTCTGACCACATGCTCGCGCGTCCGCGACCGGATGTTGTCCCATACCAGCACTCCCAGTCCTCGAATTGGTATGTTTGCAAAGTTACTAATGAATTTCGGCTCGGTACGTGCAGCTGACATTCGATCCATTCCAGGCCCAATTTGCGTCCTAGACTAGGTCCACATGCGCCCGGCAATGCTCGCTCAAGGGCTCAAGTACTCGATGAGTGGGTGGCTGACACGCGCCCATCTATCCATGGCCCACTTTGACACTCGCAATAACGTTGTCGTATCTGTCACTCTTTGCAGGTTGACATGGCATTACCAGAACCTGCCACGCGAAAGGCTACGTGAGCTAGGTATCATTCCTCCTGCGTGCGTCGCCAGCTCTGCTCGTCTCCCGGTAGCGAAGATGCTGACAACGGGCTGCCATGATCTGCTTGGCTCTCGCAGTCTTCCCATCCGCGACAGCCGAGGACACGATGGAATTCCCATAGGAAAACCAATCACTTTTCAAAGTCGAGGTATCAGTCTTGCTCACCAACGTGCAGTATGGAAGGCGCGTTCCGGCAGCGGTAGGAACGCAGCTAGGAACCCCGGTTCACCTCTCCGGCCACGTCATCGACAATCTGACGTTCATTACACAGACGACTTTCACAACGATTATCAATATTGCAACGGACCTGCATGTCACGTCACAGTGTTCAGGCGGCCGCCCGGCTTCCATCCGAGTCAACTATCACCTGCTCAATTCAAAACGGTAGCTGAACACGGCTTTCTAGAGAATTCCCAGTTCGTGAATCGGATGGGAGACGCGGATCATTGGAAAGCGCTACAACGAGTACACGGGGTCAGCTCAGAACGTGTCCATCCAACGCGGTCGGAAAATCACTACTACGTCGGACACATAGATCGTCGTGGGCTAGGCGAGGATGTCGGTGTACTGGTGAAGCTCAAAGAGAAACACACGCGCGAGCAGCCGGAGCGTGCAGCAGAAGGAAAAGCCATGCTCACGGCAAGCGAAGCAAGGGCCAGTCGACGCGCTTCGGAAGGTCGAATGGGTGCCAGCAAAGATCACGCTCCTGCTGCTTCGGCGCGCACGCCGGACTTCGGTATTGGCGCGGTGCGAAGTGACAAAGGAGCTTCGGACGACCACGCCGCTGCTGAGAAGGTACACCTTGATGCTGCTCCGCTGCGTATGCCAGGTCCCACCATTGTCGCGTTGCCTCCAGAAGCGATGGTTCCTCTGGGCAAGTCGGTGTCGCGTATTCCTCAGGTCTCTGAAACTCCATCTCTGCCGCAGCTACAGGCTGTAACTGAAGGTCTGCGAGGAGAGGCGAGCTCATCGCGCGCATCGCTGTCTTCGAAACTGCGAGCTGCTTCCGGCGAAGAGCACGATGCTGCTGCGGCGGCGGAGCCAGACGGCAGACGTAACCTGGAGGCGCTCAGAATTTCCGGATACCCACACCCAGTCAATGTTGTGGGACGGCCGGTGGTCATTCACAGGAGCATGCTTTCTCCCACTTCTCGAGAAGCCCTGCTTTACCATCAAGGGCCACCACCAAAACCCGACGGGGTTCGTCTGGAGGTATCGCAGCAGCCCGCTACCGGAAAGGTTGTGCTCTTCGGAAGGCCTCCCCATTTCAACCCGAGAACACTGTCGCCCAACTCACGCAAGGTGATGAAGGACTCCGGCCTCGAACGGGACGGCGGTATAGCCCCGTACAAACCTCCGCATAGTCACTAAAGCCGAGCCCGCATGGGGCTCACTCTTGCTTACTGAGCGTGGTAGCTCAAAGGAGGGCCGATCGCTACATTTGTGGGCCCCTTGCAGAGAATCCAACATGTCCAACATTATACAGAATCAAAATGCCTGTGCGTCCAGCATCGATGATGCCGTCGTAGGGGGCTGCAGAGTGAAGGTGCGCCTGCTCTGACTTCGCTTGCCTGCTTCGGTCTGCTTTCTTAACATGAGCCGGGCGTGGCTGTCAGAAGAGTATTTGAGGCTGCGCTTGCAGCTCGCAAGGGCGTCGACATGGTGCTCCCTGCAGTCTATTGTTTTCACATGCAATACAGTCACAGTACTGCCTGCAATCCGGCGCTCCGGAACTGGCTTGTCGTGTTCTCTCATGCCACGACTGTTTCAGAGATGCTCCTGGCGTGCCAGACATTTGGAGACGTTATAAACATTGAGAGGACCGACACCTTTCATATAGACGTGGCAAGAGCTAACGTGTGTCTCGAGCATGCAACGAAAGCAGGTACAAGCCAATTGGAGCGATAGATGTACGTGGAAGCGAAGAGCAGACCGAGCACGGGCGAAAGGGCTCCTGGCTAGGCAGAAGCCCAGGCCGAGATGCAAGCCAGGTGAGTCGGGAGAAGTGTTGGTAGCCAATGGGAAGAACGTGAGATAAACAGGCTCGATTCTGAATCTGGGTAACGTTTTGCTGCGTGGCATCATCGGCTGTAGTCGGTGCCTACGCTTTGTTGACGGGATCGGCCGTTGGTCAGGCCATTCTTGGTGACAGCATCGCCGGTAGTCGAGCGACTGGACATAGAGGTGGCGCGAGACACGGCAGAGCTGCGAGATGTTTGGGAGCTCACCACCGAGTTGCGGCTGGAAAGGCTGCCGCCAATAGAGCTGCCAGAAGCCAGCGTACCGGCATCAGAAGCAGCGAAGAAAGAACCGCGGGAGCGATTCTTTTGAATGCGCATCGTCTCCAGCGCAGCGTGTGCACGGACCATGCACATGTTGGACAGAAGGTAGCTTGCCTTCGGGTTCAAACCGCCCTTGCCCTTGGCCTCGAGTGGCTTGCCGGAGAGAACCTTCTTGATCTCCTTCTTCGCTGCTTCCTCCTTGCCCATGCAGGCCAGAAGGCGGCCAAGCTCGTAGTGAGCGAAGTAGCACAGGTACCTATCGGTCTCGTCAAGCTTGCCGGAGTTTTCGATGACCTTCTCGAACGATTGCACCGCATCTTGCGTGATCTCTTCGAGAGGACCGATGGAGTCCTCAGAAGGCAATCGCACCAGCGTGTGGGGTTCGGGGAACGCGACATTCTTGAGGGCAACACCGCGCAAGAAGAAGGCCAAGCAGTACGCTGACCAGTACTCATTCTCGCCATTGCCGTACGCGCGGGGATCAGCGTAGCTCTCAAGGTCGTCGATCTCCGAGTCGATACGGCTGAGAGTGTTCTCAACGAGCAAGAAGACAGGAGTTTGTCCAATGCAGTGCCAGAGATACGAGAACTCGATACCAGCCAGAGGCAAGCGATTGTTCTGGGCGACATACTTGCGCGCCTTCATCGAGCAGAAACGCTCAAACGGAATTTGACGTCCGGCCACCTTCTTGGTGAGCTTGGCGACCGTGCGCATGATCGTAGCGCTCTTGGCGCGGTCATCCATGCCGGACTCGTACAGCATGACTGCTTTTGCGTACTGGTAGATGGCCTTCGACCAGTTGGACTCGCGCGAAAGCACGTCTTGGCACTCGAAGCAGCGAGCAAAGTCGCAAGTGGCCAGGTAGGTCAAAGACAGGTCCCAGAAGCAGAGGTGGTGCAGCTGCTTGTACTCGCGCTGAGACTCGATAGCGTTACGGAAGTACTCGATGGCCTTCTCTGGCAGGGCTTGCGCTGCGTATAGACGCGCGGAGAAGTAGAGGAAGAAGATTCCGTTGGGGTAGCGCACCAAGTTCCAGCTCAGCACCTTGTCGGCAAACTCAAAGTCGACGTCTGTGATAGGGATGTACGACGAGATTACAAGGTGGTAGACAAGCATAGCAATGTCGCACAGTGGGCGACGGACACCCTCCTCGTCGGCAGAGATAGTAGGAAGGGGACGAGACTTGGTCCATCCACCTGCGCGAGAGTAGAGGTCGAGGGCAAAGCGACGATCGCCCGTGAAGCCGAGTCCCTCCATCATCTTGAGAGCTTTGTCGGGGAGCATGGAAAGGATGAGCGAGCAAGTTGCATTGGTCATGTAAACGCCCGACCTGAAGTCTTGATCGACAGCGGTCGAAGGTCGGCGACCATGAATTTGAGCCTCTTCAGCCTCGCCATCGCAGTACTCCACAAACTTGAACAGCTCGCGAATGAGGAAATAGGAGTTGCGGAGGCCGAAGGCGTTTTTGATGAATGCAATACCATCCCCTGCGTAGAAGATACCAAGAACGGCCTTGAGCAGCTGAGACTCTGCGAAAACAAGCTCAGCGTGTTGCTGGACGAGGGTCATGGAGCGGTAGTTGGTCTGCTTGCTCGAGCCAGTCAGCTTGCCGATGGTACCTTGCTTCTTGCGCAGAAGGGACGCAATGTTCATGGAGTGTTTGCAGCACAAGATCGCACTCTCGAAGTCCGTAGGCTCGAAGGTCATGATGGCCTTGACCGTGTTGATCAGCGACATGCCGACCGCCTTGTAGAGGCGCGTCTCGGCATCCTTGATGCAGAGCTCCTCAGCCTCTTTCATGCGAGAGTTCAAGAATAGCGACATGGCCTCACGAACGATGGCAAGATCCTCGCGACAGTCATTGTCGTCGATCTTGACCTGGCTGGATGTGAGCGACTTTCTTGGGATGTGGGTAGGCAAGACAGCTGTCTCGGGTGTGATGGACTCGTCGCTGTAATCGCTTGCCTCGTCATCTTGAAAGTCTTCCTCATCCTCCTCTTCCTCTGCCTGGCCATCGTCTTCATAGCGATCCTCCTCAGGTGCGTTGCCATTGCGACGCTGCGTCTGCTGCTGCTGTTGGCCGTTAGAGTCGTCTTCTCCACGGCCAGTGACGTAGGCAGCGGCACCGCCCACGGCTGCCGTAGCGGCTGCGGCGGCACCGCCCACAGCACCGAGTGCCGCGCCAGTGTAGCTCTGCTCGTCGCGTGGCTGCTGTTGCTGCTGACGACCATTGTCTGTGGGAGTCTCGGTGCGGTCTTGCTGGCGGCTCGGTTGAGAGGGTTGACGAGAAGGAGCGGGACGAGCTTGTTCTGGCTCTGCTTCAGGCTCGGCCTCCTTGGGTGCTGGCTTCTTCGTCGAGGCCTTGGCAGCTGCCGCGCCTGCAGCCGCACCTGCAGCTGCGCCACCAGCAGCTTCAGCGCCCTTCTTGCTCTTGCCACTTTTGCCGCTCTTCATGCTGCGGCTGCTGCTACCGCCATCGACCTCGGTGCCGCAGAAGCCGAGACGGCCGGCGACAGAGTCCTCGAGCGTGTCTTCGCCGTTCTCTTCCAGCCACTTCTTGAGCGCAGGAATGCTGTGACGCTCCCCACATTTTTGCTTGATGGTCTCACCATCGACCTGAGGGTACTCCCAGTCGAAAGACCCGTCATCGTGAAGAATTCCGGCGCGCTGGTACACGTTGCGAGCTCTGCAGTACTTGTTCATCTGAAGAGCCTTGAGTCTCAATTGCTTGGTTAGAACAATTCGGCGATGAGTGAGTTCCGGAACCTCATCATCATTGTCGCTTTGCTGATACCACTCGCGCGTCGCCTCCTCAAATTGCTTGGCAAGATCATCGTACTCGTCTTGCATGGCCTTTTGAGTCTTGGTGTCCTTCAGGAGATCATTCTCGCGGGGGTCCGGCTCGATGTAGTCCCAGTCCCAGTCCATTGTTCCGCCCATGCCCTTGCGCAGCTTGGCTGTCGATGCATAGTCAGAAAGCTCTGGAGCCTTGCTCGAGAATTTGATCTTGTCACGGACGACGGGGTCCAGCATGGGCTGGAGCACCTGCCAGATACCTTTGAAGATCCAGGGAGCAGAGTGCACGTAAATACGCTGCAGGGACTCCGGGTAGCTGGCAAAAAGTCATTCGCGATAAGCCGACTAGCGCAATAATCCCCTGCGGCGAGAGCTGGACACTCACTAGGCTTCAAGACACTTGACCAGGAAAAGCACACATTGCCAGTCCATGTTCTTCAGACCGAAGCCACCCATATCGAAAATGACCACAGCCTTCTCGTAGGGGGGAGTGGTCAATTGACGAGCGTTCTCCATTGCAAGCAGAACGAATTGTTGAAGCACCTCGTGCTTTTGAGCGCTGGTAAAGTGGCGAGCGACGTGGCTGTGCGTACAATTCAAAATGAGTAGACTCTTGCAAAGTCAGCGGCAGGCTTTGCGTGAGGGACTTCTCTCGCCGCTCACATGAAGTAGACGGGGTGCTCTCCGGGATGGTCTGGACCACCATCGCTGTTGCCCTTGATGTAAGAGATACCTCGACGGAACTCTGCGTTAAAGGCGCTACGTGTTCAGACTCTCTACGCGCTCGTTGGCCATTACACGTAGCGACTCACGATTCAAAAAACCGGGAACAGCCTCGAGACCCTGTTCTCCCTTCACCACGATGCCTTCGACGTCCTTTTCGAAGCGGAACTTGAGAGCGGCTGCAAGCATGGCAAGCGCACGGTCGACATCCCACTTTCTCGCACGCAAAAATCGAAGCATACCGCTGTCCGGGTTGTCGTGCTGAATGCCCAGGGCGGATGCAAGACTTAGCAGCGGCTCGCGGGGTCACGCTGAGCGCTTGCGCTCACCTTTGTGAATTCCCAAAGAGCTCGTCTCAGGTAGGGACCTCCGTAAGCTGCGCAAATACGATAGTGTGTGAGCGTGCAACCTCTCGCTGGTGAGAATGAGGGGAGGTACTTACTGTCCAGGAACTGGTTCATTTCCTGCGAGTGGTGCAGTGCCGAATGACCCGGTGGTCAGCGCTGAGTCTCTAACGTCGCCTGCGCATCTCGCTCAATTCCTCACCTTCATCTCCTCCATTTTCTTGGCCTCTTCCTTGGCCTTGTCATCCTTTGGGATGTCCTTGCCTGCAGCCTTCTCATCTGCGGGAGGAGCAGCCGCCTTGTTGGTCTTGGCTGCGTTGGGACCACCCTTCTTTTCGAGCTCAGCAGAGCGTTCCTTTCATCACGACGGATCGTTTGAGGAAGCCGCAGTCAGTCGGCGATTCACAAGCGCAAACAAGAGCTGCTGCTGACTGCTCACTGTGTTCTTCTCGTACAGCTCAAAGAAGCGGCGCCAGATTTCTCTCAGTGCACGTTGTTGGTCAGCATCCAGGTTACCTGCGACAGCGAATAAGAAGCGAAACCAGATGTGAGCCGCTCATTACAGTATCGGATCACGCCAGAGAGCTGCGACGCTCCCCGCTATCAGCCGGCCGGCGCAGACTCAAGGCCTGGACTGCGTTACAGACATGCCAAACCTGGCAAAGTAATGGCGCATTCGCCTTTGTGCAGCAGTCCTGAAGGTTTTCCGACCTTTGTCTCGGATGATCAAGCATCCACTTGAATCACGTGGAAAGCCACTCACCGCGGTAACCGGGCAAGACTTTCTCGCCATCGATGTTTCTAGTTGTCGACATCTCCGCGAGCTATGAGGGGTGGGCGCAAAGAAAGACTCGACAAGAGTCACGCGCGAAAGCTAGCTTTCGGACAGCGCCAGAAAGAAGGGGGAATCGAGACAACAGCTACAACACAGAGCGATCACAGCCTTGCTGGCGACCCGACTAGAAGCTAGGGAAGGGTGGAAGACAAGGAGGAGATGGGACTGCGCAAGCGCGTGCCGAGCAGGTGTCAAACAAAGAGTGAAGGCAAGTAAGTGGTTATGAGAAGGAAGCTCGTGGCGGATGTGGAGTGCGAGCGCGAGCAGAAGAAATGAGGTGTGGAAAGGTAGGGAGAGAGAGAGAGAGAGAGAAGCAAGGGCTAGTTGCTTGTAAATCGTCGGATCTTTGGGAGGATGTGAACAGCGGGGGGGGAAAGCTTCCTGCTGGTTGAAAGTGAGGCGAAGCGGGGAAAGATGCCGATGGTGGACATGGGAAAGCGCCAACGGTCGCAGTTCCCGCACTCGAGCTGGGCAGACCGCCTGTGTTTCGATCAAAGACTCTCTGTGTGCGCCGTGCGGCAGAAGCGGGTTGAGACTTGAGACAGGGCATATGTACCGTCATGTGCAGCTTCTGCGCTGCCATCCACCACTCATCGAGGCCATGCAGACGGTCAGGGCGGCTGTCACTTGGGGATGAGGCGGGGTACCGCTGTAGTCACTGAGGGACTGCTTGTCAGCGGCACAAGCTAGGCAGCGAGGCAGGTTCGTCTAGCAAATCACATCCGAGCAACGTGAAACAGGCTCTCTCGCCGACGCAGCAGCAGCAATAGCACAGAGAATGCATGCATATAGCTCAATCACAATAAAGTAACGTGCACAGCGAGAGCAAGACGAGACAAGCCAAGCAAAGGCGCTGTACAAGGTGCGTGCGTTCAAAGGTGCAGGTGCGTCACTCTATGCGCGGGGATTGAATGTGAAATCACGGAAGTCACGAGTGTCTTTTATATATATTGCTCGAGTCAAAGTTGCTCACGCTCGCGCCCGAGGCCGGGCAATGTGCATGATGCTCTTGCGGCCCTCGACGCTCGCGGTTAAAGGCATGATCGAGAAATCGTCATCGTCGTCATTTGTTCCATGTGGTTGCCTTCGGCAACACCCCCCCATCGGCACTTGCGCGCTACAGGAGAGGTCTCTTGAGCCGTGCGCGTGGAGTTAGACGTCGCGACCAGGCACCTCCCCCCTCTATATAGCTGCTGTAGCTGCGCCTGCCGCTGCACAAGCCTATCGTCGAGAGCTCCAGCGCAGCAGCGCAGGTCCCCCACCTGCTGCACCTGCAGCAGCTGCATCGTGGACCTTTGCCGAACAGCACCAGCGCGTGTACCTATAGCAGCAGCGAGGCGCAAACCCCCAGCATTCTTTGCTTCTTGCCATAATGAAGGCGGGCCAATCGACGATGAGCGTCGCGATCAAAGCGGGGAAGCGGGGTGAAAACAAGAAGCAGGGCATGCAGCACCATGGCGAGGCAACTAACTCGTAACTTCGTAAGAGAGCCCGCGTCCGTCCACTCGGCTCAGGGTGCGGATGCCCTGATCGAGAAAACAGGCGCGATCGTCGATATACAGTCAGTGAGTACATGTTGCACGAGCGCAGCCGTGGTGGCCTGTCTGCTCAGACGTGCGGCTTCGCGAGAGGCCGCAATTAACGTCATCGAAAATCGAGGAAGCGCCAACGTGAATCGTGAAGCGCACATCAGAGGATCGCTTCGCAGTGGGCAGGCATAGCGATATGCGGACCTATACAGATCTGATGCGCGGGAGTATATTCGCGAGCTCAACTTCGTCCTTTCTGATGAGAATCATTCGGATTCTCTGCTTCAGCCCTGCAAGGTTTAGTAGTGATTGTACCATCAAGGGTCTCGCTTCGAGTCTACCGATGTGAGGATGACGTGTAATGGACAAAGCGCCGCTACGTCCGTGCGCATGGAGTCACGAGTCCGAGTACAGCGCCCCTCTTATGTACGTACTCATCAGGATGCAACTTGTGTTCTTGCTCTAGCGATACTGCCCAAAACTAGGCTCATCATGCTCCCTTGGATGGATACGAACAAGCCGGCTTTCGGACAAGTGGAACGGGGAGCCAGCAGGTTGTACGCCTGGCTGGCCAGCGGACGCGCGAGAAAAGAAAGCTTCGCTTTACGAGCTTAGCGCCCCTCGTTCTCCCACGCGGCCGGGAAAGCGGCTGGTGGGACACCGCTGATTAGCGCGAGTCGTACCACTGTAGAGTGCGCTGCGCCTGGACGACGAAAAGGATGGTGGTCGTGGGCTGTAATCAGCATCAGCGATTGATCGTCTTGGGTCTGCTTCTATGTGTGCATGAACGTTCAAAATCATGTTTGGTGCATGGTTGTGTGAACGCTGCGTTTCTCCTTGCGAGCGTCGACGCTCCTGTCTCTCTTCTGGCACTCGCAACCTTCGAGGCTCCAAACTCAAAATTCATCAAGACTTGAATCATCACGATTGGTGAACCAAACTCTGTAGATTCACGTGATTGGTATAGTGGCATGAACCAAAAGTCGCAAGAGAAGTCAAGTCACAAGTGCGGTCAAGAAAGGACTGAGCCAATCCTCGACTTCGAGACTTTTCTGCGCACCCAGGAGACATGACGTGCGGCATACAGCGGCGCCTGAGCGGCCGCGGCCATGTGAGCTCTGGCTGCTGCGCTGCATGTTGCAGCTACTGCTGTAGGCTGCAGCTGACTCCGCACAGCCTCACCGCCACATCCCACTCGAGCGCGCCGAAAGTACGTCGCGCACGCGACGCAAGGCTTTTTGAGGACTCATATAAGAGTCAAAGAGGTTGACAAGCAGGCTCTCCCAAACACACTCACACTCACGGATACTCTCAGCATAATCACCTTCTGTCCATTCCGTATGCAGTATCTAATCCGCAGGCTTCACGCCCGAAATTCGCAAGCTCTCGCTGGTATATCCGCTTCCCCGACTGCTTCCCTGGCAGCTCCCGAATCGAGCTCCGGTGAGCTCAGTCATCGCTCAGCGCTTTAGCTTGGCCACTCGAGCAGCAAGCATCCTCATCTCAGCTCCAGCAGACATTATAAAGATGTCTTCATTCATGCAGAAGGCTCGGGAGCGTGCCATGGAGGCTGCTGCCAAAGCTCAAGATGCTGCTTCGTCCTTCAGCGGGGCTCACGGCAGCCCCAATGCCAGTCACGCAAGCGGGCACGGCAGCAATAGCAACACCACCAACAACAACGGCGGGTGAGTGTGGCTGATGAGGGTCGTTCGGATGCTCGGAGCATGTGGCACTGATCAGTATCGCGTCATTTCTATCCGCCCATCTCCAGCGTGGGAGGCTACACTGGTTCGCTCCCACACGTCCTACGACAAGGTGTGGCGCAATTCTATCCACGCAGCGAATTCGACTCTCGCAGCTCGCACGTCCTCAGCTCTGCACTCAAGAGCGTTTCGATCGATCACGAGGCTCTTGCCAGAGAGACAAAGACGGCAGCCAAGTCTGCTTACTTATGGGGTCAAGATCAAGATCCGTACAAGCGCGAGGACGGCGCAGGAGATGCCGCCCTTGTCGACGTGTGAGTAGGCCGTGCTTCTTCCTTTGACATGGCATACCGGTGCTGATGGCATCAAGGCTGCTCAATCCGACAGTATGGACCGGCTTGCGTTCCTTTTGACCACTGTAGGTGATCTCGAGACCGCCCACGTCTCGCAGCTCGAAGCAGCCAGGTCTACTTTTAAACGCGTCGTCAAGGCAGAAGCTGACCTGGCAAGCAAGCGCGAACGTCGCGTCAAGATTCAGCGAGAGCTTGCGACGCTCATGCCTGAGCAGGCAAAGGGCAACAGAGAGCGAATTGGGCCTCTGGAGGCAAAATTGAAGGAATTTGAGCACGAAGATAGAGAGGCGGAAGAGGAGCTCGGTCGGCTCAAGCGCGAGAGCATCCGCGACTCATTCGAGACCCACTTCGATGCCTTGGCAGTTCTCGGAGAAAAGGTGCGTCCAATGCCAAGTCTCGAATGCCTTTCGCTTGTCATTCTAGAAGCTTATTGTGGAATAACTGCTTCTCACGTATGCAGCTCTCCATCGTGGCTCGTCATGGCAAGCTTTTGACCCACCAGCTGCCAGTGTATGCTCCCCCTTTTCCAGCTCCACGAGTCAAGGCTGGACCCAATGAGCCCCTTTGGCCTGGAGCCTCTCGCACTGCTGCTATACGTGCAGCGGTTGGGCCTGCTCTTGCTGCGTATCACCCCGCTCCACAGCTTCCCGAACTGGACCTTCCCGCTGAAGGTGCACCAGTAAAAGCTTCCTTGAGCCGCAAAGATACGGAGAGTTACGGTGTCAGTCATGCGGCAGAGCTCTCTGATCAGCACACTGGCTTGAGTGCATCGCCACCACAGGCAGGAGGCGGAGACCTGCAGCGCAACGAATCGAGCTCTTCAGCCACCGATCAGAACCACGCTGCTTCTGCATTCCCTCTGTCGCCGCCCCAAGGGTCACCGAACGAGCTGCTGTCGAACATCAACAACGCGCCAGCAAACTTGCCTTCTTCTCCACCGACTGGAGCACACACTCAGCCGCAGCGTCATCGGGTGCCACCCATTCCTTCTCCCACTGCACGACCTGCGGACGCGTCTCATCTCCCTCCAGCGCCGAGTCATGAGACCGACGTGAAGGGAGACTTGGCCACGGGGCCCAGCGTAGCAGAGACTGGACAGCCAATCGTCGGCCCAGGTGGTCCTTCGAGCGGACAGCTGAGCCCTCGTGTGCCACGAAAGCCTTCTGTCACTGCTCACGCAGCTCCTGCGCCCGGCTTTGCTCCTTCGGTGCCGACCGCAGATTCGACGGCCGCTGCTGCATCCAGCTCTTCGGCTCTGTCTGCCCAACCTGCCTCTTACTATGAGACCACATCTGATGCTAGGGCGCGCAAAGAAGCGGAAGCTGCAAGAGAGAGAAAAGAGGCCGAAGCGAGAGCTGAGCAGGAACAGGTTCGACAGCACGTCGTCTCGGCTCGTTTGAGACGCGATGGGACCATTGTGAGGCGCGGAGAACAGGGTTTTGCAGAGGCGGAAGAGGAGAACTTGCCTCCTTATCATGAGTAAGACACAAAACGGCGGATCGCGCGCCCCCGCTTAGACGGAGCACCTGTAAATGATTGCAATAGTTCGCACCGCGAACACTGTTTATGCATGTTGTCAAATCATCGATTTTCTTGGGGCACGTCAACGACAGTCAGGCACTGGTCTCCATGGGCACGGCAGCTGCGGTGGTGCTGCCTTCTTCAAAGTCGACGTCACCCATAAACTCTCGAGCGTGCTCTTCCAGGTATGTTGTCGATCGTCTTTCGTCGATGAAGAGCGAGTACACTCTGCGCACGTCTGTAACCTCCACTCGAGCAGCTTTACGTCTGCGAGCTGTGCAGGGGGCGCAATTTGCAAGGTCAGCAGTGTTGATCCAAAAGGAGAGGCGAGAGAGGGGGGAGGGGGGGGGGGGGGGAAGACGTGCGTGTAGAGCGCGGGATCTAGGCTCACCTGCCAAGCTGGCGGTCGTGATGAGGAGCTGTGCGTACCTCAGGCTAGTCTCTCCGCCGATCCTCGTAAGCACCGACAAAGCTTCCTGCTCCAAGTCGACATCCTCTTCGCTCGCTCTGATATTGAGAATCTCCTTGATCTCTTCAGCAGAGTAAGGCTTGGTTTGAATGATCAGGGCGCGATCCAACAGGTCGATGGGCACTCCGTGTGGACTGCGATAACGAGTCCCACGAACTCGTGTCAGGCCTCGGTTAGAGGCCATGATGACCAGAGGTGCGAGGTCCGATTCGAGGGCCCTGTTCAGGAAAGAGAAGCATTCGACGTCGAGCATGTGAATCTCGTCGATGAACAGCACCTGCAAGGAAAGGCACAAGCCAATATCGGCAGTTCAGCATCGCCAAATTCTGTCTCGGTCTCGTGCCAGCGACGTTCACACTCACACCTGGAACAATGTCAGCCTTGCCCTCTTCGCGCCACTCGCCGACCTTGACGTTGATCTGATCGCGAAGCTCGGGCTTGATCTCTCCGGTGTCACCAGCAAAAAGCGCCAGGAAGCCTTGAGTTCGAGAGTTGATGACGTCGATCTCGTGCAGGCTGACTGTGTGCACCACATCTTTGCGCCTCTGCAATTCTCCTTCTGGACATTGCACGAAGCGCGTCTGCAGAGCGCGGTGCGGACGAGCGCACATGGTCAAAGCCAAGAAGACAAGAGGCCGAGAAGGGAGTCCGAGCAGGCGAAACTCACATCTGAACCCATAGCGTCGTACTCTCGCGCACGTGTAAAGCTCCTGCCTAGCTTGGTGATGCGTCCGCTCGCCTTGTCGATAGCAATCACATCTCCTGCAGACACCTTTTCTCGCTGCAGCGAGTCTATCATCTTTTGACCTAGATCGTACACCGTCTCCATATCCGTCGTCTTGACTGTCAATTTGCCCGTCTTGGTGGCCTGCACGAGGCAGGGGCGAAAGAAAGGCGACCGATGACTTTCAGCTTGTGCATCATCGCGGTGGCAGCACCGCTTCGAATACTCACGCCAGTCAAGCTTCTGTCCACGATGATCTCCACCACCTCACCCTCGACCACCTCCTTTTCCTCTTTGATGCGCACCCCAATGGCCCGTCTAAAAGCTTGTGTGAGCGCTTCGGTCTTGGACATCTCGAGGGAGAACACCTCCGATGCACTCAGAGACACGAACGGCAAGTCTTCCGACAACTCGCGAGAAACCCCTAAAGAGGGTAGGAATTGCAATTTGCAGGTCGTGTGGGTCAAGGTTTGTATGCGTCAGCAGTTGAAAAGGCACCAGCAAGACGATTAGATGACAACTCACCCATAGCGATGGCCGTCTTTCCCGTGCCCGGAGGACCAGCAAGTATAACGGCTCTACCAGCGATGCGCCCATCATTGACCAGCTTGACAACCACTCCCGCAGCTCTCCTAGCAGCGGATTGTCCCACCAGTCCCTGCGCAGCAGGTTTGGGCTGCAGCTGATCGTCCAGACCCAACCCTCGAATATGACTGTGCGCCCCGATGCGCTCCAGCGCTTGCGTGCTTGTGCCCGTGGGCGCTGTGATGGGCGCCATGGATGCCATGGTGGTGAGACTGGCTAGATACCTTTTGCGTATCCGCCTGATCGGTCGAGGGCCAGTCCTGCGAGCCGGGCAAAGGTCGCAAGATGAAGCGAGTCACAGGATCGCCTGAGAAAGAAGTCTAAGAGGGTTTGTTGCCAAGGCTGTCAATAAGCGCAAGTCGCAAGCGACTGAAAGACGGCCAAAGACAGCAGCTCGATTTGTTGGTGCTCGTGGCTGACTTTCAAGATGCAAATATTGCGAGAAGCAAGAGCTGAGATTCGTGATTGTTCACTTCTAGGCCAGCAAAGACGATCTTGGACGGAAGAAACGTGAAGTCGATGCATGATGCTGCGTTCATAGTCTGTCGTGCATCACGTGCCACCTTCTTGGCCGCATACCGCGTACGCATCATACCTCGACACGGTGCGAACCATGCACGCATCAGTCACCCTTCACTCGTGACTCTTGACTCTTCTGACTCATCAAGACTGCTTCTGTTGTGACTGTGCATGGAAGTCTGGATTTTGGTTTGGTTTTGCACACAGTCATGTATCAAGTCGATTTTTGAGCACATCCAAATGCATGCTATCGAATGACTTCAGCTTCTCCAGAAGTCTGTCAGAGGATCAGACCCAATTCGAGACTCTGACCGGCGCAATCGTGAATCTTGGACCGATGAGCGATGATGGTGCGCCATGAAGAGTGGTGTGGATGAGAGCAGGCACACAGTCTCATCGGCTCCGAAGTCACGCTGCATCTCCGCTCTGCTCGGCTCTGCTCGGCTCGTTTGCTCAAGTTGCACGATTCATCAGATTCTACGATTCGTCATGGCGCAGTCGTCCCATCAGTCGTGAGTCAAGCTTGTGTCAACGTCCTCTTTGGTCCGGCGTGGTCTTTGAGGTGTTCACGTGATGATAGTGTGGGGAATAGTCGACAGTCGAGTGTTTTTCGCGATTGCGACAGACGTCGTGAGTGTGAGCTGCTGTGTTTTCTTGATCCACACCAGCTTTGCACTTGTCAGTAGTACTTATAGTGCGTGTGAGCCGCATCGCACCTTGACTCGTTTCACTTGACAGTCCTGATGAGTGGCCTATACAGTCAAGGGTATGGTCTAAAGCATACGCGGCGGCTGATGTGTGGTTGAGCGGAGTGTGCGCGCACAGGTGCTGATGCTGATCTAGAAGATGTTCAAAGCCTGCGGCAGTCACGAGTATACCCACTAACTTGCGAACGCTCGGACCTGGGTGCGCGATCTGATGAATCCACATCCAGCGAGTAGTCACGTCTATTTCAGATCCATGCAATCGTGAACGATAGTCAAGAGTCATGAGTCACGAGTCGAAGAGTCACGAAAGACATCATCGGTTCGAGTCATGGCGCTTCAAGCCGTGCATGTATGCCCAGAGAAGGAGCACGTTGAGGGCGCACGGAACCGGTCGAGAGCAAACGACCGCGTGTTCTACTCAAGTCACAGCCATGCACCAGCAGTTGAGTATATAGTGTGAGTAGTACCCGTGCTCTCAGCTCAAGCTAAATCTTCGATGAGATCACACTATCCTCTGTCGGATCTTGAACGGTTCAATGTGAATGTCAGCTTGGCCGATGAGAGGAGACTCGTGGGATGGATAGATCGCAATTGACAGGCAATCACAATCACAATGTGCGGGATGGATGCGCCTCACTTGACCCCTTGCTGATGGATGTGGGTCCTGTACGTGAGCCGGCTCGCGCGCGCGCGCGTGCTGTGCATATGAGCGAATGGACAGCCCAGCCCCGCGGCTGATGCATAGCCTCGGCCACACGTACCTTATACCGGTACCTACTCAATTCAGATTGACGCCGAGATCAGTCGTGAGTCGTGAGTATGGAGGCAGGAGTTGCGCTGCGCGCGGACGGGTCTTCCAACCAAACTACGTGTGCGCATTTCTTCTGCTCCTCTTGATCATGAGGCCGCGATTGTGAGGCGAGACAACACGAACAGATAGATGTGCTCGTTCTATCCTTCTCATCAGACCAAGCCTGATGAACTTTGCCCATCTGACTCCTCCTGCTCGTGGTTGAGCGGAGGCGATGACCATCAATGTTGAATGGGGTTATGATATGTAGAAGGGCTATAGTCCACGTCGGAGTTGATCCCTTTGGCGGCTATAGATGCTGAATCGAGCGAACATGCACAGCGAAGAGACTCGTCATCTTCGCACTTCCCGACGCAGAGCAGCGAGACCCGCTCGACTCGTCGACTGATTGAGCTCTTGCTGATGCGTGCTTGATGAGAGACACGAGGCTGCACCGAGAAAGATTGTGATTACAAGGCCAAGGTTGGTTGTTGTAGCCCAGTCTTTGTCTCTGTTTGCAAAGAGACGATGAGCGAATACAAGCGAAGTGTGCGCTTCCATGCTATACGACTGGTCAACCATTCAAGTTTCAAGATTCTGAATCAAGTTCACGATTCATGCGCACCACGTACACATTCTTGATTCTGTTTGAACGTCATACTTGATAGCGCGAACCAGAGAAATTGAAGCGATCTCACGCTAAAATGGCGTAGGTGATCGAATGTGCTGTCAAAGCCACCACACTCACAACAGACTATACTCTCTGCGCTTCCATGTCGATCAAGCATGATCTGCCGACTATAGCACCGTGCGTGTCGGTGATAAGGCTCAGGCCCAAACGCATGCACTCACACCCCACCCTTCAGGTCATTTCAGGTAGATCCCAAAAAGGTTCGTGCGGAAGGATATGTACATATGCTCCATAAAAGGGGCTTGCCGTTTCGTTCACATTTGCATTCATGCTGAATATCTGTACTCGTCCGGCCGAGTGGTGTCACGACTTGGGATCCAAGATTGCTCGATGCACCTGCTGATGGTGACGATGGTCTGGGGGTGAAGAATCGTTCGGCGAGCTCCTGCTCCCCTCTCAGGTTGGCCATGCTGCTGCTGCTGTATGCAAGCACAGCGCCCGAGCCGACATCCACAGCTAGCCACATCAAGCGGCTGCAACTTGCCCCTGCGTCTGCGCCGCACCGTGCTGGCGGTATAGGTACGGTACATGTATAATACTTGTAGCTATGTGCATCATCACGAGTGCTGTCCCTCCCGTGTGCATGCCACTCAAGACTGCATCGTGCGTGTCCATTCATCATTACAAGAATGCGAGTCCGAATCGTGAATGGACTCCACCCCCTCCTCCTCCTCCTCCTCCTCCTCAGATGCCTTCTGATCCACCCTTGCGCTGGCTGTTGCAGCTGCTCGTGTCACTTTGCTGGCGCCAGCACGGACCGTGTACGTTGAATCGGTCGGAAAGTGTCTCGATTGCGTGTCAAGTGACTGCGCGAAATTGCTCGGGCCGCTTATTGCTCTGCGCAAAGGAGTCGCAAAGTCGCAATAATCAGGGCTCAAAAGGAGCCGCTCCGACTGCCAAATTCACGATTGTTGTGTTGGAGAATATAGCGAGGTGGAGGCACGCGCGAGTGTCACTTTCCGAGGCCTATAGCTGATCATGCAACAACAGCTATAGGATGGAGACCTCGATCCTGACTGCAGGAGCAAGCCGGAGTCAGGCGCATCAATTGACATGCTTGCATACACCTGGCTGCTGAACTCTTGGCCCATGTCCGCCTATATCCATGTATGACGGTCTCAAGAGTCGAGAGAAGTACAGTCAGTCTGTTGTGAGTGCAGTCATGAGTGGGTGGTGATCGAGTGGGCCCCCAAGTATGGGCGTTCAGCCTGATCGTACTCTTGAGTGAAGCTTCTTCAGCCCAAGTCACGCGATGGTGTGCTGGATGGCTCGCACATTTCGTGATTATTCACGAGTGATGAGGTATAGAGCACCATGCAACTTAAGAACTTCATCACATGCGGGCTGGCTGCACAGTTTGCATACACGCATCATCAGCCGCAGACCAGTCACAGTCACGAGTCGCTCAGCAGCAAGACAGGGCAGTCCATACGTGCTTGCTGTCCGCGCGCCCGTCTGATATTGCACGCCTGCGGCGCACGTCGCTTTATCAGCTGTGTCACCAGTGTGCGAGGATGCGAATCTGAATCGCGGCTTCCCTGCTTCAGTGCTGCTGCATGTGCACCACACCAGCCTTCGCGCCCACAGCAGCAGCTGCGCAATGTGGCCCTTTGCGGTCAGCGGGCGCGTCCGGGCGCTCTTCGGTTGAACGGGCGCCTTGCTGAGAGGGGCGCTGGCTGCATATGATGTATGTATGCTGTTGCAAAAATCTACGCGTGGACTAGCCCAGTCGTGCGCGACGGATGTGAAGGATGTGATGCAGGTGCTGGTGCTGATGAGGCTCAAGCACCCAACCGTCAGCAACTCCTTTCCTCGCACGCGGCGGTCAAAAGTCTCATATCGAGCCTAGCTCGTGCGCCGTACGCGGACGCCACGCGTGCCCGTGACTCACGACTGTGGAAATAACCAGCGCAGCAGGTTTGCAGCAGCAGGCACCCATGCAATCGCGCAAGCCTGGCTGGGCGTACCCGTCGTACGCGGATACAACGCAGGGCGGTCGTAAATTCACGATTGCTTCGGGATTGCCGCGTACAGCCTGATGAGTGGATGGAAGCGACCATCCGTCGCATCTCACCTTTGCGCGTCTGCGTCTCGATTGCTGCTGCTGCGCCCTCTCATCCAGACCAGCGTGTCTACTCAATCACATCGCTTTCTCATCCTCACTCGTCTCTACCCTACACTCTCTCCAGTTTCACTTGTCCGTATCCCGTATCTGTGATCGTACCATCCTCTTCACAGCCTCTCTACCTCCACGCCTCTCCATAGCTCGCCACCGTACGTGTCTTGCTTCCTACTTGACCACCAACTCAGCACAGCCGACACTCGTAGGTTCGCCGCCACCGCCTCTCTCGACTCGATCAGCAGCAATCGACATCTCAATCCACAGTTTTTGCGGACGCCGTCTCCGCTCGCTGGGCTTCATCGTCGTTGAGCCCCATTCGCGAATGGTGGTTAATCAGCTACCGGGTCAATTGCATCGTACTCTTGACCTGAAAGGAGGAGAGCAGTCGCAAAGGAGGCATCATGCGCGAGTCTAACTTCAGCAATGCTGCTCAGAACAAGGCTTGTATTTGCGTATCCGCGGCAGTCTACGACCGCAGAGGTGAGTTATGCAAGCCATCCGCTTGATGAAATCAAGTCTTTCTGTCCTCCATAATTTTAGTTATGCGATGCTAAAGACTCATCCCCGTCTCTCCTGTAGCCCTCGATTGCACCGCTAAACTGCCGCTAATCAACTCGCTCAACCACCTCGCGTACCTCACTTCAACGTCGCCCCGCGTGCGCGAAATGGTCACTGTCGACAGTGGCTTGGAACGATTGATTCGCATCCTTCGCGATGTTCCAAAGGCGTCAGGCGTAGGCTCTTCTCGAGGTACCACCACAAAGGAGATGCATGCCATCTGGCAATGGAGTCTGGCTTTCCAGTGCGTCGTCAACATCGGTGTTCGCGGTAGCGAAGCAGTGCGCACTCGAGTGGTCGAAGCGGGCATGGTTCCCATCACCATCAAGGTGCTCGAGAGCCATCTTCTGCTTGCAGAGCTTGCCAGAGCCGAACAGCACAAGCTCGATGTGGAGCAAAAGCGCCGCGAGTGGCTAGACGATGACAGTCGGCGCTTGCAAGCCGAACAGCAGCAGCAGAGCGAACAAGCTGTCGGCGCACGGTCACAGACCCACCTGGCTGACGCGCACCAACATCGCCATCACAATCACCATCAGCATCATGCCCGGAATGCGCATGACAATCAACCACCCTCGCGCCACACAACTCGGCGGGGAGCGTTGCACGAGGAACTGATCCTCGATGCCGCTACCGCTGCTTTGGCGGCCCGCCGATCAGCGGACGAAGCGTCCTCAGCCTCGACCTTGAGTCTTCCCGCTTCTGGCGACACGACTCGTGCCGGTGTTCGCCACACGCATCTCACGACTCGAGTTGCGGACCAGGATCTGGCTAGTCGCCCTTCCACGCCAGCTGAAGGCGAAGTCTCTGTGGCGCCCACAATCTTTCAGCGCCGAGGGGCTGCCGTGCCCATGCCCATACTCGGGGACCTAGGGTCTGGCATGGTCGTGGACGTGGATCAAGCTCAGCAGAGTGTCAACATGACAGCCACCTCGCCTTCTTCTTCCGCCGACGATATCCCTGCTACCCTGGACATGTCGCGCAGTGCCAGTACCAGCAGCGCGACACCTTTGACGGCGAACCGTGTGGGCACGTTGACCAATGTCAGCTCCGTTGAAGACTTCGCTGCATCAGGCAGTGGTAGTGAAGGCGCAGAGGACGCAGAAATGAGCTTTGCCGACGAGGCCGAGGGCGAGGAAGCCGATCATGAGTATGGCCGCGCATCTGCGCCGGCCTCATTCGCCTCACGAGAAGGTGATGCTACCTCTCATACTGCAGACATGGACGAACGGCAGACTCCTCGTCCTTCCAGACGCGTGCTGGCGCCGCTCGGCACGCTCAGTCAGGGAGATGCTGGTCGAAGCGTAACCAGCTCGACCAATGCTCCCGTCAACCCCTCCCACGTAAACGGCGAGGCGTCTCGACAGCATGCAGTTCGGATCCCCATATTGCCGACCGATCAGCCCATCGCATCGACACCGAGAGGCCCGCGAGAGCAGCTTACGAGCCCGACGCCACGAGGTCAGCAACACGCATCGTCAGGCAGACCGACAAGGCAGCACGCTGGACTGGTTGGCTCTGCAGACCCTCAAAGCGCACCAGGGCAGTTGGACGCACGCGAGCGCCCCTTTGCAACTCCAACTCAAGCGCTTGAAGAGCGTCTCAATGCTGCTGCTCCTACCGAGACCCAAAGGCTCCAGGCCCGAACAGGCGGTGCGGATCTTCAGGCTCAGCCGACGATTCGGCCGGAGTTTGCTGCGACCACGCCACGAGGTCCAAACGCGGCTTTCATTGACCGTGCTCGCACGCAGCGAAGCCACCTTGGCGATATCATCTATCGAGAGGAAGAAGTGCTGCTAAGCTTGCAACTCCTGGCATACCTCTCAAAGTACGCCCACGTGCGTGCTTTGTTCCATCATTCCGAACTTGCGACCCACGCGCTTCCAGGCTCCCTCGAAGAGCTCGACAGCCTCTACGGTCTACGCCGCGGCGCGGATGGCTCGTCTCGTGGCAAAAGCTGGGATCCGCATCAGCCGACGAAGTCCAACGTCTTCTCCATCGCAGAAGCATACACCCTGCGAGGATCGCGTTCGGGCTCAGCGACGCCAACAAGCCATCTCAGATTAGCTCAAGAGATCCAGTACTGGGCTGGTGTGATCATGCGCAATGCCTGCCGCAAGGACGAAGCAAGAGGCGGTATTCGGCAGTGCGCCAATATGCTGTGTGGCAAATGGGAGGCCTTCCCACGGGAGTTTGCAAAGTGCCGCCGTTGCCGAAAAGCAAAGTACTGCTCCAAACAGTGTCAGTCCAAAGGGTGGTCGACGGGGCACCGCTTTTGGTGCAGCGCTCGATCTGACGACGTCGAGGCACGTGAGAAGGCCAGCTCTGCAGCCATCTCGGCTACCGTCACCGCACCACAGCGCGCTGCTGCCGAAGTGGCTGACGCTGCACAGGCTGGTGCTGACGTAGCCCAGCCTCACCGACACGAAACGGCACGCCAAAACCTCACTCATGCTGCTACACATCATGACAGGCCTCCGAGATTCTTTCGACCTGAGACGCGTCAAGAATTCCTGGATGCCACACATCTGCACAGACCTGTGATAGACTCTGAAGGCGTCACGGCTTTGCGGCCGCGACCATCTGGTCTGCCGCAGAGGCTTGCTGCCCAGCAGCCTGGACGCGCATCGCCGCATGTCCGCCCTAGCTCGAGCAGCAGCACCCGCACTTCCCTGACCTCCGATGCGAGCGACGACGAGCGTGAGCGACAGGCTCGGAGCGGGGAAGGAAGCGTCAACCCGAGTCCGCTTTCGCGCGCATCTACAGGTCATGATGAAGATGGCTTGGGTCACAGCCAGCCCGCGCCACCACAGCGCACAGACTTGGCCGGTCGACCACTACCGCCACCTGTCATTGCTCAGCACGATGGCGCCGCGGGCTTGAATCAAGATTTGATGGCACTTGGCGGCAGATTGACACCTAACATTGAGGAAGCAGTGGACACAGCTGCAGCCTTTGGCACTGGCGATTTCGACCAGATGATGTGGCGAGGGCGCACGCCTGCACCCAGCGATGCGGGCGAAGAAGGTGGTGGTACAGAGGATGAGCAGGTGCGACCTCGCCGCGATCACCTTCGACACTTGCGCTACCGGACAGAAACGGAATCCGGAGCTGACGACGAGTCTGCCTCTGCAAATGAGGCCTCCAGCAATCCCGCACTCGCAACTCTTGCTCGCCAACCGCACAGATTCGCGAGCGTTGCCGCTGGTAACGTGCCTATCGTTGGCCATCACGTATCGATGCGCAGTGCTGGCGTAGAAGCCCCCCCACCTCACCTTTTCGCCGGATCTAGCTCTGGGATCGGCGCCGGGCTGGGAGTCTCATCTGCCTCAAATGCTAGCGCCTCAAATCGCCGCGCCCACGCGTACGGCGGCCTTGGAGTTCGTCGCTTGCCTACGGGTCCAGCATCTGCCTATCTGCCGCGTTCAGCATCCGGCCTGGCGAGTGCGCCCGCCTTTGCGCGAAATTTTCGCTCGGAGGAAGATGACGACGATGAAGAGCACGACAGCGAGTCTCAAGTCCAGCAGCAGCTTCCTTCCAACCTCGCCGTCACGTCACGACCGGATCAGCGCGAGTCGGTGAATGGGACCACCGTTCGCATGCAGCCGAACGCCCGCACTTCGCCAATGCAGCGCTCTACCTCTGGCAGCGCAAGTTGGACATGGCAGCAACACTCCAACATCTCGCTGCCAAGCCTTTGGCAAGACGGTGATGCTGACGTGACAGAGCAGGCCGTAGTAAGCCGGGGCGAAGGTGACGACTGCTGCACATCTCAGGGCGCAGACGTCGGTGCTTGCACGCCAGATCGATGGCACGACGCCACCACAGCCACCATGCATCAATCGAGCGACATCCAGAATTATCGTGTCGCCAGGGCACTAGCAGAGACTAGTGTGGCGCCCTGTGGCTCTGCATCAACGACCGTCAACTCCATCACCAGCGATGAGCACATCATGGGCTGGGAAGACCATGGCGGCTTTCCTGTTCCAATATATGCGCACCAAGTCGCAGCGAAGAACAGAAAGCGCAACTTTGCTACCTTTCGCCGTCAAGAAGCTTCAACACACTTCTCTGCAGCCGCTTGGAACGAGCCCAAGAGTCGCCTTTCGCCATCAATGATGTCAACGAGCGCCTTCGAATCAAGCGATGCGCCGACCTTTTCCGGGCGCCTTCATCGCGACGGCATGGGCGCTGCTCACCGTATAGACGCCTCTGCCATGGACGTGGACGCCGAGTGATGACGATGAGGTCCGCTTCCATCGGCTCGCAAACTCCGTCTGGGAGCGTGGAGCGTTCTTTCCCCTTACCGCCCGTTCTCACGGCCCCTCTGTCAGCTACGAGTTCCCTTCGATATCTCCCACATTGCTCGCCCTATCCTGCATGTCCCCTTGCCTTGCCACCACACCGCATCAGCACAGCAACACTTCTCACCCTGAATCCCATCGATGCTATCAGTGAGGTCATGCACGCACACGTCTGCCCTCCCTTGCCCCGTCCTTCCTCCAATGAATCGGTATCATAAGCATGGATGGTGCGCGTATTCTCTACTGATTAGGGTTTTCCATGTCGCATGCAGCCGATCGGTGTGTTCAAAGAGAGGTTGCTGTAGACCTCGAAGAGACTTGCACTCCTCGAAAAGCGCCTTCGGCGTCTTGCATCCTTCGCGCGTTGTGCTGACAGGTAAGCTTAAAGCAGCTTCCGCCCTAAACGCCTGCTTCTCGAGAGTGATGAGTGGCTGCTGTCCATTCAGAGTGGTAGTAGTGCGTGTGTGACTTTAAGCGAGAGGAGAGATGAGCCTGCGCGGATGCGAGTGCGGGGATGGTCAGCTAGCTCCAGTGCGCATGCTTGTTTGCAGACACGAGGTGACGCGATCCGGCTCACTTGATCAAGCTCGGCCTTCCTCCTTGCGTGTAGCCGATGTAGAGCACAAATGGCACCCAGCTGTGAGTGAGAGGAACGAAGATGGGGGTGGAGGTACGATTGAATGTGTCAGTGCGACATTTGTCTCGAGATGGGGCCCGATGATGGGGGGAGGGGCAGGCCTGAGGGTGTCTCTGACTACCCCTCTTCGTGGAGAGACTGCAGCTGTGCAAGCAAGTCTGCTCCTTCAGTTGCTCACCCGTAGTGCAAGACTTGCTTGCCGAAGTCGACGGTGCGCACGATGCGCTCCTTGGAGTCTTCGGAAAGGGCCATGTTGAGGCGCTTTTGTTTCCTTTTGGTGTTCTGTGAAGAAGGAAGGGGGAAATAGCCGAGGAAGGGCGCGCGGGCGGTGATGAATGGTCTGAGCTAGGTTGGCCTCGAGAGTGCAAAAGAGCAAATGCGCGTCGAGGGAGCGCTCACCTAGCTGTCTCCCGTCCTGATTGATGAGCAGCTCCCAGCAGCGCTTCGCTGCACACGGATGATCTTTAGAGTCGTGTGAAGTTGTGGGATGGAGAGCACGTGGACCGAGATGCAGCACCAAGTTGTGCGTTGCGCCGGATGGTAGGTTGCAATTCGAGTCGAGAGGTTGTGGCTCGATTCGCGAATTCTGGGAAAGATGCACGCAGCGGTCGTGAGTGCAATTTCAAGGTTCAAATTGTGATTGAGATGGAAATCACAAGTCTCCAATGTGCGCCTCCACGTGGGCCCGGCTGCACCACCTGTAGGTACGGATACCACTCACATTGCATGAGTATAGAGGCGCATCGACCGTGCACAGCCCACAGCAGGTCGCGATTGTGAGCGGAGTTGATGGGTGGTCTTACAGCCAAGTCTGTCACGACTCACAACTCTGACCGATGTCCTCACATTCTCGCGACTCATGCTTGCGAAATCCGACGACTTCTCGCTTCGTCCTTGCTACTATCTGTTTCTCGCAAATCGGCTGCGCTGGTCGCTAAATCGAAGAAGCGCCTCTTAAGAGCAGGTGAGGGCGAGACGAGTCTCTCACCTGTCCTAAGATGCAACACCACCAGCCAAGCACCAGCGTCGACTCTCCCGGACCAGATGCGCTGAGTCCGGCAGCTTCGGAGGTAGGCTCACTAGCCTCTGGCTTTCCCAGCGCATCTGGTGCAGCCTTCACTCCTTCGAGCGCAAGTGGTAGCGGACGCTATGGAGGTAGCTTGCTTGCGGGCGCTAGCTCTCTCAACTTGGCATCACCTGGAGGTAGCAATTCCGGCGTAGCAGGCTTCAATGGTGAGCGTGCACATCCTTCGAGATTCTCTCGATGTGCTATGCGCTGCCTTGGCCGTTTGTCCATTGCATGCCGCGCATAGCTGACCTGTTCGCGGCGCCCGCGCATGCTCATCCCGTGCAACAGCCATTTCGACCGTGCTAAACAATCCTCACAAGCCCTCCCGTCCAATCGATCCCTCTTCGTCCCGATACCCACCGGTCGCATCGACTCGGACAGATCTGCCAAAGATACGCAGAGCAGACTTTGACACCTATTTGAACTCGGTCCAGCCGGCATGGCAAAAGCTGGAAAGGAGCAAAAGGTTGGGCAGGAGCGGAAAGGCGAGGCTGGACGCTCAGGAAGGTGAAGAAGCCGAAGGCGAAGGGGAAGCTGGAGAGGAGCCTCGCACGCCCAAGCAACAGCACGGTGGAGCTAGACAGTCGATCGAGGAAGCGAGAAGCCTGGCAACAGGCTCACAGCGGCTACCTCCTCTCAGCGCTGTGCCTCAAGTCTTCTTCAGCGAAGAGTTCAATTTGGGCAACCCTTACACCTTTGACCTTGTCACGGAACGCTACAAAGCGAGTTCCGACCTGCAAGGAAGCTCAAATTTCGGCGGAGCCGCACATGGCGATGAAGCGCCAGACGGAGGCGTCTACGATGTCGCTCTGAATCAGATGCTCCAGGAGAAACTGAGCTGGTATTCCGATGTCGTGGAGCAGCATCTGATCCTCGAGATTTCCGCCAGATCTTCGAGCTTCTTCGCTGCGCTCGGCAATCTGCAAGACCTGGAGGCGGAAGCTGCGAGCTGTCTGAAGCGGACGGAGGTACTGCAGGCCGAGCTGAAACGGCGAGACGAGAGCGAGGCAAAAGCGGGATTGAGGATCATCCGAGAGCAGGCTGCAAGGCGCAGCATCTCTGAGCGTATGGCCGCCGTTGGAGTAGTGCAAGATCTGGTCCATCGACGCGACCTGGCAAAGCTATTGGTCCACAGCGGTCAATTTGAGGAGGCTCTCGACGTCACTTGCAGCTTGATGGATCTGCTCGAAGGTCGCGTCTCCCTCAACGAGTGGGGAGCAGGCGATGCGCTGCCGCCTCACCTTGATCTCGAGCTGGAAGCTATACCTGCACTCGCAGGCTTGCTACCTCAACTGCGCGACATGAATCAGACGGTAGCTGGCCAATTGGAGAGCGAGGCGCTGAGCGTCCTCGGCTCGGATCTCAATCAGAGAGCCAGGACGCATGAGCAGCAGGTCGCAACTACAGCTTCGGCCGCATCGGCTTTGGAAGGAAGCGATCAAGTAAGGGAGGACGTGCGGGCGGAAGCAGTGGCTGGACCTGCGGAGCGCGCCGCGGCTGCCAAGAAGCGCGCGAGCGTCATCTTAGATCCGTCAGCGCTTCCAGATACTGATTTGGTGCTCAGAGATAGAATATCGCCACTCCTGACTGGACTAGTTCGAACGGGCAACGTCGACTCTTTCGTTGGCGCATATCGCCTCGTAGCGCTGCGGTCTCTCCGAGGCGGATTGCGCCAATACCTGGTCTTCAAGAGAGGTGAGGGGGAAGAGGATCTGGATGCTTTGCCTGCCTTGCTCGACGATGACGATTTGGCCTCTGGAAGGAGCGATGCTCGAGCTGTTCCTGGTGGCGCTGCAGCGGCTGCCAAGCTCCGATCGTTGGATCACGTCAGATTCCTTGAGCTCTGCGACGCTTTATTTAAAGGTTTTCTCGGGATGCTTCACACCATGGCGGCACACAATCGCGTCATTGTTCACATTCTCAGCGCTCACGCTCCGTCCGCGAAGCAAAATTCTACACCCTCTGCACCTCGCGTCGAGATTCAAGATGACGACCGGTCTTCCAGGCAAGCAGATGCGAGTGGCTCTTCGACGTTCAATACGCGTATGCCGGAGTCTGTCTCTGCCTCTCTACCCATGACGCTTGCAGCGATACTTCAAGAAGCCACATCTTTGTCGCATGTGCTTGGCTCTCGTCTGCTTTCTCTTCGAAGTGCGACCCACGTCGCTTTGGACTTGGGCTCTTTCTTGGAGATCTTTCATGCTTCTTGGTCCTTTGTACTCAAATCGGAAACGTTGGCGGGAAGAATGATCGTGGGCCTTCGAGGAGCGATTTTGAATCAAGCGAAAGCATGGTTGGCCGCGTTTCACCGAGAACGTATCGAAGGCGCTGCCAAGATGGTCGAAGAAGAAATGTGGGTCCAAGCAGAAGTGGCAATCAACGACCAAGAGGAGGTTGCTCGAATTGTTGAGAGCGCTACCGCCGACCCGAAGGCCTTCATCCTTCCGGCACCTGCAAAGGATGCGTTGAGTGACAGCCCCATCGACCCTTCTACAAGCCTCAAGACTCTGTCCATTGAGGAGAAGCAGTACTTTGTGGTGGGGGCCAGCACGCACGTTCTGCGACTTTTGGCGGAATACCTACGCGTCGTCATCAATTTGCCTCTGCTCACGACCGAGGCGATGGGCCGTGTTGTCGAATTTTTGAAGGTGAGTACAGAACGAAGAGGCGCTCTGAACAGATCGAATCGGAAGCTCAACACTGATGATGCCGCTGCCCAGCAATTCAACTCTCGCACGTGCCAAGTGGTCTTAGGTGCAGGTGCCATGCGCTCTGCTGGTCTCAAGAACATCACTGCCAAGCATCTCGGTGAGCAAGACAAGGTTCAGGGGCACACCAAATATGGCAGGTGACTGATGCTCAAGATTTGTTCACGTGCTGCGCATAGCCCTTGCTTCGCAATCACTCTCTATAGTCATCACGCTGATTCCATATGTCCGAGAGACGGTGCGGAGGCATCTTAGCCAAACACAAGCAGTGATGCTGATCGAGTTCGACAAGTTGCGTCGCGACTACCAGGAGCATCAGAACGAGATCTTTGCCAAGCTGGTTGCGATCATGAGCGACCGCTTAAGCGTTCACTGTCGTGGGCTCTCGGTGCGTGTGGGTGGCTGGTGTGTGAATGAAGTCTTGCTGATCCTTTGTGCCATCCACAGGCTATCGAATGGAACGCGCCGCTACCCTCGTCTCCACCAGAGCCCTCGACATCTGTTCAAGACCTCAGCAAGGAGACGGCGACCTTGCATAAGGTATTGTCAAAATATCTTCAGCCTACCTCTGTGGAGATAGTGATGGGACAAGTACTCTTGGCGATCGACAAGCGAGTAGCAGAGGAGCTTGCTCAGGTCGAGATATCGGGTAGCGAAGGCAGAGAACGCATGCGCGAAGATGTCGCCTTGCTGCAGCGTAAGCTTGGAAACCTGAAAGGCGTCACCTGGAGCAACGAGGTGCGCTCCTCTGACACGTTTTGCTTCGAGAAGAAAGAAGATCACGCTGACCATTTCTCATCCTTGCGGGGTTTCAACAGAATCTTAGTGCAATCTTGCGTGAGAAGAGTGAGCCAATTCCCCCATCACCGGTCACCTCGCCACCGCCCCAGACTCCCGGGACGCCTGGAACTCATGCGTACAAGCCTCGCATCAACATCTTTGGTCGGCGGAATGCGTCGGCGCAGCAACAAAGCGCGCGTCCGTCGGGCGAAACACCGCGGAGCGCGACACCGAGCAGCGATGCTCCACCACGCGTGATCGCCTCCGAGCAGCTCCCTCACGATACTCCTGCTCCGGCCAATCCTGCAGACATGGAGATCGCCCCTATCGACAGTGGTCAAAGCCCCTCTCAGAACAGTAAGCCGCGCCAGTCAACAAGCGAAGATGCTCCTGAGCCCCCGTCAAAGGATACCGCTGCAGACGCCACAGAGCCGAGTGAGAGCGACAGAACCGTGCAGACAGAAGACGCCGTACAGAATGAGGCCAGCTTGGCAGCCGCCCCGTCGGCCAACATGCACGCTTCAGTCACAGATCATGGAGCCGCTATGGGTACGCAGAACGTCGGAGACGCTTCTCGGAGCACGCAAGACGCCGAACGGGCACCAAGCGAGGGAAATGGAGAAGCTGCACCTGAGGGACCAAGGGAATCAGAGAAAGTCAACATCGATTCACCAGAGGCTACCGCTGCTAAGGCTACAGATGCTAGCGCCTCCGTTGCTGCACCGTCAAGCCCTAGTTCCGCAAGTCCTAGCAAGCCTGCGCGCATCACGCTCAAGCAGCGCTTGGCGGAAGCAGCGAGGAAGAGAGCGGCAGCAGAACAGCCTGCATCGCAACTCGCTTCAGCAGAATCACCTCTCACAGCGCCGACAGTGCCTGCTCCTTCTGAGACTCCATCTGAGATCGCGAAAGTTGCAGCTGAACAGGAACAGTCGACGACGCCTCAACAGGCCACCCTTGCCGACAGCGCAGCGGAACCACCTATTGAGAATCGAGACGTTGATGTCCAAGAAACCGGCGAGAGGAATGGCGTCAGTGAGGCTTCGACCGAAGCTGACGGCATCGAGGCTGGTAGTAGCTCAGAACAAGCCGCGAAGCCGGACACTGACCCTGCCGAAAGTGCAGATTTCGAAGATGGTGCGACTACTGAGCCAGCGAAAGAATCCTCCTCCATAGATTCCTTGGGCGCCAATGATGCAGCTCATGTCTCCATCCAAGAAGTTGCTGCGGATTCCAAGGCGGCAGGTGAATCCACAAACGATGACTCGACTGAGTCGACCGCCACTGGCCTAGCCGAATCAGCACAGCGCGACGGGACAGTAGAGGTTCAGCCGGCTGCTAACACAGAGCACCTCTCGGAGGACTCCACTGCTCTCCGAGACCCTGCAAGACAGCTGGAGGAAGAGGCCGCTAGCAAAGAGTAGAATCTGCTCTCACATGCTATTGCATCCACTTGCCGAGCTTCACTCGCAAACATGGCGTGGCCCCTTGCAATAGCACCATGTATGCAGAGACTTGTTCAATTTCACTTCGCAAATGTAATTGCAGTGCTTTTCGTACAATACAAGCTTCTCAGGCCAATCAATGTGTGCTGGTACAAGCCGGAGGAAATGTCTCGAAGGCTCTGCCGGGTGGTCGAAGCAGGTGGCGATCGCCAATGCAACGGTCCCAGCACTAATGTTGAGGCTCTTGATTGGAAGTAGGTGGCAGGAGGGGCGGGGGCAAAGAGGAACGCCCTGTTCGAGGGTCGCCGCTGAGATCTCCAGTGGACAATGGAGGCAAGGCGGGAGACCCGTAGCTCTCCGAAGGGATCTGGTTTGACCCCTTTGAATGGGACGATCGGTCGGACTGTTAGCGAAGGCAGCATCTACGGTGGGTTGCTTGAGCAAAGAACTCACTTGCATCAGGGATTGAGCGGAGGAAGGAAGAGGTGGTGCTTGAGAAATGACACCGTGTAGTGTACGAGGCAAGGAGGGTGCCTGAGGAAATCAAAGTGCAGAATGCAATGGTAAGATTCAGTTCCCTCCCGCTTGCTCGCACGGACAGCTCACCTGGGAAGGGGATCGAGTTGGGTCACGCCGAGGAGGTGGAGGTGGTAGCGCCCGAAGGCTGCTTCTAGGGGAAGGCTCGTACGGCATAGCGCGCTGCATCATTGGCGGAGGAGGTCTCAATGCATTCGGGCGCTGCCTTGGCGAGGAAATTGCAGTAGACTCGTGTGATGGACGGCGGACAGGCGGAAGTCCCGGATGAACCACTCCAGGTGACTGGGTCGAACCCTCTCTGCGTGACCACACTTGGAGATCGTGATCAACCGGCGCCCGCGACACACTACGTGGTCTTGCCCAGCCTTGCGAATCTTGTAGAGCACTATGCTCCTCGTGGCGAGCTCGCTCACGAGCGTCACGGGCAGCGCGTACTTCATTTTCTAAAAGCCGCTCCATAAACTTCGTGCCATCCTGATCGTCGGGTGCTAGAACGATGTGCGTCCCGAGATCCATTTCGGTGAGGTTTCCAAATTCGTCGTACCTGGGATACACCAAGTTCTTGCCGCTCCAGCCAACGTACCACTTCTCGATCATTGCGTCCGTTACTCCGCGACTGTAAAGATTGGCCATGCCTGCCCTATGCCGCTCCTTCGCCTCACGCTGAGCCTGTGCTTCGCGCTCAGCACGCATTTGTGCCTCGCGCAAGGCAGGGTCCGCGACGAGGTGTGCTGAGCGTGAGTCGCCAGGTATTGGCAGAGGCAGCGGTGTAGGATGCATGTCCGGCTGTCGGTCAAGCATCGATCCTTGCTCGTAACCGCGCTGAAGGTGCATCGGCACCGCGTTGCCCCCTGCATGATGATGTGCTGCACCAAACCCAAAATCAGAAGGCGCGCCAGACAAATGAGCCTCATTTCCCCGATGAGAAGGTGGGGGATACTGCAATGGGGTGTGCGTTTCGGGGAGCTGTGCTTCGGCATGGCCAGGCGATCCATGTGCTGCCCACAGCTCTGCAGTGCTGGCAGAGGCAGGTCCCGGAGCGCGCACGAATGTCCTGCGTGCTTTCTTTGCTGCAGGCTCAGCTTGGTGATCCACAGCGACGGCCGGATACCAGCTCTCAAGGTGCAGAACGAGGCGCCTGGACTCGCTGACCGTGCTCCAGACTTGGAATTTGCTGATGGGCCGCTTTTGTGAGCGCAGGGTGGCTCGAACATCGAGGAACAGATTGGGATCTGTGACTCCACTTTCTCGTACTTTGACTTCCGCGTGCGGATACTTGCGCTCCGTCTTGACGCAGCAGAGGGGACAGAGCCATTTGCCCTCCGGCAAGTCGGCGCTGTCGTCTACGAAGACGCAATTACAATGGTACCATGCCATACAGCGGTCGCACGAGATCATAGCACCGGATTCTGCCTTCTTGCATATGCAGTAAACCCGCTCGCCATTGATGGGCACATAGCTGCCAACCTCTTCAGCGAAAATGAGCTTGGCACGCTTTCCGCGCTTGCGCTTCCGTGGGTCAATGTATTCTGGTTCAGCACTTTTGGCCTCCTCGCCGGGAACAGGCGCAGAATCATCACCGTCGCCAGCTAGGGGCGCAGGTACATCGTCGAGTCCAGAGAATGGCGCAGGCATGTCGTCGTCGAAGGATGGCGGGTGTTCGTGCGCTGCGGAGGCCGATTGGCCAAGACTCGGTGCGTCTTTCGCAGTCGAGCCACTAGCATTGAGCGCATGAGTGGGCTCGCGAGAAGTATGCGTGGCTTGTGGTGCAGCGTGTGAAGTCGTAACGCCACTGTTCGGCCGGGCCGCACTGGGCGAGGCTGATGTGGACTGGTTGGAGGGCAAAGTCCTGGCGCCATAGACAGGGTGGGCCGGCCGACTAGTTGGAGAGCCAGCATATCGGCCCGTCTTCAGCACTGAGATATTCGGGCGTGGAATGATTCCAGGTACGGGATTCCCCTGACCGTCGAGTCCGTGCAGATTGAAGAGGACCTGAGAAATGATTGCAACAGTCGGCGCACCGTTGGGCGCCGGCGGATCCACTGGACACCCAATCGCCTTTCGAAGGATGTGTCGAAACATGAGCTCGTTTGGGCGATACGTGGGAGCGGGCTTTGGGACCAAAAAATCGTACGCGATGCGATGAAGACGCGTAGCTCTCTGTTCCGCTTCACCAAACGCGAGAAGATCTTTGGGAGGGAATTGGAAGCAGTGCGGCTCGTAGCGAGCATCGCATGCAAGCGCAGTGACGTCTCGCAGACTGATCGCACGGCGCTGTGCCAGAAGCTTGGGCAACTTTTGTGGCTGACAAACCGGACAAAACCAGGATTTGTGTTTTGGAATCTCTTTCGCCTCCATTTTGAGGCATTCCAAATGATATTTCGACATGCATTCCTCGCATTGTACTGTGTCGGGCCCATTGATGTCTTCGGTGGTCCGGCAGACGCATTGTCGCTGAGTCGCAGCGAAACCGGATTCAGGGGGTACCTCATCGTCCAGCTCGGTGCTTTCATGGATCTGTTTGAAGAACTGATCAAGCTGAGCTGAAGTAGATTCGGGACTCATAGCGCGCTTCTGTGCGAACGTCGTTTCCAACAAATCTTGCAAGCGCTCGTTCCACTCGTCGTACAGGTCGATGCCTTCGGCAAGAACGCGCGCTCCGCCAATGTGTAACCGGGCAGTCTTGATCAGCTTGACGACTCTTCGGGCCTCGGGTAGCTGATCAAGGTTTCCGATGGGAACAGCGTGGCCAGGCCTAGGCTCCGCCATCCCCTCGAAGACCGTCTCTACTAGCTTTTGGTACTCGCGAGCTTTCTTGAGGAGAGCCTCAGCTCGCTGATGAAGCTCAGGCACCACAGCTACTTCATTTGAAGTCGTCGTGAGATGCTCCAAATCTCGCTGGCGAATGGGCTCTGTGCCATCCAAGACGTGGAGGGCGAAAGCTTTCCATTCGCGTCCAAGCTCTCGACGGCGAAGGAGATCCGCATGGTAGGCTTGCGTCTCAGGAATTCGCCCTTCCGCTGCTTCTGCCAGCAACTCCTCCACCTCATCCAGATTGATGAAATTTGCGTGAATTTCGTCCATCTCCTTGAACCATTGTCTGACGAGCTTGATACGACTTAGCTCTTGTAGCTCGGGTAAGGCTACGTTGATTGATTCGCCTTCGTCCAACATCGCCTGTATCGCATCCATAGGAGGCTCCTCGGGATCGTCAGGCGTATCCGTGTCCCTTTTGACAAGCACAGTGGCATCACCGCGAATTCGCGCAAATTGAGACACGAGGTCGCGAAGCTGGCTGATTTCCGGAGCGTCGAAGGGCAGAGCGATGGACTCTTCAAGCAACGTGTACACCGCTTCAGGAGATGGGGGCCCGTCCGTATCCCTGCTAGCATCGTCCTTGCCCTCGCCGAGCGAGCGATGGTCTGGGCTGGCGCTGGCTTTCACGACCGCTCTTGAGGCTCGACGAGTCGTAAGCGAAGGCGGCCCGCCTATGGAGCCCATCATTGTACTCTGACGCTTTCCTTTGCGAGTGATGATGGCAGTCGCGCTGTCGACCCATTCTTGCGCTTGCTCGATAAAGTCACGCAGTTCTTCTACTTGGCGCACCGCGAAGGGCAAACGCTCACCTTCGGCCAAAATGTTGCGCAGGGATTTCAGCGGTGGGCGAGCATGAGACCTCAGCAGCTTCTTGAACCGCTTCTCCCATTGGCGTGGAGCTTCAGCTCGCTCGCTGACTTTGACCAGCATGCTCTCTAGATTGTCATCAGAGAATCTCATGCGCAGCAACCGCTTTTCGGTGACGTCACTGCCATGGACCTCTTCGACGTGGTCTAGACAGGCAATACTAGTAGTGCCCTCAGCAGTCACCTGAGCTAGGTAGCAGAAACACTTGCAATGGGTGCACTGCGTATCCTTCTCAGGTCTATCTCTATCGTAGACTTCTTCTTCAAGCATGACAAGGCGGTCACGCAAAGCCTTGCGACCTGACACTTCACGGTTGACGACCTCCGCGAAGGCTGAGTGCAGCCTTGAGGACGGAGAGAGAGGACGGCAATCAGAAAAGAAACAATTTGATCATACGACCCTGGCAACTCACCACATGGCCGTCTCCGTGACCTGGCTATGTTGATAGATTGTTACGACTAGCTCATCGTGCGAGAAGACTGGCTGTTTGCTGAAGCGCTGGTAACGCTGCACGCATTCGAGATCGCGGTCCAACCAGTCCGGTAGCGCAAAGTTGACAGCTTCATTGAGATTGAAACCTTGGTTGAAACCGGAGTGGTACGCCTTGGGAAAGGTGATAACCAGCTCATTGGCGCGTTGGTCGCAAGCATAGACCCTCACTCCTTCGCGCTTGAGCTTTGCTGGACTCATCATGGTGACAAGTTGGAACAGAAGATCAGGTGAAGTTTCGAAAAGATCTGGAGCGGCTCGACGCATGGCTTCCTCAAATTTCTGAGCATCGACTCCGGGTATACCATACCAGGTCTTCGTGTCACCCCAGTGCTGATAGTTGATCGAGTAGGTATAGTGATCCTCGTTGTGCCAACAAAACGTCGAGAACATCATTCCGACGTAGATCCAAGGCACAGTCATACCGGAAATGTCGGACTTGATGTACCTCAAGAGCGAGCCAGACAAGATTGGAAGATTGTTCAGGTTCCATCCGTCCCGCGCATATGAGCTGAGCGGGCAAGTCTCGAGTGTTGGTAGCGCACTGTAGAGAGAAAGGATCATAAGTGAGCGAGCGCGGTGATTGGAGTAGCCGGCCATCCAGTCGAGGAGACAGCTCACCTGCCATGAGTGGTGGAGTGAATATCTGCGCCATATTCGACTTCGACGGTCTCGTTAGGGTCTTCTATGAGTCGCCAGAACTCGCGCTCGACGTCATCTTCCGCTACACGCAGATCAGTGCCCGCGATTGGTCGCGTGAGACCATTCGACAAGGGGCCAGGCTTGGCAGCATCGACGTCATCGATGAACATGTCTGTGACTGATCTTTCGCGTTCTGGTTCTGCTGCAGGCTTCCAGATTGCGCCCGATCGTTTAGCCCACCAGTCGGATCGAAATGCGTCGGCGCGTTTCCAAAATGAGTGCAGTGTATGCGTCTCTCCGTCGTCGAAGCCAAAGTCATTACCAGTGCCCACCAGGCAAGGTGGGCAGAACCACTGGGACTTTGGCACCGAAGTCAAGGGGGGATCGAGGCAGTACATGTGGTAGCCTCTGTTGCACTCGTCACACAACAGCATCTCCATGCCGTCGTCTCCGCGCAGACAAATTTCACACATCTAAGATGTTGTCCAGATAGCAACGGCTTGATCAGCACCTCGGACATTGTCATTAGTGCTCAATCTACTCACTTGTTCTTCTGCGCCTGGAAGTAGGATCAGATCCTCCTCTGCTGCCTGGTGTTCAGCTCGGCTCATACCACCTGCGCCTGTGCTCTTCTTTCTACGTGTGCTCTTGGCATTGGTAGAGCTTTTGAGCCCAGCAACTACGACGGAATGAAGTATTCTACAAATCAATGTACAGTCGAAGCCCCACAATTGTGGCCCTCTACTCACCGGCAGTGTAATCTGTACGACGTCTTGTGCTGCGCCGCTTGCTCGAGCTCGCGGCATCCGCATCTTCGATTGCCCAAAGCTCCCTTTCGGCAGGTGTGAGCTCGGCCCAAGTCAAAGTGCTCTGGCCGTCTGTAGGGTGCGCACTTTGGGCGGAGGGAGAATCCGTCTGGTTCTGTTGAGAAGTAGGCAGCGGTGTGCTGCGAATATTCAGTGCTGCGATTGCTGAAGCTGTGCTTGGAACTCCTGCGGGAGAAGTGTTGTTGGAAGCTTGCCGCACTTGCTCCTTCGCTGACAGCAAAAATTTCTCGAACGGATGAATGATCTTGTAGTAGGCTGCTTTGACTTGCGCAGCGAGATGATTGGCATCGCTATCGGCGTAGCCTAGCTTGCGCGTGACGTCTGACCACTTCCGATTCCTGACCACGCTCTCAGGACCCCCCAATTCCGCAACGATTAATTTAAGGCTATACAGATCCACGGGTCGCCGGTCCACGATTGGAATGGACACGCGCGCATGTCCTTGCTGCGCGTGGAACTTCTGCAGCTGCTCCTGGTAGTTGAGCGATGCTCGCGCGTCAGCGCTCAGCGAATTCAGTCGCTGCACACGGGTGCGAAAGGAGAAAAGCTGTGAAGAGAGCGTAGACCAGCATCGTCGCAAGTGCGGTGGTCGAGATCAGCCCAGGCTCTCCTGCGTTTCCCCTTCGTATACTCACCTCCTGGTCAAGCGCAAATTCTGGGTTCCAGCCTTGGGGGGGGACAATTTTGACTATACCATACTCTTTGCCACGTCCTCCATCTGGAGAGGCAACCCATTCGATGTATCGCATAGGATCTGCAAAATCCTGCCAGGTGGGGTAAAATGTGGGCGCGTCTTCCAGCTCGAACAGTCGTTCTCGTTGGCGTGGAGGCGGGTGGCGTGGAGTGCTGAAGTGCGTGGGTATCGTTGAGGTGCCTGCGTATGCCTCACTCTGTCCGTCTTCAACTTTGGCATTGTTGAAAGGCAGGGGCGGCAAAGTACCCTGCTGCACGATGCGCAGAGCAGCCTTCCGAGTGGGGTGCATTGCCGGATCACCTTTCACGTGTGCTGTGCTGAGAGCAGAAGCATCAGAAGAGCCGTCCTTCCCATTTGGCAGCTCGTCGTCCTTCAATGATTGCACGAATTACAACGAAGAGGGAGAGCGAAAAAGGAGATGCGATCGACCGTGAATGCGTAGCTTTGAAAACGATTCGCAGCTCTCATTGACTTACCTTGTTCCTCCTCTTCATTCCACCCTCTTTCGGCGCTTGATAGTGTGGGTCACTATCCTCCGTACGGTCGCCATTGAGTTGTGGAGCGAAGTCGCGCGACGTTATGAAAGTGGGCTCAATGCGTGCCAACTTGGCTGCGGCTGCATCAATAGCGGCAGCGCCAGCCCTTTGTATGCGGTACGATGTAGGCGTAGAAGCAGAACTAGCGTGGCCCTGATCGACATCGTCAAAAGTCTGACCTTGCCTCGAAGTCTGCGTGCGGGGGCGACCACGCGCGCGACTGCCTCCGGGACGCGCTCTCGATGTGGACCCTCGAGGACGCCCGCGCGGTCTGCCTGAGCCACGTGCGGACGCATGGTTGACGCTATCTGGCTCCTCGTCAATCTGTTTGCTGGGAGCATCTTCGCTGTCCGCGTCTCCGACACCATCGAGATGAGCACTTGCTGATGTCTTGATGGACGCTGGAGGCGCCAAAGGCTCGCCATAGGATGTAGAGGAGTAGAACGAAGCTGGTCGTGCGGGGGCAGATGCGGTAGCCGGTGTGGCAGGAGAAAGCTCGGACGCTAGAAGCCTCGTGGAGGGACCCGCTTGTACTTCGCGGCTTGTGCCTCCGCTCGAGCTAGCAAATTGCGGAGTCTTTGGTGCAACTTGATGAGCGCTCTGTGCATCAGCCGAAGCTATCTTAGTCGGTGGAGAAGTGCTTGAGGACAAGACTTGTGGTCGAACAGAAGAGGAAGAAACAGGGCGCGGTCCCTTCGTTGTTATTGGCGTCGACGATTGCGTCCCCACCGACTTGGAGACCTCAGTGATCGAGCAATGATCTTCAGGTTTCTGCACGGCTTCTCCTCCTTGAGCCTTTGCTTGGGCAGAAGTGGGCGCCTTGGGGTAATTACCACTCATAGGCGCAGCATTGTCTGCTGCTGCCTGTCCCGTATCTTGTGCACCCGTCATTGTTGCCTATACGGCGGCGGCAAGCTGACACACGCGCAGGAACAGTAGCTTCTCAGCTTTCCAAGGCAATGACTTGCAGAGCTCTGACTTCGTCTGAAAGACGGAGCGTTGGCAAGTACTGTGACTGACGACCACACGGCCGCAGGAATGGGACGATTCTCGAAGGTGGCGTTTGTTTTACAATTAACGGATACTGCAAGAACGTGGGTCGAGGCAGAGTCAGTGCTCCTCTGCACGCGTCTGATGCGTTCACGGGATCGGGCGAAGGCAGGCGGTGGATGCGTATCCTTGACGAGCAATCGTGAATGGCCGAGCACCAAGGATCAAGAATGTGGGGATGATGGAGAGCACGCAGCTGCTCTCGCGTACGGCTGCCCTGCAGCCAGTGCTCCGTATCCGTGCTGTATAGGCACGAGGGCGCATAATGGCGATTGCGCGGCATGCAGCTTTCATCCACGCCGCGCACAATCATGAACAAATTAGTGCCCACCTCGCGCCCGCACGCGGCCTTTGCGTCGGCCTTCGCCTTCTTTTATTGTCAATTTAAAAAATCATCATTGAGCATCAAATCGAGGAGTCAACATAGTCGCGACGGGCGCGCCCAACACCGAATCTAATCAATCTTGAAATCCAGAATACTCTGATGAATTAGCCGCTGACTAGCGATCAAGATCTCATCATGTACATCTGTGATATCTAATCGTAAGTCCTCAAACAACGAATCAGTCTGAGTGCCGGATGCGACATGGGAACGGCGAGCATCGTCCCACATGTCGTAAAGAAGAGCTGCTTTTCACCTGTCTCAAAGGCCGTGCTCCTCGAGCCTGACTATTCCAGCTCTCGCAGTCCCCCTAATCATACTCAGACTACTGGATTCGTGATTGCCATCGAGACCCCGATCACGAAATAGCCGGCGCGTCAGCCTGTCACGTGACTCGGCGGCCTCTCGACAGGCCGCAGCTTGTTTTAGCTGAGCCTCACGCAAAAAGTGTGAAAAATTGTGCATCTGCACCACCAACTCACCTTTTTGCACTTCACTTGGAGATTCTCGTCGATGTCTGTAGTCTCTAAATGCGGTCAGCATGGAGGGATGTGATGTGTGGGTCACTGTCTGTGTATTTGCGTAGTTCTTTTTCATTTTGCAGGCTTCAATCGGACCACGAATGCCTACTCAGATGGAAGCGCGCGAAGGCATTCACAAGCAGATTTGGCCATGGATGCTCTCCCTTCGTTGGGGGCGTGAAAGCCGTTCTATGATGAGCGACTGATGAGCGACTGATGAGTCTCGACATCGCTTTGTACGACTGCCCGACCGCCTTGCTAGGTCTGAGGGGGATGGTACCAATCTGCTCTGGATCTCTCGCACCCAAGGCATGTGTGACGTACGCGGCTTGCGCCTTGTCCCGTGTCAGGAGCGCCTTAGAACAGCTATCCCAAGCCCTCAATAAGTTCCTGGCTCTGTACGGAAGACTCGTGGTGGAGATAGATCGCCTGAGCATTGCCATGGGAGATCAAGCCGGAGATTGGGAGCCGACCGCTGCTTTTGCCTGATGAACATGCGCAAGGGCGTGGCAAGTCTCTGAGTTGACATTATTTGGCACATGACTGTGCCTGCAAGCGACAGCAGTCCACGTCTCCGGTCGTACTCAATCTGTTGTTGAATGCTTCTCTGTATCACTTGTGTGTGATTTCCAGTGTCTGTACACTCGCCCGAAGTCACTCATGGGGAAGGTGCTTGCGTTTCAGAGCGAAAGAGGCAGAAGCTAGGGATATGAGGTCGTGGCTTCAACGAAAGAGCAATCACGTGTCAATCCAGTCCTCCCTTCAAGACGAGATAGGTTGTGGGTCAAATTCTCTTCCCCCAAAGATCTGATTTGGCTTATTGCAGCCGCCGTCATTGACATGTTCTTGCGCTGATCCACTCTCGTTCGAGGGTCGACCAACTAGCCGCCCTCCATACCAGACCACGTGGCCTGATCAAGCTCAGACCCGCATGAATGCGATCGCATTCGCGACCTTTCGAAGATACTGGAGGGGACGGAAAGAGCTGCCGGTTGCTTGGCCTTGTTGGCAATCTGAGTGTCGCTGCAGCGCGTGTCTTACTCTTTCTGCATCAGAGACTAGGCGGCCGCGGCAGTGTGTACGGTCACTGCAAGGTCGGACATGAAAGAGACGCATAGGTCCTTTCCATGCTCTAGTCGATCAATCACAAACAGCGAGACGATAGACGAGGTGGAGCAAGCCACATGATGCAATCTGCTCGTGCAAGAGCAAGTGCATGCAGTGCACCTGCACCTGCACCTCTCGAGTGCCGAGAGCAAAGCCAGGACGCCTCATGCAACGAGCCTCGTAAAGGGACAGACTGGTGAGCCTCGTGTGCCTGTCATTGACTACGTGCGACAAGAGAGGAAGAAAAAGTCATTGACGCTTGCCTGGCTCTCTGTTGCGGTACTCAAGCATTCCCGTTGAAGAGAGGGCTACTTAGCGTGCGAGGGGCGCGTGGGCCTTCTGCTCATGCCGGGGTTCAAGGCCTAGGCGGAGGGGAGACGCAAGAGGGAGGCAAGTGCGCAATACTACTGTACTTGCTCGAAAGGAAGGCCAGCACGGCACGAGTCGCAGGCCGAGACTTTCAAGCTGCCGAGACAGCGGGGAGCGGGACTAAAAACACGGACCATTACACAGCTTCACCAAACGCGGCTCCGAGCGCTGATTACCCTAGGCGTCGTGCGGCGGGATCGTAGTCGCTCTCAGACTAGTCGGAAAAGCGCGCCAACTCTTCGCGTGCCGCTACTGCTGTGTATTTCTGCGCAAGTAGTGTACAACTACCACTGTACCAGTATACTGGCAGACTGTAGCACCCATGGCGGGCGGCGCCATTGATTGTGACTGACTCGGTCATGTCAAGCACAAATCCTGAAGCTTCTTCCTGGACGATCTGCCGCTAGATTAGCATCGAGACTAGACTGGCCAGGGGCTGGAGCGTCGCCACCGCAATCTTGCGCTACGCGACCAGTTTGGAGTCCATGAGCAAACAAGGCAACAAGCCTCCCTCGCTCGTCCAAACTCGCGGGACTAAATGAGAGCGCCTCCAAGCTTAGCAGACAGCCGCTATCTCTACCATATACGCATCGCCGCTCAAAACAGCAGCTCAGCTGTTCTCGATCGCGATGCAGTACAGAGAATCCGCATTACAAGGCTCGTCCTTGCTCTTGCGCACCCACTGCGACGGAGTTGCTGCGACACCAGCGCAGCTCTCTAGTTTCCAATTGCGTCTCCTTGTCGTCTTCTCCTTCCAAGTGTCGAACCAAAGTACGCAGCTGCAATGTCTACTTCGGATGCAAGAGGCCCGCTCTGCTAGCTTGCATGGCGTTCCAACGCACGCCTTAGACAATCGAACGTGGTCCCCGGAAGCGTTCGGACAGAAGCGTTTTGCAATGATTTGTTGCACTTCTGGTACAGTACAGCAGCGCTTCACAACGAACACCCGTCGTCCTGCTGAAGCCAGAGCTGGAGGACCAGAATATGCTTGGCATTGCATAGCTGGCGTGCAAAGGATACTTCCAAATGTACACTCCGATTGTCTTCTCATCCTGCTGACCATGAAATATCATTCGTGGATTCGCCAAAGAAGGAGCACTTTCATTCCTCGGCAATCACGGCGGATTGCAGGTGCCGAGGTGAAGTGTTGACCCAGACGGCGATGCAACGATCGAAGAGCTCGCGCACAATCAAGCCACGGTGGCACATCTGTCTCGGAGCCGAGCGCTCCCTGTTGGCCCACAACAATTCGCGCCCGCTGCGGTGTGACGGCCAGTCTGAGTGCAGCGCTCACAGATCATGGCTTGATGCGGAGCTTCTGCGAGCGCAAGAAGAGCTGCATGGGGCCGGACACCCAGAGCTGCATCATGTTCGATTCGTAACAAAGCAACCCGGTGGCCGCTGGTTGGCCTCTCGCAGCAAATGTCTGATCCCACACAACGAGCTGGAAATCACACAGACTGGCAATGCGTGTCACGATCGAACTGACGGCTGAAGATTGTGAAGGGAGAGCGCAGTTTGGAGCAAACTATGGCCGATAGGTGCTCACGGGTCGCCTTTCTCGGCCCCGATGGCTGTGCGAAGTGCTTGCGAATGTATGTCCGACTTCTTCGGCCGCGTGTGCCATTCACGATTGTGGCGTTCACGACCACCTGCTGGCGTTTCTGATGGCGACCGCGTGCTTAATCAGCGAGCTGATGCCAGACATGTGGACGATCGGCCGCGCGGGGGAAGTTGCAGAACGACCGAGCCAAAGGCAATCGGCAAACACCTCATGAGTGCTCTTTCACTGCACGAAAGTGGCAGCCAGACCTGTATGCGGCATCGCAAGCTCGCTCATTTCGCCACATGTAAGGGAGCAGCGGAAAGAACCTTACTTCGCGGATCCACCTGCGCAAATTTGCTGTGGGCGCGCGCGCGCGACACACGAGCTCGAACTCCGCTGCATTCATGAGCCTGGGCACCGAGATAAGCCCGCACCACCAGCTAGTAGAGTAGGATAGTAATTGGAGAAGTTTCCCGAAGCTGCATCCCCTTCTTCCACTTTGACGGTTCGCCAAGGTGCTCGCTCCTGAATCATGATCGCTGCGGAGTCCGGCGTAGGTCAGGTTGCCCCTCCTTTTGTCCGAGGAACGAAAGACCGTAATTGGATTGCACGTCGGCTACGGCGGGATTGCCGCCGCGGAAGGCTTGATGCACATTCATCAATGCTTTTGATTAGGAGATCGTCGATCGATCGATGTACTGTAACAAGGCTGACAGGCGTCTGCAGAGGTGATTGCCAAAAGTGTATCTACATGTAGTATGTACATAATTTTCACGATGCTGCGGAAGACCTCGTGAAAGGACTGATAATGCGTGTCTCTGCGTCCCAACTAAAACCTTGCCTTGTCACGCTCATGAGGCTGCATGACGCGCGGTAAATTAGTTGGCTACGTGGAACATCGTTACAACAAAACCCAAGGCTACATATCCGCCCTCACCGCTGATCTCTTCTGCAGGCCTCAAAGCTGCGCTAGAGCTGGACAGCCTGATGAGTCTCGTGATGCCAGCCGCGCGAGCCAGGATGGACTTGATTCCCGCTGGTCCTACCCCAGTGGGACGATGGAATGGGCTGACAGCAGCAGCTCGGCTACGTTGCTACGAACCAGCGCGCAAATCTCTGCAAGCCACAGTCAGAGTCGGAATGAGTCAGGCGTCAGAGCAGTCTAAGCTAGCCGGTTGAGTCTGCAACTGGAAAGTTGGTCCGCTCAGTTTGAGCACCGACACGAGACACGCAGTCACAGTAGTAGTTGCGCGTAGGATGCGGTCTTTATACTCAAGACTCACTGCACACTCGTAATCTGGATGTGCTGTGGGCCGTGGCGACTTGAATTGCGTTCGCTGGTACGACGCTGCCAGATCTTGACGGTGGCTCGGACGATTGTTTCTGTGCGGGCGGGCGAACTCTAGGAACTCTGAGCAGTAGGCCCTGATACTGTACAGTGTGCACCCGCTGCTGGCCAAAAGCGTGCAGCGAGCTACATACAGCTCAGCACAGGCCCCGCGCAAGCTTTCAAGTCCCTTTGCAGCCTCCAGCAAACATTCTTCGCGGCTCCGCACATTTGGCGACGCTAGTGCTGGGTTTCTGGGTCGCGCTGCTACTGTCAGGCAAAGCATGAAAAAGCCCGAGGCGCGCTATGCACGGTGCCAGCGGGAGCTTGCCCATGCGTGGTCCTGTGCGTCGTGCAGAGGCGTGCACCACCCATCCACCTCGAACCATGTTTGTCATTTCCTCGAAGCTTCACCTGAGTGTCATGAAGTCAGACCGTCCTGAGAAGCAAAGACTGATGCAGTCGCATGCGATCTCGATCGCTCATCTCTGAGACCATCGCAGCCCACTACCTCTACGGATACGTGGATCGCTCTGTATGCTGCCCGAGACGATCCCATGCACCGCGCAACTCCTGTGCAGGCAAGACTTTTATCGCCAGACTCCGGTCCAAGCGCGATTGACCCTGGCCGGCCCTCGTCCTTTGCGCAAAGGAAGCGAGGCTGCTGGCTCACATCACCCACCCGGAGCAAAGTAGTACCTCCTCGCCGAAGTCTTGCTCTTTGCTCCCAGACGAGGACTTGTGCCGCCGCAACCCATCACAGCCACTCTGCAGAAACTACTTACTCTTGACCAGCACACACGACCTGGCGACCCAACGGTACGGTTGAGCGGGATCTAGCGCCCCCTAGCTATGAGGTCTACCGCCAGCATCTACCAAGACACAGCCGTACCATTGAGCTTCGTTCCGCGGCGACTTCAGCCGTGTCAGCTGTCGAGAGCACTGGGCTTTCCGGCCTGTCGCAAGTACTGGAGTACAGACGTTGCATCTAAGCGTGACCTCGGCGTGCTTGTCCATTGCTATTGCACAGATTCGCATCCCTTCGTACCTTATCAGAAATCCTCCATATCCCTTGTCGCCTGCCTGTACCTTGCTATTCTACTCGACTTAGATCTCACCTCTGTCGAGCCCCGCGTGCGATTGTCCGCTGCAGCTTGGCGAAATTGGGGCTAGAAGAAGTCGCGTTGCGCGTCCAGCGCTGTAATCTTCGCGTCCAAGTTTTCCCAACCCTTGACACTGCTTCAATCACGTCCTCATCGATCGACGAGACATTCGAGATCATCAGCACGACCAAGGGAGCTCACAAGGGGGGCGACACCGACTCTTACAAGGGCAGCACACTGTAGTCTTTACAATTAGCAATCACTTTGGACACAGCGACGCATGGTGTACATCCCCACAAATCCCGTCCAACACCTCCAGATTCTGGATCCCTCTTTTGTTGCTCCTTCGCCTTGTACCTAGTGTATTGCCTTCAGCGGTCAGCTCCCTCTCCACCTCTATCGCGCCCAAGGATTAGCCAACACGGTGAGTCTTGATCTGCGACCATCTAGGGCGGCCGCTCGAGACATCTCTGAGCTTCCCGGCAAGGCGCGGGATAGGCTGCTAACCACCTAGAGCTTCCATTTCGGCAGGCTGCACTACTCTTGTGGACTTCAACAACTCCCGACGCTGTCTGCGTACTTTCTTTGCGCAACCCGAGTACATCGTTACCAGCAGCGCGTGCTTTCGAAAATCCTCCGGCCGAGCGGTGACTCGCTCTTGATCTGCCCACGTACCTCCCACTAGAGGCATCACTGGCGCGTGCTAACCCTATCAAGTTCACCAACGCTATATGCTTTGAACCGCATTGTCTTCAACCGTAGAGCTCGCCAGCTCGAGGCGCGCGACCAGGCTTAATAGTGCCTGTCCAAAGTCTGCCTTCTAAGGGCAGCTTCCAGCCGCATTAAGGATCAAGCGACCAATGAGCTGGCCACAGCGCAGCCCGCAGAGAGGCCATGAAGCAGAGCGGCGACTTCACGGAGCTTCGCCGAGTCTTCGAGACGACCAAGCACCGGCGCGGCCAAGTCGACCTTCCGAAACCACCTTTGCGTCCACAAGTTCCACTGGTTCGGAGTCGCGGCCACCTTCCTTTCGATCCGAAGCATCCTCCTTTGAAGAGACTCCAGGACGTGGTGGTAGAGACGCCTCGGCTAAGGCTGGATCTTCCCGTCGTGACCTCGAGGCTTTGCGACCGGCTCCACCCAGCCACCACTTTTCGCCTTATCCGCCGAGACCTCCAATCATTGGTCGCGCTGACCGTAGCGGCGAGACTCGCCCCTTACCATTGGGGGAACCTGGTGATCACCACCAATCGATAGCGACTTCCTCGCACCCAGGGCGACCCCGCGCGTATAGCGATCTCGGCGCTCCAGATGCCGATCACTCCCTGCACTATACCGCTCGTGAGGCTCCAAGGGACGTCTATGAGAACCATCAGAGGTCGCTTCATCAGTCTCAACGCATTTCTCCGCCCAATCTCTCCCGTGCTCGCGAGCCTCCCTCTTACTCTGCGGCCCCGACAGGCCCAGAGCGGTACACACCCTCAAGCGACGCGTTCTATCCGAACCTTCGGCACGGCACATCAAATCAAGATGCACGCTACTCGCCTCCAAGGAGTTCCTTTGCTGGCCCCAGAGCAGGCCCACAGGTAGGCCCCATTATGCCACCAAAACCTGCGCAAGCGTCCTCACAGTACGCAGTGAGAATCTCGCACACCAACTCTCCCATTTGCAGTAACTGCCAAACGACTGCAACTCCTCTTTGGCGCCGAGACGGCCGAGGTGGTCTGTTGTGTAAGTGCCCTCATCGTGTGGCTGACACCCATCAGCTGCTGTGTCTGCCGCTCATTTTTTTAGCCCTTACTTCTCTCAAAGGCAACGCCTGTGGTCTTTTCGCCCGAGTGAAAGGTCGTTCGAGACCAGTGAGGTGAGTTTGCGTGCGGTCTCTCTAGACCTGATGCCTTCTGTAGACCTTGCTGACGCGTAGCACCGCTTGTGCTGACGGTGACGGCAGCCTGAAGACAGACGTGATCAAGCCCCGAGCGCGGCGCAGCAAGCTCCCCGGTGGTGGCCCAATTTCGGGGGGCGATGCTGGTCCTTCACGCGTCGGCGTCAATCCTCCGGTACCTGGTGATGGGCGGAGTAGTGTAGCCGCGGCGGCTCACTACGAAAGCGACATGCGGCCTGGTGAGAGTAGAGCGATTGAAGCGGATCGCTCCCGCTCGAGTTATCGCAATGCGGATCTGCCTCCAGCTCTGATGAACGACTCTCCACGCTAGTGAGTAAGGTCAGATCCTAGTCTTTCACCTCGTAGGCCGAGTTGACGCGGCTCTATCTGCCATTCACAGTCGGGAACACCAGGCTCACCGTATAGACCTGGAGTCGAGTGCTCAGTATCGAGGCAGATCCAGTGGCATGCCGACGGTACCCTCCTCGTTCGATCGACGCACCCAGACGCTACGAGGTCCGGTCCCTACTTCCTCGCGACCAACCGAGCTCGACAGTGACTCACGAGACGCAGTGCATCCAGGTGCACATCGGTACAGCGTAGGCCGTACAGAGCCTGCTCGAGGCATGAGTGGTCAGGGCCTCCGACTGCCCTTGAGCTCGCCAGACCAGCAGTCAGCCTCGAGGGCTTCAGCTCTTGCCAGCGAACGACACCAGGCATCTTGGCGGCAAGCTGAAATTTCTGCGGCGTCGCAGCTCCCGCCAGCGCCTCAGTCTTCAATGCACTCAGCCCCCACGAGCTCGTTGCCAACACCACCGCGCTTTCTCAGCCGCCTGCCCCCCTTGCCGTCTCCACCTGCACCAGGGCCTTCGATGTACGACCAGCACCCAGCCCTCCCTCCACGACTGGGTGCTTCTCGCGGCGATGGCGCTTCCATTGTCAACACTGATCCCAAGGATCGGTATAATCGGTATGAAGCAGTTCGCCGACCGCTGTCCTATCCCTCGGGAATGTCGGATCACCCAGAGATCGACATGACCAGCATGAATGGAAGTATCACTGCGCCGCCACTAGAGCGACTTCCACCATTGTTGCAAGCACTTGGGCGAGCTCCCTCAGATTGGCCAATAGAGCGCAACGATGCCCGTGGGTCAGGCGCGCGAAGAGGAGATGCGCCGCATTCACCGGGTGTGTCGCCACTCCCTGCTGGGCATCCCGAACATCGAGCTGATCAAGCCAGTGATGGGAGGTCGCCTCTGATCATGCCACCTCCGCCAATGCGCGGCCCGATGCGCGCGGAGGGAGAAAGCACCACGCTCCCCCCCTTGGCACTGCTACATCCTTCCGCTCGTGCTGGAGCCCCGCACCATCGTAGCCCCGAGAGCTCTTGACCTCACGACCAGGACCTCACGACCAGCATAGACCCGCAGCTCTTTGACGCGCGCAATCGTCGATTATCAACAGCAACGCCAGTCAAAGCCCTCGCCGCGTGCGGTGCTCTTATATATATATAGCTGCATCGCAGAGGAGTCGGAAAGCAGTCTATCGGCGCTCCAGAGCGACCGCTAATGCTTCAGGGGGGCAAGTGCCGCGAAGAGCACCGGAATGCAGTTCCGCGGACCTTGGCGGCGCAAGGCATTTGCGTCTCAGATGCAAGAGGGCTGAGCTGCGGCCAGCGTCGAGAAGCTTGTCGCTATGATTAGCTCAGGCACATCCAGCCGGTCCTTTACCGGCTCAAGTTGGAGACTCGTGATTGAGGCTTGCAAATCAAAGATGCGAACACGAAAGGCGCATCTGCGAGCGCCGGAGACGCCTGGCAAGCGCGGGCTGGCTGGATGGAGCTGGGTGGAGTGGTGGATGTGCGGGATTGGAAGAAGTACCGAGCGCTGTCCAATTGTCGTGTACACTAGGCGTTACGTCCAAAGCAAGAGCAATGCAATGAAGAATCGCATGGCTTGACACTGCGTGCTGATCGCAGCCAGACGTGCTGTGTAGCCTGAAAGCCCGAATGCGACAACGACTCACTTAACACCTCGCGAAGTGGCCGTTGCAGTCTACGCCTGCCATCAGGAGACGCGTCCGGCTTCCTCTTTCTTTGTCTCCCTCAGACTCGACGAGGTCGAGCGAAGAAGGGTAAGTTCGCTTTGCAGCGAGCCGCGACCTGGGTCTGGGTTGCCGTTTCCTAGTGCCTCCTCGCGCCCATGCTCCAGCGTGTATGAGGTTCGTGGGGTGGCGACCGCTCGTGGCGGCTCTGCGCGTCGGCTCGCTGAGTACCGGCACTGCCAGTCAGAATAAAGTGCGCCAAAACAAAGGGTGCCTGTCGTCGTCGCGCACCGCAGGTGAGTACAGCGAGCGCGCAGTCGAGGACTACCCACAACTGTCCTCTTGTCAGCCTTGGAGATCGCTCCGAAATATCGTCGTCGTACTGCCCGGTGGTATCTTGTTGGCGTGCTTGCAAGGTCCTGGCCGGCGAGTAGCCTACGCAAGCACAACTTTGGTATCCTGCTGTCCGAGTCTGGGTAGAAGGGGGTCTGGCGAGGTAGAAGTGAGCCCATGAACCTGACGGATGTTGAATGGGTATCTTGACTCCCTTGAATCATTTTGTTGCGCAGGTTGATCTCACATTCACCATACATGACAAGACGAATCGAGGGCCCACCCCCGTGCATGCTAAGCTGCGAGGCAGGGAACTTGCAGGGTCTTCCCAAGGTTGAACGCGACGGCAATCGAATCTTTGCACCGCGCTGAGGCGCTGAGCAGGGCGCTGCCCTTCACAACACCCACAACAAGACTCGATATATACACCTTCTCCACTTCCACACTCACCGCGCATCTTGAGTCTTCTGCACCTAGGCGAGCAGCTCCGAGTTCCAACCTAGTGCTTTCCTGTTTCGAATCGTGAAACGTGAACAATCAGAAACACAACAAGATGTGCGTGCAAGCAGGCGCCCCCTGTGCCGTCTGTCAGAAGTGCGCGGTCATGCCATGCTTCCTTGGCACATGTGACCGGCCTCCGCTCAACAAAGCTCGTGCTGTGTCAAGCAGCGAGGTTTGAGTCAGAAGAGTGTGCGCAGTCAGTGAGTCGAGAGAGAGAGGCTGCAATGCAAGCACTGAGAAAGTTTGGACAAATTTTGGCGCCAATTCGAGCTTAGCGTAGATATTGCTCCTTTGCCGCCGTGCTTGTCAAATGCTGGGGAATGCGGGCACAGCACGGATGTAACGGAACTTTCTCACACGTTGATTGGTCATTGCAATCACGAATGGTGATCGATCGACGGAGGCGTGTTTACTGTGAGAGCTCGGCTAGACCGATGTCAAAATTCGCGAACAAGGATGAGCTGTCACAGATGCACTTTAGCTCTATCAAGACGCAAAGGTGCTGATGCAGGGGCTACGAGGCACAATCAATGATTGCAGCAGCAGCAGCAGCAGCAGCAGCAGCAGCAGTAGCAGCAGTAGCAACGATTCATGCGGGGAGGGACTCGCTCAAACGACACAGACTGTGTGCGCTTTGATGCCATCTAGCGACGTGATTTGATATTTGGTCGGCAGCAGTGAGGCAAAGCATCAGTCATTTTGAAGAAAGAGGCCAAAACATGTGTCGAAGCCTCGAGCATCCGTACCGATGTGGTCAAGAGCACATGCACTCACGACTGGTCATTCTCTGCTGTCGAAGCCGCGGATGCGCAGAGAAAGGAGGGCCGCGGACTTTCGTTTGGCGTGACGTGGACGTCCACCCGACTCCGATCGCAGCGATTGAACGGCACGTGCTGGGTTGATTGCGAAGACGTGTCGGCATTGCCAGCACGGGCGGTGCATCCGTGAAACGGGCCGGCATTTCTTGGATGATGTGCCATCTTTGGTCCCTTTATGCGGCGTGCTAGGCACGCTGATCAAAGAATCACAATGCGGTCACAAGTAGCATGCGTACAAAGCGTGTCCCCGCGAAGAAGCGCTACCAGATTTGCTGTCTCACGGCCAGCAGCCGGCGACCTAGAGACAGTGAGTCAAGAGTGAACGCGGATCGCCGCAGCCCTCTCAAGAATCACCGCTCTCAGCGCCGGACTCGCGCGAGCGGTTTGTCCTAAAGGTCCCCCAAAGGAACGGCGATAGTCACAAGTTGTAGCAGTGAGATTGTGCATCGTGATGTGCAAGCCCAGCGCAGCCTGCAACAAGCGCCTGCAATCGTGAGGACTGCGTGCGAGAACTGCGGTGCTATCTCGACTTGAGGTCTAGCTCCCCGTCCAAAGACAAGACCTCATCATCATGTGATCTAACATCAAATCGGACAACTCAGAGCAGCAACTGCTCCTTCGATCCCCCTAGCACTGGGTCAGGACGCTCCCGCGAGATTCTCGAGGAGAGAAGCGTCACATGAGTAAGAACTTGGGTAGGCGAATGGACAGAACATTTTGTACGTGTTGGGCAGCGTTTCAAAATGCACTTGCATGGCATCACGATGCGATTCACATGGGATACAATACAGTGTAGAGGAGCTGTAGCTCCGCACTCGCCACCTCTGTCGAAATGCCTGCATGCGAGGAGCAGACTAGCCACCAGCCTTCCAGTACGCAATATCACCATCCACCATCTAAAGGGGCATAGAATCAGAAGGGCGATCAATCACGACATAAAGTCGAAAGAAACAACGTCTGGGCAAGCAGCACTACTCACCTCGTAAGTCTTGCCCTTTTGGTTGTACTTGCCTGCTGCTTTGACTGCTCCTTCGTTGCCATGCTCTTTTAAATCGTCGAAGCTCATAATTTCACCACAAACGAACTTTTGCTCAAAGTCTGAGTGGATCACACCGGCGGCCTGGGGCGCTTTGAGACCTTGTCTGATCGTCCACTGCACAACCCATGACAAACCGGACGTCAGTGAAGATGCTCGGGCTGAGGCACACTACGAGGTGCGAGGCAAGTGTGTAACTCACAGCTCTGACCTCATCAGGTCCACATGTATAGTACTTGATCAAGTCAAGTCCCGAGTAGCCCGCTGTGGTAATCTTGCCGAGGGCACCAGTCACGTTGGGACCAAGTTTCTTGAGCTCTTCGGCCTCGGCGTCAGGGCTGCCGAGAGCGAGCAGACGTTCTTCCAGAGCGACGGAGAACGGGATGAGCTGATCACCCTTATTGTTATCCTGGATCCACTGGTGAATTTTGGGCAACCTGAGGACCAAAAATCGGACCCCGTCAGCTCCCTGGGACACTGATATACTATTTGCGAGGCAAGGACGCACCATTTATTCTTCTTCCTAACGTAGTCCTTCTCGCTCAGGTTGACGAGGTAGATGACGGGTTTCGCAGTCAATAGCTTGAGGTCGTTCAACAGGTCGATCTGCGTTTACTTTCGGCGTCAGCAAATTGCCAAATTGCCGCCGGGTGTGCATCACCTTGGCTCGAAACGCGCCCTAGTCCTTCTGCATCGCGTATCAGATTGTGTATCTTTTCTCATAAGGGTTGATGGCCCCTCGACGAGCTGGGTTAGATATTTCGAGGGTCTCAAGTAGCGCCCTCTTATTCATCATGCGTGTGTGCTGATCTGCCATCAAGGCGTCTTGCCTCGATGCCGTTCCAAGTCTCCTTTTCGCCCTCTTTCGGCTGCCAACTGCGCTGCACCACTCACCTCTTTGTTGCCCCAGTCTCCCTTTCGCACATCCGTATTGTCCTCTTGCAAGAGCTTGAGGGCTTTCTGCATGGTGGCCAGATCTTCCTCTTTCCTCTTCTTGTCCAGACCCGTGGCACCTCGGACGACTCTGGCTTGAGCCTCGATGCCTTTCTCCACCCATTCTATGTCCTTTAACCTCAGCTCTGTGCTAATGATTTCCATATCTCTCAGAGGGTCCACATCACCTTCGACGTGAATGACTTCTGCATCGTCGAATGCGCGGACGACCTGGAAGATGCCGTCCACAGAGCGAACGTTGGACAGGAATGCGTTTCCTAGACCGGCACCGGTCGAAGCACCAGCAGTCAGGCCTGCGATATCGATGCAGGTCAAGAAGGCCGGAACCTGAGATTTGGGCTTGTATTGGTCGACAAGCCACAAGAAGCGCTCGTCGGGCAGCGGCACGCGAGCTTCTTCTGGCTCAATAGTAGCTGCGAAGGGGCGAGATCGAGACCTGACTAGTCAGTACAGAGCAGTGCGCCGCAGCTGGTGTAGGAATGTTATTCCCGAATACACACCATATGGGAAGTTTGCGCTCTTTCCTAGGTCGCACTTGGCGATGACGTTGAAGAGACTAGATTTGCCTACGTTGGGCAGACCGACGATGCCCATCTTGAGGTTGTTGGATGGTCGTCCGAGCTTGGCACGCTCATTCGCCGCGAGCTTCTTTGGAGGCATCTTGGCTGGACGTGTAGATTTCTTGACTGCAAGTGAAGCGGTTGGTCTCAAGAATGCTTGCGAACGTGACGAATCGCTGAATGAAATGCACCTCACTTGGGAAGTGATCGAGTATATGCGACAGATGCCGGGTCGAGACCCTGGAGCGCTTGGTCTGAGTCCTAGCGTGACAGCTCTATGTCGTATGCTGCTATTGACCATCTACAGGGAGGGTCTGACTATATCCACGATAGCTCCGAGGTACGAAGCAAGTTGCTCAATGATAGTCGTAGCCGTAGTGCTGGCGTTCGCTTCATGCCTTGGATGACGTTTGCAATACCGTGCACGGCAGCTGAATGGCATCGCTGGCCTGCACATCTGCGTTTCGCCGTGATGACTGGAAGAAGCTTTGACCACGCACAACAGCTATATAGCCATGCAAGGCTGGTGGATGCTCGGCTCCACGTGGCTTCTGTTCTCGATTTTTAGCGCCGAACGCCGTTCTGCTACATACAATGGTGAATCTTGAATCTTGAATCTTGAATCTTGAATCTTGAATGTGAATACAGCATTAGCAATCGAGCAGCAGCTGGCGGTGACTGTGACTACACGCGGCACAGCATATAACGTGGCGCGTCAAATCCATGATGGCTGCTGCGTGCAGCATGCGCGTGCGGAAAGCGCGTGCCGCGGAGGCTACATATTCGTGATTCAATTTGTAGCAGCCAAGGCAACGCGGCGCACGCGACGGAGGCTGGTGTGATGCCGCACCTATAACACCAGCAGCACACCTCGAGACTTGAGCCCCACGCGAAAAAAAGGAAATCCGAGCCAGAGCGCGTGTTATTGTGCTGCTCAAGCTGCTGCTGTACACGCGCGCACATCTACTCACACTGTAGGTCGCGCAGGCGGCGAGACGATGAGAGCGCGGCTGGGCGAGGCAAGCGCAAGCCTCCACCTCCATATGCGGCGCCGCGACCGCTGTATGCCCTTACCCACCAGCACGCTTTCCTTCCAAGCTTCGCATCACGCGCGACATCGGCCCCGACCGCTTTCCAGAAGAAGGGATCACGTTGATTCACGAATAAACAAGCAACAGAGAAGCAGACCAATCGGTCGCTCTCACAGCAGACGCTGTTTGGCGAGATCCGCTCAACACTTCGTACACTGTGACTGCTTGTTGCTTCCACAAGGTATCGCGTCGAGCGCGAAAGCCTCGCCCAGTTCACCAATCACAACCGAGGTCGTAGCGTATGCCGCCCATCGTGACTTCGACAACACTTTTGTAGCAAATGATAAGCCGCAGCTGCATCATTAGGTTAGCTGACTACAACTAGCACTGTTGCAAGACGGATGGCAGTCGCTATCAGTCGGAGGCGATCAGATCCACGATGAGCGACGACGCTGCAATGCCTCCACCCCCACCGCCGGCTCACATGGCTACAAAAGATGCAAATACGGCCCGAGACCAGCAGGAACTTGGGCATGCAGGAAGTCCTGCGGGGAGCTCGATCGTATCGAAGGGAGAGAATGGAGCTGGACCTCGCGAACCCTCGGGCAATGGACGTGCTCCACCTAAAAAGCAGAAGAGAGGCTCCGTTCCAGGAGGTGCTGCCAGCTCCACAAATGGCAAGGACAGCAAAGCTGATACAAGCACTGGAGATGGGAGTGCGCCAGCTGGGCCACCTTACATCTGTCCCACCTGCTCGACAAGCTACTCGCGCTTGGAGTACCTCAGGCGGCATGAGCGAAGACGTAAGTGCTACAGCAGGCGGGCACATCCTGCCAAGCGGTGCGCAGTAACTGGCCCAGCATCACCGCTGATCAACTCGCATTTCGCTCCTATGTCGTCGATATGTGACGTCAGACGCCGATGAGCGCCCCTTCGTGTGTGATTGTGGAAAGGGCTTCTCAAGGAGGTGAGACAGGCTGCCTCGCTGTGCGGCCATCGACTAGCGACGCGCTGACGCAGTCTTCCCGTGACCCCATCAATGCTGCTACAGTGATGTGCTGTCCCGCCACAAACGTCAGTGTCCTGTAGCACTCGGTCACGCTCCACCAGAAGATCCGGCCACTGCCGGAGCTTCGAAGCAGGCGAAGCCCAGGCGCTCGAACAAGAAAGCAGCTGCGAATACCACGTCAGCTTCTTCGGCTGAGGCGCCGGCAAAGCGCGAGGATGACAATCATCACCCTCCAGGCTCGACTCAGGAAATGTCCATCGCCGCACACTACGACGCGGATGCTTCCGCTGCTGCCGGAGCTGCTGCAATTGCGGCAGCTGCAGCAGCGGCTCACGCTGCCTTGGGTGGACCTCAACCCAACAGCTTCCCCTTCTCAGGACCATCTCAGCAGCCTGGTTTCCTTCCGCCACCCGTACCGTACGGCGCAGAACAAATATACGAAGCGCGTGGCTATCCGTCAGGTGCTCTCAGCGAGCTGGGCGCCCCCTTGCACTCGCAGGTCTCGGCCCTGAACCCTTCGCATTCGCAGCTGTACCCACAAAGCCCCGATTCCAACCACGGCGGCTTGGGTAGCCAAATGTCATCCCCTCGCTTTGCGTCACGCGACATGAAACGGCACGGGAGTGGAAGCGGATCGCGGTTTGGTCTGCGCAAACCTTCCGCATCGCTCGATGTCTTTGGTAGGTCCACGAACGGCGCTAACGCGTACAGCGGAGATTTCTGGGACGCCATCGAGGCGGCAAGCAAAGGCGAGGGGAGGTCCAGCGGTTCCAACACGCCAAGTCGGACGAGGACACTTCCGCCAAGCAGCTTGCCAAACTCGAATTCGACAAGCATGCATGCCAGCGGCGCATTTCCCTTCTCAATGCCTGGCAACGAATTTGCGCAAGCGCCCCCGAGCGCATCGGCAATGAGCGGCGGATCCCGTGCACCAGCACCGAATCTTGCGACTTTGGGCATCGACGGAGGCCCGCCTCCACCCGCGCCTGCTCCAGGAAGTAAAGAAGGGCAGCGGTTCGGCGTCAACGGGCCTCTCAGTCCCTTTGGCTCCATCGCGCTTTCGAGCGGAATGAGCCCGTACTTGTCCGCCTTTTCGAATGCGCGAGACACGCCACACATGTCGTCACCTAGTAGAGGAGGACCGGGCACTCCTGGAGGTAGCGCCAACATCTTCGAATGGACAATGCGTCCGCCCGCAAAACCCTCAAGTTCCCGTCGAGACAGCTCCAGCACTCCTTCTGGTAACGCAAAGAGGAAGCGGGAAGATGGCGAGACAGAAGATTCGAGAGCAGCGTCATCCCACCTCTCCGGTGCTGCATCGGTTGATGAGTCTTCTTTGGAAGCCGATGCAGCACAACTCTTGGAGACGCTGCGTACCCTTAGAAGTGGTGGTGCTGCGTCGACGACCAGCACCGGTAACGATGGTTCGGATGCGCAGCGCAAAGCTCCGGGCCCTTCAGGTGCTACAACACAGACAAATACCGGTGGTGTTCCGACTATTGCAGAGCCGCCTGTCACACCCTCGTCCACTGGCGTCTCTCATGATTCCACCCTCAGTCATGCGCCTCATGAGTCAGACGCGAGGAGTATTGGCCCTGAAGCGTTCCTCCTTCGACTGCAAGGCGGAGCTCAGGAAGGTCGCGCAGGCTTGCTCGGACCGGACTCGGCCTATACGAGGGGTATGCTTGGCACTCCGATGGCGAGCACTGCGGGCGCCACGCACCCTTCGGCTGTCGTGACGCAGTCTCCGGGCACTCAGTCACTCTGGGAGAGCCTCGGCTTGAATGCCGTGTCGAGCACACCAATGAGCGCAAGCGCGAGCGCTGGTGGGAGCAACCTCGGTTGGCTAATGTCACCAAGCATCCAGCAGCTTATCAGCACCTTCGCAGGCACGCCAACTCCGGGAGACGGAGGCAGCTACTTCTCGGGCGCTAACATAGAGCCGTCATCGCATGAATATGAGGACCCGCCCATCGAATCGATTGAGCCTTGGCCAGAAAATGCAGGCGAACGAAAGAAGGATGCGGAAGCATCTGCAGTGCAGCGCACAGGCTCCCAAGAAGCGGCGGCAAGACGAGCGAGTCCGACTACGATGGCGCTCGAGAGGGTGTTTGCAGACATCAGCAATCCCTTCTACATCCCCCCGGATCTGTTCCGAGCGTGTTACGCTATCACGCATTGGCAGCTCCCTTCCCTGACGCGTTTGAGCATGCTAGCGCTACAGTGAGTGATGCACGCTCTTGTCAAACGACTTTGGAGGTTTGGCTCATTGTAGACCGTCTCGCTTTGGAAACCAGCTCTCAACAAAATCTGCTCAAGCACTTTCCTATCGTGCACGAGCCCACTTTCCGCCTCGATACCACTCCAGGATGCCTCGCGTTCACGCTCTCGATGCTCGGATGTCACGAAGCTGGGAGGAGGTGGTGGGCCGGAGAAGAGGTCGTGCAGCGTGTAGGAAAGCCTTGGCTGGCAGCACAGGACGCTGATGCTTGGCAGACGCCGGGGAAGCCTCTCGTCGACGAGGAAGATGGCCAAGAGCTTGTCAAGGCAGTCGTGATGCGCGAGAAGACTGACATGTTGGCGCGCAACTTTGCAGCTCGCGCAAAGACCGAGAAAGATAGGGTCTCCGTCGTACAGTCATTGATGCTGTACTACGCCAACAACTTTTTGTCACCGGACCTCACTGTGCGTCGCTCTGGAGCTCGATCGCACGACGCGGTGGTCAGTCTCGCTCGAGATGCGGGTCTGTTCGACCCAGAAGCCTCTCACGCAAGGAGAGAAGTCCGATACAGCGGAGATGACGTGGTCCGCACGACGCTAGGCGAAGCGTCCGATCTGGCTTTCAGCTACTCTTTCTTGCCCACTTACCTGCCAAGTTGCACTGATGAGGAGAAAGTCTGGCGACGGTGGTCCGAGCTCGCGGGCCGACGCCGCACCGCGTTCCTTCTACTCGTCCTCGACACGGTTGCCAGTCTCGACACGAGTCAGTCGTTCGCTTTGAGGCTGGAAGAGCTCGGACACCTTCCGCTGCCAAGCCCCGACACGCTGTGGCGCGCTCCGAACGCCGACGCGTGGAGGCGTGCCCTCAACGCGTATCGGGGACCGACGTTCGACGAGTCCATGTTTGACATCTTGTCGGGCGATGGCGAGGAGGGTGTAAGCCCTGGCAAGACCCATCCTTCGGTCTTTGGCCCTCACGGTCCTTTTGCCCGCCTCGTCATCGTGAGCACGCTCCTTCGGGGCGTGCTACATCTGCTCGAAGGCCGCACCCTCAAGGTGTCCACCCCATCGCCGTTGGAGCGCTGGATGCAAGGAACCGAGCGCAAGACAGTGCTCACTGGAGGCCGGGGTGGCATCGATGCTCAGGTTGAGATTTTCAAGCGTGGTGAGTTTGTGATGCGAGAGGAGCCTGGCGCGATACTCCTCTCACAGCTTTTCTTGCTTTACGGTTTTACAGCACTTGCAAGGTGGCGGAAGGCTTGGGATATGGACGACCTTTGCCTGTGCGCTTCTGGGCCAGCAGGCCGAGCCAAGGCAGGTCATGCTCCGGATGCCAGAAGACCGTTTGGCGAGAACGTCATATTTACAGCGCAAACGGCGTCGGGAGCTACACCACTTTGCGACGACGCCTTGCCGTTCTATTGGCTTGCGCATGTGCTGCTGGGTCACGTCTCCAGCCCTACGACGGCGCTGCCACGCCGTTCGCCTTCGCCGTCACTTGCAGATCAAAATCATCGCGGCAACCCTGCAGAGTGCCTCGACGCAGACGACTCCGGTGGTCAGCCGAGCAAAGGCAGCCCGGATTTCCGTTCGATGCTCAGATTCGCGAAAGCGTGAGTGCATGAGATGGCCGTGTCAGCATACTCTGTTCGACAGCATCGCGCTGATGGGGTTCTTGGGTAACTTTCCTGCTCGCAGCTTTGTGCAACAGGGTGAAGGCGCTTCGAACACGTCCAGCGAAATCGAGGCAGAGCAAGCGATTCGTAGCGCAGCATAGTTTAAACCAGCGTGTGCCACGTCATCCAATGGAACAGTACTGTGTGCAAGCTTCTTCTCAACGTTTGCTGATCATTTGCCTTCCTGCAAGGTAGACTCGACACGATCGTGCCGCGCAATGCTTCCCCCGGCCCTGTGCATTTTCCTATCGATGCAAGTTCACCTGTTCCAATCTTGTACCTTACTACTCCTTTCGCAAGCAACTGAGCCTGTCCTTTATCGCTGGTGGAGCCTACGCTGCTCAGGCGTCACGACATGCGAGCACAGTCACTTCTCGGTCGCGAGGGAGACTATGTTCTTTGTTCGCAGGTCCTTGTTCCAGAAGACTAGGTATGCTTTTCGGAACTGGCGCCCTACGTAAAGAGAGACATCGCAACTCAACAGAACCTTCATCCGCTAGTGAATCGGGCACTTAAAAGCCAGGAGAGCGGAGATCGGGAAATTTAGCCTGCCCCTCTTGTTCCAAGGGGGGGTTCAGCTGTAGTGAGGCATAATTTGAGTATCATTGTGATTCTTCCGTGCATGCGAACTGGTGTACTGTACGCTTTCAATGTGTTTGCGTCAATAAGTTGCGCACTCTGGAAGGCCGCGCCGGAATCACGAATCATGCATTCACGTACGTTGTGGCATCAGAAGGCCGGCGTTCAATGGCGTCCGTCCAACTTGTACACCACAACCCTCGGGGCAAGGATGTCCTATCGTGAAAGGAATGCCGGCGAGTGTGGAAAGTGAGTGAATGGACGTGTCCAATTCGACCTGTGACTTGCATAGCTGTGTTTCTTTGGATTGTGATTGTCACCGCTATCACCTGTGTAGCTCGAAAGGTGCTGCTGGTAGGCACAGCGTGGCATCTCCACGGCATGCCCATCATCGATGCACAAGCTCCTAACTGCGGCGAACCCTGCCGATGCGATTGAGTTCGCAGCCGATGTGTACGTGTGACGGGCGCAACGTCTGCCTCAGCGCCGCGCCCTGCAACGACGCGCGGGCTTAGAGGCTCAACGTTTTGCATGTCGAAACATAATTTACTCGTCAGATTTGATATTTGCATGCCGGTATATAATATACATATACGTACAAAGCCCGCCAGACGGCCGGGCATGGCTGATGAGATGCACCATGCGCGTCTGCCGAAGTCGCACCATCAGTCAGCAGTCATAATCGTGAATTTCGTTCAGCATGCAGTTGAGTCGTGAGTGTCCGTTGTGCGCGCGCGATTATATGGCCGTCTGCCGCCAGCTCGCGTCGCACATCGATCAGCACCACCGCATCACGGACCAGCGCACGCGGTGGTTGAATGCCTGCGGCTGCATGCATGCGCCATGCAGTGCATAGCTAGGCCTGCGCGTTGTCTGTGCACCTGATGCACGCTCCATCGTCGCAGCCCGGCGTCCGCGCGCAAGCACGCTCGTCTGCTGCTGTGTGCCCCTTTTGCAGCTCTGCATAGGCCGCAACCGCGAGCTCAGGCCAGCTACTGTTGCCCAGCAGCATCAGCATCCTTTCCTGCATGCTGGATGGCGAGGGTTCGTTCGCTGCACATGCAGCATCATATACCGTATGCATGATTCACCGGCCGCGCCTGCACAGTGTGATTGGATTCGCCAAATCGTGAATTCCGGCGCAACGGCTGCTCTACCTGGTACAACGCCTGCTGTCATCCTGCCATCGCATGGCTGCTGCTGCAAGTCGCTCGCGCTCCATGCACCAGCAAGCACAGCCAAGCCCGAAGAGAGGGGACCCTTAGGGTGCAAAATCGTCATGACCGACCGACCAAGCAGCAGCGCAACGAACCGAACTTGCCCTGCGCTTCTCTGCCCTGCGGCAGCTTGCACTCACGACTCGGAACACACAATCTTGGCTACTCGACATTCTCACCGCAATTTCTCACCCGCCATCTCCCTTGGCAACGCGTTGGTTTCGCCTCGCCAAGCCCACGTCTTTTACCCCCCACCCTTTGGCACCCACCTTGTGCGTTGTCGCCGGAGCAAGCTGCTCTTGCGCACTCCCGATACCCTCACGACTCCCTCTCCGCACCTGCTCGCTCAGGCCACGCCAGCCACCCCGACAAGCGCGCCGGCAGATCTCTGACCAGATCGTCCCTCTTCGACGGGCGACTTCTCTCGCAACACCCGACCCGCCAGCCAATACCTTGTCCTAGTACAGCTCTACTCGTCCATTTCGGCGCCAAACGAAGCGCGTCATTTGGTCGCCAGGCAGTTTTGCCTCAAATTGCGAGAGGTATCGTCTCGAGCGGGGAGTTCCTTCGCTAGCCATTTCGCATCGCCGTCGTTGCTTAGACCGTCTTCTTGATCGATTGCTCGTTGCTGTGACGAGCATCATCATCGCCGGCGCACGTTCTCGTTGCCCGGCATGAATCCATTCAATCAACAACCTGGTGGTGCAGGAAGGGATCCAAGATGGGCTGCTCAACAGATTGGGCAACAAGATCGATCGCTGCCTCCCTTGGTCATTCCCGATGGCGGTCAGCCTCAAGCGCAGAGAGGCCCGCCACCCGTCGCACCTTCGGCTCGTCAAGGACAAAGGTCCCAGCGTCAGAATAGCGGTGGCGCTGGTGGACCCATGTCCCCGCCCGCCCGCTACTCTTCTCCTCCTGTTCCTTACGACGATCGCTCGGGTGGCAGCTTTTCGCATTACGCCTCATCGGATGGTCACAGCAGCCGAGCACCGGTTCGAGCATCTGCTGCGAATGCCCACGCCTCTGCGCCAGCACCGGCTGGTCACGATCAACGCCAGTCTTTACAACGACCACCGCCTTTGCCGCAGAGTGTCTCGTTCCAAGAGCCTGCCCAACGTCCCCACGCTCAGCGCTCTGGCGCCTCAAGAGACTCCGTAATCAAGAAGGACATGGGTGACCGTCGCTTCAGCGGGCAGTCTGGTGTCTCGGACATGCCAGAGTTGCGTCAAGTGAGCAGTTTAGGCGGCGGTGGCGCAGGTGGGTCCGGCGCAGCTATGCTCGATCCTGAGTCTGGCTTCTCGGGAGCCAACTTTCGCCGAAAGAAGTCTCTCGTACGTCCTGATCGTGAACGCATGGACCCAAGTCATCGACAGTGGTATTATAGAAATCATGCTGCTCAGATGGACGCCATTGACGCGCAAGGCAGGGCAGCTGGATTCAGCTACATGCCTTCCACGACCGGACATCTCCCTCAGCATGGTGCCGCCATGCCTGGCTACGAGTCTATGGGCACTCAAGGCCCTGGTGGTGGTGTAAGCGGTCTCGGCATGGTGTCTCCCCACGCCGGCCTCTTCGGGCCTGGTGCGCCAAACATGCCTCCTGGAGGTCTGGGTAGAGCGCCACCTTCCTCTGGTCTGCGAAGAGGCAAGTCCATTCTCGGACGTGACGAAGATCAGGTCGAGACTGGCATCAACATCTTGAAGCGAGGCGTCAGCTTGCGAAGAAGTCGCTCGCACTCCCGCAAAGATGTTCCGGCTCCAGATGCAGTCTCTAGAAGGTCCAAGATTGCACCTGGCCCAGTTGGGCCTTGGATGATGTATTGCTACGTCATTACGATCTGCTTCCCAGGTCCTTGCCTAGGCGTGTTCGGCATCAAAACACCCGAGCAGCAGAGGGCTTGGAGGGAAAAGATCGGTATCCTCAGCATCGTCGCGGTCTGCATGGCTTTTGTCGGGTTCATCACTTTCGGATTTGTCAAGGTCGTGTGCGACAGCAAAGGCACTCGCTACAACCTCGGTAGAATCGAGTCTGGTACGACGCTCATCCATGGATGGGCTTACGATTTTAATGAATTCTTCCACCCGCAAGTTGGACCTTTTGCGGCAGACACTCCTTACAACCACTCCAATCCTGCCTACTCTGAACCGTGGTCTACCGGAGCTCGTGATGCCAGCAATCTCTTCCAAGTGCCAAGCGAGCGCTGCCGCGCATACGTCAACGTCAATGGTGCGCAACCTGACACTTACTTTCCTGCTGGCACATATAGGCAGGATGGTTCCGTGGGTAGCACAAACGCCAGCTGGATTCATCCGACCGATGTGGCACAGCGCTTCTTGCGTGCGGACAATCCCATGCGCAAAGGCCAAGTCTCCTATTCGTGGGACAACATCACGGACCCTGCACACAATCTGGCCGTTTGGAAAGGCTCTGTACTCGACCTGAACCGCCTAGGCCAACTGCACGCCAATCTCTCCAAGCCAGCAGTGTTCGCCCAGCTGAATCCTCGCAACGAGAAATTCGCGGGCAGAGACGTCTCTGCAGGTGTACTGCGGTCGGAACAGGACGATGTGTTTGATTGCTTGGAAGATCTGGTGCGAGTCGGATTCATCGATTCAGAGACCATCGGCTGCGTCGCGGCCGACGTCGAACTCTACATCGCGTTGGTCTTTATCTTGGGTGTCGTTGCTATCAAGTTCTTCATGGCTGTCATCTTCGGTTGGTTCTTGAGCTGGCGTCTAGGCAACTACAAGAACGAGACTTACGAAGAACGTATGAAGAGGGCAGAGGAGATTGAGCAGTGGTCCAAGGACATATACCGTCCCGCCCCAGCAGGGTATCGCCCCAACGTCAAGAAGCATCGATCGTTCTTGCCGACCACTAGTCGCTTCAGCACGGGCATCGCCTTGAGCGGCGCAGCCAACAAAGCTGCAATGCGCACGGCAATGTCGGAGAAGAGCGGTGGTATGCGAAGTGGGCCTGCAAGTGTGGCGGGCGGTGCACATAGCCCAGCGCTGCGCGCCGGTCGTCTCACAGGTCTCGCTTCGCCGATGAGCGGCAGTCCTCCCGGTTCGCCTTCGCTACAAGGTGCTCGCTCCTCCGCGTCTTTGGTTCAAAGCGCAACTCACGGCGCTTCCGGTGGCTCCCGACGTTCCTCTTTTTCTGGAGACGCTTCACCCGCGCTGACAGGCGCGATGGGTGCTTGTCCATTTCCCCTGCACAATGTCGTTCCTCAACCCCCTGCCGACTTCCAACCGTTCAACTTCCCACTCGCCCACTCGATCTGCTTGGTCACTGCATACAGCGAGTCCTTTGAAGGACTGCGAACGACACTGGATAGTCTGGCCACTACCGACTATCCCAACAGCCACAAGCTGTTACTCGTCGTTGCCGACGGTATCGTCAAGGGAGCTGGTTCGGAGATCTCGACACCTGACATCGTTCTGTCTATGATGAAAGACTTTGTCGTGCCACCAGAGGAGGTTGAGGGCAATTCGTACGTCGCTATTGCGGATGGCCACAAGCGCCACAATATGGCCAAGGTCTATTCTGGATTCTACGAGTACGACGATGAGACCGTCGAGCGCAGCAAGCAGCAACGCGTGCCGATGGTGCTCGTGGCCAAGTGCGGTACTCCGCTCGAGGCCGATTCGGCAAAGCCGGGTAACAGAGGAAAACGCGACTCGCAAGTGATGCTCATGGCTTTCATGCAGCGCGTCATGTTCGACGAGCGCATGACGACCTTCGACTACGAATTCTTCAACTCCATCTGGCGTGTCACTGGCGTAAGCCCGGACCACTACGAGATCGTTCTGATGGTCGACGCAGACACAAAGGTGTTCCCAGACAGTCTGACTCGAATGGCGGCTTGCATGATCGAGGACCCCGAGATCATGGGTCTTTGCGGTGAGACGAAGATTGCAAACAAGACCGAGACTTGGGTGACGATGATTCAAGGTGAGCAGACTCCCAGCTCACAATGCGGGCTGGAGTAGGTGCTGATGGTCTGTCTTTCTGCACCGTAGTGTTCGAGTACTACATCTCTCATCATCAGACCAAGGCCTTCGAAGCGTGCTTCGGTGGTGTGACGTGTTTGCCAGGCTGCTTCAGTGCTTATCGTATCAAGGCCCCCAAAGGACCGAACGGTTACTGGGTGCCCATTCTCGCCAACCCAGACATTGTAGAGCACTACTCGGAGAACGTCGTTGACACGCTCCACAAGAAGAACTTGCTCTTGCTTGGTGAAGATCGTTACCTCACCACGCTCATGCTGAAAACGTTCCCCAAACGTAAGATGATGTTCGTGCCACAAGTGAGTACCTTGTGTCCCGCCCGCCAGTGTAAACGAAGACTTGCTCATTCCCCACCCATCTGTCTATTGCAGGCTGTGTGCAAGACAATTGTGCCAGACACTTTCAGGGTCTTGCTGTCACAGCGACGTCGCTGGATCAACTCGACGGTGCACAATCTTGCTGAACTGGTCCTCGTCAACGATCTTTGCGGAACCTTCTGCTTCTCGATGCGCTTCGTTGTGTTCATGGAGCTCGCCGGTACTCTTGTGCTTCCCGCAGCCATTGGTGAGACACCCTTGCGGTGAGCTGTTACTTCTTGCGCAGTTGTGCTGACTTCAATCACACCGCTGCTGCAGCCTTCACCTTCTATGTCGTCGCCCAGGCTTTCTACGTTCATCCTGCGCCTGTCATCCCGCTGGTGCTTTTGGCCATCATTCTTGGTCTTCCAGGTCTGCTCATTGTCGTCACCTCTCGAAAGCTCAGCTATGTTGGCTGGATGTTCATCTACTTGCTTAGTCTGCCAATCTGGAACTTCGTCTTCCCATCCTAGTGAGTCGTGCCGATCGTCTCCGTCGTTGCCGAACCCGCTGGAACTTACGCCTCTCTTTTGAAATTTCAGCGCATTCTGGCACATGGACGATTTCTCCTGGGGTGCCACTCGCGTTGTGCAAGGCGACAAAGGCGGCGGTCATGACGACGTCGAAGGAAAGTTCGACGCCTCCAACATCACCATGAAGCGCTGGGCCGAATTCGAGCGCGATCGCCGCTGGAGGTCAGGAACGCATTCGCGAGACTCTACCTATGACGTCGTTCACCGCACCGGTTCTCCCGAACGATCTGGCAGCACCCGCTACTCGATGGTCTCCTCTGACACTTTCCACTCCAATCCATCTGGCGTGGATGCCACCGGCAGGCTCATCAACCCAGCAGCAATGGCGCTACCGAGCTACGAATCAGAAGCTGGCCACAGCAAAACAGGCTCGGCCACAGGCGGTGCAAGGGCCAGACTTGATGCTGTACCTCTTCTCGAGCTGCCGGCACCGCTTGGGCCGGATGCTGCGCAAAAGGCTCGCGGCTTGCCTAGCATAGGGGCCCCTGGCTCCGTCACGGTTCCGAGACCCCGCGATCCCTCGCCGATCGCGTCTTCCCAGTCGACTAGCCAGACTTCTCTCACGTCGCGCGCTCCATACGAGAATTACGCCTCGGTGTACAGTGCAGAGGACGAGTCGAGGCCGATGATGGCGTCTGGGGCTAGCTCTCCAGACCCCAACGATGGACGAGGTGTGCTGCCCGCAATGGCGGGCATAGGCCTGACGGCAGAGCAGCAAATCCGACACGGTAGCGTCTCCAGCGAGCAGCGATACCCGGGTCTGAGCGAAGCGCAGTTCTCGCAAGGCTTTACAGCTGAGCCAGAGGAAGACAATTCGTTCGGCCTGCCGCAAGGAGCTGGGGCACCCGCACCTCCGGGCTCGCAACGACCGCCTCGCGAGCGACCTCAATCCAGAGGCTTTAGTCTCGTTGATGATGGTCCCGTTGCATCTTCTCAGGGCGTTCGACAAGTGCAGCGCGGAGCGCGTCGAGGCTCAGTCGCGCCCAGCAGCGCTACCTCTCCCACTGGATCAAACACGGGCCGCCAGTCCCGACAAAACCACTAGGTGTCCTCCACCCCGCGACTTTGACCAATCGACGCGGTCCTCACTCAGCCTTTCGAATGCCCCTGGGCCTCTAGCGCTGAGCTTGTACGGACTTCACACACGGAAACGTACTCGACCTCACCCTTCCCTGATAGCTCTCTCGCCATCTGCGATCACGTAATGATTCTTCGCAGCTTCGACAGGCCCAGCCTCACGAGGGCCAGTCCAAGTGAAGACGGCTCAAATACCTCCCTTCACAACTCGCCTCGCTCTTCTCCAGCCCTGTCCTTTACGTAGACGCAACCTGATAGCTCTCGGACCTTGTCTTTTCACACCCCGTCCCTCTCCCTCTCTCTCTCTCTCTCTTCGCTTTGTGTCTCATCGTATCTCCGATTCTTCATCAGTGCGCAGATTCAACCTAGGTTTGTTTGCTACTAATGCCGTTCACCCCCACGTCTCACGATTTCGCCAATTCCTACTCCCGCTCCCACAAATTTCCCTGCCTCTCTCTGTACGGACGCTGCTTGCCTAGTTCAATCCATGACGAATGTCTCGTTCTCGTCTGTGGTGTGCACGGCGATGAATTGCGAGGAAGACGATGGCGCTGGTCGCGCACAAGCGAGGCAAAAGATACACTTCACGCTGCTTGCAATCGCTGTCTCTTAGCGTCGGGTGCTGCTCCGCTTGCAGGTGGCAAGCGAACATGCGGATTGGCAGCACCTTCAGCAGCAGCTCTTGCAGCGCGCCTCTCGAGCAAGAGGGACGGCAAAGGTGCAGCCTGTTGAGCAGCCGCAGCCTTCTTCTTGGCCACTTGCGCTTCCGTCTCCCGAATAGCTGCTTGATCCGATTGGATCTCTGCCAACTTGTCAGGAGCAACGGGTGCTAGAGGTGCTGCGGCGGGAAGGATCTTGCGACCAAAGAAATCCACGGCGACTTTGCGCGTCGTCGTCGTCGTCGTCGTTGTAAGTGCGGAGCTGAAAAGTGCGCCTGAATCGAGCAGAGCAGAATCTCCGCCGTTTTTGTAGACCGCGATCGCGCCCGCGGCCGCTTTGGCAGCGAGCTCTTCGTGCCTCACAGGCTGGCCCATTGCGTCCATGCCTGCGCTCACACTCAAGGACTTGATGCGCATCTTGACAGCCTCGACCTCCTTCGCAATGGCCGAGCGAATAGCGTACCTTGCAGGCCCAACCTCTTTCGATCTTTTCCCTTCGTATTGCACAAAAGCGTCTAGAGCCGGTTCGAGGCGCATGATCAGTTGACCCTCTTCCGTTCTGTCCTGTTGCAAAGACAAGCCCAGAGAAATGAGGATCTGAACGACAGCAGCTAAAATCTCCTTCTCTCCGGGTCGAGTAATTTGCGCATTGATCTGTGCGGCAGATTCAGAAGGTGTCAACTCCGGCACCGATCGGGTAGTGCAAATCGAGAATCGAGCTCACTCACTGGACGTAAGTCTGGACTGAGCATGCGCATCAAAGATGGTCCGAGCTCTGTGACGACCGCCTCTTTGCCAAACATGATCCTGAGACCAGGCGGCAGAGACGTGTAGAGCTCGGCCGCGATCTCATCGAACGCCGTGCGCTTGAGGTGATTCTGAGACGGGAGGGGGAAAGTAGGAATCTCGAGTCAGAAGCGCAACGGGTTGATGCAAATGGCGCTCTCCGAGCCCAACATACCTGGTAATCGACCTTTGCGAATCCCGGCAACTCATTCGCAGTGTTGGCAAACAAAAAGTGCCAGGGAGCAAAAGCCCATGGCAGGTAGCCCGCCAATTCGTGCGTGGCCAATTCCCAGCCCTTTGCATGCACGGCTTCATTCCAAGCCATCCAGTCGTGTATTTTTTTGAACCGCAGAAATCCGTCATCGACCAATCTCAGCGTCGGATAATGCTCAAAACACCCATGAAGCAGTCTTTCTTGCTCTCCGCAGGAAGTCACCTCATCCACGATGCGGCTCATCGTTTCGTGCCCGTCCTTAGCCCCCACCCCTCTAGCTCGTTCCTTGGGAGTAGGCGTGCGGAAAAGCAGTTCGAAGACTTTGGCGGTAGAACTACCGCCATCCTTGACTGCTAGTCCATTGCCTTCCTTGTCCCTAACCTGCGAAGCCTCGAGCGTGTTGCCCTGGGCCTTTGCCAGCTGCAACGCATTCAAGCAGGAGCGCACATCGCAGTCGGTGAGTTCAGCCAAAAGGTTGAGCGCCCTCGTATCTGTCGATAGACCTTCTGCTTCGCACACTGTCCTCAGCCTCGCCACAAGGTGGTTCGCTGCGGGTTTGCCGACCCGGACGAGTCTCGCGAGTGGTCGCAAAGGCCTCAAGGCGGGCGCATACCTGAAGATCGCGGGAGCGAAGTCACGTCAGATCAGCACTCGATGGTCTGATGCATCAGCTTCACCCACTCACAAATCGTTGCAAATGCAAATGATGGGCCTCAGCAAAGGTCTTTGTTGCTTCTTCTTTTTGCCCTTGCCTTTGTTCGCAGCATCGAGAGCATTTCCGACCTCTACCAATCTCACGAGACTCTTTATAAAGCTAGGCCCTTCTCCGGTGCCTCCTGTAGCTCCATCAATCTCATCGATCACCACACAAGTAGGTCTATGATCTCCGAGCGCCGCGCCACTTTCGAGAGCCACCTTGACCCTATCCTCAATCGCAGCGGAATTTCGAGCATCGCTTGCGTTCAGCTCGTGCACCGCATAGCCGCAAGAATTGGCAATAACGTGCGCCAGCGTAGTCTTGCCGAGTCCAGGTGGACCAGAGAGCAACAAGATGCGCTGCTCAGGTCTGTTCCACGCATCGCTGTACGCTTCGGTTCTTCGAGCGTGGTATCCTGATCCATAGCTGCTCGCACCAGTATGAATCTCATCGCGCGCGTGCTTCTTGGCTTTGCGTTTGTACACGCAAGCATCCCAGGATTTGAGCCAAGACATGACGTCGCGATGGGTGCGATCATCGCCAAGCAGTTCGGTGTAGCGTTTGGGTCGATACTTTTCCACCCACACGCCACCTTGCTCGATGGCATTGGCGCTCCTCTTTGCTTGAGCTGCGGCTAGCTTGGCTCTTCTCGCGGCCAAGCGCTCGTCATTTTGCACGACCGCTTCTGCAGCTGCCATTTCCGCCTTTTGTATGAGTATGTAAGCTGGTTCGGATAGGAGACCTGTGCTGCCTTTTCCAAAGTGCGGCGGTGCGGACTAGAGCGGGGACGAGAAGAATCTCGAAGTCCATCAGCGAATCGGTCTCGACCGCTTACAAAGTGTAGGCATTACTTACTTTCCATCCTCGCATGCGTCTGCGTCGCTCAAATCTGACGCTCTCCCCGTTCATGGCAGTCGCACCGAATGTGCCCGCAGGAATGTACTTTGGAATGCCGTCCATGCCGATGAGGGCATCAAATGTTGCGACAGATGTTGACGTGGTGGCCACAGCTCTGGCTTCCATCTCTCTCTCGGTCGAAGACTGAGCAGCTGGCGCTCTACGGCCGACTCCATGCAAAGCAAGGCGCTCGCCAACGTCGCTCGACTTGTCGCCATTATCGGCAATTGATGGACCTGCTACAGCTGGATACTGCGCGTCGACGGGACCTCGTTGCTCTTCATCCGCCTCCTCATCTCCATCTTCTCCGACCATCACGTCACGTAGTTGGGCAGCAGCACGTCTCAGATTAGCGAGATGTTCGCCAATGTCCGAGCCTGCATCATCATCGTCGTCTTCTTGCTCGTCCAGATCGATAGGAGGCTGCTCATGATCCTGCTCGTGTGGGAGCTGCCCTTGGCCATGCCCTTCATCCTCGGCCATAGCTAGATCGGCGTCCATATCGAATGCATACTCATCATCCAGCTCGATGCGGACGGGTGCTCTGTAATGGTCGACAGGTCCCTGAGCAGTGGTCGCGTCTGTGACAGCAGACGGAGATGCCGATACCCTCGAATGCGTGATGGGATGAACGCTACTTCTCGCACCATCTGTCACAGGTGAGGGGCTGCGTCCCAAGTTTTTGAGCGCATCCTGTGGCGACGAAGTGCCAAATGTGAAGCGTTGCGAGCTCTTCGCTGCCAGAGTAGAGAGTGGACCTGGATGACGATCAAAGCGTAGAGGCGGAATCTCTTCATCGTCGGACTCTGCCGCGTGGCTCTTCAGCAATCCATCCACTTCCTCAAGAGCAAGAAAAGCCTCGCGAGTTCCGGCTGAAGTGATTTGTTGTGACATGATGCTTCCTGAGAACCGATGCTGCTCAGCGCGGGCTGCAGAGCTGATCAGAGAGGTCCGCGATTGGAGGGGCAGCAGATCGCACGTAAAGATTTGGCAAGGCCACGATACGACTCGGGCATCAGTGAGAGAGCGAAGCAGCTGGAAAGAATACGAAGGATGTGCTGTGCTTTATGAAGGACTGAACGTCCTTACCAAGTACTTGTCTGATGAGTGGATGAAGGGGTCGCTAGGCGTTGGACTCCAGCGCGTGTTGCCCTGGATCGAGCGGTTTATAGGTATATGGCACACGTACGTACCCTTCAATCACAAGCACGCATCATTCAACACGCAAGCCAATAAAGTGCGAACAAGTTCGCGTCTGCATCTCGCAAGACGCGCCGTGCATGGCGCCTCACGCGTCATCCAATTAACACAGGCGCGCAGCACAGCGCCTACAGCAATTAAGCCAGCCAGCCAGCCGCTCTTGGCGTGTTCTGCTGCCGGCCGGCCGATCGAGATTGTTCGCGGGCACATCCATACGCATGCAAAGCCAAAAGCCACCATTCAACACGAATGAGGAATGGCGCGGATCAACGAGCCTCTCTTCCGGCTCCACTGTACGCATACGCACAACCAAGCGTATATACATGAGAGTCCAGAATCATGCCAACATCACCAGAAAGCGTATCCAAGCCGAATTCTTATTTCCTGGCCAGCTCAAGGTTGTGATTGACAGATCTCGACATCCACACACATTCGCGCTTGATTCTCGCGAGGAAATCGAGGCACGCATTCACTACCATCAATAACCAGCCCGTGCGCGTGGACTACACGACACCTGCCTCGGACTCTTGGCGTCTGTTGTCGCTCCGAGACAAATTCAAAGCTCGATTCACGTACGTCAGCTTCGGCGTCCATCTTAGCTTATCATCTCGATCCTAGATCGTTCCAGCAACAAAAACACCTGCTTTGATCATCCTCTGCTCGACCCTAGCTCGCACGCACGATGGCTATACATGCGCTCCTCATCTTCAACAACAAGGGACAACCCCGACTGGTCTCCATCTACGCTCCTCTCTCTACGCAGATTCAAGTAGCGCTAGTATCTCGAATCAAGACTCGTATATTCGATCGACCGTCCAGTCTTAGCGTGGGTGCAGGCCGAAGCAATAGGGCTAGAGCTTCTTCTTCGAGCGCAAGTGGTGCTCAGACAAATGCAGAGCTAGGCACCGAAGAGTACGCCGAGTCCAACTTTTTGGACGGGAGCGAATTTGCGCCGGTGTTCTTGTCTGCTAGCGGCAGTAAGGGCAAAGCGAGACGGAACGAAGAGGCGGATGATGGAGCGGCAGCAGCAGCAGCAGAAGTGGGAGATCGCATCGGCATTACAAAGGGAAGAGTGGAAGGCGATCAGGAGGAGGAAGAGCAAGAGAGATTGGGAAGAGGTTGGAAAATCGTTTGGAGAAATTATGCGACGCTTTACTTTGCGTGTATCGTGGACGAGAGCGAGAGTCCGTTGGGTATATTGGACTTGATACAGGTGAGGCTGGTATGCGGATTCGAAGCGACATGGGCATGGGCTGATTCATTGCGCTGAGACTCTCCATCAGGTATTTGTGGAAGCGCTGGATCGATGTTTCGAGAATGTGTGCGAGCTTGACCTCATCTTCCATTTCGACGAGGTGAGTGTATGCGAGTGATCGAGCTCTTCTTGCCCGTACTCACCCATCCTACTTTCCTCTCTCTTCGTCCGCATCCGCACTCGTCAGGTACATGCCATCTTGTCCGAGATCATCCAAGGTGGTTTAGTGCTGGATACTTCTCTAGAGTCCATTTGTGCGAATGCTAGCGCGAGTGCACGAGCGAGAAAAAAGAGCGCAGCGCAAAGCTCAGCCGTAGCTGCTGCTCTACCTGGTTTGGCCGATTGGATAGCTCCTGGAGGTGCAGCCTCTGGTACGTGGGGAGATAGTTGGAGAAGAGAGATATCTAGGTTTACGCAATAAGCTGGCGCTAGTCTTTGGTGCTGGCTGCCCGCAAAACTTTTCAGAGAGACCAACGCAATGCGACAATTGCCTGCTCGTGGAATAGAGTGTTTGTTCACTGTCGATACGCTCTCATCGCCAAGAGGAGTGCTTCTGTTCTGCGTTGCAGCACCTCGACCAGCTGCAGACTGTTGGACATGATCATCGGATATCATGCTGGCCTAGTAGCCTCGAGGACGAGTCAATCTACGCATGGACTCGCATAGGCATGTCATCAGCTTCTCGATGATGAGCGGAACTGGTACGGCTGGGAGTGCGACGGATGCTTGACCCCAGCGAGCGAGCCGGCGCCCTCTGTCCCTCTACATGTTCGGCTGCTCGCAAGAATCGCTCGAGCCAGGCTGTCGTTCCGCAATGCAAATCATGGCGCTGCGCCTGCTTCCCGCATTCTGGAAAAGCGCATGCACACACGTGACTATACATACACTTACTACTCCCACTACTCTGCTGACTCTAAGTCTGCTGTGCACGCTGTGCTGTGCTGAGCTGTAGCAAGAGCGCACTGGGCCTGGGTTCGACACGAATCGTACATCGTGCACGGTCATCGTGTTCAACCGCAATCACAGCCGGGCGCCCTAGGGTGCGCGGCGAGCTGACCGATCGCGTCTTTGGGCACTGATTGATAGCTCAGCACAATCCCACAACGATCTATCTGGCTATCATGGCCTCGCCGTGTACTGTATCTCGAGTCTGTGCGATGACTTCCTTTGACGGCGCAGGGGGTAAGCCAGCAGACAGGTAGTTACCTCTCTACGCATTTTGGTTTCTTCCTGTACTCTTAATTTTGAGTAGTGCTTGGTCGCCGCGCTCGATGGAGTGCATTGGCACTGCGGTGTCAGCATATCTCCTGCCGTCGCACGCGCGCGAGGCTGGCCTGCTGCCCTGCTGCACAGCGACTTGCCGGCGGAGATGAAGGTGGAGCACGAGCTCGGCCGCATGGACGGGCACTCGCCTTCCTCCACAATCGGATCAGTGGATCACGGGTACAATCAAAATGAATGATCAAGGAACCGAGTCGTGAATCAGGCTGATGAGTAGTTAATCAGAATCACGTGAATCATGAATCACAATGGCCTGCTGGCCAGCAGAATCACGAATCACGAATGGATGCACACACACACACACGCCACCTCCACTTTGAGGAGCGACTCAGCGAGCACGCCGTGCATGCGCGTTGATCGTCCGTCGTAGGCCTTCGTTGGCGTTTCAACTTCCAACTTCGCGATTACTCGAGCGTCCCGAACAGCGACGAGATACTGTTGATGCATGCATGCTGACTTTGGACCCGTGGTGGTGGTGGTGGTGGTGGTGTATGGTTATATATATAGCAAATATCCATTTTGCTTGCTTGCTTGCCTCCAACACGTCCTCGGCTTGATAGCACACATCCCACAAGTATCCGCATACTTGTGCACCTCGCCCGCTCGCTCGCTCGCTCAGCTTGCAACCCGGCGTCCTCTGACTTGCCACCTCGACATTTACATTCATACCCACACTTGCGTCATCATGCCAGCCATCCAATCGGGCAAAGTGCTAGTGACGGGTGCAAGCGGCTATGCGGGAGCATGGTTATGTCTAGCTCTGCTACGTCAAGGCTTTTCCGTGCGCGGCACAGTCCGCTCAACAGAAAAGGGTCGTTACCTCGAACAATTGTTTCAGAGTCAGCAACAACAATTTGCAAAGGACAAGTTCGAGTTTGTCATTGCGGAGGATTTGGAGAAGGAAGGAGCTTTCGATCAGGCAGTCGTCGGTGTGGATGCTGTCTTTCACTCGGTACGTTCGCTTTCTTTTGTCCGACGCTTCTTCGCCCTCGAGCAGAACGGGAATTGACCGTGCGGGCACCATGTCATGCGAATATCTTCTGTGACCATGTCACAAGGGCTCGCCGTTCCACTACGATGCCAAAGGTGCGTCGATTGTGCGCTCCCACTCCAGGCTATCAGCGCAACAGACCACGCGCTCACCACTTTCGTCCACTGCCCATCATTGGCTCAGGCCAAGCCCTGACCAAGCTGGTGCATCCCGCAGTGAACGGCACCAAAAACGTTCTGAACAGCATCCACTCGCACGGTACTTCTGTCAAACGCGTCATCATCTTTTCCTCCTTTGCGGCCATCGTGGAAGTGTCCAAACCCGTACCTACGGTCTTCAACGAAGAGAGTTGGAACGAGACGCACGCCAAGGAGAGCGCAGAAAAGGGAGAAGATCAAGATCCTTTGGCTGCATATCGAGCTTCCAAGACGCTCGCAGAGAGAGCTGCGTGGGCTTTCGTAGAGGAGAAAAAAGTGCCTTGGGATCTGGTCACTGTCAATCCACCATTCGTGAGTAGTGTTTCGAACCCACTTCTTCCCAAGCTCCGCACCACCGCACAAGCTTCTGCGCTGGTCCACAAAATTAAAGTCTGCACATTTCGTTGCCATGCCCCTCCCCACCTCTGCTTGCTCTCTTTGATTTTGCGGCACGTGCAGATTTTTGGCCCTCCCATTCACGACGTGTCGGGCGGAGCAGAGAAGCTCAACACTTCGCTGTCCATCTTCTGGGGACTACTTCACGGCTCCAAGTCCGAGTCTGACCTTCTAACACCTGGCGGGTCTTTAGTAGACGTTCGAGACGTGGCCGAAACGCACGTGCAAGCCCTAAGGCACGCCCAAGCAGGAGGTCAACGTTACGCGCCCACTTCTGGACCTTTTACGTTTCAGGATATCGCCGATGCTGTGCATGGCGATGCGCAGGGTTTGGTGCCTGAAGAATGGAAGAGAGCGACACCGATTGGTAAACCTGGGAAGGGAAAAGAGGTGGTGCAGAATTCTCTGGACGGGTCAAAGACTGCCGAGCAGCTAGGCATCAAGTACAAATCTATCCCTACCATGTGAGTTGATCGCTATCAAAATTGTTCGGTCTGCTACCAGGCTACTCTTGGCAACTCATGCGCCTCCTCTGCTTGCCCACAACAGCGTCCTTGATACAGTCGCCGCGCTCAAAGATTACGAGGAGCGCAAGTGGAAGCCATATCCATCTGACAAGGTGCTTGCCCTGTAGATCCTCATCCGTGATGGCGCCCCGTTCGCATTGGATACTTGAAACTAGGATGATATGCAACACCTTTTGTGATGTGTCGCTGCATCAAGATGCACGTGCAAACCCGAACATCACCATTAGCAGTTGGGGTTCTGCATACATGTCAAGAGGCTGCGTGCGTAAATGGGTATGAGGAGTTTCCAATGCGTTCCGAGAATACTTTTGCACGTAGAGGCAGCGAATCCGGGGCAAATGAACGGAAGGGAAATGCAGATCGGGTCGAGAGCATGCATGCAGCATCACCTCAGCACCCTAGCAAGCGCATCCCTAAATGCAGGTCTGAAACGATCCAAGTGAGGCGTGGGAGGGGCAGGTTTGATAGGGTCCGCAAAGATAGCCTCGGTCCTAGTCTTTCCAGCCGCTCCAAAGACCTGAACGGGTTGTGCTTCGTCCACATCCCCTGCTGCCCATCTGCAAGCTTCGACAAACTCGGCCTGCTTCTTGCGACGCGCAGCAGCTTCTAGCTCGGTGATGTCCCCTCGAGCAGATGCGTCTAGCACCGATGGACCGGAAAGAGGCGCGGGAGGTGGCGACTTAGATCCTTCGGACTCGTGCATCATCGACGCGGGTCGCGACGGAGGTGCCCAAGCAGCAATGATGTCGTCGCAGCCGCTGCCTGCCAGTCTTGCCAAATGGTGCAGCCAGACAAAGATGTCCTCTGTGAGCGAGCCGCCGTTGCTTCCGTCTGGCAGTGTCACTGTCGAGTGCAAGAATGCATACCAGCCCGGCACAGCGTCGTCAAGTAGAGTGGCAATCGTTGAGATGCTCCTCCAAGGATCCTGCACTCTCGATCTTAAGCCGGAAACGACGTCCAGTAGACGCGCGAGGAACTCTTTTGTATCCGCAACAGCGTCCGGCATCTTGGCACTCGACTTGTGCAGTCGCCTGAGAGCGTTACCAAACGGCTCAAACAGGGCCGAAAAGATGTCTCTAATCTCTGGCTTTTCCAACGCAACTCGAATCTCCTCTGCGTCTCGGCGCAGCGAAAGCAGTCTCAAGGCGCGCTGCATGTCCGCAATGAGACGAACATCGACGCTCGCCTTAAGCTCCCGTTGTATGTCTTTGGCGTTCGGCAATGTGGCGTGAAAGTCCTGCCAGGCACGAGTTGCTCGCACGATGCGCTTGACACCTTCCTCGGTGAGGCGCGGAGCGTCTGAACCACGCGCAATGGCTGCCACGAGTGGAATGCGAGCTGACTCCGCACTTGAACGGATCAAACGCTTCTTGGCGTCAGTGTAGGACACGAACGCTTCGATCTTGCGGTATACTGGCGATCCGAAGCGGCGTCGAAGGTCATCTAGCTCCAGCTGCATGCCCCCTTTGCCCCCGCCGTCTTCAAGTAACACGGCAAGTAGCCGGTCCAAAAAGTCTTGTCCTTGCAGAGCCGCACGCACCCTTTGCAGCATGACTCCCGTAGGATCCCGCATGGCAAAAGACAAGCCGCGCCACGGAATGGCATTGAAAAGATCCTGAGCTCTGATTAGGTTCTTGCTAGACTCGCTGCCGCTGACAAAGATGCCATAGAGGACGTGGGCTAGTTTGAGATTGGCCCAAGATGCTAAGCGCTGGTATGGGAGTGGCAGCTCAGAGAATGTCGGACTGGTTCGAAGTGCCCCAAAAGCATCCAAAAATCCTTGCTGAGTCGTGCAGCTGCGCCAAAGAGCGTTCTGCTCATCCTGCAACTCGATGACCTCTTCTGCCGAGCCAGCTGCCACTGCCTCACGTTCCCCACGACTTTCCTCGTCCAGACGATGGCGCATCTCCAGGTCTGCTCTAGTTCCAGTCCGAAGCTCCTTATCACTGAAGCTGCCTGTAACCAAGAACTGGCGAGTCTCCGAGCAGTGTCCAGCACCACGTACAGCCAAGGCATCACGAAGCCAGCTCCGCAAATGCTGTCTTCTTGCCTCGTGATGGGCAGACGGAGCAATGTACTCGCCCTCGGCAGCCGCTTTGCGAGCGGATTTGTCGCGACCAATGCCGCCAGCCTCCTTGTATCGTAAGCCTGATGGAGAAGGACCACGAGATGAAGATCGCTTGGAGAACAAGCGTGATCGACCTCGTCCGTCACCACCCTTGGACGAGGTGGTACCCATCATCGCCTTGCTCGAGTTGTCAAGCTGGACGAAGCCTTCCGCAGCAGATGGCGAGAGTGGCAGAGCAGGGTCTTTGATGGGCGGTGAAGCGACATTCACCTGACTTCGTCCGCGAGGCAATGCCCGCTCACTACCAGCAAGAGAGACTTGACTCGTGTTTCGTCCCGTTGTGCCAGACGCTTGCGGAGCGTGACCGTGAGCCGATTGAGTGTCCTGAGCTGGATGAATAGAGCCAGGCCTTGAGGAATCCGTACTTCTCGTGCGCGAGAAACTTGGACGAGGTGGAACGCCGCCACCATATCTGTGCATGCGCGGGGAAAGAGGCGAAGCTGGTGCAGCGCCATTGACTGCGCCTGTGTTCTTGTTTGTCTGCACCGACAGAACGCTCTGAGAGGCCTCATTCGCCTGGCTCGGGCGGAAACCTGAGGTGACGAGACTGCGGAGGGAGCTCATCGAATCGCGACGGCCGTTCTGAGATCCAGCAAGAGCTGCGTTGCCAGTCAGAGGACCCAAAGAGCCAGAGTATTCACCTCCATTCGCTCCTGCTATTGGTCTGGGCGGCAGAGGTCGCACCCGCGCTTTCGGTCCTAGTTCCGCTGCGAGGCCACGCGCATATTCGAAGAAGTCGTCCTCGCTGCGGATGACGTATGAGACCGGAAAGCCAAAGCGACGAATGGCAATGACGAATTCGCACTCTGTGGCAGAGTGTGCACGCAAGCTCACAATATCCACCTCATAACCGCCTTGCTTGAGCTTTGGCATAGGCGCTCGGTGAGCGTAGTAGGCCGAGAGCGGCATCAAGGTGTTGATTCCATTCGGCAACGGCACTTGGGTCATCTTGAGACCCTCCCGCGCCAAGCTCGCGCCAAGAATCGAGGTCACGTAGGCAGCAATGCCGCGCGTCAGTACGCCTTGAACTTCATCCAACGTAGATCTTGCATCGAATTCCGTCCCCATGCCTTCTCCATGTCTATCAACGGCATGACTCAGCGACATGGACTGCCTTGCACGCAGTAGTGGGACGATGGCGCTGGACATGAAGCCCTCCGCCACCTCGCTCGAGACCGCCGTGCCCTTGGGAGCGACCGAGTCGACCAACAGTGGGCATGTCGAGAGGACTCGAGCAAGCATGAAGTGCAGAATGGGGAGGCGAGGTCGCGGAAGGCCTACGTCGTGAGGGCTACGCTTGAAGATGGCGAGATCATCTTTGCCCAATGCTGCGGGCTCCGATGGCGCTGCGATGCTAGTCAAAAGCCAGGAGCGAGCCAGTTCAAAGTTCATCTGGCGTTCCACTAGAGTGCGCATGAAGCATCCGAGGTGTGGAGCGCCCAATTCGGTGTGTCTGAGCCACGTGTGCTTTGGCGCTTTTACGTTCCTGAATATCGGAGGAGCAGTGACCTGCGATAGTGTCGGCCCATCTACGCCAGGGTGCTTGCTGGTGCTCGCATCGCGCGAATGTGTATCCTGTGCTTCGAAGTACGACGTCTTCTGCACAGCATGTCCCCGCGGAGTCGGAGCATCCTCATCCTCTGCGCCAGCCCAATGGCCCGGAGGCTTCATAGGAAGTTTCGTAGCGACACGCTCATTACTGACCTCTGGAGCTCCGTTCGTGTTCTCTGACTGCACGCTAGCTCGACTCGTTTGTCGTGAATGTGCATCCGCAAAGACAGTGGCGTCTCGCTGATGTTGCTGTGTCTTTGCACCTGGCGTCGATGGCGCGTCACCAAGAGGCGCGTCGGCCACAGGGGACGCATTGGCAGACGAATCTGTGCCATCGTCATCTGTGAGGAAGGCACCTGGAACGCTGACCTTCCGTACGTGGCCTTGTCTGGCAGCGGCGATGACTCCCTGCGGCAATCGGAGCTGGAAGCCAGACCTGGTCAAAGGCGAGGTCAAAGGCGAGGTCGTATCGCCAGGTGGAGCCGGGACTTGGTCTGTTAGGCTGGCCGACTGCGGTTCTTCGGCTCGAGGTCCGGCGGTGCTTGTTCCGGAAGCAAGGGGATGAGCCGACTGATCCTCGAATTCTTCTCTTCTCCTCTGCTCTATCCTGCTCTCAAGCCATTTATCATCGATGCTCAGTATGCCAGCAGCACCAACAGTGCCATCCCCTTCGCCCTCTTCATCGCTATCGCCGGTGCCTCTGATGCTTTCGTCATCTACTAAGCTTGGCTGAATGCTATGAATTCTTGGATGCCCTACACCCACCCTCTGATAGCTGTCAGAGTCGCCTTCGTCGCCAGCAGAGATCAATTGTGGCTGTCGTTCGATGCCGACATCTTTAAAGTTGAAGGGCGTCGTTGGTCGTGCGCTGACATCGACTTGCAGTGGTGCTACAACAGCATTTGCGACTGCATCGAGTGCTTGCCGTTCCGAAGCCTCTGATGGGCTTTCCAGACCATCGAGATGAGAAATTTGACGACTAGGCGGAGGTCGCGTCAGAGCGTCCGCCTTGTCCAAGAATTCCGCGCGCTGCTCGCCGGGTGGTGCACTGCTGTCTTCAGATTGGAGGGAAGTGTCCGCTGAGCTGAGATCAGGCGTCGCTGTCATGTCATCCTTATTACTCTTGGCAGCTTCCTCATCAATCGCCGTGCCCGGTCGCCGCGACTCTTTGCGATTGATACGTCGCAAACGGCTCAGAATACCTCCGCCAGTGGCACGCCGCTGAAGTTTTTGACTACCAATAGTGGAAGCAAGTCCGTTTATGGTAGGAGTTGCGGAGAGTGATGCGTTGAGAGGTTGAGCAGAAAGAGCCGCAGCGGACGTGGATGTGTCTGCGCTAGGAGCAGAGCTGCTCTGTGGGGAAGGGGCAGGCAGACTTGCCCGCCGTCGCCCTCGCAGAGACTTCCGAGCCAGCAGCCCAACCTTTGAGGACTCCTTAGGAGTTGAAGCCTGATGAGGCTCGACTTCGGCCGGGGCTTCCAGTGCGGCAACCTCGGTAGCAGCAGGCTTGCCAGGCTGCTGTATCTCAGGCTGTGCGTGAACAGGCTGCAGGGCTGAACCAGAAGGCTCAGGCAACTCCTGTGCCTGGGGCTTGGGCGAATCGATAAGCTCCGCCTGGGCGCGTGCCCAGAACACTGCGGCATCCACACCGAGGATGGTGTCGTGCTCGAATGCGGAAGGCGAAATCTTCGCCGAGTCGTCGTAGTCATCCTCATCCTCTGTGGGACCGAACCAGTCCGAACGACCCAGCAGATGAGAAGATGTCGACGCTGTCGGTGAAGTCACGCTACGAGTAGAACTATGACGGTTGAGTTGGCTGCTCGGGAGGTTTAAGGGAGCTTGCTGCGCCAAAGGCTGGGCAGCGCCAGACGCATCGATCGACCGCGAGCGATCCGCCTGGTCAGAGCGTTCCCGGAGCATCCCTTCCTCCTGGCTGTTGGCAATTTCCGCTGCTCTTCGCATAAGCGCAGGCGTGTCAGCGAAACGCTGAGTACTTGAGACACTGCGCGTGCCTTCTGAACTCACCCGAGCCGGGCGCACGTTGATGTTGAAGCCTATGTCACACGGCTTGAATCGAATGATCGGTCGAGGTGGAATTGATAAGATGGTGTTGGATGAAGGGATGATGTATGCGCGAAGGATGCTTCGGTTGAAGAAAGAGAAGGCGACCTGAAGAGCGCGAAGTGCTGATGGTGAAGCCCTGAATGTCAGGAATGCGAATGTGTGAATGCAGCGGGCAGCACCTGATCCTCGCACGTTTTACACAGTGACAATTCACTGCTGACGGCAATTGCTAGCGCTCTGCTAGCGTCGCCACGACAAATCACAATTACAATCGTGAATGTGAACCTGAATGTGAATGTGCCGCACCTATACGCTTCTGCGGCACAGCCCGGTCCCCCTTGCGATGAATCGCAGCGCAAGTTTGCAGGTATTCATGACGCTCTAGCGCAGCGCAGTCTTGAGTCTCTCTCCGCGTGCCGTCGGCGGGTCGTGACGTGCAGCTAGCTGCTGATGGCGGGAGCGAGCCTGTGCGGGACCCCGCGCAAGTACAGTTAGGATAGGTGAGTGGATCACGTCTGCCTACCGCTTGTGCTGCAAATCGAGCAGCCGACGCACCCTCAAAATCTCGAGATGACCACAGCGGCAGCGGCCGCGAGATCCAAGTGAAATTGTCTCAGCTGCGCGCGATTCTCCTGCTCTCAGAGTGTCTGTACGCTCAGTGGGAAGTGATCATCAGGTTAACCGGTGGCGCCATGCCTGCCAAGGCGGGACCTTGCCCAATCGGACGAGAGGGGCATGCCCGCTGAAGGTCCAATCAGCCCCCCCCCCCCCCCCCCCCCCCCCCCCCCCCCCCACGATCATTCTGAGTCGCCTCATTGGGGATTTTAGACTGTGAAGACGGTTGGCAAGATGCCTGGTAGCGGCTGGCCGAAGCTAAAGGTCACTCTACCAGTGGAAGTGGGAGAAAAGCCGTTATGCAAGCCCGCTCAACATCCGGATGAATCGATGTAGCTGCCACACTCAGACACATGGAAATTGGCACGTGTTGGTACTGTACGGTAAGTGCAGCCGTCGGGCCAAGCCAACGGCTGACAGCATGAAATGAGGTGCCTGCGAGACGCCGAGGTGATGCTCGCGTGCGGATTGCCTCAAAGCCCAGCTGCGTGAGGCGGGACACTGAAATCGAAAGACAGACTATGATATATAATGACTTGGCATTGCGGCATTGACATTGAAGGTCCTTGAGTGGACAGGGGCCAGCTTACTGTACGTGGAGCGTCGAGCGCAAAAGCCGACGCTCTCCGGAAAGGCGCACGCTTCAGTCCGGTTGTTAATACAACGAGTCTCGGACATCTGCACCGCGACACTTGCCATGGCGTTGCGGTCTTAGCAAAGTCAAGTCTCTTGGACGAGAGCCACTTGCGAGCGCAGCGAGAGAGGTATACGTGTGGGCAGGCCGAGCGCATCCTGCTGTATCGTGTGAAACGCTGTTTTCGCAGCTGCTAACGAAGATCATAGAAGCAAGCTACCCAAAAGATGCCAGCATATCCGCCAGATCGTCCATCGTTTGCTTCTTGCCAGCCTCAATCTACACGACAGGGGCGGAGGAGCAGATCCATCAGGTCGTGCAGCCCGGAAGGCAGCTGACAAGTCCGAAGAAAGTCTACTTACTTCGCTCGTATCCTTCCATCTCTTCTCGAATTCCGACAGGTTGATCTCCTCGCACGTAAAGTCAGCCAGAGCCTCTCGCTTGTTCAACAGCTCCGTTTGATACATCTGTGGCAGGCGGATCCCGGGCTATGCGTACGACTCATTGATCGCAAGTGACTTCAGGACTGTGCACTCACATCAACAAGACCACCTACGTGTTGCAGAGCTTGCTGAGGGTCTTGGCCCACGCTCATACCCCGAGCTTCGGACGTCCAAGCATCCACACGGTAGACCAGCTCGGCAAGGTCGTCCACGTCTTTCTGCAACTTCGCCAATGTCTCTCGGAAGATATCCAAAGCCGCTTCTGCTACTCGAGCATCTTGCGTGTATAGAGCTGAAAGAGCGGGAAAGGATTCTCGCAAATGGGTCTGAAAGGATGAGGCGCATCCATCCGCGTGAGAGACTAGGGGGAGCAATGACATATCGCACCGGCGCGAGGAGAAACCGGTCTAGGTCCCTAATAATGATATATTACTCGTATCTTCAGAGGTCCGAGAGATCTGTGGTCTTGACTCTTCTTTCTTTGCTAATGCTTCGCAACGATTGATGTTGGCTGATCGTAAAGGCCGGCCGTCTTGGAGTGCAAGACCGTACAGACCTTGATTTATATATAGCCCTGCTCCCCGCTCAGAAACTGCTTCGGCCTATTCGGCGTCGAGGCTTGCCGTGTATATAGCTGTGCTACGGGCAATCACTCGTGATTTTTGATTACAATCTACGACCAACGTGAAAATGTGAACTGTAAAATGTAAAATGTGAATCACGAAGCCGTGAGTCGTGAGTCTGAGCTTGAGTTACGATCGAGCATTCAAGGTTGCTGGTGATTCAAGATTGATGCCGCACGCGCTGTGTTTTGTCTGAACGCGTCTGCACACGCGACCGCGCGCCGGGCGCGTGACCAGCATATAAGGATGCTCTTTGTATCGCGCGGCCCGCCGCACGTGTGAGAGGGAGTACACTGCTATAGTATATAGTCGTAGGTGGAGCCACCTCGTCAGTGTCGAGCTCAGCTCTCCTGAACAAAACGCAGCATCGCATGCAGTCGTCAATATTTTGATTATGAGCTGCATGGTAACCGCGATCAAAGCCATGCACGGTATAGCAAAGGGGGATTCAAGTTCAATTCGTGACCAAGCTGCTGCAATTCTTGGTTATTGTTCGCCGATGCAACGGCCGCACGGCCGACAAATATGAAGTATGCGGGCTCCTTCATCTTTGACCACCACATCCAATCGTGAAACGCAGCATCATTCGCTCTGCTGAGAACCGTCTTCGCACTCACATCGAGCTCATCTACCGCACTCTTTTGACCTGTTCCATGCTTGGACGCGGTCTCTTCGGGCGCTCAGCTGGACGATGTGAAGAGTCAAGACTTGCTGGCCAGCACCTTTTAGGCTCTTCTTCAGTAGTGTCTGCATGAGCTGCGATTCGACGACTAGAGGAAATTCCTTGAGTCTCGTTTCCGGGCGCTGCGATACAGAAGACTTCGTCATCGACATTTGCAGGCGAAAGTTTCATCAGTGTACGCGCGATGTCTTCGGCTCCAGCACGTCGACGTCCCAAAGGGCCTTTGCACCCACCATATCGAGGTGCGCCCACGTCCGGCATTAGCATGTCCGGACCACAGGCTCGACACGGGGGTGGCGCTGTGCCCTCTTCACCTACGGAAGGAACAGACTTAGGTCTCGGCTTCCTTCCTCAGCAGCCAATCACCCCTAGCCGCAAAAGGAATTGGACTCCAAGCATCCAGAGTATCTCCGAACCCTATGCTGGACAGTCTGGCTGGTCCTCCCATGCTCCCTCCAGCAGCTCGTTTGGCGCAGCAGCGGGCGGCGTGGCTGATGATCCCGTGTATGCGCAGCATGCCGCTCGCGGATATGATCGGGACACCTTGACTTCGTCTTTCGAGTCATCTTCACGCGCGTGGGAGACGCTAAGTCGGGCTCAAGAAGCATCACAAGCTGCGCAAGCACGAGAAAGACAGCAGACACTAGCGATCGCCAGTCATGGCCAGGAAGAGCCAGCAACGAAGAAGCGCAAAGGTGTAGCGGGTACTATCGTCGAAGGCGCTGTAAACACTGCCTTATATGCCGGCGCAGCCGTGAGTAGCACCCTTGCGCCCCGAGAGCTCTATACTTACTTCCATTCACGTCCCTCGTCCGCTCTGTGCAGGCTATCACGGCGTATTCCCTCTGGTCATCTTGGGGCCGTCGGCCTTCGGAGACCGAGCAAGCATCCGCTCAGGATCAAGCGATCTCGCCTCCCACTCCGAGCAAGACAACGCTTCCTGGAGGTCTACCAGACTACTTCCCACCGCCACCGTATGCTGAAGCACCGCTATCACCATCTGCTTCGAGCGTCGGCTCATCGGTTGCACAGAACGCGAGGCGGGCACAGAATGTCTACATCTCCCGTCGCAGAAGGCGACCCGTATTTCAAAGCTATCGGAACATGACCGTCGGTCGTCAGATGGAAGACGGTCTTGCAACACCTAGCACGTCAGCAACCTCCGTAACATTGCCAAGCGACATCATGGAGGCCGGGTCAAGTGACATGGACGCAGATGATGACGATGACGAATTCTCTAGGCTCAACAAGGTGAGCGTCTCCTACTATCACTCTCCTTTGCAGAGAGCTAAGCTGATCAGACCTCGTTTCGTCATCTCAGCGCATGGCAGCCATGATAGCGGAAGGCCAAGCTGGTGAGCTGCGCTCTTCGTTGATGATGTCGAAAGCCCTCGCTTGAGCCGATACCGTGCCGAGGCAAAGCCATGCAAGCGTGCTGACCGCTTCAATCCTCATTTCTGTCAATGTAGCCTTGACTGCAGGACCAGAGGCCGAACCAGATGAAGACGTCCTGCAGCAATCCGCCGTTCCGTATCTCGGCTCAGCTACTGCGCCGTCACGCATCCCACAGTCGACGTCCACTGTAAGCAGGCCATCTGCTATCCGGCCATCCACATTACAGTCCATGCGTAGTCCGAGTCAGATTGATTTCAGCTTTGCCGCCAAGGGCTCAGGTGGTACGCCATCCAACAACACTCGCTTTTCGTCACCTGCCCTTGCTACTCCGTCACGACTAGATTCCATGCAAAGTAAAGGCGCTTCCCCATTCGTGTTTGGGGCTTCTAGCAACGACAACAAGGCGCCCCAGTCTCCCAACAGCCCATATAGCCGTCCAGCAGCTGGTCGTGCTGGTGGAAGGCGCACGGCTCTCGGAACTGCTAACCTCAGTCGAGCTCAGCACGATGTGCCCTGGCGTCCTGCATAGCGCCCCGCAGCCACCGAGTACGCCATCAGAGTACGACGTTCACTCGTAGACCTTCTTCAAGAACTTAGCCCTCGAGTCACCACTCCTTGATCATAGTTGCCGTCTTCAGCGCTTCAATTCCACACCTTCGATATCCCAGCCGTCTCCCACATCCAGTGTACACCATTTCGCCGAGATGCAATCGGCATACTTTGAATTTCGACCTTTCCTCGGCGCGCTTTGAGCAATCCAGCAAGCTTGTGACCATGCATGGGACAGTAGGTGTTGTGACATGTGCCGGAGATGCTAATTGCCATTCCTCAAGCTGCGTTGCGTCACGTCGGTCAACTCTAGGCGGATGGACAGGCTGTGGCTTATGAGATTGCGGTTGGCACCAGCAATGGCGCGCGCACTAGAGCTACGGACGACGAGGTAAGGCTGCAGGTGATGCATCCGCGATGCCTACCCAGGAACATGACTCTGCGTTCAACAGTTGTCGATGGCGTGCCAGAAGTGGAAGGAGGGCGAGGAGAGGCGAATACATTTCAACATCATCGCCTCTCCAGGCCAAATTGCACTCGCCGCCTCTGCTGCAGACCTACGGTGTGCAAGCACGACTATGAGTGCGAGCTGGTCCGCGCCTTGGAAGGATTGTATCAGCTGCAGGGCCTCAGCATTCCGCCATCACCGTCTTCCAGCAGTCGTCTCACCATAGCTGGTCCTGCTGACGAAGCTTGAACACTGCCACGGTGCGACGAGGTGCCCTGCGCGCGCACCGCCTCACCTACCATGACTTGCGACCGCGCCGCCCTGGCTCATGCGCGAGCCGGACCGTTAGACTTGCATCCAAATGCACGAGCACAGCGAGACGGCAACCTAAGGCATGAGGCAAATTCGTGGCCCAAGAGCACGCAACTCGAGGCCTGACAGTCTTGTAGCCCTTCAGCACATCCTGAACCCACCAATCAAGCTGGCAATGCACGAGCGCGCGAAGCCCTTCGTCAATTGCGAAAAGTGCGCGTTACGAAAGGTATAAAGCGGTCAATTCTTCAGCCATACCTCTTCCTTCCCGACCACATCCATCCACCCATCCATCCTCCCTTCCTGGCTCTCTTCCCTTCACCTTGCCTCCTCCGTCTCGACCCGCCCTGCACCCCAACACTCTCGCCTTCGACGTCGCTATTCATCGCATCCACCTCTCGCATCGACACGCACCTTCGACATCGACACACAGCTTCGGCATCCACATCCACAACCTTCGACACCGCTGTGAATGACCGACTTCGCCAGCAGACGCCTCCTTCGGCAACAGCATCGTACACTTCCTTCTCAATCGCAGCGCATACGATAGGTGAGTAAGGTCGGCGGTGAAGTGGATGTTGGGGAAAGGGACGCGGGAAACTTCTTTATAGGGGTCTCTGTCGGTGGGCATCGTCCTGAAGCGGATCTGAGGCACGAAAGCTCAGCTTGGGAGATTGTGACTGGAGGATCGGGCTTACGTCCGGGGAGGCGTTGGGAGACGTTCCTCGGATGCCGATCATGAAAGCACTTTGCACTTCTTGGCTGACCTCTCACTCGGTTTACACCAGTCTCTTTCCGTTGCTTGACATCCCGACAGTATCATGCCACATGTCCGTTGCCTTCCCTCTGCGCTGCTCTTACTCCTGTACCTACCTTTCTCATCAATGAATCTGTTGTGTGCCTGACTTTCATGTGGTTGCTCCCGACTGGCTTTGCTTTCGGGTCACAGACATTACCAGTCGACTGGATCTAGTGTCATCATTGATTGAGTGTACATGTTGTTGTGTGTGCGAAGATCGATATCACGAGGCAAAGTGCATGCTCTTGCCAGTGCCCAAATCGCTGCGATTCCTGCTAGCAGACACCTCGGATGGATCCTTCTTCTGCCTCTTTTCCTTCTTGCGGGGACGTTCAGCCGCACGCAGACCGGTCTCTTTGGGCCTTGGCGCATCCAGCACGGACACAGCATTGTCATAATCGAACGCTTTGAAGTCTGTCTTCGGCTTGCGCATGGAAGCAGCCCCACTGGTCTGTCCGAGTCCATTCAACTTTGCCAGCGCTTCCAACTCGGCAGCTTCTTCGTTCGCCGACTCCTCTCTGGCTCTCTTCGCTGCGGCCTTTTGCTCTGTCGACCACTTTGCTTTCGTCTTCTTCTTCTTGCTCACTTGCACGATGTCACCCAAAGCATCATCGTCGTAAGAAGAGGTACCTCTCGATGAGCCCTGAACACCGGATTGCAGTGGCGATTGCTCATGCGAAGCAGGCAACTCGACCCGTTCCACCGAAATTGATTCGACGGGATTTCGGCCATTGATACGCTCGTTTGATTGCGGAGCAGCATCCGTAGATGCGCTAGGAATTGGCTGGTCGGAAGTAGTATGGGCTGCTGTGGCTTTGCTACCTCCAAAAAGCCTGGCCAAGACGGAGCCGAAGCTAGCCTTGATACGCTGAGACTGGTCGGGGCCTGCTAGACCAGATGTCGGTGACTGCGACGGTAGACCCTTGACAGGACGAAGAGATGCGGATGCATCGGTGTGGGATCGATGTCCAAATAGCCAGTGTGGCCCAGCACGACTCTCGCTCGGCTCGTGAGCTGCAAGTGTGGGTCGCTGTTGGTTCAGGTGAGTTATGCCGTCATTCGTCGTAGTGAGCTTATCCCACAAAGCTGTGACAACGCTTGGTGCGGGCGCTGCGTCGTCGCTGTCCGAAGATGAACTCCCGCTTTCGCGTTTGGAAGACGAAGAAGAGGAGGACGGAGAAGACGGTGTAGAAGGAGCAACAGCAGCGACGGGCAGGCTAACCCTAGCAACCGCTTCACCAAGCTCCTCCTCAGCATCAGCACCTGCGGCCAACTTAGCCCTCTCCTTGGCTTCTTTCGCCAATTGAGCTTCTTGGTATTGGAACAGTTCAGCTCGGACCTCCCTCGCAATGTCGGCCGATCGGTGCTTTAGACCTCTACCGATAGCATTGGTCACATCTTGCGCCGTGCTGAGCGCTTGCGATGCTATGTTGACGAGGTGAACAGCGCTCAAGACGTATCTGCAGGTTCGATCGAGGCAAGGTCAGCATGACGATTGTGATACCCTAACGTATACGCGAGCAGCTCACCTGGGGCTCTCGTCATCCGCTCTCGCAGCGCGATCTCTCCAGTCATGCAGCCTTCGCACCAATCTCTCGGTTCTAGCAAGCCCATCCACGCCGCCTTTTGCGTAACGTTCCGCGACATTCGCAGCCTCAAAGCCGCCATGTTTGAGCCACAACGCTTGCCATCCTTCTCTACCCTCGCCCGCTGGATCCCAAACCTCCTTTGCAAAAGTTCGTGCGGCTGTTCGCTTGCTCCTTTCGAACACGTTGATGATGTTGTCCTTCTTGCCGAGCACAGGAATACCTTCGACTTCTGCTTGGGCGAGTTCCGTACGCATAGCGTCGTAAACGTAGAGCAACGCGTGCGTGTCTGCGCGAGCGTAATAGAGCATCTGTCGCGGCAAAGGTCGGATACGCCAATCTGCCAATTGCCACCTCTTGTCTGCTGTGAAGCCCGTGTAGCGGTCTAAGAGGAAGGCGAGACTCTTCTGTCGCAGACCAAGGGCAACGGAAGCGTGATATGTATCAAAGAGCCCGACGAGGTACAAGCTTAGATCTCGCTGCAGCCAAAGAACATCATGCTCTGCTCCGTGTAGGACCTTGACCTTGCTGGGGTTTGCAAAAGCTGTGTTAAGCCGGTGACACTGCGCTCTGACCTCGGGCACTAGTGGGTCGATGATGTAGTCGCCCCATCGTGTTGATAGCTGCACCAAAGACACTAGACCCTGATACGACCTGTAATTGTGATGCTCGACATCGATCGCAATTTCCTTCACTCGATTCTCTTCCAAATGTGTTTTCAACGCCTCCAACTTCTCCAAAGAATCCACGAAAGTCAGGTCTTTGGCGGGGTCTTTGCCACTGATAGGCGGTGGTGGCTTTGGCTCTGCAGGAACTTCTAGAGCATGGCCGGGCACTTTGAATGCGTGAATCTCGCGGAAGTACGGGTTCTCCTCTGGTCTGCCCTCTGCGCAATACATCCCCGCTCGAGGTGGCTGAATGGGTGCGCCTGCCACAGGCTGGGGCGTCTCCTCCAGCGGCACCAGGGCGTGTGGTTTGTGCTTCAGCGTGTGATGCCAGGGTGTTTCTCGGGAGTTGTCAGGCTTGGCCCATTTGTTCTGCGGGAGTGGCGAAATGTTGGCATTCAGGATGTGCGGAGGAAGAGGCCCATCTCCAAACTCGTCATCTTCAATCCCTTTGCCCGCTGCCAATTCGGAAGAGCGCGCTTGAGACTGCGAAAACGGTCTCAAGCCGTTGAACTCGTCCAAGCACTTGTCTGCTCTTTCCAGTAGCCTATCCACGACATCATCGATGACACCGGGTAGCCTGTCACTATCAATGGCGGCCTCGTCCAGCTCTTCTCCCTCCTCGATACCTCCGGTGGCGATCAGCAACCTATTGAGCAGCGTGTGTATCGAGATCGAAGTGTCTCGAATGATCGATGGCAGCTGACGATTCAGCGTGCGGTGGAAGGTGAGATCAGAGGGGCCAGGCAGTGAAGCGGCTTGGTTGGTGGGCGGCTGGAGTGCAGCTTGCAGAGTGCTCAGGTACTCTGTAAGCGCAGTCTCCGGAGACGGTGCTGGAGGCATTGCGAAACAGGGACAGAGTCCCAGTGAGCGCGCTTGAAAAAGCGACTCTGCTTGTTACTTTCGAGTACTGCGAAGCGCGGCTGTGGCTGACGCTTCCAAACACGGCGACTTGGCTTTCCTGGATCTGACGTGGGGTGTATGCGCTGAGTGATGCTGCAATGCCAGGGCTATGGGCTGCGATGATCGTAGCTGGTGTCGCAGCCGTTGACTTGTGCCTTTGAGCGACCCCGCTTGCTCTAATCTCAAAGCGAGACCTGAGCTGTCGTCGTATCGCCGCGGTGGATGGAATGCCTGTAGCAGATGAGTGAGATGCGTGCACAGCAGCGACACATCTGGAGTTTTGCGAAATCCTGATAAATCACGCGAACCAGACAATTTATTCCTCTTATCGTACGATAGCTTTTCGTCGGGATCCTCTGGCCAAGCTTCGGGCTCCTAGCGCGTGTGAGCGCGCGTTCCGAATCAAGAATCGGAATCTGTGCTCCTTCCTCTAGCCGAGCAGCGATCACGCATCCTGGATCAACATCGTTCAAGAAAGCACGTTGTGCATCTGTACAAGAACACCATCACCTACATCTACCCCGATTCGCGAGGCATCAAGAGCTTCCTAGCGGGTGATGAGACTAACGACTGGAGTCAGAGTGCCGTGGGTATTGGCAAGGGTAAGCATGTGATCATCAGCATTCAATGACACGCAGCTTCAGATTCGAAACTTCACCCACGCAGCGCAATCCGAGCGCCTATATCAAGTAACAAGACGTCGTCGAGGTCGTCTTATTTGCTCGAAACAATCACGAATGTGAATGCGCCCATGAGGCGCATGTCGAGGCAGCAGCAGCAGCCATGAGAAAGGGCGTAGGCGCAATGACGGTCAGAGCCGAGGTACAGGCGCAGCAGATAGATGCATTTGTGCTGGCTGTGGCGCAGCGCTGCGCCTGCGCCTGCGCCTTTTGGGATCTTGGTATTCCTTGTTGGGCAATCACAATCGTGAATGAAAAGATAAACACAATTTGAATCACATTAATTCAGACGAAGATTGGCATACAGCCACGAATTAAGATCCGAAGAAGTCACGCGGCGCTGCACGTCGTAAGACTCACAATCAGCGGTCACGAGTCACATGTTACACAGTCACAATACGCTGTAGAGCTCCACGACTCGTGATTGTGTGTGCCGCGCGGGGCACCATGGTGCGCGCGCAAGCACTCGCACCGTGGATGGCACTCACGCTACTTGGCCAGATGCCACAACAGCACAGCGCTGTTCGCGCTCTTCAAACGCTCTTTCCCAAGTTCGCAAGCAGCAGATGCAAAGCCGCGCATACTCTGCTCTTTCATCGCCCATCATCACGAATGTTTGGGACATTACCGCCCGGAATCGTGAATGGGTTGGCGGGCCAGGCACGCTCCATCGTCCACAATCAAGGTACGGCTCCAGGTTGCTGTGCTTGGCACCGCACCACTCGTTGCAGCACTTGGACTGGAATGACGTCGCCCAGCTCCATCGGGCTCAGAGTCGACGTTCGACCAAGCGAGCGCTTCAGTAGACTCGCGAGCTCGAGGTTCATGCTCCACCATTATCCTCCCCTTGCCCCGCGATGATCGAGCCCATGGTGGGCATGCAGACGCCGTCAGCGCCTGGGACATGCTGCCTCGCTCCTGTGGCACCGCTTGGCCAAGCGACCGCTCGAGATGAGATGACTCCTCGCGTGATCCCAATTGCAAGTCGCTCACTCTGCCCACTCTCCTGTCCTCCCCTCAACTTCTGCGAGCTTGAAGAAGCGATGTTGCCAGCTGGACCTGGCACTTGCAAACATTGCCCTGACCTGTGCACATCCTCCTCTTGATCCTCCGCCTCCTCCTCCTCTCCATCCGCACTCACTGATCCTGCACGGGCTGGCCTGTGTCAAGTCAAGTCATAGCGCCAACTCCCACATTCACCTCCAATCACCAAATCCGGCTGGACCGCACTGCTGACATTTCCTCGCTCACTTCCATCCCTCCAGCAAAGTGCTGCTCATTGCACCTCTCAGGAGCGCCTTGAACGAAGCAGGTAGCCCAACACTTGAGCCAGCACTTGCTCATCTTGCTCGCGCAGGTCGCGTTGCCCTCTTGACCCAGCATGCGGCTATTCAGCAGACCAAGAGCTGTAGCAACAGCTCTCCTGGTCATGCTGCACCACTGCTTATCCGGGCCCATCATGCACGGTCCATCCAATCTGCGCTCGTCGCCAAGCAGCTCCAAAGCGGCAGACATCGAACTTAGATTCGGTCTCGCTTCTCGATTGGCCAGCTCTGTGGGTGCCAGGGCTGTGCGCATCGGCGCTGGCAAACCCAAATCGGGCTTGATCGCTTTCGTGAGTGAGCAGTGGACCGACGATGCAGAGCCTCGTCCGCTCGTCAGACGTGCGTGAGTATGTCTTGAACGTGCTCCTCGTCGTCAGGTGTGGTGCAGAGGCGCTGACACTTTCATCGCTGAGATGCAACCTGCCCTTCATCGTGAACAGCTTCATCGTCCTTCATGGACAGCATCGCGATCCGCATCGTTCCTACAGAGCTATCAAAGCTGCCGTTGGAAGGCGTCGAGATTGCCTCATCATCGCTCCAGGCTTCTTCACCAAGGTCGATCCAATGTCCAGAGCTGCAGAGCTAGTGTGGGATTTCAGACCAAGAAACGAGGCGGATTGGGAAGCCAAGTGGCAAAGCGGTCACGATGCATCTACGGGGGCAAAGCGCGTCAGCGCATTCGACGTGTTGGATCACTTGCTTCGACGATTGGTTTTATCTGGCACGTACCCCAATTTGGAGAGGATCACTTTCAGCGGACATAGTGCGGGAGCTGGAATGCTGGCTCGCTACTCTTACCTAGGAGGAGCCGAAGCTGCTCTAGGAGCGGCTACCGGGCGTAGGGTCAGAATTAGATACGTGCTAGCAAATGCTCCTTCCAACCTCTACTTCTCCGATGATCGACCAATCGACTGGTCTATGCACGCCAAAGCAGCCAAGGACAAGTGCAAAACGCTGCATACTTGGAGGTACCAAATTCATGGCGATGTACCGCGATATGTCAAGGCTGGACTGACCAAAGACAGGTTCGAAGAATGGGCAAAGATGGACATCGTTAGACTCTCGGGAGATGAGGATGTGCATCACGAGATGGACACTGGGGATCAGAGCTGCGCTGCTCAAGCTCAAGTGAGTATGTATCCACTGGCCGCGGATGCATGTCGAGTTTGATCCCTTGGGAGTGATCCGAGCTCCAACGCTTCGTACAGGGCGGCATGAACAGGCACGATCGCAATCTAGCCTATTGGGCCTATCAGAACGCATTGGCTGGCACACGGATGGATCTCTCTCCCTACCTTCCCAAGGAGAATTTGGACACGTTGCAAAAGAACCTCGAATCGAGAAGAGTGGATCACTTTCGCCATCGCTTCTCCATCGTACCCGGCGTAGGTCACGATTGTCACGACATGTTCAATTCCCCTCTTGGCATTTCTGCGCTCTTCGATGAGGAATTTGTCAGCGGACCTCCACCTGCTGTTCCGCCACCAGGCGCCAAATTGGTGGTCGCGTACGATGCGCTCATGTCGACCAGACCTCAGCCGTCAGGCTTCTTTGCAAAGTTGATGCATGGCCTCGGAGAGTTTTTCAAGAAGCTCTTTGGCAGGCATGAACACAGACGTCCTGCCTCTCACACGCCTGACCCACCTCCTCTCAAAGCCAAGCGCGCAAATATCGAGCGAGAGCGCTACCCGATGCCTGGGTGAGTCTGGCACCATCGACTGTAGTTCAACGCGGTGCTCAGTGGTCACTCCGGCGCTGGTCGGGTCTGCGACGAGAAGCATGCAACGTCCTTGCGATTTATCCTCAAAGCGGATTCAAAATGTACTCGAATCGATATCATTTGCTACTGCCTGCATCTCAAGAATGCGATGCAGCGCTAATAGTTGCGGCAAGGTGTCTAGCCCGGTACCGCTGCAGGCCGCGAATGCCTCAGTGAATCCTCTCACGGAACCTCGGGTCTCTAAGAAGCAGAACGAGACAGTGTCAGCTTGCTCGAACGGGCGAGAAAGACGAAGAGACGTGCGCACCTTTCTATTTGCGCCCTCTTGTTTCTTCGCTGCTCCTCAGCCTGTGCATTGATCTTTTCCGCTTCAGCTGACTCCGGAAATTCGATGCGCCTGCAGAAGATAGGTTGAGCGTGAGAGGTGATAAGAAAATGAAGGTCGTTGTGCGCAAAGCGCCGCAGAAGTTGACAACTCACCAATATCCTTCGGGAGTAGACGCAGGAGGCCCGTAAGCACGATGGCGGCTCGTCTGTTGCAATTGAGCTTGACGATCCTCGGGTCTAGCATGCGGGCCTACAGCCTCGTACCACTGACGTCCAGTGGGCAAACGGCGCTTCGTGAGCCGTCAGACCTCCGACTCAGCAAAGAATCCGATGGCTACTCACAGCTGCGCAGCAATGACAGTCATATGCATGCAAGCTCTTGCGCGCCTGCTTGCCTCTCACCACTTCTTTGTGGGGAAAGGCGACTCCGCCATTCTGCGCGGGATCGATCTCAAAATCCTGATTGATGGTGCGTGTGGCACCTCGCCTATGCATGCCATTCGAAGCGTGGTGTCAGATCGGCGCTCTGGCTTGCTTAGAAGGAGAGAAGATTACTCACAGCTCGTTTGCATATCTTCCGTTGCCTTTGAACTTGTTCGGATTACGTGCCAGCTCTTCGACCTCCTCTCTACGCTTCTCACGCCTCTGTCGCCTGAACTCTTCCTTCTGCTGCTGCGCGTCCGCAATGTCCAATTTGATGCGTTTGCGAGCCGAATTCGACTCCGGTCCATCCTTGTCGACCTTCGCAAAGGCGGCTGGGCCGAGCTCAAGATCTATGAAGCTGCTCGTCTTAGGTAGAGGGGAGACGTTCCGCGTAATTTCGTCAAGTATTGGCCGACCGATGGCGACATGCGGCACGCTGACGATAGCGTTGGGGGTGCGAGGAGTCCTGGTACTTTTGCGCGCCTCTTCGCTGTGATCTTCTGGAGGGGGTCCGAGCGTAGCGACTACGGCGCCTTTCGGTGAAGCGGCTCGAACAGCCGAGACGTCAATTTTGGTCTGCTCAGGCTCGACATCTTCCTCATCGCTCGGCAGGCTCCGGTCGCGCCCTTGCCTCGTAGCCTCAGGCAGTGGCGAAGGAATGCTGCCATCCGCCCGGTGCTGTTCTTTGGAACGCGTTGGGTTCTTCTTGCGCTGCTCACACTGCGGATCTTTGGAAAGTGGTGTACGGAGATGTTGGGGTTTGCCAAAGTCCTCTGCAATTTGAGGCGGTGAGCGCGCAGGCGTGACCTCGTTTGCAGCAACCTTCTTGTTCTCGCGTCCACAAGCTGACTGGCGGGCATCTGTATGCGTTCGGGATCTGACGGTAACGTTTACAGTCCTCGACTGAAGCACCTCATGCGACGGAGAGACAGGTTTTGAGGGGGACACAGACTTGACGCATGGCGAAGCCATCTCGCATTCTTGAATGTCATCTCCATGACCCTCAGGATTGTGATCATGAAGGTTGGTGATGCGCGCCTCACCGGCACCCTGTGATCCACCAACATCATCCATACTTCTGGGCACGAAAAATGGGCCGGAGCATCCAACCCGAGTCGGGTCCAGTCCAAAGTGGCGCAGCATCTTGCGATCAGCAGAGCTCAGCGTCTCTTTAGACTTGCCCGAGGTGGAAGCTGCTTGAGGGCTCGTAGCAGCCTCGTTGGCTTCTTTCAGCTGTCGAGCGGTTTGCTTGACGTGAGCTGACATCTCTACATCACGTTGATCGCTGGTGGAAGATCTGCTGCCTTTGCGTATGGTGCGAGGTGTGCATTGCTCCTCGCTATTGCCAATCTTTCGGTTTGGGTCCACCTTGCTGAGCCACCAAGCCTTGAATGATCGCCAGCCCTCTTCATGGCGCTTGTGATCCGCCACCATCTGTTCGTGTTCCGCCTTCAGAGCATCATGGTCCTTCTTCAGAGCACAAAATATGCGTCTCCCATGATCTAACTGACGCCTGTGAGTCTCTTCCAAACGGCGTGCAGTCACCTCGACACCTTCCAACTTGCCCTTCAGAATCGAGTTCCTCTGTTGAAGCGACTGCTCGGACGCCGTCAGCGTGTCGATAGCTCCACGCAACTCTTGAATTTGTCTGTTTTGAGTTGCGACGATTGTCTCGATTTTACGCCATGTCTGATCTGAAGTTGCCTTCACCGACTTCAGATCCATCAGGGGCGCATGTGCGCCGTCTCCTGGGCCCGTTGCCGCCGAGTCGGTCATGATACGCGGTCCGCGTTCGACGACCTCCGTTTGGCAACGGAGGGCCATAAAGCGGGTGGAAAAGATTTGGAAGTCGCACTAGGGCTCCATCATCTCCACTGTGCAGACAGTATCTTCACGTAAGAGACCGATAAGATGGCCAGCGACGGGCCTCGGGCGACAGCGAATGAGGATCGGGCTGAGTTGTGAGCGAGTCACGAGTAGGATGATGAGGTAAGGACGAGCAAGAGGTGCTGGCGTGCATGCATGCAGCAGTAGTTGCCAGTATCTTTGAACTGACGCGCCGCGCTGATCCGCGTGTGTGGGCCTCCGCGTGTCTCGCCTGTGCGGGGCCCTCTGCCGTCAATTGACGTGTGTCACGGCTTGATCATGGTCAAAAGTGTGCGTGAGTGCCGACATTCCACACGTGACTACGAATGCTCTCTCACTCACTCATCCTCCATCTCCGATCTCCTGCGCGGCCGCAGCCCTTCGCAACACATTCAGCTTCGTAGGTCAAGCCGTCGCGGATAGGGCCCCAAAGCAGCCGAACGACCCGACGCCAGTACCAGCTCTTTTAAGCGCCTTGCACAGCCTCTCAACCTGAGCGCGTCGCAAGCAAATGACTCACACGAGCGAAGAGCAAGACAGTTCGCTACTGAGAGATCAGATACCAATCTCATTCCGATGAACTACGTAAAACAGGGGGTCATGGCAACAGGATTCGTAGACAGGGATAGGATGCGTGACTGGAGAAGACGTGAAAATGTAGCATGCACTACAATGACCTTTTGTTACGAACGCGCACTTGAGATGAGCAGCAGGCTCGCCGTGGCCCATGCAATCATTTAAGCGTGAGACTTTTCATCGTGTGAGCTGCGGTCGTCGTTCGAGCTGGTAGCTGCACCTTTTACATCGGTTGCGTCCATGGCGATACCAGCAGGCAAGTTAGCAAGGCGGTCGGTCTCGCGGTCGATTCCTCGGAACAAGAACCAAGTGAGAACTCCCGCAATAGCGCTGAGAAGTGCGCAAGTGACGTATTGCCAGACGAGAAGGGGGTCCACGGTGAGAGGAAGGAGAGCCTGTTGGAGAGCAGCCCCAAAGGCGTTGGTGAGGAGGAACAGAGACATGACGATGGACTTCATGTTCTTGGGTGCGAGCGTAAAGGCGACTTCAAGACCAGTGATGGAAGCAAAGACTTCGCTCAGTCCGACGAAGACGTACGGGACGGTCTGAATCCAAACATTGAGATTGGTCTCGCCTTCCAAAAATCCAGGTCCTTCAACATTGTCGCATTCCGTAGCGTAGTCGCCGCAAGGAGAGCGTTGATAGATGTAATGTTGTATGACGGCTGCTGCGACCATGGACGCAGCGCCGCAGGCGAAACCTGCGACTATGCGCTTGATGGGAGAGAAGTTGATCTTGAGCTTGCGCATGAAAGGGTAGATCACCAAATCGAAGAGGGGCACAAGGATGATGATCGAGATCGGGTCCAAATTGCTGATGACCTCGTTAGGAACGCCGTTCTTCTTCATGTTGTACGCCTGAGAGATCAAGTTGCTACTGATTTGGTTGTAAGTGATCCAGTACAGCGGGTAGAGGGTAAAGACCTGGCAAGCTTTGATGGCCTTGCGAACCTCCTCGACCCAGGTATCGTCGAAAGTCATCCACGATGGACGCTGTTCGGCCACGATGCGGCTTGGCTTGCCCTTGCTCCAGAAATCGGCGGCGGTCAGGTTCTTGTAGAAGCGCACCGGATTCCACGAGAATGTGCCCTTCATGCAGAAAGCGATGAGGCGGCAAGACTGTTCAAGGACGGATCCGTTTGGTGGATTCTTGATGTAGTAACGGCTACCGAATGCCATCACTGGCAAGCAAAGCGCGAAGACGGCCGTAGGAATCAGGTATCCCTGCCAAAAGCCGTGCAATTTCTCGGTGTAGCTGATAGACACTTGACCAACCACGGCGCCGATGTTGATGAACAGGTAGAAGTACGCAAACAGGCGACCAGTGGTGAGCGCTGGGTCGACGATGACACGCTCCCCGCTGGGAAGAGTGCGCAAGTGCTGCCGATCCGTGGGCACTTGCTCGGCAATCAAAGGGGAAATGTTGGACTTGAAACCACCAGTACCAAGGCCCATGATGATGATTGCGAGCCAGAACACTCCATAAGCACCTTGAGGGTTGTTGACAAGCAAATCGGGCGCGGCTGATCCGATCAGAATGACGTGTCCAGCGATGGCGATCAAGACACTAAGAACGATAGCTTTGTATCTGCCAATGTACTTCTCGGCAATGTATGCACCAAATAGAGGACAAACGTAAACCCAGAATGTGTTGAAGGTGGTACCCGCAGTAGCGGCTTGCTGTCCTCTGCCCAAAGCCCCAGGCTGGTCGTCAGGATTGACAGGAGCCCCTGTCCTGGACCCCTCAGGCAAAGGCTGCTGAATGAAATTTTGAAAAACGACAGTCGTACCGTAGTAGCTAAGACGTTCCGCCAGCTCACAAAAGGAGATAATGTACGCGGTCCAGGGAATCTTCTCGGGGACACGACGCAAGTTCTTGCGGTCTTCGTCTGTAGGAAGGGGGCCATACTCATCATCGCTCACAACGGCCTTTTCCAAGGGTGCAGCGGGCTCGAGGTGACCAAGGGGATGGACGTCAGACTTGAGTCCGCTCTGTTGAAGATCTGCCTGGTGGATGTTGTTGGCCAGCTCGGCCTCAGCAGCAGCAAAGGCATTGGTTGCTTGCGCCATTTTGGAGGGGAGTCTGTGGGGAAGAGGAGAAGTGAGGTTGCTAGGGTAGGGATGAGATAGAGCAAGTAGAAGAGGGAAGAGGAATGGGGGGCGAGGAGGGGAAGAGCGTCGATGACTGCACGCGAAAGTGTGCTGTGGGGGAAAGTGGAAAGCGCAAGATGGGCAAGGTCGCGCTTCTTATGCTGGAGAAAGAAGGATGATGCCTATCTTCGTGCTCACGCGACAAGGTTACCGGCCGCATGATCTCAGTGGCGGCACTAATCTTCAGGGCATCTCACTGATTGCAACTCTTTTCTGAAGCACACCGTTCCACCGCCCATCTAATTCCTAGTCGGCACAATCACGATTTGTTGGAATCCACACGGCGAAGCGGTAGGAAAAGTGGTCATGCGTACGCACGCGACTTGGACCGTCTTCGCAGTCTCTGACCCAAAATGGCGTGCGATATGGGTAAGCGTGGACGACGCGTTAGAAGCTAGGCGATTGCCGAGTCGGCGTTCAGTAGCACTTGGCGTGGGGTCGCATTCGCGATGCCGCTGTACTGTCTCGTGAGCTGAGAGATAGGAGCAGGCCCGGCCCGGTGTGAATGGACGACGTCGACTGCTGGTGAACTGCTTTCGCGCTCTTCACATGTATTGTGATTGCTGCACGGCTTGCAGCAGCTGACGGCAAAGCAGCAAGCGCAGATACCGCGTATCTGCGTGATAAGTGCAGCAACACCAACGTGGATGCGCGCCGCGGCGCTTCAGCTCGGCGTCGCTGATCCCGCCGTTTTGACCGGCGTCTGCTGGGACACTGCTTTTGTGCCTGCGGCCCGGCGGCAAGGCCGGCAGCGCTGCGGTGTTAGGAGACAACTTTTTGTCTTGCAAGTCGTGAGTGCCATGGCATCAGCATGAAATGCTGCCCAAGCACCGAGCAAGCGCGCTCACGCCGCTAAGCGAACACGGACAAACCTACTAAGCGACTCCATGAGCACGCAACCGCCTCGCTTTGCTCGATCGCACTCTGACTCGCGAGTTGCTTAATTGCAAGGACGAATCACAAACGCCGCATTTGCTGGCGGGACCTTACAGCCGGCCTGCAGCTCAAAGCACCTCACTATTTGAGGACCTACTTGGCGACACTAACCGTGTGGTGCGCCAGGCGGGTCAAGGTCGACTGTGCCTCCTACAACAGCAGCAACAGGAACCCAACTCGTCCGCATCAGGCCGATTGACAGAACTAAGGGCCGCGCGAGTCGCCTCGAAAGCGGGGAACGCAGGGGCAGAAGCTGGACGGAGAGCTGGTGCTTCTTTACTACTGTATTGGTCCTCTCGGTCGACCTGTCTGTCAGGCACGGTGTAGACCACTCTGACTATCCAAGTTGGCCCCACACCCTCGACCAATCGGCCAATGCGACGGCCATCCACTATGTTCACGACTGATTTGCGTACGCGCAGATCAGACGATGATGACCACGACAGCGTTTTAGAAAGATCGATTCGTTTCGATCGTTCACAATAAGGTATGCATGCCTCATCCAGCTGCTGTGATGCTGCTTTGTAGCGTGTTCTGCTCGTACTTCGCCCGGGCTGCGATCCTGGCTTGCTGTATCGTCAATAGCGATTCGTCCTGGCCTAGAAGCTGACAGGCTCGACTTGTAGCGTTGGGAGAGCAGCGGGATACGGACTTCTTATCTATCGTGACCGTCAACTCACCACTGTGACTGCTGACGCGTCCAACCTCGCTATCTATGAGAAAGGGTTTCGTCGAGCGCGCAACCACCGCTACGCCACGCGCGCTGAGCAAAAGCTTCCCATGCCTGGTGCGTCGTAACGAATAATCCGTAAAAGCGAATGCCCAGCTACGACTGTGAACTCAGGTTATTCGGCGTGAAGTGAGATAGGCGGTCTATCACGCGGTCCGCAGAGCTCTATTCTCATCCGCCGAACTCCGACGGGGCGGGTGCGGAATCTTTGGTGTTGAGATGGAGTCATTCTGATTGACGATTCATCAAACTTTCTCTCACAAGGTGCCTGGCCTGACCTCGATGCCCCGCACGGACGATGGACACCGCCGGACCGCAAGACCTCCGCACATTTGCGACAGCGTTTGATGAAGGGATTGCGCTCCGCCTACATCAGGTCTACATCTGTCGAGAGCTGGCGGGTGGTGCTGATGTGAATGCGCGTCAAATCAAGATGCAGCCATTAGCAGAGCGACGATTTGCGAGAGCAAAGGATAATGCATCATGCATCTTAAGACTTCATGCAGCAGAACTGCATGTGTACGGCGCTTGCTCCGGTGGAAGACCCGCGGCTCACCGGCCGCGCAGCACGGACGCGATCGTGCGCACGAAGGGCTGCTGTTGGATGCGAGCTCGAGAATAATCCTTTAGACATCAGACGCACCTTCCATTTTCGTTCTTCAGTCGTGAGATTGTCCGCGTCCGACACCAGTCAAAGAAGCATGTCAATCTCCTTCCTCCCCCCTCGCGTCATCATCCATAAGCCCCCACCACTCGACCTACACGCACACAAGCGGTCATCTGTGGACACTCTGAGCGGTCGTAATGCGCATGTACACAAGCCTATCTCGCGCGCTTTCAGCACCTACCGTCTTGGGCCGATGGCCGATGGTCAGGGCAACATCTATCTGTTGGTTTGTCCTCATGCGGGGTAAGATGAATATGTTCAGCGTTCCTCCAGTCTTTGGCCCTCTCGAGCTGGTACAGATGAGGAGGACATGACTGAAGCGAGCGCTGCGATGGAGCAGTTGATCTGCCCATTCGATTTGCAAGCTACTGGCTGTCATGCCGCCCAACGATCGAGCTGTCTGTGCGCTGCGATGGGACGAGCAAGTTGGATGAATGCATCATGTTGACCGAGCCCGCTTACCACACACCCACTCGACAGATCGCTTGCTGCTTCAAATGGAGACACAGCGAATGCGATACCTGCTGACGTCTCACCTTCAGCCACACCTCCATTCTCCGCCATCACAAACATTTAGCATAATCAGCTTCTTGGGCAACATGCGGCTCGAGAATCATTTGTGGCTTGAGGCACGATCACCACAGATCGGCGATAATCCGGCCAATGTAGGAGGAGGAGACTCAGCAAGTGGACCTTTGCCTGGCGAGCTATACTCGAGCATCGACGCATCGCCCGAGGCGACGGGTGTTGCGGATGGTGACGCTGCGATCCCAGGGGCAACAGGCATCGCACCACCCACTCCTACACAGCAGCCGGAGGCAGCAACGTTCAAATTGAACAACTTCATCCCGCTCTTCGTCATCATTGCTCTCCTCGTATGCTTTGCCATTGGCGGAAGAATATGGGGCCGCGTATGGCACACGCGCGTCAGCAAAGCGGCACGAAAGCAAAGGGCGAGTGAAAGGAGGGCGAGAAGAGAGGCAGAGAGAGAGCGAAGGGATACAAGAAGACAGATGCGAGAGGCCTGGGCTAGGGATGGCTATGGCGATTTTCCCGGCGGCATGAGTCCCGCCTTGGGTCAAGATGCTGCTGAGGATAGTGAAGATGAAAAGTCCCCCAAGAAGAACATCGTTGGCGGGCTTGTCGCCACATTGGGCATTCGCGATGGGGAGACTCGCCGCGACCGCAATGATCCTGATGGCGACAGCATTTACGGTGGCGCTTGGCTCGCCTCGATGCGCAGGCTTGCCGGTTGGACGTCGGTCCGACGAAGCGAGTCAGAGGTGCCGGATGAGTACACGCAATCTCCCCGCCCGAGTCACCTGAGGCACACGTCCTCGAGAGATCGGCTCAGAATGATGCGAGGCGCTCAATCGCCCGGGGCTGGCTCTGTCAACCGTCGAGCAGAACTCGGCTATGCATCGCATACGCAGCGTAGCGGCGCTAGTCGGGCCAATACAGCACGTCTGAAAGGCACTTGGGAAAGAATTAAACGTCACATTGCGGTGAGTCGTTCGCATGCAGTGCAGAGAGTACGTCGCGCACAACTCATGTCTCCTTCGCCCTTCTTGCACTTCAAAGTCAAACATCGGCTGGGGATATCAAGGTCAAGCTCCGAGTGGAGCTGAGCGTCGCGAAATTGTGGCGAGAGCTGCCGTACCCGCCAACAATGGGACGAACGTGTGGAGGAGGATCGTCTCTGGCACTCGAGCAGATCCCACAAAGCCCGTCAACAATTTGCCTCACGTGGCTTACGGGCTCCTCTTACCACCTGCTCTTGGAGATGACGGTCAGCCGTATCCAGCGGGACGAGGACCCGAATACGACTTGGAACGCTTCCCCTCCTCCCAAACTCGACATGGATGGAGGTCTCACTCTCGAACTCGCACTCCAAGCCCGCCAGCTTTGCTCGCCCCGCCAAACTCCATTCGCGACACCGTTACGGCAAGTGTCAGGAGCGCTGTGACCGCTGCATTGTCTTTCACGAGCGGCAGCTTCTCGCGAGGAACGCACGAACGCTTGGCCACGAGCGAAGACCAGCACATGGACTCTGGCAGCGTCAGAGAGACTGGAGAATTGCACTACCATGCAAATGGTCGGCGATGCTCGTTAGACGATCCCCAGCATCTGCCACCGCCAGCAGTCGTTGACCAGGAGTTGAAGGACGTTGTCAGAACATTCGCAAATGGTGGGCAGGCCCCGGTTGTGCCAGCGAGGCCGAATCCTGTGATGTGGTCACCCCAGAAGCCCTCCAGAGAGCCCATGAGAGGGGCACCACTCGAAAGGGGCTACACCGTCAACAGTCAAGTGTCCGGCTCGAATTCATCTGCGACCCATGCATCAAGAGGAAGCAATGCTCTTTACAGGTCTCACACGACGATCGACTACTCTACGCAGTCAGCTGCTTCTCCCTTCAACGGGCCAATGCTTTCGGCTAAGGACGGAACGGCCCCGGTCGAGCGCTTCACACTGACAGATGAGGGTTCTCCGGTCCCGCGGACGGCGTGCAGCAGGAACGCAACCATATCGGGGTCGCCATCATCGTCCGGTGCCGCAGGCCTGCAGCGGAGTAAGACCGGTAAGCTCTCCCGCGGAGCTACCTCGAGCAAGCGGACACTCCACAGCCAGCAGCATGCCCTTGAAAAGCCCGTCAGAAGACGGACCACCGTGAGGAGGCCTGCAGCCGAGGATCCCACGAGGCTACGGAGTATTCTCAGACCGAGCAGAAAGATGTCCGATCAGAGCAGCGAGAGCAGCGACGAGGACGAAGCAGGAGAGGATGTGCCATTCACTCAGCCTCAATACCGGCCATCGGTTCGCTCTCGGACTCGCCGCACGGCATCGATTCGTCGCGAAGACTTCGATCAAACTGCGGAGCTGGACCAGACCGTGCAGAGCTTGGCGTCGCCAACGCGATTACCGAAGGCTCCGCACTCTAGCTTTGCGGACCTCCTGGCTTTCGAAGATCACGAAGGTGTCGCAGACATCCTGCAAGAGTACGAAGAGCCGCTTTCACCGCGGTCCATGACAGCAGTGCAGGTGGACACTGCTCAAAGCGACTCGATGCGAGTCGCGGAGGGAGCCGGACCGAAACGCACGATTGCCGAGAGCGAGGACGACCTCACTGACTCTCGACGAGGTAGTTGCACCTCGCGTGGATCTTCGGAGGAGCGACGTTCATTTGGTAGCAGCGAAAGCTCGTCGAACTCAGAGTCTGGCGAGGCTTCAGGCTCCGAAGAGACTCCCACCATAATCGCAGAGGACACCACCGTTCGAGCCCTGCAAAGACCCTCGAACGCCAAGAGTCTGCACGGCGCTGCGTTGGTCGGCGATGACTACTTCGATGCAGTCAGCAAAGTTGACAAAGCAGCGCGAAATGTTGACCAGCATGTCGTCGACACACCGTCGCTCACCAGACCCTCATCAGCGGCGAACCACACGAGCTTGAAAGGTCTCTCGACCGCTGACGCAGACGGAGAATCTTCGAGCTCGACACCCACTGTCGAGCGCAGCACTCCTCAAAGACGGGCTACCATCAAAAGCAAGGCAAAATCTGCAAATAACATGGATACCATCGATGCGCCCGGCACACCGGGAACGCCTGGGACCCCAGGGACACCGGGCACACCCCTCAGCCGCCGCCGGACTTGGCAGCGGAAAAACGGCCGATGGCAGGCTACCGAGGTTGAGGAAGGTGCCGATGAACCGGTTGAAGGAGAGCGCTCACCCACGGGGTCTCCAAGTGCGCCCACCGCTCTAGCTTCGCCTATGCCACTACCTCCTCCACCGCCGGCTGCTCGGGCTCTACTCGCCGAGTCGTTCAGACCGTCGGCTCTGCCCGCTGCACTACGAATCGGTTCGCCAGCTATGACAGCTCCTGGCTCGCCATCCAAGCAGTCACCAGCACACGCGAACGTGGGCAAGAATCCAATGCTCGGTCTAGCCTCTCCTTCGAGCGTTTCTGCGAAACGACATGAGGACTTGTTCTTCGGTTCGGCATCTCCAGCACGTTCGTCACCACGAGTGCTCGCCAGCGGATTTGCCGATCGTTCTGTGGGCGCACATAAAGCTTTCGCCGGCCAATTGCATATCGCTCCAAGCGACGCCGCCAAATGCAGAACTGAAGGCGAGCCCAGCTGTCCTTCATCCCCCCAGCGTCGAGCTGCGATGGCTCGAAGGCCCCCGCGCCGATATCAAATGGCGCTCGCGAGCGGCGATGATGATGAAGAAAGCGAAGCACCCAAAGCCGGCTTGTCCAGATCCCAATCCAACCGCACTCTACTCAAACGCTCCAATTCGACCACATCCTCCGGCACTGGCTCGGACGACGTCTTCTTCACCCCTACGTCCTCTTTGCGTCGAGCCCCCACACGCTCGCAGAGCCACGACGCCTTTTCTCACGTCTCTGATGAATCTGACCAGACCGTCAAGGCAGGTCCGCGGAGTGGACTGACGCCAAAAGAGAGACATCGCATGCGCGAAACAGCCATCGACAAGGTCCAGGACATCTTGGCAACAGGCCTAGCGTCTCGCACGTAGAGCACATTTTGCGCACGCACCGGACACTTGCCTCAGAAGATCAGATCTTGCGAGGCACCTGTGTCGTCCTTCCTCGAAGGAAGAAAAGCCCATGTTGTGCCTCTTTCATGCTCAAATTTCGTACGTCTCTGTCTCGATGATGCCTTGAAGCCCGCCTCGTGGTTCTCCCCCCAACCCCCCCCATCTTGTTGTCGCTTCGTTCATCCCAGCATCTATAATGACACCATGCAATGAAGGCATCACCTGCGAAGCGCGCTACCTGCATCCCATTCATGCCGCAGAATCTGAAGCGTGCGACCCAAGCGCAGGCATAGTAGTAGCCCTTGCACGAAGCAAGAAATCTCGAGACGTTCATGACATCTCGACGCTCGTCACCAAGGCATCGCAAGCCAGTACGAGTCCATCGTATGTACATTCGAATTGATCAGCGCAGACATGGAGCATTGCCAAACAGCTGATGTAGGTGCGTGTCAAAGAGGGGAGAGAAGCTGCGCGGTCGGGAATGTCTGATCCTCTGAACAGCGTGCAGAAGTGAGGCAGAGGTTTTGCTACTCCTGCCATCGCCGACTGCACCGTCTCATCGCCTGCCTCGGCCATCCGCAATAGCCTTCCAGCCGTGTTCAAGGCTGTCGCTCCAAGGTGGCTCGTCTCAGAACTTCGTAAGAGGCAGCCTTTGCAAGCTCCTGCTCTTCCGCGTCAGATAAGTTCTGAATTTCATTCTCGTCTCGACGATGATCTGAGATTGACAAGAAGGACCGGATCAACTTTGAAGCACATCATCACAAGTGCGACTGGTCATCATGCAGTACTCACGTGTGCCTTTCATACCCTTTAAGATCCAAGATTCGTAACTTGTCTCACTACCTGAGAGGTCGACCTGATACTTTTGCACCTGTTATAGTGACATCAACGTGAGAGTGAGCTTCGCCCCAATCGCAGTGGGGACAGCTGCCTCGACTCACTTTCGAAAAACCCCACAAGAGCTTACGCCAGTAGCAAGTGGCGCTTGCGGGAGTGACATATCTGCATAGGCAAAGAAGGGCAAGTACTCAGCATCTCTGGTAGGTCGACGTCGAGCGCCCTGCTTTCCACCCACCTTTCTCTGAAGAAGGTCCAAGAATTATCTGCGATCCGCTTGGCGTGCGCATCGTCGGCTAGGAGCGCGTCCATCGTCTCTGGCAGCCGCTCCCAAGTCCTATCGTAAGATGCTTTGCCATCCCCATCATGAACCAGTACACCTTGCCCTTCGCCTTGAGGCTTGGGTACATAGACAATGTTCTGATCTGGCGACTTCCAATCTCCATTGTACAGGTGTGTCCAGTGCTGCAGCCAGCGAGGTTCATGCGTGACGATGACGACTCTGCAGTTTTGCAGGTAGCGCAGTCTTCCAGAATAAGTGTTGCCTTCTGGGAAGCCATGGAACTTCCACCTGCAGTGGTCCTCCATCGAGACTTGCGTGGAAGGATCTGCATACAAGATCGCTCAGTCAGTTCTGGTGAACACTCTCAAGGTGCGCGCCGCGCTACTCACCGCCCCAGTCCAAAGCCTTGATATCGCTCCAGTCATGACCTCGAGCAACTGCGACCAGACTTTCACGATCAGCTGTGCCGACCCTCATGCTTCCCCTCCACATAAGTTTGTTGATCTTCTTGGCCCAGCCGACTTCCTTCTCCACTCTAGCAGTCTTCTCGCGGAGCTCTTGGTATGAGCCGACGTGCTGTCAAGGTGGCGCAGAGCGGACAGTGCAGATGGTCAGCCGCAAGCTTTGCAGATTAAACTCAGGGCCGGGCACTAAGCAAAGATGCAGCTAGGCATGCAGCATACCTTTCTGATTTCCTCGTGCTTGCCATGCAGCCGTCCTGCCCTCTGAAGGTCCTGCGGGCCTCACTCACCTCTGGCCAACTCCACCAGCCATAGTCGGGCATGAGCCAGACATCTTCCAAGTCTGGAGCTCTATCCAGCGAGAATTTGCCTCTGCTGCCCCAATCCATCATGCCCATGCAAAATTCCACATTCGGTAGTCTCTCCCTACTCGTGCTGACAGCCAAGTGCAAAAGAGCAAGAGCAGCTTGCGACCGAGTAAAGTCGGATTGTTGGTAGTATTTGAGGTACATTCTGTTGTTGTAGATGACCACGCGAGCGTGCGTCCAGATGCCATCGTCGCAACTGAACTCCAAGTACTCCTTGTTGTATCTGCTCGCGACCGCGTTCACAACAGGATGAGAATTAGCATCAGCATGTGAGAGTAGATGAAGCGATCTCAAAGTGCAGGCGGTGGTTGGTGCTGCAGAACGTGACTCAAGAGCTGCACCCGTCTAGACGATGCTTGCTGTACGCGCGTATACTCACTGTTGCTTTTTTGTAAAGAATTCGACACTCCTATCGATCTCCTTCCACAATCCAGGGAAGAAGGCGTCGCACTCATCCTCGCACAGCGTCAAATCATCCTGGTTGAAATGGCTGTGGTATGTGAGATTTGTCCTCCCTGAGCCCTTGACCCACGGGTCGATATCTTGCGTTAGAGCTTCGTCCACCGAAAGACCGCCGGGAGCGATTCCCGCAGGTCCCGGTCTGCTTCCTGCTTTGCCATTCAGGCCCAACAGACCTGATGCAGAGGTGTGCAGACGACCCAACCTGGTCGAACTATCCTCTTCCGATCCAAAGACCGCAAAGAGTAGCATGAGCGATAAGACCACTGCTAGCACCAGAACCCATCGAATACGAGCTCGACCCATCGTCAAGGCTGATCGAAAGCCATCCTGCATGGCTCCTGCTGATGCTGGTACCGGCAAGCCTCCACCCGACATCTCCTAATGCTTCAATCGCGGCTTCGATGGCTGCAAGTGGGAAGCAGAATGAGCAGAAGTTGCGTGAAGCCCACGCGCAGTGCGAGCTTGTCCTGCGATAGAGCCTTGACCAATGAGCGCCTTGCTGGTATGAAGACTGCTGATTGATGCGCGATAGCGGGGCGTTGAGTGCTGGATAGACGAATTGAGATCGGAGTGTACGGGCTTGAGGGGCGAGCAATCTTAACGAAGCGATTGATCGAGAGCGACGAGAATGAGGACGACGGTAAGCTACAGTGCACTCGAGCGTTCGTTTGCGCTGACGTCTCGCTGCTGAAACGGTGTGAGTGGCAGATGACTCGAATGGGATGTAGACCTGAAGGTGGAAGTGATGGGCGGTGTGATGAGCTGTGCGGGTACGTCTTCCATCATGGAGTTGCGAAGTGGAAACACGCTGTGCACGGGTGCATGGGTGCAGTCGAAGTGCACGCTATCGACGTCTGCTGCGCGGAGCTAAATCATTTGACTCATCGATTTTGGTTGCACTTTGCATTTCATTCGCGCCGTGCTGCTGCTGTACCTGAGTGTCTTCGACGCGCGGAGGCGATCGAAATCCGAAATTCAGAATCTTAAATGGCCTCAAATGAAACGCTATGGCAACTACATTGAAAATTGAGCTCTGCACGTCAATTGTAAGGCTGCAGATAGAAGCGTCGAGTAACCGTCGGTATCTTTTTTTCTGAATCAAATGTCCGTGAGCTCCACCGCGGCGCAGCGGCTTCGCGTCTGGCTCATATCGATCACAGCTAGCCCGTCTCGTGCGTGCTCAGCGATGTACTGTACCCTGACGAGCCATGATTTTGGGTGCATCGTCGCAGCTTGCTCGTCTGGGCGAGGATCTTTTGCGGGCAGCGTACATCGCAACCACACAGTCAAAAGGATGTGTGATGCCCGGTCCTGTGAGTGCTCACGTACCGTTACCAGATGAGCTGCTTCTCGTTCAGCTCTCGTGCCGTCGACCTGTGCGCATGCACGAACAGAAGCATCCACCTGCATGAAGGTCTTCCAGCGCTCCAAGCGCAATTCAGAGGCCGGGCAGCAGAAGAGGAGCGCAGCTGAACCCAAGATTTCTCTCTGATATGCTCGTTTCCTGCGCAGATGCATACCGACGGCCGCTGTCCATTCGCTGGTTCAAGTAGGGTGACGTTTCCGTGCTCACACTTTTGACTTCTAACCACTTCCCCAGAGCCACTCGTGACTTCTCATCCTATCGTACTGGCGACATTAGGGGGCGCTTTGATCTTTCTGCACCACCAAAGGGAGCCAAGCTGAAGCAGCGAAACTGATTGCTTGTCATGCCGCCAGCGCCTCAGCACTTCGTTTGAATCGATCGGCAAATTTGCCGAGCACCATGTGAGATCAGACGTACGTCAAGAGACGCTCGAGCGTGTCAAGGGCCAAGGGATTCGTGATGAAGTGTGAATCGTCCATTGCATACACTCACGACTGACAGAGCAGGCGACGCTGCGTACCGTACAGCCACCCATCGGGAATACGACGACTAGCGTGTGTGCCTGCGAGACCACAAAAGAGGTAAAAGGGGATGGCGAGACACGAGGTCGCGTGTCATCTCGACGGCCTTTTCGAGTGAAGTGGCCTGCCATGACGGACGACGACGTCTTGCCTTCCTCCTCGTGCCAGAGATGATGAGGCCTGTGCGCATGAACAGACACATCAATGACACAGCGGCTCGGCGTGCATGTGAAGCTTTACCGCCGCGATGGTCCAACATCCCCATCTGGGCAGCCCTCTGCTTCTTCTGCTATAGATGTAGTCTAGACATAACTGCTTAGTGCTGCTCTTTAGTCAGTAGCATGATAGCTGGCTGTGCATCTTACCACGACGACCGACAAAGAACGCCGCGTGGTGGGGCTTGGCATCGGCATTAATTCTTCACGATCTACTCGGCTTAGCCTTGATGAGCATGGGCTCTAGACCCACAATTTGAAGCTTTGCAAAAGCCTTGGAAGTCGGATCGATGGTTCCTTTCGATGAACAGGCCACTCGACACTTAGCGAATCACTATAATAGGGGATGCAGAAGGGCGATTTGTGATCTCCCCAAAGACGCTTGTATTGTCGAGAAGATTCCCTTTCAGCGCATTCGATTCGCCACTTGGCGGGCGCGCAAGGTGCCCAGCGAGGACTCGTGACTGTGTGCATGGTGGTAGTAGTAGGCACCCGCGTGCGACGGTCTGTAATCAAAAATATAGCTGGTGATCCGTGATCAGACAAAGGTTGATCCAAGACCCCCGCCCGGCTGGTCAGCCGAACGTGCTGCTTGTGGCAGTGAGGAGATTTGCGTCAGTCAAACGTGGCCACAGACCTGCCTGATCGACCTAGCGATAATGATAATACATACATATATCAAGTCATTATAGTCTCGAGTATATATAGTCGTATAAGTACTCACGACGATATAGAAGTGACTGTTGTATGGGATCGCGTCGCGTCAGGTGTAATTGACGCGCGTCCGTGTGGCTTGCCGGCCGAGCGTGCGGCAGCAGCAGCAGCAGCAGCAGCAGCAGGGGGAAGAAAAAAAAAAAATTGCAGGTTTGAGTCACAGTCGATCAGAAGGAATTAAGCAGCAGCAGCGCGCCGAGAGACGCGATGCTACGCTGACGCCAAGCCGCGCAGCGAGGACTCACAACAGACTTGACTCTCGGGTCATGAGTCTTGGGTCTGATGAGTGAGTCTTGAGTGAGTGGTGCATGCTGACTTGTGACTCGTGACTGTGACTGACTTGGCTGCCAAATCCTTAAGTTTGGCACGAGCTTGGCGGGCACATGTGACGCAAACGAAACGGACTTGTAGCTCTGTGGGTCCGATCGACCAAACTTCATACTCACGCCTTCAAATCGCCTTGGCACGTAGGCTTTGCGCCTCAACCAGACACCAAAAGCGCCTCCTTGTAGCTCGCAGCTCGCAACGATGTGCGGCATCTTGGCCATCCTGCTCGCAGCTCAGCGAACGGCAGTAGCGCCAGAGATCAACGAGGGCCTGTCCCTTTTGCAACACAGAGGCCAGGATGCCGCTGGTATCGTGACTTGCGGACCTGGTGGAAGGTTCTACCAGTGCAAGGCGAATGGAATGGTCAGGGACGTCTTTGACGCGGGTGCCCTTGCAAGGTTGCAGGGTAGCATGGGTATCGGTCATGGTGAGTGTTTGTCAGAGAGGTGCAAGCTCAGCTTGGATCGAGTCCTAACGATCGTCATTTTGCCTTACTGCACTTCCTCCTTCTACGTCAGTCCGATACCCCACCGCTGGCTCATCAGCACACGCTGAAGCTCAACCATTCTACGTCAACAGCCCATACGGCATCGTCTTTGCCCACAATGGCAACCTCATCAACACCTCTGAGCTCAAGCGATTCTTGGATGCTGAAGCTCACAGACACATCAATACAGATTCGGATTCAGAGATGCTGCTCAACATCTTTGCCAACAATCTGCAAGCCACCGGCAAATTTCGTATCAACGAGGAAGACATCTTCACCGCCATCGGTGGTCTCATGAAGCAGTGTCACGGGGGCTACGCGTGCGTGGCCATGCTGGCAGGATTCGGCATCATCGCTTTCAGAGATCCCAACGGCATTCGTCCGGTGGGCATGTGTCGCAGGAAATCCTCCGAGGGGGCCGATCTCGGCGACGATTGGTGCTTCACTTCCGAATCTGTCGTCTCCGATGCTTTGGGATTTGAGGAGTTCCAAGATGTCCGACCGGGAGAAGCGGTGATCATTACCCGAAATGCGGTATCAAGGAGAGTGCTCACTCCTCAAGCCACATCCGACAATGGCTACGCTTTTGCTCCCGACATCTTCGAATACGTCTACTTTGCCAGACCGGACAGCGTGCTGGATGGTGTGAGCGTGTACAGGAGCAGGATGGCTATGGGGGACAGACTCGCCGAAGAAGCTCGTAGAGTGCTCGCTCAAAGAGGCGAGACTGTGGACGTGGTGATACCCGTGCCCGATACCAGCCGAGTAGCCGCACTGCAAGTAGCGCAAAAGCTGGGCATCCCTTACAGAGAAGGATTCGTCAAGAACAGATATGTCGGTAGGACTTTCATCATGCCTGGTCAAAGTCAGCGTCGTAAGAACGTCAGACGCAAGCTGAACGCTATGGCTTTGGAGTTCAAGGGCAAGAGCGTGCTCCTGGTGGATGACTCCATTGTTCGAGGAACGACTAGCCGAGAAATCATCCAAATGGCTCGAGATGCAGGTGCAGTGAGAGTCGTGATGGCCTCCTGCGCGCCCCCAATCAGATATAGCCACGTGTACGGGATCGACATGCCCAACAGGCACGAGCTGGTGGCGCACGACCGGTCGGTGGAGCAGGTAGCGAAAGAGATTCAAGCAGACGTGGTCATCTATCAGACCTTGCAGGATCTAATCTCTAGCGTACAGCAATTCAACCCCAGCTTGAGGAGCTTCGACTGTTCAGTCTTTGACGGCAAGTACGTCACGGGAGGCGTAAACGATGCTTACCTGGCACATCTGGAAGGACTCCGCAGCGAGAACGCCAAGATCAAGGCAAAGTCGACCAGATTGCCCAACGGTGCTGGATCGGAGGACACGCGAGGATCGGGAGCCATTGAGGCAGCAGTGGCAGTAGCCACACCACCTGGTGAAGGGGCCAACGATCCCAAAATGGCCGTCCCAGAACACACCGAGATGGTGGTCAAGCAAGATGAACCAGAAAGGGCTCGTGCTCGCAATGGATCAGCGGTACACAATGGCATCAAGGAGGATGTGACTAGAAATCACAGCAAGAAGGAGTCGGACGGAGATGGCTATCTGAACTGCAATGGCCCTATGGGTGGAGGAGACGAGCTAGGATCTAGCAGTCACAATGGCTCGGAAGATATTGGGTGAGTCGGAGCGCATACGATCGTTTGCCTTTGAGCGAGCTGGACGTCCGTCTTTAGATTCCAGCTTTGCTGACATGCTCCAAATTTGCGTCACGATTCGTAGGCTGCACAACGATTGGAGGAGGTGACCTCGATCATCACGGGCCTGTTGTTTCTGGTATCACTGCACGCCGAGTCTGCTCCCTCTCCGCTTCTTGACGCTACTCGCACGTCCCGCCTTCCTCTCCCTCTCTCTTTCTCTCTCTACTCCATTCAAGTATGTAGTGTGCCGCGCCTCCTCTCTTTATTGGTCCCTGATGTCATTTGAAATGGTCCTCGCGCTCACTTCGATGGCCTTGCTCATGAGGATGGTGACAACCCTGGCTGCCCCTCTCTCTCGTCATCACGTCTATATAGATTCAAAATCGATCAGACAAGATTCTCGCGTCAAGACAATTTAGTTTTGAACGTCGGCTTGGAGAGTACGGCGAGCGCCGGCTAGCAGGCCGAAAGTTGTCGATGTCAACGCGAAAGTTGTCGATGTCAACTCGAAGTGCGGGGCTCGAGGGCTAATAGCGAGGGATTAGTTTCCGCAAAATTTGTGGCGGTTGGACAGCAAGCAGATCGATCGCGGCAGTCGATGCAAGAACATGTTGATAGGGGGGGAAAGAGCAGAGCGGGGAGAGTAGAGGTAGCATCAAAAAGCCTCGAAGCGAGAAGTCCTCGGATTGTTCAAAAGGCTTCCTAGGCCAGTCGGGGCGCTGACGCGGACCGAAGATGTAAGGACAAGACGGCCGTACACAGACAGCTCTTCCGATTCTCGACGTGGCCTCGTTCGGGGGGTTGCTGCGCGCTTGCAGATGCTGTTGGGCGAATGCACACTTCATCAGAGCTTGGCCAAGCCGCGGGTCTTTTTGCCTGTCAAGTCGGCTTCCGTCCACCAGGGATATCCGCTACGGGTGCCGAGTGAGACGCGCAAGCGAGGTGGTACATCAGTCACTGCTTCATGGCGCAGTCGGGTCTCGGTGAGACGGAGAAACTCACTTGAAAGCTGATGACCCATCGGGAACACGCGTTTGGGCCGTTATAGTCAGCGCCGTTGGAAGGTGACACCCTAAACGCGTTGCCATCTTTGATGGTGTACTCACTCTCGACGTCTTCCACAGTACCTTCAAATTTGGGCTTTCTCTTTTGCATGAAGCTCAGTACTCCCTCTTGAGCGTCCCTCTTGCTAGCCTCCCAAATCATCTTCGACTCCAAGAGATGCGTCTCTTCGCGCGTGGGCGGGCACTGCCAGATCAGAGCCTTGTTGAGTGCCATACTAGCAACACGGCGTGATGATGCGGAGTCAGCTAGGTGGCATGCATGTTGCATGAAGGTATCGTTGAGCTGGCAGATGCTCACCTGATGACGCTGTTGTCAACAGCCAGTCTTCCGGCCAGCTTCAGGGCTTCGGGCAAGACTTGCTCCGCTGGCAAGACATTGTACCACAAGTCTCTCCACGTCGGATCATCTGCCCTATACGTGTCGCCCGTCATCGAGATCTTGAGCGCGTTGGAGTGACCGACTAACCGGGGTAGCAGATAGCTCGACGTCGCTTCCATGGAGATTCCTCGCTTGACAAAAGGAATACCCACTTTGGCGTTTGCTGCTACCAGTCTGAGATCGGTGGAGAGGACCATGGTCAGACCGATGCCCACCGCATTGCCATTCACCGCTGCGATGACCAATTTCCTGCATTTGGCAATCGACAAGCCGGCCTGACCTCCTCCGTCCCGATGATCCGCTGCGATGTCGGCATCTGCTCCGAAGCCGCCTCCCGAAGCTCCCGATAGATCAGCACCTGCACAGTATGCTTTGCCCGCACCAGTCAGCACGACAACCTAGGTAGGCAAGGCTTGCATCAGCGTATCTGCGAGTGACTCCAGCACCTGATTCGCTACGTATTGCCCCGAGTCTCTCAGCACATAGACGCACCTTGACGCGAGGATCGCGATCGGCCAATTCAAAGACAAAGACGAGATCGTGGCACATTTGTGCTGTGTAGGCATTTGCCCTGTCTGGCCTGTTGAGCAAGACGAGCAAGACGCCATCGCTCGGCTCAGCACCGCTCTGAGAGCTCTTGTTGGCCTCATCTCCTCCCAGAACTACGCGGATGTGCCTCCAGCCGTACGTCGAGTAGGGAAAGGAGCCAATGGCTTCGGCCGACAGCGACTGAAGGGGAGGATGAGGGTTGTGGAGGACCGACATGACGACTGCTGCGCTTGGCTGTAGTCAGTCAGCTTCGAGGTCTTGTAAAAGCGCAATCTGCCCAAGTGCTCGTGAACGAGTCAGCTGCGGGTGCTCTTTTGGAGCGAGTGATCTGGCTTCTTATACGAGGCGAACCGATATGGAGGTGCAGGCCAGCCCAGCGCCGGCAATTCAGAGCCGAAGTGAGTGGGTGATCCTTCTTACCTTAAGCAGGGGCTGATTAGACAGTCAAAAAGTCGATGACGGATGCGCAGGAGATGAAGCAAGTGGTTATGAGTCGCAGCGTGATTCAGCATGGTGGGCGATTATATGAAGCATCCCACAAATCACGAATCAAAAGGGAGTTTTAATTGCGGCACCGGCACGTTGGCAACTTCTTGCCCCGGCTATCCCGGAATCTCAGCCGGCGTCTGGCCTGCGCATACTGTGACTGTACATGCAAGCACAGCCAATTTGTGTAGCCCGGCCCGCCTGCGTCACGTCCCACCAGCACAGCCGCGGTCAAGCTGACCTGCACGACAAGCTCAAAAGGTACAACACGTGATACAAAGGTACCCTTCGACTCGAGCCCCACTCACGACTCGTGACTAGTACTCTCGCGACTCGCACACAAGGCAGCACCTGTGACTCGTGACTCGTGATTCTCCTACTCTCGCGCTTCTCCGCCTGCATAAGGATCGATGCGCTTTGCCCCCGTCGCGCTGCTGCATGCAGGGACGCATGCGTGCCTTTGCGGGGCTCCGCATGTCCTGTCCTGTCCTGTGGCGCATCATGCTGGCACCGCAAAGCGCGCGGGCACAGGTGAGCCCTTGATTCCAGCACAGGCAGCGCTTGCCTTTTCCTTCCGCCGCCTCGATAGTCACGAGTGAGTGCTGATGCAGACTCGAAATCGTGATTCGTGATTGTCGAGGTGTCACAGGCATGCGTGAGCCATCGAAGCTGATCTGAGCGTCAAAATGATTTTTGGTGCGAATGCGATTGGGAATTGGCCGCGCGGGATATGCTGTGCGCAAACTCTGCATCAGACTCAGATTGGGCGACGCATGCTGGCTGAGTGAGTGAGTGACTCGCATGAGTCAAGTGTCGTGAGTGTGCTGAGTGCTGAGATGAGCCGCGCCTGCGTCGTCTGTTTGCGCGCCGCGTATGCTCATGTGGAGCGCTGCAGTAGGCACCGTCGCACGAACGTCAAATCCCAAGCGTGATCGATCGCGCCATGCTGGCTTTCAAGCCGGATCGTGAAGGAGCTGCAGTAAGCTGCTCGCAGCGTACACTCATGACTGCCGTCATCATCTCAGACAATGAAGTCCGTCTAGAAGCCCCCTTTATCGTCTCTGGTACATCCTTCTCTTCTCGTCAAGGCGCTGCTTGGCACGCATGCCACCGCTCGAAACGGAGCACCGATCACGACGTGTTCCTTCTTCATAAGGGCTAGGGTTAGCCGTCAACATGTCCTCAGAAATCTACACGACCACTGCTGACAATGCAGATCAAAGCTTGGCTTGCCCAACGACGAAGTCTACGACCGTTCAATCGTCCGCACTTCCTCCCGAGCTGATCTCGCGCATCTTTTCTCATGCTGATCCATCCACACTGCTGCTCGTCCTTCGCACCCTGTCTTCGTACTGGAGAAATGAAATCGACACGCACGTCTTGCCAAACCTGTTTGGTAGGGGAGAATGGCGAGTCGGGCTGCGCATCGCCAAGAAGCCCAGAGTTGGGCATTTGTGGAGAGGACAGCTTTGGCGAGGCCCGACAGAATCAAGATCTGCAGCTGAGCATCACGAGACCTCCAATGGATTCAGCAATGGACAGCCCGCGGCTGCCAACGTTGCAAATGAGCAGCAGTCTAGTGGACTGGCCAACACATCGACAGTCGAATCGACCCCTTCAACCTCGGCGGACGCTAGCGCCAGCAGAGGTACTGCGGACAATTTGCCCGAAGTTGTGCAGGCACGCAGACGCATCGTCGAATCCCAACTAGGAGCGCTCGAAGATGAATTGGATGCATTTCCAGGCAACCCAGGATCCAGAGCAGGCACATCTGCAGCGTCCAGTGAAGATGCGTCGTCTGCGGAAGACTCGAAGCATCTGGTGCATGTGCTGCCCTTATCCTTCAAAGGTGTCGTCAAAGGCGGCTTGACCTTTGGCACGCCGACAGGAGAGTATCACGCGCTGTTCGAGCACGCTACGCTGCCTCGAGGATTCGAAAGGGGTGCTGCTTCCAACTCTTTACCAACGAATGGGCAGGTGGGAGCCGGTGACGTCGCTGGGCAAGGTGCTCGGCCTGTAACGGCAAATGGAGCAGGCCATCCTCCCCAACAAGAGGAAGCAGGTCAGCCGGCAGCGGCAGCACCAGCACCAGCATCAGCACCAGCACCTGATCCGGCCCACGCTGAGATGGTGCAGCAACAAAGAGATAACGCGAGACTGCTATTGAACTTTGGTATTGTTTGGAGATTTCCTGGCGATGGGACAGAAGATGATGAGGAGTGGGGCATGCCTGATCCGGAGCATGGCTGGCTTAGTCAATTCTACTGTGTGAGTCATCTGCTACCACGCTGGACCCCTAAAGACGACTCAAGCTGATTTTTGCCCCAAACACAGTCTAAAGCCGACGTGCGACCCATCCCGGGCCCTACAGTTGAGCAGCCCACTCTGTCTGAGTCGGAAGACAGCGATTCGGACAGCTCGGACGATGAAGATGAGCTTGAGGACATGCGGGGTAGCGGAACGCTCTACTTGTCAGGCAGTAGCGCGGGTCCTCGATCACAGCGTCATGGTAGCACCGACAAGGAGCTCTTGCCGTCTGAGCGAATCATGCTGGCGGAAGGCATCGCGCCTCCTCCTCGATCACAGCAAGTGACAGGCCACTCCACACCCATCGCACGAAGAGTCAGACAGATGGTCGATGCGGGTGGAAGTCGGGTGGATAGTTCTGGTTTCGCATCTACGCGAGCAGCGACGGCTGGTGCAGCGAATCCGACAGCCCCTAGTCTTGATTGGAGCGACATGGGCGTAGAGTACATTCGGCTGGACCTTACACTTGGCAATGAGTTCTTTGCTAGAAGATCTCACAGAGCAAACAGATTGCTTAGAAGGCTGCAAGATGAAGCTTCTGGAGAATTCCGGCCTGGCGGTGTCAGCCGGAATGCTTCTCGGAAAGCCGAGGACAAGGGCAAGCAGCGTGCGAGACCGAGTGGAAGCAGCACACCCGGCCATCCGCCCGTGGCGGGACTGACATCCGCGAGAGCTCCTAGCGCCAGGTCTTCTGGCATCAATACACCCTCATATTCGAGCGCCGCATCGACCCCTTTGAGGCCGAAGGCGCTGGGAGGTGCGCTGGCAAGATTAGCCGCTCAGCAAGCTGCTGTGGTCAGCGCACCTGCGGCCAGTATCCCAGCGCTCGGTTCGGATCAAGCATCCCATCCGACGTCCACTGCCGCTTCACCACGAATGAGCGAGTTATCCCTAGGATCTTCGCAGAATGCCATGGGCAACGGACGCCCCACCACGCCGCACAGGTCAAAGCCCACACCTCGTTCGTCTTCGTCTCAAGGTGGTGCGTCAACACCTTCCAAGTACCTCGGCGTCAACCCTGTCTCTACTTCTGCTGGAACAAACTCCGCGAGGCTGGGCAGCTCGTCGGGTCGATCTACTGGCGCGTCTACACCTGCAAGGATGCAAAGGAACGGCACGAGCAGCGCGGGCAGAGGAAGAAAGGCGAATGTGGAGCCTAGCATGCCTCGAGCCAAATTTCGAGCTCATCTTGTCAAGGCGGAGGACCTGAAACCAGCTGAGCCGAGCACAGATGCGGGGCGACGAAGCAGTGAATGGGACAGAGAAGAGGACAGGAAGCTTGATAGTGGTCTCGATGCCGGTCGCTTGACAAACCAGAATGGCGCGGCAGCAAATGGAAACGGTTGGAGAGGCAAGACGGCTTGGGGCACGGGCGCTTGGAGACATGCCATGCTCGATACGGATCAACCAGCCGGCCTGCTCTGGAGCTGGTCTAGATGAAGGTCTGCTGGCATTTGAGCCAGATAGACCCTGCCTTTGGCTTGTTCTGCTCGACGTGCCGCATGTGATGGCGCTGCATTCGATCCTATCCTTCTCAAGGTCTTTGTCTCGGACGCTGTATATCAACCTCGGAAATTTGTCTCGGATCATCACGATGGCCGTCGCTGCCGCTGCCCGCCATCAAAGGCTCTTCACATTCTTGGTGCTTGATGATTGATTAGACAAGGATGTGTGTATGTGAAGAGGACTGTCAGGCGTCACGCGTGCGGGGATGGGTGAGGAATGACGCGGAAACTCAGACGGCAAGCCTACTGTAGGGAAGCAGGCTGGGACGGAATGGTCAGGAATGGAGCAACAGAAGAAGCTGCTCGATTAGGACCTCGATAGAGATGTGAAGGCAGAGCGCTTGCAGATAGTTGCTCGTATGCGAGGCGAACTGAGAGATGTTGTGAGGGGTGCTGGCTAGAAAGAAGTTAAAAGGTTGGTGATGAGTGGTACACGAGCTCGATCAGAGCATTTCTACTCCCTTTCGTCGGAAAACAAGGTTGGCTGCATCAGCAGAGGACAACACGAATGAGCAAGGGATCAGGTCGAGCAGCGTGACTCACTTTTGTTGGACGCGTGCTTGCTTTCGACGCAGCAGTCGGCCCACTAGGAGCTTTCGCTTTCGGCAAACTCGACTACCGAGACCCCGCGCTTGCTCGACTCTGAGCGCCGATGGTGCTTCTTGCCATTCCCGGACGTGTTCGAGCTTTGCTTCTTGCCGATGCGAACGACGTCGGTATAGCCTTGTTTGTGCGTCTTCAAGCTCTCCACCACAATGCTGTACTCTCCAGCCTTTGCATCATCAGGTACGGTCCAATCGATCCTTCCGCACTTCTTGCCCGTCCCAGCACTATCGCACTTGTCTTTTCCCGCATGAGCAGAGACGCTCGCGGCCAGGGTGTAGGTGGGCAAAGACTGATCCGTCTCGGGAATCAATTTTACGCTCAACTTTTCTCCCTTGGGTGGATTGATCCAGTTCACAAAGTAGGTGTGGTTGCGCTTCCAGTGGATACGGCATTGGTAGGAGTTGCAATGAGGATCGCTCACGTACAGCACTTTGCCATTGGGATTGTCGTTCTCGGCTTGAGCGGTGACGGATGCTACGAGGCTCGAGAGAGCGACGAGCGAGGCGAGAGACAAGATGCGCACGAATTGCATGGTTGCGAGCGTAAAGAAAGGGCAACGGTACGTATGAGCTTCTTGGTGAGATCTGAAAGAGTGTGGATTGCGGTCGACTGCTGTTGATTTCGATGGTGAAATCGCAGCAGCTCGAGTCAGGCGGGCTTGTGTGGGGAAATCGTGAACGGGCGAGGAGAGGAGGGGGACCGGGGTGCGAGGAGAGTGGTGATGGAAGGGAAAGCAACTCGCCGGCGGCACATTTTTGATAGATCCAACGCAATCGGCCGCTTTACGCATGTGTCTCCTTCCCCTCTGCTGGCTCTCGAGTCTCTCGGGCCATCGAACAATGAGGAGCAGCCATGAATCAGGCGCATATAGTCACGCTTTGAATCACGAATGGCTACGCGTCTGCTTCACCACGGAACACCTCAATCTCAACCGCGTTGTCTGCATGCCGCGTCGAATGAACACCGAGGGTCACACAGCACGAGGCGCAGGAAGACCGCGGCCTCCTACGACAGGGGACAACGCGGTGCATGCAGGTGACACTGACTGACATCTCCGATCGAGCATCCTAAGTCGCAGAATGTGGTTCTTGAAGTGCAGCTGAGGCGCCTAGCTGCGAAGGCTCAAAGCAAGCAATTCCCCCACACGTTCCAACCACCCCGTGCCATGATGGTGCAGTCGCGCGCGAATCATCCAGCTGCTGCTGCTGATCGACGCGCCAAATCGCATATCTTGCCGCACGGCTCCGCGGTGGCGGCGAGCCAGAAAAGTCTGTCGCATAGGGGCCGCGGGTCCGCCGCCGAGCGGAGCTCCTCAACCACATATGCATGCATATAAGACTCACGACCGCGTCCGCTTGGAAGTCGTGCATGCAGCGCTGCAGAATGTAGTCACGTGTTTGATGGCTTAGTTGTGTGTGTTCTAGAAATTCGGTGAGAGGGTCGTGGCGAGGTCGAGCTAACAGTCGTGAGTGCCGAGTTGTACACGTCTGCCGGAGTGTTGGTTATGCGTGGCCTCACAACTACATCACTCGGAGTACGTTTGGACAGAGAAATCGGCTGTGACTGCGTATCGGCGAGGGAGTGACGAGGTCATCAAGGAGGAAATAGAAGACTGGAGTGCTACGCAAGCCCAAAGCATTGGGCAAGCAGTGACATCTTATGGCTTCATTGCGCGACATTTTCTCTCGCCCAAAAATCAAGAGCGAGTCAAAGAATCAAGGCGACTTTGGTTTTTCAAGAGTCTTTCAAGATGACGATCGAAGAGAAGCACGTTGTAGACATACCTGATCAGGGTCAGATCGCCCCTCGTCGTGTAGACCTGCGAGCCTACTCTGGGCACGCTTCGAGCACGTGTGTGGAGGGGAGCGTGTATGCATACCTTGGCATCCCATACGCTCAACCTCCCCTAGGCCATCTACGCTTCAGAAGGCCTCAAGGTCCCGCGCCATCCTGGAGGCAAGACTTGGGCCCCGCGCGGCAGAGCAAATGGCAGGCAGATCCAATGCAAACCGAAGGGCTGGGAACCTCAAAGATGAGACCAGACATGCGATTCGATGAGGACTGTCTTTATCTCAACATTTGGACTCCTCAGCGCGCTGCATCTGGCTCAAAGCGACCCGTTCTAGTGAGTCGTAAACACTCGGCGAGACAGCTCCGTGGTACTAGGCTCATTCGATAGACTTGTACCCTTGCATTCAGTTTCACATCTATGGCGGGGCTTTCGTCACGGGTGGCAGCTCCTTTCCAGGCTATGACGGAGCCAGACTTGCACACGAGGTGAGCTATCGCGTTGTCCGAAAGTATCCTGCACTCTTGTGCTGATTCAGTATGCTCCTCTGCGACTGTTCACAGACAGGATGCGTGGTAGTCAGCTGCAACTATCGCCTTGGAATCTTTGGCTTCCTTGGCTCGCGCGCATTGGCAGCGGAGGAGCCAGGCACCGGCTGCGGCAACTATGGTGAATGGTGTTCACGTGTCCTTGAAATCACATGAAGACGTTCAATACTGATTTGCGTGTGCCTTCTTCGCCTCGCATAGGATTTTGGGACTGCGTCGAAGCGCTCCAATGGACGCAGCGCAATATCCAGTTGTTTGGAGGTGACAAGTCAGAAGTAACGCTCATGGGGCAGTCTGCGGGCGCCATCATGCAGAGTAAGTCTTCAAGGAGGAATACCTTACCTTCTCTGGCGCTCACACGAGTCTAGTACCCGGAAAGGCTACCTCTTCCTCTCGGACGCCATACCGCAGTGTCTGTTCTCGCGAGTCATTCTCCAGTCTGGTGTTGCGGCGACGGTTCTACCGCGCACCTTGGCTTCTGCAGATGCCACGTTCCAAGCTCTGGCGGTTGCGACTGGTGCTAAAGCAACCGATTCAGACGAAGAGAAGATCGATGCCCTGCGAAACGCAGATGCAAATGATCTACTTGATACTAGTCTCAGTCTCCCGGCTCGAAGGCCGAGGACAGAGTACGATGTAGGCATCGACACGCCGGCCGATCGCGCACTCGTCAGTCCGCGAGACCTCAAGCTCAAGGCTTCCGGCTTATTTGGACCAGTGTGGGACGGTGTGGCGGTGCCTGAGGACTTTGCACAAAGGGCAATGACCAACTTGCCATCGTCAATTGAAAGTAGGAATGGCGCAAAGGGCATCATGCTTGGTTGTACCGTAGATGAGGTGAGCTGCTCTGTGGACATTGGCGATGTGCCTTGAGTGGAATGAGCAAAACTAATGGTGGCTTCTGCTCTCGTAACGTGTAGGGCACCATGTTTAACTTTCATGTGCGCAAGCGCGAGACGTTGCTCAAGCATGGTGAGACCTTTCGTCAGCAGTGGCTTTCGAACGCCGCTAATGGAACGTCCTATGACTTCCATCGTTGCTTCACCAAGCGAGCGGCTTTCACCCTTGGCTGTACCCCGAGCTGAGCGAGCTGTACGCACTCGAGGCAGCCAAAGATGAAGAGACGTTCGCTGTTTGCTCAGACTAGTGAGCGATTAGACAGCTTCGCATGCTATTCGTTCCACTGCACGCTGATGACCCCTTTCTTGGCTCACATCAGCACCGGAGCTTCTCTGTTTCAAGGACCCATTCGCAGAGCCATGAAGGTGCTTGCACAGAGAAGGTTTCCGCCTGCGTACGGCTACGAATTCGCGCACTTGCCTTCGGATGGGTGCCTGAGAAGCTCGGTACAATCTGAAGCTGCGTTCAGTATTCTGCGCGAATTTGGCGTACTGTGAGCAGCCGTCAAAAGACTCGACACTAGGAGGTATTTGGGCTGACAGCATCTTGCATCGACGAACTCTTAGACACTGCGCTGAGTTGCCACTGTTGTGGGGTGAAATAGTGAGGGTTCACGATCCGCAGTGACTTCGATCCGCGTGCGGCTGCATTTAGCTCACCGCATCGTCTCTAAACGATGCAGGTCGAGCCTCACTATACTGCCACGTCCGACTCTTATGGAGTCGAAGCGGACGCCCCCAAGCCAACGCACGCCACAGCTCTCGATGAGGACAGCGCGCCTGGCAAAGGCTTTACACCAGGTGAGCTGAAGAAGGGCCACGTCGCGTGCTTCCGCGAGCTGCTTGCTGACCAAGTTCGCGCTCAAAGCGGAACGAGCTCTTTCGTTGGAATTGATGCGAGCTGTCGGATCCTTTGCGCATGGCCAAAGACCTTGGCCCGCGTTATCGACGAGCACGGAGCCGCACTCGATCGAGCAGATTCCCATCAGGGTTTGGGGTCATCGAGCCCAGCTGGGCGCCAATTCTCCACGAGCTGTTGCCGCCAATAGGGCAGACTCCGAAGCGGTCGATTGGGGAGACTTGCAGGGTAGAGACACCACGCTTGGTCAGACTTCACATTGGAAGGAGAGGGTTGGAGTGACCGCTGATGCACATGCCAAGTACAGATTTTGGGCCGAGCCCACGGAGGAAGGCTACTTTCATCCCTTGCTGCAGTATTATGGCAGCTTCAAGCAGGGCTTTGAGGAATGAGAATTGTTCAGCAGTCCGTAATGCACGACTCGCTGCCAAAAGTGGGCGAAGTCGATGCCCGGAACAACACGTGAAGGGTCACAGATAGCAGGTGAAGCCATTGCATGTGATTGAGCATCGGCGCAGAGCAGCGATGCAATGGTATCTGAACATTTCAAACGGTGCAGAATGCGAGGGATGGCGGGTAAAGGCCGAGCAAAGAGATGGCGCGCTGCGCTTTTCCCGAAGAAGGTGCGCTGGCGATGTAGCGGAGAGATTATGGAATGAAGAGTGAAAGGGAATGAGTAATGCTCTGAGATGACAGCGTTTGCGGTAAGAATTGGGGCGCGCTTTGATTTCGGGGGGGGGGGGGAAAGGCGAAACATGGGCAAGGGCAAGGGGCGAAAAGGAGAGCGCAAAAGGTCCGTCGTGTTGCGGTGGGAGCTGCAATGTGTCAAAGGGGTGTAATGATGTGCGGTGCTGCGAGGTATGGACAAGTGCGGGGTGAGATGCACGCACCCACTGAGCGCGTCGAGTGAGCCTCTGAAGGTGTTCAGATTTAGACGAGGACGGCGCCTGCTGCCAAGGCGCCGACAGTGGCGATGAGCAGAACGCTGATTGCTGCGTTGGAGTTGGCTCCAGAGTTTCCACCGCTGGTGTTGGCGTTGGAGGTACCGCTGGTGGTGGGACGGTTGGGAGCAGCAGAAGGAACAGCACTGCTGCTGGGTCCGGTGGCGTTTGTGCTGGAGGTGGGAGATGCAGCAGCAGCGAATTGGAGATCGTTGGAGAGAGATTGGAAGGTCTCGCAGTTGCTGCTGGATGGTGCGGGGTGCGCCTGGGGAGTGACGGGGTCACCTTGACGGAATGTGGAACCGTCATATACACCCTGCACGAGACCCACGACTCCCTCGCAAGACTCCCATTCGTTGGGCTCGTACGAAGCTGGGATGTTCCACTGGCAACCCAAGACGTCGTAGATGTGCTGGCAGCGAGCTCCGGCATCGTTACCCCAGCAAGCACGGAAGCAGTACTGGTTCCAAGACATGAAGTTGGTCCATTCTTGAACGAAGAATGGACGGCCATTCGTCGCAGGGTTGGCCGTGGTGAAGACGACACCACCGACTGGGTTGGAAAGATCGTCCATACCGTGACTGTCCATCTCACCACCGTCATCACCTTCTGGGATGCCGAAAGAGGTGAAGTCACCGGTTCCGGTCACTTGAACATATCGGTCGGTCTGAACCCAGTGAACAGAGGTAAGGGTGCCGTCCGGAATGAGGCGCTGAGGTCGGCGCAGGGAGGGGTAGAAGTAGCGAGAGTCAGCGCCAGCTTCTGTAGGTGCTGATGCATGATTCATTCACCGTCCTCATTTACTCACAGTACCGTGGCTGGGCCTTGTGCAGAAGGCAACGGCTTCACGTTCGGTAGCACCGACGGTGCCTCCGTTGGGTGGGCCCCAGAGACAAAAGTCAGAGGCAGAGTTGAGCCAGGCAGTCTGGCACCTAGATTCTTGGTTCCAGGTATCAGATGGGCAAACGTTCCATCCGTATTGGTCGACATTGTTGCCCGAGCGGTTGCGTCCCATGTATTGATCAGGCATAGACTCCAAAGCTGCGAATAGGAACGAATTGAATTGGATGTGAGCTTCATGGACAGACGAGGTGACAAAAATGAGGTCGCGACTCACTGTACTCTGGCTTGGGCGTCCAAGGTGTCCAGTCTCGTTGAGGCCGTCCACGGTTGGGTGCTTGTGCGGCTTCTGCATCACCGGTGGCGTTTTGTCTTGCCTGAGCGTTGACTGCTGCGGCATACGCCAAGATGGCGGCGAGGGACAGAGCAAAACGAGCCATGGCGCAAGATTGGAGTGAAGTTGGTAGCCAAGAGGAGTACAAGCAGGTTGTGTAGGTAGTAGCAGAGGGTGACGCTAGGAAGAATTACCAGATAGGTGGCCTGGATGTCGATGGCCAAGCAGAGTAGGTGGTGAGGATGGTGAACGTAAGAATGATATGTGTACTCTCGGTCGTGTAACCTAAAAAAGGGAGCGTGGGTGAGTGGTTGCAGTGAAGAGCTAAGGGCGGGTAAGGGTGTATATGTGTGTGTATGTGTGGCAACGGTAAACGCCCCAATCTGCCGATCTGCAATTTGAGCCAAGCCCTCCTGGTGATTGGAATCTTGATGCGAACGCCGAGCGCGAGAAGGAAGTCGCCGTGAGACGGTCTTGAAGCGGCGGATTAGGGTCCGTCTGCTTGAATGAAAAGAGGGGGAGAGCAAGAGAGGAGTGAGGTGGATTCGGACGGACGTTTGGAAAGACTACAGGGCCAAGCGATGCGGTGCGCTGGGAATAGGAGGAGAGAGCAAGCGTGCTTGCAGGAGCGGGGTAAAGAAGGGATGGATGGAGCAATTCATGTGGCTACATGCTCTCCCAACCAAGACTCAGGTCAGGGACCGACTCAGCTCGAGGCCGCAATGATTCAAGCACTTGGGAACCGAGGTGTCCACGTTCAGAATAGCTCGCGTGAAGGCAGGTGGCGCGTGTTCGACTGACCTCAAGGCTCCTTCCTTCGCCTTTGTTTCGCTCAAGGCACGGCTTGCTGCACCGGGCATGGAAGGGGCTTCATTCGCTCATCTGCCTTCGGTGACATTCGTCTTACATTTGTCGTGCAGTATCATGACTGCTCGAGTGAAGCCACTGCGGCATAACTTTAGGAGCTCTGCATCAGATTGAACATCAGCCAACGGATGCGAGAGGAAGCCGCGGTCCTTGGTGGGCACAGAAAGCGTTCAGGCGCAGACCTGCTCCCAAGGGCTTTTGCGAGACGGCAATTGGCGACTGTGGGCAGAGACTCGCATCGCACCTCTGACCCTTCGAGTGTTCAGAGACCGACCGAGGTCGGGCCATGCGGCGGCGGCTCTGGTGATGGAAGAAGATAAAGCAGTGAAAGGCAAGCTAGGTCCGCATGGCCAAGCACCGCAGTGCACGGTGCGAAGCATCCAAAGGTGTGCCAAGACCCGCAAGAATGTAGCGGGAGTGGAATAGACTGACTGGCCTGCATGACGGCCTATGATCTCGCAGACGTGTTGGTCAGAGGGGGATGTACAGCGGTCGTCTCAGTGCGGTGTGGCATGCGCTCAGGTCAAGAGTCACGAGTCAAGGTCTGAGCGAGTATTGAATCGAATGCTAGGAACGTGAACATACGCGCGCGGGCGCGCGCACCATGCATGTGCACCAGCACCTCCTCTGCTTTCGCTCCAACCCTACAGCCAACTTCTTGGCAATATGCAGCCAAGACTGGTCCAGACTCGCGGGACCCTTCTCTGCAGTCGCTTTAGGTTGTGAGCGTCCAGCGTCCTGCCCTTGCGGACACATGCTTATGCTTTATCTGCAGCGGTCCAGAGTAATCAAATGAATTTGCTAGCTCTTCGATCCACCAGAGTCTTGAGTCGAGACGGGCGCGTCGTCGTTTGGCGGGCAGAAGGGTCGAGTCCATCATGAAGCGAGCGAGGCCCGCGGGCGGTCAAGCTGCTGATCGGACATCTACGAGCTGCCCAAGATCACGAGTCACGTGGTCTTACCAGCAGCTGGTTGAGCGAGCCACGTGCGCCGGTTTGACATGCCTTTCCTGACCATGAATCACTTTGCTTCCAATTCCTCCAAAATCAATCACAACAATCTTGAATGCAAGTCGATCAAAGTTCGCTTCAGTGTCCTCCCTCTGCGGCTCCGACCATCTCGAGAGCGCTTGGACCAAGATTGCACGGCCGTGTATGGTAGCCTGCTGGCAAACAGGCGACGACGCCCCTTGTCCATGCCATCCACCATCCAATGGCAGGAAGGGCATCTCTTCTGAGTAGGATGTCCCAAGACTGCATGTGTCGTGAAGAAATCAGGATGGCATGAGTCGCACAACAGGCTCCTCTGCGCTTTTGTGCTTGCATGATATTGGAGACTCCTCCTTTTCCGGATCGCAGGCTGCTCACGACGAATCATGGCGAAGCCGACACAGACGGACAAGCGCAGGCTGATCGAGTCAGCCTCAGATGTTGGGACCGCAAAGCTTTCGGAGGGTGATCCGAGCAATCCAATCAACCGTGGTCACTTCGAGTCCCGACCGCGCTGTCCTTGACGACCGACGATCACAACGCTGCACGAGCTGGTCGACGGGGGCGCTTCCGATGGCGCTTCCAATGAAAAGCCAGGTTGAGCTCTTCGGCATGCCGCCGACGCTCGTCATGCGGACAAGCGTTTCAGCAAGACCTCGAGGACCCCCACACTCACAACACTCATCATGCAACCACATCCTCGTGACGTTCCTCTACAGCAGCCTTTCACAATCATCTCGATCCTGATCAAGAGGCACGCACCTCACTCAACGCGGCTTCGTCACATGTGACTACTCGCTGACTGGAATTTGAGTCCCTCTTGCTGCCGGTTTGTCTGGATGCGAGCACAGACGAATAGCGCGCTACCAGTACCTTTTACCGGCGCACCTCGACGCGCAACCGCGCGGCCAGCGGAGAGGCGCGTCTCCATCCAGCCGTGTGGGGTCCCCGCGTTGCTGAGAGCGTAGCTCTGTGCGGTACTCACACTCAGACTGTACAATCCACTCAAATGATCGGACGAAAAGCGTCGTCACTCGTGAGGCGAGATTTGGCAAAAGAATGCTGTTCACACTTTCCATAGCAGAGTGTGTTCCAGACCTGCTCACGCTGCAGCAACGCACTCACCACTGTGACTCGGGCTAGCTCCGACTCACACCAGGAGATGCGCGCCGACGGGCCATCTCTTCTAGCGTCGGCAATCCTCGGAAATTTGCCGGCTTTCTTTCTTCGAGCCTTCAGACATCAAGTGTACGCTTGGGATCACTTCGTTTGGGTGCGCTACTGCGTCGCATTAGACTGCTCCCACCTTGTTCAATCATTTACGCAATGCGGAGCCCCGCACAGAGCTTTGTTCGAAGCAATTTTTGCGACAGATGCGACAGTTGGGACCAATGGAACGACCTATGGCAACACGGCATTGGATGACGCACAATGGGAGGGTGGGCCCCTACCGCAACGAGGTGACTGAGGTGTCCATAAAAGGGGGCAATGAGCGCATCTGTGTGGTCTCTTTCAGTCTTTACTGAGAGACGAACCTTGCGCGCCAGCTCGTCTCACCTCGACTTGCACGGCATCGCTCGAAGACCAGTCCTAATCTCAAAGCATCATGAAGGTTGTCGGTCCCCTCGCCGCTGTGGCGAGCCTGTGTGCCAGCGCGCTCGCACTCCCTCCCGACACTTTACACGCACGCCAAGGCACCACGGCCCCCTTTGCTTCCTCGCAGACTTTCACCAGTCCTCATGGAACGCTCAGCATCGCTGTCGACAAGGGCACGGGTGTGCTCACCAGCTTCAAGTATGGACAGCAGAATGCCGCTTTTGAGTACCTTCCCGCTGATCCCAAAAGGACTGCCAATGGCTACAATGTATGTGATCAGATTCGTGACCGATGCTGTCGGTGACTGCGCACACTCATATCTGATCGTGGCATTGTTTGCCTTCAGCACGTAGGTGATATTCAATTGCGAGTTCGCCCTTCCGGCGGATCGGCTCAGTGGTCCGACTTCTCTACCGCCGACGTCCGTCGCTCTGCAGTTGCTTCCAGCTCGTCCCAGACTTGCGCAGCATCGTCCTTTGTCTGCAACGACGTCACTCCTGCCTTTGCCTTTCCTTCATCAACACCGCTCTCTGTCTCTCGTAGCTGGGTCTGGACAGGAGCTGAGGCCAACAATGAGGCTTTGCAGGTTGTTTACCGTATCGTCAACAATGGCGACAAGCCTCTCGAATTCGGCGGACTGGCCTTCCCGCTTGCGTTCTCCAACAATTGGGAAGGGGCTAGTCAAGACGTCACTTGGGACACCAAGGTCATGTCCGACCCTGCTATCAATCTTGATCATGGCTACGTCCTGACGAATCGCCTTACAGGCACCGGCGCGGCCGTAGTGGTCTCATCTGGCTCCGATATCAAAGCGAAGGGTCAGTCGTAGCCCGTGTGCTCCCTTCCAATGTTGCCGCTCGCTGACCAGATCATGCTCGCACGCAGCTCCTTTGGAGTCGTATCGTATTCTGCCCACAACCGGCCCTCTTCGCGAAGTGACCCCGCCCTCTTTTGGCTTCGAGGGCATTTACAGCTGGGCCGTACACACTCTGGGCTTCCAGGCCTTGGACCAGCAAGCTGCGCGCAGCCTTGGTGTTCAGCGCGGGGCAGATTGGAACGTCCCAACTTCTTCGACTCTGCAGCCGAAAGAAAGCCGCGACTTTTCCCTGCAATTCTTTGGCACGCCTGACGGAGCACGTGGAGTGGAAGCGGCGCTTAGAAGACGCAAAGTCGCCACTCTTGTGGGCGTCCCTGGCTATGTCATTCCTCGCGCTTCGGAAGGCAAGCTCATCGTTGACTCCGACTCTGCGGTGACAGTAGACAAGATCGAGCCAGCAGGTGCACTGACATTGCAGCAGAGCGGAGCTAAGCAAGGTACCAAGACCGTCTTTCGCGTGACTCCCGGTGGTTCTACATTCGGCCGGGTCCGCGTGACGCTACGCTTCGGAGATGGAACTTCAGCAACGGCTCACTACTTTGTACCAGCCTCGGTCCAGGACACTCTGTCCGCTCATGGCAAGCACTCGTTTAATCAGCAATGGCTCGACACCCAGCAAGACTTCTTCAACAGGACGCCAAGCGTGATCACCTGGGACAAGGCCGCGAACGGCGGTCAGGGAGGTCAAGTACTCGACGATCAACGCGCATGGGTTGCTGGTCTCTCGGACGAAGGTGGTGCGGGTGCATACGTTAGCGCAAGTAGCAAAGAGCTCTTGCAGCCCGACGCCTCTGAGGTCGCCAAGTTGCAGAGGTTCGCCGAAGATACTCTTTGGGGTCATTTGCAGCACGACGAAAGCGAGCCGGACTTGACCGGTGCTACTCGCAAAAGCCTATTCTACTACGACCAAGCACTCGAAGGTCGTGGTGTGTACCAGCCGGGAGTGACGCACAGCGGTACTTGGGACGTCAAAGAGGCCACACGCCTCGATAGGACGTACAATTATCCTCATCCCGCCGTCGTGTGGGTGACCCTGTACCGTCTGGGGCGGAATTACGCAGGCTTGCTGGCTGCGCAGCCGGGTTCCACTTGGCAGACTTATTTGACTCGAGCTGCCCTGACCCTTCGCGCCATGATGAAGCATGCTGGGCTCAACGCTTACGCTCGATTCGGAATGATGGAGGGCACCTTTTTCGTCGAATTGCTCAACGACCTGAAGCGCGAAGGTCAGACCAATGCCACTTATGCAGATCTGCACAAAGAGCTCGAGGGCCTCATGAAACAGCGTGCAGATCTTTGGAATGGCGAAAGATATCCGTACGCCAGCGAGTTAGTACTGGAACTGGAACAACGCTGCCTTTTGGAAATGTCTCAATACTGATCCACAGAGCTCTTCATCTTTCACAGATTCCCATGGGACTTTACTGGGCAGGAAGAAGTCCATGCTTGGCTGGACTACTTCAACTACACCGCCAAGGCTGATCAAACCGTCGAGACGGTTGTTGCCGGCATGTCAGCTCCCCCTCACTGGGCCTACAGTGGCATCGGACGGTGAGTGATGTGAGTGGCGAGAAGCTCAAGCGCTTCATACTAAAGCCATTGCGATACCCTCACAGTTCATACTGGGACTCCTTGTATGGCGGTCGTCAGCCCCAGCGCATCGAGCGTCTGCAGCACCATTACAAGGGTTCGCTCAATGCGCTGCCGCTCCTGAGCTATTTCCGCAAGAATCCTACGGAAGCTAATCTTTGGCTTCTGCGGTCTGCGTTTGGTGCGAGCACCGGAACCTTGTCGACCGTCGACCAGAGCGGGTGAGAGATTCTTGGGATTGTTGCGTCAGCCTGTCGGCGGTGTGGCTAAACCGTTCCTTGTCCTTGGTGCACCGCTAGCTTTGCGAGTATGGGAATGCACTCAAACCCGGATGCGCTGCAATTCGACACCTTGACTGGTGATGGAGGCATGTCCATGGCCGGCTACGCTCTCTCCTCAGCATGCTACGTCGTCAATTCTCAGTCTCTCGGCGGATGGTCTGCCTTCGCCGGTACGCTCTCCCAGCAAGGTTCGCAGATCACTGTGAAGCCTACCGATGCAGCTCGTCAGCGACTGTTCATCGCCGCTACAGGGCTCTATGTTCAATTAGACTCTGGAAGGATCAACTCGGTGACGTTTGCCGCGAGCAATCCCAGAGACGTTCAAGTCACGTTCGACCAGGCCAATCAATACACTCCTAATGCCGGCATCCGCTTCGCACAGACCGCCAAGCCCCAAGGCGCCCCGAGCGGCTACATGATGCAGGCTGGCTTCAAGCAAGAACGGGATGCGTACGTCGTACCTCTCAAACAAGGCTCCACGACGACCATCAAGATCAGTGCTGCCTAGACACTTGCCTCCAAGGAGCTTCCTGGCCACCCTGATCTGTCCTCCTCTGCACTATGTCACCTTGTCTTAACATTGCTCCTCCTTCTACAATGAGCGCTGCGTCATTGCATCTTTTGACATTGCGTCTCTGACCTTCTGATGCACTATCTCACAGCTGCCCTGAGACTCAAGTCCGCGTTCTGTTGGTCTATTTCTCTCCTGCTCTTCCATGTATCTTCTCGTCCCTTCAGGCATAGACTTGAAGACGAACATCCCTCAAGTCGCTCTCCGCATTCATCTGAGCCTCCTAGGTGAAGCCCATCCTCTTGGAGGCATACGCGAATCAATCAAAGGTCAGGAATATCCCGCGTCGAAAATCTATTATTAAATCAGACTGTCTGACGATCAATCGAGAATTCAAATCAAACTCGAACGAGTACCCTTTTTGTGTAGTTGCACGTGACTCATCGCGCATTGGGTCCAAGGTCCGCTCCGATGCGGAGTTTGGAGTCTTGAATTGTAGACAGCCAAGCCACGAAAGACTTCACGAATCTCGACGCTGAACCGATCTTCCACTCAGCACCTCGATCTGGACTTTCTGAGCCTCGCGCTACGTATTTTGACCTCCTCGCCGGTCAAAGTGGTGTTGCAGTCCTAAGCTATTCACGATTGTACTCAGATATACCGATTGCGCGCAGAGCTTTCGCGCTCAGGCCCTCCTTCAAGAGAAATGGCAGCGCTACGCCTTACGGGCGGACAACTCATGCGGATATCGAGCCCTCTGTGCACGTCTACTCGGTCATTCGCTTCTGCGGGGCGCCGCAGCAAGGAGCGTCAGCAATACGTTTGCCCCACCACACTTTCACCGCTTCATACAGCGCTTTCAATCGCTCAGCGACATCTGAACACTGGTCCGCCTTCCTTCCCGTGCGTAGATGCCAACGAAGCGCGCACGGCTTGGCTGCTATCTCAGGGACCCTCGTTGACCGAAAATGAGAGTCAAGCTGCGCGCATCTCTTCTGGTGATGATGGAGGACCCGAGCCAGCATACTCGCCCCCAAAGGGCTATCTGACCTTTAGCAGCGAAGAATCTCTGAAGCTTGACTATGGCGGTGAATTGCCGCGCTTCGACATAGCCTACGAGACATGGGGCAAGTTGAACGAGAAGAAAGACAACGTCGTTCTGCTGCACACGGGTCTGTCCGCATCCAGCCATGCAGCATCTACTAGCAGCAACTCGGCCAAGGGATGGTGGGAAGCATTCATTGGGCCTGGCAAATCCATCGATACAGATCGATTCTTTGTCATATGCACCAACGTTCTGGGAGGTTGCTATGGCTCCACGGGTCCATCCAGTCCGCACCCGATCGATGGGAAGCCCTACGCCACGCGATTTCCGATCTTGACCATCTTCGACATGCTCAGAGCTCAGTTCAGGCTGCTCGACCATCTGGGCGTTCAGAAATTGTTCGCCAGTGTGGGCAGCAGCATGGGCGGAATGCAGAGCGTCGCTGCAGCTCACATGTATCCGGAGAGGGTGGCAAGAGTGGTCAGCATCAGCGGGTGTGCGAGGAGCGCTCCCGCCAGCATCGCATTGAGGTACGCTCAGAGAAGTGGTGAGTCCAAGCATTTGGATCTGGATGTCGATCGCAACGGGATGAGTCCAGTCTGCAGCCCATCTCATTGCACATAAAGCCTCGCTGACTGCTTGATGTTTCACGACGTCTACAGTCCTGATGGCGGATCCAAATTGGAATCGAGGCTTCTACTACGACAAGGGCTTGCTTCCTCCCCACACTGGTATGAAGCTGGCTAGGCAGATCGCCACCATCACGTACCGATCAGGGCCAGAATGGGAGCAAAGATTCGGCCGTCATCGTCGTGTAGCGGCTTCCTCGGCCGAGTCTACTTCCTCCGCGCCTGCTCGCAATGCGGCAAGCTTCTCAACAGGGTCTAGACGAAAGGAACAAGATCCTGCTCTGTGCCCGGACTTTCTCATCGAGACGTATCTCGATCACCAGGGAGAGAGCTTCTGTCTCAAATACGATGCCAATTCATTGATCTACATCAGCAAAGCGATGGATCTGTTCGACATGTCAGACTATGCGCTGGAAGAGCTAGCTAGAAGGCGCAAAGCTAATGTCGCAGCTGCAAGAGAGTCGCTAGACATCGAAGACGAGATCGAACGAGCTTCGTTGGACAAGTTCGATCAAGAGACGAGCACGATTGGTGAAGCTTCTCAAGCAGATGAGACGATCGTCGAACCTGCTGCACAGCCCAGCTCTCCTCGTCGACAGCATATCCACACACTTGCTTCGCCCTCGGCTCACGCCTACCTTCCGGCACTAGCGAGAGGTCTGAAGAGGCTTAGCGATGTACCTGTTCTCATCCTCGGCGCTCAGAGCGACATTCTGTTCCCAGTAGATCAGCAGCGGGAATTGGCGGAATGCTTGCGCATCAATGGGAATGATCGGGTCAGATACTACGAGATCGACGCCCCACACGGCCACGATAGCTTCCTGTGAGTATTCGACAGCCGTTGGGCTGGTTCACTCAAGCACTGTAAATAGCATGTTGACCGCCGCCACACGCTCCTATTCCGCAGCATCGACGTGGCTAATGTTGGAGGAGTTCTGGACGGCTTCTTGCGATCATCATAGCTTGAGCCGCGGAGAGCGCATCAATGCAGTCACCGCGACACCATCACAAATTTGATTTGAAATCGAAACGCATTTGTCACCGGCCTTCATTTTGACAATCTTCTTGCTGAGAGAGACTGTGTGCGCGTATTCTGAGGCAACAAGATGAGTGCGATGCGCACCTGCCCTCGACGCTCAACACACTAGAGCTCGATTGCCGATTCGAAAGAATTGCCATCGTGGGCCCTTCGTGCCTTGCCGTCCTTCTGATCTCCTCCATCTGCCTCTGCAGCTTTGCGCTTGCTGCTCGCCTCTCTATGCAGGTCCTCATCTGCACGTCGCTTGCGATCGCCCGATGCCTTTCTCTCGGGATCCAAGGGCGCGTCGACAATGGTGACGTCGTCATTCTCGTCCTCTGTATCCGGCTCGGGCTCTGGAATGATAGGCCTGTCGATGAGATCTGGCAACTTATTCAAGGGCGGCAAGGCCCAAGGAGCTGGAACTGCCCCTTCAATGACGCTGCTCAAATCAAGAGTCTCGATGAGGAGGTTGACGTTTGCTTTCTGCCCTTCCTCGTCTACTAGGCTGATGATGCTCCCGACCGCGATGCTGAGCTCTGCCAATGACTTCGAATGATTGTCTTGGAAATCAGAATCGGCGAGAAGGCGGTTGCCCTCGTAGACTTCAAGGTCGCCTTGGATGCCCAAGCCACCGCCTTCCATTCTTCGGCCCTTTGCGACCTGCTCGATCACTTGACCAAGCGTGACTCGCCTCGGATCAGCTGCGAAAGGCACGTATACGTTTTGGCATACTCCGCAGGCAGGGTTGGGCTTGGTCGTCTTGCTCCCCACGATGAATTGAGGCAAGCTAGTCTTGTTGACCAGTCTGGCTTGGTCCCATCTTCCAGCTAAAGCATGAAGGGCTTGAAGCACCAGAGCACCGGCGATGATTGCGTTCGTAGAGGCGATGGCTGGAATGATGTTTCCCGCCATTTGCTTTACCTGGAATCGCGTGCGTGGCTCTATGCCATAGACTCTTGCGCGCAAATTTGCCGAGGATGTCACAAAGTCTAGTGACGGGTCGTCGTCTTTGTCGAAGGAGAGGGGTTCTGAGGGATCACGAGCGTAGCGCTGCGCAAGAGCTCCAAGGCTGCCCGCAAATTCACGCGCTAAGTCAGCCGAGCACACGCTCTCTGAGGGCAGTATCCTTGGCCTCACCTCTGCTCAAACATCTCAACAGTCTCCCTCAGGCTCAGCAACCTCTGGTCTTTCAAGCCACTTTTCTCCCTTTCAGCTTCTGTGGCGTCCGTTCTAGCACTCTCGAAATCAATGGGCACCGGCCTCCTGCGATTCTTCCACATCTCCTCCATGCTCAGTAGACGCTCGACGTCCGCTTTGAACACCTTGTTGAACACTCTGAGCGCATTCTCGCGCACCTTCTCGGGGCTGGCTAAGAGAGAGGAGCGGATGTCTCTCATTTCGCGGGCTTCGGCCCTCAGATTATCGATCTCTTTAGCTGTCAGTGGACAGCGGAGACAGGGTAAGAGACAGGTAGATTGCGCGAGAAATGCATCAATAAGGTATACTCACCATTCTCCCCATCTGCAAGCGCCTTATCGAGCTCGACGTCCTCAGTCTCGTCATCTTCTCCAAATAGTTGACTGCGCAAGGGTGCGAAATGCGGTGAGCATATACGCATGTGTGCGAGCTGAACGAATCGCGGCTTTGCCTCACTTGAAAAGCCAGCTCTTGCTCCACACAATGCAATGAATAGGTGTGCTAGGCGTCGAACGGATTGTGCAGACTGGGTAGGATTTCGGCGTTTCTTTCGGAACGCAATCGTAGCATTCGGTGATGCCCTAACAACAAAGGAGACAGCCAACCGGAGCAGACTTGCTAAGTGGAGGTCAAGACGAGCGCGCCACCTCGCTCCCAGGCACACGCACCTTCATGATGGGCTGCACCTGTCCCAAGAAACCAGCAGTGCCGCTCTCCACCAACGGTGTGCCCGCAGCAATGCACATTTTATTGACATGCCTCCTCGCTTCCAAGTTGTCCAATGCATTGAGCACCACATCGAAGCCTGCATAGTATGCTGCTCCGAATTTCGCGCCATCTTTGCCGCCGTTGGGTCCTCCTCGCAGAATGTCGGCATGGTGAGGTTGGATGCGAGCGCTGGGACAAAATGTCTGGGCTACGCTACTGGCGATCAACGCTTTGGACTTTTTGATGTGCGACTTGTTGAACAGAAATTGCCGATTAAGGTTTGAGAGATCTATGGTGTCCAAATCGATCTGCAGATCAGAGGCAGCGTGAGCCTGAGTAGCGACCAATGTCTCAAGCGGAGCTGTACAGCACTGACCACTTCGATATCTTTGAAGCCGACCAAGACGAGATTCTTGAGCAGTTCGCAGCCGATTCCACCCGCGCCAACGACTAGCAGCTTTGCGCTCGCTACCCTTGCGAAGTCTTGAGGTCCAAGCAGTGCTCTGGCGTGAGCATGGCGGGGAGCCGAAGACGAAGCTTGAGCCGACATGATAATCTACTACCCGCGAGCAGTATTCGCCAGTTCCCGAATGTGGACGTAAATCTTCGGATCTTTGCAGGTCGGAGCCGGGACTCAGGACTTGCCAGATGCCAAGATCGGCGAGGTTGCTTGATGCGAATGTCCCTGTGCAGATGTGAGGAGCTACATACGACCCTGCGGCCCTGTGCAAGCCAGGAATCTCAAAGACTGACCAGCTACTCGATGATTCGCGATCGTGAATTGGGAATTGTGAATGAGTGAATGTGGAAAGTTGGGAGCAGTGTGAGTGTGCAGCGACAGTACGGTTCCATTAACGGCTTCGAGTTCAAGATTTTGATTGGGGTGACTATTATTGTTCCTGCTTACTCGTGATTCACGTGATTCTTACCAACATCACTTCCACATCTCAGCTGCGTCACGCGACAAATACACATGCATGCTGCACAGCGTTGGCCAAGTGGGACGCGTGTCACGGCGTCAGGCGATTCTCTTGCGGCCGTAATAATGCGCGCCGCCGGGCTCCATGCTGAGCGCGTCTCGTACGTGGGATGCGCCCATATTGAAGCTCAGCCCTCACGCCGTACTCCACAGCCCTCAAGGCCCACGGCGTTCCAGAAGCTCATGGATGCCACGATTCGTATATGCTCCACCGTCCACACTCGCCTTGGGTCGACCACGGCGATCTTTCACCGGAACCTCAACTGGCTTTTGACTGTATGATACCTCTCACCTGCGCCTCTACGCTCCGTGCTCAAGACAGCCGCGCAAAACTCGCATAAGTTGAGCTCGCAGGACAGCAACCCAAGGCGGCAAGCTACACTCGCCCGCTTTCACCGTCTTGCATAAGCAGCGACTAGCCGACGCTCACACCATCATACGACTACACGACTACACGATTATACCCAAGGCTAGCACGCAGCGAAGAAGACAGCACCCTCTGAAAATTTGCCACTATCTCCTTCCAGACCTTTCGACTCAGAGCACCATGTCTGGCTTCTTTAGCACGTTTGTGAGGGGCTTTTTGGCGGGAGGCTCGAGTGGAGGTGGATCTACAGAACCGCGCTCGAGGTCGCCTTCACCGTTGGGTGTCGGTGCTGAGGCGCGACGAACCGACGCTTCCAGCTCTTCAGACATCGATAGTAATCACTTTCCTCCGTCCGCGCACTATGATTCAGCCACAGCAAGCGTCACCGCGGCTGGTACCACCGTAGGGGCTGGCGTTGCGACTGCTAGCGAGGCTGATGCCTTGCCCGCGACCTCTCCGGGCGGCGCACAGTCATCACAGGAGCAAGGAGATGCTAGCTCCGATCCAGCACAGGCGTCTGTATCAAATGGGAGTCGCGAGAGGAAGCGACAAATCAGTCTAGAAACACTAAATGGGTACTTGGAAGCGCTTCACCAGGCGGGTGAGTCCGTCGATGCGTAGCTCAAGCCGCTTATTGGATGCATTGAGACGCTGACGCCACTGGCTGGGCTTCCCTCAGACGTTGGAAGGCGGCGGCATGCTTTGACGGAAGAAGAAGAAGCACGTACCGTCGTCGCGGCTTTCCCTACTCAACTGCCCATCCCAGAGGGATCAGAGCTGGGCGAGCTGGACGCATTGCCGCACGTAGGACTATCATGGTCAGATTACCGCCTCTATCGCATTCCTCTGCGAGACTCGCAAGGTCGACTGGGTCTGGTTGCACTTCCAAAAGGTCCAATCTTGGATGTCTTTGGTCAAGGTCGACCTGACTTGCCACCGGGTACGGACGAGGAGCGCTACACGCCAGAGACACCGGCTTTCATACCACTGGGCATCTCATCTGCGCCCTTTTCCATGATCTTTGATCACAGGACATCCTACATCTGGCCGATTCGACCCATGCCAGATCACGTGCCACGAGACGCGGTGCCCCAATTCTATTGTGACCCCGCCATACCTATTCAGGTGAGATAGACCAGGCACTGCAAGTCGCGAGGTGGGCGAGTGGCTGACACGACTTACTCTCCACCATTCACAGATGAACGTAGGGTTTGGTGGACAATCGCAGGCAGAAGCAGAACCGCAACCTGATCCAAAGGCGACAGAGTCCTTCGTCGCGTCGTTGGAACGAGCAGATGCGGAGCTCAGGTCGCGAATGGCGCGTCTGGAATTGGGAGACATCGGCACGGGAAACGTGGGATGCGCAATTTGCTTAGAAGAGTACGACGCAGAGGATAGACCCGAATGGATTGCTGGCTCGGCAGCGCGCGATCACGAGTGCGTCGTGGTTCCTTGCGGAGGCTTCCACACCCTACATGCCAGCTGTCTGCAAGAGTGGTTCTCGGCTAAACCTCCTAACGAGTGGGCCTGCCCTTTTTGTCGAGAATCACTGGCGCCCAAGAAGTTTGTCAAGGGTAGAGTGGTCGAATTACCCAGGGCAAAGCTTGGGGTGGGGCTCAGGGAGGATGTGAGGAGAAGGGAACGGCAGCAAGGTTGGAGGTGCGATAGCCCTGCTTGCCTGCCAGAGTATCCTGAGGACCAAAATGGCGCTGAGAAAGACCACGAGCGAGAGCAGCTGCTGAAACTGAAGCCTTGTGGACACGAACATCATTTGGACTGCCTCACCATGGCCATGCGTCTCGACAATCCCTTTGCAACGTGTGAGGACGAGGAAGATGACGGAGATGCCTGCGTTTGGGACGGCATTTCGGACCCTTCAAGATCCGCCTCCAGCGCTTCCGGAGTCACCTCGAGTCCAGCCGCTAGCGAGAGTCTCAAAGACCAGGAGGCATCCGAGATGGCGGAAAGTGCTCCGACAGCATCTACCAAGAACGTCGACGAGGCACCAGCGCTTAGCGTGCCAAACAGCGAGGGTAAATGGGTCACTTGCCCGAAGTGCAGACATGAGGCTTGGGCAGCTCTGCCACGCAGGAGGAGGAAGCGTGCTGCTTCGTCGCAAGAGCAGGGCGAAGCGACGCAGTTGCCGCGTCGGTAAAGGAGAAGAAAAGCGACCGAACACACGAGGCTTTTTGGGCGCTCATCCACGGCACCCAACCGCATCCCCCCACGGTTCAGCTGGAAGCTCATCAAGTATGCCATGGAAATGCTGTACATTCCTTTCTGTGACGCCATATCTAACAACTATAGGAGCGACATTGTACCATATCACCATCAACGAGATTTTGAATTCACGCGACGATAGTCAGAGTCACAGTGCTTGCCATGGGAGCTCAGAGCAGCTCGATGCATGCTTTTAAGGCGGAGCTGGGCAGGACATGAGATCAGGCAAATACAGCCAAAACGGTACCTGAAGGATGTTGAGCCACGCTTCATCAAGCTATGCCGTTTAGCTGCCGAGACCTAGCTTGGCGCTTCGAACGTCCGAGCAAGGCGCTTCGGCCGAGATCACATCCTATCATCGCGGTGTGCTTTAACTGTGGTGGTCATGTCTTTCGAGGTCAGAATGCCATGTAGGAGCTAAAACATATATCGCTTCCGCTACCGATCGACATCTTGAGCCCGCGCTTTGCTGTGCAACACGCGAATGCACCACGGCGACAATTAAGAATCAGCAGCGCATCAGCATCGACGCGATGAGCGCTGCTGCTGCAAGCATGCATGCCAAGACCTTTATGAGTGGGCGCCAAATTGCGGCGTTCAAATCTAAAGCGGCATTTGAGCCGAATTCACGATAGCGGCCCCGCGGTTCGGCTTTCATCATCATCACGCTGCCGACCCCATGCACTCTTGATTCAAGATTGACTCGTCCTCATCGCGCACATGCTTTGACTCACAAGTCTAGATTGCCATACCTTGCTCTGATGTGCATGGGTCGGGGCGCTGTGTAGATCGATCGAGCTGCTGAGACTGCAGGCTGCGGTGACCTCTCCAAGTCACAATTGCCATGGCTTGCTCTGTGGTTCAGGTCGCTGTATATACACAGCTGAAATCGCGGGCTGTGGTGACCTTTCGACCGCGTCGAGATAGAGTGAAAATCAAGATGTATTATGAATCGGAAACTACGAATCCACAATAAATCGTGACTCTCGAATTGCCACCGTCTTTCAAGGCTGAGCATCACAAAGAGATTTCGCAGGTACCGCAGTAGCCCGTGTCCAGGCAGCACAAACGTGGTGTTTAGTGTATGAGTCTGCATGTGCCTGCACTCCCCTCGCGTGCCTGCTGGAGCTGCGAAGTGGATGCTGCTGTGGCATTCTTGATTGTGATTGTGATTCAATTGTGGGATACATGACCCTGCCAGTCACAACTCACGAATCTTGAATGTCCAATTTGTGTCAGCAATGCAGCAACACATAATACGTGACCACGCCTCGTGCAAAAAAAGTGCAGCACAGCGTCATGCTGTGCGCGTACAGCTCGAGCTACTCGGTCATGATCGACAACCGGCTGCTCACAGGCGCGCACGTATATGTCCGTTGCAAGATAGGTATATACGCTATACATTCTGCTGGCTATGATCGATTCAATTGCAATATTCAGCCCTCGGCTCGGTCCTTTTAGGCTCTTGGCCCGCAGCAATCGTGAATATCAAAGCAGGTACGGGCTGCTGATGGCACTCAAGACTCCAGACTTGATCGAAGTGGGTCAAGTCAAGCAGCGTGGAGCTATAGCTAGGTTGTTCACGATACTTGAAACCAGCCGCTGCATGCCCGCTCCATCTAACGTTGGTGGGTGGCAAGAGTAGTACTGAGCATTGTGATTCACATTTGCAGAAAGTATAGGTGGGTTGAGCATCCAAAGTACGAGAGCGATTGGTAGCTGCAGCATCATCACTTGTCCGCATCAGGCCGGAGTGATTTGTGCGGCTGATCTTGGACCCTGTAAAGTGCCGTCATGGCAAGATGAGGGTAGCGATGATCTACCCTCATGAAATGTATAAGAAGGCAGTCATCGAGCTCCAAGTTGGAGCACACAACTCCTCTCAGCAGACAAACGTAGCCGAAGCTCTCTGAACACAGACTCACTTCGATCACCCCACTGTCCACACACGGCCATCAAATAAGGCAAGATGCAACTCTCTATGCTCCTCGCTGTCGTCATTGGCGCTGTGTACGCTCAAGCTGCCCACCACATCAGCTTCCAAGTGTCCGGCTGCTCCACTGCCATCATGCAGGTTCCTGGACGTGGCGTCTTCGGTGCTGGAGAGTACGACTTTGACGGAGATGTCAATGGTGAGTCACGTGTGCTGAGCGAGACGTTCTTCTCGTAGTGTAGCCATTGGCGTCGCAATTCGCTCACAGTGTCCTCCGCTACTTACGCCAGGCATCATCGCATCTGCCGGCAATGTCGCGTGCAGCCAAGATGGCGTTCCATGCACTTCCATCGAGGCTTCCCTCAACAGTGGCATCTCTTCCGCCGACATTACCTTGATCCCTCCTCACCAATACTCGGCTGCTGCCGACATGACCATCACTGGTGCCAATCCTGGAGCTGCTGGCAACTTTGCCAGCTGCCACGATCCCAACTGCCCAGACGATCAGGCTTTCCACCAGCCCACTGGTACCGAGGCCATCAGCCAGCGTCAAGTCAACGACCCCAATTCTGGTCTGATCGCCAAATTCACTTGCTAAGCTGTCTCGAGCATTTTTCTCTCGATACGCCTAGTCTACAGTATGCTTCCCTCGAAGCAAAGACCCAGAACGGCATCGACACTTTGCTGAGTCGCCCTGTTCTGAGCCTCTTGAAGCTTGTACCCTAGCACGACGCTCGCAGACACTGCCCAACTCTGTCGTCCAGTGTGCACGAAATCGATTCAGAATGCTGATCTCGGGTCTGCCTGAAGCCCCTTCTGTCTTGGAGCTTGCGACTGATCTGGATCATCGTTTCACAACGTCTGAGCTGCGAATCCTGTTCCATGCTTTTCCTGGCTTTGACATATGCCTCCGCTTTCAACTTTGATCCAAGAAGGCCCAAAGCGTGCGCGATGTCTGGCATCAGAGCTGACGTACCGATGCCGAGGTGGATGTGGTTCATCAACTTCCTGAAGACGGTCAATCAACTGCGTGCCAGGTCTCACCAGCAGCACAGGTCAAACTTGGTCTGATCCGGACGGGTAAGGTCACATCACGTGATCAGATCTCTACGTCACGTGTTCTTTGTGTGCTGACAAAATGTTTGCTCTTCGCCCCGTGCGAAGTCCTCCACCTTTCGAAGCCAATCTCAAGGCCAATCACAACCGCTTCGATCCCTTCTTCAGTCGTGAGTCAGCTTGTCAACACTCTTGACTAGCAAAGTCACGATACCCCTGCATACGGCTGTTCCAAGGCGATACGCGCATCGGACCTCATAGTCAAAAAATAAGCAGCATCCACATCGCTCCGCCAAGATGTCTGCCAGCGCCAAAGCTCTTCACGGGCGCTTCATTTCTCTCGCCTCGGCATGGCCCCGAGACCCTTTACGACCCACGGCCCAATTTGGTCTATCCATCCGAGCCGCAGCAGACCGAGCATTCTTGGTTAGCCCGCCCTCGGAGACACAAGACATCATGGACGGCAAGCTGCCCAATGCGCGCAACGGAGTTGGACACGCTGCGGCGAAGGGAGAGGTCGGCGCTGGGTCGGAGGTTGCCAAGTTCAAGCAGCTCAGTGCGGTCGAAGAGAGCAATGCGGAGAGAGCATTGTCGGTCTTGCAAGCGTTGAAGGATGGATCTGCAAATTCTGAGGTGCGTGCAAGGGCCTTGTGTTCGCAGACCTGAGGACGCGGTCCGAGGTTCGTGTGTCGCACGTTTCATGCAGCACGGCTTGCCAACTTCCTCGCCCGCCCCCATATCTTTCCACAGTACCCCACTCCAAGCTCCATTTTGAGACCGGCTTCGCATCCTGAATACTACGATCAGCTGCTCCAGACGATCCAAAAGGCTTCACAAGGTCAAGATGTCAGCCCAAGCTTTGGGCAGCGGGTCAAGCTTTTTTTCGGGATGAGGTGAGAGGTCACCCTTACAAGGGAACAACGGGCGATGCGCATAGGATTCAAGTCATATAAGGTTGCAGGCCACCGACAGAGTGTGAAGGACTCCTGAGTTGGGGCGCTGAATACTGCGTCACCTTGTCACAAGCAAGAAGGAGGGAAGATGCCTGTTATGTGTTTCCCAGACGCGATGTATAGCCTTACCCACCTCCTCTGCAGGCTGATGCTGACATATGAGGCACATCAGCTACGCTGTGCCTGCAATGCTCGTTGACTTCTGATTGTAGGCGTTCCAAATTCATGTCAATTGTGTCAGACCAATTCGAAGGATGCAGCGTTCCGATATCCATTTCGTCCAAATGTTCGGCTTGGCTCGTTACATTGAGCTAGGTGAGGCAGCCGCACCACCAGCTCAGGCTTGCCCGACCGTTCCTCGATCGCCTTCTTGATGGCTTCCAGCTTGTTCACTGTCCTTTTGACCCGAGAATTTGCGTTCAGCGAGAAACATGGCCCTCTCGACTCTCCTCATTTCCGCCTTGTCCATCTTTCTAGCCCTCTTAAGCCTCAGCACAGCTCTCATTCTGCTTCGCCTCTCTGCCCTCCTCCTATTCCTTTCCACAGTACCCGCACCCCGATACGACTTGCTGCCCACATTCACCACCTTCAAGGATCGACCCTTGAAGGCTCGCTGCTCGTCGAGCGAGAGCGGAACGGACGAGGTTTGCTCTAGTTCTCCAGTCTCGCGATCCCGAATGTACTCGGGCTTGGATGAGGGCATCGCGCTGATCTGTGCTTGTCGCTCCTGGGTGGCAGCCTCCAAAGCAGGCCTGAGCACCTCTGGGGGCTGTGGGAGCGTGAAAGGAGAGCGCACAAAATAAAAAGCATGTCAACTTCGGAATCTGTGCAAGGTATACCAGCGTCGCGTTGTGATCGCAATACTCACATCGGAGCCCTCGTCGACCATCTCACGGTGAGGTCCTCTGATATCCAGCACTTCATTCGACTTAGGATTCGACTCCACAGGAACATCCTCATCGATGGCTTGATTCGGATCAGAACTCCTACCATCCGCACCGCCCTTGTTGCTCGGAGCTCTGTAGAGGGGCGAGAGGACAGGCGAGCGGAATTGGGACGCATCGCTCGCTCCTCCCGATTCTGCTGCAGCTGCACGCTCCTGTAAGCGAAGCTTGGCAGGTTTCGCAGCTGAGCCCAGGATCTGTTCCATTGAGGCTGCGAAGTGCGTCTGTAGAGGTTGACCCTGTGGCGCGATGGATACCAAAAGCAGCAAATGGAGAAGATTCGGTCAGCATCGACGTGCTTGCTGCGCGAAAGGACTCCGTGGCTCCTTTGCGCGGTGATTTGCTAAGGGCTCAGAGCCGCTGTGCAGTTCCTCCTTTGTGATCCCGGCATTTGTCACTTGGAAACCCGCGTTGCGCTCAGAGTGTTCAAAGGCTGATTTATAACCACGTAAAATGTGTGTCTTCAAGACTAATCGTAAAAAGATCTCATCACTGTGCCACGCCTTGCCTTCCCTTTCTTCGTTCCAAACTCCGCCACGTCCCGAGACAGCACTTGAGCTCCACTCACATGAGCAGTGAATTCTCTTTCGAGGGCACAGAGACGGAGCACGGCTTCGACGCGCTCGATGGATACGCCGAAGCGAGAGCTTATCTCTCGAGCTGATCCAGTGTCCCGTGGCGAAGCTTGATGTTGTGCCCACATCTCGTCGCGGATGTGACTGGCGATTGGCGGAGAAGGGTTGAAGGTCTTGTTCAGTGGAAAGGGCTTCGAGGTGAGAAAAGCGGTATGGCTTGCGTCAGCATATCTGCCGAGCGTTTACTTCATAGCACGAGGTCATCTTCGTTGAGGCGCTTGCTCACTGTATCAGAGATCCAGAAGGGCCCGCGAGTGTCAGAGGGTGGCTGTCTCCACTTCTTTGCATCTTCTGATTTTAGCCATTCCTCGTACGGCGGCAGTCTTCTGGGGGGAGCGCGAGGTTTCCTGGAATCTCTCCCTCTTCCGCCTGCCCCACCCGAGAACCTTCCACTCGCTCCTCCAGGTCCGAATCTGCGACCTGGTCCTGATCTGTTGGAAGAGGGAAAGGTTCGACCGCCAGAGTATGCCCCTGAGCTTGGACCGCCTGCCGAACGTGCTCGGGCAGCTCCACCTTGAGCATCGCGCTGGGCGAAAGAGGACGATCGCTGACCGGAAGGTCTGGATGTGCTGGGGGAAGCTTCCTGAGCTCGACTCGCCTCTGAGGTGTGCAGCGCCCTCCTCGAAAGATCTGTGTATTCCGTAAGAGGCACGCAGGGTGATGTGCGAGTCCTAGCAGCGGCGACAGAAACTAGCGTTCGCCGGAGCGACGCCATGTTGAAGCTTGTAGACATCTTTGATGCAAGACAGCTGGCTTGCCCAGCCAGTCGTGGTGCCGCTTTGAATACCAATGCGAAGGTGCTCCCTTTGCAGGCAGGTTGGGGGCGCGAAGGTCATCCAACGGCTCCGGTCTGTCCAGAAGACTTGAATAGCTGACGCTCACGCTCAAGCGTATATGCTGGGGGCCTGCGAGAAGATTTAGGCACCGCCGCGCGCCAGAAACACGTGGATCCCCGCGCGCGGGCGCGGGCGCGACCGCCCGCTCCGACGAAGTCTTGAGTCTAGCTCCTCAAAATCAGCATTTGAATCTTGAATGTGACGTTCAAGGACTTGAAATGAAGTTGGGCATTACAAACGTGAATGAGCAATTCAGTCGGTCACCTTTCACTTCAATGCGCCCTTCGACTGTCCAGACACCCAAATAGCCTTCAGAACGGAACCATCCAGGTCAGCTCAGCACCATCAGCGCTGACAGCACACACGCTATTGTCCTGAGCATTGTGTTGTGACCTCACTGCTCGTATCGCAGAGCACCGAGCTCCGCATCAGGAACGAACCTGAAGGTCTTACCCCGTCTCCAGCCTCGAACTCTTCGCAGCACCCTCACCCCCTGAAGACACACCGAGTCAAGATGGCGCGCAACAAAGAGAAAGCCCAGTCGATGCTCCATCGTTTCCGAGAAGCGCAAGCTATCGAGTTGGGTCTGGGGTCTGGCGCTACGGGTAGAGGACCGGGAGCGGGAGATAGGAGACCCAGATTGGCTAGTTCGGTCAAGACTCTGAAAGAGTGCGAGAAGTGGAGGAGCGAAGTATTGAGGGAGATCAGTAGAAAAGTCAGCAAGATTCAAGATTGTGAGTAAATGACGTCCAAAGTGGGGCCACGTATGCTCAGAGAGGACTCCATGATGGCTGATGCACATCAAGAGGTGCCGCTCTCTACCTTGCTGTTAATGCTCCCAGTCGGTCTGACAGACTACGAGGTTCGAGATCTGAACGATGAGATCAACAAGCTGATCAGAGAGAAGGGTCATTGGGAGAGCCAAATTGTCAACCTGGGCGGAGCTAACTACAAGCGGGGAGTTCCCAAGATGCTTGACGATTCCGGCAAGGAGGTGCCAGGCACGCGAGGTTACAAGTGAGTTGCGGATGTGTAAGGATTCTGAAGCTCCGCGTGTTTTTGCGCCTTTAGGACTGAATCATTGTTTCTTCGCAGGTACTTTGGTCGAGCCAAAGATCTGCCAGGAGTCAAGGAGCTCCTCTCTCGCACGCAAGCAGCAGAGGACGAAGCTGAGTCTTATCGCGTGTCGCGGTATCGACGCTTCCTGAACCAGCCTGGTTCGTATTACGGCGATGACGACGAAGAAGACACCCCAAGTGCTGGTGGCTCAAACTTGCTGGAAGAGGAAAGAAGAGCTGAAGAGGCGAAGTGGAGGGAAGGATGGGCCGACTTGCTGGAAACTTTGGACGAGGAGTTGCCGGACGACGGAGTGAGCGCTATTCCCAGTCTGCCAAGCCAGAGACCCAAGCGATGGAAAGACATTATCAGTGCGGGCGGACTGCAAGCCTCACCCGCCACGCTGGCCGAGGAGAGCACGTCTACTGAAGGGGCGGCAAGCGCGCGAGGCAAAAGGAGCACAGCGGGCAGGCCTTCCGACTCGGACGAAAAGGGTGGGAAGAGGGCCAGGGGTGAGGATGGAGAACCGCTAGACGGCTCGGAGGCGATCGCCGAAGAGACGCAAGATGTTGAGATGGCTGGTGCTGGTGCAGAGATCTCAGCTAGACCGCCCGAACAAGCCATCACTGCCAACGATGCTTTCTTCGACTTGCTAAGTGCTTTGGACAAGAATGAGCTCAAGACACCAAGCGTACCCGATAGAGGCGTCATAGAGCAATTACTTTTGAGGCAGAGGAAACGAGCGCTAAGGGAACAGTGTGAGTCGTGTCCGCTTCTTCTTGATGCCCCGCGGGCAATGCGCATCCTCCTCACACTTTGCACTTTTCCTCAGACATTGGCTGAATGCAAAGCCCACGAAGTGCATCGCGCATCGGACACTGCCATCCAGTCTTGGTGTGGACGTGCCATGCACAGGTCCTGGACATTGGGGCGCATCAATGAATATCTACACCATCACACCGAGAGAGGACATTTCAGCACGACCGCACGTCACAGGCTCACTCGTCTCTCGCTCGTCTGGCCGAAAGTGTTGGCGAAGATATATTGGTATTGTAGGGAGTCCAATGTTAGAGACGTTGTGGCGATTGCGACGATCTAGGAATACTGTATGCAAAGTACGGCGGTGGATTGAGGGCTAATGTGTAAGATCGACAGGCGAGGGTGCGAACGTGCCCAAATGGGTTGGATCAAGACCTGGCGGATACTCTGGAAGGTCAATATCTTGTCCGTCGCCACGTAAACATCATAAGAAACCCTGATCATGCAGGGAGTCTAGGAACTGCGCGCTCTGATCGTCAGACATCTGTCTATGCTGGGTCCACTTGGACGATTGCGCAAAAGCTTTCAGACGGCTTGAAGATGTGCGTTTGGAAATCTCTGGCGCACCGTGCGCAGGCAGTCTTGGCAACTGCTTCATGTTTCGGCCCTCGTCTCCGCCCGGCGGGGACGGCTGCTGCGGACCGGCATGCGGAGTGTGCGTTGCAGAGGGAGAAGGGAGATGTGCATCTTGTGCTGTGGAGGGGCGTCGAAACCAGCCGGCTTGGGTAGCGGCGGAGCCCACGAAAGGCTGCACATAGTGTCCGGTGGCTGGGCGGGCTTGCAAAGCGAGGTATGCAGCTTTCACTTCTTCGCTCGCTGTCGGTGGTCGTCGAGTGGCCGAATGCTCGCTTGTCTTTGCGCGAGCACGTTGCGAGGAGCGCCGAGGGGAGAGCGAGCGATCAGCGTTGCTGTCGTGGTGTGTCGGCATGTGCTCGACGCCCCCGAATGACGTGTGCACACCAGCAAGTTGGCTCGTCTGAGGTTGGTATCTTGATCGCGATTGGGAATTTGCATCCTCTTGTCCCACTGACGCTCCACGGCGTCGACTTGTGGGGCTACCATGCACTCGAAGTTGAATACCGTACGAAGAGCCAGGCGGAAGCGTTGCCGATTCAGAGCTGAGGGCGGTGGAGGTGAGCAGACCTGCAGACTTTGGCTGGTGCTGGTGGGTAACAAAGGTAGCGTCACGAGGAGGGGAGGCGGGCAAGTCGGTGGACTGGGCGCTGGGGCCGTGCTTTGAGCTGAGACTTGCAAAGCTACGTTTAGCGAGCGCCGCCCGATTCATTTTGAACGGTACGAGATTATGATTTGGAGCGTTCGAAGACACGCCAGGCGCGAATTGCTGGCCTGTAGGCGGATTGCCGTGAAGCGAGCGTGCCGAAGATGTGTCGGAAGGCGCGAGACTCTGTCTGATAGGTCTACTCAAAGCGCCGCTATCGGGGTGTGTCAATGTGACTGGAGAGCTCGCAAGTGGCCTCATGCTACACGAGGTGCCGTCATCTGATGGCGTTCTTGGCATCGTTTCGCCTGCCAGATGGGCAGGTGCGGACGCAGGTGAGCCAATGACCGGCACCGAGTCGATGTTGCTAGCTATCATTTGCTTGCGCATCATGTTCAAAAGTCTGCCTTTGCGAGCTTTGACGGGGTCCAACAGCGTTGCGGAGCATGAAAAGCCGACAGGTCGCAAAATCTGTAACGAGGTAGCGATCGATCAGTACTGGGAAGCGCCAAAGCATGGACTTAGATTGAAAGCTCACCTTTGTTCTCGAGCCAGCGTCAACGTCGACATTGTATGTGAATCTCCAGGCAAGGCTCCCTTTACGCTCAATGCCCGAGACTTCATTCGTACCAACTTGGGCAAGAGAGAGATTCGCCTGGCGCGCCAACAAGTCTCCCTTCATGTCGTCACCAACCGTCAAGTGCCTCAACAAAGCCATCGAAGGAGAGCTGCCCTCGTTCTTGGCTCGAAAAGATATCGCTGTGGGCGTGGAAGGACTCGACGGGTCCACAGCAGGGCCGAACTCCAGAATTCCGAGTTGTTCGTCAGCGCTCACTTGAACACCTCCTTTGGACTTTGGTCTTTTGGGAGTGGCTGGGCGACCATTTGCCGTGATTAGTGAATCGTTGTTGCAGAGGCTTTCCGGAGCGCCAAAGGGATCGTAGTAAAGGTAGGTCATTCTGACGATCTCTCGCTTGCCTTCGTGCTCAAGGTGAAGTGTCAATCCTTCGGCAAGGTGGCTAGCCCACCCGCCTTTGCTCTTGGGACGAGCAGAGGTAGGTCGAACGGGTGCTTTGACAGTACCGTGCTTGCCGAGCTTAGGCGAAGAGATCTGCACAGACCCTGCGAGATGCGTCGTCGACGACTGCGGAGTTTGCAGGATCGAGTGCGAGCAAGATGACGGAGACGACTCGATCGTGTCTGTCCTGCTTGGCCTTCGCGACTTCTTCAGATCAGTCGACGATAAGCCAGTCACGTTGCTGCGAGAAGTTTCGGGTCGCTCTAGAATGCATCTCCTCAGCTCATCGGAATTGCTAGAGGTGTGTCGCCGGTCAGCCTCGCCGAGCGTTCGAGACCTGAAGCGCCCGCCCGACACGGGTCGAATTGGACGGGTTGCGTCGGCCTTGGTAGCTGCGGTCTGGTTCTTCAGCGGCACGGCACTGGACAGAGGTGACGTAGGATGCGCGATCGTTGGAAGGGGGTTAGCCGATGTGTCGGTGGAGTTGAATCGCCAAGCTGCAGCCGCTCGCAGCTTGGGCGTTGATACAGCGCGGAGTCTAGCACTCAGTCCTCGCTTCTTCACCGTGATTGCAGTATCTGTCGAGAGGGTGAACTCCATCTCGGCACTGAAGTCAGAGCGACCGCTACTCGCAGAATGTGGTGGCGTGACGTTCTCGCTCGTGCGCGGTCTGTCCACGTCGCCACGGTGGTGACGAACGGCAGAGGATCGGCTAGCTATTGTCTGTAGAGGAGAAGTAGGTGACCTCGCCACTGGCTTCGATGCTTCTCGTAAAGGCTGGTGATGAGAGGTCCACAAGATCGAGTCTTCGGCCGGTGCAGTAGCAGGACGGCTTTGGGTGCCAAGCGCAAGCGATAGTGTTTGGAACTCCTGCTTGGTCTCAAGCAGCTGCTCATGCGTAGACTCCATCGAAGATCCTGACCGAGAGCTTGCTGAGTCATCGCGTGGCGTGAAGACCTCGATGGACTCCTCGGTTCCGTACGTGGAGGCGGAATGTCGCAGATTCGTTCGTCGTTGAGACGGCGAGCAAGCTATACTGGCCTGTCGAAAGGCGCCGGGAGTATGCTGGCCATGCGTGGGCGAGTCCATGCTGTACGATGGGCTGAAGTATCGCTGTGCCTTGCCATAGAGAGCAGGGTCTGCAGACGCGAGAATTGAACCAGAAGAGCGTCCCTCAGTAACTTTGTGAGGTTCCTCGTTGGCGCGCAATACATCTTGGGCACACCGAGTACCGTGACTTTGATGTGAAGCGTTGGTCGGAGTCCTGAATGCAGAGGATGAAGGCGTGTTCTGGCTCAAGGTGCTGCGTCCAGGCGAAAAGGACCGCGCAGTGTACAACTGGCTGTCGTAGCTGACCGAAATGGGCATGGAAGCGGCGTTGATGTCGCGACGTGGCGAGTGCCGAAGATGATCAAGCTGAAGAGCGGAAGGCCTCCTCTTCTGCAAACGTGTTGGCGTACCTTTAAGTTGGGAAAAAGTGGTGCTCGTCGGTGTAGCAGCTGAAGCCCCGCGAACCTCGCTGGCTGGCAGTGCTCGCGTCGATGTAGGCTCCACGCGAAGCGACTGCGCGTCAGGTACGGTCAAGCTATTTTCTTCCAGGTGCTCAAGGATCTCGAATCGAGGGTTTTGTGCCAATGACTGAAGTGAAGAAGCCGAACTGGAGCTGGCGTTTCGAAGCATGATCCTGGGAGCAGAGTCTGCGGCGCAAGATGCCGCGCCGCTTGAGCGTCGTAGGACGTCCGCTTGTGATGTGGCGATGGTGTCGAGAAAAAATGGGCAGTCTGCTGAGCTCCACAAGGTGGATATGCTACCTGCACGAGACTCGGAGCGGCCAGCTTCGCTGCCGAGCATGGGCGAGGGATTGGCAATGCTCGGTCGCTTGCTGTTCAGACCCAGAGCAGAGCTCTGACCAGAAGACGAGCGATGATCAAGCGAAGAGTCTGCCATGATGATGCCGAGAGCAGCGGTGCCAGAACCGAAAGGAGACTGCGCGTGTGATTGCTCCGTAGTGCGTAGCTGACCGTGTAGAGGTGGGAGGGCGGCGACCACAAAATTTGGAGTTGTAGCGTCTGAACGATACTGCTCGAAGCTGATGGATGGTTGCAAATGTTCGAGTGCTGGGTAGGGTCGAGCGGGCGTCTTGCGTGTCAGTGACTTTTGTACAGCGAAGAGACAGAACTGGGCGTGGCTTTCGACGCTTGTTGAGACAACCCGGAACGCTGCGAAGACGATTGTATAGACAAGAGGGAACGATCAAAGTACACTATCGTTATCAACGCAAAGCCACGAGAAGGGGATCGAGTCTATGCTGTCAGCTCGTGCTGTTGCGGGTATTAGGAGGCGAAAAGCGTTGCCGTGCGCAGTCGATTGGAGTGCCAAGAATGAGATTGAGTTGGTTTGGGACAGTTGCAAACACAACGAGCGAGACGTATCTTCGATGACGCGGACGTGAAAGCGCTGGAAAGTGCCGGTATGTGATGAATAATCGCCGAAAAGACGATGTGATGGGTGTTCCTCGGGAAGGGGAACATCTGGAAACCAGACATTCGACAACTCATAAAGAGGTAGGCAATGCCCTGACGGGTGCGTGGCCATAGGTGACACGAGCAGCTGCTGGATGCGGGCAACGTGCAATCGAGGATCGCGGAAGCTGAGCAGTGAACGCAGAGCAACGGAGAAAGGGCTTAGTTGTCTCTCACTCGCGTCAGACACGGCCCTCATCCGCTTGCTGCAAAGAAGCCAGATGGAGAAGACCGGCAACGAGCTGCTGCTGCTACTCCAACATCGAATACCATATGGACTGACTGGCTGCGCAGCTGATGCCAACGAGGCGAGGACCCCCTTGACCGTTGAGGACCGTTGGCGCGGGCTGTAGCCACAAGGGCCGCTACAGCGCTGGCGGTGCTGCGGGGCTCTAGGCTTGTATCCAGCTCTTCGTGTTCTTGGCCCGTGTTTGGTGGGCACTCAGTAGTCTGAAGAGTGCATGTATGCGTCGTGAGCAGTAGCCCAAAGGGGCGGCTTGAGCGCAGACATATTCATGATTCGAGCTTAGACTGTGCAGTGCGCAAATGGATTCCGAGAAGCAATCTAGGGTTGCTGTAGGGATCGAATCGGCCCTGACGTTGGTGCGTGCCGTCCTATCTGGGACGCTGACACTTGTGAGCAAAAGCGACAGCATGGGCGCGAGATGGGACCGATTCAGATGTGAGATGCGATTGCAGGAGTACGGCACGCGCGTACGCGACGGCTAGGGGTCTGTCTGCATGTCGGGGAGCAGTGCCTCGTTCCAAATTGGTATCATCCAGGGACAGTCAAGAGTCGTAGGAAGAGTGAGTGACTGGTGCGTGCTCAAGCTGTTGTGGTGCTACTCGATCGATCAGGATCAAGACTCGTGACTCACACTGTGTGCGCGCCCTAGTCCGCACGAGCTTAAGCGAGAAGGGAGAGATTCAGCTGTCGCTGAAGTCAGAAGAGAACTATATCGACTCGCGCTAGTATACCCGATCACGAATGCACGAGATGAGTGAGGGCTTGCGGCCCGCTCAAGCATGCTGCAGCTACAGGCCCTACAGGCCCTTCAAGGCCTCAATCATATCCTCTTCCGGCCCATCAGGAACGATGATGAAGACGTTTGTGAGACAACACGCGTCATTTTCGCAATCGCTCTGCAAGATGTCCGCACCGCCATGGTCATGGCAGCAGCAGCTGCTCTGTCGCTAAACCGGTACATGCGCACATGGACAGCATACAAGGGCAGTAATAATCGTGAACAACGTGAGCGCGTGCGCACGCGCATGCGCATGCGCAGCGTGCGTGCAAGTCTGCTGCTGCTGCTGCTGCTGCTGCTGCTGCTGCTGTGCGCGCTGAACCGTTAATTGCGGCCTGCAGGTGCCCTTGCAGTCAGCAGCAGCAGCGAGCGGGTCGAATTGATCAAAGAGGGTCTTCAATCACACCTGATGCCGAGAGAGGCAAGCGTGATCAGCAATCGAAGGAATGCTGGGCTCGCCTTTGACGCTGGATGCGATTCACATTCAGATGGAGCACAATTAAGCGTCGCATAACGTCGGTCGTAGGTCGCGGTCAAGAGAAGAACACGAGCTCATGGTCAGCGCGCGCGCTCGACTCGACCGTGACACATCGGAGAGCAAGTCGTGTCAGACGTCTGATGACGATCGATGCGGCCTCAAGTTTCACATTCAGTGATTCAAATCGCGACACAGCAAGCCTTGGCACGCGTTGACAGCTTTACGGGCAAGAAAGAGTACGAATGGCGCGAGTAAAGAGATCGAAGCTGCGATCACGAACCATATGCGTATTCAGAGTCCGACAGCAGCAGCCATGCAGACACCTGAGCTGGATTCAGACGAGAGCAATGCTCGGCCTTCTTATAGCGCCATATATATTTGTCGTCTACCGTCAAGGCTCGAAACCTTTCATGGACAGTCACGAGTATTCGAGATTCAGATTGCGTGCAGCGAGATGGCGAGTTTGCGAATGGCCGAGCATGCCAAAGTGCGGAGTAAAGATATTGGTGAGGTGCAGCATCAGAGGCGAAAAGAGGGGATGACCGCTTGAGCGTGGGAACTTCGTTGAGGTCACGCTTGCGCGTTTGGCCAAACACAGAACGCGCCTATGAGAGAGCACTTTCTCACTGCCTATTGGTGACTCTGTGCGGCCCAAGAATCGCGTCGCGAACGCGTGAGGGCCGCGAAAGACGCGGACTTGAGCTTCGACCCCTTGCAGCACCACACACTTACGTACAACAGTCTGCCAAACGGAAGTCCGAGGTCCACAACTTATCTCGGATTTCCATGCTTATGGATAGCGCGAGCTTCGCCTTGCATGCATCGAAGCAGCACACAGTACGCGAGTCGAGCGAGCAGTGAGTCAAGTCAACATCCCAAACGTTGGGGGATGGAAGTTCGGGTCCAGTCTTGTGGTCTGCATTGACGAAACTTGAACGTCAACGGTCTCCAGCAGGGCAAATCCGCGTCGACTGCTTCACAAGAGCGACATGATGAGCGAAGCACACCCAGCTTACATACTTAGAATCGCTAGCAAATGGAGACAAGGTACATATGGAGACGGTTGGCAAGATTGGCTGTGGTGAGGCCCCCAGGAAAAAGTGCGTCGAAGAGCAGATGACTCGGTCTGAGCAACGTGTGAATCGAAGGGTATAAAGAATACGTGAGTGGGCATAGTGGAGAAAAGGAGCTGATTTGAAGTCAACTCGGACGCAGTGGAGTTTACAAGAAACCACTCTCTTGCAGAAGGCGCGCGATCTTCTCGTCTTCTCGTTCGCGGGGCTCCAGGCGGAGACTCTGCTCGAACAGCTCGTCATCACCTCGGCTGTCCATCATGCTGTCTTCGATGAACTTCTGAATTGGCTGAACGGGCGTCAGATTGTACGGCGTACTCTGGTAGATCATGATCTCCCCGATCTTCTCAGCAGTCATCTGACGCTTGCTGAAGTTGATGAGCCGCTCGTCAGTCTTGAGATGATCAGAGTTGCCGTCTTCGATGAATGTCAGATCCGTGAGGTAGACTCCCAAGAATGGAACGCATGGCGGATTGAGCTGGCGCAAGGTGTGTCGGTAACGCGAGAAGTTCTTCGTAGGGGCGAGAGTCACCTTCATGTTCTCGAACATTGCCAGGTGTCGCTGGTTCACCGCGTCCCAGGTTCGGCGCAAGCGGTTGAGAGCAGCGTTGTTCAAGCCGGAGTAGATCGCCATCATTGACGAAAAGTTGTTGAGAGCAAAGCATCGGTCGGCAATCGCGACAAAGTGTTTGACGTAAGCAGCGCGTTTCTTGAGATCCTCCTGAGTCAATACACTTTCGGACACCCAACCGCTCACGCGGTTGTTTGCGCTGATGGAGTCTCGAATGCCCTTTGCGATCGTCTCGCCATTCGACTGAGACCAGGCTTTCCCCAAGCATTCGACTGGCCTGATCTGATTGTACAGTCTGCTGTCGATGAGTGTGAGCTGACGCGCCATCTCGAGAGGGTCAATCTCGAGGAACTTGACTTTGCGCGAGTTTTTGGGCACGATGGGTTGCGGCGCAGAGGTGGGCATGACCATTTTGCGAATCATTTGCTCCCCGTCGCCTTGCTTGCGCTCTACCAGCCTGATCAGGAGCTTCGAGGGCGTCTCCATGGGCAGCGACTGTGCCATTTCATCAAGAGCGAATTCCTTGATGCGCTTCAAGTGATCGTCATCTTCTCCCTCGTAGAAATGTGACTCAATCCACGATTTGAGCACGTTGAACACCCTAACAATGAAAGATGTGGTTCAGCAAGGCAGCATGACCTCACGCCGAGATTCGTTGTAGGACTCACCTCAAGCGGATGGGCGTCTGCTTCTTCTCCGTCCATACCGTCTGTTCCTCAGGCGACAGCCCAGGGGGCATCCGTATCCGAAAGCGCGCAAAGAGCAGATCGAGGAAAGTCTCAGTCGTTGTGAAAGATCGATAGGTCATCAAGAAGGTGTTGTTGAAGGTGGGATCGAACGTATTGTGCATCGTCAGGCGCTCCATCAAGGCTCCCAGCGTAGCACCCTTTACCTGGCCAGTCGCGTTAAAGACTAAGTCCTGAGGAGCATAGTCGGGTTCCAGGAACCATGGGATTTCTTCGGTGGGCTTGCTGCTGACAAGGCTAGGCGTGTGGCTCGCAGCGGTGCTAGAAGCATGCGAAGAGTCGGCGGTCGCTTTAGAAGCAGACGCTTCACTCTGGGAAACGCCAGGTGGCGGCACCAAGGGATCGTCGCCGAAGAAGCGCTTCATCTTACTGGCGCTCTTGGACCTCGCAGCCTCGAGGGAGTCGCTGTCGGCAGTGCCATCGGTACCGCGACGGGGCAAGAACTTTGAAGAAGAATCTTGAGATCCTACAGAAACACCCGTGGTGACGGAGGTCGAGCGCGTGCGCATGCCCATACCACTGCGAACGGACGGCGCCATGGAAGACTTGCTAGAGCCCGCAGCAGGCGTCCGCGGCTCAGCGCGATTAGCGACGGGACCGTTTGGCACTGACAGTCCTGGTCCTAGATACATGACCTCGTCCCCCGCGGTTTCTCCACTACTCTGGGGTCCGTCCTTGACGGCAATATGCACATTCTCGGTACCATACACCTTTGAACGCGCTCCTATGCTCTGCATCGACTCGCTGGCCTGCTCTTCCGCGATGTCTGATATGTCGTGCAGCAGGCCAAGCTGGCGTTGCATCAGGTTGGACAGTGCTCGAGCGTGGAGCAGCATCCGTTCCATCAAGTCGCTGTCAAGGCTTGTCGACGATGGCTCGGTCGAAGCATCTTGCGCGTCCATCATGAGATTGGAGCTACAATCGTAAGCACCCTGCTTGACGCTTGAAAGTGCATGCAGTGCAAGTCGGGCATTGACAACGCTGACCATGAGTCTGCGTCGCTCATCGTCGGCTTCGTCACCCTCGGATGCAGCGGGGCCATCAACGTCGATGACGCCAGCCACGTCGAGCTCTTCGACCAGTGTCATAATGGTACCGAAGCGTATCAGAATAAACTTGACCTGGGAGAGGAGCATTTGAATGCCCGGCCGGCTCAAGCGTTGTGCTGCGGCGTCAGCTTTCAGGCCAAAAGGCATTTGCGATGAACGTGGGCTCCGATCCGCTTGGGGTGCGCCTCCACTCTGTATGATTCGGGCGAGCTCATCGAGCTGACGATTGAGGTCGTCGTGATGCGATTGCAGGCGCTCGTCCAGCACTCTGTTGTTAAGAAGCTGAGTTGGTCTTCGGCGCATTGCCACTTTGCCGGAGGCTAAGGCGTTTTGTGCATCTCGAGTAAGCTCGAACGGGTTTTGAAACGAGCCCATTGACTCTGCACGAAGAGCGGCAGCTTCGGTTGCGTTCGGAAGGACGAAACCGGATCCTCGCCATCCTGCGGCGCTGCCACCTCCCAGTAGCTCAAGTCCGATGCCGGCAGTGCCTTTACCACTAACAAGCACGCCTTGGACTCTGCGGGCCCATGGTGCCGTAGCGGCCGAGTGATTGCGCGCATTCTTTGCCTGGTAGAGCTCTATTGCGAATGCACCGAGTACCCTTCCGAGCTCGATAGCTTCTTCTCGAACGCGTTGGCGGTAGTTTGTGAGCTTTTCCACGAAAGCTTCTTCCCGCTCTGGATTACGAATGGCCGCCGTCTCTGGTGCAGGCTGCTCGATCACCGCGCGTACGGAAAGCAGAAGTTTGGAGACGATAGCTGTAACTTTGCTGGCGGATATGGAGAGCGACGGGGGCGTCGGTATCGCTTGCTGAAATGCCGTAGCTATCGCCGCTTCTTCATGCGTAGCCCCTTGCACCCGGTTGTTGACTGCCGCGATTGCTGCTTGCAGCGCATGAAGAGCGGACGTTGGCGCTTGGCTGTCAAAAAGGCTCACGAGCTCGGACAAGCTCGAGAGCTCTGATTGGGCCATGCCAAGTGCACACGCAGCGTATAGTACATCACGAACAGCGTGCACGGCATCTCGTGTGGCGATGCCCAACCTTGTTGTCTCGTGGAGGAGGCTGCTCGATGTTGATCCGTGGCGGTGGTCAAGCTCGCTTTTGCCGTCAACACCGATGGGCTCAGCAGCGATGGATAGGACCATGCCAATGAGCTTATCGGCGTGATCTACCAGCAGCTTGGTGGAAGTGGGTGGAGGCGCGTCGAGCGCATGTTGTAGCTCCAAAGCTTCCTGCTCGTCGCTCAGCATCGAATGTGGTGCGTCAAGAAGCGAAGTGGGTGCAACTATACTCTTGGTGCGCTGTTTGGCCTCATAGGCTAGGTGAGGTGACTTTCCGGGCAAGGAGGCAGCAGTAGCGTCCCATTCCAAGTCGCCGGATCGCGACCCCGACCTACTTCGCTGAGTATCTGCTCGTGTCTTGCGACCGCCAACCTCGTCCGCGAGTTCCTCCAAGGACTCGAGAGAGCCTGTGCGCGGATCTGAACGGAGGGTGCGCAGAGCTTGTGGTGGGGCATCATAGCGTGATTCTTGTGTCTCCACGTTGTAGTAGAAGAAGGAACGTTCGTCGCTGCTCAATCGAAGCTTCCAGGGTCTAAGGACATCCGCGGGATTTGGCATGGCTCCAATTGGATTGCGTTTCGCAAGGGTGGCAGTATTTGCGCTGTTCACAGTGTTGGAGGACGACATCGACCCGTTGCGCAAGCGTTCTGCCTCTCGTTTCTGCACGGCAGTAGTGCTGGATCCTTTGGAGGCCAACACGGCCTCGGCGTTGCTTCCCGAATAATCAGAGTGATAGGTCTCATCCTCGGAGGTCTGATTACTGCTGCCAGCAAACGCATCTGCACCTTCAAGAGGAATCTCAGAGACCTCTGCCCCTGTGCGAACGTTGACATAGACAATCTGAAGCAACACAGAAGATTGCCTGTCAGCTACAGTCGCCGCACTGCCCCTTCAGCTAGTCATACTCACCTCGCCTCTCGGTGTGAGCTTTGGAAGCCAACTTTCCGCCTCATCCTTCGCACCAGCTTGCCTTCGCCTGGAACCCGAAGTGCCCGCATACTCTCTCGGGGTGCTCGCGGCGGATTCCGATGGTGAGCCCGATCTCGCACCGACATTCGTAGCAGCGCGAGGTCTCAACTGCGCGCCAGCTTGGTTACCAGCAACGCCGATGCTCTGAGATCGCAATCGGTCGCGCTCTCGGTCACTAGGTCCAGCACGCAGGGTTTGCTTGTAGGCTGCAAAGGCTGCCACAGCGTGAGGATGGTCCGCTTCGGTCATGCTAGTTGCCGCGCTACGAGACTGTTGCAAGCTGAGGTCTGTCAAGCTGGTCCCAGCCCCTACGCTATCAAGACCACTGGCTTCGCTCATTCGACTCCTTCTGCGCGCCGCCCTTAGAGCCGAGATAGATTCAGAACCTTCCTGACGATCGGGCCCGCCGTGCATTGCAGCTTCCGCAAGCTGTTCAAAGGCGTCTCCTCCGTCCTTGCTGGCGTCGCCTTGGTATGCCATGAGTTGTTGCATGCCATCTAGCTCCGAGTCGATGCCTAATCTTCTGTATACGCTGGACACATCGCGGAGCCTGCCTTCGTCATCCAGGTCGCCCTCTCTATCGTCTAGCTCATCCTCGGCCGATCCTATCAGATAGCCTTGAGCACGTAATTCTTCCTGCGCCTCTTCTTCGCTGATGACCTCCACGTAGTTGCTCGGGAACCACCCTCGGATGTCTTCTCCCATTAGTCCGTCCCACCAACCGCTGTCGAGCTGAGTGAGCACCTCTATGAGTTGACCTTTCTCAAATGACAGTGAGCTGGAATCTGGGGAGGCGAAGTCGTACATCGCCCGCACGAAGAAGCTGCCACCTTCCCTCCTGCGCTCCTCGTAAGGAGGCGGGGGACCACCTTCCTCGGGTGCTGCCATTGTGACGTGCGCGCAGCCGCGCAGACCTGCGAGACTGCGTCAGAAGAAGCGCAGAGGACGCCGGAAGAGACAGGCGTGTCGGATGTTGGCGAGACTCCTTCACAGCAGTGAGTGGATAGCGAGTGAGGGAACGGGAACGCGGTGGGGTAGTGCTCTGGGCGATCACGCGCTTTGTGAGAGAAGGGTGCTGCTTTGCTGCTTGCACTCACACTCTATAGACGCTTGATGAGAGCGTCTGCGCGTGAACCGCCTTGATGGCTGGTCCAATCCCTACGCGAGTCCGTGAGTCAAGAGTCGAGTCGCGCTTTCTCACAGAGCAAAGATTCAAGCTCCGGCACGCATACATCCACTTTTCACTTTAAAAGGGCACGGCAGCGACCATTTCAAGAATCCTCTTGCGTGTCTTACAACTCCATTTAAAGTCGAACCCGACCTGCGCGCGGGCCCGCTGCAACCAGCAGGCAAACAATAATCAAGAATTAATCAACCATCACAGGGAGCCGCGCATCTCGCGGCAGCATGCAGCGCGGGGGGGGGGGGGGGGGGGGGGGGGGGGGGGGGGGGGGGGGGGGGGGGGGTTGCGACTGTCGGCTCACACCCATGCACAACGCCTGGCAGTGATTGAGACCGAGCGCAGTGAGTCGCGAGAGCTCCTGATCACGGTGGGGTGAGTGTCAGGGATGTGTACGTTCCTTCTACATCGGAAGAAGAGGTGGGTGGAGGAAAATGGCACAAATCAGGCGCCTCATCAATAATGACTCTTAGACCGCCTTGATCGATGCCATTCACGTCCCCAGCACAAGATCCCGCTCGTGTGACGCTGAAGCAACCATCGTGGCCAGGCACGAGACTCGTGGGTCACGCTACACACGCTCGTGTCCGACTCGAATGCCGACCTTTGGCCTATTCTGGGAAGCAGAATCTGGGTTGCGTGACAACTGCAAGGCATATACACAGCGATGGCAGGTCCTAACGTGCGGCCGGCGCTGTCGTGCTCGCTAGCTGGACGGAATCAGATCGGCGCCACGAATGGCATCGCGGACGCCTAAATTCCCCATCGAGCTCTCATGCTCAGCGGAGCGGTACTTTGCGCCATCGGGCATCGCTGTCTATACTTGTGACTGGTGACTTACTACAGCAAAGGAGCGATCAGCCAGGCATGTGAAGCCAAGTGAATCCTCAATAATCACTCGCCTGGCCGAGTACCGGTACAATAGTAGAGTTGAGTACATCTGCCAGATGCGCAAACGTGAGTATCGAAGCGGGCACGCGAGCTGACCTTGGGCCTGTCGCTTGCATGAGAGGACATCGGAGCGTGGGAATCGACGCTACGCACATGGCTCAAGAAGAGCGTTAGTCATCGAATCCCCATCATCTCTACGCAACGGTCTCAACTCTCACCAAGGGAATGGATACACCGCACTCGCAAGGTCTTTGAAGATCACGCGCAAAGGCCAAGACTGGAGTGATGACGCCCATTTAGATGATTCCACCCTCTGCTGATGTTCGAGATTCGTTTCCAGGAGAAGGACACACTGATCACGTGGCAGTGGGCGTAGTCAGCATCAGACTCGACCGCTAGTCTTGAGTCAAGACGATCGGGTGACTCACGACTCACGACCTGCCTTGGGGCCAAAGGGATCCTCACTCACTCATTTCTACTCATCCAGAAGTCGCAAGGGACGGTCGGGTCCGATGCGGCTCTGCTGTGCTACTTCTCAGGTCAGGTGCACGATTCATCGGCAGACAATCACATATCGTGGCCTCCGGCTCACGCTAGTCTGCGGAAAACCAGATGAGAGTCTGCTCTGCTTACACTAAGTCCCTGGAATATCTCGCCACGAGCCAAAGCGAATGCTCTTGCCACCGCCTCCTCGTCGAGAACATGACAAGGCTCGCGGCAGTTGCGCACATATCGCGTTTGTCGGGCAAGACTGGTCTCGCTCTAATCAGCGCGTGCACGCATGTGACTTTGGTCTGTCGTCGACTTCGGAACATGGTGATTTGGGTTGTCGTAAAGTGTGTACCTGCCTTGACTCGTGCAGGAGAACGGCAGGCATCGCTCCAATGTGGTCCAACGATACGACCGCGTGACACTTTAGTCGCAGTCGCGCGTGCTGATCCAGCTTGTTGAAGCGGCGCTTGTACTGTGACGATCGGGCTGACCCGACATCCGCAGAAGAGTAATTTCAAATCCACCCACGACTAATTAGTTCGAAGTAGAGCGTGTGCAGTCTATTACATCGCGAAGCGGCAGGCGCTCCTGACACAGGGAGCTAGCACACTCAAGGTGATGTCTCTACATTTGTCTAAGGGCTGGAGTGCCTCAAGCTGCAGCAGGATAGGAAAAGATCGTGTGCCAATGCGCATTCGGTGATTGAGTGATTTATGCTGTGCTGCGCTTTCGCCTATGCAATACGTAGCCTCGTGTCAAAGGCGCTAAGGGAAGAGGAGAGACGTCCGTCGCATGATTAGCATCCGAAGCTAATGTTTGGCACGCTAAGACGTCTTATTGAAACGTACAGCCTCTTCCAATGTGGACCATGGCATACCTCCGAAATTGAGGGCACCGAGCCAAAATGAAATGGGGTTGTTGGCTTGCACGCCGCACACATAGGTACAGTCACGCACTGTACCGCGCACACTGTATACAGTCACGAGTGCTTTGCGCCAGACTTTGACCACCAGGATGCTAAAGCGAGCGCATGAGTTCCTGCCTCCCAAGACCGGAATTCTGTACCAGCAGTTACTTTAGTCAGGTCTCGCAAGGTGGCAAAAGTCAGCGTCACGAGTGCGGGGAAGCACAACGGCACAACCTGCGCTTGGCGAGAACTTGCTTCCAACCAAACAGAGCTTGCGGGGCATGGCGGGACATTCATGCACCATGTACTCGCACTACAGAAGCTTTCTTTTCCGGGTCTTGGGCGGCTGATGTGGCGGGCGGACTAAGGCAAAATTTGACGGTGTGGTCCAGCTCTTCCTGGCGCACGATACTCTGCCGCCGCTCGGAATGCCAGAAAGCTCCGTGGATGCCGGTGCGGGTGAGGGTGGGGATGCGCATGTGAAACCTCATTGTCCGCTCCAAGCAAGCCTTGGTGTGTGGTGCGTGCCGCGCTTCAGCGATCACGATCGTGGACACACCGTGTAGGTACGTAGTGCATGTTCACGCGCAGGAAAGGAAACAGAATAGTGAGCAGCCACACTTGACCCCACTCGGGCGGACTGCAGAGCCATTCAGCATAGCATTTGGTTTTGCGTGTCTCGCACGCCGCTCAGACTTCAACAGCCTTCCTGCAAGCAATGGTATCAAAGATTTGGCCATTGAACATTCCCGCGGAAGGAGAGGACAAAGCGGGAAGCATCAGGTCAAATGTAAATTCACGGTATTCATTGCTCGTTGAGAGTGCAGACACGCGAATGTCACCAAAAGGACAGTTTGGGGTTCTACAGTCGTTTTTGTGAACGAAGAGTGGACGGTACGTGACGAGAAGGGAAAGAGTGGACAGCTGTGGCGACCCGCCACCAGAAGTGGCGCCCCAGTTGTGGTGGCTGTTGCGTGATCCAGAATAAATCGTATGCCCAAAAATGCAGTCAACTGGTAGAAGAGAAAGTCACGGACCACTCGAGCCCTTGTCCACAACGCGTGACAATGATGAACAACAAAAGACTGTGGATAGTGTGCGGAGGTAGCAAGGGATTGAGGAACGAAAAGATGAGGCAAGTCCGCGCCTCTTGAAAGCAGTAGAACGACTCAAGACCGATGGAGGTGCGACGGCGATGATGGTATCAAGGGGAGGAAGCGCGCATCACTGCAACCAATCTTGAGTCAGATGTAATCGAAAGTCCGTAGTGAAGCCCTTGTCGTCTCAAGATTATGCAGCCGTTGTTGGGTGGGATACGCTGATGTCGTAGGGACGGAGAGCTTGATCCAACTTCCAATTGCTCCTGTACCTGCGTTCTGGTGCGAGGCGAGCGAGCAACGGCAGCGTAGAGTGATGAGCCTTGGCGAGCAAGGGATGCTCAATTTGCGACTTTGCTAGCTTGCCGTCTGTGCTCTGGTCTGTGCTCTGGACTGCGGACGCTGCCTTGAAGAAGTCTCCTTCGCTCATGGCAGCCACCTTTACGGGCACTTCTGCATCTTGGAACGTGGGTGCAGAAGGTGTGACGGGTGTTTGAGGGCCGCTGTAACCGCTGTACGACGAAGACGCGTCCAGCTCGAAAGAGTTCTCGGAAAGAGCGGGTGTGACAGGTGCGGAGAGATTACCTTCGTCAAACACCGTCAGATCCGACTGGATTGACAATTGCCTGTGGCGCTGAGCACCGGCCGGAAGCGAACGTTCGCACATCCACTCTACGTTATCCTCGACGCAGGCGACGCGTCCAGCGAGATCTTCCTCTTCAGTCTTAGCTTTGCGATAAATGACGTGTTGGCAGACAGGGTAGATGGTCATCTTCTTGTCGGTGGCAGAGACGTCACGAATGAAATTGATGGCAGCTTCGTGACACGCGACCCGGTCCTGACCGCCTTGCTGGACTAGGGTAGGGTGACGAATTTCGTGCGCCCGCTGTTGGATCATTTCAGCTGCGAAGTGGATGCAAAGCAGGTGACCCACACGGAACGCGCCTTGATGACTTCGCTTGTCCTCGGTGACTAGAGTCTTGTATACCTTGGGGTCCTTGTCGAGGCACTTCTTGTGTGGAACAATGACTTCGACGCGTCCGAGACCGAGGTACGTGTCGCCGTACCAGATCATCTGCTGCAAGAACCAGGGAATGCGCACGTTGGCGCGAGAGTATTCGATGATGGGACCGACTCCTATGATACCGTCGATGGGCACTTCGTATTCTCCCTTCGCTTCTTCGCGGAGCGAGTTGGGATAGTGCAAGGCGTACATGTGGGCCACGAGGCCACCAAAGGAAAGGCCGAGCATGAAGGTCGTGCGACGCTCGACCTTGCGGCGACGTTCAACACCATCGGCCTCGTCATCCCGCTTAGCAACGTCGTGCAAAACGGCGTGAAGGCCTTCTGTGTATGCGTCCAGGTGACGCTGGTACACATGAGTACCGGTCGAGTAACCGTGAGAAATGAGGTCGGGAACGATGAGTCTGAATCCAGCGTCGAGGTAGCGTCTGGAGTGAGAAGCCAGAGTTCCAGAATGAACGCCAGTGCCATGGACGAAGATCATGTCGGCGTTGCGGCCGGTCTTGCGCATGGCCTTTTTGTCTTCCCAAACTTGGTACCAAGACCAGTCTTTGCCATTGTCGAGCATAGCCTTGCCGAACCAGACAGTGACATCTGGGTTGTCGTGCAGACGCTTTTCCATGGGGGAAAAGGGAACATCGGTACGGCCATAGGTGCGATCAGCGGGCTCGTACAGACCAGCCTTGGTCAAGGCAGGCTCGCCGACGACCTCCCAAAGTGTGCGCTTTGCGTTGTCGATGAAACCCATCTTGCAAGGGGGCGTAGAGGCGACAGTGAAGTGGGCGCGGCAGAAAGGACTCGAAGGGCAAACCTGTGAATGCTGAGTGGAGTCAAGCAAGAGCTTTTTAGGCGTGCGATTATGGGTATTGTAGCCAGTATGTTTGGATCACAGGAAAGGCTATCGTGGTTGCGGTGTGGGCGTGGTGTGTGATGACGCGTGGGAGTGTAAGAGGTGTCAAGAAAGGATTGTGCGAGTGCTCTTCAACTGGAGAAGGTAAGAGCGTGCAAGTGTCGATTGTGAGGAGGTGGGCAGGGGTGCGGTAAGTGTGGCCGATTCGGGGTATTATAAGGAGAAGCACATGTGCACCGTGTGGGCAGCACGCAAATCTCGGGATGCACTAAGAGCTGCTGCTCCCTCCGCTTTGCGCGTGAGCAAATGAGAGCGGATTCAGATCGATGGGTGAGCCTCTCTCTCTACACAGCAATCAGTACAGCAAATTGCCTGCAGATGAGTCGCGAGCTAAGGAGCAGCGAGCAGGGTTAGGGAATTAAGCGCGCGTCATGGAGCGGGAGGAGTGCGCGGCCGTGAAATAACCACCGTCGAAATCTTGAAGGGCCCATGTATCACAGGGGCGAGAAGGCGAGACGGATCAAGCGGCGGGACAAATCCTTGAGGCACCTCGAGCCTGCGTGGTCGGGTGCCGAAGCGTGCAACGTAAGACGCGCAGGCGGGAATTTAGCTGCAGTTGCGGCAGCATGCGCGTAAACCGCTGAAGTGCCTCTGTTCCACCTGAATCGCCCACGCAAACTATGATCTGCGCTACTGCGCACCATGCTCATCAATGCAGGCTAGAGCATGTTGGCGACAGTGGTCTCGGAGAGAGGAAGCCTGCAGGTAGGGAGACATGGGCTAGGCTAAACCCTACACTCAGACAGGCGCCTTGTGTCATCGAGAATATCAAACCCGCTAAAGGATACGCGGGTGTGAGGACCAAAGCCCATCAACTGGTACCCGCACCGGAAATTGCACACAGAGGGAACATCCCTTCTCAATCAACAATGATCTGAGTACGGTCGAGTTTGCCCAGAAGTGTGAGTGAAACAGCAGACATGATGACATTGGATAAAGGAGGGCGAGCCGCCTAGCGCTGTGCCCCTGAGATCGAATCCTGGTCCGTCTCAGCGACAAACATTGCCGGTCCCGCTAGTATTTGCTTCCAGCCCCGAACAACGTCGTTCAAACTTTTGTTTGCAATTACTTGCAACCTCATTATACAGGCATCATCGCTCTTGCCATAGGGGAGACTGCGTGCCTAGTTGATAGCAGCAGTAGCGCCCTGGAGGCAACCCTTTGCAGCAATGATGAAGTAGGGGCCCGTGACAATCTTGTCCATCGCCAGCGTCCCTGAAAATGCAAGCTGTACTCTCTCCACGAGAAAAGGAGGCGTGCAGGCGATTTATGCGAGGCACTGAACCAAAAGGCGGGGTGCTTTTCCAAGGCTGTTCAGCAGGCGTGTCCAGCGAAAGCAAAGGTCTGACACAACCCGACGCTTGCAGATGTCCGAACTCTGCGTGAAACATGCATGAGAAGACCCTCTCTTGTCATGCCTCAAATTTCACTTGGAAAGGGAGTCGAGGTCCAGGTCGGGATCGACTGCGTGCGTACGTCGTGGCGCAGGCCCTCCCCGCCCTCCGCTCGGGCCAACGTAGTAGGACTGGTTCGACCGGCTCAGTGCCCGCTTGCTGCGTTTTCTTCGTGGAGAAGCAAAATTCGTTCCCTCCGCCTTCCTTCCGACGCTACGACGAACCAATGACCATTCACGTTCAATTCTGGGCGGTGTCTAGCGTGCAGTGCCCAGTCGTAGCGATTGATTACTCAAGCGGGTCTTTTTGCTCCACTCACTGCCGCTGCATTGCGCCAAGGCGCTATCTTCGTCAATCATTCGCTCATTCTGCTACATGTACTCAAATGGCGCCTTTACGGCGGCCGCGAGCGAATTGACTACGATCAGGACGGCCTCGCTGGGGCAGAGCGGACAATGACGACGTGAGACCAGAGCGTTGGACCATCGCCGTCTCTGTCTGTTTCACCTGTAGCCAGCCAAGCAAATCATCCCCGCTTTTTAGTCCGAGGTGCTGTAGGTGAGACACGCTTGTCGCCGGCGGCTGCAGTACGAGCAGGCCCCAGACTTCATGCAGCGAATTCGAGGCGTGGTCAGCTTTGCAGCACGTCAGCAAAGAGTGGCTGAGACTTTCTCCTTGGCACGCGAAGGGTTGCTGCTCACGTTACATGAAGATCGCTTCTCTGTGGAAGCATTGCTGGCTTGGACCTTCAACTTTTGCATTACAGGCGTGAGTTTGTCGCCTGTAATGCAAAAACACAGTCCAAGCGGATCACAAGCCCGGAAGCCGAAGGCTGTGGAGGGCTAGTGGTGTGAGCGCGGAGACAAATGCCTCCCGTGCAGCTAGTGTTCGCTGCCGAATCAAAAAGAAATCTGCGGGAGGGTTCACTCACCGCTGACGCCACGAGCGGAACCTCTCACTGTTTGCAGCGCACACAAAAATTCAAATCCTGACTGTGGAAAAGAAAGTCCGATTGATTTGTTATATTATTATCAGCGAAAGGGTAAGTTTGTTTCCATGGAGTAGGGTCGGAGTCGCCCGTCTCGTCCAGCATACTCGCACTCCGCGTCCCGATGCTGCAAGCCATGAACGAGCCGCTTTCTTTCGAGAACTACAGCGACGCCGCAAGCAACAATGCAAGCCAAAATGAAAGGGATCTGAAAGCCACTATGATGGGCGTGCTTCGGCAAGGCTTGCTTCTGCGCAGCGACGTTGAGCGCCACAGCAACTTGAGGGATGTCAAGATGGCGAGAAGAGCTTGTCATCAAGGCCACAGCCATATGGCACGAAAGGTTGGACAAAGATGAATTCTGGACGTGCCGTAGGGTCTTCAAAGGTTTCGCCGCGGCTTTCAAACATCTTGCAACTTGGTAATCGTGCTAAATGACTTTTGACTTGAGGTTAAGTGCCGACCGCTCGAGCGGAAGTAAATCGACTACGTGCGTTTCAAAATCTTTCGTCGACGTCATCTCAACCGCCTGCTGACTCGCCTCGGCTACAGTACGAGGCAAAGTGAACGATGGCCCGCACGCAGTAGTACGAAGGCAAAGTTGAGCGCCGAGTATTCGAGCGCCTTCACAAGAGTCATTGAACGAACTCTTCTTGACGGAAGTCTACCGCTCACGTTGACCCGTGAAGGTTTCGAAGGTGGCGGCGATGTACTCACCTACCGCGAAGGCATCACCCTTTCTCTAAAGTTCCCATGACCGCGCAAGAGCCTATAAGCATGACGCCGGCCTTGCGATGTAATATGAACCCTCCGGGTTCGATGAGCCCTTCACACAATACGGCGGGCGATGCGCTGGTGCCTTCATCACTTTCAATCTGTGCCGAGAGTTACAGCGGGACGAACTTTGTGATCGACTCAAGTCTGTCTATCATCTTGCGTAGGGCTCGAGCCGATGCAGGATACGGCGACTTGATAGCACTTTTCACTCGCACTAAACGAGCCCAGAGAGAAGCAACAGCCGGAAGTCTTGGCTCGAAGTGCAACAATTAGAAACTCCTTTGATAATCACCCGCCAGAACGAGAGACGTGAATTGCTTTTTCGGGATGATCACCGATCGCACTCTGACTGCGCGCGTAAATGTGCCGACACGCGTGTACCATCCATCACACGCACGCACGATCGAGGCAGCAAGCCGATCGACATGGCTTACTTTTGCCCGCTCGGTGCGCTTTTGTTGAGCGCGGCACGCACAGGCGCCATAACATGTAGCTTGTAGTCTGCAGTAAGTGTAAGTAGTCGTAGGACGGTCGTGAGTACCTCTCTGAAACAACCTGTTGAACCAGGTGGAGTTGAGCATGCCTGTCTGGGCGATGATCGCATCACGATCTTCCGTCATCCGTCGTGCCATATCGGTTGCGCGTGTTCACGCGGCCAAGTGACCTGATTTTTGAGGACCCACAGTCGTGAGTCTGGGTCACGAGTCATGAGTGCACCCCCATCAAAAGCCGGAGGTCGAGCTCGTCGCGGACCGCCGCGACAGAAACGACGGTTCACAACGCGGCGGAGGGCTTGCCTCTGGTTATGTGCTGGCCTTGGGCACGGATTGTGCAGCTGCGCAGCTACACATCATAAACAGCCGTCGCGCCGTTGTATTCCGCAACAATCTGAAGCACGAAGCATCAAATTGCTGCAAAGCGCGCGAGCCGCGCGCGCCTCGAGAGTTGCAGCCGCGTGCCCGGCATGCTGCACATGCGCCGGTTAGCGCGTCAATTTCTCTGGGGAAGTTACTGAGAGAGGAGAACTTTCCGTGCGGCTGCTTGGCGTAAATCCGCTAGGGGTCCTCGCGGGGAGCAATGCATGGAGACCCGCGCTTTGGGTCCCGGCTTGCTCACCCTGTGCGCCTCCTCGATCCTCAGTGCCATGTCAAAGATTCCTATTCGTGTAAAATCATCTGCAAACGAAATAGGCCGCGCCAGAGCTCGGTGGGCTGCTCGCGCTGCCAAGGCCTCCCATACAGCATGCGTATGTGCTGTGATGGCCAGATCAGTGAAATGAGACGTGGCTGCGCGGCGAAGGACGCGGGAGATATGCTGAGATATGCATGGTCACGCTGTCTCTCCGCGGCATATATGCAGCAGCATGTCTCCGACACCTGAGCATGCATGGAGTGCCGGGCGAGCTGATCCGGGCAGGAGGTGAGTATACCCCAGCTCGGCTGCGGCCCGCAGCTTGCGCGAAACCATTTGCATTTGCCTCTCGAAGTTGTGTCTCATTTCTGAGAAACCTAGCAGTAGGAGTTGGCTCTGCAGGTACTACTGCTGTGGTTCATTAGCGATTGCAAAGGTTAACAACCGCATGAGTTGAAGCCAAGCAAAAGGGCCAAGAGAGTGTTGAGGAGCGTGCAGCCCGTCTTCTGGGTGGATTTGGCTCACCGCTGCGTCTCCGCCCACTCGTATTCGATCGTACTTGGCAAGTGCTGTCTTTCCTCCGCACTCGAACTCAAACCTGTCAAACCTTGTCCGCGTCCCTTGGAGGGTGAAACACGCTCTCGCTGTGTTCTCGTCGCGCTAAGGCCAGTTGCGAGAGTCGGTGACCCTCGCTCCGCTGCTTTCCTCTCCATTCATCTCATCGTGCATCGTTACCCTCCCTAAACTTGCCCTTAACGCAGCCTCCCCCTCTCCGAATCGTTCGTTTCCAAAATCCCTTTTGCATCCGGCAGTGCTAAGCACAGGCAAGCTTGTTTCACATCAGCGCCCAGCCCTCGGCGCTCGCTTACCTGCAGCTTTCCACCAATCCTTTCCTTCCTTGGCTCCGCCAAAGGCTCGCCCGCTTCCGTCCTGCGTACTCGCAAGTCTGTCGCTCTATATCCACCTCATCGGTACATATATACTCTCGACTGATCCCCGTGTCCGTAGTCGCCGCGTTGTTAGCATTGCTACTACCACCCTCGTCCCTTCTGCTTCTCTGACTCGCACAGGCAAACCCTAGCTTGCGCGATGTCGTACCCATCTTCTTCCCGCCGTGGGCCGGCTGGTCCTCAACACCTCAGCGTCCGCGACCCGCGGGCACAACCTCGCTCATTCACACCATCCGACGATCCGTACGGGTTCGACTCTCCAATTCCACCAGAGGACGGTGCGCATACACCCATTCGTCACGATGGCTCCCACGCGCCCAATGGATATGCTACACCTAATTCTGGCGTGTCCGAAGACTTCAATGTCGATGATCCCGCGCCCACACCATACACTCCCTACAACCTGAATAACACTCGAGCTCGCAACTCAAATGCTACGCTCGTATCCACTGCGAGTCAGGACTTCTTTGGCATGGAGACCGCCATGCAGGAGCACCCGGACCGCAGGCCGAACTCCAGAAATGCAGGCCGGGATTCGCGGCTGGGACGCTTCGGCGGAGTGTTCTCACCGACTGCTGCGATGTGGGAAGCCGGCGCGAATCGCGACCGGTACAATCGACTCAGTCGGCAACTCAACTCAGCGATCTCGCACGCGCCAGCGATCCCCAATGTTCGTCTCAACACCCTGGACAAGGTGTCCGAAGAGAAGCGCATCGCTGATCCCGAGACGGAGCAGAAGAAGAAGCCTCTGCGAACCAAGAAAACGAAGCGTTTCTGGCTCATCTTCGCCGCGCTGATGGGCGTGACTTGCTTGACTGGTGAGCTTTTAAGATGCTGCATGACATGCGCTCGACGTAGTGCACGCGTGTTGACCGTGTGTTGACCGTGAATTCACCCTTCTCCGCTCAGCTATCGACATGTCCATCATCAGTACTTCCTTGCCAACCATCGTCGCGCAGCTTCCACAGTCCAGAATTCCAGCAACTTGGATCACGTCTGCTTTCTTGTTGACAACGACCGCATTTCAACCGTTCATGGGTGGCCTCGCAGATGTCGTCGGTCGCAGAAACTCTCTCGTCACTGCAGTGGTGCTCTTCCTGGTCGGATCTCTCATTTGCGCTCTCGCCAAGGATATGCTTACGCTCGTCGCGGGCCGTGGCGTTCAAGGTGTTGGCGGTGGTGGTGTTCAGGCAATCGCAGAAATCGTTCTCTCCGACTTGACCACCCTTCGAGAACGTGGCCTGTACGTTGGTCTAATTTCGCTCGTTTTCGCCGTCTCGACCTTTATCGCTCCAGTCCTCGGAGGTGTCTTCTCCGAGACCGACTGGCGATGGATCTTCTGGATGAATCTGCCTCTTGGTGGAGTGGTACTAGCTATGATCATCCCGACAATGAAGTTGCACACACCTCCGATGCCTTGGAAAGAGAAGCTCCACCGTATGGACATCCCTGCCAACTTGGTACTCTTTGGCTCGGTCATTGCACTTCTCATCGCCATCACGGAAGGTGGAGTTGAGCATCCTTGGGGCTCGGCTAGGATTATCGGACCTCTTGTTGCCGGTAGCGTTGGTATCGCAATCTGGCTCGCTCTGGAGTTCATTCCCAACCGTTTCGCTCCAGATCCCGTCCTGCCTCTGCGTCTATTCACCAACATCACCGCTGGAACTTGCTTCTTCATGACGTTCATCCACGGCATTGTGACTTACGGTGCTACGTACATCCTGCCAGTCTACTTCCAGTCCATTAAGGGTGCCAATCCTCTTCGGTCAGCCATCGATATCTTCCCATCAACTGCTCCAGGACCGATTGCTGCCATCATCGCTGGTATCGTGATGGCTGTGACGGGCAAGTACAAAATCCAGATCGCCTTCTGGTGGGCCACCATCCTCCTTGGTGTCGGGCTTATCCTCCATTGGGACGTCGACACTCCCGTCTACGAGTGGGTCATTATTCAGCTGGTTCCCGGCTTCGGTGTTGGCGCCCTTTACGCTCTCACTCTACCGCCAATCCAGTCGTCCTTGCCCGTGGTCGAGTTAGCACATGCGACCGCTACATTTGCATTCTGCCGCAGTCTCGGATCCGTCTTTGGAATCGCGTTCACGACCACTATCTTTGTGGCGCAGGTCGATCCGAAGCTCGCTGCCATTCCAGGTGCAGCTGAAGCAGGTCTCCGAGGTAGCACCGCCCTTGGGTTCGCGACGGAGCTGCATCGCCTCCCCGCTGAGCTGCAGCCACCAGTGATCGACGCTTTCATGTCCGCCCTTCGCTCGGCCTTCTTGCTCCTCGTGCCGTGTGCGGCCATCGGCCTCATTGCTTCGTTCTTCGTCAAGGAATTACCGCTTCCAGACTTCAACGAGTCGGACTATGGTATCAATGATGGCACCAACCCAAACGCAGTCTTGGCCAACGCGGAGGTCGCTCATCAAGCCGAAGAGGGCCTTGTCACGGTCGAAAAGATGCCCAAAGCACCTGAGCGCTCGCTTACCAAGGGTTCGCAGCCGCCACCTTCGGACAGCCCGTACAGCCCTTACAGCTCCAGCGGCAAGTTCGGTAGAAGCCCCTCGTTCGATCACGGTAGCAGCTCCTCTCCTGATACCAGCTCGCCTACCGGGTATCCTAAAAGCACGGAGCGACGCATGTCTACGAGCGAAGCATACAAGAAAGCTCAAGCGGCTCTGGCCCACGCTCAGCCGCCAAAGCCTCGTCACGTTCGTCGTCGTTCCAGCAGACTGAGTCTGTACGGTGACGATGAGAACGAAAAGGAAGCGCATCACGCCCTTGCAAGCTTGCGCGACGTGGACCGCGCTCGCAAAGAAGCTGCGCGTCAAAGCGTTAGGAACCCAGATGGCACTTGGCTTGGCACTGTGCAAAATGACCCTGCCGGCACCGGGGCTGCTGGTTTCGGGGACTTCGACTATGGCGTTGATGACGACGACGACTATGACTGGCGGCAGGGTCGCCGCTAAAAGGTTTACAAGTCATTCGTTCGAGTCGGGTGCTCACATTCAAGGGTCGAGCACTCTCGCGTCACGTGTCCTCATTGTCTCGAAGCATCATCACACCACTCACCATCTTTTGACCTGCTGACACACTCGAAATCACACAAAGACCCAGTGTCCCAACTTTCACTTCGCCCCCACCAATGCACGCAGCCTCAGCGCTCGCAGTGCACACCCCCTAAATCCACGCTCTCTTTGTGAACCTCGCGCTTTGAGTCCGGGTCGTACAGCACAGAACATGCCTGTTAGCAATTTGAAGCTGTTCCTTTCATCGAGTGATTGCGCGCAGTATTCGATACGCGTTCATCTGTGTCCGTGTATGGCATCTGTGCAGGTGGCCTGCTCGATCTGAGCTGATTGGAATCGTTAGGGATCCAGGGGAGCACCATGCAGCATAGAATTGATGTACCTGCTCACCGCCTTGAGTGAGGACAAGTCTGAATGGCGAATCACGGATGTTACAGAATGTGCGGCCAATATGAAGCCATGATGAGGGTGCAATGAAACGGAAGCGTTCGGAGTAGTGCGATGCAATGCAATTTGTGCGTGGAACGCGACCTTGCTCATTGCCTGCTGTGTGACTCAGGAGGTTGGTGGTTCGAACGCGCCAAGATCGTTTAAGTCCTCCTCCCACACATTGCGACTGATACTGGCCAACGCTTCTTCCAGAGAGGGGGGTATCCAAAGATCTTCGGGTCTCAGGTTGAGTGCGTGAAGGTTCTCTGCATAGGTGTCATCGCGCTCTGGTGGTCCGGCTTCGTCTAGTGATGCCTCGCCGCCCCTATTCTCCTTGGAAAGGAAGTACGATTCGACGGTGTCGAGCTCGTCTGGTGCGCTTGCCACGCGGGTCAGATTTGGATTCGACGAACCAGCTTCGTCTCGTGGCACTCTACGAGGACCACTGGAGGCTGTGGTGCTTGCATCTTGTTCGATCGATGTGCTACCACTGTGCTGCATTACACGCAAAGGAGAAAGCAGCGGATTCTGTACGCTCGCCTGAGCCCGAGAAGCTCTATCTTTGCCCTTAGGGATTTGAGGCTCTCCTGGAGACATGCTAGACCTGGTGCGTGCGTTTTCGCCGCTCGCTTGGTGCTCATGAGCCGCATTGCCGTCCGAAGAAGTGACTGGCTTGTATTTTGTATCGCTGAGAAGCTTCGCGATCCTCTCTTTCACAATCTTAGCTCCAGACTGGAGGACGTGCTGGTCCACCTTGGTTCTCAATAAACTGTGCAAAATCTGCTCATGTCGAGCTTGTGCAGCTCGAATATGAGAGTCTAGCAGCGATTTTTCTCGCACCGATGCTTGGCGGCGCAGCTCGGCTTTCTGGGCGTCGTCGAGGTGGCTTTCCGCTCCATCAAGAATGTCTGTTTGACTGCTTGCGGCGGGAGACAGGGTCGAGGCTGCAGATGCAACAGGCCATTTCGATGGGAGCAGCGAGTGAACAACGGACGGCTCTGAATGTTGCTGGGCATGGAGAAAGTTGAATAGCTGCGTTGTGGTGACTCTGTGCCGGATGCAGGGCTGCGTGGGCACTACCGCTTGGGAGGAGCGCCGCGCAGCGGACGTAGTAGTAGCGTCCTCGTTGCCGATTGGCACAATCGAAAGCTGACGATTCGGCCGCGATGCCTCTGCAGCGCCCTTTGAGGCCACTGGCATCTCGTTGAGAGCAGTCTCACATACGCCCGGTGATGGCTGTGCTGTGCTGGAGTGACTTGTTGGCGCAGCAACACTCTGCATAGCTTCCTCCGACGCCGAAAGAGGATTTGAGACGCCTTCACTATCATGGTCCTGGTCAGATGGCGATTCGCGTGCGTCAGAGTCTGCCTGAAGAGGGGAGCTTGGTGTCGAGCTGACTGGAGTACTTTCATCGCAAGCATCTCCCACAAGAGACTCCAGCCGACGTTGTTTCCTTGCTCTGCGGGTTAGACCAGCAGCCCCAGCAGCTGCCAATCCTCCTCGGGTATTGAGTCGAGCTCTCAAGTGCACTTCCTCATCAAACGTGGTCGGTGAATGATGTGAACCTTTCATGCCCGAATTTGCAGAGTCTGCTCGTGCCTCGGTGCGTGTTGGTGCGAAACGAGCCGGAGGAAGCGCTCGAGCCGGAACAGATACGCGTGCGGCCTCCCAGGCCACAGGCTCTGGAGTGGGACTGGGGCGTTTCCTGTGTTTTCGGCGGGGGACTAAGTCATCGGGATGGGAGGTCTGGGCTGATATGTCCCGGCTGAGAGGTCGAGATCGTGGTCGACCAGTGGAATTGTCACCGATCGCTCGGGTTGAGATGGAAGATGGTTGAGATCCCAAGGCTACTGTCACGCTCGATCCATTGGATCGCGGAAGGGTGGCACAGGTCGCTCGAGTGGATGCGCGCACATCTAGCGAGCGCGCTTCGCGTACTGCGCTATCGTGGCCATCACTTTGCACCACTTCGCTATGAACGCTGGCCGTGTCGGGGAGTCTTGGAGACCTCCTGGGGTCGTCGAGTGGCGTGACTTGGCCACTTCCAGGAGATTGGCTGAGCACTGTGCCGACTCTTTTTGAAGAGCCCCTGCCAACGGGCAAGGTGATACCAGTGGAGGTGCTTGAGCGTGAGTGGCATGTAGATGCGGGAGGCGAAGGCAATAGTCGCTGCAAATGCTCACGCCGCTGTGGTTGAGCCCCGCCGCTGTTCAGGACGTCATCGTCCCCTACATCGTCCTCGCTTTCGCTTGTGCCGAAGAGCGGAGCTTCATCTGTCTCCGGATCTTCTGTGCCGATTGTGGGGATTTGGGCCTCACATTCTTGTGCGGCAAGCTTGTCTGATGCGGAAGCGTGTGGTGCCTGCTGTTGACTTTGCAGCAGATGCCGATCAACGCTCATCGTGGACAAAGATAGGTCGATGTATGGCCTGTCGGCGGATCTAGCACCGCTAAAGGTGCACACAAAGCATAGTTCAGGCCGATGGGTCGGCAACCACGAATTTAAGGTGGAGTTCCTAGAGGCCAGCGTCTAATTGTCGCTTTTCCTTCGTTTGCAAAGGTCATGGCGCTTCGTTGTGGATCGGGTGGCGGCCGCAGCACTGACTGGCGGCGCCCGTGCGACCGAGCGATTGGGGGCAACACAGGGCGGGCCCAACGCTCAGAAGAGAGTGTGAATATGTTTGCAGCATATATGCGCATGTGGTCAAGAGCGTAGGAAGCCAGAGCTGATGATGCTCCAGTGCATGCTCTATGCGCGAAGCATCCACGAAGCCCGCGCCGTCGTAAAACGTCCGAAGATTGGGGTGGAGGCTTAGTCACGTGGTCAAATAGGCGCATGTCCTTTGTCACGGAGTCTGAATAGCAGTCGCATGAGTTGCAGCCGGGCGCGCTGAAAAGCATGGCTGCTACACGATCTTGAATTCGTGAGTCTAAGTGATGCCTTGCCTCAGCTCATAGACGGCCACTCATAACGTACTCACACCATTTCAAAGGCCGCATGGCACCCTTTGTCAAGCACAATGGATCGGTGGGCGTCCTTTCGATGAGTGTGATGGCGATCACTGCCTCATCAAGCCTTGAGTTTAGTGTGCAGAAGCGTGGAGGTATCCAGTCACTTGCTCACACTTGATCCCAAGGTCACGCAGCGATGAGCAAGCGAAGCACGACGAAGCTATCATCCACTGCTAGGCATCTCGAACCGTCACTTTCTCTGGAATCCCACTGGAAGTACCATCGATAGAGTGAAAGCGACTTAGCATATAAAGACCTGGGCATGGGTTGCGCTGACGCGCTGCAGACTGCGTCCAACTTCAATCTCGTGCTAGACCAGTGACACTACCATAGTCCGCACTCCTTCAACAACGTCGATCTCGGTGCGACCATTGAACCTTGAAGCAATGCTCGTATCAGGGCTGCTCTCTGTACCGCATGCAGTCAGCAGGAGCTTGGCCAAAACAGTTCCTGCTCGAATACCCTCCTTTGCTCACCTACACACCCAGTCTGGCTCCCTTGCACTGCGGAAGTCACCTGCCCAACCTCACGGCGTGCTCAATCGCAGAAGGACGCTCGTTGCCCTGCCTCGCGCTTCCTTCAGCTCTGGAATCTACCTCTCTAGTCGAAGCCGCACCCGTCCTCTCTCGACTCTACCGGCGTCATCTCAGTCTCTGGAAACAACTGTCGCACGAGGAACAGCGTTCGAGAATGCTTCCAAGGAGGTTCTCTATCAACTTTTTGGCATGGACTTGCAGAGAGTTGGGGGCGCTGGAGATGCTGGCGTCGACTTGCAAGGCTGGTGGTACCTGCCAGACTCCGCTACTGGTCCTCCCGACCCTGCCGCTCTGGCGACGCCCGCAAAGCAAGAAGTCATGTATGCTGAGCATGTCAAGGATGTGAACCACCCATGCAACGGCTTTTATGACTCGCCCGAACACTTTGCTCAGACAGTCAGGGGTCGTGTCAGCAAAATCATGCAGTGCTTTCCAAAGCCATTTCAAGGAACCTATTCAGAGGCCGTTGAGGCATCAGTATCACCTATGACGACCACAAAATTCGCCTGCGCAACCTACGGTGCCGGTGAGGACGAAAGAAACGAGATATACGAGCTTTACAGGGGTGTATGGCAGCTGCGATGGCTGGATCAGATCAGCAGTGACACAGCAGCACGCCATGAAACAGGCAACAGAGAACACGACTCGCATGCGCCTGATGCTCTTGCCCATCGACTTCGGGTCGTGGCTCAGTGCAAAGCGGAATCAAAGCCACTGGGTCCTGTCAAGCTGCGCGAGCTTGAAGGCACACTCGGTCGCATAAGTCAGAATGCCAAAACTTCCGTTGCCCACTCAATCTCTTCTGAAGCGGCACCCGTGGGTGTTCTAATCTCTCTAGAAGGCTTCAGCAAGCAGACGATTAACCAGACGATGACCAGCTCCTTTCCCATTTTGCTCCTTCATCTCCAGCGCGGCATGGCTTCCTCGACCAGCTCCAGTCCCACAAACAGCCGGAGTCCGAGTTCGAACTTAGGTGCGAGAGGAATCGCTCAAGCTACTTCGTCATTGCGAGCGTCTGTCGAAGAGCTGCGCAACGCCAGCATGAGTTCCATAATGATGAATCAAGCTCTGTCCGGAAGCAAGGGCCCCTTGGGTGGACGACTCGAAGTTCGCTGGACACATCGCTTTCCAAGCAATTCCTCGCCCAGCTCAGTGCGGGGCGAATTGGCCTCGCCACCACTACCCACTGGCTCGACACGTCGTCCGGCTTTGTTTTGGGATGGGAAGCTGCTGGGCAAACGAGGTCGAGAGCGTCAAGTCGAGCAATAGCTCTCTCTCTCTCTCTCTCTCTCTCATCAATACACACTCTCTTTCAAGAATTTTGCGCGCTTGCTCCGTCCCTTTCTTTCTGGCTTTGCTTGCAACGCTGCCTGCACGATTTCTGCGATATTCACGGCGGTCGGAACTTGTACCTTCTGACTGCTATAACCGCTGCTTGTCACCTGAGCAATCCTATGTGTTGGTTTGAAAAGTGTGCGCGCACCGGCTGAGCCTGACGTGCCTCAATCAGCTCAGCACCGCAACATCCAAACGTACTGCGCCTTCAGTGCAATCGACAGGTCAAAGCGCTCGCTGTCAAGCAACTTCACATCGGACGAACAGCCATGGAGGCGTGAAGATTGGATATGATTGCAGATCCGAGGGCATCGTGACACGAATGCAAATAGTGTGAATCACGGTCGAGCAAAGTGCGGGCACAAGCATTGGTCGTGAAGATTGAGATCTAGGGGCACGGTGACGTGGGAGCAACGAGCTGGAGTATTTTGAAATGGGTAGAGGAGAGCATTGAGGGAATTCAAGTCGCTCCGTAAACCCAATCTCATGAGTGCCTTTACTGCTTTTCGCTGGTGACGGCCTCGAGAGCAGAGCCGACCTCGAGATGGAAGAAGGGCGTGAGACTCTGGTTCCACAGAATGGGAACCGAGACGCTGGATGCGTTGCGATCGTCGTAAGAAGAATTATCGGACAGGCCGCCTTGTTGACGGGAGAGGACAGGAGGCTGATCGTCGGCGGGACTGCTGTCCTTGCCGTCGAGAGAGTCAACAGAGGAGTCGCGTCTGACTGGAGCGGGTGTGATACCGTCCTCGAGCTCCGCTCGGCGGCGGAGAGCGTCATCACCAACACCGTTGAGAGCATCGTCGATGGCTCTTCCGCGTCTCTCAGCCTCCTCTTCCTGGCGAGCTTGCTGATCCTTGTGGCTAAGGCTTTCTCCCGGGCGAATGATAGGTGCGACTTCGGTGATATGACGAGCGGCGAGACCAGTACCGAAACCACCAGCGAGCAAACCACGACGAATCCAAGGCGAGAGGATTCCGGCAAAGTGGAACTCGACCGGGTGACCGCTGTACCTCTCGACGGATTGGCGGACATCGACGAGCATTTGAATGGACGTCGTGTCGACATGAGGAACGGAGCTGAAGTCGAAAATGAAGGCACGCAGCAAGGGACGAGTGTCGTGTGCCAGACGAGCCTCAGCTTCTACGGCTTCCTTGTACTTGGCGTCCGCCTTGCGGGCCGCCGAGCCGCAGAGGAAGGCACGTCCAGCACGGGAGAAGTAGGGGTTGACAGGTCCAGGGTCATTCCAAGGACGGTCACCACGACTCTTGTAAAGGCTGGAGGCGGCAGGACGGGTTTGGACCTTGGCCTCTTCTATGAGCACATCGGCGAGGTGAGAAGCATTGGGGTACGTGAACGCCTCCTCGAACTTCCAGATGAGAACACCGGGAGGCGGTCGCTCGACAAAGACTGATGGGTCACGGAGACCATCCTTGTGCTCGAGAGGAAGGAAGATGTCGCGGTGAGCAGGGTGGGAGCTGGGACGAGTCCGATCTTCGTTGTGAACGCGGACGCGACCGAGCCATTTGCCGCGGGGGCGAGCGATGCGGACGAGCAGCAGCACGAGAGAAGCACCGACCGAGAAGTAGACACCAGCCTCGAGGTTGACGAAGATGGATAGAATGACGGCGCCGAGGAAGATGAAGAGCTCGAAAGGAGACACGAGCCAGAACTTGTAGGCGACCGAGAGCGGCGCAATGAGGTCGGTGACGGCATGGATAATGACAGCTGCAAGCGCTGCGTTGGGAATCCAGAAGAACGTTCCGGTCAAGGCGTAGATGGCGATCAGAACGATGATGGCGGTGACCCAACCAGCAAGAGGAGTGCGGACACCGGACTTGCTCTTGATGGCGGAACGGGAGAATGAGCCGGTGGCAGCGTAAGCTCCGAAGGTGGGGCCGACCATGTTAGTCACGCCGATGGCGACGAGCTCCTGGTTGGGGTTGATCTTGTAATTGTTAAGACGTCCGAAAGACTTGGAGATGGCAATGTGCTCCAAGAGCAGCACAATGGTGGAGACAGGAATCTCGGAGGCCATGTCGGAGAAAATCTGGGTGCTAAGCTCGGGCTGGCCAATATGTTGGAAACCTCGAGGCACCTTCTTCAAGATCGAGATCGGGAGTTTGGCCTTGGGATTGCGCGCTACTGTGGGACCAAGCCAAATGCGAGAGGCAGCCGTAAGGATGATGATGACGAAGGCGTTGCGGAACACGCTGATGAAGAAGCATGTGCGCGCAAGCTTGGGGTACCGGCGCGGGATTGCAGTGCACACCCATCGAACGAAGTACAGAAAGAAGAGGGCGGTAAGACCGAAGGCTGCATCGATGGTAGTGTTCGGCAGTGCCTTCAGAGTGTCGATGATGACTTCGTAGGTAGCAGAACCGCTGGTCTTGACTGCCGAGAGACCCATCAGCTTAGGTACCTGACCTGCCGCGATAGTAAAAGCAGATCCCGTCATGAAACCTGCAACAGCTGGTTGGGGAATGAACTCGACAATCCATCCAAGTCTGAGCAGACCGATGCCGAGGGTGACGACACCGCAAATGAATGCCAAGGCGGAAGCGATGACTTGAGGGCGGCCTTCGTAAGCATTAGTCTTTTCCATGACGTGGCGAATGACGTTGGCGGTTTGCAGGGACATGACGGCGACAGGTCCAATCGTGACATCCTTGGAAGTGGCGAAGAGCACGTAGATGACGACACCGACGAAGGAAGAGTATAGACCGTATTCGGGGGGCAGAAGGGCGACCTGAGCGTAAGACATGGACTGAGGGACGACGACGAGACCGACAGTGATACCAGCGATGAGATCACCGATCATCCATTGAGAGTTGTAAGACAAGATCCACTTGGTGAATGGAAAGAGCGAGTCGAGGTATTCGGTAGCCTTGCGTCCAGGTGATGAGAAGATGTCAGACAGCCAGCTTGAGCTGCTGACGAACGGCACGCCGTGCTTGTTGGCAGGTGTGTCATCGTAGCCAATGACATTCTTCCAAGCGCGAAGCGCAAGATTGTCTGCCTTTTGAGGAGCAGGAGCGCGTGGCTCCTTGCTGCTAAAGTCAGCCATGCTGACGTGGATGGGCGACGAAGGGTGAATGCGGGAGTGCGAGGAGCCCGATCAGACAGATGGGTGGAAGGCAAGCGAGCCTGAGATTCGTTGACGAGAAGGGGGAATTGTTGAAGTGATCTCGAAGAGGTGGATTATATGCGCTTCGCAGCTTCTCAGGGAAAGTGTGACGCTGGCTCAAGTTGCGTTGACCGTTTCTTGGTGGCGTCGAGTGGTGCAATTCTCCGATGTCACTTGTTTGTTCCTGCTGAAAGCGCGAGAACAGCGTCGAGTGGATGAGCAATGAGCAGCTTGCGATGGCGGGATGCGTCCTTGCAAGACTGTCCGAGTGGCGGGCGTCGTTTTGGCCAGGTCGAGAGGTGCGAAGGTCAGCCACAACGATCCTGCCAGGAACACATGTGGTCTAGACAAGTGAGCGGGAAGATTGCAGTAGCGTCGTCTGTGGGAAGAACGACGCGAGTTGGAGTCGTTGCAAAGCGAGCAGAGGTGAGTGAGGCTTGCTACTACTGTATAGCTGGAAGCGCTTGGTCTGTGGCGGCGTGCGCGATCATTGCGGCGGCACGCGACGAGACAGAACCAACGCTGCTTGCCGTCGGGCGGGACGGCAACGAAGGAAAATTTATCATTTGTGTAGACGAGGCAGACAAGCGTCATTGACATTGTGTTGGGATTCCTGTCGGAGCAGAGCCTGGCCTGCGGGTCGGAAAGGGTCGAGTCGGCTGGGCATATGGTCAGGTCGGCATTAGGCCAGAGGCGCTTGGGATGGTGCAAATTGATGGTTTGAGCACGCCATACCTGCCGACGGATCAACTCCAGGAATCCGAATACAAAAATGTGAGAGCAAAATAAAGAGCCACTCTAATCAGATTTATCCTTAGCCAGAGATGACGCTTGTGCATGCGCGGTCTGCTTCCGGCGATCGTAGACCGCATAGGCGCAGAGCCATCACCATCAAGCAGCCTGCAGGCGCATTCGGGTGCGTTGCGGCTTGGCGCGTGCGCTTGAGGGGAGCACTGCATGCGTTTCGGCGGATCGTGGCTAAGCTGGCGAGACCTCTCACACGTGATCTCGTCTGCAAGCATATCTGGTTAGTCTTCGAGACAAGTCGTGAGTCGTGAATGGTGAGGAATACCGCTATTCGACGATCAAACATACGAAATCGCGATCCAAGCGAGCTCCTTCAGCTCTGCTCCACAGGGCTCATCTCCAAGTGGTGAATAGATGCTTAATCGAAGGAGGCAGCGAAAAAATTGCATTCAACATACCGCCTCTAGCGCTGCTACGCACAAAAGGCGATAAAGGATGGATTGGCCAAGGCAAGTATGGCGACATCTGCAGCAACGCGAACGAGTGGCTTGGCGTCCGAAGTCACAACATCGACTTGTCTTGCGCGAGAAGCTGCACGCACTACTACTGTACGATGCTTGTCGCTCGAGCGGCAACACAGCCTACGGCTGCCCCGGTCCTGAGCCGCAGGGCGGTATGGGGCCAGGCTAGCAGACCGCCGAATCGAGGCAACCGCGGGTACGTGAGCCGCTTCTGGAGCCAGGCTCGATTGCGTGCTGCGGAGTCTGAACGTAGGCCTACGGCAGAGCGCGCCGCTCGAGCTAACGTCTGCTGGCTCTCACGCTCGCTTGTCTTCGTTGCGGATTGTCTTGTTTAACCGCCCGGCCAGAAGCATCTCGTGGCGAGACGTCGACTCGTAAATGCATCTGGACTTGCTTGATCGAAGCTGGGCTCCAATCTGCGTCGCCACACCTTAATTTGCCTCAGCTTTCCTTTCGACGTTAGTCGTGATGCTGTATCCGATGGCGCTAGCAACCGAGCACATCGTTCTCTGAGCCTGGAATTCTGCTTGCCCACGGTGTTGGGAAGGTAGCACCGTTTCTGCCTATTCAGCGAGCCATCGGGCTCCGATGAAGAGGCTATCACACGACGTGGACATGTCTGGCGCTCAACACGCATAGAGCAACCTTCTCGATCTCATTGTCTGTCATCGAATTGCTCGGCTAGGCCACCGCTCGGCTCTTGGGGGCAGACAAGGCGTCATCACTCGACAAAGTGCTACCGGCCACGGTCGAGACCAGCCTTGCCCGTTATTGTGTCACGGTCTAGCCTCTAATACGTGACCAGCGTTAGCAAGATTGACTCATGACGCTGAACGAGCGATTGGAGCACTGCTCGAAGTCCGATCCTCGGAGTTCAGCGAGATCGACGAGCCCATTGCGCGATGCTCCTTAGTGAGCTTCCCGGACTCAACCTTTCAAGGTGACACTCTCTCACAATGACCACAGACGTCGGCATCGGCAGGCAGGTAGCCTGACTTCAAGGTGTAGGTTGCCAGCCGGCTCTGACCCTGGGAACAATATACCTCCAGCGAGACACATACGGTCACACAGTCAGACGGCAAAGGAAAAATGGCTGCAGCTAATACGACATGAAGAAGGTTGTTGGCGTCAGTCATGATTGAACAATGATCTAGTCCGTCCTATGCGCGCTCAAGTAGCATGGACGCTCAGGAAACCTCAGACAAATTTACGGTCTACACGATGCTGTAAAATCTATCTGAAGCGCTGCACGGTCGAGGGGAGCAGCTAAGCATCTTCGACAAGGCAATGATGAGTTTCACCCACAACAAGACAGCAACTCGCCCCTTTCGCCTTCCCAGCCACGGAGATCAATATCGACTTCTCCTCTACACGAGCTTTGTCCTCTGCTGCAACTAACCGCCAGCGGCTTTGGCTGCATTGCTTGATCGATCTCCTCTACCGGACCACACTAGCAACACATGCGCTCTGCTCGGCTGTTTGATCGCTCAACAGGCGACTCGCGTGGCGAGATCGGTGCAGACCTTCACGGCTTCAAGGACTCTCAACTCAGCATGGACTCATCAAGACTCGTTAAGCCCGGCTTTTGATTCACAATCAAGAATCACGCATTCAAGATTCAAACATCCACGATCGCAGATGTCAATTCATAAACACGTGATTTGAAAAGGACGCCCACCCGCAAATCACGACATCACGTGATACAGACCACGCACTGCCGATAAGCCGATGCAGGCTATTTTGTGCAAGAAGTTTGCGCATGCAAGGTGATGTGCGTTCGTCGAGCCAATCAGTATCGAGCAAATCCCTCGATGCAAGTCCGATGAGTCTGATAAGCTCTCCTGTCAGACGCAGGGCGATATCTCCGCTCCGTCATTGCCACGCCAGCAATTCACGATTGGCTCGCGCAGAGCGAAGAAAGTTTGGCCCTAAGGCGTGTGCGCTGCAGAGCAGTGCGGCACTCTGGGACTAAATAAACAACGCTCGTCACGCCTCTTCGAACCTACCATTCCTGAACAACTCCCCATCGACTCGACATCACTCACTTCTGCGCCGTTGACAGATTTCGTCCCCCACCAAGCTATCCAATCATGGCCACTGTGTCCGGCGTCCTCGTATTTGCGCGTCATGGCGATCGTCAAGGTTTCTACCAGTCGCCCACCACATACTCGTGAGTCGAAACGGCGTCGTTGATGCAGAGCGTGGACTGCCTACGATGCACGCTAATGTTGATCATTGCCGAACCAGCGCAACAAAGACAAATTTGACAGTGGCAGGTTACGTTCAAGAGTACAACCTCGGCACAGATCTACGCAATGCGTACCTCAACGCCTCGTCACCATCTCTCATACAAGGCATCAACACAACGGTCTCGCAGAATGCGCAACTAAGCGCCGCCGCCGACGCCGGCGGAGAGTCCGGACCCATCCTCGAGAGTGCCGCTGCTTTACTCCAGGGTGAGCTCTTGCTTGATGCCCTTCTGTTGTCTTCCATGCTCATTTTTTCAACATCCTCGGCTCCGGCGCAGGTCTTTACCCGCCATACAGCGAGACTATCACCCTGGCAAACGGCAATGTCGTGTCGTGGGACAACCGCGCGCAGCTCATCCCCATCGAGACGGTCGAGGCTGATCAGAGTCCTGATTTCGAAGGCTGGACCGACTGCTCGTCCTTTGAAGACCGTCTTGCAGATTTCTACGCTTCGGATGATTTCAAGAAGCAAGCTGCAATCGCCAATCCTTTCTTTGCCAGTCTCAAGGGGGTGCTGGGTCCCAACAGACCTGCTAAGCTCGAGAACGCTTGGAACATGTGCGTGTTGCCCTTGGTCTTGGCACATCCGGTCTGTTCTTGACTGACTTAGACCAACCTGCGTACTCTTGCCAGCTTTGACTTCCTGAACGTAGAGTCTATCCACAACACGACCTTGGCTCCTCAGATCGGTGCACAGAACCTTTCACTTGCAAAGTACTGGGCCGACTACCACGAGGCTGGCTCCTTCACAGACACCGACAAAACCAACGTTGGTAACGTCGCCGGTCAAGCGTGAGTCACTTGGTGGTGATTGTTCGATGCAGTGTCATGTCATGCTGACATTGATGAATCCTGCACCTCCTGCGCGTAGCTTTTTGGCACCAGTGCTCGACTCCCTGCATCGCCTCGACAATGCGACCGACCCGCTGAAATTCTCACTTCTGCAGATCAGCTACAAGCCATTCCTCTCGCTGTTCAAGATGTTCGACCTGGGCGCACCATTGAGCACGTCCGTGGTGGACTATGCATCTGCAGCCGTTTTCGAGGTGTACTCTGACCACAGTATCAGGATGCTCTTCCGCAATGGCTCCAGCGGTCCTTTCGAGCCGTACGCGCTCCTGGGCTCCGACTCCATGACGATGCCATTGTCGGACTTCAACAAGGCTATGCAACCTTACAACTTGGACACTCTGAGCAAGTGGTGCAACCAATGCTCAGAAACGGAAGCCAAGGGATGCGCAACCCTCGCTGCTCTGAACGGCACCGGAGGCGCAGGTTACGCATCCGTCACGAGTACCGAGGGACGACACGCAGTCAGTCCCGTGGTAGCGGGCGTCATTGGCGCTTTCGTCGCTTTGGCCGTCGCTGCCGCTCTTCTCGCTCTCTGGCTCCTTGCTGGGGGACTCGTCAAGAAGCATCGAGGTGCCAATGCTGCGCCCATCCATCGTCGGGACGCAAAGGGCCAGCACGAACTTCAGGATCGCGCGAGCAACGCTTCGACCAGGCAAGAAGGCTCCCATACCGATCTTGTCAAGCAAGCTTCTGCTTGATAACCCCTCTTCAGTCGGGCTTACCCACCATCAATGCTTCCGAGGGTCAGGTCAGTGCTATCGAGGCCCGAATGACGCACCAACTTCGAGCAGCGCGCTTTGACCTCACGTCACGCCATTTTCCAATGAATGCAAAATTGATACCATTGGGTGCATATCCAGGGTGTGCTCGTAATTGCTCCGCACGACGAAATAGATGGAGTGTCTTTGAGGCGTGGGTAGCGGCTGCGTAGTGTAGGACAGCTCCTATTCTTCCGCGTCCGCAGTCGGTGTACCCTCTCTTGAGATCGGCGCAGGAGCCACTCTAGGCCTGCCAGCTTTGAGATCTTCTCTTATTCTGTTCGCCGCGGTCTTCATCTCAGCTCTGACCTGACTTGCAGGGACCAAATTCTTTGCCAACTCTGCTCTCAAATCTTCCTCTTCCCTAGGCCCATCGTAGGTCCTTCCCAGACGTTCAGCGACCGCTTTGGCCTTTTTGATAGCGTTTGAGACTTTCTGCGCTTCCTCTTCTTTGGGCGTGGGCTTGCGTGGAGATCCGATACTGGTGGGAGAGCCTGATCGTTTGGTCGAGCCGCCGCTGCCGTCCAGCACAGTCCGACGCCCAGCTGTTGCCATTGTCACATCATCTGCATGAGGTCGCAGGACCATCTTGTCTACGGGGAATAAGTTACTGTAGTCAGAGGGGCCAACGTCAGTGAATGGTCTGGAGACGCAAAAGCCATATCACGCTCTGCACCACCGGTGCCCTCAACTCACTATATCCTGTAGAGCTCCAAGACGGCTTGCTCTTTGTCCTTTGCCTCGATCATCAGGTCAGCATCTTCCGGCAACTCCGTCGGCAACTCCACACAGCGATCGCTGTGCGCTCTTCTCTGCCTGTGCGTCTTTGCTCCAGCTCTCGGCTCGCTCAGATGAAATTTAGGCTTGATTCCTCTTTTTTGCCATATGTTGATGATGCGAGGTAGAAGTTCGTCAGGAGCAAGCGAAGATGGGCGTAGCAGATCGTGATGCCAGTCAAACACCAAGGGAACGTCCAGCTTTTCACAGAGCGGTAGGAGCTCTTCGGCAGAGTAAGAGATCTCATCGTTTTCCAAGACCAATCGTGATCGAGCCGAAGCGGATAAGCGCGTAGTTATAGTGTTCTCGATGCGCTCCAAAGCGGCTGCCTGGTCGCCGTATGAGCCGCCGCCATGCCTGGAAAAGTAGGGATGTGAGTGAGGCGCGTTGCTCCAGTATGCGCGCTGTCTTCTTCGAACTCACAATATCATCACGCTTTCGGGACCCGATCCCATCAAATCCAGCATCTTGCAATATATCTCGAACTCTCGTATGCTATTCTCGAGGACCTGCTGGTTTGGTGTTCCGAGCTGGACGAATTGGCCAGGATGGAGAGTCAATCTGACTCCCAGCTTCTTCGCTTCGTCTCCCGCTCTTCTGAGCTCCGTCTCGAGCACAGAGACGTCCCAGCCTACTTCGTTGTGCGATGCGAACGGCAGCATTTCGCACGAGAGGCGCATGAAGCGGATGTTGTTTGCCACGTTCCAGTGCAACATTGGAATCTAACGACACCAAAAAGAGACGGGTTTGTCAGCGATCAACTCTCCCCGTGTGCAAGTATTCGCACGCTCACAATATCGTTAATGTTCGCTCTCGCGAGCTCAATGGCCGCCTCGACTCCCTTTTCGCGAATGGTCGCCAGCCTGAGCGTCCGAGAGCTGAAGATGCTCTCTTTGGAGCTGGGCGGTTTGGTACTTCTGAGCACCGTGTTCAAGCAGGCGTATCCCAATCTGCCCCTGAACGCGCCTCTTTGCGCAGTACCCTCTTGTGCAAAATCTCTGTGCTGCACAGGTGCAGGTTCCCACTTCTCGTGCGCTTCGATCGCAGCCAGCCTCTTGCGCTCCAGCGCGGATACTTTGGGAGTCTCTTCCGTTGCACCGCCTTGAGACTCTTCGAGCTTTTGCTTCTTCGTTTGACGTTTGCGTTTGGATGGCGGAGGCATGTCCGAAGGTGCAGGTGAGAGAGAGTTGTTCTTGTGGACGCCAGTGGTCCGCGGCGGCTCGGTCGGTGCAGGATGCGCATTCGACTGTGCTATCATCTCCTCCCCACTCTCATTTTTCAACATCCCATTGGTCGCCGCAGCACTCTTGGCGCTGGCTTTGCGCTTGCGTGAAGGAGCATTGTATCGGTCATTGCGGCTGCCTTTCAGGGCATCCACTGATGAGTCATCCAGCACAGGTCTCACATCCGCAGCGCCCTGTCCTACTTCTTCCTTCACTTGAGCAGCATCCACTAGCACCTGCGCTTCCACTTGCTTCACACTACCTCGGGCAGATCGTCTCCTTGTCTGCTGAAGGGTCGGCGCGGAGGCTGACTGCTCCACAGCTTGAGCTGCTCGACTGCTGCCTTTGCGAGTGGGAGGGACGGAAAGTGGTTGATCAGAGTGGATGGATGTGGCGATAGCGTCTGATGCTGCCCGCGTTATGGAGGACATGTTGCCGATGGATGCCGCGCGTGCGAGGCGAGGTGGACGTGGCATTTCGGAAAGGCGTGCAGGCGATGATCGCCTCTGGAATGTGCTCGTGAGTGAAGAGACAGAGTGAGCAGCCGAGGGTAAAGTACAACGTGCCAGACCGCTGATCCGTAGCCCTCTCTGTACAAGACCGGCAAGCATACGCCCTTTGCTAACCGTGTGAGGTGGGCTGTCGCTATGGTGTGGCTTTCGCGAGGCGCAAAGTGCAATGCTTGCTGTTGGTGGTGAGGTTCCTTTTGATGGCCGCGATCAGCATGCTCTTGACGATCTGTGCGACTCGCATCCCAGTCAAGAGCGAAGGTGAAAGCTTCGCGGCGGCTCTCCTCGATGCTCATGTCATGTCCGGCCAAACTCGAACTCACAACTCGATCGGCGCCCTCAGGTGGAGGCAATTGATTGAATCATAAATTCAACGTCTCGGGTCTTGAGGTCACGTGTTTGCTGACCTCGCATCCACGTGTAGCCTTTTGCTGCAAGTCAGTCAAGAGTCTTGAGTCTTGGAGTGAGTCACGAGTCACGAGTGGTGAGTCGAGTGTGAGTTGCACACCTAGCCCGCCGCGACAGTAGTACGCAGCAGGTTTGGAGCGCCAAGCAGCAGCAGCAGCAGCACCGACCGGATGCATTTCGCGCAGCGTGGCACGCAGCAGCAGCAGCTAGGCAGCCTAGACCTTCTCGCCAATCCCGCACGCTTGGACCGAGCTTCGGAGCTGTGCTGCATGCACAGATCACTCACTCGCACAAGTCTCGAGTTCTGGCCGTGAACACCGTACAGAGCTTCCTAGCTCCTTGGATGCATCGGTGCGACGCTTCTACACCTCTACCATCCACCACCCTCCTCGTCACTCGGAAACTTTGTTCAGCTTCGTGCGGTCAGTCGTCTGCGCTCTCTTCAACTCTCTGCCCCCTTCGCGATGAGGCTTCTGCCGCTCTTTTCCGCTTTGGCACTTTGCCTCCTCGTGGCCGTGCTTCCAAGCGCACTGGCTCAGAGCGACGACACTCCGTAAGTCCAGCTGCCGTCCATCCACGTGCAGTGTGGCATTTGATCGCGCAGCCGAAGCTGATGGCGCTCGAACTTGCCCTCAACCCTCTTCCAGCGAGCTCAATGTGATCACGGTCTTCCCCAACAACCCGTTCAACATCGCCAAAAATGGACAGGCAAATAGAGGTGCGTGGATGCTCGCTCTGGCCAGATGGGGTCCATCCCACTGACTAGACCTTTCGTCTACGCAGTCGTCTTCAACGTCGGTACAAAAGAGGACAGGGCTCTCAAGCTGGAGGGCATCACGGGTGCATTCCTAAACACAAAGAAGAAGACAGAGGGTCAAAAAGGCTACGTACTGCGAAACGTAAGTGGGCCTTAGAAGCGCACCGAATGCATCAGCGTGACCCCCACAAGCTCATATCTCAAAACCTTCCAATGCCTAGCTCACCATCACGCCGATCAAGGATTTGCCTATCACCACGGGTCTAGGCAAGCCGCTGCAAGTGCCTTTCGACTTTTCGCCAGAATTCAAGCCTCAAGACCTGGGTATCGAGTTCAGGTTAATCGTTCGTGATGAAGTGAGTGGTGAAACATCCCATGTTATCCTTCGAGCAGACCGCAGCACCGTGGAAGCTGAACAAGCCTACCACCTGCTCTGTCTTCCCCTCTCAATCGCAGCAAACGGGCAAGAAGCACAATGTTCGGGTCTACACTGGAAACGTTACGGTTGTTGAGCCGGAGCGTGTTTGGGATCTGCAGCTGTGAGTGAAGGAGCGCGAATCGCAAGACATGCAGTCATCACTCAAAAGGGCGTCCCTCCTCTTGCAGCATCTCCGTGTACTTTTTCTTGGGCGCAGTGGTCCTCACAGTGATCTACTGGGCGTCCAAGAGCTACCCGGGCTCGCGTTCTTTGAGCAAAAGACAGAAGCGGAGCGCAGAGACGAAAAAGGCGGCTGCCAAGAGCGGGAGCGGTTCGAGCTCTGCCACCGCTGCTGCATTCGGCAAGAGCTCCGCTAACAGCGCGGTGGACGACGAGTGGATCCCTGAAGCGCACAGGCGGAGAGCTCAGAACGCGGCGGCCGCTTCGAGCGGGGACGAGGGCAGGCCGGCCCTCAAGCCTAGGAGGTCGGGACGTAAGAATTGAGCAGGCGCGGGGAAGAGGAATATTGGGGGAGCAGGCATGGAAGAGAGAAAGGATGTTTGTAGCAGAAAAGCATCATCAGCGCGACACGGCCAAGGGTGATGCTGAGGTCACAGATGAGTGCGCGCAACTGCTGCTGCATTGGGACGACGAGTGCGCGAGAGCAGCTTTCAATGAAGTGCTGCTGATGCGGTGCACCCTGCTGCAATGTCGAGAAGTCAAAAAAAAAGCTTATAATGCGCGAAGCGAAGCGTCGACGAGCAATCATATATAGCGCTATGAAGCAAGAAAGGCACTGAAGCGTGGGTGGCTATAGACAAGCATTGGGTTTCGAGGGGTATACAAGGGTTGGATTCAAGTTGCAGTGATCTACGGATGGTGTCGAGCAACAAAGTATGACTGTTCGAGGTGTCAGGCAGCTCTGCGAGCCTTAATCGAGTTCAATGATTGCTCCAGCGGCCAAAGCCAAGGCGACGGGGTGCCAAGTCTTGTCGTCCTCCTGTTCAGAACCCTTCTGCTCAAGATGATGACGCAAGATGCTCTGGGCTGCCTCTTGTCTCTGATCGTCTGGATCTCCACGCTTGATGCGCAATGCTTCATCCACCGACAGACCGCCCAAAGGCTGGATCCTGGACAGGTACGAGATGAGACCTTGGGCGTGTTTGGGCTCGTCGTGCGTATTGATCAGACGTGAGGCTCGCGTCTTGCTGATGATCCTAAGAGCCGGCTCTAGACCCAATTGCACCTTGTCGCCCAGAATCACTTCGATTTGGCCCACCGTAACGTTGAGATCGAGTTGTTTTTGATTGCAATCTGATCAGTTGGCTGCTGGGTTCATGCATGATGGACATTCCCGACGCATATACTCACAAGGAATGCGATGAGAATCCCACCCTGTCAGATATCCTGCGCATTCGATCTGTGTGAGCCAAGGAGGTACAGAAGTCTCTTCGATGCCGTGAGGAGAGTAAAGCAGGTATCGCTCCTTCCACGCGCTGCCTTGATCCTTGGAAGAGGTGAAACGTTGCCTCCACAGAATCAGGAGCGCATTGTGCAAACGCGGCCAAGCTGGATGCCACCCTTCTCGAGCTGGGATTGTGAGCAATTGAACGTTCTGCGGGAGGTTCGAATCGACCTTCTCATCCCAGCTTGGTCGCTGATTCCACGAGGAGACTGGAATGACAACAGGTTGTCGAGAGGCCAGATCGTGAACGTGCTTCGAAGCGTTTTGCGTAGCGAAAAGGGCTATTCGTGCGGGTATGTTTGCTAAAGACTGCGCGCGCGTCGTCGATAAGGCATGATGTTTCAGGAGAGAGTTGCGAGGCACGCGCGAAGCGCTACTGCAACATCCCTACTGCCCATTTCCATCTCGACTGCTCACCTCGGGATGCGCATGATCGGTGAATTCGAAAGCAGTGAGCACAGCGTCTAGTCCGTTCGATGCTTCATCGCGTGCTGCAGATGTCGAGCGAAGCCTGACAAGTTCGTGGATCTGCTCGTCCAGCGCTTCGATGGACGGCACCACAGCCTGCACCGCCCTCACTTCCCTGCTGAACTTGGGATGATAGGAGGTGGAGCCTGCAGTGTGCAGCCAGGGATCTATGGCTAGCGTAAAGATACCGCTTTGCGAGCAATGCTCATGCGCCGAGTCGTCGTAGGTCGGAAGCGAAAGAAGCCAGGCTGTGTCCCCGTTCAAACGCTGCAGATGCGCTTGACCAGGAGGAGGCAGCTGTATCTTTGACATGGCAATCTTGTCCCAACGTTCTTCATTGGCGACTGGACTCTTTCATCCATCGAATCGCTCACGCTTGTGTTGCGGTGCGGGAGCGGAAGAAGAGCCAAACTTGTAAGAAGAGGATGCGGACGAGAAGCATATGATGGATGATGGACTCGCAGTCGCGACCAACCGCTGAATGACCTGATCGGCTGTGACTCAACATGGACCCCCAGCACGACCGTCCTCCGGCCCCTGGCCGGCTGGCCCCTCAGCGTGCTGATTCGCGATTACTCCACCTCGCCATGCATCATCAGGTGCAGCTAGCTATAGCTAGCTAGCCAGCCAGGCCCAAGGTGAAGCGCTTCGTAGCGCTAAATTGATTCAAGATTCCTGGCGTCGTCACGTGCGTCTGCGCATGGGGGCGGCGTCGTCCAGGCGAGGAAATCGATCGAGGATATGAGAGCCACGTCGGCATGCAACTCAAGACTCAAGACTCTTGACTTGGTGGATGAATCTGTGCTGGTTGGAGTCATGCACCACAGCTTTGGTGCTTAGCGCTTCTTGGTCTGATGGCGAGTCTCGAGTCTCGAGTCTCAAATGAATCTCGAACGCCACATCCCCCTGCTGACAGCCCTCGCCTGCAGAGCTGAACGTAGCTCGTCTTCATATCGCACCACCTCCAGCAAGCCCACCATTCATCGCGTCTCAGATCAGGACTTCCGATCTGCTGCTGCCTTTCAAACCTCCCTCTGCGCCCCAAGCTTGCCCATTCTTGTCCGCACTGCACATCACCTAGGAAGCCCCGAGAGCTGCACGACTGCGCGACGCCCTCTCTGCTTCTCGGCGTAGGCTGACGAACAAGGGCTCACACACATCGCGATCAGGTGTCAGGATTTTCGCGCACCATGTCTGACAAAGCAGCGTCAAAGTCTGCTGCTCCTTCGCCTTCTGAGGCTCCAGCTCGGATCTACATTGACAATTCCAACAGCACAGAACTCAAGCTGACATGCGACGAGGCAGTTGAGCGGGTGAGTGGTGCTGCTACACTTTATTCCGTGGATCCTTATCCTGAGCACATCAGCCCATCTTTCTTCTCTACCGCATCTTGTAGATCTTGACATCCAACAGTACCAATCCCTGGAGAGCATCTCACCTATTGGTCGATATCAGATTGGTTTTGGGCTTCATCGCTTCGATTGAGATGATTGGCGTTTCTGCATGGGCTTGGAAGATCGTGCCAGAGTGGAACGAGAACAAGGGCTTGACAGCTGTTGCTGTTGCTGTGTGAGTCCATCTGCGCGCTTTACGCCGTAATTGTGTGCGCTCACTTGTGCCGAGCTTTTACTCATCATTTGCTCGAACGCGCGGCACATCAGCTACATGGTACTGTCAGGCATACAGACCGCTTTGGCCTACCTCGAAGGCGACACCATCTTCCGAGGCGCGCAAAGCTCTTCCGACGCTTCTTCATCGGCGACCTCGTCGTCGCAAAAGAAACTTCGCATCTCGTCTGGCGCTCTGCCCAAGGCGCAAACCGACAAAGAAGCTTCGAAGGAGGATGGTAGGAAGTGGACCACTCCGCCAGTCTACGAGCTCGAGCTTGAATGGAGCGGAGCAAAGGTACGAAAGAGCGGAAAGGAGAAGATCAATCTTGGACATATGGGTGAGTCTCGTGAGGCGCGGCAACAGAGTCGCTGCCACACTCTGCGGTACACCATGAATCAGAAGGAGCGAACAGCTGGCCTGATGCTGCAATTCTTCCTGTTCTCTCTTGGGGGAAAAAACCGCATCAGGCGAATGGTTTACGCAGGAAGGAGAATTCGTCGAGGACATCTTTTCGAAGAAGCTGCTGGCTGCCATCGACTCTGTCTTGGCGTGAGGGGAACAATCCCAGGAAAGAATGGCTTTGCGAGAGGAGGAGCAGCTCTTTCTCAGGTGATCAGCTGTGTCCGCCTCGATGCTTATCCTGCGCGAAATGTTTCCAAAAGATTGGGCAAAACATAAAGTCGATGTCATTGCAAGCTGGCGTCACAAAATTTGGAGCGAGATGACTGACGTTGGCCAGTCACGAGTGCTGTTTCCTCTGTGCGTGTACGATGCGGCGCGTTGCCCAGCAGCTAGGATGGGGACACATTCACCAGTCACTGATGAGTCTGCGGAGCTGTCGGTGTGACCAACGATGCTTGTTTGAATGTCGTGAGTCTGATCTCGCGCGCAAATGATCAGAATTTGAATTTGAGTCGCTCAATGTGAGTGCGAATAGGAATTTGGGTTGCTGTGAATCAAATGGCTTGCCTGCCTGGATGCTCCACATTTGTGATCATTCACCAGTCACCACTCGTCATATTCACATTCGCACTCACGACTTGTACCGCTCGCCAATCGTCAATCCTCGCAGCAGGAGAGCGCGCGTGCATCAGCAGCAGAGCACATGCAGCGAGCCGCGTTGCACGCGCAGAGAGAGCAACTCGTGACTGACTGCGCGCGCGTCGTGTAGGTTCTTCGAAATTCTCGAGGTTTGTTGCGATATGGAGGAGGGTTGGGTGGCTGGTGCATTCACACTCATTCACACTCTTGACTCGTGACTCAAACTGCGACTTGACTCACAACTGCTTCCCTGATTGGGAGTCTCCGATACAGTCACCAGTAAACACAATCGTGAATATCGATCGCGAATGCACATTATTGGCAGCAGCCAGCTTTGCGATTCCCTTTGCATGCGTGCCCTCACAATTCCCACCACTCGCGGGACTCTTCCACCTTGCCTGACTCGGCCTGCACCTTCGACCATGACCTCCCTTCGCGCCTCGTCTTCTGTGCGCTCTGTGCTGACGAGCGTTGGCACTCGCCCAAGCCAAGTCAAGCTGAACAACAGCTCATCCATCCTTGCTCCACATCGACACTTATCCCTCGCATGCTCCTCCCTCACCGCATCGCACCGCTCGCACTCATCGCCTTCTGCAAGATGCGCCTGCTCCGCTCAATCGGGAGCGCAAGTGTCGGGTCTAGGGACGCGGGGGGATGGTGGTGAGAGGACATACGCGACTGGGACCACACCCACTTGGAGCGTGGATGATCCTTCGGAAGTGGAGAGCCAGAAATTCTTGCAGGCTGGAACGACGGCTTTGGAAGCTGGCGATATGGAGAGTGCAAAGGTGCGTGTGTGTTGCCAGTCATTGGCTCGTGCGGCGATGATCGAGGCGAGTCAAGCACCCGGGACTTGCAAGGAGTCGTAGCAGAATTCACAATTGTAGGCGCATGCAGAAGCAGAAGCACGTCTTGCCGTGTCTGAGTTGGATCACGGCTATCGCATCGGTGGCGGAGGTTGTGCATCTGTGTCGTCGAGCATAGGTCATCGTCGCTCATCATTCTCCCTTGTCTGGCTCTCGTGCCTTCCAATACAGAAAGCGTACGAGCAATCTCTGGCTGTGAAAGAGAACGCCTCGGCTCACTTCAATTTGGGAGTCTGTCGTTATCACGCTCGTAAGTGTCGTCGCCTATCTGTTCGCTTCAACAAGATCCATACTCAGTACCCGAATCGACTGCGCTCTCTTCACTCTCTTCGGCCTCCCTATGGCTCTCTTCGATCATTGCTGCTTCCCTACCCCTCCGCCCCTCCCCCCTCTCTCTCTCTACGTTTCAACGTACACAGGTGATTTGGAAGGGGCTGTAGCGTCTTGGGAAGCGGTGCTCAAGCTGGCCCCTCAATCGCCAGATGCCCACACCAACATAGCCAGCTGCTACGTCCTTTCCAAACCTGCCAGACCAGATCTAGCCCTGGATCATCTCAAGTGAGTCGTCATTCCCACCAGACCCGGCAGACACACACCAGAATACGCGCCGATATTCCTTTCGCTCCGCTCCCCCCCCCCCCCCCCCCCCTCTAATGCTTCTTGCCAATGCGCTCGACAGGAAAGCTTCCGCTCTAGCTCCCGAAGATGCAGAGATTCACTACAACATGGCAGCAGTGCTAGAAGCCGTAGAGAATCTGGAAGAGTGCCTGGTAGCGTATCAGAGAGCGTTAGCCGGTGGTATAAACGTGAGTTGCTGCGTCACGCAAACGTCTCACGTCGACGATGCGAGTGTACTCGCCATCGCCACTAGCCTCTCAAGCCCAGCCCACCTTTCCCTTCGTGCCCCACCACTTCCGCTCGAGCCGCTCAGAGGGCCGAGCAGAATATCAGAAATGTTCAGGCAAAAATTCTGGGCGCCAAGGCGGCAAACGAAGCGAACGCTGACAAGGTTGCCAAGCCCGAACTGGAAGAGAAGCACTAAAGCCAGCAGCAGCAGGGTTCAGCTGCGAAATCGCAAGCGCGCACGACGAGGGATGCAGAAAGGCAAGCTTAATGAGTCTCGATTGTCTCTAGCGAGCGGCGCGCGGGTATACCAGGACATTTCGGGTCGGTCATGGGGAAAGGCAATGAATGGATGAATGGGCTCAAGGAGCCATCGAAAGAAGTGGGTGCTGCGTCAATGTTGTCAACGGAAAGAGACAAGGTGCAGTGCCAACTACCGGTTGAGAAGGTCCTTGATGGACATACCGCCGCCGTTGATTGGCCTGTCGCCAGTCGCAGTCAGAGAGCCAGGTCTGCTCGCAGGTGCTCTGCTCTGTCGATCCGATGCCGCGCCACTGTCCACCTCGTACTTTTGCATCGGCCTCGAGCCGAGTGTCCTTGGTGCAGCATTGGTCGTCGGAGCATCTCTGATCTGCACCTTTCTGCCCGTCTCCTCCGCAATGCGCCTGCCACCATCTTCGGTGACGATGCGCGTGTGATCATGTCCCAGATCTGCGCGGAGTGAGAGCGGACTCTTGGTTCGAAACATGCCTTCCGTTCTCGTGTGCGGCAGTGGAGGCGTCATGACTGCGCCTTGACTCGTCGGCGCTGCATGATGATGGTGGTGCTGCGGGTAGTCGTAGTCTACAGTCATCTTCCTTTTGCTGGGACTCGGACCGTGCACAGGCGGCAGCGCGCTGGGTGAATAGAAAGGGCTCGTCTGACTAGGCGTGACCGATCCACTGGAGTGCACATAAGGCGGGCGTTTTCCATAGCCTTGAGGATAGAAGCTGCCATGCTGCTCACCACGTACTCGGTCGTCTGCCGCGCTAGTGGTGAGCCCGCGTGGACGACCGATGAGTCCTTGCGGACCGTGAAGGTAGTGCTGCTCCAGATAGCTGTGCTGTTGCTGATGTGCGCCGTGAGCTCTGCGAGGATCCGCAGGGTCAGCATGATGAGCTCGCATTTGAGTGTCTTGCAGGATTGCGGCTTGCAATGCAGGATCCAACACCTCCGTAGGTGTCTGGGGTGCGCGTTGCAGCACGGACGGCATCTGTGTCAAATGCGGCGTAGGCATGCCGCGAACCGAGGGCTGATCGTTTGAATGGGCACCTAGTGTCGTCACTGTTGGGACGTAGCTACTCGTCCTTCTCCTCTGGGGCGGTCGCGAGACACCATCCTCAGGATCGCCTGCGGCGTCGTACGACATTGGGTCGTCAACCTCTTGCTCGGCATCATTTGCTCGCGTGTTGTTCAGGCCCAGATAATCCGGACCCAGCTGCGCTTGGGCGACGGGAATGTCAAGCGTCCACCAACCGCCCTTGCCTCGCGCCGCTTGGCTTTGATTGGCCTGGCCGGAGGACAAGCTGTCGTAGATGTCTTGGGCTGTCCTAGGCACATTGACGAAACAGTTGCTCAAGCTCAGGTTGTGTCGCACTGTGTTTTGCCAGCTTTGATACTCTGGTCCGTTGAGCGAATACAAGTCGGGCAAAAGATTGCTGATCCACGTGTAGATCTCTCTCAGCGTCATTCTGCCGTCTGAAGACGACGCAATGGCCTGGGCGCACAACGATGTATAGCTGAAAGGCGGCCTTCTTCGACGTCGACTCTGGGTGCTGCGATCAGTGACGTTTGGTAGTGGCTGCTGCGCGTTGACAGGAGAAGGCGAAGCTGCAATTACCGATCCGTGACCCATAGCACTCCTTTGCGGCGGAAGCTCGTCCGCCACAACCCACCGCGGCGAAGCGCCTTCGGAGAAATGCAATAGTCGATGGCCTGGTGACGTTGCACTGGTGCTTTGCGAACGCGCATTGCGACCAGGCAGACTCTTCAGCGGGCGCTCCGGGACGCTACTCGATGCACTCCCCTGTGCATCTTCTCGCTGATGCCAGCCTGAATAGGCCGGATGCATGTGAGCCGAGCCACGAGACTGGCGAAAGCGGGGCGAGTCATCCACAGCTAGCTCTTCCATGAGCAGAGGTGACAGTGGTGTCTGTGGTCTTGATGCTGATGAAGGGTGCGCAAAAGAGAGGCTGTTGCGCTGTTGAGCCTGTGTATGTGTGCCAGATCGCTTTGGTAGGCCGACAGGCGCGAAAAGTAGCGGAGAAGTGCGGGTGGTAAATGTTCCGGATTGAGTTGAACCCTCCAAAGAGTACGTCGTTGTGCCTGACGCTACGCTGTCGCGACGTCCGCGACGCCAGTCCCACAGCGATGTCGAAGTTGTGCTAGGCGTACCGTCACTGCTTGCGAGCTGCGAGGGCGGATAAGTCGGGCTTTGCAGGGACCCACCTCCGGCCATATGGTGCAGGGCCGATGGCCGCGGGACAGAGAGCGTGCTGGCTCTGCCTCTCGAGCCCAAATTGGGCCTGATGAGAGGCCCAAGAGCAGAGTCGTGCCTACTCGGCGGACCGCGCAAGCTGGGTTCTGAAGCATTGCTATATGTGGTCTCGCGGGCACCTGTGGTCATCAAAGAGCTACGATTCTGCGAACGATTCTCCGGAGCGAGCATCGAGCCCATGTCCATTGGTCCTCCTGGAGGCTTGCCATCTTGACCCTCATGGTTGGGCGGCCCTCGCGGTCGACTCGCAGGTGGCGGCGGCGGTCCTCCGTAGCGCGATCTGTGATCATCGGAAGATGGTCCACCATTCTGGCCAGGTCCGGAACCGCCGTTGCCGTCGTCGGAGGGGCCGTGACCAGACAAAGTATCGGCGTCAGTGAGCTCACGATATTCTACGAGCCTCAAAAGGTTTCGCTGTAGCATCGCAATCGTCATCTTGCCGACAGCGGGCAAGTGAAGAGCAGCGCGCGTGCGCACGTCTTTCTCAAAATTCTTTTCGCTACTGAAGTTGACCGTCGTTGCGCCGCGCGGAACCCAAGCAGTTGGGATCTTGAAATTGGCAGAAGGGACGCCGCTGATGATGACGTTCGAAGCGCCTACGCAAGCTTCCAGGTCCAGGGAGCAGGGTCTGACGATGTGGTGGGGTCGAAGGCGCCTGGAAGAGTTGGCAGCTCTAGCTTCGAGAACCACAGATGATCGCTTGCGCCCAGCTTGTGATGTTTCGTCACCCCCTGAAAGCGTTTCAGCTCGTGCAATGGCTCCGCCTCGTTTGTTGAACTCTTGCACAGAGCCGATGTCCACGCTGTAGACCTTGGCGCCATCGTTGCTCAACAACGCTGCAAGGGGTCGGCCAACGACTTCACTACGATTTACGACCGTGATAGTCTTACCGTATAGGCGGTCCCCGTAAGGCAGCGAGGTGTCGTACACACCGAGAGCTTCAAGGCATTTGACGATCGCCAGAGGTGTGCAGGGGAGAATCGACTTTGCGAAGCCTTTCGGCACAGCTTCTTCGGCCGAAGCGCCGTCAGGTGACGAGAGCGAAAGTCTGCGCATGGTGGGCGACAAGTTGCCGCCTCGCGGCTCTGTGACCGTGCCTGGAGCACCGCCAAGTTGCTTCGGAGAGATCCAGCGAACGTTGTGGTACATATTCCAACAGTACGAGAAATGCAAGCCCTCGACGTCTTTTCGAGGATCGACGATCTGTTGCAAGTAGGTGTCCTGTCGTCCGCCGAAGATTGGGTAGTATATCATGATTCCGTGCACCTTTGCGTCGGCATTTGCCGCGATGATGAGGTCCTCGACGTCTCCTTCGAGCTCTACGTCGGCGGATTGCTCCGAGGTGCCCCCATTCATGGGCTCATCGTCACCATTGATGGGGGCTTCTGAGTCATCCCATGTCTTCCAAATTTCGAACTCGATACCCACGGCTTCGCAAGCTTTCTTCGTCCATTCCGCGTACGCAACACTGGGTCCACTGGGAGTCGCCAGGATACCGACAAGCTTTGCCTTCCGCTTGCCGGTGTCGAGTCGAGCTGCGTTGGCGTCGCTAATCTGCTTTTGAAATGGCGCTACGATGGTGGCGGCAGACGCTAGCCGTCCAGGATTCTCGGGCGTTGGCAGACTGGTCTCGGGAACAGCAGAGCTCATATTGGCGGCTAAGGTGCCCCTAGATGAAGTCTGATATTCACGTGCGCTGCTGTGGTGAATCACGTCTACGTCGGCTTCGAGAAATGTGGACGCCTGCAAGACGCTCAGAACTCGATAGAATGACTGTCTCCGCTGACGACGACTGCGGAAATTCGCTAGAAGCGGCTTGCTGCTGCGCGTCGAAGGCGAGACGCCAAGGAGGGCGATCCGGGCCGAGACAAGGTCAAGGTCGGTCGGATCCTTGTTCCTGTCTGCTTCCTCGGTGCCGCTCGGTGCCGCAGTGCCAAAGTGGAAGCCGCTCGCGTCGCTGAAAGCACTACTTGAGCTAGACGATCGGGACAGACCTGGTGTCGCTGCGGTAGACGTAGGCACAGACAGCGAATTGGGGGCGGTGATTATTGAGGTAGCGTCAAGAAATGGGTGTGAGAAATGGTGCAGATCGTGCAGCGCAGAGTCGAGTTGTGGACGTGCGCATTCGCAGCGAGCGTGAATCCATGCCATGGCGATGCGTCAGCCACAATGACGGGCAAGATATGAGGGAGGACGAAGGTGGGAAAGTTAGTAATCGGCGCTTGTATATACGACAAAGCAATATGACTGAGCAAGGAGCACAAGTCTGTGGAAGAAGTAGCGCGACCCAAGACGGACAGGATGTGAAAGAGTGGTAGAAGTAAAGGCAGAGCTTCGCCTCCTGCTACTTCTCTCGCACCGAAGTCCCCACGCCTACTTGATGTTCACAGCGTCTCTGCTGCCCCAATTTTATCAACATCCTTCGTCGATCCTTGCGGAGACCATGATTGACAGAGCCACACTCACCGTAGTTACCAAGCTGCGGGCCGATGCGTTTGGTATAAACGACGAGCGGGCTTTTGTCCTGAACGGAAAAGTGCCGAACGTGGCGAAAGCACCTCACTTTGAGTGCAGTCGCGGGCGCTGGGCCGCGGAGAGTACGTCTTTGTGGGCGTCGTTAAATGACCGTTGCCCGCAAGGAGTCGGTAGCGCCACGCGTGAGAAGCGTCGTAAAGTGATACTCCTGGCGACGAAGCTAACAATGCTCAGCAACTTTCGCAGCCTGCTCCGCTGGACTAGGAAAAGCGCAGTAGGGTGCGGTGCGGGACGTGTAAGCCAGACAGACGATTGCGCTATCCAGCTCCAAGCACCGGCTTTGCCAGGCGTACCTGGAAAGGTATGGACGATCGCAAGGGGTAAGAGAAGAGCTGCTATGCAAGGATGCTCAAAGTCTTCCAGCCGTCACAAGCCGGTGGAGAGACTTGTGCAGGTCGGAGTTCGAATGGGAAACGCCAACGGGAAAATTTGCCAGCTCGATCAACTGGGTGGCACCTGAAGTAGAAAGCAACGGATCGATCACTTGATGACACTCGACCGGAGAGCAACACCTTGACCAGTGGATGGCGGTCAGCGTGATCGTCGCGAGGCTGTCGACTCGCTGCGTTTGCTGGGTCCTGCACGATAGGGGAGAAGAAAAAGTTGTCTGAGCACTGTAACTTGCAGTGGCCTGTGAGAAAAGCAAGAGACCGTTCGCGGCAGCAGCAAGAGCTCGGTCGCTTTGCTCGGCTGCAGTGAAGGACTGCCCGCCCTGCAAGGAAGGAGGCACGAGACGCGAGAAACGCGTCCGGACGCAGATGCACGGAGCGTGGGACGCAACAAGGACTCGATGGACAGACCCAGCAAGGATGCTGTGGCTTGCTCTTGCAGTACGGCCGAGGTGTCGAGTAAACATGTACATACATGTACCGGTACTGTAGCTGGAGCAGCGAAACCGTTACGGGCACATGTCTGTCTTGCGCCCCTTGCCGATCGCAGCGGTAAGGTCTCTGAGGCTTGCGCCCTCTCCTAAGTCGTGATCTTGCGTGCACCTCTCATCAGCTCAATGTATGCCACTTACAATGTATCTCCCACGCGAATCAGCCACACGTTTCGAGCTGCTATCGTCCCTCTGAGTTGTGAGACAACCGAAGACTGAGAAGTGTTTGGTATGCAAGAGCTGCCAAACAGTCGGAGTCCAATTCTCGTCTGGCGCGGGTTCGCTGATTTGCGAGTGGTGGGGCTTCGTCGTAGCGTTTGAGAACCTCACCGACGAAGGAATTGTGGGAGGTTATAAAACGCTTGATCCGTATGGAGGAGACCGAGTGGTATGCGATCGATCGCACAGATGGTTTGCGAGACCCTCTTCTGGCGCAGAAGCGGTGGAAGCGATGGGTGGGAACAAAAAGGGTCGCAAAGGCGAGGGCCCGGTGGCTTTCGACCTGCGAGGATCGCGCGGCGTGGGCGGAAGGCGGCCGACAAGCCAGGGGCAAGGTGCGTGAAGCTCGATTGACTCGGTAACTATGAAGCGCAGATTGCTGCAGCGATAAGCCGAGAGTGAGTAAGTGAGTGGTGCGCGACTTCAATGTCATCAGTCGGCACGGCAGACTCTGACTGAAGGAAGGGAACGTCGTGTGAAGAGTAGTCAAAGTATGGTCGAGCGAGGGCAAGGAATGTAAAACGAGGGCAGAAGCGTACGTTTCACGGCAGAGAATGTTCAAAGCGTAGGACGTATACAGGTCAGGGAGAGGGCTCTGTTGAGAACGCTTCCAAAATCTGACTCTGGTCGAGCCGAGTCGTTGCGAGGCGTCGACAGTGCCTGGCGGTGCGTTTGAAGTACTCTCAAACCAATCGCAATCTGAATGAGCACTGCCCCGCCCTAGATATTTGGCAGCGCTGCCGCCTGCCATGTACCATTGTCGCACCCAAAAGCCAGACGAGTCACCGAGGGTCGAGCATCCTGAGAGATCGCGCAGAGAGACCACTCAAGCACGATTGGCCCGAGGTCTACTCGAATTGCACGTCAATATGTCTCGCTGAGCCGCGACGGCCATTGAGAACCGCGAGTCTGATACAAGAATGCTGGCCGCGTGTACGCATGCGGGCGAGCCAGGAAGGTGATCGATGACTGGTCAATTTTGCACAGAGGATTTTGGGCGCTCGACTGAGTTTACAGGGCGAGGCTGCAACCGGCTAATTTGATCGGGCATCCAATAGCGCTAGCGTGAGACTAGACGAGCACTCATCTGTCGCTCTGTGCTCTCTTGCCCTACACGGAAGGCACCACCGTTAGCAAACACACCGACAATTTGAATTGTGACCACCACTGATGAGGATGCAGCTTGCGGTTGTGCCTGTCCCGCTCTCACGGCCTTGTTCATTTCGGGCCGCTCTGCATCCAGAAGAAAGTGCTTTTCATCACCCGAGTCTTCCAAGGTGACCGCAGTGCGTCTGACAAACTTGTGACGCCATGCAAGCGCCCACCGAAAACGTACTCATACAAACGAGCGACCGGCGCTGCGTCAACACACTGTCGGCAACAACTTGAAGCGAGGAGTGGGGTCACTTCGACTACCGCAGCCAGGAGACTTGGGAAGTGTGCGGCGGGTGATGCGTCACCATGCCCCGAGCAGCGTCAAACACTTCACAAAAGGTTTACAGTGCACTGAACTTGGAGAACAGTCACACTGGTCGTGACACGTCGACACCGCAGCAGCAGGAACGACCATGGTTTGGTAATTGCCAGTAAATGAGCCGCGGCAAGGGCACATTTCCCGCGCTAGGCGGAGCAGAGCAAAAGTGCGGAGATTCGCGGAGTGCGATACTTGCGCGAAAAGGGTGGGGAGGACCGCGGCAGCGCGCAACAAGATGTTCGGCAAGGCGAGCGAGCGATCTACGCGCCAGCAGACACCATGCGGCCTGCGAGTTGGAGTCTGGATTCACAATTAAAAGACGCCTCGCGGATACGCATCTCTCGCAAGGGCTCTTTTCGATACACTTTGCTGCACGGCTGGGCTCATAGCATCTTGTGTATGGTTACCGCGAAAGTGATGCGAAACAGGGCAACAATAAAGTGAGACGTGCTGCTTGTCTCAGATGACTCTCGCGCGTCGACTTGATTGACATCACGCACATAGGCAGCATGCATATAGGCACTTGAGCGGCGGAACAACATGGACCGGACATCTCCGGATGCAGTCAAAGAGGTATCAAACACGATCTACTTTCGGCCTTCTGGTCTCAGGCTTTTCCGGATCTTCGCCAATTAAGACCTTTAATAACGAGTGGTGCATCAGCATAAAAAATGCATGTTCTTATTGTGATGATCGCGATCAAGCATGGGTGGTCGCGCGTCTTCTGCAACGGCCCGTGCTTACCATCACGAGGGACGAGTCTTGACCTGGCCAACAATCACAAGTCACTTTGAATCTGTCGCAGCTGATGGAGAGCGCTACACAGAGCTCGGTTTGTGCGCACGTCAACATAGTTAAGCTCTCTCCATGCTGGCGTCAAAGTCGGATGCGATCGAGATGCACAGACCGCCCAACCACTGAATGGCAAGCAATCGCAATATTTGCATGCCGTTTCATGGACGGTCGCCTTTCTGCGAACCTTCAACAGTGCTAGCAGCGAGATTGCCTCAAAGGCAACTCTTTGCGCTCCTTGCTCAATCGAGCTCCATACCCTGCAGCTTGCGCATTCTCTAGTGGGTGTCAGATTGCCAATGCGTCTGCAGAAATAGCCCTCATCCACGGAGCCTCTTTCAGTGACAGTCTTTGGCTGCTTTCACCGATACTTTGAGTAGTCAAGAGTGGGTAGTAACGTACATGAGGTGTGTGATTTCAGTCGTGAATGTACCAGCACAATAGCTCCCAAGCAGTCAAGGGGGCCAGTGCAGTAGCTCCGCCGCGCAAACACGAATCAAAAGCCGGAATGCCTCGGTAAGAGGTTTCACGGCTCTGTCCGAATTTGCGCGGCCGTTCAAAGGAGAACCAGCATCGATCTAGGGCTCGAGCACTGAACTTGTGGATGATCGATCAGCAGATCATCAGATGTAGCTATCTGGCCTCAGAACTGCCAGGCTCAGTAGCGAACCTAGCCAACTGTCTCACCTTTTGCAGCGGGGGGCGAGCAGTTGCAGCATGCTTGACCGCAAGCGGATGCGGCGCTTAACAAAGAGATGCGAAACATCTACACAAATGATGTTCATTGCAACGACGACGGGGAGCAAGGGACCTGTGTTCGGAGATTGGCGAGCTCGTCGTGGGAGTCTCGTTGTCCTTAATTCACTTCGGATGCTCCGATTCCGGCTCGAGCAGGTGGGGAAGACAGATCCGATCTGCCATAGCACGTAATACATCGTCTCAAAAGCTCATTCGAGCTATCTGGGCAGCCAGCGGTCCAGAGCTATGCGCAGACATTTGGTGTGATTTCGGGGGCAATCGTTTCCCCAATCCCACGTATTCTTGCTCAATGAGATGGGCGACGATGGGCAGCCAATCGAGGAGATTTCCGAAGGGCATCTTGACGCGCTCAGAAATTTGCGCTTCGCAACCTTGGGACGCGCAATGTATTGTGATTTGCTGCGCTTTGAGCAGAGGAAGGATTGCAGGAGTTGTCTTCAGATGTTTGCCAACAGCGGCGCTCAGACTGGTGGAGTTCCTTGAGCAGCACCGTGCTTGGTCGTCTTGCCCAAAGGATGCGGGCGACGAGGTGTCGTCGAACACAAAGAAACGGTCCAGGGTGGGAGCAAGCTCTGACTGAGGCCGATGGTGGTTTAGAGTGAGAGCAGGATGTGACTCAGACTGACGGCGTTACCCAGAATCCGTGTCTCTCTCGAAGCTGCAAATGCCTTTCAGGCGCTCTTGCAATTTGTCGAGCTCGCGCGTAGCTGAATCAGTGCCAACTTGACCATCGCTCCCAGTGGCCCTCGAGTCTGCGAAAAGAGGGTGTATGATGCGCGCCGAGATGCTGTAAGAGGACACGTCATCGGACAGGGGTGCAATATCAGGATTGCCAGCCTGTATCGTGGAGCGCAGAGGTACGAATTAAATGTCATTGCTCTCTGGAGTGCAGCTCGATATGTCTGCTGCGGCAGTCTAGTAATGCTCACTCACACGATACACAAGAACTTCGAAACTGGCGCCCCAGCCGGAGGAGAGGGGCTGTTCTCGCAGCAGAAATCGGATTCCCGTCCGCCTGATTTCCCTTTCAGGGCTGTGTTCAAGGCACAGAACTTAGTAGGCCGCATCGAAGTTTTGTTGCCCCCAACAGAGTCTCACTCACCTCCAGCCCAAGCTACTGACGGCAGTTTCCCAGTCCGCTTCGCTCTGACGACGATCGTCGCTCGCCTCAGAGAAGCCAGCCTCGCTAGCGCTGTCATCATCGTGATCGTTCTCCTCTGATGTTGGCAGGAGCATGTCTAATACCACGATGGGACGAACGGTAGCAGGACTCTCTGTCTGGCCAGCTGCCTGCGGCTTGCGCACAGGAGGCGCGGGCGAAGGCAGCATCAAGGTGCTGCATTTGATTAGGGGATGTGGTCAGCCCCCGTCGTCGTTTTGTGGTGCTCGCGCGGGACCAGTCGCTGCTCACACATTGCCCTTCTCGCAAAGCACTCTAAGTTTGACCTCTTTTCGAGCCCTTCTGGTTTGTCCCCACCGCCCATCTTCCTCCTCTACTTCCCTCCTGGCCTGATCGTCTGACCTAGTGCAGATGATTTCTGTTTGCTTGAATGCGGACGGAGCTCGGGAGCCTGAAGCTCGGGTCAATTCGACCTGCAGGCGAGGAAGAGAAGAGGCAGGAATGCTCGAAACGGCGCTGATGAGCAAGTGTGTCGTTGGCGAACTCTGTGATGAGGAATTGCCTTGCGCGTTCACGGCGCCAGCTGGCAGCGTGGCATGCCGCGACATGGCCAGGCTTGCACAGCTGAAAAGCAGAGAACGTAGTGCGTGCGCGGTCCAGTTGAGCCGTTGCTGATCGGAGATGGACGCTTCGAGACTAGGGTACCAGCCAAAAGTGCTCGTCTGTGTGTCGTGAGGTGACTCGCGCGGTTGGTAAAGACCGACTCACCAAACTGGACTGTGCAGAAGATGCGACGACGAGCAAAAGATGGAAAGGTCGGGCGGGGCTTGTGGAATTTACACGCTGCATGGCTCGAGCGCGGAAGGTGTTGAACGCACGAGTCACGAGTCACAGTGGAGGAGACGCGCTGCCGACGGCGAGCGGCACGTAGAGCGTGGAGCATTCAAGATTGGTGATTGTGATTGCTCCGCAACTTCTTCCACAGCAGATACCGCTCTCAATTGCGCGAGTGCAATCTCCTTGCGCATTGATACGACATCCACATCACGCACATACTACTACAAGGGATTTCGCGCTGACAGATCATCGGGAGCAGCGCAGGAGAGGACCAGGTAGGACTCGAGCCTTTCATACGAACATCCCAATCGGTCAGCTGGAGGTTGGTCGCGCAGGATGGTGAGTTCTTTGCATCACAGCGACGGCAGCATCTCAAGCTGGGGCTGTCAGGTGTATCCCTGCGATCAGCAATCCTTTCTCTGACTCACAACCAAACATCACTGCTCCTAGGCTCGTGCTGCTGCCAAGCGCCAAAAGGCTGCGAACGCGTCAGCGCTGCAATCGCTGCGCGTCGGCTTCCTGATCGTCAATACCATTCATTTGGTCCTCGTCTTCTACGCTTACAGATCAAAAGCGACATGGGGATCCGTCATCAAGTACGCGAGCACAGAAGCGGTGGCTATCGCGCTTTGGATCACTCTGGAAAAGATGGCGCGCGATGGGGACGACTTGAAGCAGACGGGGTTGACTGCGTGAGTAGCTTGTACGACGGTGGCTGCGACGAGGACTACGATTGCATGAGTGTATAGAGCACTTGGCTTGGCTAGAGTTGCTCGCTGCTCGCTGCTCTAGCTAGGAGAGCTAGGCATGGACCTCGCCTCATAGGCTGGAGCTTCGACTGCGGCGCGCACGCAGTCGGACCACTGCGCAAAACGCTCTTCCAGAACCGCTTGCATCCGCACGACGCGCTGACCTGGCAGAAACTCTACTGTATTGTACCGACGTCAGCTATTTGTTCGACATAATCTACGTAACATGGTTTGTACACGTCGGCACAGCCTTGTTCGGAAGCTGGGTGTGGTGGATCTGGGCAGTGGTGAGTCGAGCGAGCCATTCTAAAGCAGTGTGTCAACAGACCTGACTGCAACGCTGGCCATGGCAGATCCCGCTGTACGCATCGTATATCGCATACAGCAAGCTTGTGGTACCCTTTGTACTTGGCGGCAGGGATCCGCTCCGCGGTTTGTTCTCAGCCTTCGCTGGAAGCTCGGGCGGGACAGCGCCTGCTGATCAGGCTGCGACTGAAAATAACGCTGCTGGACAGAGCAAGCGTCAGGCAAAATTGCAAAAAAGAGCAGAGAAGGGAGACCCGAGGGTTCAGATGCAGCAGAGAGAAGCTGGAAATGCGAGCGGCACAAGGAAACGGTGAGGCGCCAGTGTTGTACTGTCACCTACAGGCGATGATCAAGCACTTGAAAGCTCCGCGGAAGGTTTCGCGACGCTCTTTGTCACTCATAACATGCGATGATCTGCTTCAAAAACATGCGGCCTCAGCGGCTCGACTTCGCAAGGTTCATTAGCGCCGCTTGCGCTCGACCTCTGCAGCGCAGATGTCCGAAGTAAACCCGAGACGCAAGTGAGGTAGCATCAGCTTCTCGGAGGTTCCTGCCACATTGGGATCCTAGCTTCTCGCATCGAGTGACTCTCAGCGGCCTCACGCTCATTTGATCGAGTCGCTTTGGGGGGAAGGCTTCGATTCCGCAGCGGAGGACTTTGCAAAGGCGATTCAAAGATCTTAGGGGAACGAAAGAAGGTAGAAGATGGGCAGCACTACTTGCGGGCCAGGTCGAATGATCCTTTAGCGCTCGGAGGTGATCTTGAGCCAGATGACGAAATTTTCAGACCTCAAAAGCGTTCTCGACAATCGAGGATCCACAAGTCGGTCGTGAATCACGATTGCACACTGCACACCTATTGTGACTGTGAGCTGTGAACACGACTGTTGTGTGTGTTCTCAGTTGCATATCCAGGCCACCGGGGGGATCCAGCGACTTTCTTTGTATGTTGGAAAACAGACGCCCGCCTCACTCACGAATCTTGACTTTGGCCTTCATCAGATTCATCAAGATTCTCACTCACGACTCATCAAGACTCATCAGACTACTCGTCCAAAGCGCGAATTAGGTCACGTGACATCGATGGTGGTGCCGCGAGATGACGTCAGAGCATCAAGTCTAGGGTCAGCTGCCTGGCTCGAGCGTGCGGCTTGGCTTCGATCGATCAGGTCGCGCCTCGCCGATCCATCCACAAGCGGCGAATTTCGTTGCTGTACATGCTGCAGTACTGTACGTCCTAGCTACGCTATCGAAGAGGCGCATCACGACTCCTTCTTCGGGATCAAATGCGTGTTTTCGTCCACGCCAAGGCGGTGGGTGGTGTGGCAGGGTCAAAATCGTGAATAATACAGGCAAGGGTGGCTTGCATGCGGTCTGGACCGCTTATTGTCCCACGCTTGGCTCTCTCCATGCAGCAGACCCTCGCCGTGGGCTGTGATGGCCGGAGTGCCGCGTTTGAGCGGATGCGGGAAGAAGTGCTGGTGTTCGCAACCAAGCGGGCACAAAGCACCTCGTCACAGCTTGATATGTGTAGAGGTAGATGTGCTGGAAACGTCGGAGTGTGACTCGCTACATTCTAGCCGAAGTGGGCCATCGTCATTCCCATGTGTGCTTTGTAAGGCCGGCCAGATGCCTCAAACGACGGCTAACAGCGCTATATCGATCCATGTCCTCGGGTCCCTCTTCACCATCGATCTTTTCGGGAACGGCATCGCGATTGGGTCTTCAGCTGACCACCACCACCACCACCATCAGTACAGTGCATCAACTTTCTGGTGCACTTGGATTCGTCGCCGATTCACTTTGCAGTCCCCTCGGCAGATAGGTAGATAGGTGCAACTCTTGTCCTTTATCACACCTTCTGGTACCGTCCAGTCCACATCATGACCACTCAGCATCACGTAGGGGAGGGCTACAGCCAGCGTAATCCAGTGCCCACCATCGAGCGCTTCCGTCAAGAAGAGGAAGCTAGAGAAAGAGCAGCGGCAGCCAACGCTACTCAAACCGCTCAAAGCGCTGCTGAAGAAGCTGCTCCCTCGAAGCAAGTGCCCCCTCCTGTGCCTGCAAAGGAGGAGAAGAGTACGCCAGAGAACGACCCTGCCGTCGACAAGGGAGGAGCTCGATCCGGTTCTGGTGGAGGTGCTGATGAGAAGGAGCGTTTAAAGCGCGCCGCTCAGCCTCCTCAGGAGAAGCCCACTGACTTCGTTGCCAAGGGCAAGAGGTGAGTGCAGAAGCAGCTCCATACTGCAGCGGCTCAAGGGGTTTGCTTTGTATGCATCCACTTGTGAAATAAGCGCCCTCTTGACTCTTTCAGACGGGTCAAAGACCCGACTACTGGCGCTGATGTGGAGATTGAAGATCAAAAGCCGTTCAACCTGCATCCCGATCAGCTCGAATCTAAGAAGCCATCTGCAGAGGCCAACAGCTTCAGCGGGCGTCTGCCTACTAGTGCAGATGCCTACCGTACCCTTCTAACAGCTCCAATCGGTGCACCGCCTACCAATGTGCTGCTTCAGCCTTTCCCAGCCCCCCTCGACTCCGAAGGGCTGGCCAAGCTGCGAGGCAACTTTAGGAACTTGGGCATCGCACTTGGAGTGGCGATGTGAGTACAGCGCGGTATGACCTGGCGATCACAAAAAGCGGGCCTCACTCTTTCGTCTTCTTCTCAGGTCCGTCGTGTGGTTCATGACTGCCTTTGGAGCAGGTTACTGGAGGTTCTTTGTCCGTTCGATCCTCATTGGAGGTGTCGGTCTGGGCGGCGGAGCTGCGCTCGGTCTCGCCGCAAACAAGATCGAGACGGATCTGAAGCAGGTTCGAGCTCAGATGGCCACACAGCGTGGTCAGGGATTCTCTCCTAAAGAGCCTTGCCTTCCTGAAGGTGTGGAGTGGATCAATGCAGTCATTGCGACAGTGTGGAAACAGATCGACCCAGCCATCTTTGCAACGCTGGCTGATACTATCGAAGACGTTATGCAAGCTGTAAGTTGATCTCTCACGTTGCTGCTTGAGCACAACGAAACTATGTGGCTTAATTGGAACGCTTTGCTTCCGACAGAGTCTGCCCGGTTTCATTGAGGCTGTAAAGATCAGCGATCTTACGCACGGAGATGCCGACTCCGCCCTGCGCTTCACGCACTTCAGAGCTCTCGCTGATAAGCAGGGCGACCGCGAGTACCCCCGCGAAGAGTGGATTGACCAAGGAAAGAAGCCTAGCCCCTCGGCTGACGATAAAGCTGGAGAGAAGCCCAAGCCTGTCGAGAATGACGCTGATGGCGATGGCATTGCTGATGAAGACGAGGTGAGTCCAGCCAAGAAGGGCGTCAAGAATGGTTCAAGCTTTGCTGATATGGCATTGCCTCGAGTGCTCAGTCGGGCGACTTCCTCAACCTCGAGGTCGGCTTCGTCCTCATGAAGCGACCTGACCAAAAGGCTAAGGCTGCAAGTCTTCAAATCTCCTTCTTCTTGGGAGCGCTGAGTGAGTTTGGCTTGCACGCGATTGGGTTTGCACGCTGTCTGATGGTCGTCTTCTCGTCCGCTAGACTTGTTCCGCTTCCCTTTCAACGTCTGGGCCGAAGTGACAGGTCTCAGTGGTGTGGTGCGCTTGCGAGTGCAATTCGTGGCCGCTGCGCCCTTCGTTCGGTGCGTCCATGAGAAGCGAGGTCAAAGTCAAAGATGAAGGCCACTGACACTCTCTGAACCAATCGTCGACCGTTCATAGCAACGTCACAATTTCCCTCATGGGCGTGCCAGACGTCGCTGTCAATGTGGTTCCGGGCAGCAGGGCGCTTCCTAATGTCTTGGGTACGTCATAGAATGAGACTGTTCCGATACAACGCGTGCTTATCCTTCAACTTGTGTTTCTCGTCAGATCTTCCCATGGTTTCGGGTTTCGTCAAGTCGGCTATCGCAGCTGCCTGCGCAGAGTACTGCGCGCCCAAGAGCCTCACCATGAATGTAGGAGACATGCTGGCAGGCGCGCCGGCAAACTCTGACGTCGATGCAGTGGGAGTGCTTGTCGTGCACATTCAGCGTGGCATTGACCTCAGCGCCCAAGACGCCAGTGGATCAAGCGACCCGTACGTCATCGTCTCTCTCGCCAAGTTTGGCAAGCCTCTATACTCTTCTCGAATCATCTTCGAGGACCTGAACCCGAACTTCAACGAGTATGCATTTGTTCCTGTCACCTTGGATGATCTACGTAACAACGAGGTCCTTTCTATCCAGCTGTGGGACTCCGACCAGCGCACAGCTGACGACATCGTCGGCCGCATCTCTCGCGACGTGCGAGACCTTACCAAAGGAGAAACGAAGAATCGCATGGTCGACTACGAAGATCCCCTCAAGGGCTTCGAGGAAGCGGACAAGATGCAGGGCTCTCTCAAGTGGCGTGGGGGTTGGTTCGAGAAGAAGGAATTTGATCGTCTGCTCTTCGAACAGGCTGAGGCTCGCCGCAAGGAGAAGATGACTGAAGTTGAGAAGAAGGCGAAGGAGGCTGAAGTCAAGGCTGCACAGGAGAAGGCGAAAAAGGAGGGCAAAGCTGTCGAAGACACCGAACTTACCGCACTCAACACTCCTCCTAGCCCGGAGTACCCGACAGGCGTACTTCAAATTGTTGTCCATCACATTGTCGGTCTCGAAGAGCGCGAGGTGGAGAAGGGTGTCAGCGGCAAGGCACGCGAGTCAGGCGCCAGCGGTCAGGATGTCGAGGAAAAGGACCTTGAGCTCAGGCTGCCCTCAGGATACATCGAGCTCGCCATTGATGATTCCATCGTCTACAAGACCCGCACCAAGATGGCGACGAACATGCCCATCTTTGAGGCCAAGACGGAGAATGTTGTGCGCGACTGGACGAAATCGGAGGTGCGCCTCATCGTGCGCGACGCCCGCACGCGCGAGCTCGACCCTATCATGGGCATTGCGCAGATCAACCTCAAGGAAGTATTCGAGAATGAGTCCTCAGTGCAGCGCTACTTTGCGATCTCTGACGGCATCGGATACGGCAAAATTCAGGCTACACTGATCTGGCGCTCCCTCAAACTCAAGGAGGACATTCCTGTCTCGCTGCTTGGCGCTGACACCGCGACCGTCGAGCTTCTGAGCGCCATCTCCATCGACGTGGACGAGGAGCACGAGTCATTGCGTAATCAAAAGATCTCCGTCACTACCGGTGACGTCACGCAAAAGCTCAGTGCCATTCGCAAGCAAGAAGACTTGTCTATCGGAGATGATGAGGCGGAGAACGGGGCATTGGCTCGCTTGCCTGTCTACGACAGACACGCGTCGACCCTCGCCTTTAGCTTCGGCGGAGGCATCAAGCTCGGCCCGTTCGGAGGCAAAGTGGACGCTGTCGCCGTCGTCTCTTTGCTAGACCTCGAAGACGAGGAGATATACGAGCTTGATATTCCCCTGCTCGCTGGCGACAAGCTTGGCACCCTTGCTCGCAATCACATTGATGACTGGACGCTCGAAACACACAAGGCGCAAGAAATTGGCAAGCTGAAGGTGAAGGTTCGCGTCGATCCGGGCCTGGACGGAAATCACGCTGCTGTTGCGAAGGGACAAGTGCGTCGCCACGAGCAAGAAGTGTACGAGCGCTTGGTGGGCATGCCAGAGACTGCCGAGAAGAACGCGCACGCCGACGATGATGGAGTCATCGACCGCAAGGAGCAGAAGGCTATCGACAGAGCCAAGACGGATGCTCTGCATGCCAGACACCGAGGAGCGTATGGATACGCACCCGTCAGGACTGGTGCGTGGGCCAAACAGGGTGTCAAGGACCGTGTCAGACGTTACTCGCTCAAGCTGCGCGGAAAGGACACCAAGGAACGTCAGGTCGCTTCGGAGACGGGCGCCTGAGCTTGGATCGAGCATCTGACGCGGAAGTTTCCTGCGCGTCTACTCTTGCATCTTCCACCCAACAGATGGCTCACAGGCCGCGTGCTACGATGAGATACACAGACTTGAAGCTGCGTGATGAATATGATGATTGTTTTCTTGTGCATGGTCATTCTGCACTGTCGCAGATATCCTGACTCTCGTCCCGAATCGAGTCTTGAACCTGAGTCAGAATCAAGAATGCCTGTCGGCAGAAAGCCGAAGTCCTTATCACGTGTGGGCGCACGAAGGAAGTCTGCACGATTCGTGATTGCATGCCGCTCGCGTGTGGCGGCCGAGATCACCGGCTGCGTTTTTTCGAACTCTTACGCTGACGCCTGCGCAAGCGGCGTGAGGAACCGCCTCGGCAGTCAGCAGCCTCGACGCGCACGGCCTCCACAGCAGAGCTGCATGGAGACAGCAGCAGCCATCCCGTCAGTCCTGCATGCGCAGAGGCCTATCGGAGTCGATCGACCGGCCGTCGACGGCTGGACCTTTCAGCCAGACCCTCTGACACACCCTCTTCTTCTCGCCAATCGCCCACTTTCGGCACACCTATCATCCCTTCCATCCCGTCCCATCCAATCCTATCCTGTGCACAAGATGACTTCAAACCACCTCGCCACTGAGCTGCCAAGCTGGTCGAAGCTGCAGCAGCTGCACGACACCAAAGGGGCCAAGTACGATCTGCGTCAAGCGTTCAAAGCTGACCCCAAGCGGTTTGAGAAGTATTCTGAGCAGTTCAAGGGAACAAAGACTGATGCATCTCTGCTCGTCGACTACTCCAAGAATCTCATCGATGATGAAGTGTTGAAGACCTTGCTCGACTTGGCCCGCGAGGCCAAGGTGGAGGAGCAGAGGGATGCCATGTATGCCGGAGTGAAGGTCAACTCTTCTGAAGGTCGCTCTGTTCTTCACATTGCTCTGCGAGACCTGCCCGAGAAGTTCAAGTCCAAGGCAGAAGGTGTGGACGAGGTCAAACCCGAACTGGAGCACATCAAGGCCTTCTCTGACGCAGTGCGCTCCGGTTCACACAAGGGCTACAGCGGCAAGCAGATCAAGTCCATCGTCAACATCGGTATCGGAGGATCTAACCTAGGCCCTCTGATGGTGACTCAAGCACTCAAGCCCTATGCCAAAAAGGATCTCGAGGCTCATTACGTCTCCAACATTGATGGCACTCACTTGGCCGAGGCTCTGCGCGCTTGCGACCCAGAGACCACAGTCTTCATCATTGCGTCCAAGACCTTCACTACTCAAGAGACCATCACCAACGCAAATTCTGCACGTGACTGGTTCTTGAAAACTGCCAAGGATGAGAGCCACATCTCGAAGCACTTCGTTGCGCTTTCAACCAACGTGAAGGAAGCGACTGCCTTTGGAATCGACAAGGCCAACATGTTCAAGTTTTGGGACTGGGTCGGTGGACGATACTCCTTGTGGTCTGCTATCGGTCTCAGCATTGCCATCGTGATTGGCTACGAGAATTTTGAGCAGCTCTTGCTCGGCGCGCATGAGCTCGATGTGCACTTCAAAGAGGCGCCCTTGGAGAAGAACATTCCAGTCCTCCTTGCTACCATTGGCATCTGGTAGGTTGCACACTTTTCACGCTCTGCTGTGCTGAAATCTCACCTCACATCAATTGGCCTTCTTGACAGGTACAACAATTTCTTTGATGCTCAATCCTACGCTCAGCTGCCTTATGACCAGTACATGCACAGGTTCGCTGCCTACTTTCAGCAGGTGAGATGCAACGGGTCGCGGGAGCCTGCCGGATTCTCAGGCTGACTCAGAACATCGCGATCGCGTTCAGGCAAGCATGGAGTCTCTTGGCAAAGGCGTCACAAAGAATGGCAAACGAGTCGACTACCAGACTGGTGAAGTGCTTTGGGGCGAGCCCGGCACTGATGGTCAAGTGAGTGCATAAACCTTTTTGCTCGCGCCGAATTCGAAGAGCTGACGCAAGTTCTCCACCTTCTCGTCACCCTAGCACGCATTCTACCAGCTCATTCACCAAGGCACTAAGCTGATTCCTTGCGACTTCATTGCTCCTATTGAGACTCAGAATCCCCTGGGCAAACATCACGACATTCTCTTGTCCAACTTCTTCGCTCAGCCCGAGGCTCTTGCATTTGGCAAGACGGCCGAAGAGGCCAAGGGCGAGTTGAGCGCCCAAGATCAGTCCAACGACTTCTTGATTCAGAGCAAGATCTTTACGGGTAACAGACCAACGAACAGCATCTTGGCTCAAAAGATCACTCCTGCCACTCTGGGTGCTCTGATAGCTTTGTACGAGCACAAGATTGCTGTGCAAGGTTTCATCTGGAACGTCAATGCCTACGATCAGTTCGGCGTCGAGCTGGGCAAGGTGCTCGCGAAGAAAATTTTGCCTGCTTTGGAAGCTGGAGATCCCAACAAGCCTGGTGATCACGACTCCAGCACCTCTGGCCTCATCTCTTACTACCTAAAGAATAGAAAAGGTCACTGACTAGCTGCGTCTTTGGACGAACCGCGCGTTACCTCCAGAGGCAAAATGTGATTTTGCCTCCTTTCCACACCATGGCCACGATCGCAATTGCAACATTGAAATCAGATTACAGCCCATCGAAGAATCATGCTTGATGTGTACCTGTTTGACGAGAACCGTGAGGCATGACACGTACTTCACTGAGCTTCGCGTCTACATGACTTGTTTGACTTTGGAGTAGCATTTAATGGTGGTTCAGAGTACAACGTCAAAATGCGACAAGGTCCTCTCGAATAACAGATGTCGGCGCATCGCCGCCGCCGTCGACAATTGATCGAGGCGTACGTGCGTCCTTTCGCGTTCTTCTACTGGCCATTTCAGACTCTGTCAGAAGCTTGGCCGATCAGATCAAGTTCTGATGTCTCCACGCCGCAAGAAAGGTATACCGAGTCCGCTGAGTAGGAGACGGGCCTTCTCGGTGGCGTGTGGGCCTCTCAGATTGGTGACAATGTCGATCTGCAAGTGTGGAGGGAGCGAGACGGCAAGCAGTCACAACCGAACAGTGCAGATCGAGGACGGGTCAGGACTGCGTGGGACGGTGCGCGGTGAAGGACAAGACTCACCTGAGCACCGAGACCTTTGCCAGAGTAAGCGTCCCAGTTGACCTCTGTGCCTGGCCAGAGTCGCATTGCTTCCGGCGTCAAGCCTAAAGAGACGACGCCGGATTGAGCGGCCGGAGAACGCGCAGGAGCCGAAGCGGGTGGTAGAGCGTATCCAGAAAAAGTCCGCACCCGAGGTAGAACGAAGGTGGAGAGCTGAGCACAGGGGCAGCCGAGACGGGGTCAGTCGGACGTTGGATAGCATGAGACGCGTGGAAAGCGGACATGAACTGACTTGATCAATAACTTCGAGAGCCACGGGAGCTGGCAAGACCGCGGTGACGCCTACCGGCATGCCTGGTCTGACCCTGAAACTAGCAGCCCTAGTCGAGCTCTTGACGACCCTGATGTAGCCTTTGCCGCCTGGATGCTCTAAATTGATGCCCTTGTCGGCCAAGCTTCCCAGTACCCTTGCTCCCGTAATAGCTCTAAGCTGAGCAATGACTGGTACCAAAAGTTGTTTGTTGCTCACCGCGTCTTTGACGAAGACGGAGAAATGTAACCTCTCGATGCGAGGAAGGTCTTCGGATGCGTCGTATGCTGATGGAGGTTTTTGAGCGGGTGCAAGTCTTCGATTACCTCTGGGTGGTCTTTGCGGCCTGTGTTGCGTGTAAGGCGAAGCGGGATCCCAGCCTCTCGACGCTGTGGATGTCACCCCACCATGCTCCAGATCTTTCGCTCGAAGAGCTTCGTCACTCGAAGGAGTCAGATTTTGAGGGTCGTAGGTCATGTAGAGAAGTAGCGGAGAAAGCGTACGGTTGTAGTGCTCGCTCAGACGATTGAGCTGAGTCGGACCTATCTCGACAGGCGTGTGAGCTAGACGTGTAGTGCTAGATGACGAAGAAGGTGCTGCAGATGGTGCTGCAGCAGAAGCTGACGGAATCGCTGCCCGCAAGGAGGACTCAGAAGAGGTACTTTTTGTTGCTGAAGCGCCTGGGACACCAGAAGTGGCGGCTGCCTCCGTGGCAGGAGCCGAAGCAAGCCACCTCTTGCTGCTGGAGCCAAAGACTTGACGGGCGCTTCGCGCGAAGCCGTGTGTAAGGCTAGAGCTTGTGACGGACGCCATGACAATGGAATTGGTGGGAAACGGCGTATTGCAATGACGTGCAGTGATGCCTCAGCGATGCGAAAGATGGCGGATCCGACGCAATTTGGAGCCTGAGCGGTGAAGCTTGAAGGAATTCTCTGGTCGTGAGTCGTGAGTGGTGGTGGTATTTGGTTTTCGTCTGCCAAGCTCGCATGCGCGAAGGCTTTGCTCACGCGGCACAGCTTTATCGCACGAGAAAGCGATATCAGCTCTGGGCGACGCGACGCTCGGACCTTGCCGCGTCAGCTTCAACGACTCGATTTCATTGATGGTTGTGTGTACTCACATCAGGGCTACACCAACGTTTCTGATGGGGGCCTTCGCTACTCATCCTCATCTGTACACCTTTGGCCTGCCTATTCTGCTCGGAACTGCCGCTTGATCTCTGGCATTGCGTATAGGACGTTTGACGGCCAACCCAACGACTCTCTGTGCTTGGTCTCACAGTACACTCGTCGACTCACTCACATCAAGGTTCGCCCATCATGTCGATTATGGAGTACAACGGAGGTTCAGTGGTGGCCATGAGGGGAAAGAATTGCGTGGCCATCGCTTCTGATCTGCGCATCGGACAACAAGCTCTCACCCTGGCTTGCAACCATGACAAGGTGTTTCCGATTACTCAGAGGTGTTACATTGGCATGCCAGGATTGGCTAGCGATACCGAGACGCTGAGGCAGAGATTCAGGCGAGTGCGCCCATCCCTCCAAAGGGATACTCTCGAAAGGACTGGGCTAATGGCTTGTGTGCGCACCCCCTTGACAGATACCGCACTAGCATGTACCAGCTGAAGGAAGAGAGGGAGATCGAGCCAGAGACATTTGCCCATCTGGTCAGCTCAACTCTGTACGAGAAGCGGTGAGTGTCCGCTCTCGAATGTCCATACCTATTGCACGGCTCAGCAGCTCATATGTCGTGCCTTCCTGCTCCTAGGTTCGGACCTTACTTCATCGAGCCCGTGATTGCAGGTCTCTCAGGCCCAGACTCCAAGACACCCAATGAGCCTTTCATCGCAGCTGCGGATCTCATTGGATGCTTGAACTTCGCAAAGGACTTTGTAGTTGCGGGTACTGCTTCGGACAAGCTCTTTGGTATGGCCGAAGGTCTGTGGGAGGAGGACTTGGTGAGTTTTCTAGACTGTGCAGCTGTACCTAGCGAGGGACCCCCACCACTTGGGCGATGTGGGTCTCTTGACGCGTACTCTCTCGGCTTACTTCTGAGCTTTTCCACCCGCACTTCTCGACAGGAACCTGACGAGCTGTTCGAGACTATCTCTCAAACATTGCTGGGCGCGCTAGAGAGGGACGCTCTGTCGGGCTGGGGAGCCATCGTAAGAGTGATGTGAGTTCCGATGGTAGATGGTCAAGATTTCAAGACGAGCGATCGAGCTGACTCTGGTGCGCGCCGCTTTGTTCGCACAATCGATTAGCACCCCCGACAAGGTCATTGAGAGGACTTTGAGAGCCAGGATGGACTAAGTGGGATGTCTCCAGAGCTCGAGACGAGAGGGCAAGACCAGCATCTTCTCGTTCGAGCTGGAGAATAGAAATACGATGCTCATCATGATCCCTCATCACTTGATCATCGCTGTCTGATCAGCAGTCTCTCCAAGATGAATGCGTCTGTACCATGATTGCACCAGTGTTGTGCCTTCCGCGAGAGTCAAGGAGTTCTCGCTTGGGCGATCTGCGGCCGGATGCGCATCTCGCACGCTTGCGAAGTGCATCATCCATGAGATGTCTGAGGCTTTGCATGCCTTGTTGCTATCGCCGCCTTCCGGATGGTAACGCCGCTCTCCTATTTCTTAGGATAGCCCTGCTCGCTTTCACGCGAGGGCTGGTAAAGGCTCGCGACTCTCGCTTTGCACGAGGGAGAAGCCCAAGCTGAATACCCTCATAACGCATAGAGTCGCTGGTGATGTTTGCGACACGATCTGGTATCCATGTAATCAACGATCTGAGCCGTCCACATGACTCGATCCACGATCTCAGGGGCGAAAGCGCGGGCTCGATGTCTGATCAAGACACCACACTAAATCTCATGGCCATAGAATTGCATGGGAGAAGTCGACGTCAATAGAGGCATTGGCGCGACGTATGTGGGAGTAGAGTGACACAAGAGCCAGAAGTACACGTCTAGAGACAGACGCTGAGGTGCGATCAATGATGGCAGGAGATGAAGGAAAGCACTGTTTGTGCGCTCTCGTCTTCTCAAACCTTTTAGGCTGAAGGAGCAGCGGGCAGAACGCGAGCGTTGGCGATTCTCTTTTGAGCCAATTGTCTCTTGTTGAGACGAGGGGCGAGAGAAGAGTCGAGAGCTGCCTTGGGAACTTCTGCAGGTGGCTCGGACTGTAGCCGTGGAAGAAAGGTCTGTAAGTATGCTGATGTTTCCCCATGACCTGGCTGCACTCCCCCTTCGGGTAGCACTCACCAAGAGAATCTCAACGTGGCAAGGGTGTCCTTGATATGGGTTGATACGACCGTGTGCTCTGTATGTGCGACGACGAGTCTTGGGCGCTTGGTTGACAACAATGTTGCGGATGACGAGATCCTCAGTCTCCAGTCCCTTGGCCTCAGCGTTGGCCTCAGCGTTCTTGAGAAGGTTGGTCAAGAACTTGATAGACTTGACAGGCCAGCGACCTGGGTTTCGGCATGACGCGAAGAGCATCAGTACGAGGTGACACTTGTGCTTATTGTTGCACTGAAAGACCTCTCCCGCATGCATCACTTCTTCAAGGGCATCCTCTTGACCGATTCAAGAGACTTGCAGGGCGCTTCTAGCAAGGCTACAGTCCAGTACCTTCCTCTCCCCGTGTGCCCCTTTCCGCTGCATGTTTGTGTTCCTGACTACCTTCTTACTCAAAAATCAACTGGCCCTCCAGCCCCGCCTCCCAGACCAAACGACTCACCCTGAGAGGTCTTGAACTCCTTTGCCTGCTGAGTACGTCCCACACCGCCGTTGAATCGGCGGAAAGGAATGCACCTCTTGTGGTCGGAAACATCGCCAAGGTAAGTCAAAGCCTTGGAAAGCTTCATGCCAGAGACGGCAGCTGCCGTCTCCCTGGTGTTCTTGAAGTGAACACGGAGGTAGGAACCGCGAGACTTGACAGTCTTCTCGGCCACCTTGGAATCGTCGAAAGAGTAACGAACCTGCCAGGTGCAGAGTAAATTCAGTAAGCAGACCGAAGGCGCATTACTCGTTTCCGAAGAGGTGCATTGCCTCGCCTTGGAGCAGCGGAAAGAGGCTTTAAGAGGTGGCCAAACAGCGTCCTTCCTCTTCGCCGTTCTCGACTGTCCCGGGCTCAAGACATCCAAGACATCCAAGCTCCTAGCGCATGCCCCCATCCAGTACTCCACACGGGCACCTCTCTCTCGCATTATATCCTCCATGCAGTAGCCACCATGTAATGTGGTATGCTGCACGAATCCCTCCTTCAGACCTCGCTCGCTTTACCAGTCATGCCTTCTGCCACTCGGCCACAAGATTGCGTGCAACGACTACTGCATGCCTTCGCGCTGCCAGTCTGCGGGGAGGCGGCCGTCGAGTAGACCAGCGGGCATGGAAAGCAGATACTCACCATCTTGCAATCTTGAAGGGTGGGTCGGAATGGGGATGTTATAGTCCGTGATGGCCCGCGAGTTGCGAGAATCGAAGCAGTGACGAGTCTTGGAAGGTCACAGTCGGCATGCCGCCTTGCGTGCGCTGCGCTCCGCGCGCTTCTCCTTGTCGACTTTGCCTCGTGGCAAATTTTGAGCCCGGTCGCGCACTCGGCTCTGCTGCTGGGGATGGGCGCGCGCGCGCCCCTCAGATGAACCAGCACCCGTAGCCGCAGCGATGATGTGAGCACGTGACCTCTGCGTATGCACGCATTTCATTTTGATTCATGATTCTTGATTCTTGCCGGACGTGTACGGGCTCCCGGCGCTCGGATGCACGGCTTGTGGTGGTATATAGCTCCACATCCGCTGTCTTGAGGCAATTGGACGCACAAGCCATGCAGTTCACGTTTGCACGCAGCGTCTGGACGGATGTTCCGCTGTACTTGTTCGCTCACCTGCCGACCAGTTCACTTGTGGCTTGTGACTCACGACTGTACACACGAATCACGAACTCTTGACTGTATCTTCCCATCTCTCACCCTCGTCGCGAGTGCTCAAGGCTACGTGGCGTTTTGCAAGTTAGCATGGATCGTAAGATGTAATGCGCATACAGTCGGAATCAGCATCGCAACTTCATCCTTTCGCGGCCTCATCCGAGCGCACCCTGCCTGTACGTCTTGCCTTCTTCGTTCTGACTAGACGTCAAAGCACGCATCCATCGCATTCTCGTCACCTCATAAGGTGGAGATGCCGCAAGCGTACGAGGGTCATTACGATCTCCCACACAGTTGGGCCCGAACGGCTCTAGGTGTACTTCACAAGTATCCCAACACGCATGCCACGCACGTAGTCAGTCTGGACGTCATAGATCAACAATTGCAACTTGATCAGCGACCCAACGGGAACGGAGGGCTGCTGGTCAGGCTGGAGAGAATATTGGGTGTGAGACAGGGCGCACCAGCCTGGGCTGTGAAGGTGAGCATCCTAGACCTACGTGGTGTTAGACAATGCATGCTTTGATGAAGGATTGCGGCTCTCTGATCATGCTTCTTCATGCTTGAACCAGCTGCTTGGAGGTGATGAAGAGACGTATGTGAGAGAGGTGGTCATGGTGGACACTGCAGGACAGATAGTCGAGATGACATCCACCAAGTAAGCTTCCACCGCTCTTTTCCTCGCAATCTCTTGGCGCACGCTGACGGTATCGTCTCGCATGGGTGATTCGCTATAGCATGTCGCTATCCCGCTACTTGCTGGTGAAGGAGTACATCACCTACACGCCAACCTCTGAGCAAAATCGCAGCACAGCTTTTCATCAAAGAGCCAGGATATTGGCGGGCGGACTCCCTTTGAGCGCCATGGCTAGAAAAGTGGAAGATTGGAGCAAAGATAGGTTCGCTTCCAATGCTGGCAAAGGCGAAGCTGGTATCGCAGAAGTTCTCAAAGGTCTGTGGGACGCTGGCGTCTCCGGTGAACTTGCCTCGAGGCACCTTCATGAGAAGTGAGATTGAGTCTTGCATGGACGAGACCGATACGAATGTTGAGTCGCAACAACTCAATCAACCACACCTGGGGCCTGCGGTGCTCCACAGTCAACTACAGGCATCAAGTTTGGCGTGACGTCGACAAACTTCGAGGGGCGTTTGGGCAAATGCACATCATGCGCGTGCTTCTGATTCGCAGCCACAATGGTGAATGATCCACTCTGCGATCGAGGTGAAAGCTTGCCGGACGTGGATGCCGTTCGCGCGACACTGACATGCGGAACGACGCTACATTTGGCAATCATATGCGCGGCTCCGAAACGTCATGCAAAATTTGCGTGCGATCAGATGTTCACGATGGTCTTGCTGTGATAGCTCCGAAGGGCAAGTCAAGCTCGCCAGATCTTGGTGGGCTGGAAGCGCAGGCGGCCCCTGAAGGGCGCCGCCTACGGCGTTGAGCTTGAGCAGGGGATGCAGCCTCATCGCACACCGCTCAAACGGCGCGCACAACTTGCACATTCTTGACCTTCCCACGACGTGCTCTGGCGGTCCGTGAATGGGCGCCTCACAACGGAAGTGGTCACAATGGACGCACCGACAGAGCACGTCTGCCGTGTGACTTTGAAGAGTTGAATGACGAGTGGACGTGGGGCGAGCCATCTCTCACGACTCTGACTCTTGACTCAAAATTCCTCCAACTTCGACTCACTAACTCTTGACTCTTGACTCTTGACTCTTGACTGCGCTTCGAGGAAGGCTGCCATCCACACATATACGTGCAGCCGTCTGCGTCCTTTGCTGTGCGGTACCGTCACGTGAGCACACATATAGATGCGTAAGCGTTTTGGTCAGACCGCGCGGAAATCGACGGACGCGAACAAGTTCAAATATTTCCCTTCAAAACCTCGCAACCGCGGCTATCCGAGCTGCACTTTTACTGGCAGGGCTGTGCGTACATGCGCTTCCTTTGACTTCTGACTCAGACCCTTCCTTTGATGGTCACTTTGACTCTTACGAGTGTTGTTGCCAGCCAGCACGCCGAGGGCAGTTGTCCACCTCATCGAGCCTGCTACCGTCGACAGGCAAGGCAAGCGAACACTCGCATAGAACACCTTCATTGGCCTCGCCACGCATAGCAAGCAGGATTCTCGACCACTTTGAGCGTATCCCTTCTTCCAGCACCCGACCGAGATGTTCTCGCCAGCTGTCAGGGCAGCTGCCCGTCAAGCTGGCCGGACTGGATCTGGTGTCAGTCTGTCATCGCCTGCGACACATCCCATCTTATCACCTTCCTGCTCCTACCGCTTTGCTACCCGAAGCAGTGGCTCGCTCATCAACCCTGGTCAGCAAGATGCGCGGAGAAGTATGACGGCCTCCTCACGTCGGAACGCCAAACCTATCGATGATGGGACCGAGCCGGGCAAGAACGACAGGTCAAATGCAGCAAGTCGAGATGAAGCGCCGCAAAGGCCTCGCGGAGCAGGAGCTTTCGACATTGACACTTCTTTGGCTACCATAGCCGACGAAGCCGCCTCTGCAGCAGAAGGGGGATCCCAAAAAACAGGGGCAAAAGCTAGGTCCAATGCCACCTCTCAGGAGAAAAAGAGGAGGAGCACGGCTCTGTATGCTTCGATTGCTGCGCTTTTGATAGGCGGCTGGTGGACTACCGGCTTAGGGAGGGAGTGGGAAACTCTTGAAGAGAGGGAGAGATATGCCAATGTGAGTGGACGGGCTCGATGATCATCGTCGAAATATGAGAGGCGATGCTCATTTCAAGCTCCGCGCTCCGTCTACCTTGCTTCGACGTGGGCTCGCACGGTCGAACAGGATCCGTCTGCGCAAGACTTTTTCGGAAGGGCGAAGATTCGTCTCGCCAAGATGTACACCTCGGTCAATGAACCAGCTTGGGAGAAACTGCTTCCCGATCTGCTTCCCTTTCCCTACCAGCGGCCGTACACGTTAGTGGTGGATCTAGACAAGCTTCTGATCTCGTCCAAGTGGACCCGAGAGAATGCTTGGCGCACGGCCAAGAGACCAGGTCTGGATTACTTTTTGGGCTATCTGAGTCAATGGTACGAGATTGTCATCTACACGCGCCAGCCATTTTACATTGCCGCACCAGTCCTGGAGAAGCTGGATCCGGATAGAAGATTCATTGCATACACTTTGTTCAGGGAGAGCTGCAGGAAAGCACCGAGCGGAAATCTAGTCAAGGACCTCAGCCACCTCAATAGGGACTTGAGCAAGGTCGTGGTGCTCGACTTCGATCCCAGCTCGTACGAACTTCATCCGGAGAACGGCCTCAGCATCAGCAAGTGGGATGGCGATGCGAGGGACACGGAGCTGGTGGACTATGTGCCTTTCTTCGAGGGTGAGTGCTTCGCGAGACACGATGCTTGAGTCGCTCTGGGCTACGGTGACTGCCTCTGCGCCTGCTAGCTTTGAGATCGCACCGGCTCACATGCATAAACACGAAATCCTGCCGCGGATGCAGCCATTGGCATCTTTGACGCGCAGGACGTGAGGCCGATCTTGAAAGCATACCAGGGTGAACACGTGCCTACGAAGTTTGCGGCTTGGGAAGAGGAATGGAGGAGGACGCAAGAGGCGGAGAGGACGAAGAAGCAAGGCAGCGGGCTGGGGCGCATCTTTGGGGGAGGCTTGGTGAGTGCTGCGCCGTCTTGGCGGTCGAATTTGTGCCTACGCACTGCGTTGCGCACCAGCGCAAGGGCATCTTTGGGCATGTTGCATGCTCACCCGATTGACCTTGTACCGATCTCGATGGCGCTACTCATGCGAACAGAGGGAAGGGGGAGGCTCAACAGCTCCGAAGAACCTTTTGGATGCGGAGAGGGAGAGAATGCACCAGGCTTATGCTGCGGATCAAAAGTATTGGGCGGAAAATGGGGAGATGCTGAGGCAGCAGCAAAAGGAGGAGCAGGAGAAGGCTTTGAAGGAGATGAAGCTCAGTGCTTGGGTGTGAGTGTTGCTGCCCCTTCTCCTTCTCGGCGCCACGTGCCTTGGGCTTTTCAGCGAGATGGCAAAGTGGCAAAGCGAGAAAGTTGAGAGCATCGCTGAAATGTCCTTTTTTTGATTGCTTTGTGTGTCCTGATCGCTCTCTCTTGGCAGAATGATTACGGGTCAAGGAATGAAGCCTCCAGGAGCAGAAGAGAAGGCGTCTGCTTGATGTCCGGTGGGAGGATGAAGAAGTCATCTTTGCAGGGTCTCTCTGAGCTGCGCGGATCTCAGCGTCGTCTTTCGACTTGTACCTCCACCTCTCATACTCACCATTGCGATTGCAGCCGCGTGCTTTCCGCCATTCTCTGCTGCAACGGAAGCGTGTGCATAGCTCGAGAGGTATACGGGATCATAAAGTGACCTGCTCGCTGCCGATCGATCCTCGCAGCTCAAATGCTAGCCCCACTGCCCACTTTGGCACGGAGGGATCGTGTACATACCAGTGGCGTACCCCTCATCAAAGCGACGGGGGGGAAAGGCGCTTTAGAACGGGGCTCAAATCGAGCGAAAGGCGGGCATGATGGTGAAGAAAGAGAGTCGATTCACGTGATGCAAGACGGGTCGAGCTGTTGCCTCGCCTCGAGAAGCATTTCATGCGATCATCGCGGAGTTTGGGACCTCACGCAGGCATGTCCTCGATGCGAGCAATAAGCGAGCAGGTCCCCCCAAAGACTTCAGAAGGAGGGGGGCAAGCTCGGCTTATAGAGAGAAAGGGAGCACAGCGCTCAGAAGCGTTCATTTTGGTCTTGGCTATTTATTGACTTGGCCGCCACGCAAAATGTTGCAAAGGAGTGCAAGACGCCTGATCTGAATGGAATGCGAACCTGCACGTTCTGCAGGAAGTCGTCTGTTGGTACAAGATTTTGCGGAGAGGTTCGGGGGGGTGGAGGGAAAAGCGTTCAAGGGAAAAGGGAGGGGGTATCCGGAGATTACTGATGTTGAGCGTTTCGCGAGCTGGATAGAGCTCGGTGCCGGCCAAGCAGACCAGAAGAGGGGGGGAGGCACGAAAACAACAAGAAAAGGGCTCTACTGCTCGTTCTTCTGAGCCTCTTCATCCGTCACTGGTTTTTGTGCAGAAGGAGGAGGAGGTCCACGAGGAGGAGCACTAGCAGCCTTGATCTCCCTCTTTCTCTCCCACCAGATCCAGATTGGGAAGGTGAAGATGACGACGATGATCCAGACCCAGAGAATACCAGCGTATTTGAAGAGGTCCGAACGTTTGCCAACGTTGAACACGATGGTCAGGTAGCTCTGCTTGAGGTTGTAGAACGGCATCGCGTAGCCGTACTTGAAAAACTCGTTCTGCAGGGGCAAGCAAAGCATGCGCGGACAAGAGCGGTGAGCAGAGTGTTTGAGAGAGAGAGGGAGGGGGGAAAGAAGATAGAGGCAGATATCGAACAGAGACTCACTTGAAGCTCGATGGGAAGATTGGATACGGCAACGTTGACGATGATGATGAGGATCAGGCAGAAGCCTATAAAGGGAGCGCCGACGAGGGACAAGAAAGCCTCGGTCATGAGTCCGAGTAGTAGCATACCGGTATAGGTAAAGCAGAACCAGACCATGAAACCAGCTCCATACGTGTAGCCCATCGCTTTGAAATCGAGTTCAAAGGCGATTTCGAGCAAGGAGAACATGAGGGAGAGGAAGATGTAGGATATGGCGGGAAGCAAGATGCGGGCTAGGATGAGGGAGCGCAGATTCAACTTCCTGTTCAGTCCCATGCCTGCTCGCATGCCGAAGCCGGCCATGACGACGTTGAAGGCGAGGATGCAAAGGTAGATGAGACCGACAAAAGTGGCGGCCGTCGCTACTGGTTGAGAGTAAGGTCTGATATTGTTCGTCGTCATCGCTACCGGATTGGCAATGGTAGAGGGAGCATTCGAAAGGGCAGTGATTGCAGCTGCGGAATTTGCTCCCAAAGACGTCAGATATTGAGCAGCGAGCTGCGTGTTGATGTTCGCCAAGACGGGCTGGAGAGAAGATCGGGCGATCGTCATGATCAGACCGAAGCCTACTTGATTACGAGCCTCTGCGTAGGTCAAGGTGACGACGGAATTGGGATTCCAAGATGCATCTCCCGCCGCTCGTGCAGCTTCCAGTCGAGCTGTGGCTCCTTGAGCGATCTCGATGATGAGCCAAGTATCGAAATCTATCGCCACTGCTTTTTCCACATCTGCCGAAGTGGGGTAGGTGGAAGGCGAGACGCTTCTCCATGTGAGCCTAGGAGCAGGCGATGCGTTGATGGCCAAGAGCTGGTTAGTGATGGTGGATCCGATCAAGCCTCCGTCCCTATCGATGATGGCAGCGTCGATGTTGGGTGTGGATTCCACTTCTCGATACAAGCTTGCCCAGTACAAGGCCACCAGTGTCCAGATCAACACACTGATCATGATGGTCACGCGCATCAGACCGATCATGTACGCTTTGACCAGTGGACGAATGGATGGATGCCAGAAGCCTACTCCATCGTCTGAAGTCGCGATGCGAGGTTTGTCCGAAGCGGCAGAGGCATCGCCTTGCGATGATTGAGAAGTCATGTTGGAAGAAGAGCCTCGAGCGTGTCGAAGTCTTGGGCTTGCACAGTAAGTTGGGAAAGCAATCGAATCTTTGACGGCTAGACGGTGTGCTCTACTCAAAGCTGTAGTCGAGAGCTGAGCTGTTTCTGTGCTGCAGAAGCCTTTTTGGGGGGAGGATCATCCATGACTGAAGCAGAACAAGTGGCTGAATATATACTAAACCCCTGCTGAAGTCGTGAGTCGTGAGTACCTTACAGCATGTGTGCGTCTGTTGAACTCCATCATACAAGCGCAACTCGTCCTGCATGCATGCATGCATGCATGCATGCACACCGGATCTAAGCCCCCATCCATCCCAGATCGACCGAAGACATGGGTTCAAGCTTGCGCATACATACATGCTGCCATCACGCACGCCAGCTGTAGCCGCGCGCCGTAGCCATAGCTCCGAGCCAACCCATGCACCGACCGCGCGATCCGCATCCATGCTGCAAGCGCAACCATTAGGCCTAAACACCAGCTGACCGAATGCGTGGCAGCTAGCTAGCTATAGCAGTCGTGTTCGAGTGACAACAGCCCGCAGTGGAGGAGTGTGTGAGTTAGTGTGAGTGCACGCCAGCTGGTGAGTCAGATAGAGTCCGAGTACTGCCATTCATGCGCGCATGCGCGCACCCAACGCACCTACACGCGTCGCAACGCGCCACGACTGTTGTGTGCTGCATGCACTCAGACTGCACGTATACGCACGCCCATCCTCGGTTGCAATAAAAAATAGGATGCGCTTCATATCACGGAGTTATTATCCTCGGCCGACGTCGCGCACGCAGGTCCCGCGGAGTCACGGGGTGATGTCCATTCAAAAATGCGACTCAAGGGCGCATGACTACTACTACTGCCACGGAGGTCAGACATCCCGTATTTGATCAGCTTAGCTACTGTAGGCTGTTGTTCACTTATGACTCACACAGTACAGTCACACTACTAGACTTAGCTCGAACGCATTTTGGCTGTCCTGCTGCTGCTGCACGCTTGCTGCTCGATCTTGATCGCATAAGCTCACACGCACCTCTGACAGCTGGGACATCCATTCACAATTGCCATGCTGCCATGGGTGATCCGCATTTGCAATCTGAATGACTTTTTGCACAATTAACCTTGGCCCACATTCACATTACTCACAAGGAAAGCGGAGCCCGCCGCTGCGCTGTGCACACCATGCAGCCTCATTTGGGATGATGTGTCAATCAGTTGAATAGCGGATCGCCGCTTCCGATCGAAAATGTCAAAAAGTCAAAAGGAAGGGCGACCGGCTAGGGGAGCTCACTCACGACTCATATACTCAATCAAGGTTACACACTAGCCATAAAGTTCAGATCGCTGCTATATGGTGTTGCTGACGCATGAAGCGACCGCGGCGTTTGGGTCATGATTCGTTCCAAGTTCACATTCACGATCGATGACTCACCGGATCCTAGCCTGTGCCTTTCTTTGTCACGATGCACCAAGCTGGACCTTTTTTCTTCTTCTTTTCTGAATGGTACATGCTGTTGCTCCTGCAAGATCTGTGCAAACGCGCCTACGCTATTGCGGACTTTTCAGCAACACTCACGACTCGTGGACTTTGCTAGGCTTGACCCGCTAGCTGATGTGCGCCCGCGCATACCGAATCAGAATCAAAAGTGAATATTCGTGATATACGATTCATCACGATTCACATGACCGATCGCGCTTGCTTTGATCAAATGGAAGAGCCGACGGAATAGCTTGTAGCTCCGACCAATACGAGTGACTCGCACTCAAGACTCGTCGCACTGTTGCTCGGACCCCCTCCCGGCGACTCGGTCTTTACGAGCCAGCGAGCCATCGCCAAGCGCACCACTGCATGCTGCGCTCTGGTCCCTTCCTGCGGCTATAGGCGGTGCATGCTTTGTGCTGAGCTTGATGTGCACACCGCGGCGCTTCTGACTAGCTGCGCCTGCTGTTCAATCACGAATAGCCGCGGCATTGGTGGTCTTATTGACGCGTTGGACTTCTTCAACATCAGCAGTCGCCGCGTATAGCCAGGACATCATTGCGCTGCAGCTGCTCTGTGTGGCTTTTGATCCCCCCTTCCGCGGCGGCGAGCGCGGCTTGCCGCGGAAGGGTGCGCAACATATCTATACACACACTCAAGACTCTTGACTCCTGACTGGTGCATGACTATTCAAGCACTCGGTCGAAAGCGATATACAGGTGCAGGGGATCGTGGTCTCCGGTCAAAGAAGTCTTGAGTCGCTAAGTCCGTGAATCATCAGATGTGTGTGCGTTGCTTTCCAGATACTCTTGACTTGATAGCCGAGACTCAATTTGCGACTCACGCGACTCAGACTCATACTGTCATTTTGGCATTCGATTCCAAATTCTCGGATGGCAGGCCGGCAGTTTCATGCTTGCAAACATCGAGCGAGGTTTGTGGGACGCATATAGAACAGGTTGTCAGCACGTGATAGGACTTGGAAGGTTGCGCGCGGAGTCTAGACCGTGCATCATGGATGCTGGCTGCATGCAGCAGCAGCAGCAGCAGTCTGATGAGTCGCTGGAGGCAGCGAGGATTGACGTTGCTCCAAGAAGCCGATCTATGGAGATGAGCGAGATGGATGCGCATGTTAGCGAGCGATGGGCCTTGTTCAAGACAATGTCATCCACACCGCGACCGTCTTGCAGCGTCATTCCTACTACTCGAGACCATAGGCCAAACACGGCGGCGGACGGCGCAGACATCTTCGAAATCAAGAATCTAATCATCCGCCTGCCCGCAATACCTCGGGCTCAGATCGAGCAGTCTGCCTCGAAGAAGGCTTCAAGCTCTTTGCTCTCTCCCTGCGCTACGTCAGAGCGCCGACGATGTTGGATCATTTTACCATTTTCATGCGTTGTGAGTCGTGGATGCAAGCAAGCATGGAGTGTCTCAATGACACAATCTGACAAAGTCGTCTGAACCGCGCGCTCTGCTCCATCATCCCCTCGCTCAGCCGGCGCAGTACTGTGGTCAAGAACGTTTACTCCCACCGGACCAGCGGCCAACGAAGCCATTTCGGCCGTAGATTCGCTCGTTAGAGGTGTGTTGGTCGAAGAGAGGGGAGATGAGCAGCGGTGGGACAAGGACTCTTTTGCCCTGCAATGGACATTCGCGAATGAGCTCGAGCTCGTCTTTGTTGTGAGTGTATACTTGGCGCGCTCAATGTACCTACCGCATCTGCTTGGCGCCCTCGAATTGACCTGGCCATCTTTGTTTCTTGGTCCCTGCTTCCTCTCTTGCGTCCACGCCAGGTCGTGTACCAGCGCATTCTGCAACTCTCGTACATTCCTGAACTGCTGGCTCGAAGCAAGGCGCTCTTCTTGGAATTGTTTACCCCCTTCTTGAAGGCTTTGCTATCTCATACGCGAGGAAGCGCTCAGCTCTCTGCGGGACTGAGCAACCGATTCGCCTCTGGACTCAAGGAATGGGAAAGCCGCTTCACTGCGCTATTGCGCGAGTTAGAGCGCGGCTCGGCTCGACAACATTTGCGCTCTGCCGCCAAGATCGATGCTCAAACTGGTGCGGCTGGGAGCGGCAATGCAGGTCAGCAGGAAGACGCGGCAACCGTATCGGAGGAGCCGGAAAAGACGTCGCACAACGATGCAGCAGATGTGGCAAAGAATGTGGAAGCTTTGAAAGCGAGGCTGAAAGCGGCCGAGCTGGCTTCCAAGGGAGGAGGTAGGGGAGGAGCTGTGGGAGGTAAGAAGGGCAAAAAGGGTAAAGGCGCGGCCAATGGAGCAGATACACCTGGAACGAGCGGAACGGAATCGGCAGCTGAGACACCTGGCAAGAAGAAAAAGGCGCCTTCCAAGGAGATGAGGATCTGGGAGGATGGAAAGTTGACGGATAGGAGGGTGAATGCGCTGGATTATTCCAAAGGCTCGTCGAGTGGGACTGGAACACCTACACAGGAAAAGGGCAAAGGTGACGTGCTGGTGGATGACGTCAAAGAAGGATCTCTTCAAGGCTGGGTGGACGAAAAGAGTCTGGGAACGCGCACTGCTGAAGGTGGCTACGAAGTCGCAGATGTCAGGCTGGGACAGAAGGAGGAGGAAGATGATGAAGACGAGGAGGAGGACGAAAGCACTTCCAAAGGAGGCTTTCTAGGTCGCTTCGCCGGCTTGGGAAGCAGCGGAAGCAGCAATGCGGGCTTCTTCTCCCGACTAACGGGCTCGCACGCGCTGACCGAAGAAGATGTGGCGCCGGCACTCTCGGCCATGCAAGCGCACCTGCAGTCCAAGAATGTAGCCGCGGATGTCGCTCAGCGCTTGTGCGCGAGTGTCTCCAAGAGTCTCGTAGGTCGACAATTGGGAAGCTTTGGCAGCGTCAAGACGGAGGTGAGAAAGGCGTTGGAAGAGTCCATCACTCGCATCCTCACGCCCAAGTCGAGTACGGACATTCTGGTGGAGATTGGACAAAAGAAGCAGAGGGGTTTGGCCGCCATTGCCAAGAATACCACATCGGACCTGGAACCTTACTCGATGGCGTTTGTGGGAGTCAATGGGGTCGGCAAATCCACCAGCCTTGCCAAGGTGTGCTTCTGGCTGCTGCAGAACAGGTTGAGGGTGCTGATCGCTGCTTGCGATACCTTTAGGTCCGGAGCGGTGGAGCAGTTGCGGGTGCACGTCAAGAACCTGAGCCAGCTGGAGGTGGGCGGAGAAAAGGTGGGCAATGGGACAGCGGAGGGCAAGAAGAAGTTGGAGCTGTACGAACGAGGGTACGGCAAGGATGCGGCAGGCATTGCGAAAGAGGCGCTGGCTTATGCCAAGAAGGAACGCTTCGATGTCGTCGTGATTGATTCTGCTGGAAGACAACAGGGCAACGAACCGTTGATGAGGGCGCTGGCCAAGTTGGTCAGCCTCAACAATCCCGACAAGGTCATCTTTGTGGGCGAAGCCATCGTGGGAAACGAAGCGTTGGCGCAAGTCAAAGGATTCGACCAGGCGCTAAAAAATTTCGCGACGGTCTCTGCTGCCGCCAGCGGCTCGGTGGGCTTTGGAGGTTTGGATTCGAAGAGGGAACCTAGGGGACTGGATGCGCTGCTCTTGACCAAGTGGGACGCGGTGGCTGATCAGGTCGGTACGGCACTGACCATCACTAGCGCTACCGGATTGGCCATTGCCCTGATCGGAACGGGACAGACGTATACGGACCTGAGAAGATTACGAGTGGCTCATATCGTCGATGCCCTCATGAGGCAGTAGCAGACCTCTCTTCATCGCTCCCAACATGACTTGGATCTCCCCCCCCCCCCCAATGTGTACCTTATCCGACGCCGTTCATGCACCTTGAGCCGCACCTCGCCTTGACTCGGGCGAATGAGCTGGGTGCGCTTCCCGAACGACGATGCCCATGCTCATACACAGAGAGCGCTGAACATCGCGAGACCTTGTGCACCCAATACCTTCCACGCCACGCCGCGCATACCTGTCGCGCCACGCCGCGCCGAGCTGCGCCCTCTAGGCCAATCCTCAAGCGATCTACAGGCATGAGCGCGTCTCCGGCAAAGAACGATGAACAGAGCGAAGGGGAAAGGGGGCTGGGAAATGCAAAATCTCAACAGGCACTTTTCTTCCGAGCGAGCGCCAGAGCTATTTCTGACATGAAAATCTTGAGCATCTGACTCGGGACGATCTTGAATTGCGAATTTTTCAAACACTTGATCCTTCGTTGTGTGAGGGGGGGGAGGCGTCACTTGCCCAAAGAGCGTGTGCCCTGCTTTCTCCCTCCAGACTCTCGCTTGCTAGACGTGCGGTCGACCATCTAGCCGTAGACCAGCCTAAGGAGGTGAAAGAGGAAGTAGTGGTGTGAGTCACCAACTTCAGCGTCCTAGTGCTGCTTTGTAGCTCGTCGTTTTCATCCATCTCGCTGTGGCCGATGCACGGGGTGGACTCCGCACTTGCTACTGGAGCACAAAGCCCCAAAAAGGGCTAGGAACTCACCTGAAAAGATCGTTGAAGACGTAGTAAGAGCCGTTTTCTGGGTTGAGCGTGAATACTTGGGAGAACCTCATGGGTTGAGGAGAGTCGTCCACCTGAGCCACGAAATGTTGAAAGCCAAAGTCAGAGTCAAAGTCGGCACGCTGCGCCATTGTGAGTGAATCATGCAATGCCGGAGGATGCGAGGAGACCAAGGTGTGCAAGGCAGACCGACACTCCGATCGCCTGTCCTTCACAATATGCAACCCCCTTCCCCCCCCCCCCCCCCCATTGTCCATGAATGGGTCTCGCCCGTCTGAAGTGCCAAAGGCTCACTCACCTGCAAGGCACCGGTCACCATCACCACGAGCGCATTACCATCTCCGGTAGGTTGAGCATCGCGCGTCTCCACCTTGTGCTGCACGCGCTGAAAAGGTAGGCCCTGCTCCGTATAGAGTAGTGGAGGAGGCAGTACGAGTCAGAGAATCGCCATCGCTTCAAACACAGACAGCTCGTGATGCCTGGGGGAGGCTCGACGCTATTGGCCTGGTGAAAGATGCATCGCCTGGGCGGCCCCTTGGAGCGCATAGACTGGTGCTTCTACCAGACTGACTGTCCTTCTTCGCCCGCACAGCGCTGTGCTGCGCTGGCACATCCACAGAATCTTGTTTGCCCAAGGCTGACCTAAAAGGGAGATCCAGCATTCCCCTCATTTCATCCCTTTGCGATCGGCTGCGCCTTGCAAGCACTTCCACACCCCCACAGCACGCTACTCACCGAAAGCTTCTCGACGATGGGTTGAGCACCTGAAACTTGAGCTCCTTCGAAGGTGAGCATCGAATTTGCTCTCTGGATCGCATATCGAATAGGAGGAAGAGCGATGTGGAGTGTTAGCAGTCGAAGCGTCGGGATGTGATGGAATGTGATCGATAGAGTCGGAAGAGGAGAAGGCGGATCATGAAACGCAAGCCTGAGAAGATGAGTAGCTATGGACCGTGCAAGAGCCGCAGAGGCGGCGCATCATACCGCTGTGCTGTTTCACCACCCACAAATTGAGCACCACCGTCCTTGTTGTCGCCCTATACTTGATGCGTCTGGCAGCAAGTCAGACCACACTCACGTAAAGATTGGCCAGAGCAGACCTATCAGAATCAAAAGTCTGATAATAAAAGTCTGTGAATTGTTGAGCGATCTGATCCATGCTTGCCATCTTTTCTTTTTTCCTTCTCCTCTTTGCGGAGCGGCGTACTAGAGTTGTAGCGATGGGATGTGGAAGATTGCGTTTGGAGCTCTCGAGAATCGAGATTCGCAATGGAAATCTACGTTTGAAAGATGGGGGTGGTGGGTGTTGGAGTCTGGGCGACGAGTCGTGAGTTGTTGGTAGCTTCACGATTCGCAGTCACGTCTTGCACGCACGCATATATCCACGAATCGTGAATTCAGCACGCAGCAGGCGAATGAAGCGAGCGGCGCGCGCATCCAACTGCATGCGCGCGACCGGGGACTTGCGCGCAAGAGCAGACGCCCCCGCGCGAGGCACGTGCAGACGAACCATCTCGGTTCTCAGAGATGCGTCACGTGTACGGTACGCCATTCTTGATTCAATTGCAAGATCCCAACATCACCCATACCCGCACACACAACAGATCCTTCTCGATTTTCAGAAGCGAACGACACCCATCAAATCAGATCCCATTCAGCTCCTTCCAGATTCACGCCTCGACCTTGCAAGCACCGCGCGGCCGAGCAGGCGATCGATGCTTTTTCATCAGCTGATCACGATCAAAATGCGCTACCGCATGTAGCGAGAGAAAGAGGGGCACGGTCACGCTTACTACATCGAGCGCGTCGAGAAGATGTCATTATGAAAGGAAAAGTTGCCAAGTCGGCATATGTACAGCGCAAGTCCGAATGATGGAAAGTGGTCGGAATGTATGGGATCACTTGATGCGATCGAGACGCTGGGTGCCTGACGACGAGCAAAGCAGTGGATGCAGCGTAAAAGAGGCATCAGCAATGCACCTTTTATGGAGCTCGAGAGAGGAGTCGCGAACTCCGAGAAACGGAAAACTCACTGTTGAAGACCTTGGTGTCGAGCGCGCTAGTCTTGTCGCCCAGTCTACGAATGCGCGAGTTCTGATCATCGATTTCCGTTCCCATCGCACGACCGAGCTGGTTCAATCTTCCAGAAAGCTGACCAATCTCGTCCAGGTTATTGTCCAGCTCATCCTCCAGCTCGTCATCACTACCCGTAGCTTCGAATTGGTACCTGCTCCTTTGAGCCAACTTGTTCTTCTTGGCTTCTTCTTCCCTGGACGCAGCGCTCTTTCCACCCCCGAATCTGTCCGCGGCGAATTTGCCAAATCTGCCAGAACCCGGACCGCCCAAAGATTGATCCATGCGATTCTGTGCGCGCAACGCTTCGGCACGCGTCGCCTCGCGTTCTTCTCGCTCTTCAATGTGCCTGTTCAGGATGCGAGCTTCTTCGGCATTTCGCTTGGCTTCCTTGTTGAAGCCAACATTGGGCCTGAAAATGGAGCGGTTGAGGCGCATCATCTCTTTGGCATTGTCGTCTGCTCTGGAAGAGTGAGCCTTGGCCATGTCGAGATGACGCTCCGTGTTGGCAATTTGGTCTGGCACAACATTCGAATTAGTCACATCGTAAAGCCACGTATGGCAGTCACCTCCTGCGATCCCCCTTCCAGTATTGTTACTCACCGCTCTGCTGTCCAAGTCGCAAAATGGTCCCCGAAGCAGTCTCTTCTGCCTCGCGCGCAATCCTGAGTGCGTTCCTTGTCGAGCTGAGAGATTCTTGCTTTGTGAATCTCATCTGTTGCTTGACCGCTTCCACTTCCTCCTCTTCCTCCTCTTCAGCAGTCCTCTGTCGAGCTTCTTCCTGATACTCTTGTTGCTGATATCCACCCGAACCAGCGCCATACTCAGCTTCCAATTCGCTCGCATCATCTCGTCCTGCTCCACTTCTTGCTCCAGAGTGCGCTTGATTGCGATTCGAGCCGTACATGCGGTCAAAGTCTGAACCAAGATTAGAGCTGGGTGCACGAGCACCTGCGAATCTGTCTTGAGGTGGGGCATAGGCGTCTCTACCGTACCCTGCTACGCCTGCACCGCCCTGATTGTAGCCTGCTGCTCCTCCGTATCCACCAGGCTGAGGTCCACCATATCGGCCTGCAGGTGCACCCGGTCCGCCAGGTTGAGGGGGACCTCCTGGATATCCAGCACCACCCGCAGCTCCTCCAGCAGAGCCTGGCGGTGCGCCATAGTATCCACCTTTAAACGGCCCATTCACGGGGTCCACCTCGGGGGGAGGTGGGATCTTGTTGCTTGAAGACTAGCACAGAGAAGATGGAATGCGATTATGCGTGAGACGTCGTCCCGCTTTAATTCGTAAGCATTGTGACGAGCAGGACATACCTTTTTGAACAATGGCATTTTGACCGAGGTGAAGCAATGCTGAGGCAGAAACCTGTTGAGATGAGCGCTTGTGAGTATGCTCAATGCGGTGGTGTGTGGAACTAGATTTGGAACCAGCAAGCCAAGGTTGTGTCCCGATTTGGATGGTGATGAAGAGGAGGAGGGTTGTGGTGAAAAGATGGGCTGAGAGGAGAGTGCTAGCCAAGAGTCACCAGTCACTGCACTCTTCTCAGGTCGCTGCCGCGATGACCGTCGCACTTGTGACTTGCGCAGCTCCTGACCCGCCATGGCAGGCATGGCAGGCATGGCATGCATGCATAAACTCGCGTCGGCGCTTCCTGTTGGCTGTGCATATATACATGCCATACATCATGCACGGAAGCGCGCACATAGCTGCGCGCGCGCATCTATACCCATCACCAATCGCGGTGAATGCACAGGCAGTGACAGCAGCTGCTGAGTAGGATGCGCAGTCTGAGCGCAACTTGCCATCAGGAAGGTGAGGCTGTGCCGGCGGTATCTCATCGTGAGACTCGTACGAGAAGAGATAAACCGCTTGTGGACAGGCCGTGCGTGCTGTGCTTGCCATAGAGGTAGCGTCGACATGCAGTCACGAGTACTCACAGATGCATCCGCTCCATCCTTCCTGGACCTGTTTAACCCCTTCTCCTCGAATCTGGTCATCGCAAGTATATATCCACAGGTCTCGAGAAGACCATTCTTCCTTTCGATCCATATCATCCACCGCCGGATGAGCAGGTGAAAGGAAGAGCTGGTGCACTCGGCGAACCATTCACAGCCTACCTCTCTCTAAACGTCATCTACTTTCCCTGCAGCCGAACGAAGATCAGGCACTGCTTTGGTCACGATTACGCTCAACATCGATGTGGTGTTCGAAGGCAACATCATGACCAATCCATCAGCACTGCACCAGCCTGCCCAGTACGATGCATCCAATGCCAAGTCTTCCAGCGCTTCTTCACCGGGCGTCGCGTCGCTCAGATCTCGCTTTGAAGCTATGCAATCCGCCAGCTCACCGCCAGCAGTGCATACCAGCAACGGCTACATCAGAGGTCAGACTTTCCCAAATCAGCGCAGCAGCGTATCGAGCAGCGCTATGAATGGAAGGAATGCCGCTGCATCCAGCTCTATGCCTGCTCCGCCCATCTTGCGACATGGGCCTCGAACTCCACCCGCCTTGCCATCCACATCCGCTCCATCCATGTTCGGTGTGGAGCTGTCTGTGCCCACAGAGAGCCCTACGACAATGCAGAATCCAGCAAGCGGTTCCAGTCCCGCCCCCATCTACACAACCGGAAGGGGCCCCTTGCCAGACCCACCCAAAGAAAGGAGGACGCCTCCTCCACCTCCTGACCGAGCGCGCGAAAATGGTCAGCCTGGCGCACAGGCTCAGTCACAGGCGCGCGCCTACAACAACGGCTCCGTCAACAGCTTCACTACTGCAGGCGAGCCAATGCCTCCCACGTCTGCTGCGCCGACCCGGCTCCACGCTGCGGCTCCTGGAGTGCCTGTTCGGTCTCCTGGTGCGCTTCCACGTGACAGCAGCAAGGCCTCTTTAGGATCCATGGCGGCCATAGGCATGGGATGGGCAGAGGAAAGCGACGCACGCAGCGCTGCAAATTCTGCTGCTGCTGCGTCTTTGCCTTCCAGAGGTAGAGCATCAGTGTCGTCCTCTAACAGCTCCACCATTGATCGACCCCCCATACCGACCCGTCCAACGGCGACTCAATCAGCATCTCAGCCTAATTTGGCTAGTCGTCGTCCAGAAGCTAGCGCTTCTCAGACGCATTTGTCCCCGCCTCTGCCTGCCCGTCCTGTTGCTTCGACCGCACATGTTGACAGTGCACGACCTTTGAGCACCAAGAATACTCCTCCGATCCCGCCATCTAGGCCGAGCTTTACCTCTGATTCGCCAGACACGCTCAACAGGGCTCGTCCTCTTCCGCCACCTTTGCATCCGTCGCTCGCCTCGCAACATGGCGCTGCACCGCCTAATGGTAGCAACACAGCTCCGGTAACACGTCGACCTTCTCCGGATCTACCTCCAACAGCTAAAGATGCAGCGCTTCAGCTTTCCCCTCCTCCTCAGCGCGCTGCTGCCCGCTTGAGCCCCGATATGGGGGGCGCAGCCTTGCTCAAGCCTGGGCGGTCCAATCGTTCCAGTACCTCGACGCCCTCTGGTCGAAGCAGCTCCCATGGCATGTCACCGGACGAGCTCGAAGAGAGTAGCGAGTCATCGGGAGATAACGAAATCTCGCCGAGTGCTGCAGGACGTGCTGGACTGGCGATAGGCCACGCACATATGTTTTCTTCATCGCTGATATCCAGGCAGATTTCCTCCGGCGAAGCTCCTCACTTTGCAGCCTCCCTTCCTGATGCCAGCAGGATCAACCGGCGACCTCCCTCCCTGCCCTCCTCGACGACTATCCTCAAGAACAGCTTTGTGTGCGCAGCGCAGCGAGGCAAAACTTTAGTCACCGCCCATCACAGCGGCGAAAAGTTGAGGGTGTACAGGGTGGGAGTGCCTGAAGGAAGGGTCAGCTTAGAAAGTGGCTGGCACGTCAACTGCTTGCTGTTTGTGCCGCCTGCTGCCGCAGCTGCCAAGTCGGCTCAGGAGATATCAGAAGCGCAAGAGAGGTGGTTGTGGGCTGGAACGAAAGAGGGACACGTCCTCCTCGTCGATTGTGTAGAGGCAAGAGTGGTCAAGCATCATAGCCTGCATGGGGAGGCTATCAGACTGCTTAGACGCGTCGGCAGCAACGTCATCGCGGTGGACGAGGGCGGAAAGGTGAGCGGAGCAGCTATTTTACCCAAGCGATGCAGCTCACACCTCGATCTTCCTTTGTGCCGCTTCAGATCAGCGTCTGGCCGGCCGCTCGCGTCGATGGATCGAACCTTGACTCGCCTCCGATCACTCAACGCATCTCCCTCGAGAAAGCTTCGACCATCTTCATCGTTGGCGATCAGCTGTGGGTCTCGTGCGGACCCGATACGCGAAGCGGTGTGACTTCGAGCGGAGCTCATGCGAAGAGCACGTTGAGGATTAGAGTGTTCAATCCGTTGAGCGAGACGCAACCTTTCAATGCGGTATCGAGACCTGTTGGAATGACGCCTGATCAGCTCAAGGAAGGCGTCGGAGCTGTCACTGCCGGGACTGTCATACCTTCTCACTCGGACAAGGTCTATCTTGCGCACGATTCTGGACACGTGAGTATATACGTGCCTCGCGGTCGCCTCAGGCCCGAACGGGGAGCATACTGACGTGGCGCTGCTTTGTAACCTGTGCTTGTAGATTTCGGTCTGGTCACGATCGACGTACTCTTGCGTCGTTGTGCAAAAGGTGCTTCCGCATGGCATCAGCGCTCTCCTAGGTGTTGACAACGTACTCTGGATGGGCAGCAGGGATGGCTTTATACACGTGCTGGACGTGTCTGGGCCCGTACCGTGGGTGTTCCTCAAGCGATGGAATGCCGGCGACCCCGTGGTCAGCTTGCAAATCGAGACCTTTTCACTCGAAATTGGTCAAATGGTGGTGCTCTCCACGTCTAGCGACAGCGTCCGAGCATGGGATGGTACACTGGCGCAGGATTATGTGGACCAGAGGTTGTCGGAACCCTCGCTGGAAGCCCGATTCAGCTCTTTTAGACATCTCAGACTCCTTCAAGTGTCTTACAACATCGACTCGGCTTCGCCCGAAGCTCTGAATACTGCGGACAGCGTAGGTTGGCTGCGAGATGTTCTGACCAGCACACAGCTCCCGGACGTCATCGTCTTTGGACTGCAAGAAGTCGTCGACTTGACGGATAGGAAAGTGGGAGCGAAGAGCTTATTGCTGGGATCTAAGGCCAAGCATGCGCCCGAGCTGGCTGATCGCATATCGACGCAGTACAGGGCCTGGGAACAAAAGCTGGTGCAATCCGTCAGGGCAGTCATGCCGCCCGAAGAACCGTACGACGTCATAGCTGGCGGACCCATCTTTCTCGTGGGTCTTTTTCAGATCGTCTTTGTAAGACGCAGAGAGACGGCCAGCGTGAAACATGCTGCTGTCGCCACCGTCAAGACTGGCTTTGGAGGCAGAGCGGGAAACAAAGGAGCGACCATTACTAGATTCGTCCTAGATGATACCAGCATCGCATTTGCCAATTGTCACTTGGCAGCAGGTCAATCGAAAGTGAAGCAGAGAAATGCCGACTTGGCCGAGGTGAGTCGGGGATCTCGGCTGTGGGCGGAGTGCTCCGAATGGCATGCCTGTCGCTCAAATAACTTGCAACTTCCCCACCTTCCCATTACCTACCTACTTGCCCCGCTAGATCCTCGAAGCGACTCCTTTTGATGGCATCCTCGCCGATCCCTCTGCCTTTGTTGGAGGCGGTGATGGAGCAATGCTCTACGACCACGAGGTGAGAACTGCGCCGGTTTTTCCCTACTAGGCGCAGAAGACATTCTCCTCATCGTGCGCTCCCCGTTCCCTCTTGATCTCGCTTGCAGCTTCTGTTCCTCTCTGGAGATCTCAACTATCGCATCGATGAGAAGCGCTCGGCGTGCGTTGCACACGTGGAGAGCGGTCGACTTGACCCGCTCTTGACCAAGGATCAGCTCTTGCGAGAGATGCGACATAATCCCACCTTTCGATTAAGAGGCTTTCAAGAGGCTCCCATCACCTTGTGAGTTCTTTAATTCGCATGCTGATCTGAATAGCGCTGATAGGTACTTGTGCTTGCTCTTCGTAGCCCTCCGACTTACAAGTATGTGCGCAATAGCACGGAGTGGGACAACTCGGCCAAGATGCGCGTGCCTGCTTGGTGCGATCGCATACTTTGGCTAGGCCGCGAAGCCGACCGCGTCCGATCGCTGCAGTATAGACGTTGGGAACCGATGTGCAGCGATCATAGACCCATGTGCGTACATGTAAGCGCTGAGAGATGCATTTCAAAGATGTCCCGAGACTGACGATGCTTTTTCGTCTTGGGGGGGCTATAGCTCGGCTGCGTTCGACATCAGGATCAGACGCGACGACTTGTCCGAGAAGAAGGCTGCGCAGGCTCAAGTTGCCTACGAATGGCAAGCCGTACAGGCGCAGCTGCTCAAACGCGCCATTGTGAGTTCTGGAGAAGCCTGGCACGAGCGCTTCGTTTATTCGATCTTACGAATACTGACGCTGCGCTGTGGACTGCTTGGATACTTTAGAGCTACTATACCGCTTACTTGTGATACGCTGCCGATGCATGCATGCTCGACTATCTTGCAATCTTTCAAGTTACACCGTCTCTTTCTCTCTCTCTCTCTCTCTCTCTCTCTCTCTCTCTCTCTCTCTCTCTCTCGGAACATGATGTATCACTAGATCATACTCGCATTTTCATACGCAACCGTCTGCAAACATCGAGCTCATACTTCTACTTGCAATGGGACACTGTCTAGCCCACGTATTGCTCTGTGGGTATACACGCTTGATGCTGCACCCGTGATTGACGGTCTGATTCTTGGGTGTGTGCGTATTTACGTGTGATACGATGTGCGATATGCTCACGCTCCAGCATGCGTTCGTTCGCCCTTTCTGACTCGTCACAAGCCTGACCAGCATCCCAAACGAAAGCTGAGCTCGCTCAGGCTCACCGAAGTTTTGAGTGCATGAGCGATTCGTGATTGTGGAAAGGTAATCGTGAATGGCGAGCGTGACGCCTGTCATTGCATTCACGTGATTGCGAAGTGGACCGACCGCGGAGGCGGGGCTAGACATTCAATTCACGTGATTTGAATTTGATGCAGCTCGAGAGGTTCGAGCGACGCGGCGCGCTTGGATCGATCGTTGCTGCATGCATGCATGCACGCACGCGTTACGGGTTCACACCATATCAGTCAAATGTTTCGCCCTGACGCGCTTGATCGATCGCTGCCAAGTTGCTCATGTCGCTGCCATTCAGATGCACCACTCAGATTGATCCGCGGTCCACACATCCACCCTCATGATTGACATGCCCCAGAATTTTCCACCCATCTTCCATCATCGTGACCTCGAAAGTCTTCGGCTCACAACGGTGATTACGCCTGGCCGCTGCACGAACTAGAGCTCCGGCCACGAGCCTAGCTTCGGGGACGCGAAGGTTGGCAAGCTCGCCCCGAAAACATCCTGGGCTTGGCTCTTCTCTAGCCTCTGCTCGTACGCGAACACACACACACTTACGGCATAGAAGCGAACGAGACTACGGCACAATGTCACATGGAGCCGCATCGCCTTACGGACGCTCTCCGAGAATGAGCCATCCCGTTGCGCCCTCTCCCCTGCCACATCGAGCTCGTCCGGTGGTGCCCAGTCAAGGGGCTGAATTTGCGTCAAGGGCAAACGGGGCTGAGAAAAGGCCCAGAGGAGCAGGGGAAGGTCATGCTGAGCCGGAAGATGGGAGCGAAGGTTCGTGTCATCGTGTCAAAGTCTGGAGCGACTTTGCGCTAGCAAAGCAAGTAAGGACTGATTTGCTTTCTCTTTTTTTTTTTTTTTT